TACACCCATACACCCATACACCCATACACCCATACACCCATACACCCATACACCCATACACCCATACACCCATACACGAGCAATTCTCTTTTGTACCACTTTACATTTTAAGTTGCATAAAGTTCCCTTACACAAAATTGATTATGTATTCAATAACTCTTTATTCCATAGGTAATATTGCCTGTGCAATCATTATCCGCTCATTAGACTCTTCATTCATTACTTCTGAATATATACTGCACTACATTAATTATTCTACCAGTGCGCAAATGATGAACACACCTCCATCACCTTCATTTTGAAAAAACTTATCCCAAACCCTATGAACAATTAACAGTGCGTGGTATCCAAAAGCTCTAATACATGGTGAAGGATGCTCCCCATACTTTCCAGAGAGGTTCAAATTTTGAAAATCTTATGTTTATTAGTGTGCTAGTTTATACCCTTATAAACTATAATCTTTACTCTCTACATAATATCTGTGCTTTAGCCATCCCTGGTACTGCCTTTATGTATACATATTTATACATCTGAATATTTGTTTATATGTCTCCTAGAAAATTGTTTTCATTAAACAGTACGTTTCAATGTTCCAAAAACATTGGGTTCTCCGGTTTTGGTATACCATAGAATGATACCTTCTTGCAACAGGATGGGCCTTTTGTACATTATTTTTCCGACCGACTTAAAGTTTGTTGGAGGAACGGAAACGTTATTATAAATCCATACAATTTCTCAAAATGAGCCTTCGCCACAGCGGCTATCCAGTCATATATATCACTGTTGGTTCAAATGGAATACTGAAAGCTTCTTACTGGAAAAGTCAACAGTAGAACCCACCACCCACACCTACATTTCGTCTCAGTGTCGAACATCATGAATTATGAGAAATTTCAGATGCTGAGAATCTCAGACAAGAAAATCGCATATGTTCGAATGTACGAACCGTATCCGAGCTAAGCTCCACAAGGACCAATACACAGCTGTTGACATATGTAATACTTTTTTCACTTATCCGCAATTCGCCTCATATTCTCCAAGTCGGACCTAAACCCCTAAATTTAGCCAGACTCATTTTCAAAACAATACTACATCTCCAACCATAAAAGAAATGGCATATGTGAAGAGGCTATCAATTAAGCGTCTGGCCTCCGCCAACATATACTTAAATGGTTAAATGGCTTCTCAAAATTACTCATATTGGAATTTTTATAATATTCTTGTAAAAATCATACTAATATATTTAAAAAATATTTAAAAACTTTTTTCTAACATTCAAAATGACCAATTCATTTTTACAAAACCCTACAGTTGCATATCTAATCTCATAATTGGTATTCAATTATTTACATATATGTGACTATACATTTAGTTCAAAGACAATCCTAACGCTTCTCTTTGGGACTTAGATTCCGGATCAAAATATGGAACTTCAGCCAACGAAGAGACTCTTGTACCATGTCTTGGTTCATTTCCTTCATGGTCCCACACTGCAAAATGTTGCGAAACTCTGTTATCCCAAAGGGCTGAAGTGCCCAGCCCAACCTTTGTTGGTTTCCAGTTGAATCTTACTTGGATATCCAAATTCTTCTCAAAAATGCTGAATAAGTATTCTAAGATCAAGTCACTTTCCCTTGGTTCCAATCCAACAATTCTTTTAGTCATGGCTCTATTAACGAACAAAGACTTCCATCCAGTGGCTGGGTGAGTTCTAATGATTGGGTGTTCACGTTCAACGTGAACACTCCCTTTCAATGGGTTTTCACGGTCAAGATAGTTATGAGCTGAAGTATACACCGCCTTCTTTCCATCGAGGAAATTTTGGAAAGCAGGAGAAAGCTTGTCATAGGCGGCATAACCAGACGACCAAATGGTATCACCCCCTACGTCTGGGATAGCGTCGTTATGCAAATGGGTGATACCTGGAGGTTGCAACTCATGGGTAAGATCAGTGTGCCATTGCAGGTTTCCAGCCTTGGCGCTGTTTTTGAAGCCAATATCAAGGCCAAGCTTAATTAATAAGTCTTGCCAGATGACTGTAGTACCTGGTAATCCTGGGACATGTACTTGTTGTGGATGATATTCAACATTACCGTAGTAGGCACCCAAGTCTGCTTGGATTTTTGGGTCTAAATCTTGGTCTCTAAAGAAAACAACCACTCTTTCTGCAATCAAAAGAGCCAATTCATCTTTTTGTTGGTCGGTCAATTCACTCAATTGTAAGCCAATAATTTCAGTACCAATGTGCTTTGTCAAGTTTTTCACTTCTTTAGCGGCTGCAAAGAGTGCCTTCTTTTCAGGATCCGCGTTTTTTGCTCTTTCAATGTAAGGCACTTCTTTATCACGGACTGCGCGTGCTTGGTCAACAAAAACAGGAATACTTTCTGTTGGTGGTCTCTCAGGGTAACCTTGAGAGATATCGATACCATATTTCTCAAATCGAGCCTTTGTTGTTGCTGGTAAGTTTTCCACCCATGAATCGGCGAAACCGCCCTTTCTTGCCGATCTAGGATTTTTTTTTCCTGATTTGGCGAGTTTGGTTACAATTTGTTCAATTTCAGAGAGTTCCACTGGAGATTCAACAGCGTTTGCTGGATTTTTAGTGGCGGCAGATGGTGACATGTTTTTATATATATCTTGATAGTTCTATTTGTACTGATTTCGAGAAAATTCAAGGATATACTTCATTTATATGGGCGCCATTTATTTAATCTCAGCCCCTTTTCGATTGTATGATTGTGGCTGCGGAACACAGTAGAGGAAATTCGCAATTGCATGCAACAATTATTAGAACTGTGGAATGATAAATATATACGAGTTAGTAAAAAGTAATCAGCGCCGAAGTTAACGGCGATATACACTTTTAGACACTTACATCAAATATTCACCGAGAAGGTTGAAAAAAAAAATACAAAATATACCCGTAGAATTACACCACTAAGTCTACTTGGAGTGGAACGTGCACAATTTAGATCTATTCCATAGATCACTCATTTAATATTAAACTTAATAATAGGCGCCCCACATACCATTGATTTTGATGGCTATTATCGCCAATTTTCAAGCATCGAGGCATAAACGAAGCCACTGCAATAACTGGAATCAGACACCCCAAGGGGCATGGCATTTAGAATCATGTTTCATGTCGGACCAACCCTTTTACTTTTTGGGATGTACATTTTTAATCTATACAGGAAGAGTTATATTCTAAGATATACGTTGACGGGAATTCTAGTAATAACCACTAATCCCCCTTTCAACCCTCCTTCTTCTAAACTAGTTATCTCTCTCTATTTATAATCCAATCATCCAATCTCCTCGTCTAACATATCAATTTTCTCCCGTCAAAACATTCTTCTCTTTATACTTACTTCTGAAATTCGTGATTCGTGTAGGTCTGCATAGATCACTCAACATATACGCTCGGCACTGATTTCCATGCATTACAAAAAAGCTTAAATACATCTTGGACTTTAAGATGGTGTTACTTTCGTCATGGGAATCGATAGAAGATAATTTTTTCAGAGTTAATACAGAATATATTTTACAAGTAGCACATTCCTTTTAGATTCGCGTTCTATGTTTTAATAATAATTTAGAGTTTCGCCACTGTGTACTAATTGGATAACAGTAAAGAGCCAGAGTCTGGTTTGACAATAGTGATACATATTTTATCTATTCAAGATAGTTTGAATATCTCATTTTCATCTCTTCGTTCTGCTTTCCATTACTGAATAAAGTTGAAAAAAAAAAGTTCTCTTGAATTTATATGCAACCTTAAAAGTAGTGGCACATGCCAAGGCTTGAGGGTCTTGGTAATCTATCTATATACAATCATTTGCCTCTCCCAGCAGGTGTGTGTAATCGAATGTATTTTATTTTTTATGTACACTCAAACAGTACCAATTTTATACATGTACAAAAGTATGGTTATGTCCTTTAAATAATCTCCAAATCAACACCTTGACTAATGATTTTCTTTCACTACCAAGATCTGTTGGTCGACGCCCATACTTGCTTCTCACGATTAAAGAAATAAACCGGAAGAGTAATAGCTGAATTACAGTACTTGTGACAATGTAAATTTTTAGTAAGACTACAAATCCTGCCTAGAGAAAACACCTCGCTATTGAGGAGATTATATACAATAGTGAGAGAAGAAAGACTAATTTGTTACAATTAAAAAGCTTTCAAATAAGATAAAGAGCAAAAAATACTAAACAATTTATTGTATCATATTAAGATTACATATATGTCCACAAACTCGAAAAACAAGAATTATTAAATTAAGAGAATGTACCCCATTTGAGACCAAAATAGCCTTGTTCGGTATTGGTGACATTCAATAAAGATTGCTGACCTGAACCGCCTTCTACCCCGCCATAACTGACGGTATTTCCCCACCAATTGACATCCTTTGCATGATATTGAACTGCGAAGAAAATAATTATAGCTGAAAATGCTACCCCAGCATCTAATCCACTTGAAAGAACATAGTTATACTTTTCCCACCATGTCAAATACTTTCTTCTTATGTAATGCATGAACGTAAAAGAGAGATACATTCCACCCGTGTAATAACTCAAATTATAAGGTGCGTATATCATCATACCTCCGATAACTGCTGTAGGTTGGAAATGCTTCGTAAATCTACGTGGAGCAAGTTTTTGGAATGCAATTGCTGGAATAAGTAACAAGAAACCAATCAAGAAACACCACTTAAGAATAGGGTATACCTGATCAAAAACTCTCCTTGGTCCAATAAGACCAAATTCAATACTTGCTGAGTAGTATGTCACATCTCCCGGACAAGTAAACTTCTGCTTCTGATCTGGAGTACATATTCCTTTAATGCTACCTAATTGATAATTGATGACTGCTAAAGTGATAAATGCAGAAACAAATGCAGATAATAATTGACCCCTGAAAATGGCCCTTGGAGGAACTTTAGCATAATGGGATGTTTTCAAGTCGGAGATAAAAGTAAGTGCCTGTCCATCAGTGTTGTAACCAAAAGCTTTAAGTGTGATCAATGGAATGTATTTTCCTGGAAGCATATAACCAATTAAAATTTCGGACAAAACATTAAGACCATACGAAAATCCCGTAATCGAAGAGATGGAGGTGATAGGAATTAAGAAAATGAAGTTCAAAGCGATCACGAAGACAATACCCCAAACTGGAGTTTGTGTAGGATACAACTCGACACAGAGAATTGCAAGAATAAATGAAATAAGTAACACAACCAAATATGCCCAATCTGGAACTTCCTTGTACTTACTCATCATTCTTGAGTGTGGATCAGTATAGTTGGTGTACAGGGGCCTTCTCCAATTTTTCAACCCTTGATAAATATTTTTCATTCCTTCCTTAACATTAGCCCAATCTATAATAACTTGATAGAAGAATCCAAATAAGTAAATGGCGAAAAATGCGCCATATATCATCAAGTTTGCCGCAGTGAAGTATGGCGGGCCAACTTGTTGATATAAAGCTTCATCAAGTTCATTATTTGCACCAATCACGCTACTAGTCGAATAATAATTCCCAGTGTTATCAAACAAATAATTTGAATTGATAGGAAGGTACGCTGTCCACATATTGTTAGACCAGTAAAGGCCAATAATAATAATTGCACCAATTATCAGCCCAACATATTGATTTGCTTGCGAATAGAACGGAATTGTTAAGCAGGAGTTGAAGTTCAAAATATTCCAATCAAAAGAAGGGATAGGATTAATCCCTAATCCCGTTTCAGACCCTGTAATGGCTGCCAAAACAAAATTATCTGGTGCTATCCATGTGAGCCAATTAAATGTCGACAAAGCTGCAAACAAATAATTTGGTAACCAGAAATATAGAAATGAACTAGCAGTAACGATAAAAAAGAAGTTGTACCTCGATATCTTCCATCCATTAATAGATTCTTTTCTCTCTGGAACCAAAAGTGCTCTATTAAGAGCCAAAGAAGGCAAAACTGTTGGCCAAAGTGCTTTCACGGGATAAATTGTGAACTTTCTTAAAATACCAGCAAGTCCAAACCCAATAAATTGAGTAGACAAAATAAGCAAAACTTGGTATCCGAAAGAAACCCAGGTATTGTTATAAAACACGGCTAATTTTTGAATATAGATATTTGAGTCAACATATGGAGAGACAGCAGAAACCAGATAAAAGATTGAGGCAAATTGTTGCTCCTTAATATTCCAGGGACCAGGATTTAATGGAATAGAAAATGTCTTGGTAATAGGGATTGACCAATTTGGAACGATATATTCCCAAAGGAGCCCACTAGGATATAAGAACAATTGCACAACAGAACTACTAAGACTGATGGAAGGTTGTCTATGAGCAAAGAATTCATTGATAAAAGATCCGATTACTGTCCAAATCAAGGCAATTACGTACGCTCTTAAGGTTTCACAGGGCATGTTAGGGTCATCGAATGGATCAGTAACGGCTCTTACTTCAGGATAAGGGGAGTGGTATGCAATGACGGCAGCTTCAAGTCTAACTTGCAATTCCCAATCAATAATTTTGAAAATATCAATCGATCCATCTTCTGATGAGAAATCCTCAGTGTAGTACGACCTATCAATCTTCTTCTCACTGGGATTCTTCTCATCCTCCGAAGATCCATCATTCGAACCTTCTCTGCTACTCTTGTTAGAGAGAAGATGCTCAATAAATTCAAAATCCTCGGTTGGAAAATTTGAATCGTCTTCGTGTGCAACTAAAGTTTCTTCAAGAATTTTAATGGACTCCTCCAATGAAAGATTTTGAATCTTTTCAATGATAAAAATAGCCCCCATAGGAAGGTCGTCAAGTGATTCCAATTTATCATAATTAAGCTTTGCAAGAATAATTTTTTTTTGAAAAAGGGTGAAGTCTTCTCCAACTTCATTGATAGAAAATTGGTGTGACTTTATAGCCTCGATATTGATTTCATGATCTTCTGGGTCAAGACGACTAGTTGCACTGCGAATTGCTTCGAGTTCCAGCTGTGCAGATGATTTTACTACTTCCACCATTGCCGCAATATAAATAGAAATATAAATTACATTTTAATTACAGGGAAACTTGGCGCTCCTAAATACGATTTTTCGAAGACGCAATATGTGAATACATTCTAAATGACACATTTTTACGGAACCACCTGCATGAATTGTCCTTTCATACGCACGGCAAAACTTTAATATGCAGAAAATGTCTTATCTTTAATCACGGGCAACGATGAAGATCCCCGACCAATTGATAAAGATTATCGTACCACAACTTCGTAGCGAATTGAGGCGAGCATAGGGCAAAATGTATTTAATCAATCTTGCTGCAACTTTCATGGACATCTTTTCCACTAGTGCTGTACTTCTATAATGTTAACTTTGTTATGACAATATATCCGCTATATATAAAGTTAAAATTAGCCACATCTTAAATCTTCACATGACTCTCTGTGGCACGAAAACACCAAAAGTCCCCCTCAGGAGACGGCTTAATTTCATGTACAAAATGTAGAAAATATTATTTTTTTACGTCATTTATCTATCAAAAAAAGAATGTGGTTCGCGTTATTTCCGATACTAAACACACACCCGAATGATATCAAGTTCTTAAGTAAGAATAAAAAGATAAATATTCCGCTAATCAGATAAGGGCCCAAATATCGGAAAGTTCGTATTATTAGGGTAATTTATTTTGACTTAATGAATTCCCTGATTATTCTCTATGCTTTGTTCGAAAAAGAGGTATCATTCGTTTTTTATTCCCGTATTCCATGAAATTTGAATTACCTTAGGTACCAGAGCCACTGTTTACCGATGAAACACCCTTAGAAAGAGGGCTACGTCGACCGACCACCGACGGAGGCAATTTTCAGTAGGAATTTCATAACTCCTTGCTCCTGTTCATAATTGATATGTTAACATTGATCTCCAATATCCTTTCCATCATATTGGGTTATTCTTGTGTATTTTAGGTCTCTCAATATTCGTATCTTTCATCTAATTTCCCGCCCCCACTATTGCGAGAAAATACAATAGATAAGCAACTTGGTACACCACAGTGGATGCCGTTCAAAATCGGTCCTGTGTATATACTAAAAGTCAGGGATACATTCGGCCATTCGGCCATTCGGCCAGTGAAACGCGGAAAGTCTGAACCGACGCCGATTCACGTGATGAAGATAGTGTGTCTACTTTATGAACTTCACACACCATCAGCCATTAGATGCTTCTTTATCCTTTTCAACCCTTTTGATTATAGAGCTCATGCATATAAAAACTAAAGCATCAATTGAGACGTCTGTGATGGAATCAATGTTTATGGGGACATTATCTTGAAATTGGAAAATGGCAGCTTTCGCTTGTGGTTGGGGAAGAAAAGTTTTAAAATCTAATAAGGTCCCAATATCGACTTTGGATGCGAACAGTGAATTGTTGAGAATTCTTCTCGGAAGTATTAAATTTGCGAAATTAGATCCAAGTAAAGGATTATCATTCGCAACCTCTCCATTTGGTAACATCCCGTCTGAAAGTGATGGTTTGTCATTGTCTAAAACCTGTAAAGCATATTTCCACCCTTGGCGTAGTCCACAAGAATAAGAATGAATCCATCTATATCGAGTCCCATTATAAATGGAAGTGTCGACTATTTGATTCCTATAGTGATGTATCAAAATAATCTCAAAACTGTTTGTAGAATCCTGAGGATTTGGATAGAATTTCAAGCGGTACTTATAGTAACTAGCGTACCAGGTTCTTTCCACTGAGCAAAATAGATACTTGTCAACCTTTTTATTGAACAATCTTGATTCTTCCTTAGAAGGGGGGCGAAATCTGAACACTGACATATACTCATGTTTTCCAAAAGCCAAACAATACTTGTACTCAAATTCCAAAAGTGGAAGAGCAAGTCCTTGTGCATGGAGCGCAGCTGAAGTTTGAAATTGGTCGCCATCCTTAGAATTTTTGAACAAATTGTATTTATTCAACGCATCCTCAGAGGTGAACACCCTAGTATTTTGTGAGAAAAAGGAATCTATAAAGATAAACTCTCTTGAAAAACTCAATGGCTCAATAATATCAGTGACCAGACTCGTTATCTGTAGCTTTTCACTCTCAGTAAATTCTTCCTTCTTGCTAAAAGTATCAATGGACATCTCCACTAACGAAAACTTTGAATTGAGATTTGAGGTATCCTCACCTGTGTTAGTTTTGGATGTTGCTTCCATTTTTGGTATATAAACCATTTGCCATTATTACCAGGGTAGGGTGGGATGCCTTATTTAAGCTGGTGCCATAAGTCATTCATTAGAGAAAAGATCATGTTAATATTACCTTTTAGGACTAACAGTATACTCTGGTTAGCTTAATATACATATACGAGAATACTTTATACTTTAAAGTCGTATACTCAACCGTAATTTTTACCCTTCATCACAACTCTGAAGGTCTTTTTTACTTATCATACTATCGAATGGATTTTTTCTTGAACACAGATCTATACCACCTTCGTATTAGGAATCTATACCACCTTCGTATTAGGAATGATGATTACACAAATCACATGCATCGTCGAACAGATTATTCCTTTGTAAAAATATTTCCACTAGAATACGCCAAGACCTACGTAATCTTTTCATTTAGTCGTCGTACCTAGAGATCATGTAATACCTAAAACCTAAGCCTCCCCCAAAAAAAGATATTATATTCCACGCGCACCCCACGATTTTCCACCTACCTTGCAAGAAATATCTTAAGTCCGTTGATTATTAAGACAGAGGAAAGGAATATTATTTACAAGCTTCACCTATTTCTGACGAAGAATAACTGGCATAGTATCCAGAGTAGATGAAATAATTTTAATACTTTGATCATTGCTCAGTATACTAGTATGTTCAACTATAGGCTATATCTCTCAATTTCTATATGACATCTATACTTTATGGACCCTTTGATGATAATGATCTTATATCCGGCGTTCGCTCAGAAAACGAAGACGGAAACTTAAACTCTCTGTTAAGCGGAATTCTAGGCTCCCTTATATGCATTCCCAGACTAGATACCAGGAAATCCCTATTACTGGCATAATCATCAATCACGAGGAGTCATGCTCTCGTGATGGTATAGTTGAGTGGTACTGGCGCCGAGAAATGAGAGACTTGATTAAAAGAGAGAGATCGATCATCGACTACTACTGTTAAGATACCAGTGGTTATTAAAGCTAATTATGAATACACAATTGTTTATATACAGAATTGTAACCTCAGTCAACTAACACTCTCAAAACGCGAAATAATCTGCATTTGGCAGTTTTCCCAGCAAACAATCCGTCCCGAAAAGGCAGGGTGGAGTCTCTTGCCACCACGAGTGCGGATTTAACCTCTCGGCCGTAACACCATTTTGCAACCATTCAGTTTCTATTAGTCAAATGAACGGATATTGAATAAGAGGCTCTCGGCCGGGACCACACTTTGCAGCCATAAATAGGGCAACAATTCTCTCAAGTTCAAATGGTTTTCAAATCAAAAACATTCAACTGAATATGTCTGATACAAACTTGCAAAAAAAGCCATCCATCTTAATTGCTGGACCAAATGGAAGCGTGGGAAAACACGTTGTAAACGCAATTATACAGAATAGAGATCTGTTTTCACAACTTGCAATTATAACGAAAGAAGATGGCCCAAAGTATGATCACTTGAGAAACAAAGGGTTTGAAATTGTCCTTAATGAAGAAGGCGTGAAACTTGAAGGATTCGATATTTTTTTTATTGCATTGAGTTTTGAAGCAGTCCAATTAGAGATGGAATTAATTGAGTTGGCTATCAAGTCTGGTATCAAAACAATTTACCCTTCAGAATTTGGACTTGACATTGACAGTATTGAACTTACTCCTCTCAATGAGCCAAGAAAAAATATTAGACAATTCTTGAGACAAAAGCACAGTGAGGGAGTAGTTGATTATGTTTTTGTTGTTGCAAATGCGTTTTTAGATTGGGGACTTGATTTTGGTTTTTGGGGATATGATTTAACAAAGCACGAAGCAACTATCTACAACGGCGGCAATTATGACATCAGTTGGACTTTCATTGAAGACCTTGGACAACTGATTGTTAGATCATTTTTGGATGATAGCACAAGGAATACGGTTCTTAATCTTTCCACGATCAGCGCTAGTCAAAATGATATTTTGAGAGAGTTTGAAGTTCAAATAGGCTCTACATGGAAGCGTGTAGATGTCAGCTCTGATTCCTTGAGTGGTTCTGAGGAGCTTTTGGAAAAAGGTGACTTCTTTGGTGCGTTGCAATTAGTCTTGCATGCACTTTCTTTTAACAGAACCATTAATGATAAATTCAATGGCTTGCCAGTAAAACGCTATCCTAACTTGAAGCTTCATACCTTACAAGAAGTTATTACTTCAGTCTTGAGTTCTACTAAAAAATAGTTGTTACTTTGTAATGTATAAAAATATATATTTTTCAAATCTATTTTCCATTTAAAAATCCCCCTTGTTTACAAAGGGAGTAGAATAAACTACCCTCGTTCTTTAGTAAATTTTCCGGTGTATCATATTCGGCGACAGTCCCTTTGTCTAATACCACAATACGATCGCTATCTAAAATAGTGTTCAATCTGTGCGCGATTGTAATAATAGTTCTATTCAGAAATTCCCTCCTAATAGTTGTTTGAAGAACACTATCAGTTTCAACGTCAACTGCTGCAGTTGCTTCATCTAAAACTAAAATCGGAGACTGTATTAATAAAGCTCTAGCAAGACACATCAACTGCCTTTGACCTACTGATAAGTTTGAGCCACCTTCAGATAAGGGTACTTCAAGAGCAGAATCAATTTTTGATGATTCGTTATTATCGCTTATATCTTCAAACATCTTCAAGACGTGATCTTTGAGATGTGAAAGTTCCAATGCCTTCCAGATTTTCTCGTCTGTGTATGCATCAGTAGGATCTAAATTACTTCGAACAGTTCCTTGGAATACTTGCGAATCTTGCGGAATGATGGACAAGTGTCGTCTTAAATCAGACAACCCAATTTTGTTTACGTTCACCAGATCAATATCAATTTCTCCACCAAATGCTTCAATTATACGGAAGAGTGCAATAGTTAAGGATGACTTCCCAGCACCAGTTCTACCCACAATTCCAATCTTCTCATTTGAGTTGATGCTCAAATTGATATTTTTTAGTACAAGTTCAAGATCAGGTCTATACTTGGTGGAGTAGTCTTTAAATATAATTTTTCCCGACTCTGGCCAAGTGATCGGAGGTCTATTACTTGGAATTATTTCAGGTGCTTCGGGTGTCAACGACGAGTACTCTAGAATTCTTTCGACCGAAACGATATTGGTTTCTACTTCAACTGTCATTCTAACAATTGTTCCGAGTGAATTAGTTATTTGGAGGGCATACGAGACTGACAAACCCACAATACCAGCAGTGAGACCACCAGATCTCAATAATAGTATTGACAATGCCGAGGCTGCAAAAATAATTATTGAACCAATAAATTCTAATCTTACAGCTAACCATCTATTAGCATTGATGGCCGGATTAAATGCTCTCATATTTTTGTCAATCAGCGATTGATTAATCTGTTTGAATCTTTCTTGCTGGTTATAAGCTCTGATTATAGAAACACCGTTCAATGATTCCTGGAAATTAGAAAATATAGGAGATCTGGAAACGGAATCCAACCTTCTCAATTCTCGGGATGTACGGAGATAATATTGCTGATAATGAGTATATAACAATACTAGAGGCACGACTAGGAAAATAAAGGGCCAAGTCGACACACAAATAACAATGACGGTAAAGAAAACCTTGAGCAAATTAGTGAAAAATAACCCAAATACTCTACCCATTTGTTCGTCAATTTTGTAAACATCGTTCGAAAACCTGTTAAGAATACGGCCGATTGGCGTTGTTTCAAAGAAAGACATTGGAGCTCTCATAACGCTAATTGCCATATCTCTATGGAGCACTTTAGATCCTTGGATCGTAGAGTAGATCCAAAGAATACACATCTGTGCTAACGAGAGCAATGATGAAGAAACACCCAAAGCTACGTAAATTCCTAAGTACCAAATAACATTTGGATTGAACCCATATTCCGTATTAACCTCTGACCAATGTTTTAACCAAACGTTGGAAAGAACCGAAACTAAAATTGATAGCATTGTAGCAAGGATAAATAAAAGAGCAGATTTTGGATTACATGCTTTAATATAGGCTAGGTAAACATCCCATTTCACCTTCCCTTGCTCAACATGTTCCCGTCTTCTATGAGATTCTCCAGATTCTTCGACATCAACTTGATCACTATCACCATCATCTTCATCTTCATCTTCATCACGAATTAAAGATACTTCCGATCCTCTCCTTGACCTGAAACCAACAGGAATTTCGATAGAGCTGAAACTAGACGTTGAAGTTGAGGTTGATACGCCTTCAGTATCTTCAGAATTATTTTGACCAAATTCAGATATCAATTGCGATAATGGCGTATCCTTTCTAAGAGAGATGTCAGAAAATTTGCCTTGTTGAATAATACTCCCATTACTAACCAAGTTGATACTGTTAGATATTCCAAGAATTTTGATGTTGTTGGTAGCTAAAATTCTGCATTTTGTTTTTAATAATCCATGTGGACCAAGGACGTGATCTGTGATATGTTTTCCAACGTGTTCATCAACTGCGCTTAATGTATCGTCCAACACATACACATCAGAACCGGAGTATACAGCTCTCGCTAATGCTACCCTAGCCTTTTGACCCCCCGATAGGGATATTCCCTTCTCGCCAACTTCTGTCTTATCTCCGTCAGTTAACATGAGCAAATCAGAATTCAATGCACATGCCGCCAACACTTCTTGATAATACTTAGGATCATATTTGTGACCAAATAAAATATTCTCTCTAACAGTTCCATTCATGATCCAAGGAACTTGTGAAACATATGCAACTTTTCCGTGAACATTAACAGTACCAGAATCTTTATGTAAATCACCAAGAATGGCCTGAATTACTGCTGATTTTCCGGATCCTACCCTCCCAACTATACAGTCAAGACTACCTTTCTTAGATTCAAAATTAATATTTTTTAAGGCAACATTACTCGATCCAGAATTTTGTTTTCTTTCTGACCACAAGAAAGTACCATTGGAAATCAGAACTGCAACATCACCTATCTTTGCAGCTCTTGGATGTTTGATTACTGAATCCTGTTGTAATTCTTTAGCATTCAAAAATTCTGTAATTCTTTTAATTGCAACTTGTGATTCAGCAATGTTCGAAACAACAAGTGGGAGAACGGATAACGGCAAGTTCAATAAGTTAAATAAAGATAATGCTGGGAAAACGATATCAGTCAGCAATGTTCTTTTATTACCCTCAAATAAGATAAAGATTCCAAACGTTGAACAACTAACAAGAAATGGAGATAAAGTTGCTGCAAACACTGAAACAGCGGAAAGTACACCAATAGTTTTTAAATTTTTCAATTCTTTTTCGTTTCTCACATAGTTAAGTTTACTTAAATATGGGGCTTCCCAATTATAAAACTTCAAGGATTTCATATTGTTAAGAATTTCACTAACAAGACTAGATCTTTCATCTTTGATCTTCATTTGTTTAGTTTGCATCTGTTTCTGTCTTCTAGCAATTTGAGAATTGATGGGAATCAAAACAATCATCACGAGAAGAGCCACCCAAACCAGTGATCCCAATAGATTGTAGAGTGAAATCAAACATAAAGCAATTTGGAATGGCCCCGACCAGGCGATTTGGATATTTTGAACTAAATCTTGAAGTCTTTGGACATCAACTGCCATAAGATTCACAATGTCTCCAGTACTTGAATTTTGTCTGGCTTCACCCGAGAGATTTAATGCCTTTGCATAAATGACTGCAGTTAATGAAGTTCTAATTTTCATTCCCAAATCAAATGATCTATGATAATATTGATGAGCACATACAGTTTGAGATGCTGACACTGCAAACATGGCAACAGATATCATAAATCCCTTATTAAGGGAAACTGGGGGTAAATCAGGATTCTTTAATGTTTCAGAGTACTCATTTACAAATTTGATTAACAACCTGAGCAACTGCGGCTGAACGAACCCAAGAACATCCATAACCACTTTGAAAGCACTCCCTTCTAATACCCTGGACCCAAATGCTCGCGTAATAGCATAAAAAAGAGTTGGAGCACCTCTCTTTTTAGAATTCCACTTTTCTCTGAATGCAGTTGCAGTAACTGAAGATTTAATTTCATTAGGTAAGGGGGGTAAATCATCTTGTGTCAAGTACATCGAATAACCCTTCTTCATCAATCCATCCATCCAAGTGAAAGTGAGACGTGCAAATATATTTGCAGTGTCAAAGGGGGAGCGTTTCTTACGAGTTTGTCCAATAGGAGGCACCATGGGGAAATATAACTCTGCGAGCAAGATAACGGATGCATTGACCAAAGTCAAAATGGAAAGTATCGCTACGTGGGTATGAATCTTACCTCTAAGAGTAAATCCAAGGACATTTCCAAGACGTAAGATGATTTGCCAAAGCCAATAGAACAAAACAACGCCACTAGAAACAGTAGATGTGAACTGTTGTACGTAATGCACAGTAAGAATAGAAAATCCAGCTATTAATTCCAACACCAGTGCAAAGCGGATACTATCATTTGATGTCGTCAAAAACACAAGGAGAACGTATAGAAACAATTGGAACAACACTAATCCTAATTTAGTGTGGAAGGACCAATCGATTTTATTGGGAACAAGGCTTTTTCTATTCTTTAAAAGAATACGAGTCTGAGTTAAGGCAGCACCAATTACTATGAAGGCAGCAATGGAGCCTGCAAACCCTTGGAGAAAACATGGAGTAAAGTCTGCATACTTGGCAGAAATTGGGCCCCATCCTTCCTTATTTGAGCAACCTAAATAACAGGTCTTATTTGGTAAAATAGTTTCATTAACAGATGAAGTAGAGCTGAGGGGGGTCACAAAAGCTCCTTCAGTTTCAACAAACGGAATCTGGAATCTACCTACAGTTGTCGGGTCACTAATAGGTTGATTCATAGTATATCCTTCTGCTTGGAGAGTACTATCTAGTTCTGTAATGTGTACATGGAATAATGAATGAATTAAGATACAAGGCGAAGTTTAACCTCCCCTATATATTGACATATCAATTGTGCAGGCATGCATCATTTCGCAGCGTGCTCGGAAAAAATGGGATAAAATATATATTTAAACTACTAAGGTCGGGCCGACATTTTCGGATAATCTTCATTCTTGTACCATTCAGAACACTCTAGTTGCTTTAGTCTATTGAGTATACTGAACCTATTCATTCCTTATCAAGATAATGCCATCTTTCTATCTGTCTTCCATAGTATTTAAGAGTACTTCGGTCTCCAACCCCATCCGCCCCAAGTAATGCACCTTTCACTGCATCCCATTGCTTGTAGGTAATCTTGTCCCATTCTGGACGTTCATGTAAACCAACTTTTTTCAACTTACTGGATGCTAATGTAGTTGGGTGGATAACTGTGTCTTCGAGTGGATTGATGAAGTCTATAAGAACCAATCTTTCATAACCAAGTTGTTTGGCTGGAGGCAACAGTACTCGATGCATACTGGCCTTGAAATACCCACCTGTCAAAAACTCAAGGGCATCACCAATATTACAAACGAGTGAGTTTGGTCTGTAATCAACATACTTCCACTCTCCTGATTCATAATCCAGTATTTGAAGTGAAAGAATTGGTTGTGACGTGATGATAGAGAAAGCAGAAATATCAGAGTGTCCTCTGAGCCATGTCCCATCGACTTTTGAAGCTTCATTCTCTGTCAATGGATGGTACAACATAAATCTTCCATGTCCTCCTGAAGAGGTTGTCACAGAATCTGTCAATGAGAAGTACTTTCCATATAAAGTTCCTTCTGGGATTTCTAAAATTATGTCACATAAGGTTAAAACCTTCCGTAAAACCACTTCATGAACATACTTGTAATAGGCATTGACTTCCTTTTGATAAGCCAGAAATACCTCTGGGTAGATCCCTTCGCTGTTCTTTTTGGCGAATACTGCTTCCAATTTGGCATCTCTGAAATTGAAGTGATCAATGGAGTCTCTCACACTATCTTTCATTTTCCAGAACCCTTTAGGTTTGTAACCCTCTCCTCTTTCAGCACCAAGTCCCTTCTTCTTATTTTCTAAATCTTCTTCTGCAGTTGGTGCCCCAGAGTGATACTTTCTCTTTTCTTCATCGGGCAATTTAAGTAAACTCTGAGCAACCGCCTTGAGGTGTTCTAGCTTTTCAAGGTCATAGCCGTAATTAACAACATTGAAAAACCCAGAAGTGGTTATTGTCTTTTCGAGTTGGTCTGCAAGTTTCTGACGAGATAAGGAGCCTTCTGGATAGTCTTCAAATTTACTCAAATCGATTGCATCTAGTTTAATAACAGTATTGTCGTTTGTGGTGTCAATAACTGGCGCCTCTACAAAGGGCCTAACATCGTACTTATGGTCAAGTTCTGACACAGTCATAGCTTCTAATTGAATATAGTGATGAGGGAAAAACCTTGACTGCCAATCATCATCTTTTATATTTCGAAACTGTGGCTGCAATATATTTCAAGTGGTTGCGAAAATTCTCGAGACGGCGCACAATTAGCTGCATAGATTTACTGTATGTCTTTCTATCAACTACATGGCATCGGCTGATGTTCAAAGTCATTATTTGTCATATTGATACTAAAAGAAACTTGGAAACTCTACGATATTCCCACATTAAGCTGAAAGTCTACTTCTTCTATCATAATGCCTCATATCTTTGTATTGTATTTTGAGAATTCACACAGTCAAAAAAAAAACATGGATCCCACTTGAAGAGATTTATTCAAAGCTGACAATTCTCGGCTATGACTCCTATTATGGGACTTACAGAATTAGATAGATGTATTAGATGGGGATGCATGAAAATTTATAAATTTTCCTGTAAGTTTTGGGGAAATCTCTGTGGTAATATTGAATGGAAGTAGTAGTCTTTTAATTTTAAAGAGATTTATTTTTGATACAGGTACCATCCGCTTCAAATCCATCAGATATTGAAGTTATATCTAGAGTGAGTCGTTGTCATTCCTTTATTGTTCTTTTTCTTCACGCCTAACGATTTCCCTCTACGGAAGAGTATACCCATCTATATCAAATCTCTTTGCAATGCGAGTCGGTCATCATATCCGCTAAGTAAATATATCCCGTTTTTTCATATTCTCTTTCAAAGCAGGTCAATATACCACTATATGCTACCCCACGAGTGGTGAGGCATTTAGTAATCATAATGTGGATATTGACGTACCCCAGATACATACATAAATTGTTTTCACGTATATGCAAGTAACCCGCATTGACTTGATATTAGAAATTGCGGCATATCTTTTTCTTCATAAAAAAAGCTTCACACTAGTATCAGATCTTAAAATCATTCTATTGCAACTTATATATATATATTTACATTAAGTAGGGAATATTCTATAGAGGACTGAATACGCATTATATCAAAACTGTTCCTATTGAATATGAACAAAATCAATTACATCATGAGCTGAATTTCTAGAACGATGTCTCTTGGATTTTACAGATTTAGAATAATCTGCATGAGGGTAAATTGGGATGTACCTCTTTCGAGGCAATTATTATTTACACTCCATGAAGAATTCATTGCCTAATACATGTCAAATGACTCATATGTGGCTAGCAAATTAATATATTGCAAATACACGGCAATACTGAATTCGCAATTTCGGCATTTTACAAGTTGAAAATAACACTTGAGGTAGGATATTAAGAAATAAAGGAATAATGAAATATTTTCTTATGAATTAGTTATTAAAAACCCGGTGACATACCACATTACAAAAATATTCTGTTAGGCTGTCGATGTAATGCTAAGTAAAGAAAGTTTTACGACCAATACCAATGTTTCATTTTAAAATTATGTGGCTCATTTCGGCTAAAATTTGATATATGTGGATGCCTCTTTGCCGCTAAAATCACATATGTATACAGGCTTACCCGCTAATGACATTCTTTGTAGCTACGAGATGATGAAGTTAGTTGCTTGGAATAAGTTCCACTCTATCTGACTTTAGGACAATGAATGAATCAGTATGCGTTGAAATTATTAAAGCCAAGAAAAATGGAAGTTTGATGCATAACGTTGAATTTCATTTAGTGCGGCCCTTCACCGGGGCCTTCATGATTTTCCCGAGAAATAAACAGTGTGTCGCATTCAATTTTTTGCAAGAGGTTGCAAAATAACATACGCCACACCACATAATAAGTTGCTGCCTCACTTATATAAAATACTTTGATAAATAGGTAGTTAATGATCCACACTTATATATATATATGGTATGACCCACCGTCATATACTCATATTTTAGGATCAGCAATACGTTCAATTTGGAAATGAAACAAGTGGAAAGCGTTGCTGGCGAGAAAGCCGTAGATGTCCAAGTTGATCATGACTCGTATACCGCTAGTGAAAGTGAACTGAAACTAAGTGGGTGGGAAAGGTTTAAGGACTCGTTTAGACGTCAAGACCAGGGGTACGAGGACCTCGACCCCGATTTATCTGACGTAGAAAGGGCAGCGATTTTGACAGCAAGGGCCCCACTTTCTCGTACATTGCAGGGCAGACATTTGCAAATGATCGCTATTGGAGGCTCTATAGGAACTGGTTTATTTGTGGGTGCAGGTAGTAAATTGAGCACTGGGGGTCCAGCGGGAGTTTTGATTGCTTATTCCTTAATTGGATCCTTGACTTATGTTACTTGCCAGGCGGTTGGTGAGCTTACGGTAACTTTTCCTGTTGCAGGTGCCTATATCACCTTTCCTACCCGTTTTATTGACCCCTCTTGGGGATTTGCTATGTCATGGAATGTGGCGATGTCTTGTCTCATTGGATTCCCTCTAGAACTTGTGGCCGCTTCGATGACAATTCGTTACTGGAATCCAGATGTAAATCCAGCTGCCATCATTGTGGTGTTTTATGTCTTCATTTGTTCGATTAACTTCTTTGGGGTTAAAGGTTATGGAGAGGCAGAATTTGTTTTCTCTTCGATTAAAATCACTGCTATCATCGGATTCATATTATTTGGAATCATTGTTGTCTGCGGGGGTGGCCCAAGTCACGAATACCTTGGTGCACGTTATTTTCATGATCCCGGGGCATTCGCAAATGGATTTAAAGGAGTTTGTGCAGTTTTTGTATCTGCTGCATATTCCTTTGCTGGAACAGAAGCAGTAGGGTTGGTAGCTGCAGAAACTGAAAATCCAAGAAAAACTATTCCCAAGGCTACTAAGCAAGTATTCTGGAGAGTATTGTTGTTCTACATAATTTCATTGTTGATGGTTGGATTATTGGTCCCTTACACCGATCCTAGATTGTTGTCTGGTAGCAGTTTTGTGGATGCTAAAGCTTCTCCATTCGTTTTGGCCATAGTAGATGCTGGGGTCAAGGGATTACCATCTGTTATAAATGCTGTTATCTTAGTTGCAGTTCTTTCAGTGGGAAATGCTGACATCTTTATTGCTAGTAGAGTTCTTTCTGCTCTTGCTGCTGCTAATCATGCACCAAAGATTTTTGGTTATATCGATAAGAATGGGCGTCCATTGTTTGGTATTATTGCTGCAAGTCTCACGGGTGCGTTATGTTTTCTTGTTGGTACTGGTAAAGATATGACAATTTTCAATTGGTTATTATCTGTGTCTGGGCTCAGTGCCTTATTCAACTGGGGTTCAATTTGTTTATGCCATATTCGTGTAAGACGTGCATTGAAAAGTCAAGGAAGAAGTACCGATGAGTTGGCGTTCACTGCACAAACTGGGGAATATGGATCCTATTATGGTATTATATTATGTATTTTGGTTATTATAGCTCAGTTCTGGGTTGCCCTTTTTCCTATTGGTGGTAAGCCAAATGCTGCAGACTTCTTTATGGCTTATTTGTCATTCCCAATTGTTTTATTCTTCTATGTTTCACACAAGATCTGGCATAAGAATTGGAGATTATACATCCGGGCTAAAGACATAGATGTTGATACGGGTAGAAGAGATACAGATTTTGATTTATTGAAACAAGAGCTCGCTGAGGAAAGAAAAGAGCTTTCTCAAAGATCCTTTTTATATAGAACTTGGAATTTTTGGTGTTAGTTTAGTAAATACATTCACGTACAATTTAAAATATGTAGTAAGTTATAAATAAGATTACAATTTATCGAATCTCTCACTTGCTCCCTTCCAATTGATAACATTCCAAATAGCCTTGAAGTAGTCAAGCTTGACATTCTGATACTGTAAATAGTAAGCATGTTCCCAAGCATCAATGGCAAGCAAGGGAACTAAGTCGCCAGTAACAGTATCTTGATTGTATGTGGTGACTACATCCAATGTACCGCCATTCTGCTTGTTCTTGACGAGGAATGCCCAGCCAGATCCTTGAATACCTGCAAGCTTAGAGTTCACAACACTAATCAAGTTATCGACAGATCCATACTGTTCAACAATTTTTTTCCCGAGAGCAGAGTTAGGGTCAGGATGCTTACCTCCATGTTGCGAAGTTGGGGACAAACTTTTCCAGAACAAGACATGATTGGTGTGGCCACCACCATGAAACTTGATGTTTTGCTGAATTTCGATGGTTTTCTTGACATCAGCTTTTGCTTCCGCTTCAACCAATTGCTCAATTGCAGCGTTATACCCATTGACATAAACTTGGTGATGTTTGGAATGATGGATTTCATTTATCTTTCCTGAAATGTGAGGTTCCAAAGCATCGTAACTCCAATCTAATTTGGGTAATTCAATCTTACTTCTTGTAGCGTTAAAAGACATTGTTCAATAATTAATTTAATAGTTTATAATATTAAGGGAAAACTATTTCAATAAAAATGTTTTTCAATTGATATGGGGGGTTGTGCCTCCAATTTATAGATTGAGCTATTTACCTCAGAGGTTATCGGTGTGGAGACAAACTGTGGTGGGATTGGATTTTCAGAAATTTATCGCGTTGCCACATAAAAGTACCATTTTAACCTGGACTAGGGCAATATTACATCAGACTGATTTGTGACTCATATTCCATAGGTAATTGGAGTTTATTGGTCACTTTGTATGTCTATCTTGTAATAGCGCTTGTTAATAATATGCTCGTTTTCGCGATTAATATGCTCATATTTATTAAAGAGCACGGTTCATTACTAATTTTGATTAGAAATACTCCGATATAATCTCACACGCAAAGTATACTAAATGTGTGTACTTAACCCACATTTCAAATAGTATATAAACGTTATTTACATCTGGGGTCAATATTTGCAGCCATTGAAATTTATGCGATTTTTTATTTTTCACTCTATTAAATACCTTATAATAATTTAGAATACCCCACATTCTCTTATGGGTTTATCAAGTCAACTTCACTTGGTTTAACAAAACTGGTCTTATGCCATATTTTATATCCAATAATCAATACCACATTTGCCACAATCCCAACATAAGAAGTGATGAAGAGTTTGTAATTAAACTTGTGAATAAATGCACTATACCCATTGAAAATAGTAACAATTGAAATGAGAAAAAGGGCCACATAGGTACTATATGGTTGCCACCACATTCTAAAAGGAATATCATCTCGAGGAACATGTTGCTCCACGATAGCCCTATAGTATCCAATATATGCCACCAATATATAGATCCAATTGATAACTCCAAAAATTGAAACAGTACTGGTAATATATCCAAAAACTTCAGAGGCTGTATCCTTTTCATTTAAATAGGCCAATGAACCAAATATTGCCGCAAATAAACATCCAATAAATGGAACACCATATTTGTTTAATTTCAAGAAAATTCTTGGTGCTGCGCCATCTTGTGCCAATCCGTATAATTGACGAGAACAAATATAAAGATCAGTATTTGCTGAACTTGCAATGAAAATCAACAAACAAGCATTAATGAAAGAGGGAAGAATTTCAATTCCAGATGATTTTATAGCAATTACAAATGGTGAGGCATTTGCATTAGTGCCACCAGCTTTCACTAACAAGGGGTTTTGAGGCGAGACCGCCAACCCTAATAGAAATACACCCAATATATAGATAAATGCAATTCTAAAGATAACTTGTCTTGAAGATTTGGGAATAGTTTCACGGGGATTTGGAGCTTCTCCGAAAACTATACCAACCATCTCGGAACCAATGAATCCGAAAAGTGATTGGATCACACATGCCCACCATCCTAAAAATTTACCAGTACTTCCCTTTACAAGGTAGGGCAAGAATGGAGTCTCTCTCCAAAACCTAAATCCAATAGTTTCATGATTTGGGGCTCCCCCACTTGTAATAACAATACAAACGATGAAAATGATTGCTAATACCAACAATTTTGCTGCTGCTAGCCAATACTCTAGCTCCCCATAAAATCGTACACTCAAATAATTGGAAGCTATTACAAGTACATATAGAATAGAGATCCAAATTCCAATGTTTAGATCATCTCTCCAATATTCTATAACCAATCCGGCAGCTGTCAAGTTTGCCGACAATACTACAGCATATTTAAGAAAGTAATTCCAGCCTGCAGCAAATCCAATTGCAGGGTCAACATATTTTGTACAATATCCACTGAACCCTTTCTGCATGGGGAGGAAACTGGCCATTTCGGCCAATGAATAAATAACGACTAATAGTAAGGATCCAGTAAAAATATATGCAAGAAAAATGCTTACAGTTCCTCCTCGCTTAAGAGCAGTTCCAGAGCCAATAATTAACCCCGTTCCAATGGCCAGTGCCAAAGTTAGCATGGTAACATGTCTTTGCTTAAAGTCACGCTTGAGATTACCCCCATTAGGCAGGTCAACCTCGTCGGGAATTTCTGTCGCCGAGATTAACTCATCGTAATTCTTTCTAATTGGGTCAGATTCTTTCATCATAATTCACACATTTAATTCAATCTTTGTATCTACAAAGTGATATAAAAATATTTATGGATTGTGTTGCAAATTTTTTAGCCACTGAATTACACGTGCACCACAGTGATGTGGAGTTCTCAACTGTGGATACATAAGGTGTCATCATCGTACGTGAGATGAGAACTTCTAACGAAAGAACTAAAGTGGCATAAATACGAGACTATACGTAGCCTCGGTCCCCATATTCTTTGATATCATTGAGATAGCCGGATTTAAGTTACGTTACATATCTTAAAGTATATGCGGCGTTATATTCAACCGCCAAATTTCTTTTTTATTATTAAATAATATTCTTTTAGATCTCATACAGCAAAGAACATATGCCAAAATATGGTTTGAAATTCTAGGGAAAGACTCTCAACAAGACTCCCAGTACCCTAGCTTAGAGTAGTATAACCTGGTGTTCATAGCTGGATAAACCTGGTTGACTAGATAAACTGGTCTAAATTTAGCTTTACTCTAATGAATGCCGCGCATAGTTCGCCCGTTTAAGAAATATCTGATTATTTTTCATCGATTGAGAAGAATTATATTCGATTGCGTCATATCTTGTTCCTGAAATAGTAGCAATTTAGTGTGCGAAAACGCTTGTGCAGGGTCTAGTCTCTTGCTGTGGCTCTGTGTAAAGCGACTCAATTATGCAAGTTTTTGGAAGATAAATGTGTTACCAATGTATATATAGTCTCCATTATTGAACACTGTTATTGAATCCCACTAAACTAAAAAGTAAACCATGTCCGATATAAGAAGACTGCAAACGAATAACAGTTCGTCCTCCTCCCCAGTGGAGTATGTTGATGTAAAGCACCCGTACAAAGACGAATCTGATGATTATGATCCTGATGACTTTGTCCAGGCCATTGTCTTGGAAGAATCTGAACATCAAATCAACTATAGAAACTGTTCATGGCAGAAGACAGCAGGACTCCTCTTCTCCGAGTATATCTGTCTTGCCATCATGTCTTTCCCTTGGTCTTATTCGGTCTTAGGTCTTATTCCTGGCTTAATATTGACTGTCTTTGTCGCCCTTACGGTACTTTACACTGGGTTAATCATCACCGACTATTGTGCCGCTTACCCCCATGTGACCAATGTCTGTGATATTGGGCAACATTTGTTTTGGAACAATAAGTGGGTCTGGTATGCCACTGCAGCTTGTTTCTTACTTAACAACACTTTAATTCAAGCTTTGCATGTTTTGGTTGGTGCAAAGTATTTCAATACAATTTCCGATAATACTACCATTTGCTCGGTTGTATTTGCAGTTGTTACTACTGTGCTTTGCTTTTTACTTTCTCTTCCTCGTACATTTTCATCAATGAGTATTATCGCATACATTTCAGCCATCACCATGTTCATTGCCGTGGTATTGTCTATGGCCTTTGCTGGAGTCCAAGAACACCCTAATGGATATGAAAAGCTTCATGAAGAAGTTGTATGGCACTTATGGCCAAAGAAGGGCACCACATACGTGGATGCCATGTCTGCATTCTTAAATATTGTCTACACTTTTGTTGGACAAATCACTTATCCTTCGTTTATTTCTCAGATGAAGAAACCAAAGGAATTTAAGAAGGCTTTATACATTGTAACTCTTTGTGAATTGATTACATTTTCCTTGGCTGGCTCCATTGTGTATGTGTATGTTGGTAACTCCTACATCACTGCACCTGCCTTCGGGTCGCTTACAGGGAACTATAAGAAGATTGCTTTCTCCTTTGCATTACCAACCATTTTGTTTTTGGGCTCATTGTATGGAAATGTGTCCTCACAATTTTTCTTTTTGAAGATGTTCCCAAAAGATTCTGAACATAGAAATAGCCATACTGTATGGGGTTGGACTGTATGGGCTGGCTTAAACTTAGCGTCTTGGTTGCTTGCCTTTGTCGTTGCTGAAGTTATCCCATTCTTTTCTGACTTGCTTTCCTTGATGAGTTCCTTGTTTGACTGTTGGTTTGGGTTTGTATTCTGGGGTGTTGCTTATTTCAAGTTGCGTAGATTACATTATAAAAACAATGGACAAGACAATGTCCCCTTGACTCAAATATTTACCGATGCAGGTATTATTGGTAAACTCGAATTCATCATTAATGTATTCTTGATTGCAGTTGGGATATATATTCTTGGACCCGGGTTGTATGCATCCATACAAAGTATTGTTTGGTCGTACCAATCAAACCTTTATGGAAATCCATTTACATGTATAAGTAATGGTATTTAGACTTCATATTAATATTATAATTTATGGCTTGGTTTATAGTAGTTTCTAACTCCAGTTTCTCTTGTATATATATAAATCTATACTAAACTTTCTCTTCCTTTTTTTTTTTATATCTTCCTGGTTTCCACTTTTCCTCCATTTTCCTGTTCCACTTTAGGTTTCGTCTTTTCTTCGACTTTTGGCACAGTCTCTCCTTCAACTTTAGCTTCATCTGCAACCACCTTCTTCTTTCCAATCAAGTCTAGATCACAAATTTCTTTCCTATCGACCTCAAACTGTTCATACAATGTATTCCAGTACTCACTAGCGGCGCAATCGAAAACCAACGTTGGCGTTTTGTCCGGAGGATACAAACTTAATCTCTTTGTATCGGATCTGCAAACAACAAGACTCTTCAAATAAGAGGCATCCGTTTCCCTAACATTCCAAGGTTTTGGCACTGGTGAATCTGAAAAATGAACTAGCTTTATATTCTCCCAAACTCTTTTAGATTCAGCATTCTCTTTCCTTTGTTTTATTTCTTCCTCCTTCTTTTTTTGCTCGTCCCCTGCTTCATCTCTTTTCATCTTCTCAGAAACACTTACAGCTCCCTTTTTTAATTCTTCTGCAAGTTTCTTTTCTGCTTCTTTATACTCTCTCATAGCTTGCTTACCAGCAAAGCATTCAAAATCAATTGGATCCATTTCAATTATCCGAAATTGTTTAAATCTAAAGTTCCCACTTAAAATCCCATATTGACTATGAGGAAGAATTAACAACGTTGGTTGTTCCAACAGCAGTCCATCTGGCAATTGATTCCCCTCCCTTATGATGTTTGCCAAGGAGAATTCGTCATTAATAAGATCCATATCATAATCATTGGATTTCTTCAGCATAGCCCGTTGAACTAAAGAATTGAATACTCTTGTGCTCGGTTTAATAACCATGAAATGACTACCGAAAAAATATCCATCAACAACCTTCTCATACTCCAAGTATGGAAGTCTATTATGCACCAATCTTGCGTATTGCTTGTCGGTTATTTCAATCCCCTTATCTACTGCATCCAATTTAGCATCTCGGATAATTGTGGCCTCATAGTCTTGCTTTTCTTGGGCGGACTTCCCCTCACATACTGAATACTTCTTTTCAAGTTTATCATTAGGGAATTCCTTTTTAATTCTTTTGCTTAATTTCCCAAATGCTTCTTCATAGGCTAATGGTAATATCACATCAGCATCTGGCATGAAAAATAATTCGTCCATATTTTGCAACACAGTTGCGTCACTATCAAAATACACCACACGTTCATAATCGATCAATTCGAAAACGCGAAACTTTGTAAAACTACTGCTCCATTTTGGATCATCTCCATCAATATAGATATCAGAAACCATCTTAACTTCTATATTCAACTCTTCTATCACCTTTTTCATTCTAGGGACAAAGTTGTGAACTGCTGTTGGTGTGGAAACTAAAACTAATCTGGCTTTAACATTGTACTGGCGAAGTTTTGCAAAGTTCATCAAGGCATTACATGAGTAGTCCAAACTAGTTGCATATTGCACATATGCATATTTTTCCCAATTTAATTCCCCTCCTGCGATTTCTTGTAAATGTCTAGTAACTGACGGTGGGATGTATCTTATGTGTCTACGGCTATATTGCACTTCCTTATTGATCAATTTTTCTTCCAATTCCTGTTGTGATAATACCACTTGATCGATCAGAATACTATGACCTTTCTCGAAATATTTGTTGGTATTGGTGTATATTTCTTGGAATGCAGACCCGTCACCTGCAGAAATAATAATGAAAAGCCCCGTTAAGCCCAATATGGACAAGATTAGAAGCACCTGCTTCGGGTATATCTTAAGATTCCTTGCACTAATTACCATTGTAAATTTATAAATACATGGATGTACACCGAAAATCTATAAACTCACATTTTTCGATGGATATCATGCACCTAAATACAATCCCACATATTGAACTCCTAAATTGTGGTATGTGAAGTGATGAGGCATTGAGGAGTAAATGAGGCGATTTCATATACATTATTTTTATGAACATACGTTCCAGTGGATCTTCTTATTTAAGAAAATATTCCGCATGCATAGAATACGAATGAAAACAAAAAAAAAAGACCCACATTTTGCAACTGAATTCTCTTTTGAAATTAGTGAACCCCTTATAAGATTATTATGAGCAAGACCACAGATATCGCCGTGTGGGTATGTGACGGATGTATGTCGTGACTCGTTGTATTTGCCGCTTGCCAAGGTAAGTATTAGCTGTCAATGTCAGGCTTTGTTGTGCATTTAGTTCAGCTATTACCCACGAATTGACATGCAAGGTTTTTTCTTGGGAGATAGAGGAGACACTGTGTCAAAAATAACATATAAAATAGAACAATTAGCATACGCGCGTAAACAGCAGTTACACTCCTCGTGATGTTTGGTTACTTACAATTGGACACCTTTATGAAATGAAACATATTTGCCACTTTAAATCAAAAAATAAGAAAGAGAAAAAAAAAAAAATAGATAAAACGGCTTGCGCAATTTGTATCCGAATCTGAGCTATATTCTATTAATACATGCATACTTAGTCCACATTGTCTACATGGTGGAGTCTCTGGTGTCCCACACTATAGTAACCGGTCCATCGTTGACCAACAGGACATCCATCATGGCCCCAAACTGTCCGTCTTGTACACGTGCATCGCCTACAGCTGCTCTCAATTCCAGTAAGAAAAAGTCGTACAATGTTTTTGCGATCTCACCTTTTGCGGCTTTATGGAAATCAGGTTTAGTGCCCTTTTTGATAGTCCCATATAAAGTGAATTGGGAAACCGATAATATTGAGAACTTTTCGTCATCTAGCACACTTTTAGCCCATGGCTTTCCAGCCCATTTTTGTGTGTTTTCTGTTTCAGGTTTATTGTCGTAATCTTCGAAAATTCTAAGCTTCAATATCTTATTGCAAAGCTTCGTGGCATCTTCTCGGGTATCTTGCGTTGATATCCCCACCAAGATCATTAAACCTTGTTTAATTCTATTGTTAGTTTAGTATAAGGTTAAAATTTACGTGTCTACCCGTTTATTTTCTTTGTTCTCCGCTTATTCTTCTCCACTTTTGTTTAGAATTTAAACTCCGAACTTTCATGAAAGAAGTTCCCCGCCTCGTGTTTTACCAGGATACATACGAAGAGATGACTTTATCATCCACAGTTACAGAGGCACTCTTCACTTTTTGAATAACAACTCTCATTTAGAAATGACTATGGATAAAACTTCGATTGACTCATTTTCTAACCAAAAATTTGTCTAGAAAATCTTTCTGAAAAATATCCTGTAGATAATAACACCCTACCCCAAACCACTACACCTACACCTAATCAAAACTTTCTTCGTATATTTTAAATATAAACCTATAATTAGTCTTCCTTGAGAATAAAAGAGCAGAAGTATCTGATACCCGCTAAGATTTCCTTCCCAACCGGCTCAACATATTTTCCAGGAAGTAAAAATCCATGACTTCCACTGTCTCTGAGTTTCAATTGATAGGCCCAGAATGCCTTATTGTGATACATGAAGTCCAAGGCACTGCCTGAGCCCAAGTCCGGCAAGAGATCCAGATCCTTGTCAATACATGCTGGCAATACTTGGTAATTTTTCCCCGATTGCAACCGAATTGCCTTTGAAATCCCGTATGCCAATTCGATCAAATTTTCTTCATCTCGGGGCTGTTGGCTGCATGAATAAGCGTAAGGATACAACACTTCTTGTGAATAAGAGTGCAAGTCAATGTACCCATACATGTTCAGGTTGTGGTTTGTTGCGTTGAGGTAATCGTTCCAAATCCTAGATTCTATGGCTTCAAATGGAACTTCACCTGAGTAGTCTTCACCACATGCCCAGTCCAGAGAGCGAGTCCAGTGGTAGTCATACGAATGGTCAATGTCAATACCAAAACATTTAGGGAATGTCGTTTCTTGGCGGTTCTTTCTCCACAACCTATCAGTCGTCCATGTGTAAACATAGCCATCTGGATTCAAAACAGGGATAAATAAGAAGTCCAATTGGTCTAAGATATCTCTTTCATCTGGATGTTCCATGTAATATTGAAGCATTCCATAGATAGTGTAACATACAGAGGACACGGAAATCCATTCTCTAGCGTGAACACCGCCAGTAATCACAATAGTCTTCTTCTCTTTATGGGAGTTGTCGTCGTCGTTTTTGGCTGACAAGTGGACAGTCTTATACGTTCTGTGTTCATAAGTTTGGCCAATCTCTTCAATTGTAAGCAAATCTGGGAACGTTTGTACAAGAATATCTAACCAAGCATCAATAGTTTCCAAGGGTCTGTAATCCTTGAAAAAAAGCTCAGAAAAGACGTTTGCCTCGGTGGCTTGAACAACTTCGTCGGTGACTTCCTTGATGTAAGAAGAAGCTGTAGAAGTGCCAAATTTTTCCAGATGAGATCCGGACTTGTAGCCATTAGGATAAGATTCAAATACCTTTTGTGCAAGATCCTCGATAATCACCAGATATTCAAGTTTATACTCGCGGGTGGAAAACCTCTCTACTATCTTGAAAAGGTTCTCCTCGTCTATTTGCAAATCGATGTATTGATTGGTTTCTGATTTAGCCCACACCTTGTAGGAAATATTATCAACCTCAAGTTGCTCTTGAGGTCCCTTGGAATGCTTGTTTAGCAATAAAAACTTTCTAAGCTCGGAATTCTTACTGTAGTTTAGTCTTACAACCATGTCTGTGTATTGTGCAACATTTATAGGCCATTCCTCGGAATCTAATTGTGAGTAATGAAATTCATCGTTTGAAGAAGGTTCGAGGAAATTCCATGAAATCCCATTCGACTTGAAAAGGCTCTGCCAGTATGAGTGACCATAGACACTTCCTATTAAGAGAGCTCCCGAGAGCAAGTTGGAAGCTTTCACCATTGTACACTGATGAATTAGCTAGTAATAAAGGAGGGCAAAGCACTAGATGAAGAATTAATGATAAAGAAATTGAGCAAGGCACGAGCCTCAAAAAAGGAAAAAAAAAGGATCAGATAAATTAAGACGGTTGCGGAATTCTCATGGGGGAGGATCTATGGAAGCGAAAAACAACACTTTTAGGGGTCCTCGGTAAATATGCTACAATTGTGAATTATTTATCAAATGACATGGAAGGGTTGTTCAACCGTTCTGTGTAGTAAAAAAGATAATTCTGTACCGTTCCCAGAAAAGTGTAGTAGTATAAGCTCTTTCAAAATATTATTTTGTGGTCTAAGTAATTTCTCTCCACCTAATATTTTCCTCACAAGTTTTGTAATTTAACCCACTTGCTTTATTTACTTTATATCCGCTACCATGAAAACCTCAAGATTAAACCTTTTCGTATCGGTCATAGCACTTTTATTCTGTATACATGGTTTCATTGGAACAGTCTCGTTACCTCTAACTCCGCGTCTACTGAAAGGCGGTCAATTCCAATTCCTTACAAATATTTGTCTGTTGTTGAGTTGCATTGTCCTTACTTTGGATCTATTTTTCCCAGACTATACACCAAATCTCATTTGTGTTGTATCTAATATGGAGTTTGTAGTAACCACCGCTTATTGGACCTTGATTATATTTTTTGCAAACATGCTTAATACCGCTGATTTCAGTGTTCCGCTACTTCTTGATCTTGAAATCCATCTAATTCCTTATCTAGCTCTTTTGTTTGCTCGTAAGAAGTCTACCTTGTCCTTTATACAAGCTACAAGAGCCACTTTTACTGTGATTTGTGCTTATTGGTCCTTCATAGAATATAATGCCCAAGTTCGTGGTATTCGGTATCCATACCCATTTTTAAATGATGCTAGTCAAATTCATAGAATTGGATGGATGTTTTTATTTGGAAGTGTTGCATCATCAAATTATTTTATTCAAAAGAAACTTATATAGAAGAATAAGATAGACTTAGAGATAGTCTGTAACACTAGACATATATTCTCTGATTATATTCTAATTTCCTATTCTTACACTTCATTCTGTATAAATAAATTGTATTCACGTATAAATCTATCCTTCTCTACTGTGTGGATTCCTTTCTAACTACCCAAACATAAACATTTCTCATTAATAAATACAGACTGAATCCAGTGAGTCCTACCAATGAAAAAATACCAATCCTAAGATAAATGTTGGAAACATTCAAAAAATTGTAAGGATAAGCTCCACCATTTTCAAAATCAATGATATGATGTAACCAAAACCAATAAGCAGTGGTCAAAATGGCACACATACTAAAAGCAGTACTCTTCTTGAGAGTCCAAGCAGGCATAAAAGCCAAATAATCGACAAGAAGTGAAATCACAGGCATCAAATGAATGGCCAAATCTGCATCGAGTGGCAATGCAAAAGAACTTGGATCCTTAACGAGTAGATGAAGGAACCAAATCCTCAAAGGCCAATATACTAACGCCACTACTGTCTCTAATGCGAGCCCAACTGGATGAAGATCATTTTTCAATCGATACAAGAATTGCGATTTAGTGACATGTGAAATTAACCCAATAACAAATACTATTAACGAGTAGACTAATGACAAGTTTGTAAGAAATTGCCATTCACCAGCTCCTATAAGGTGCAAAGGAAGTACCCGATCGGGGCTATATATGGTTTTAGAAATCCCAAATATCCCAATTGAAATGGATACAACATTCAACGCAATTGCAAAGATATTACCAACAGTACGTGCCATTTTGACTTAAATTTTAGTTCATATAATGAACAGATTATTGAATAATTTGAAATTAAAGGTTAATCTTCGGGAGGGGTGGAGCTTGCTGCAATAACGGAAAATATGGGAATGGCACTTCCAAAGTGCAGGACACCCCCTCGGTTACTTCAAGAAAAAGAAAAGGACACCAGATGGTTAACTCCGGATCACCTGACTAAGTAGGTTTCGAATCTCCCCACGGGGAGAAGTAGTCAGTAATAAGATTTAATCTGAAACGTCTACTTTTCCTTAATATTAGGATATTAAATTGGTGATATTTCCAATGATCGGGTAATCTAGTTGAATATACTCCGTAAACCAGTTCTTTAAGTAGAGGCAATATATTTTTTACTGTGTCATAAAGTTTCACGGCATGAAGACCTAACCCATGTGGGGAATTCAGATCGTGTGTTATATTTCATTTAGAAACTTTGCATGAACATACACACGGGGTATTTTTCTATTTTCCAGTTCTTATCCTCGTCAGTAACAGAAGAGCTCCTCAATTAAATAATCTCTCCTTACTACCGACATAATCCTTCTCCTGTAAAGAATAAGAAATATATTAGAAAATATTAATAATAATTGTTAGTTAATTGAATACATGTTATATAGTTAATGACGGAATAGCTTTCCTAAAGCACTTCTTGATCTTGATCTAGATCTAGATCTAGAACGGGATGATGATCTGGATGTGTCGTCCTCAACGGAAGCAGTCACATCCTTAGGATCATCTCTTCTTCCCCTACGTTGCTGATCGATTTTAGCGGCAGCAAATGCCTCATTCCCATGTGGAATGTGAGGACTTCTACTTCTTTCCAGTCCCAATCCGGCAAGGTTTGTAAAAGAGCTTTGTCTAGAAGAAACGGGACTCAAATGTTTCTTGCGAGCATTTTTATCCTTTGAAAAAGTCCAGCCAATATCAATATTAGCCAACCAATTATGGAAATATTCTTCAGAATCCACAGGTTTATTCAACATCTCCACATATTCATAAACTGGCTTGACCACGATTACTGGGACCAAGGCACATTCCAAGAAATGTTTAGACATCGAGGACTTGGAAAGAAATGATTTATGATGGTTAGGGTTCGCATGCATCATTCCATTACTGTCTTCGTAATTGTGGGTTCCGATGGCCATCATGGCTGGATTATATTCATCAATGGCACTTTTGAGCAATTTTTGTGGTTTACCAACCACCACTTCATAAACTAAAGATACCTTTTTAATGTGTTTATTCAATAATTCAATCTTTTTAAGGGATTCGTTGGCTCGGACCTTATCAATGGAGTTATAATGCTTTTCATCCAATACTTGAAGAATAATGATGGTATCACCATTGACAATCATCTCATCAAAGAGCCATTCAATGGCCTTGAGAGATTCCTGGTCATTGTTATATCCAGCCAAGAAGGTTTTATTATTTCTTCTGAACTTGAAATTAGGATGCTTCACTTTAAAAGTGAGAGATCTACGATGATCATCGGTGGATGCATCAAAGGAGACTCCTCGTTCAAACGATTTAAGACGTTCAATGGCAGGACGAAGTCTAGATGCAGAAGGTGATCTTGACCCACGTACTGGGGATACTGTCCCCGAGGGAGCTTGTTGAGGGATTATATGCTGTGGTGTTTGGAAAAGTTGACTGCTGATGCTAACGCTGGAGTTACTATGATGACCAGCTATCTTACTGAAATAGTCTGGCCCAGGTAATCCTGTTGGTGAAGTGGTTGGTGAGAGCAATATTGGGGTGGCAGTCCCACTTCCTCCTTCCGAAAGTACTGACTCACTATCATAATCATCGAAATATAATCTTCCGAGCAAATCGGATGAAGTATTCTCTTGTCTATAGAGATCAACAGATTCAGAGCTTGTATGGTACAACAAGGCATTAAGTCTTGTATTCACTTCAGTCTCAGTCTCCGGTTCATCGGCCTTCTTCTTTTTCCTTTTCAGTTGCTTCTTCTCCTCCTCCAGAGCTGAGGATTCTGTTGGTAGGTCTTCTACATTGTCCGAAGAAGTGGTGTTACTCTCTGTAGTGGACGATCCAGTCGTCGCATCGGGTTTATTATTCTTCTTGAGAGCTGGATTTGAGCGGATGGCAGATGGGTTATAGTACCCATTATATCCCTTAGGAGGACTAAAGAACCCCATTTCGAATGCAAGAATTTAGATCCGGAAGATAGCTTTAAAAATTTTGGTTGTGGGTCTCTCGTAAAAAGTGACCGAGGCTCAGGTTATTATATTAGGGGCAAAAAGAAAAAACACACTTTGGTAGAAACTATCGTTCTATACTTAGCATAGAGCACTGAGTGTAGAGATGGTTCGGGCTGTGATCCGCTACCGTTTGTCGATGTTACCAGTCGCTTTTACACGGAATGGGAGGGCGGTTGAGAGGAATCGATGATGGATATTATACGTCGATGGGAAAGTTTAATCTCTTTGTGTGCGGACCCGTGCAGGATCAATGCGTTTATTATATCTCAAGTCCGAGTCGACGATGGAACTATAATGTACCATCTATTTATGGGGTAGAGCGGCGATGTCGCCGAGACTCTTCTATATACAGTTATATGAGGGGTTTTACTATGTAGAGAGTGCACAAGGGGGAATACCAGTACTCAAAATTGTTTCAAGATACGGGGAATAGGGCATTTCCCATCTTGGCGCGAAAAGTCCCAAGAAAAAAGGGGGTTAACAGATAAACCCAGCCACATAGTAGAATAAAATACAAGTGGTCATGAATAGGGTGGGTGTAGTAAGTGTAGTAGTAGGATTTTTTCTGTTTTTTTTTAATGTTTCCCAATCTCTCTATGCGAATTTATTCTGATTTGGGTGGTTCCATGTATCTCCCATTATCAACTGAACTATTGTGTTCTACAATCCCCCATAATCTATCCATTTTCAACCCACCAACATTGTCGGCAACATAGTATTGACGAGGTACCCCTGAATGTGGGTCAATGTCCCTCCAAGTTGAATATTGGGCCGTGAGAGGATGTTTAGGTGGACCTTCCAATTTAAGAGTATCATTATTTGAAATTTTCAATAAATGATTGAAAGTTTTACCACCAGTCCAATTCAATTTTTCCATAATTAAACTCTCATCTTCAAGTAAATTTTCTAAAGTTTGTGGCTTATCTTTGTTATATAACCGGAATATTCTTGTCACATAATGTTGAGTTTTATGTTCAACAATTAAAGCTGGAACCATACAAGAGCCGAAAACCAAGGCAGCATAAATATCATCAAAATGTGGAGAATCATAGAATAATTTGGCACCATAAGCACCTAAAACTGCAAAACTAAGAGTAATTCTTTTCAATATACCAACGTATTTAGCCGCTGGAGCTTCATATAATGGTTGGTAAGAAAGTCTGTAGTTTGAAGGAAGGGCCACTGATCTAAGAGACCGTTTGTGATGGATGTAGACCTTATCTTCATATAATGTAGGGGACCATGGGTTATTTTCAGTCAAGATATCATCAGTATTGACGGTTGAATCAGCAGAATTATATCCTGTTCTTGGAGCCTTTAACAAGCTAGTGGATTGGTGGAATGATCTAGGGATTGAAAATCCGGATCTGGGTAACCTTATACCAATAGATCTTGCGTACATGTTTGTAATGGTTGAAGATAAATCGGAATTTATCTATATTTCCCTTCTTCTCTTTTCTGTGTAGTATGGTTACTTAGAAAAAAATAAAAATAAAAAATAGAAAATAAGAATAATGATTTTGGTTATGTAAGATATTATGTAAGATAAGCAACATGGTACATGGAAAGAGATTTATATAGAAGGAATGTGATTGATGTTTAGTAGATGAAGAGAGTGAAACTGATATATGATCAATTGCCAGAGTTATCGAGTTTATATATGATTTGTTAACCATATATATATATATATCTTTTTAGCCATTACTGTCCATACATAGTGGGAAACTTTAATTGCCAAAACATAAAAAGGACCCCATTTTAACATTCAATTATTAAACTTGTCACATTCTTACTTTTCTTTTCACCTTCCCTTCACTTCTTCTTTCCTATAAAATTATACTCATTCTCTCTACCTACACAGTCAAATTGAATTATCTTGTGCTGCTACTTTGCTCTCCATTTTTTTTTTCTTTTTTTTCTTGTTTTTTGTTTTTCGCCATTCTTTCTTTTTCGACACAAAATGAATTTCATCGTTTTTTTTGACTATCATCACACAAATCATTCACACAATATTAACGGAAGGATTTAGTTTTTTTGCTACTTTTGTTTTTTTCATCTTGAACGAAACTTGATCTACCTCTTGTGAGACTACCACCCCTTTGTTCTCCCCATATTCAGACATCAAGTTAGAAAAGAAAAATGGATTCCGACGCAACTAGTAGATTTGTGCCCGAATACCGCCGTACCAATTTTAAAAATAAAGGACGTTTCCAAAGTGATGAATTAAGAAGAAGAAGAGAAACTCATCAAGTTGACTTGAGAAAGCAGAAAAGAGAAGAAGTCTTGGCCAAGAGAAGAAACTTTGCCGCTGCTCCAGCCGGTAACGATTCTGAAGATGAAGACGACCTCTCCTTAGGAGTTGATTCTGAAAGTAATAACATTGAAGAAAACCAATTCTATAATGACTTACAACAAGAATTACCTCGTATGATGGAAATGATTCAAGCTCCAGATTTCGACACTCAATTGTCTGCTACTGTGAAATTCCGTCAAATATTATCTAGAGAACATAACCCTCCAATTAATTTGGTCATTCAATGTGGTGTTATTCCAACTTTGGTTGATTTCATGGGTCCAAATCACTCTGAAATCTTGCAATTGGAAGCTGCTTGGGCATTAACAAACATTGCCTCTGGTAACTCCGACCAAACTAGAGTTGTGGTTGAATCTCAAGCCGTTCCTCTTTTCGTTCAATTGTTGTACTCTCAATCCCTTGAAGTTAAGGAACAAGCCATTTGGGCCTTGGGTAACGTTGCTGGTGACTCTTCGCAATACCGTGACTACGTCTTGTCCTGTGGTGCCATGGCCCCAGTACTTCTGCTTTTCAACAGCACCAAAATGCTGTTGATCCGTACCGCCACTTGGACTTTATCCAACTTGTGTCGTGGTAAGACTCCACAACCTGATTGGCAATTGGTTCAACAAGCCATTCCAACTTTGGCTAAGTTGATCTACTCTATCGATCTGGAAACTTTGGTTGACGCTTGTTGGGCCATTTCCTACTTATCTGATGGTCCTACTGAAGCCATCCAAGCAGTTGTTGATGCTAGAATCCCTAGAAGACTTGTTGAACTCTTGGGACATGAATCTAACCTCATTCAAACCCCTGCTTTGCGTGCTATTGGTAACATTGTCACTGGTAATGATGTACAAACTCAAGTTGTTATTAATGCTGGTGTCTTGAACGCATTGTCTCCATTGTTAAACTCTCCAAAGGAAACCATCCGTAAAGAAGCTTGTTGGACTATTTCTAACATCACTGCCGGTAATGCTGATCAAATTCAAGCTGTCATTGATTCTAACTTGATCCCACAAATAATCCGTTTATTGAGCAGTGGTGACTATAAGACCAAGAAGGAAGCTTGTTGGGCTATTTCTAACGCATCTTCCGGTGCCTTGACCAAGCCAGATCAAATCCGTTACTTGGTTAACCAAGGTTGTATTAAGCCTTTGTGTGATTTGCTCTCTATTGCTGACCCAAAGATCATTGAAGTTACTTTGGATGCCTTGGAAAACATTTTAAGAATGGGTGATTTGGATAAGGAATCTCGTGGAGCTAGTACTAATGAAAACTCTTTATTCATTGAAGAAGCTGGTGGTATGGAAAAGATTGCTGAATGTCAAAACAGTGAAAACGAAAAAATTTACCAAAAGGCATACAATATCATTTCCAAGTACTTTTCTGATGAAGATGACGATCTTGATGACCAAGGATTGGCTCCACAAGCCTATGGTGATGCATTTGCCTTTGGTGTGGACCAAAACCAACAACAAAACTTTAACTTTTAATCACTTTCCATCCATCCATTCTTTTCTTTATTATGTTATTTATTAATAATTTCTCTAATTTCTCATCATCTCTACACATCTCTCATTTCATATATACACTTATCTCATACCTGCGGTTGACCGCGCTCTGCATCTCTCAATACACATCTCTATTTGAAGTTTTCTGTAGGAATTTGAAAAAAGGTCAAAGAGAACACAATGAATTTCAAGTTTATATATTAGACATATATTATATGTATATGACATGATTGGAGTGTTTTAACTTCTGTTGTCACTCAAATGTTTGGTCATTGGGAATTTTATAATGTTTTGTATATACTATTTGTGGCATTTGAATTTTATAGAATTTGCGTTTTTTTACCGCAAAATTATATTTATGTTGATGATTATTATTCATACTGACATCATTATCAATCTTATTATACGGACTTTGAAACTTGATATTGTACTGTGATTGGTATGGAGGAGATTATAAAGTCTAGAACTACCATAGAATCTTTCGGAGTTACTAAAGTTCAATCTAAAAAGGTTTAATTCAAGGTAATTGTGCATTAAATTCCTACTAATACAATTAAACCTTCGTTATAAGAAGAAGAGGAAATTACAAACCAGAATGTAATTACACTATGAAACACCTCATGACTACATTATTACACTTCAACCTTTGAACATTATATGATTGCATTCATATAATGGTATCATCAGGTGAACGTTTACAGAGAGATAAGTCTTGGCATTAACTGCCAATGAACTAGATACCCTATCTACGAAGTATAACTAGGTATTACCCCACTTCCATCTTACCATGACACATCAATTTAAACCTAAAAAAACCAATCAACGAATCCAACTCAGTGGGTTCAATTCGAGGTTTATTTGGTTGCAAGTTTCTATTTTACCCCAGTGCGGGTGGTTGGATGTTCCCCTTAATTGATAAAAACTCTTTTCTTCTAAAAAAATAAATCGAAAAAAAAAAAAAAGAAATGTCGAAAAGGGATTATACCAGCTCAAACTATTCATTAGACTAAGTGAACTAATAGAACTAATTGAAAGGAAACTGATTCACTTAATGAGGATTGATACAAATCTCTCCATCTAGCTGCTTATCTATTAAAAATTTTTAAAATTAATTCTTTAATATTATTATTTCAAACCACAGTTTATTCTCCGATACAACCGAACGGGACATTCGGTTGTAATTTACCCGGGCTACCCAATCCAAATTAGTACTTCTGAAAATGAAGCTGTTGACATAATCAAAAATAATTCTTAATCCCGTTATAAAATGGATAGAAATGGAAAAAAGAAACGCGCGCTGACATAAGCGCACCATACCATATCCAGCAAATATGACATAATCAAGGGTAAATCTTACATAATCACAATGTATAGGTTTCCCGTTTTGGACCACCGATTATCACCCGAAGTTACACAAACTGGAAATCCCTCGATGTTTTGGTTATTATTGGCCTTGTAAGTTTCTCACCGGCCAGAGATGATTTTCGGGTATATTCCTCAAAAAGTTGCGCATTTACTATGGATTTTTTTTTTGTTTAGACTTTTAGAACTAATTGTTTACTCTTTTCTTATTACTTGTACAACGAATAAAGATGAAGTTCTCTACTATTGTTTTGGGATTGAGTGCAGCTGCCGTTGTCGCAGCCTCCAAGCAAGAACCTGCTTCAACTGTAACTGTCACCGTTACTGGTTCTACCCAAACTCACAAGAACGGTAGATTTGACAAGACCAAGCCAGCTTCTAAGGCTAAGGAAACCGGTACCCACAAGAACGGTAGATTTGACAAGACCAAGCCAGCTTCTAAGGCCAAGGAAACCGGTACCCACAAGTACGGTAGATTCGACAAGACCAAGCCAGCTTCTAAGGCTAAGGAAACCGGTACTCACAAGTACGGTAGATTCGACAAGACCAAGCCAGCTTCTAAGGCTAAGGAAACCGGTACCCACAAGTACGGTAGATTCGACAAGACCAAGCCAGCTTCTAAGGCCAAGGAAACCGGTACCCACAAGTACGGTAGATTTGACAAGACTAAGGCTCCATCCACTGTCACTGTCTATGTAGAACCAACTGGTGCTAACAAGCAAGTTGTCATTGCTGCCAGAGACGTTAACGCCACCAACGGTACCAACGGTACCAACGGCTCTTCTTCTGCCTCCCACGGTGCTGCCGCCTCTTCCCACGGTGCTTACTTGGGTGCTGCCGGTGCCTTGGCTGCCGGTCTTTTATTGGTTGTTTAAGTAAAGTGATCCTTTAAATGAGTCCTTTCTTTCAAAAACCAGTTCGTTTTTTCCGCCAGTATACCAGCGCTAGACATGATTCAATGCTCCTTTGGCAGATAGATTTTGTCGCGGTCGCCTAGTTTTCTTTTTCCATATTTTACACCAAAGTTAATTGTGTATAAAATTTTAATATAAAGTCATTTGTTATGAATTGTAGAGATACTATTAAGTTTTATGATGAAGAGGGGTATAAAATAGCCCAATATTGAATGTTCCAGGAATGCCGGGACATTGGGTAACTTGTCTGATGTTGCTCACTTTGACGTAACCATACTACACATACATATCCCTCAGGGTAGAAACAACTACTTTCCTACTCTTCTTACTACTATCCTCTTCCAGTCTAACGTATATACATATATTAATGAGCGATATATATAATGTATGCTTCACTATGGTATCTGTTCATCTCTCAATTCTTGGATTTCTTGCATGAACTTCTTTTTGATATCTTCTAATTCTTTAAGCTTTCGCTCAATTTCCGATTCAACTGGCCCACTTTCCACCTTAACCAACTGTTCAGGTGCACGACTAACCACCAAGTTCTCGAGAGCACCCTTTTTAACCATACTGGTGATGAGTTCATAGGCAACTTGAGCACCATTGGTGGCTGTAATCTCAGCATTATCAAAAGCTGGAGAAACTTCAACCACATCTGCTCCAACAATACTTAATCCTTCCAACTTACGCAACACATAGAGTAATTCACGAGGTAACCATCCACCTGGTTCTTGCGTACCAGTACCACTGGCAAATCCTGGGTCTAAGACATCAATATCAACTGAAATATATGTTGGTGTATCAGCTGGAACAGTGGCTAAAATCTTCTCCACTACAGAGTCTACACCTTTGATCCAGATATCATCTGCTTCAATTCGAGAGAAGTGTTGCATATCATCATCTTCATAGTCTTTTGCAGTGGTCAACCGAGTACGTAATCCAGCATGGATGTTGTGGGTAGAGGTGAGTCCTTCCTTATAGGCTTTCCAGAGCATGGAGCCATGGTTGAGTTCATTTTGGTCTGAATGCCAAAAGGATGGATAACCTTCTGGGGACCAAGTATCCAAATGAGCATCAAAATGTATCACGTTAATCTTACCGTAGATACTGTGCAATGCTCTAATATGTGGCAAAAGAACCGCATGGTCACCACCAAGAGCCACATAACGTGGTGGGGCAGCTGCAACACTCTCGTTTGCACTTGCATGTCTACGAACGATAAGTTCTTCAAATGCCTTTGTCATTTGTTTGAACGCAAGTGCATTATCCATGGGAGTGACTGGGATATCTCCACAATCCACCACAGTGGCCCAAGATGCATATGGGTTAAATTTGGCCCTATGGTTATATCCTCGAAGAGAGTGTTGTCTTTGAGAAGCGGAACGGATTGCTCTTGGACCAAACCTAGCACCTGGACGATATGAAGTAGCTGTGTCAAATGGCACCCCGATAAGCGCAATGTCATATCTGGTATCTGGGTCCACCAAACATTGATGATGATCTAAATGAGCAAAAGTGTTGATTCCTTGGAATGGCCAAAGTCCTCCCCATACATCTTCCAATGAAGGCTCTGATGGATCTTCATCCATGGAGTTGTAGATAACATCTTTTTGTAATGGATTGGAGTGAAATTGGGACGCAGAAACAAATCCACTCAATACTAAGGCTACCAGAAACTTTGTAAGTGTATACATTTTGTACTGTAGTTGTGAGTACAATAGTTCTTCAAGTGTAGATTCAAGTCATTTTATATTTGGAATCTTATCACCCATTGACGCTTGAGCGGAATTTCATTATAATAAATCCGTTCCTAATTAGGTAAATTTGCCGCTAAGGAACAAGATTCCGTCTGGTGGGGAAGGTATATGCAGAACAACCACTACAGTTAGTGCTCAAAGTAACAGAAAACATCCAACTTAAGAAATCATTGAAATTTATATTAGGAATTCCGTCTATAGCCCAAAGGTTAATCCAACAGTGGGACCAGAAAATACGATGAAGTAATAAACTGATTAAGCATTTGAATTTCCTTATTACTTCATAAACTGAAATGGCCTTAGAAAGTGCGCTCGATCTGTTTTTTTTCTCAAATACAATTATCATCATCTAAGTCTCCTCTATATATACACTCTACTAAATCTTCCCCTTAATGATATTAATCTACTTCATTTCAATCTTTTATTATGGTTCATTCGAAAAGCTAGACTCTCTTTTTATATAGATTCGTTTTAAACATAATTTAATGAACAATTATGAGGGGAACTAAGATGAATTCTGCGTTGTCGCGTGGCTTTTTGCAACCAAACAGGTCAATAGTCCCCTAAATCTAATAGGCCATATAACTAGAAGATTGTTAGTATTATCATTCTTGTTCTATGTTCTGGTATAATAATGGCCCCATCAGATCGTAGCATTGACTTTCATTTATCTGGCTAGGAACAACCTAGTTGATTCAAGCACTCCCAACCGCTAATTCATCTACAGATACTAACAACCGAGAAACGCCAGGGAACAAATCCAAGACTACACTGTGGAGTACTAGAAATGTTTTGCTTTTCCAAAAAGTAATTGGTGAGATATTCATAAAAGGAAGGAACAAGGATGACTGCCAGTGGCACGTACTGAAAACATAATTCCATCGTGCTGTATATGAGGCTCATGGTAATGTAGCTGTTGCTGATGTTGAGTCCGAGCTTGAAGTGATTGAAGGATATTCTGCTACTGAATTTGAATTCCATTTTGATGCTTCTGTTGATCATCATGATCATTTTACTCTGATATTGAAGTATCTGCTCTAAGTGTGGATATGATACCACGATAATATTGAACTTTATTATATATTTCGCTGGACGACCAACGTGAAGTCTTTCTCGATTTGAAGTTAATTTGAATTTCAAGCACCACAGCTCTGTTATATTTGATCTGCTTTATATCCAAGCAAAGGAACTCGTTTTCAATGGAAACCGGAAGTTTTGCGTGTCGATCATGATTAATTCTTTCAGAAATTTGAAACGAATAGGCATCTTACCAATTTTCTTGGTCATTTCGGCGAAGAGTTCATTACGTTGGGAATTGCGATTAACAAACTTACACATACGTGGAAGACTTCATCTACGATATTTCTGATTTGGAAGCTCTAAGTGAGGAACACAAAAAGCTCGTAACATCAATTTTAATTTCTGACCATATGGAATTGACGTTGTTGATTTACCTCTTAGTTCCACAATCCACATGCAGTGAGTCAATTTTCAAATTAGAAATGAATGGACCAAATTTACTAGCTTACCTCTCATTCCTTTAGGAGTGACTACAATCAAGTTAGAATAAAAACCATCCAGGATTTAAAATGAGCCGAAACTTTCTCACTTCCACGTGAAAATAAAAGTGTGGAACTGAAATCTATTGTTAGAACGAGACAACAAACGGTGGCACCTTGAGGCTCCCAAAGACACAAGACAGGCCAAGTGGAAGATCTTTGCTCATCTAAAATACTCATCATAGTTTTTTGCAACCAGAATCCGATCTAATTATGCAGTACCGAGCAATCCTACATACAGCTCCGGTACATGAACTACTTAGAAACCCTATATCAACAACTAGCACAGCCTATATACCTAATACCTCTATTTTCTTTTCAAGAAAAAATGGGATTTAGAGATATTAAAAACGCATTGAAGAAGATCGACCAGTCCTTTAAGGGCAATGATGAGAGAGATGCACCACCAATTCCTCCACGAGGCCAAGATGAAGCACCCCCACCAATCCCCCCACGTTTACCAAAGCAGCTGAAGGATATTGCAACAGCACCTTCACTGAAGAGTTCTGGATTGTTTGGTCCCGGATTGGCTCATGGAAAAAATGTTCCATCTATATTTCAACAAGTTCAGCACGCCCAAAAGCCTGTGGGATGTTCATTTGAAAGTTCTGACGCTCCAATTCAAACTAACAACTTTTACAATAACCTTTGTCTTGAAGACCAAACATACCCTGTATGGACACTCCCCTACTCTTTGTGGATCACCAAGGACCCTGATCAAGATCCTGGTCTTGCATTCAATCATACAGAGGCTTCACAAAGGGTTTTTGGCCCAGACCCCCTGGGAAACCCAGCACAGTTTTATTTCAACCCTCCTAAGATCAAGTCTTTTACCCTTTCTGCCCAAGGATTTCATGGAGATTCTCTCATTGCCAACTTAGAAAGTCACAATAAGCTCTCTGTGGTTGCTAAGTTGAGCTCTGGTGGCGACACAGGTCGTAATATAACAGTTCCATTGGTCCATGGTATGGGTTTCATTTCTGCTGTATACAATCAACTTGTACCAATAATTGGGTCTCAAGTTGGGGTACAACAATTCGAAAGGGTATCGGAGAATAAGTATAGAGTGATGTTATTCAATCAAGTAGTTTGGACGATCTATGTAACAAATAATCAGCGAGGCAACTTTAGTTTGGAATTGAAAGATCCAAATCATATTGTTGCAAATACGGAGGCAAATAATGTAGTCATCCAGATTTGTCGTGGAGAGTCCTCATCTTATGATCAAGCCGCTGGTGCTTATCCAATTTCTTGTCATTTGGATGGGTCAGTACAAGGAAACCTGGGGCTGTATCTGTTCAATTATGAATTACAAGGTAAATCATCTAGTGGCTCTACAGTCGTATGGTGTTTGCCTCACCATTACGAGATACTAGACCCATCCATCAGCTCTAAGGATACAGGAATGATGTTAGACTCCCCCACCAAGGGTCAAATGAAGTCATATTTGACCAATGAATTGAAAATGAACGAACCTAATCTTCCAACTGAGATTAATTTCGATCCATGGTCATCAATTGAATCTTTTAAAGGGGTCAATTATTCTCAGAATGCCCTTTCACTCATCAGAAAAGCAGCAGAAGCTGAGGTTAAACAAGACGTTGTCGGGATGGCAAACATAGATTCAATGTACACTTCTGGTAAAATTCTTGACAAATTTGCGTACATCTTGTACGTCTGTCGATTTGTTCTTAAAGATGATTCGTTATATCAAGAATTGCTTCCAAAGGTCAAAGAGGCCATCAATATCTTTGCCCATAACAAGCAAAAATATCCTTTAGTTTATGACACAGTATGGAAGGGGTTGATTTCATCAGCGGAACCAGGAGCAGATTTTGGTAATTCAAATTATAATGACCATCATTTCCATTATGGTTATCATATTCATGCCATTGCTTTAGTAGCAAAATGTGAGCCATCTTTTGTTGAAGATCTGGCAATTTCCGAGTATACAACCACTTTATTAAGAGATGTTGCTACAAGTTCCGACTCTGATCCTTATTTCCCGCAATCACGTTCATTTGATTGGTTCCACGGCCATTCATTTGCTCATGGTATATTTGCCTCAGGGGATGGGAAAGATGAAGAATCGTCGTCTGAAGATTATCATTTTGCATATGGAATGAAATTATACGCTCAATGTATCAACGACTCGTCAATGGAGAATAGAGCCAATTTAATGTTGGCAGTGATGCGTAGATCCATGAACATGCACATGTTATTCAGTGACGATAATAAGATTCAACCACCACAATTTATCAAGAATAAAGTCGCAGGGATCTCATTTGAAAATAAAATCGATTTTGCAACATATTTCGGCCGGGGAACCATCGCCGATGAATGGATTCATGGTATCCATATGTTACCAATTACCCCGATATCTTCTTATATCCGTACTCCAAAATTTGTCCAAGAAGAGTGGCAACAGAAACTTGAAGGTATCATAGACCAAATTCCTGATGGCTGGAAGGGTATTCTTATACTCAACGTAGCATTGTTCAATCCTGAATATGCATGGAAATGGTTTTCCCGTGACGATTGGAATGATGCTCAAATAGATAATGGGATGTCTAGAACCTGGTCCCTTGCCTACATTTCCGCAGTGGGGGGCTTTTGAATTCATTAAAAATTGTCATTAGATCTATTTATATAGTATACATATTATACATGTCCATTAGCTTAAACATCCAGCCATCAAGACCATCACTATAGCGGCCAACACAAATGCATATGGTCTATTTTCATCGTAGTTGAATCTATCAGCGGGTTCAAATTCATATGCATCCGAAGACGGTACTCTAGGTTCAGTTGAGTATCTTGTACCTCTAAATAACCGTCTGATATCAATTGTAGTGAACCGTTGGAGTACAATCACCGAAAGTATAAGTAGGATAGTGTATACGACTGGTCGAGCTAATCTATTGTCCACAGACTGAGTAGGTGACTTTCCACCAAGACTCATGACATCGAACGAAATTGAAAAGACAATACTATAATTTGTTTGCTTGTGGAGAAGTCGTAATTTGGAAAATCACAAAGACATAGATATCTGGAAGAAAGCAATATGGGAGTCCACGTGATACAGATCACGTGTAAAATACGCTGCTATTTATAGTAGAGTATTGGTAAACATACTATAGGTGTATAATACTTTAATTATCTTACTAGCGACGATTTGTGTTTGTATGAATTCTACAAATGGATATAGAGAATACCATATAGTACTTTTTGTAACTTTTTGTGTATTAATTATTTTATATTAGTTATGCTAGACTATGATATTTTTGATATTTTCGAATCTTCCTCTTATCCATTCTCAATTCTCTTTCCTAGTAGTAGTGGTTCATATTAGAATTTATTCAGAGTCTTAGACATAGGACCAAGAAGTTACATCATAATCGGGAGTTGAATCACCAATAGACTCAAAAGTTTCAGTTGCAGCACAGTTTCAATTCTTAGAATCAAAATATTTTGAAGTATAAGATTCCTATACTTTATTAATCAGCAGCTGAAGTTAGAAATACATACCCCGGGAATATTCTCCTAGAGGATTATCTCAGCAATAGTTATTCTAAAGATGTGTATATTTCGCAAATTGCATCTTTTGATCGGAATGCGCGATCCGATCTGTATACCCCACAGATTTTTTGATAAGGTATTTCTGGAGACCAGCTAGTACACTATATTACCGCTTGAACCGCTAGAGATGCTAAAATAGACAACTCTATCATTTTATCAACTTTTTCAAAGTATTCCACGTATTAGATTGAAAAATGGTGCCAATTGGAACATTAATCGACCACGTAGAAAAAGAGTAACCGTTAGGGAACTTGCTAAATGTACAACCACAAAGAGTCTTATCAACCATTCAATCGTTATACAAACAGCGAAATAAATCCCATCTAACCATGTGAAGAGTACTATTGTCAATAAGTAGAAGAATTTTCCCACTAAACCGTAATCGTTTATAGGGATCAATAATAAACTACCCTCGGTCACATTGAAATATGTGTCAAATGAATTTAAAAATGGCGGTTCAATTCCTTCTACGAGGATTAGATTCGAAGGGCTAAAGTTTACGTAGGTAGACGCACAGTCGCTAGCGACCTTTTTCAACGCTATTGAGAAGATTTCTACAAACATAACACCTTTAAAAATAAAATAAATCGTGAAAGTATGGTGGTTTTAATTGTTTTTTGCGGTCATAAAGTTCTCCTGAGTGTTATTTATTTTTCTTGCCTGTATTATCAAACGCTCTCTTTTTTTTTTTTTTTTTTTGCAGCGAACATAAAAAAATTATTACTAGAAGGGGGTTGTGGGGAATATATATAATATAGATATATATAGATAGGTAATGAAAAGATTATTTAGTGATTACGTTTATGGATCGCGTGTGGATAATGACATTAAGCGAATAAAGAATAGGTCTCATTGTCACACACATAATGCATTATTGGACCTCCCGCACGACATCATATCGCAGATCCTATCTCTAGTAGATACGCCAAGCATCATAAATCTTTGTAGTACAAATACAGAGTTTAGGAATGAGTTAAGTCCCATAGTATTCAGTAGAGCTAAGGGTAGCTGGCACCAGATAATCCAGATGATTGAGCAGCTGGAGGGAACGATGTCAGACTCTAAGCCCGATTCAAACATGATCACCCCTCCACCACAAATCCTTACTAATTGGGTGGAACAACTTCGGATCCTGGACTGGTATTCATATGGAGAATGGCAAGTCGACATTTTCAAGTTACATCAAATACTTCCACATTTAAATCATCTACTTATAAATAGTGCCAATTCTTCAAATTGGCTCAAATATAGAGAATCGAAATCTCTCAAGGAGCTTACTCTTTACTACGAAAAGGCACATTATGAGGCGTTTGATCATAAACCTAATCCCAAGAATATCAACCAATTAAGTCGTAAGGAATCGACAAATCCTAGAATCTTTGAACTTTCACATTTGAGGGGGTTATCTGAGCTTACCAAAGTTCTGTTGGATGGATACCATTTTAACTGGTGCGATGATTATGAAACATATGATCCATCAAACATTAAATTGGATTCGATAGTTCTTACCAATTGCACATGGGAGTACCCTTTTACATTGTCTCAATTCAATAGACACGGGAAACTTAGAAATCTTACCTTGAGGTACACCACACAAAATCTGTTCATTCTTCTGGAAAGATTTACCAAATTCATGGAAAATCCACTTGTGGACGCCTCTACAAGTATAGAAAAACTAGAAATATCCCTTGAAGGGTATACCGATTCCACATGGAGGAAGTTGTTATCCATCAAACAATTTGATAAGTTTCAATATCTTCTATTCCCCAATTTACGTGTACTTACCCTACATGGGTTTCTGATGAACTTGGATTCATATAGAAGTTATTTGACATTGATTCAGGATAATTTCCGACTTCACCGATTGAATTTAGCGGTTTGGGATACATCGACAAACGGATTATCAGACATCAATTCAATTAGATTTTCACAACATATTCGACAATTGGGGATAAATTTCCAATTAAAGGTGTTGGATGAGAATAGGAGATTGTACACATAAATAGAGAGATTGTGTGATATGATAGAATTATCACGTAACCAGGAAATCCATTTATACTTTGGGTTGCTTGAAGCAGCAAGCAATGAACCATAATAAGGGAAAATTTACCGTAGAAATTGGACTATCGAAAATGATATTGAAGATATATTTAGTTCACTTTATCAAGTCTAGCTACGCATGAAAATGTCGATAGTACTCGCTGAATGTGAAGAAGATCAAACTAGTGAATGACTGATGAAAGACGTGGTTTCCCTCACCAATTTACCCTCTGAATGGTTGTATACTCCAAAAATTTAACCAACTACAAACATAGCTTATAAAAGTAGAGCATATATATATACATAGAATAATAATTATAAACATCGATAAATGTGAAAAACAATTAAAGATTTGATTTGTGAACCATGTGTATATGATTCGCACTTCACAATGACTTGAAATTTACCACATGATAATGACTAAGTTTAACAACTTTTCCCCCTCATCAATGCATCCGATACTTTTCCTATTATTTGCGGCATTTGTCCAAGCAAACACAGAATCGTATTTACTTCAAATCCCTCATTATTATAGTATAACTCCACACCCTGAGCCATACGTTGAAAATGGGAACCAAGTATTTACATTAAACAAATCACATTCTGTATTGGAAAACTACCCTATTTTGAACAAATACGATCATGAAGACCTTAACCTGGTCGTTGTACATACTCCATACGAGTACGAGGAGGGGGGTGCCCACACATTACTTGTGAAATTGAATAATTATAATAACAGTGCATTCCAATCAGACGATAAAATCTACATTAAAGTGTGTTGGCCAGCGACTCAACCATTTTCAGTTGACATTTCTCATCAATTTCTTGAAGGTTTGATTGATGGTAATAAGGAATTAGAACCATATATACTCATTACATATCAAGTGGATGCATACCCATCCAAACCAGAATATGCCCTTTCGCTTGATACATTCACATTCAACCTTCATGTCTCAAGACTTCCTTGGATACCCTTACCACTTGAACTTGTAGACATTATGATGTATTTGGGAGATTTAGCAATTCTAGTAATTATGATCGGAGTACCGGTACTTGAACAAATGGTTTAGACGAAAAGAGAGGAGTAGACGTGAAAGATAAAATGACGGATCTACGAATAATAATATAGATAGAATATTTAACAAAGAATAAAATAAAAGTCTAGGTCCAAAGTTGTTTTTATCATTCTTTTTGTAGAAGAAACAAATCTATATTTGTTTCATTATTATGAACGGGGGAGAGAAGAGGTACACAAAGTTATAACCATTATAGACATCCCCTTAAACCTCATTTTTTTGTGTGACCCCCTCGTGTCACAAAATCGAAATAGATATAATTCTTTTAAATTGCCATCCAATAATTGAGAGTATTGACAACCTTTTATTGTTTGTATCTGCAACTAAGCTATGTCAATGGATGAAGAAGACCCATTGGGTCCACCTAAGAACACCCAGAACTTGGATTTATCCAAGTTATCGCCACAAGAGTTGCGTATTTACAAGATGTATGGGAAGTTGCCCACCACCCAACAGATTTTGACAAATAAGTTTCAAGATAAGAAATACTTTGACAGTGGGGACTACGCCATGCAGAAACAAGGTGGAAACAAGGGGATTCCAGGAGGAGTGCCCTTGAAGCACCCCAATGCCGAAAAGGTTAAGGAAATGTATAACCGTAGTTCGATCAGCGGTAGCAATGCTGGGATCTTATACAACGGTAAGCTGGGTTTGTTGAACGAGTCCACACCTAGCGGGATTGAAGAAGAGGATGAAGAGGGAAAGAAATAGGTAGAATCAGGGAAAACATACATGATCTGATCAAAGTATACCTACATTGAAAATGAAAAAAAAAAAATTAGTAAAAGAACGAGTCCAAGCACGACAGGAGAGAATGATGGCGAAGAGGATATCGATTACAAGGAAGAATTGTGTTCTCGGTAGCATTCAGCAAGGAGAACCATTCATTTTGTCGATATTGGGCGCAGTGCAAAATGATGTTTGGGGGTGGAGTTGCTCTTTACTAGCCACATTACTGGGACCATGGACGGGGATATGGTCTCTTTTATATCCGTTAGCTAAGTCTTTAGACTTTTTCGGTACGCGACCTTTTGTTTATAGTCACCAATATTACACACTGTCATTAAGGCAGACGAGAAAGATTAATCAATGTAGTAGTAGCACCAGAATGAAGATCCAAGGCTAGGACATAGGTTGGAGCTACTTGGAACAAGAGAGATCTCCGTGTGAGTATTGCTTATTGGAGAGGAGGTCCCAGTGTCCTATAAGAATTCTTTTCCATGTCTTGAAAACTGTAGATACGGCTGATACATGTTCGCACTGATGTGCACTCATTTCCACAGATACCTATCCTCACACATCAGTGGAATGAAATCTCCATTGTAACACTTCTATTGATCAAGTACATTATATCCCCCATTTTCCTGCAGCGCACTCTCGATGCACCTTACTAGAAGTCAATTCGATGAATGCATCAATGACTTCTTTCACTTGTTACGCAACCATCTACCTGGTTATTTAAAAGGACAATGTAGACATGGACTGTCAACACCTCCACATATATTTGTCACTATTCAAAATAATGGTTATCAGATTAGATTCACATTATTATATGACGATTTCTATACGGTTCCGGTAATTTATTTTAATGTGTATGACCAAAGTGATATAGTCCCATTACAATCTTTGGATTGCCTCCAGGTAAAGTATGGAGCCCAAGTTGAAACAAAAATCTCTTATGTGACGTTGGATATGAACCCATTGTCACAAATGGTTAGCTTTTATATACATCCATGTGAAACATTGGCAACCCTTGAAGAATGGACGGGGTTAGAATCACCAATTCAATATCTCACTGTTTGGTTCAATCTCTACGGCATAGGACAAATATTCCCCTCTCATCAAATAAGACCTCCAACCTGAGAGACCTCCAACTTGAGATACAAACAATAGATCTACAAAGACTCATTTCTCTTAATTTCTTATATTCTAATATAACAATTTACATATGCAATCATCTACACCAAACTTCTCTCACAACCTCCAAAAACATTCACCATTCACTCTATTGAGTAGCCTTGGCTTCGGTGAACATACGACATGGGTAGTCTTCAGTGTACATACCATGTTGTGGTTCTCTTAAAATGGTCCAGTTGAACTTCTTGAGAGATGGGGCAACGATTGGTTCACCAGAAGCACCCAAAACTTCACCCTTAACAACATCGGCTGGAATGGAGGACAAGGTGGTGGCAAGACTTACGTCGGAGCTACCGGTGTAGGTGGCCAATTCTTGAGTACCCTTGTCACCAACGGAAATTCTTGGAAGGGAAACGGAACCCAACTTCAATAAGCCGGAAACCTTGGCTTGGTTGAAACCATGCACTTGTGGGTAGTTTCTTCTGTAGTCTCTCTTGTGGTATGCATTGTTTCTGATGTCACCAGCTGGGATGGTGATGGCTTCCTTGTAGGCTTGGGACTCGGAAATACGGGCACCTGGTGGTGGGTTTCTGTAAAGGGCAACTACTGGGTTACCAGAAGATCTGTTGGGTACCAAAACTAAGAATTGTCTGAGTTTTTCCCAGATACCGGTCGAGCCGGTGGTGTACTTCTTCCAAATTGGAACTGGTCCTCCAGACATCTTGAATATTTAAGGTATAATCGGGATTTTATATCTCTCTATTATTTCGTTTTCTTTGTCAATTTTGATTTCATAATTGGATAAATGGCGATGTTACACAAAGTCGCAAGTAGTATGAAAAACTAGCCAATAGAGAATCGATTATGGTCATATAGTCTGCATATAAGATCGCGAGCTTTTTTCTCAAAACATAGTTTGAATAGATAGAGTGTGTTACACAAGAGGGAATGCTTTAGAATTTTTTGGTAACAAAATTTATAATAAAAGATTATATTACGGAGATAGTGTTTGGAGTATGGTTGATAGAATTGTAATTTCTTCTTGAGATAGATTTTTTTAGTAAGATGCAATATGTAGTGTATTTCATGGAAGCAGTAGACTGGTAGAATTATGTACTGTTTGGATGTAATCAACAGATTTGGTATTGAAGGGGTGTAAGACTTTCCGTTTAGACTTTAAGATTGGTATTGGGGGGTATGTGGTAATTTTTCGTATAAGGAGTCATAAATTATTATTTACACACAGAAAGGCTATTTTCATTATGATGTTGCAGCCCAATATTTGAGATACTTTACTACCCTATTATGCGGTTGTGTGTACTTTCATATAATTCCCAATCCTTCGTTAGAAGTAATTACTACTATTTTCTCCACCTTTTCCTACAAATTCTTAATCTCATTACCCCCACCTTCAAAATTGCTTTCTTCATGAAATCAAGGGTACCCCCCTTACATATTGTACTGTTTAATAATTTTTTTTTAAAAATAATTAATAGAGCACCCGTAATTCTTTACACACTGTAGTCATTTATTAAATTTATATAGTCAAAACTGAATTAAATTCTCGTTCTCCTTATTTACCAAATAACCCTCTTCCCAACTTTCCAAAAATAATAAGTCCACAGAAAAAGAATGAGGCAACCCAAAGCCATGTGGCAATAAAGTCATCTCTATTTTTATTGGCTTGAAGATTCAATGCATCAAAATTTTGGAAATAAACACATACACATGCACCAAAGGCGGCAAGGGAACTAGCCAAAAACCCATTGATAGTACCATCAAGAAGTAACCACAAACATGGGTTCAAAAGAGACCATAACAACAGAACTTGTAATGTGGAAGCCCATTCAATCTTCCGTACTCCGTAAGAGATACCTAAAAAGGTAATCAACAGACGAACCAAATCATTGAATAAATTGGCATTTTGAGAACGGCTCGATTGTGGAGCAGAAGAGAGTAATCTTTTGGATAATGCAGCTGGCAAGAGTGCATCCATCAAGGGATGGATGGCGCCCATGGCAACCCCTTGGATCATGGCTGCCAATCCAATGTCTATCCAATTGACAATGTTTCCACCATCAATGGCAAAATGAGTCACTGGACGAAGAGTATGAATGAATTTAGAAAGAAACATGTTGGAAAAATGCACAGGTTGAAGGGTTGCACCACCTTCTAAAGAGTGTCTAATGTGGATATTCTTGGTGATCTCGTTGTAAAGCAAACAAGATAAAGTAAGAATTGCAACTTTCCCAGCAAATTTGGCTGGATTGACCCCATTATTGGATTCATTCTGTTGTTGCAGCAGTTGTGGTGGCGTAACAAATAGCACTTCTGATTCATCTCCAAGATTCTCATTACTAAAGTTGGAGAATGAATCCTCCTTGTAAATACCGTACAATGATGGCTTGGTCAAGTTGACCTCCAGGTCTGTCTTGAACATCTCACTGGTGGTGTTAGTTTCAGATCCGCTGTGTCCATTCAACTCTTTGAGGTTGTTGTTGGAAAATGCCTTCTTTCTTAAATCAACGGCTGACATTTTTTATGCTTTATATGCGCTAAATATAACAAGTAAAAGTATATTATGTGTATGCTTGTATGTGTGTAACGGTCAATTTAAATTACTCAATCCTTATAATGGCCCCTCTATATGTAATAACTTTGGGACTTGCAAGGTTCTAGAATTGTCCTGGGGAAAAAAAAAGAAACAGATCTACTCCCTCAAACCTAGACCGAAAACTTCGTCTCCTTTTCAATCTTGTTGGTCGCATGTGATTTTTGTGTCAGCAAAACATACGACTGTTTGCATTGAAGATCTCGAAAGTTACAAAGTTTCCCAAAATGGAATAGCTTCTTAGGATTTTTAAATATTAGGGTCTAAAAAAAAAAGAAATGTATACAATAGAGCACTTTAAAATAGATCATGGAAATCTATAGACTTAACAGTCTTCTTATTCTTCTTTATGATCTCCTTTTCCTTTGGTGGACTCTTCTTCTTAGGTTTACTATTTTTCTTCTTGGGTGGTTTCCTAGATGCAGCACCTTCTTTCTTTCTTTGCTTGTACGATCGTTTAGTTCGCGCTGGTTTCTGCGATGGTGGTGTCAGTTTCAAGGCTTCTGGTACCATTGACACATCTTCGGATGAAGGAATGTTTTTAGGAGAATTGGAATGATCCGGATTCTTTTGTGTGTCTAGTTTTGAAGATGGTCCAGGTGCTTTGAAATCTTCTTCTATAATTGGTTGACACTCTGATTCAAACGATTCTTGTTCCATAGATGTATCCAGTAGTTCAACTACATCGTATCTCATGATTTGATTGAAATTTAAATCTGCTACAAGCTTCCTTCTTGGATATTTCTCTCCATCTTGAATGAATGTTCTTGGTGAAGACGATGAAACATAATGTACTGTTGCTTCGTCTTCTTGTTTGTCCTCCGGTTGATTTGACCCATCAAATTCGTCATCATCTAATGAAGGAAGTAGACCAAAAGAAACCAGTCGTGAACCACGGTTATTACTAACCAGATCCAGCTGTCGTAATATAGATTTTGGATCCTTTCGAACCACTTTTATAGAATTATCTTCCTTTTCTTCGCATGCATCAACCACTATAACCTCTTTTCTTGGTGTAGGTTCGTCATATTCGTCTGCAGTAAGATCAATGACCTCTTGGTATCCATCGTCAACATTTATAACACTTAATTCATCGTCCTTAGATATATCTCCAACCTCTCCTCCTGTACACCATTTGGAATCCTTTGCTCTACGTTCAGCAGCTTCAAGTGCAAGTTGTCGCAAGGATAATCCACTCTTACTACCTTTAGATATACCCCCACTTCCCCCCAATTTCTGTGATCCTCCTACATATTTCGATTTGCTCAACGCCTTTATCCGTTGATCTCGCTCAGAAACAAACCCTCCTCCAAACCTATATCCTCCACCTAATTTCTCTTCTTCACAAATATAACCAGTCTTACTTTTACCACCATATTGAAGAGTTTCGTATTGTTCCTTTAATTCATCCAATAATTTATAAAACTTTTGATCATGCGGTCCATACACATTATGGGTTAATTCATGCAAGAAGGTGCCCATTATATCTCCCATGGGGAGAAACAGTTTGGTATTGGAATGATATCGGAGCCGAAGCAAGATCTTCTGTCCTCTATTTACATTTAACCCCAACAAGTTCGCATTTTTCGGTAACATTTCGCATAATGTTCCAACTTTAAACCCTCTTTCATGAATTAATGGCGCTGCAAGTTTAGCTACTTCATGTAAAAGATCTCTAGCATATTCCCTATCTGGGAACCTCTTTAACGATCCGATGACCGAAATATTCGCCGTGGGAGACGCTCTTGGCGTCTCCTTTGTAGTTTTACCTGTTCCCTTGAGAACCATATCATCCCTGTATTAGCTAGATTCTTTTTTTTATAAAAATAAATATTTTAAAGAATCCCTTTGTTTGTTATCAAAATTATATCTTTGGTACCCTTTTACGTTTATTTGTATTTTTTGGATTTTACGGGGTGGCGCGCGCGCATAAAATTATTTACTATTTAATGATAGCGTGACATGTTTATATAAAGGAAATAGAACGATTACAAAGATACACATAACTTAAAAGACAAGATAGTTGATGTATTCATTTTTCTGATTAACTATATTCTTCATATATTTATAATTAAATAGGATTTTGATCTTGTCAATATTTAGTATGATCGTACTCGCTCAACCATTTCTCTTTTCTTTCTCTTCTTACATTTTATTATATAAATTGTTGCAATTATTTAATATCTTGGCTGCAAATTAAATGTCAAAATATTCTTATTTATCAAATTGTAAACTATATCAGTCCTGATAACTTATGGAGCTTCAGTAAAGTTACCGAAGAGCTTCTTTTCCTTTAAAATTGGTTCCAATTTTTCAACATCATTCAAACAATCGAGGAAATTGATCATGAATGATCCTGGCCCTGTACCAATTTTACCAGCAACGGAACCAGCTACATTATAATAGGTAACAGCTCCCCAAACAGCTGAAAATGGATCTATAAAAATGGGAGTGCCATTAACATCTGTGGCACAACCGGCAAGAAATGCTCCAATGGTACTACCCAATGAACATCCAGTGCCTGTAATACTACCCATAAGTTTGCTACCCCCTGGTACTTTGGCAATCCGTACAGGACTTCTGACATTAGCACTTAAGCAAATACCATCAAATATATAATTAGTTGAACCAGTGATGACCACGACACATTTGAAATCCCTTGCAACAGCTTCACCCAATTCAAAAATATCCTTTTCTTCAACCTCAGAATCCACAGAATCCACTCCACGCAGAACTACTCTATTAATGGAATTCCTCTCTGTTGATGAATAACCACTGGTCAATTTCAATAATGCCAGGATTTCTCCCAAATTACCCTTAATGACAGATACATAACCGGCATTTAAAATGTCTTTACAACATTGTAAACGAGCCAAAGAAGCACCTGCTGCCACTGGATCAAACACAATGTGGTGACCAGCTGCATTATATACCTTCATGGCGCTTTTAAACAATTCAATTTGTTCAGGAATTGGAGTACCAAGATTTAAAACTAATGATAAATTCTTAAATTTACAAGTAAATTCTTCAAATTCATTTGCAAGTTCAGACATAATTGGTGATGCTCCTAAGGCCAATGTCACATTGGCACTAAAGTTCTTCACTACATTATTGGTAATATGATGAACCAATGGGCTATTTGAACGAACTCCCTTAATCATTTTAACAATATCCTGAGCAGTTTCGCCGTCCAAATTGTCCATGGTAGGCAATTCCTGCTCCTGATAATACCTATCAAAGTCAGCAGTAGCATACTTAGGCTCTTCACTAGCCATAATACAAGAAACGACGGCTAATCCGGTCAAGGATTGCAAGCCTGGCAAGGAACATTGATACAATACGCTGCCGGCATTATCATGATTAATTCCTCCAATGGCAACAACCTTGATCTCTTTTTTTGCGGTACGATTATGATCTCCCAAAACTTTGAGCATTTTACGAATTCCAATCGGTCCACAACCTTTTGGATCTTTGACATCTTTTTTAGTGTTAGTCTTAAAAACCGTTCCAACACCAATATAATCAGCAACTCCTTCTTCACATACTTGTTTTACTTCTTCAGGGTTTGAACAAGTAACTCCTATAAGTTTCTTTTCTCCAAGGATTTTTCTTACAGTAATTGCGGGCATATCATCTTGACCTACATGGACTCCATCAGCATTCACAGCAAGAGCAACATCAATTCTATCATTGATAATAAGTGGGATACAGAACTCCTTAGTGACTTTGCGAACAGCCTTGGCACGTTCGATGAAGTCTCGAGTCAGTAAGGTTTTTTCACGTAATTGAACCATAGAAGCACCACCCATAATTGATTCTGTGACTTGATCTATGAATGTACTAGACTCAGGGATCATGGTGGAGTCAGTCACCAAATAGGTACGATATGTTGAGTTGGTTATGAACATGACAAAGAGGAGAATATGCAAAAGGTCAATAGGAGGAGAAGAAGAATAAAATATCTAAAGTTTTATCAAAAAAAATTACAGTTCGTTGAAATGATCCCCAATCTAACAGGTCATAGATATGTATGTAGTCCTAGAGTGAACAAAAGATAATTTCGCTCACTCTTTGTTCTCATAAGCGCATACTACTTTATGACGTTAAAATGCGGTATCCCGGAACTAGGAAAGTTGCACGTGATTTGTAATCCGACCAAGGTTGAAATCAACGCTAATTGGAGATACAAAGGTACTAGGTCAACCTAACATCTGTGTTTCAAGACAATGTAAACTTAGATTAGATAAGTTCGTGGAATATAGAGTCGGCCACTCAAAATCCTCTCCTAACTCCTTATGGTGATTTGTTTACACAAAAATATTCTAAGATATTCCTAAGCCATCGCGAATAAAAGATATTGGATGATCTTATATCTTTAGATTCTTTTCTTTTGATATCATGGTACTTTTCTTTACAAGATATGAGAAGTCCAGGATATTTTGAAAGTCATTTCATTTGTCGTAACCTTGAAGGTTATTATACAAACTTTAATGTTAGTGCTAGATATAGTCGGAAACTTACTGCGGAAGTACTTTCCAATGCATTGCAGCATCTCATCAACAATGAAATTATTTTATCTTTAAATTTCTTTAGATGTGAAGGATCTACTCGTCAAGATGATCATTGTGCAAACGGCGCTAATTTCGAATTAAGATCAGTATCCAATTTCAAGTTTAATGATGTAGTATCTTTTGAAACAGTAGATCGCATCGATGCATCTGTTTTTCAAGACTTGAATCTGCTCATTTGTCCTGTAAATGTGGAACTTCCCTTGTGGAGAATTGTAGTATATGAACTGAAAGAAGATGATTCTCAACATGTTTGTATATATTTTGAACATGCATTATTTGATGGGAGTAGTGGTGTACAATTCCATCGTGATATAGCTTCTGCTTTAGATCTCGATGATACTGCAACTACAGTAGTAGAGACTTTCTCCACGTCAAAATCATGCGATTCCATTCCCAAGGCATGCGAGGATACCACTGATCTTTTTGATGCTTCGTTACTGGCAAAATTGTCATTCTTTGCTCAAAAGTATATTCCTACTTGGACGTCAAAAATATACACACATGTACAAAGTTTAGTCTATCCAGCAGAACCGAAATCACCAGAGGTATTCAAATACGGCTCAACTGTTTACGGTACCAAAAATTATGAACTTTTCCATTTAAATTCTAACGATTTAAACAAAGTGGTAGAGTTTTGCAGGGAGAACAAAATTGCAATCACATCCTATGTAGCCATCTTGAGTAATCTCACATTTACAGAAACGTTTTTGAAAGCACTCCCCAATGAATCATCTGATGATGGAATATGGTCAACATTATGTTCTGTAGCTTTAAATGGGAGAAGACATGTCCCTCGAGAAAAGTTCCAATATGGTACGATTGTCATCCCTGATTTGTTTAAGCTTGAACCAGTATCTACCAACACCTCTCGTGAGAAGTTAATTAAACAAATGCAAGATTTTCATAAGAGATTGCATACATCTGTAGATGAGGCAACTTGTTTTCAGAGAGTTGGACTTTTCAAATATATAAATAATTGGGACTTCTATCAGGCCAAATCTAAATCAATTGATAGATCTACCATCCTGATATCAAATTTAGGTAGTATTTCAGTTAATGGGAAATGGAAATTATTGGATATGTGGTTTAGTCAGGATTTAGGATTGGCTAATAATTTTCTTTTCAATATGATTTCCACACCAAATAATGGACTTAATATTGTTTTATGCTACAGACCAGAGTTTGGACAAGTGCAAGATAAGACTGGCGAGATTGTGATTGACTTATTTGTAAAGAATTTATCTAGGAGATTAGTTGAGTTTGCGAGGGGTTTAGAGAATAATTAGAGTGTATAGAATATAGAAATACAGATCAATTTATAGTACTTATTCATGACGAATCTTCCTTTGGAGTTTAAAACTCACCAAAAATTGTGCAGCATTGGCCATGAACAAACTTTATATTCGCTCCAGATTTCTTAGCAGGTAAATCGAGATAGCGCGCAAATACAAAATTGCCGCTATCGATAACAAATTATTTATGGGGAGAGAACCCCAAAGTCTCGGAATAAACATCACTTTCTTCATCGTACAAATGAGAGCTCCTGGATATTACGAGCGTCACTTCATATGTCGTAATCTTGAAGGTTATTATACAAATTTCAATATAATTTCAAGATATAATCATAGACTTACCCCGGAATTACTTTCAAACGTATTGCATCTGCTTATAGATAAAGAACCGATACTTGCATTAAACTTCTTTAGGAAAGATGGATCCACCAGAGATGATGATCATTATGCAAATGGACATAACTTTGTAGTCAGACCAGTTGCAAAAATAGATTTTGCCGATGTTGTATCTTTTGAAACTGTAGATCGATTTGATGAGTCAACGTTCAAGTATATAAACCCGTTAACATGTCCAGTGAATATCGAGCTCCCATTATGGAGAATGATTGTTTTTGACCTGAAAGAAGATGGGTATCAATATGTGTGTATATACTTTGAGCATGCCCTATTTGATGGAGGAAGTGGAGCTCAATTCCACCAAGATATAGCGGCAACTTTGGACGAAATTGACAGTAGTAATGATGCCATGGTTGAGCGTCTTTTCACCTCGAGAGAGTCAATCTCGATACCGGAAGCTTGTGAATATACTACCAATCTATTTGAACCATCCTTACTTACAAAACTTTCGTTTTTGTCTGAAAAATACAATATATTGCCCAATTGGACTTCTTACAATTATTGGACCAAGTCCAATTCACCTCAAGTATTCAAGACAACAGTACCAACCACAAAGGATTTGGCTACTGACTATTTACTTTTCAATTTGAATCCAACCGATTTGGAGACTATTAGGAAGTTTTGCCAAAGAGAAAAAATAGCCATCACTTCATATTTAGAAATTTTAGGTACATTTGTATTTACGGAAACATTTTTACAAACCATGCCAAATGATGAAAAAGGTAGCAATGGGGTTTGGTCAACTTCAACTTTAATTGCCGTCAGTGGCAGACGACATGTCCCTTCAGAAAGATTCCAATATGGGACTCTTGTGACTGGGGACATCTACACGTTACCACCAATCGCGCTCGATAGTACACCTAGTCAATTAATTTCATTAATGAAGGGTTTCCATAATAAACTCCACAAATCTGTTCAAAATAAAACATGTTTTGAGAAAATAGGGCTTTATGATTACATGAACTTGTGGGATTTCTATAAAAATAAATTGAATAAAACAGAGAGACACACACTTCTGGTATCTAATTTAGGGCTAATTAAAACTTTCGGGAAGTGGCAAATATTAGACATGTGGTTTGGTCTGAATACGGGTGTGGCTTACAATTTCATTTTTAACGTGACCTCTACACCATGCAACGGACTCAACATTGTAATGAGCTACCGGCCCGAGTTTGGTGAGGTGAGGGACCCAGCCACGAATGAACTAATGATAGACGTTTTTAAGAGGAAACTAGACCAGCAATTGGTTGCTTTTGCAAAGTACAAGATTTAATATGCATCAAAAACAATAGGAGTAAAAAAAAAAAAAAAAAATAATAAACGAAAAAAAAAAAGATGAATCCCGTCTCAACTGGAATACGAGCAATTATTTTTACATAGAAATTAGAACAATAAACGAATGATAACAGTCCAAACAAATTCTCGGGTAGTTAACCGCCCCTAGCCCCTATTCTATACAAGTAGCTGGTTGAAAGCTTGGTGTGCAAGGCTGAGGGAAAACAAGAAAGATGAAAAGGGGTGTGTGTCATCCTACATACTGCCGGTATTTGAAATTACTCGGGTAGGGGCGGAGTTTCAATTTTGAACCAAAAATTTTTTTCTTATGCATAAAGAATAGAAAAATTTAGCGTAACCAATAGAACCCGGGTCCTGCCCTTCCGGCGTTTGAAAAATCTGACCCTACGCACGTCACGTCAAATACCGGGTCATTTCCACTCAACATATATAAAGGAGCAAATCCCAGATATCCCTAGAAGTCTAAAATCAAGATTAATTAGTGTATATTAAAATTTTTTTTTTTTTAAAAAAGATATGGAAAACGAGAAACAACAACCTCCAGTTTATAGAGACGAGGAATCTGACCATTCTATGGGAGAACCGGGATACTTTACTGCATCCGATGGCCATAGAAAACGGTCCAGATCCCACCAATACGACTATATGCACCCACCTTATGTAGGGGGTGCAGATGCGTACTATTATAGTTCGCCATACTACTCTGACAGCCCTTCAGTACCTTATGACTACTACAGGGGCTATACCACTGCGGAACCAACCCAAGCTGCTAGTGGACCATCTGACCGTACCAAGGGGTCATCTCGTCGTGAAGAACGTCGTGAAGAACGTCGTGCGCGTGAACGCCATGAACGCAGTAGAGCCTATGCTCAAGGTCACCCTCACCCTCATCCTCACCCTCACCACCAACACCCACACCCACACCCACATGCCGTTGCTCAGCCACCTTCCAATCAACTTTACAACCCTTGGTACGCCCAGGGTGGTGCTGCTGCTGGAGCTCCTATTACTAATGGTCACGGGGCATATCCACACGATGTTGCTAATACGAGCGATGAGCTTTACAGAGATGGATCGTATGCGTACGCCTACTCTCCTCCAGAAAAGCGTAGACGTGGCACTGCCAAGCGCACGTTGATGCTCATGATGGTGTTGATCACTTCCTACTTCATGTTCTCTCTCGGTCGTGTCTATGAGAGTAGAGGCGAAGTGAAGCTTTTCAGCATGCAAGGACGTTCTCTTCCAGAATGTATGCCACGTCCTCGTGGAGGATGTGGTGGCAGGAGAGGTCGTCATGGTCCTAATGGTCCAAACGGTCCTCATGGTGGTCCTCCACATGGCGGTCCACATGGCGGTCCTCACGGCGGTCCACTCGATGGTCCACTTGACGGTCCACTTGATGGGCCCCACGGTGGTCCAATTGGCGGCCCTTACGTTGCCCCCCACGAAGGTCCTAACGACCCTAGTCGTAAACATCATAAACCTAACCCAGACCAAGCGTTTGAACACAAACCAATTTCAGTTGAAGATTCCCAAATTCCCGAGCTTATGATCGATGTCAGTGACGTTGCTCCACCTCCTGGACCTCCACCTCACATTCCTGCGGAAATTGCTGGCAATGAAAATGGTGACAGAGTTTGATCTGTCAAGGGTTTATGTATGTGCAAATATATAGTTAATTAGTTAAACTGGATTTAAGAAATTGGTATAGTGTAGACATACTTTGAGATAGAGGATACAACCCCTTAAAGACCATCGGAACGCTACAGTGTACCAAAGGGAAGAGAGTGACTTCACACTGCCCTACGGGGTATCTGAGCCGCTCCGCTGGCACTCCGTGGGCCACTGCGTGGGGGCCACGTTCCTCTAACGAGGAAGTCTTGGGGACCTAGATCTCCTCGTAGAGGAGCAAGGCACCACGCAGTGGCTTTCCCCGAGCAGGGGCCAGCGGAGCGTCACAAGAAAGGGAACATTTCCTACCCCACGGGGTCTGTAAGCCGCTCCACTGGCGGCACTCCGTGGGCCACTACATCAATAAATCGTTCTACCATATATATATATTTTATGTACTCTACCTCATCTATCCCCCCACAAAAAGTGTCAATATGCACGCAGACTCACCACCAATCTCCAACTCTTTATCTTACGAGGACTTAGCCAATCGTTTACTATACAATCCCAACGCTTTGATTGGAAACAAAAACTTGTAGGACGGATACTCAATAGCACAACTGTGGTTGAATACCCCTTCGATATCCTCGTACTTCCATTCTCCGGTTGGTAATTGTCTTTCCATTAAAAGTTTAATACCACGACTGATTGGCTCGTCTTCAGGATACTCTGCCAAAATCAACCCAATCAATGCCCATGCAGTTTGAACCACAAGAGACTGTTCAGAGTTCACATAAGTCTCCGTTTCACAAGATTTCATAGATTCAGACCAACCTCCATCATCACGTTGTTTCAGCAAGAGGAACTCACAACCACGACGAACAGACTCATTAGTAGCATACGTTTCCCCCACGGCATTATAAGCCTCGAGGGCAAACATCGAAGCGTAAGTGTAACAAACCCCCCAAGATCCAAACCATGAACCATCTCTGGGGCTTTGTGCCTCGGTGATGTATTGAATGGCATTACGAATGGCTTGGGAGATTTCTTCTCCACGATGATTAGGGTAATACTTGTGGAAATATGTCAATCCAAGAACTGAAGAGTCTGTACATTCAACGTATGGATACTCCACCATGATCTTATTGAACACCTCGGCAGGGTTCAAGTTTTCAAGCAATGGGGTGGTTCTAATTTTCTCGTACGAGGAGAAAGATCCAAACTCAAACGAACCCTTATTTTGGATATTTAAAATGACATCTACTGCCTCGTACAAGTCTTCAGGGGCGATGGCTTCCTTAATTGCAAGATCATCTGAGTTTGCAGGATCATTTTGCACCATGATGATCGCCTTCAAGGCTTCTGCTGTACAATCACTCACCGTGTAACCTTGAGATTTGGTCAGAAATGGCCATCCACCCTTTCTCTTATCACGGAAACTTCCAGGGGCACATTCATCAACAAATTGGGATCTTACAAGGAAATCATACCCACGACGAATCATGTCGCGATGCTTCAGTTCTAGCCCGGTCATATACAAGTACTGGATCATAAAGGCCACATCCCAAACCTGTACCCCATTGGTACCCATGACGGTCATACCCTGGGGACCATGGAACAAGACATCGTTCATTCTATTTTGAAATCTACGGAATGCATCGGATTCTGACCCTTCAACACACCAAGTAACAATCATATTAAAGGCAAAATTAATTGGAGCAATACACAAATAGTCTGTATTGGCACATTCCTTTTGAATCAATTCGTAAACCCGAGCATTAGCCTTTTGCAAAAGCCATGAAGGTCTTAGATATTTTTCATATTTCACCATCATCCAATTGGCCAAGTCAAGGACTTTTGTATGAGGGTAATACAAATCAATACCACAAACATTATTTCTATTCAACAGGAAATTAATTTCTTCATAAGGTTTGGAATAAATTTCTTGTCTGATTTCCTTTATTAAAGGAGTCACCTCGCAATGGACCTTGTTGGCTGCAACATATCCAAGAGGAAGATAAATGGCTCTAGTATGGACCCACCATTTCCCTGGGTGAATTGGGAATGATTCTGGCAATAACCACATTTCTGGAGGTGCCGGGTTTACTCCTTCCCATTCATAAAGGGAGAGTAGAGACAACCAAGCTTTCCCCCAATGAGGGTTTCCCAAAGCACCTCCAAGTCTTGTTACGAGCAATTTACGAGCCTTGACACACACTGGATGATCCGCAGAGAGTCCCAAAAATCTCAAACATACATAATTCATAGTGGTTCCGAAACAGGTGGATTTATCAGCTGAGTGTAACCCCCACCCACCATCCACTGGATGACAAGTATTAACAATGTATCTGATCATTTCGGTACGATAGGGTAAAGGGATTTCCAATCCTGAGATATAATTGGCTGCAACGTAAGATATGGTCATAAACATGGGTCCCTTGTATTGACAGGGGAACGTCCCCGAGACTTTATCTTGTAATAATTCAAAGAATTCTGCACCTTTTGCAGCTGCTTGACCTGGAGTAGTGATTTTTTCTGGCGTTGGAGGTTCAAATTCATCTAATTGAAGATGATATTGGACAAACAGAGACTGCTGCAGGGTTTTCAGAGCCAGTGGGTCATCCAGGGATGTGATTGGGTGGGGTTCCTTGGTTGGTTTGACTTGTTTGGAATGGTCCTTATTCTCTTCATAATGCCACGTCTCACGGCCCAATGGATCCGTTCTAAGTCTCCAATTCTTGGGGTCTGTTCTAGGAAGACCTATTTGTTCTGAATAGTACATAATAAGATGGCCTTGTATTAATAAAAAAATTGGTTAGAACAATAATAACTCATCCATATATTTCCATGTATCACCAGATTGAACTAAACGAGACTATTGATATTCGTATAGAATATGCAGGATGCTTGACTAATGGGGTAATAGAGTTAGGTAAGCTGTATACAAAGTTCGAGGAATAAAGATATATTGATAGTGTAGGGAGGAGGAAGAGGAGGAGGACAGAGGGTGTAGAATTTAATAGTGAAGAGAAAGGAAAAGTTGAGTTATTTGATGAAGTTAAAAGAGAAGTTGGAAACATTTTCATTTTTTTTGCAACCATTAAAGAAACAGGTAAGGCTTTTGGGAACTTGGTTTTTAGATAGAGGCGAAGAGGAACTTCTATGGAGATCAGATAAAGCCAGCTGTATAATGAGGTCTTTGTAGGGAACTGATATCTAGTACACCTATAGCCCTACAGCCGTATACTTCTTAATTTAAAAAGTAGATTACTTTTAGTAATGAACTCCTGTATTAATGAAGAAAGCGCCGGACATACAGAAAACTGACCCTATACTTTTCTTTTTATACATCGGCAAAATGCTTCAAGGACGGAGAATATACTCCTACCAAAATTCCCTCTCATTTGATAACACCAATTATATATCACCACCATCTCTTCTCTTCTCTTTTCTCCCCGTCTCTCTGTTTCTCTCTGTCTTTACAGTCACATGACAAAGACGTGCTCCTACCAAATCCAATTATAATTATTTTGTGATATTTTTCTTCAAAAAGTTCACCCTCATCACTTTAAAATCTCAATTGTACACAAAGTTCGCGATATACAAAAAAAAAATCTAAAAAAAATAAAAAAAAAAGAAGCCAAACTTCAGGAGTGACTACTTTTTTTTGTGCTAACTCCCTCCCCTTTGATATAGCTTGTAGTATGGGTAAGAGAAAGCTTGAACAGGAAGTGCAGGAGCACGTAGAGGCCGAGCCGCTGGTTCTGAAGTTGAGCCAGTTGGAAGAGATGTCTGACGATGATGACGACGACGATGAAGAAGAAGACGAGGATGAAGTAGATGGAAAGACCTCTGAAGCCAACGGTTCCGACAAGGCCAACAATGCCGCAAACGCCCACCAACGTCCAACCAAAAAGCAACGTAAGCAGCTTTCCGCGCAACAAATCCAAATCGCCAGAGAAACTGCCGAACTCTTCAAGTCTAATATATTCAAACTTCAGATTGATGAACTTGTTAAAGAGGTTAAGCTCAAGGAATCACATGTTACTAAGATCGAGAAGGTCTTGCACCGTATCCACGACCTAATTTCCAAGGTGCCAGCCATCACAGACCTCTCCTTGCAACAAGCAGAACATCATTTCAACTCCAAGAAGATTGTAATCCCATTCCCAGACCCTAAGCCTGCCAAGGCCAACTATAAATTCGCCTACTTACCACCACAAGACGTCCTGTTGGTTGGTTCCTTTGGGCTTAAGACCGGTGTTGCCAGCTCTCATGGTAGCAGTATCGATATGTCCTTAACCATGCCAAAGGAACTTTTCCAACCAAAGGATTATTTGAACTATAGAGCGTTCTACAAGAGAGCCTTTTACATTGCTTATCTTGCCGAGCATCTTGTTCCACTCTCTAAGAAGAATAACCTCCCTGTGAAGATTTCATACCATTTCCTCAATGGAGATGTCTTGTGCCCAGTACTTAAATTGGAATCCATTCAAACCGATAACTCTGAAGATTTACATTTCCACAAGACTAAATTCACTATTAATTTGATTGTTGGATTCCCATTTGCCATTTTTGACAATAAAAAGATATTGCCAGATAAGAATTGTATTAGAATCCAAACCGAAGGAGATGAAGAAAATAGAGCTACTCCATTATACAATTCCTCCTTGGTTTCTCTGACCGCCTACGATTACTATCTTAAGTATCTCTACACCCTGAAGAAACTGGCAGAACTGTTCAAAGACGCCTGTATCTTGGGACGTTTATGGCTTCAACAAAGAAATTTGGGATCTAGTTTCCAATCTGGTGGATTTGGACACTTTGAATTTGCCATCTTGATGAGTAGTTTGTTGCATGGAGGTGGTGTCAACGGGAATAAGATCTTACTTCATGGATTCTCCTCATATCAATTATTTAAGGGTACCATAAAGTATTTGGCCACCATGGATTTATCCAGTGGTGGATACTTATCATTCTCTTCTCTCATTGGTGAGAATGTGAGTTCCAAATATATTGAAGGAGATGATGCTTCATTTAATGTTCCAACCATCTTTGATAAGAATGTTAAGTTGAACATTTTATGGAAAATGACCAACAATTCTTATCAACAACTTTGTCAATTGGCCAGAGAAACCCTTGGACTTTTGAATGACGTGGTTAAGGATAGATTTGATCCAATTTTGCTTCAAAAATCAAACATTAATCTGATGAAATATGATGTTTTGGCCACTTTAACTGTACCAGAAGAACTTTTGGATTCATTCACTGCCGCTGAAAAGATTCAATTTATTACCTTTGAGTCATACTTGAAGCATAGAGTTGCCTTAATCTTGGGCAAAGCCTTGGGTGATAGAGTTACTTTGATCAATGTAGAGGCTTCATCTAATGTTAACTTTGCAATCAATAAGAGAAAGCCAAGTAACACCTTCAACAAACTTACAATTGGTTTACAATTAAATCCAGATGAATGTGAAAAGCTTGTCACCAAGGGACCTAATAATGAAGATACCGAGGCAGGACTTAAGTTCAGAGCCTTTTGGGGGTCTAAATCTTCTCTCAGAAGATTTAAGGATGGTACCATCCAACATTGTATGGTTTGGACTTCCACTCCAAATGAATCTATTGTAGTCTCCATCATGAAATATGCTTTGGATTTACATTTGAAGAACGATGTATCCAATCACTTATACTCTGAAAGCTCACATTTCAATGCATTATTACCAACTCCATTGGTTACCAGTGCTGGTGCCATGGGTGGCTTCACAAGTTTGAAGGCTTCGTTTGATAGTATGTCTCGTATCTTGTCCAATTTGGACTTGCCACTCAATATCAAGGCTTTACTCCCTGCATCTTCAGCCTTGAGATACTCTTCTTTACTTCAACCAGTCCCATTTGCAGTTTCAAACCCAGATTTCTGGAATGAAGTTATTCTTCAATTTGAAACTTCTACCAGATGGCCTGATGAAATCAGTGCTTTGGAAAAAACCAAGACTGCTTTCCTTTTGAAAATCAATGATCTTCTTAATTCTGAAAGCACTTACAAGTGTTTCATTACCAAGGATAGTTCAATCCCATTCAATGAGAATATCACTTTACTTAATGTTTTAACTCCGGAAGGTTATGGATTCCAAATCAGAGTGTTAACTGAAAGAGACGAAGTGTTATACTTGAGAGCTGTCACAAACGCTGAAAAGAATAAGGCCTTAGTGCAAGATGTATATCTCAAGTTCAATCAGAAATACTTGGGAGTTGTCAAGCACACCAGAACTATTTCTTCATTGGCTCACCATTTCCAATATTATTCTCCAACCGTGAGAGTATTCAAGAAATGGTTAGACTCACATTTACTTTTCCATCACATGAGTGATGAACTTGTTGAATTAATTGCCTTGAAGCCATTTGTCGACCCAGCACCTTATTCCGTTCCACATCTGATTGAAACCGGGTTCTTGCAAATCTTGAACTTCTTATCCAGTTGGAATTGGAAGGAAGACCCATTGATTATGGATCTTGTCAAGTCAGAACTGACTGCAGCTGGTGTAGACGACGAGGATTTAATTTCTTCTAAGTTATCTGATAAGTTGACCATCCCAGCGTATCGTGTCATTGAACTGAATTTCGAGAAAATTAGAAAGAACGATCCATCTGGTATTAAAACTCAGCTTTTCATTGGTTCTAAAGATGACCCTTCAGGGATTTTATGGTCCAATGAACTTACTTTGCCCATTGCCAGTAGACTTACTGCCTTGGCTAGATTGGCCGTGTCGTTGGTAAAGCAACAATCACAATTAGATGAAGCTTCAATCAACCTCCTCTTCACCCCTGCATTGAAAGATTACGATTTCACCATCAAGGTTAAGACTGCTAGCTTGACCACCTCTTCCGGTATCTTGCCAACCAACACTTTCAAGAATCTTATTGGAGCAGACACTTCCTATCCAGAAGATATTTGTTCCAAATATGATTTGGTTCAAGCATACGTGGATGAATTAAATAAGAAGTTTGGTAATGTGATAATTTTCCTGACTCGTAAGTGCACTGGGTTGAGCACTGACGGACTGAATGTCATTGCTGGGTTATTTGTGCCTTCTAATTTGAGCAAGAAGAAGTTCAGAGTGAACTTGGGTATCAATGTGAAGCCAACTGAAGAAAAGGATGAATGTGTGATCAACAAGGAAGCTATTTTCAACCAGATCACGTTGTTGGGAGGAGATCTTGTACAATCAATCAAGATTAGAAAGTAAAGGAGTTTACAGTGGAGAAAGAATGATGAAGCCTGTTATAATAAAATATAGACTGTATAGTTACAAAGCATAATTAGAGAAGAAAATCTCAATGGTAGATTTGATATTATTAAATATTTATAGGAGATAGAGGTAGGAGATGTAGAATTGCCATTTGAGAGAAGTGGGAGTCTTGGGCGATATTCTAGTGACAGATCATACCATATATTAAAAAAAGCTTTCAGAATATATAAAAAGTGCCATAAATGAACATATACTGGAATTAGAAGTGAAACATTCACTATCCCGTTCATAGTCTACCCTTGTAGAACTGTAAAAAGTGGCGATACTTACCTGCAGTACACCATACACAGTACGTGTTTAGACATTTTTAGTTGTACAACTCAAAAGGTACCACTTTTTACACATCTATTTCCACACAAAAAACTTCATTTCGAGCACTATTTGAAGGGTTTATATTATTATTTCCCACATTCTAAGTAACCAAGAATCAATAAAAGACCACTATATAATAGAAAAATTAGGACTAAAATCTGTCTAAAAATCTGAAAGGAATCACGCAAGCAACAAGAAAACCAGATGACTTTACAAGATGAAGTGAACTCATTTACAGAAATGAGATACCCACCGGCGCTGGAGATCATTGTGAATAACGCTTCAGTGCTATACAAGCGGAAGAAGTACTTCTTGGAAGATATACGACGAATATGCCATGTAATGGGGTTTGTTATCATAGCCATCGTGTACCTTCGAGATCTTTCATTCTTGAGGTTTGTGGTGCGGGCGCTCACACAGTATTTCATATCTAACCCTTACTCCAAAATGAACGAACGGATGGTAATCCCCGATGAAATCAAAAGAATTCGTGCCAAGGCCCTTCTTATCGGAATCTTAGGGTCCAACACATTTTGCATTCTTACACATTTGCTCTTTGGTGTGTACACCAAGAGTCCATCCGACCGTGACATCGTTACTGGTGGTACTGGAGGTGCTGCTGGGTATCTTTATGGTAGTATGACCGTGCAATTCATTGGAGAAAGTCTCCCATTTTCAAGATTTGAGTTGATCTTGATGGACTTGGTTATTTTACTCATTCAAGTGACATACCATAGTCTTATGTGTGTCATTGATGTGAGTAGTGTTTTGGAGCCCAAAAGGGACTTGTTAGATGAAGGCAATGCTAGCTATGAAGCTGATGGATACGGTGGTAATGTTGATCTTGTAGACATTGATGTTATTGCAAATGTTCGTTTAGTGCTAGGATATTCCGACAGAGCAGAGATGCCTCCTCAATTAGTCGAATTTTGGTGGGGTAGACAAGGTCGTCAACAAAGAGAATCTGGTGAAGTACTCGGAACCAATACCCCTGCTGCCCCTCAACGTATCCCGGGCTCATTCCCCACGTCAAGCGTGTTTGTATGAGCTGGAAGGAATGAATAAACTACATCTAAAATTATTATCAATATTTCTCTCTAAAGAGTCTCGGAGAACGAAAACAAAACAAAAATAGAATGGATTTGGGTCAAATAAATAAATAAATAGAAGATCAAATAGTAAGACAAGTCTTACCTCACATCAAATAGGTTCTAATGTAATGAATGTTGTAGTCTTTGACCGGGATATGTAGAAGTATATGGGTACGTACTTCTTTATATCTCCCTAGACCCCTTGTTGCTTTTTTTTTACTGCGAATGGATTTTGCAGCAAATTTTTGGCAACCAATTTTTATTATTTAAGATATCATATATACTTCTCTAGATATGCAACAGCGAATACAATTCATATCTTAAGATAAGTAAATCTTCTTGGTCGAGCTTTAAGCATGAGTCTAAGAGGGACCTTCTGGTCATGCCACAGGTAGAAAACTTTCTCCGCCTTTCTAGATTTATAAATTATAATTCCATTATCTTAACAGAAGAAGAACAAAAAAGTCACATACAAATCATGATACCTTTCTTACTAATTTATCTTCCCATCACCAATGACTTGTTCTTCTAGTACCAGCTGCTACCCTCCCATACTAAAAGCACATCCTGCATATGAAGTTCAATAATTTTTTCTTCTCTTCGAATTTTTTTTTTGATTTTCTAAATTTTTTTTTCTCATCTCAAAAGAAAAACGACAGTCAAATCACCTTTTAGTAATCATTTGATATCCCCATATACACAAACTAACAATGTCTGCAGACACTTTGGTAGGAATAGAATACAACAGAGTCACTAACACGACATCCACAGACTTCCCAGGTCACCAGAGTGCCAGTGGTACCGGAACTGAAGCAACTGACTTTGCCTGGGACATTGAAAAGTTTAAAGATCAATTTGAAATCAACATCTCTCACATCACCGAAAGAACTGCCAATTTCGACCTTGTTCACATTGACACCTCCATTGCCAATGCCTTCCGTCGTATCATGATTTCCGAAGTTCCACTGGTGGCAGCTGAAACTGTTTATGTTTTCAACAACACTTCAGTCATTCAAGATGAAGTCTTGGCTCATAGAATTGGTCTCGTTCCTTTGAAGGTTGACCCAGATGTGTTGTCATGGGTCGATGCTGCCCAAGATGAAAAGGACAAGTTCACCGACGAAAACACCGTTGTTTTATCTCTTGATGTCACTTGTACCAAGAACCCTCATGCGCCAGCTGGTTCGACCAACCCAAAGGAATTGTACAGAAATGCTCACGTTTATGCCAGAGATTTGAAATTCGAACCTCAAGGTCGTCAAGCTGAAATGTTTGCCAAGAACCCAGTCGTTGCCTCTGATCCAGATATTTTGTTGGCCAAGTTACGTCCAGGTCAAGAAATCTCCTTGAGAGCTCACTGTGTTTTGGGTGTTGGTAGTGATCACGCCAAGTTCTCACCAGTTGCCACCGCTTCTTATAGATTATTGCCAGTTATTGACATCAAGGAACCAATCGTCGGAGAACTGGCTATTAGATTCCAAAAATGTTTCCCACTGGGAGTCATTGACATTAAGGAAGGTAGAGCTTATGTGAAGGATGCTAGAAAGGATACTGTTTCACGTGAAGTTTTGAGACACGAAGAATTCGATGGTAAGGTTAAGCTTGGAAGAAGAAGAGATCATTTCATTTTCAATGTTGAATCCACTGGTGCCATGTCTCCTGAAGAAATCTTTTTCAAGAGTGTAAGGGTATTGAGAAACAAGGCTGAATACTTGAGAAACTGTCCAATTGGACAATAATTGAGCGATTTCTTAGGATCTGCTGCGACAAAATAGTAGAAAGGCAACGAAATAGTTGGCCAGTTGGTGATACACTGACAAATTGTATAGTAAAGAAGAATAATTTTGCATAAATATAAATGTAGGAACGAAAAAAATAACATGTATTCTAGCGATAGTGACAGAAGAGCGAACGAGGCGTGGAGAAGATATAAAATTGGCATTTTGGTGCCTCTTTAAAGTAAGAGTCTTGTTATGGTAAAGGAAGGCACTAGCCAACTCTTGAAGTAGTATATATGAATGTCCAAAGGGGTACAAACTGAGCTTTCTCTTTGTACTTTACCATATTCGATATGAAATTACGGTTTTGGTTTCCTGTACGAGTTGGTGGATCATGCCACTTGTTACTAAAATTCATCAAACTGAACCACATATGAATTATTCCTTCAACATAATCACCTCTTCTCTTTGAAAGTAGTTGCGTTTTTGACAACAACGTTATATATATATGTCCGAAAAAAGTCGTTCAAGCCACTCAAAGAAAGAGCTGCGAAACGAAAAGCCTCGTATTTTTAAATTTGCAACTTCATGCAATGACGAAATAATGCACAAGGTGACCCTTCGGCCAGCTGAAGGTTTATCGAAGCTCCAGAAATTGATCCAAACTAAACTTAAGAAAGTTGACTATGGACTTGGTGGTGGAGCATTCCCATATGGTCCTTCACTTATCACCTATATGGATGCTAACGGTGAACAGATTTCAATGACCACAGACGAAGATTTCTTGGAATGTGTTGCAATAGCTAAAGATTCGAATAGTAGAGTTGCATGTTTGACAGTATTTCAATACCAAATCCCCAAAACCTTAATAATAATGGGGCCACCTATACTTGCGCTTGTAGCAACTATTATTCTTTTTCTTATACTGGAATATGCTACGGAGATGATGGGTGTGAAATTTTGTTCTTTTTCATGAATAAGGAGAATTTTACTGATACCGACAAGTGACACACTCTACGGTATGGAAAGGAATCATATGGAGATAACTTTATTCATATCTTATTTAAGTTTGTCTAAGTATATATTTAAGGGAGGAACTAAAGTAGCATCGTATGTATAGTGTTTCAGATTGATTTGAATGAAAATTTGGACAAGCCAGAAACTGTAATTCTATTCTAGTTGTATTAGGAGTTTCGTTCTCTATCTTACCTAATCTCGCAACGCCTATGTTTGCACTTACATGATAATCATCAAAATACTCAACTTTTTGTTTCTGAATGTTTACTAGAATAAACTGGTTTTCATTAATTATATGAAATATCACTGCTACTGTATATACCTTCTATTAAAGCAAATTATGATTAAATAGAATACAAAAACTAATAGGAATCATGATCTCTTTGAATTGGAATAGTACACTTGCAACATTATTTCGCATAATTTTGCAGCCACTCCCATATATTATCATTCTCAAGTTATTCCCCCTCGAGCTTCCACTATTATAGCTTCCTGATCTAAAATATATAGTTAACTGTATCCAAACGAATGATAATTATTTTTTACATCTGAGATAGAATTGGTATGAAACACGTTGTGTTCGATTTTGGAAAATTTCAAGGAGTAAAGATGTATCACTCCCATACCGCTAAAAAAAGCCATATATGCTTCACAAATTTGCACATTTATAGAAAATTAGGTCTGAACTAGTGTATTGAGGGTCACTCCATATATAATATATAAAAGTCAAATTCCGATGAATGACATATCTTGATCGTAATCAGGTTGGTCGAGAAGGGAACTTTGGCAGATCCTTACAAGGAACGCAATGTTTAGTACTGGTACTTCTATCTGGCACTGCACCTGTGTATGTTATAGCAGAGTAGAGAGTAGAATCGCCTATTGCAGTACCTAGATCGCGCAGAGGCACTAGGCTTATTTGACTACGATCATAACCCATTCCAATATTAAATTGCATAGTGTAAGAACCTGTTACAGTTGTCAAAATTCCACTAGTGGTATCATAATCAAATGACTTGATCATTTTGGAAAGTGCAATTGCGTTACCCCCACCAAATCCAGCAACTAGATATGGTTTATCTTGTCCTTTTGATCCAACATAGAGAGTTGAGCTTTTCGTCGAAAGGTATATAGTTTGGTTAGAGTTAAACTGATGGCCACCTCTTTGATACCAAAAGACAGAGTTAATACCTATATCAATGCACCCCTCGCCTTGGACATCACCAATAGCTAACCAAGCGTGGTTTCTCAAACAAATTTGTCCATCATTAATTATTGCCTTTCCAATGTTTCCCAAATTAGCCGTCTGAGAAATTCTTTTCGTACTGTACAAGTTTATTGATCCATCCTTGGTGTTTTTCCAGATAGGAGCATCGATTGAGTATATCACAACCGGCAGATTCTCGGTAATGAAGTATATTTGACCACTATTTTCGAATCTTTGAATATTCAAGTTGTAGCTTGCAGAGGATCCTCGTGCTCTGAAAGCGATTAAACCGCTATTGACAATTACAGAGTTAGAATTGGCGGCTAAATCTAATGCACTGCAAGTGTAGTCAAGATTTATGTAAAAGGAACCAGAATTGGCAATGTTCCCACCAAAAAACTCTCTACTGCTCCCATATATATACCAGCTTGCACCCGGATCAATTGCAACATCACCACCTATATCGACTTTGCCCTCGTTGTAGACATCTGTTGTAATGTGTTGGCCAATTACTGGCGCAACAGCAAACGCTGAAAGAATAAATTTCAATATTGAGTTAATATGCATAATTTAAATTGACTTAAAATTGTAGAATAAATTTATAAGCACAATCTCTGCACTAGTAAAATCAATATGCTGTTGTATTTATACCTTTGCAATGTTTTTTTTTTGTCAAGGTAGATTCGATATTGTAGCTAGCCTCGTATTTTTGCAATCATCTTACAAACCTGAAATGCGGAATTGAGATGCAGAGTGATCATGGAGCCACTAATCCTCAAATTTCACGCTATATCTCGAGTATTTTCTATTTCCCCAATGTAGTTCAATCGGGGAAATTGATCTGATTACAACCTAACTTGAGAGTGAAGTAAGGATATAGATTATGAAACCTCGGGCTACATACGACATAGTCATCTAAATGTTGCAAATGAAATGTATGACCACGGTAAATATTTTGCAATTAAATCATAGAACCCACCTCATTATGAGTGAGTGTACATTGTCTTCTGATACTACGACTTTAACACCAAATCAGATAAAATCTCTCTACTTTAATAAAAAACAATGCTCGTTAGATATTGTTCGCCCTGTTGAATATCTCAAAACACATTCTAAGTGTACGTTGTTGAATTTCACATACACTGCGGGGAGAGATTTCAATAGCTGCAGATGGAGGAAACCAAATTCTAGACTTTTCATTTTAAAAGCTTTTCCTGATATCAAACTAGGTAGTAGATATTCTCTTCCAAAAGAGTCGCAAATTATTACTACACGGGCTAAGAAATCTGTTAAATAGATCGAAATGAAGGGCAAAAGAATGACATTCGTTGAAAGATTTTTATCGTAATTCACAAATGAATTACTGGAACCAAGAAATCTTTGGAGGTATGCACGATGGTCTAACTAAATATATCCATAATTTCGCCTTGTCGGTAAAAATCAGTAAGATCGCTAATTCTACACACGCATTAGGTCATAAATTGGAATTCGCCATTTTGCCTCTTGATGACTTTATATTTTAACACCCGTGCATAGTTGTTGGAACCTGAAGATATAAAATGCCAGTTACATTGAAAATATGTGGCTCACTTGTAAGTTAAAGGTGTCCAATATCTCCACAATTCACCCCCACCCAACCACATGGCTATGCGAGGGGCTCGCAGCGCTTAATCAGAATATCTCAGTTTGAAATTATCATGAGGTACCCCGGTAATTAGCTCTACAGCGATTATCAGGAACTGGACATAAAGTAGTGATAAAGATTATTTTAAATTTATTTTGAGCCATAGAATAAATATGAACAAATTCTCCAAGGTTCACTATTCTGTATCATGGACCAGCAATAAATCAACTCATACCAAAAGAATTTGCAACTTATATTGGTGCGCAGTAAATTATGTAGGGCAATTGTAAAAAACTCCGTAAAGTTAAATTGTATGGTAATAAGTCTGTAAACGAAGATCCTGAAGAAGAATCTTTGGTAAATTCATATATAACTCCAATAAAAGACCAGAGTACTTAGTTCAAATACTTTCCCGAGAGAGATTAAATATTCCAGTCCATATTTGTCCACACGATAGTGTAAAGGAGTAAAACCAAAGTCAAAGAGGGAAAGATTGGTCTTAGCATGAATCAAAGTTTCTATTTGACTTATAATGAAGATAGAAATAATGTAGCAATCGTATCAAGTGAAGACTTTTTTGCATTGTGTTGAAATCTCAAAGAGGTTTTTGCAAAGAAGTTCAAACAAATTAATGTACACCTCTCACATGGAGATTGGCTTGTTATTTAAATGGAAAAGAATTGTACTTTTTCTTCAAATTTGGGAGAGAAAAGTAAGTATTTATTGCAGGGGCGTTTATCTATGAGTAGTAATTAAAAAGACCGGTCAGTATTAATCTAAAGTTATAAAACGAGATAATGATAACAGGAATGCTTTAAAGAGAATTTTAATACCTTCCCCTTAATTCAATAAGGTGATACCAGTACGAAGATAAAGCCAAGTAGATTCTTCATTTAAATATTCAAACCAGAGATCTGTCTACAGGGCTTATAAACAACTCTGACTTATCTTCTCGCATATCCAAGGCGACGCGCCTTATCTCTTCCAAGCATATCGATTGTCTGCTAAAAATCTAAACTACCTGATGTATTCTCATCAATCAATCCTATGGCTACAACCACAGTTTTCTTTCTCTAAATGGGTGGCGTTGGCACCAGTTGGTTAAAGAACAAGGGTATCCCGTATATTCACGACTACAACATATATAATCAAACAGTTTCGACAAAATAGGAGAATGCATCTGGAAAAAGATGTTGAAAAAAAAACTCAAAGGATCGGTTTGAATTTGATTTGAGTGGCCCACTGAAGACAGTGTTGTACATGTGTAACGGCGACTACACTATGCCAATATAACTTTGAAAGCTGATGAAGTTGTTTAGGGACTCTGATTGAAAATTTTCTGTCAATGGATGACAGTACTGGATTTCACAAGGATGAAATATTTTTGATCTCTTATGCAAATATTCTAAATATCTTTGAAAAGTGATGAAGATCTTACGCTCTTCTCTGTATTCTTGCTTCGACCATATCATTCTATCTGATATCAAAGATATTTTTCAATAGCATGATCTATTTATATCAACTCTATCTAGTAATAACCTCTGCTATTCAGTTTTGATATTACTTTTGTGGAGTGGCTGCAAAATTTGATAGACCCTATTAAGTGATGTCGCGCATTCTAAACTTTGTTTCACTTTTTTTCCCCTCTTTTCAAATACACACATTCTTAAAACATCTAAAATATTTTCCTCCACTACAATCATAATACTTTTTGTCTATTTAAATGTTTGCTTTTTTATTCATTTCAATTTTAATAATATTTAAAATATTTTCATGATATAAATTATTTAAACCAATTGCTTTCTGCTTCCCTTGAAGAACAATTGAACAATGGTAATTTGTAATGCGGCCATTCCAACCATCAATAACACTTCAAAGATAGAGAAGTAGTAGATACGGGATTCAGTAGACTTGACAGTGGCTTGGTTTCTGTTGTTTCTAGTCTTGTAGTATTGTAAAGTTCTCAAAAGACCGTCCAATTGGCTGTCAATGGAATCCACAGTGGATTGCATACTTTCTACGTGGGCAATTGGCTTAGAGTTTGGTTGATCTGGCATATCAGCCTTGAAATCCATACCTTCTTCTGACTCAAACTTAATTTCAAAATCAACCACCTTTTCAGCAAAAGTTGACATATCGTTAGCAAAGCAAAATTCATATTCACCTACCAAATCAGCAGTGAAAACAAAGTCACCTTGTCTTTGCTTGTCTTCCAGGACAATCACTTCGTCACGTGGGTTCTTGATGGTGTAGTCAACATCAAATGCTCCACCACTTTGCACGGCAAAGTAGTAACTGATTGACGTTCTTGGCTTAGTGGTGAAAATGTAGAAACATGAAGTCTCTTGTGCCCCCAATGTAAAGGTGAGAGCAGACCCCCACACGGATGCGAAAAGACAAAGTAAGGATGCTACGAATGAAAACAACATTGTGTGTATGTCTTGATTACTTTGTACCAAAAAAACAATAAAACTTTGAGCAAACCTTTGTTGTTGATATGTTGAATCGAGCCTTTTTTTGTGGTGTTGTGTGTTGGTTGTAAAAAAAATTCAAGACGTGTCCAGGTGTGTGCGAACCAAAGGAACTTTGGTTCGCGGCCCTGGCAGAGAACAAGGGTAGGTATGGAAGTAGCAAGGAAAAGAAGAATGATGTATTACGCTATAATATAGTATAATGTGTGTATCGAGAGTAATCGTCGCATATTATTAACATATCACACAAATATCCACTTGCTCATAAAGTCGAACTTTTAAACCGTATCAACTGTTCTTTCTATTTTTGGAACTTGGAGGAATCATTCTCCTCGTTATGCAGGATTTACCATTTGCCAGAAAAGGTACAAAAAAAAAGGTTCCCTTTTTGACAGCCAATTTTACCTACAACTTAACATTTAATCGTTTCCACCCCCTTCATTAATCATCTTTCTTATTTATATACTATTTACATGTAAACCATCTTACCCAGAGCATCGAAACCAATTCTTCTATCCTTCTTGGTATCTCTTCTACTGGCACCATATCTATTACCAACTTCCCCAGAAGTAGAATGGGTGAACTTAAACAAATGTCTGTCACCGTCATTTTGTGGGGCCACCAAAACCTTGTTGACAACCTTCTTGCTACCTTCACCATCAACCTTGATTTCAGTCAAGTTGTCCAAAGTTTGCTGAGCAGGTTCTAAATCGAACAACTTGGCAGCATCAACAGGACCAAATGGTTCAGATTCGGAAATCGTCAAGAAACGTTGGTGGAGAGTTTTGGATGGTGTAGGAATTTCAGTCAAATTCTCAGCATTCACTGGTGGTTCGTACAATGGGAACATCTTGTACATGACACTACCAAAACGTTCTAATTCTGGAGTTATCTTACCCTGGAAACTTGTTAGTAAACTGAAAAAAAAAAACATAATAAGAGAAAAGTATTCATTCGTGTTGTGTGTCAATTAATTATTCTCAGTAATAAAATTCTAACCATGTAATTTGTCTTCAAGACTAATCGAAAATAAAATAATCTCATCATAAAAAAAATTGACACATTCCTGACAAAATGAATACTGATACTATAAAAATGAAAACATACCTGTTCCTTCCATTGTGCCTTGATTTGTTCAAGCTTGGAAATTGCTTCAACTCTAGCAATTTTAATTCCATACTTATGAGCAACTTGTTGGGAATGAAGTCCCTTAACAGTCACCTCTTTATGCATTTGATCTTTCAATTCATTTGAAATCATGAGTGCAGTCTTACAGTGAGGGTTCTCCGGGAATGGCTGAAAGACATTACGTGTATTTCTTCTTGAAAAGAACTTTCCATTCTCTTCAGGTTGTTGAACTGTACCGTCGGTATGTCCGTCTTGAACAATATACCTTGGTTGGTGGTCTTGTGGAGGGTAATAGTACTTATTCTTGTAGTATTCACCCCTGATGTTGGTAGGACCAAGCCATGCGATCATATGTCTTCTAAACCATGATCTATGATCTTTTTTAGGATGTGTCTTTGGGTCAAGCACTGGTGTATAAGCTTGAGGATATTTATACTTTCTACGGGACAATTGACGTACTTGTTGCACTGTCACAGTTGCACCCCTTACAACACCATTTCCTTGTCCACAAGTATACATCGTTGAATGAAAAGAAAAACTGAAAGGGAAAAGAAGAATCCTTTTATGATGATGAAACTTTTTTTTTTCTCTCAACTTACTTTGTGTAATTTTTCTTTGGAAAAAAAAAATACGACAAGTTTTCGACAAATTATTTTCTCATTGGATAGACATGTGCAGGAGAGACGTTGAAGGAAGTGTCGACAAAGTAATATATTTAAAAGGTAATATCCAATTTGAAACACATATTGATAATGAGCTATCTAGATGATAGTAGATTAGAATTAAGAAAACAAATTAATAAGAAATTTAACAATAGAAGTTTGGTTTATGGTGTAGAACTAATCTAGATTATGTAATATCTTATGTCATTTTATTTTTATTTTTGATCACTAAAAGTTATTCCTACACCTATTTTATTTTAATTTGCAGTCAGCAAAATGATATTTAAGGTTTTTTAAAATGTTAATGTCTTTCTTAAGAGTAGAACTAAATAATATGTCTGTAGAAGTATAGGAGGTATTCTTATTGCGGTGTCATATCTACAATTGTAGGTCATAGCTCGTCATAATTAATCTGTAAATTGGATTCTAACTTTTTCCTTTAGGGCTTAAAAGTTGGAAACTTCGTCGTAATTTTTGTAAATTTTGTCGTTAAAATAATAAAAATAAAGAAACATTGTTACACTAAAAAATGATTTACAATGAAATAAATGACTTCCCCTTGCACATGTGTAATACCATAAGTGTACCTTCCTACTATTGGATTCCCCACTCTCAGCCTTAAAATACCAATCCAACCATCATTTTCCCATCATTACCTCTTCATATTTTATCTAATTCCTTAGCTTTTGCTGCAAATAGGGCTGAGAATTCACGTCAAAAATTACACAAAAAATTTACTGTTTACATAACATTACGATATGTATACAGAAATATACTCATTGTCCAATTCATAACCGTAAATTGATTCATTAAACCATATTGAACTAACAAGACCTAGATAGTAACAAGTAACAACTGTCAAGATGGTGGACTTTTACTTTCCATTGAAAATGTTGAAAGAGAAGCTCTCTCCCAATAAGGCAGCCAAACCCTTGGAGAGTACTGGAGCGGTGAAAAGAAGAAGAATATCCATCGATGATCCGTTCAATGATACCCAAGAGAAGAAGATAGGCACTACTTTAGACCAGACGGCCACTAAGATGGATGAAATAGAGACTCCATTCATTAAGAAGGCAAATCTTTCTCGAGTAAATTCTCACAATTACCTGTTACCACCACCAGATGAAGCTAACCAGAGAATAGTGGCGGAGGAAACCAGTGAGCAAGTGGCTACCCAAGAAACTAGTGAAAAGGCTGAAGGTATGGTGCAAGGTACAGACCAAGAAATTGTTGAACCGACCAGTCTTGACGGAGGAGAAGGAGACCAACCGATGGAGGAAGTACACGAACTACAAACAGGAGAACAACAACAAGAAGAAGAAGAAGAGCAGGAAATAGCGGAACAAGACGATCTACCAGATGTCAATGATGAAGTACCACTTGACGTGCTTGAAGAAATGCATAAGCTTGAACTCTGTTTCCCGACTCTTTCCTCCTCATACAGACTTATAGACAAAATCGGAGAAGGTACCTTCTCTACAGTTTACAAGGCCGAAGCACTTAACGGAGCAGTTAGATTAGGTTCAGAGATCTGGAAGTCCCCACCTCTCAAAAAGAAGAAACCACAATCCGACTCGAAGCCTAAAAAGAGCCCCATAGTAGCGCTTAAACAAATCTACGTGACATCGTCCCCTAATCGTATCCATAATGAGCTTAAACTATTATTCCTCCTTTCAGGAAACTCGCATGTTGCCCCATTACTCGATATTCTTCGATATCAAGATCAAGTGCTTGCAATCATGCCATACTATCAACATGCTGATTATCGAGACTTTTACCGAGACCTCCCCATAAAGGGAGTTAAGAAATACCTATGGGAACTCTTCCATGCTCTCTCATTTATCCACGATAAAGATGTAATTCATAGAGATCTTAAACCAACTAATTTCTTATATGATCCATTTAAAGGTAAGGGAGTTCTTGTTGATTTTGGATTAGCTGAGAAAGTTGATACTGCACTGTCAACGACCAAATCTATGACATGTCCTTGCAACTCCAAGGACAAGCCAGTTCAACATCGTAAACGTCACATCAAGGCTGCATACCCAAAACAAGATCAACGTCCACCACGTAGAGCAAATAGAGCAGGAACAAGAGGGTTTAGAGCTCCTGAGGTCTTATTCAAATGTACAAACCAACTGACAAAGTTGGACATTTGGTCTGCTGGGATCATTGGAATATCATTCATCGCTAGAAAATTCCCATTATTCAATTCCCCCGATGACATAGATGCTATTTTGGAACTTGTCTTAATCTTTGGATTAGAAAAAATGCAACAATGTGCAGAATTACATGGATGTGCCTTGGATATCAACTTACCTAACATTAACAGCAATACTTCATCAGGAAACTTGGTGCAAGTTATTGGAGACTTTCTCCGTCATGAATGGGAAAATGGAACGTTCCCTCCTGATAGTGTAGCTCTTGATACCATAAAAATCTTGAATGAAGCGGGTAGTGCATTTGTCAAGCCAAATACAGACCAAGGGAACTATTATGATCATATTCATATGATGCAACTTCTTTCTGGATGTTTCAAAATGGACCCATCCAAACGACTTTCTGCTAAAGATGTGTTAAAGTTGCCCTTTTTTGATGATTTAAGAAGCAATGAAGATGACGAGGTAATACTCTAGGATGAAGTATCGAGTGTTCTTTTTTATAAATAGAGAGGTATTCTATAGAAATAATATGTACCAGGCAGTGGGTCTGTCGTTGGTATACATGTGGGTTTACAGATTGAGTTGTAGATATTTAGATAAGTTGACATCTTGGGTCTCGTACTACCAAATCACTACCACTACTCTTTCTCTCTACACTCTTGATCTACAATTCTTTGTTTTATGGGCGTATGGATTTCTGTACATCTCGGGGCTAACCGATATACATAAGCAAATAAATATACAAGAGGGCATTAAATCGTTAATCATTCAGTCATAAGGTTCATCGGCGTCAGCTTCAAGGTCTGCACGAGACCGTTTTTTCTTCCGATCTGGGGCTGGAGGACCCACACTTTCAAGCGCAGGATGGTTCCACTTTCTATTAATTTTGGAAATGAGCGAGTTTTGCAGTTCGGTAGTAGCTGCCGTAATTCCACCATTGGACTTCGTGCTCGTTAGATGAGGTGACATCGTGGCACCAGAGTCAGCAAGCACCGAGTCGAAATCTCTTCTGTTTCTTGCCAAGAACTCAAATTGAAGATCTTTGGAGAATAGGTTCTTCTTCTTGAAAAGAAACGATTGAGGAAGAAGATTAGTCTTTGATGGGTTTAATTGTTTGGATTTCTTCGCCAACTGGTTCCCACCATGAAGAGAGACGGGAGAGGCAGTAGGACTTACCACGGGAACGAGGCTAAGTGATGTGGATGGGGACAGACTAGTTGAATTGGAAGTTCTAGCAGTACCGCCCATGGCCAGTTTTGTGGCATGATGAGAACTATTGGAATAATTGGGGTTTCCCACAAGATCTAGCGGAGAGTCAGGTGATGTAGACTTCCTTGGCTTACCGTCCATGGAGGCCAAGGAATCGAATTTGAATTGGAAATTTTCCTTGATGGAAAAACTTCTCTCAGCCTCAGACACCTCATCTTCATCATCCGATAGGATTGTCTTTGGAGGCAGAATATGCGTAGATTGTAAGTAGTTGAGCGGATGAAGAGTTGTTGGTATCGTTGACGTTATTGATGGGGGCATAGAGGAGGGCAAGTGTTGTGGTGCAGGAGGAGGTTGATGCATTGCATGAGGAGATGATGTTGCGGCAAGTGTTGTCGCTGGTGCAGGAGCCGTTGACGTCAACGACGATAAGCTGGCATAACTGTTGTTCCTTGTCGTGGTGCGTAGCATGTCGTCCACGGAAACAATGGAGTTTCGCGGTGAACCAAGTGATATTATCGACATACGATGAGCAGGACCTGCCACAGCAGAGCTGTTTGAGGTCACCAGTACCGACCTTTTCCTTCGCTGGTTGAGGGCGGAAGTCGCAGGCAACGACATCGCCGTGGCTGTAACATGCGGGCTGTTGGAACCCAGTCTATCCGAGTCCAACGAGTCCATGGCGTGGTGGTGGTGTGTGTGTGTGTTTAGATTGTCTTGACGTGTGGAAAGCAAACTGTAATGGAAAACTTCTATTGTGTGCGCGCTCGCGCGCGCGCATGGGATCTGCTTAAGTTTCTCATTCTGATGTGATAATTATCATTTTATTTTTTTCTCGTTTTTTTTTTTCTGATGTCAAACTCCGATAAGATGTGATGAGGTAGTGATTTCTTTGTAACAGAACTCAGGAATTCAGTACGAAAAATGAAATATAATCCACAATACTGCTTCTACTAACACTAGGAGAATGCAAACCATTGAATATTTGAGATCCTTTTTTATTGTGTCGTCAACTTTTTCTTCTGTACTGCTTCACACAATAAAGTTAAGAGTTTGGTGCCTTTTGTGTTACGCGGATTTTCTCACTGTCTAGGCAAATTGTGAAGTTAGCTCTCGTGTTTTTTTTAGCGCTAACGACATAGATTTGCGGGGTAAAATGTTCAAAATTTAGTAACCGCTAATTTAATATTGGCGGTCAAAGCAACGGTTTTGATATGGAATCGCGAATTGCTGTCAAAAGATAAACTTGTAGTCCACTGTTTGCCACGAGAACTTCATATTCGGCGTGTACTAGTTGATTCCAAAGTTGAAGCGTAAAACATTAATTTCTAGATTTAAAATTAAATGAACATTTTTGAGAAAGGTTATTTGTCATTTGGAAAAACAGAAAGATATAACTTTTGGTTTTAGATTTTTTGGCCCACAAGTACAACAAATAACTTTCAACTTTTTACTTATAGGTGACCTTGAGCATATAGGAGAATTAAGTTTACAACTACTTTGTGTTACTTTTGTTCAATACACATTCGAAATGAAAAATAAACTCATGTACGATGCATATCTACACAGAAGGACATTCATTCTTTTATTGTAATATTAGCTTTGATGGGCGATATAATTAAATACAATAATTAGAACTTAAAGAGATGATAAATATATCTGCATGATCTTCATGCATGTCGAAGTGGCTTAAAAATAATTCGTAAGTCCGTTTGTTCGATACCCTCAGTCTGTTTCAAGTCGGCTTGGCAATGGCACGTTTCCACTTCCTGCCTTGCTTGTATGGTCGAACTCTAATAATAATAATAATAATAATAAGAAAATCGCAGGAAGACTAGCCTCCAAGGATTTCTGCTCTTTGGAAGATTCGGCAATCCCGATAGTGCAAATCAGAAATGCTATATGATTTAGACTTTTCTCTCCATTTATGAAAAAGATATTTGCCCTTCATGAGAATATTTTACATATTCTACTTGATTGAGACCATTTTTTTTTGTTGAGTTAGGACATATTTTTCTTGTGAAGTTTATGTAGTATTCGGTCACCTGCTGTTGTATTTTATTGCGGTGGATCGTACATAACACCCTCTATCTTTTTTTTTTTTTTAAGTAGTCACAAACCTCATGGGTGAAGCTCTGGAAGAGATCTAACGTAGTTTCTACGAAAGTATAACGAAAACACTATTCACGGCGAGAATAATCAATGAACCCATACTACACAAGTCTTGCAGCCAATTGGAAACCTAAAGAAATGCTCTACTGATGCCTACCGCCCGGAGCTGCACAAACTCCAAAGAATTTGCAGTTCATGCAAGCATACCTTGAAAAATCGAGGAGTTACAGATTTCTAGACAGTTTGGAAATGTAGTGTCTAGCATGTTCTTTTAAACCATCTAATAACCAATATACACATTTCAGCATGTTGAACAAAATACAACATATGTGAAACAAGCGCTATAAATGTGGAGTGCGAGATATTCTTATTACTATTGTATAATCCAAGCCTACCTGTTGTTCCAAAAATGTTTTCTCATTACCAATGATGATCATTTTTTTGTCATCTAAACCATTGATTGCCTGAACGTGGATAGTTTTAGCTTTTTAACCTCAAGTAACAAGACCACTATGAACACACCGCCATTGTGATGCATCTCGGCTCTCACTTGACCATTTCACAATCTTTGTCGAAAGAGTACTAAATCTTTGATTTCTGCCATTGTTAAGGGTTCTCTTCATTGAATATATGACCATTAAAACTCTTATCAAGTTGATTCTCTGGAAAAACAGAAATTTCCAGAGCTCATTCAACCCTATCTCTTATAGGGGTATTACTGAAAACATGTGGTCCATCTGCAATGAGACTTAATCAGTATCAACTTTAACCGCGACATATCTCGTGCGAGAAGCTTATTTTCTGAAGTATATTGTATAATTTGCAACTATCTTGATCTCTTGAAGCGGTACAATTACGAAAGATAAAATTCATTACCATTGTTGTTTCATTTTAGCTTTCTGGAAATGTATAGTATGTACTTTTTCTATTAAGAAAATACAACCCAAATTATATTTCCCCATTTACAACTTCTAAAATCCCCATTCCGAGGAAAAATCATTACTTTTCAGGTCGAAAATTGGTTCAAATGAGAAGTTTATCTTTTAAACAATCAAAGGTGTTAGATTATTGGCCAATAAGTCACGACCGGCCAATAAAAATATATTTGGCTAGTGACCGAAGGTTAATGTGAAATCTTAATTGTATAAATATAGATCTGTTTGGAATTTAATACCAACTCCGAACCTGTTCTACAACTATTTTCAAAATCAACTTTATGAATTATAAGATTTTACTCCTTTTTTCTTTATGGATGCTACGGAGCATGGGACTTACCGCGGATTCTTGTCTTCCACCCGGAGAATCCACTGTTGGTCTCAAGGCTGTACTTTACAACTACCAACCTACCTATGTTTATCCAAATATGCAAGACTTTCAAGATTTAAACTTTATGACATCTGGTTATAAATCCAACACTGTTAACGACAATTGGTGACAATACAAGATTTTGGAATTAATGGTGTTATAGTTTACGGCTACAATGCACCTAACCAAGTTATCGTCGAACTTACTGGTTATTATGTTTCATCAGAAACAGGACGATATCAGTTTTATGCCGGTTTTGTTGATGATTTACTTTTGGTACAAATTGGCGCTGGTGAAGCATTTCCAAAAAATGTGAATCTGGCTCTTCCCGTACTACTGATGATCTCTATTGGTGAATTTCTATCCTCAGATAGGGAGTATTTCTAGAAGAACATACTCACTGGTAGATCCCATACCTAGGGAATAAGGTTTGTATTCCCAAATTCCGGAGATGGATCCATACTTAATCGATTAGTAACTCCACTGGGTGCAGGGACAATGTCTCATACCCGACGTTTCATATGATTGTCCTTCCGTACCTGCTAACATTGCAGGGAGGATTGTTGAGTATGTTAGTAGACCAGGTGGATGTCTGGTACCTATCCCAGGACTGCAAGATCTTTTCCTTTGTGCCGACCTTAGTCAAAACTACGTGGATCCTTATTTTTTGGACACTTGGGTACAAGAGCGACACCATATAATACGCTATAGTAAACGAAATAAATTTTGGCAAATTCGATCTGACTTCTGCACCTATCTACGGTGTGCATGTTCCCGACTTTGTACTTATGGAACTTACTGGATATTACCAGTAAGTGGGTTATATAAGTTTCTTTTACAGTTAGTTGATGATTCAGCACATATCCAGAGAGGTGACGGAATAGCATTTGATTGTTGTAGTAGACTTGGTTCAGTTAATAATTATTCTAATATCTTAAGTAGGTTGGAAAAGTTTATCTGGATCGTGCTGTGTTCCTGGGTACATCTGTCAGCTACGTAAACTTTATAGCAGGCATTTCCTACCAAAACCGTCTAATTTAACTGGCATTGGCAAAGTAAGCTCAGAGCTATCATAAACAGGAAGTAGAAACACAATTCATACTCTTTCACTATAACTGAGCACTGGTTTACTCGACTCCTAGTGCATCTGCTTCAGTACGGCTCCTTCCAATTCCTAAACATCATCAAGTGTGATGTCCACCAGAGTGAGGCATCATAAAGTGAAGTTTTATCAAGTGAAGCATCATCCAGAGTTGAGGCATCATCTAGAGACGTTTCATCCAACAAGGCTTCTCTAGCGATGTATCACCTACCCAGTGTCACGTCCAATGGAGTTAGATCCAGCCAGGTTCCTTTTAGTACTGGTTCCTCTAGCGGCCCTGCATCCAGTGAACCCAGAGTCATTGCAGCCAGTGTTGTGGTAGTGATTGTTAGAGTAATATTTCTTCCGGTGAGAGTTCTTCGAGTGAAGATCTACATCTCACTATCGTTACGTCTTATTTGATCTCATTAGGTGAATTTCATAAAGTTGTTTCGTACAGTAAGATTCATTCTAGGGTGACCTCTAACGAATTTTCATTTAGATCCTGATGGAATTGCAAAAATTCCTGATGGAATTAATGGCAGAGCCCCAAATTCTCATCTGTTCTTACCGAATATTGAGCATTCATTGATATTACCATATAGGGTCGGCCAATATTTGAAATATAGCAATAATGCGGTCTGTGTTTCTAATTTCCTCCGACATCAAGTAACCACGGTTCTACCTCCGAAGCTCCTCCTGAAGGTCATCTAAGTCTCATTATTTCCCCTCTGAATGCTGTTATTGTACCACTGCAAAACCTTTCGCCCGCAAGTGTCTCCATAACTGCAATATTTGCTGGTTTCTTCACTTTTTTGTTGTTATATGCTGGCAACTACAATCTTGCTCTGATTTTTTCGTTTCGATAAACTAAATCAGTATACTTTCAAATTGTTTCTTTTGATTTATTAACCATGTTGTTCTGATCAATATGAATAAAGGTAAATTCATCCATTTGTATTGTTTATTCAAAGTTCAAAAATTTATGTCGTGTAATAAACTTTGGTGACTTTATGATGCTGATATCCACTCATTATCCCATGTTCAAGATTTCACGATTGCATCTATTTGTTTCTAGACACAATAAATCTCCAAAGTGTTAGTATGTATTATTTTTCTGCGACTATACTTCATTGTACAATTTTACCAAATGTATTTGATGGTGTGAATGTTATAGCCTTACAGAAATATATGTTCACCAAATAGATCATTTGTATACTTCTACATTCTTTCTTGACTTATTATGTAAAAGTAGTTAGCCATGTAGCCTCAACTAGACTTCCTTGCTAACTTCTATTTATCTTACCTTTCCTATTTAAATATACGAAGTATAATTCTCGTAATCCAACAAACTAGTGGTTGCATGCTCCTAAATTATAGCTTTTAGTCTACACTCTACAGATGCTTTGTACTACATTTGGCCCACAAACACACCCTTGAAACTGTGGTAGAATGTATATACAATAGGGGGAAAAAAGATAATACCATCCATTAGTATTATCGCGTTAATATCACGTTCTTTGTACTCATCCTCATGGGAGATCCGAATTATAACTCCAGTTGCATCAACACAAAAGACCGGGAAAATCCGAATTGTAGTTGAGTTCCCGAGTTAAATCTGTCAAATTAATTTAGACAATTTGGTCTACTTTCGCTCTTCCCTTCCTTCAGGGCAACTCGGTTCTCTTATCGCCTCATTTGAGAAACCGAGCGCGATGCATAAAGAAGTGTCAGAAGCGAAATTAAATTAACACTCGATGACCCCCTTAATCTAAATCTTTATAATTCACCTTAATTTACATCGTCCAACATGAATTTTGGACGATTTGTCTGCCCCACAATTGATCTACTGCTCCCAATTTCGAAATACCATTTCTGGTGTGGCGCTGTTTCATTGGCTGATGTACACTACGGAAAAAGAAAATTGATAGCAGCAGCACGGGTGCTCATGCATAATCATAATAAATCCAATTATTTTCATTCACTTGCCGCACTCTCATTCATTTGCCGGACTTATTTTCTTGTGTTATCCAACCAATCACGGTTTGTGACTACGCCTTGTATAACCCCTCTGGTCCCGTCTCGATCTACATTCTGCATTCTCCGACTTTTCTGAAAATTTTTTGCATATCCTGACTCGTCCTATCTTTCTTTTTTTACTCTTCCCTTTTTTTTTATTTTATTTTTTTTATTTTTTATTTTATTTTATTTTATTTTATTTTATTTTTTTTTTTCACTTTATTCAGTTTCCCATACTAAAGCTTCACTTAGCGTACATTGCTGTTGTTCTTTTTCTCTCCATCCAAACCATGAGCTACAGCAATACCGCGTCCAGTAAGTCAATTGCTACGCCTGGAAGTAGGAAGTACTCGATATCCGAGGCGTTCAGCCAGAGTTTTTCCAATAGTCCTAATCCATTTGACTTTGGTGGTAGAAGTTATGTCTTCTCAGGAAGTGTCAATAATTTGAACTCTCCAGCAGTTCAATCGGGCCATCAAGTTCACGAACAAACTGCCCATTTGGCCAATATTGGGGTGACAGATGATGATGACTCCAATACAAACGACGACTATTATCATGAGGATTCTTCACTTTCAGGTGACAATATTTCCTCTTCACCCCCAATTCCAATCCGTGGTGCTGAAGCTGCTCTTCAACGTAAGGCCAGTCCACCACCAAACTTTGCATCCAGTACCACCCCTTTAATCTCCACCACCCCATACAAGACGTACATGGACGAGCAGGCTGCTGTCAAGGCTTCCTCGGAACCTTGGAACCAAAATGCTCAACCTCAATTCCACAATCCATTTGACATGGAAAGTAGCCCCGTCACCGATGTTGATGGTCCCTTTGGTACTGCTAATGGCCCAGGCGCAGAACCAAGTTTCATCCACCGTTGTGTGGTTAAACCTGTCCAATACTTGCCAGCTGTTTTCCTCGGAACATTGCTCAACATCCTTGATGGTCTCTCATACGGTATGATCATGTTCCCCATTTCTGAGGCCATCTTTTCACACTTGGCCCCATCGGGTCTTTCCATGTTCTACATGTCTACAATTGTGTCCCAACTTGTCTTTTCTCTTGGAGGTTCAGCATTCAAATCCGGGATTGGTTCGGAAATGATTGAAGTCACCCCGTTTTTCCACTCTATGGCATTTTCCATCATGAACGATATGGGGGGTTCTGATGGTAACTCCGACGCAATCATTGCTACCACCATTGTAACTTATGCTATTTCCTCCATCGTAACAGGTATAGTGTTTTTCATCTTGGGTAAATTGAAGTTGGGTAGCTTAGTTGGGTTCTTCCCTCGTCATATTCTTGTTGGATGTATTGGAGGTGTGGGTTATTTCTTAGTGGTCACAGGGATTGAAGTTTCTTCAAGACTTGAAGGTGGGTTGTTGTATGACTGGCCAACTTTTGAGTTCCTTTTCCTTGAAAAAGTACCCTTGTTACAATGGACAACTCCATTAATCCTTGCACTTATTTTGATTGCTCTTCAACATCGAATCCATAACTCGTTACTCGTTCCTCTTTTCTTCATTGGGGTCTTTGTTGCCTTCCATGCCATTGTTGCCATTGTACCACAATGGTCTTTGGAAGATGCAAGAGATTTTGGTTGGGTTTTCCCAGCCGTTGAAGATAATGAACCTTGGTATGGATTCTATTCTCTTTACAAGTTTCAACTTGTAGACTGGTGGTGTATTATGAAGCAAATTCCTTCAATGCTTGCCTTGACCTTTTTCGGGATTTTGCACGTTCCTATTAATGTTCCGGCATTGGCTGTCTCCGTTGGCATGGACCAATTCGACGTGGACCGTGAATTGGTTGCCCATGGTTATTCTAACGCTCTTTCTGGTATGATTGGTAGTATTCAAAACTACTTGGTCTATACCAATTCAGTTCTTTTCGTTAGAGCAGGTGCAGATGATAGATTGGCTGGGATTTTGTTGGCAGTTGCCACTGGTGCTGTCATGATGGCAGGTCCTGTGGTCATTGGATATATCCCAGTTTGTGTTGTAGGATCCTTAATTTATTTATTGGGTTATGAATTACTCAAGGAATCACTCTATGATACTTGGGGTAGATTGAAGAATATTGAGTATTCAACCATTATTATCATTGTTCTCGTTATGGGTGCTTGGGATTTCGTCTATGGTGTTCTTGTTGGTATTTTACTTGCTTGTTTGTCATTTGTGGTCGACGCAGCCCGTCGTCCTGTCATTAGTGGTATTTACACAGGTGTAGTGGCAAGATCCACTGTGTTAAGACATCCAAAACAACAAGATTTCTTGAAAGATGTTGGCGATCAAATTTGTGTTGTCAAATTACAAGGTCCAGTCTTTTTCGGGTCAATTGGGGGTGCTGAAACGGACATTAGAGCTAGATTTGATGAAAAGAAATTCAATGAAACTCCAATTAAGTTTCTTATTTTGGATATGAAAGGAGTTGTTTCCATTGATTTCTCTGCTGCTGAAGGGTTCCGTCGTATCCTCAATTTAGCCAATGAAAAGGACACTCAATTAATCATTTCATCTGTCAATGACAATGATTCCATTGTCAAGGCATTGAGAGACGCTGGACTTTGGGATAATGATCATAAATTATCGATTGAATTGTTCAACACATTGAATTATGCCTTGGAATGGTGTGAAAACTCATTCTTGTCCACCTACAAAAATGTCAAGAAACAAGAAAGATCCACCCCTAAGGCCATTGAAGGTGGTGCTGGAGGTCTTCAAGTACCATCGTCACCAACTAGTAACCATAACCATAGAATGAGATCAGGACTGAACCCAAACCAACTGAAGTTACTGATTATTTCCCAAACCCTCGATGGGACTTTTGGTACTCCTAGAACCACTCAAGTGCTCCAAGCAGCTACTAGAACAGTCAAGGATGAACAAAGAATCCAAAACAGATACTATACTTCTTCGAGTGACTCTTCCTTTAAGAAGCAACCACTCCCACTTATTATGATCACTTTCCTGGGATTGTCAACAAAGAGCGAATCATTCTGGACAGATCTTACGTCATATTTCACCAAGGAAGAAGTTCCAGAAGGTGTCACGTTCTACGACACCGATAGCGATAAGCCTACATTTTTCTTGGTTGAATCTGGACTCATTAGATCTGTTGTTAAGTTTGAAGACGGTGATCGTGAACTCCATTCATCCATTCTCCCACTAACTGCATTTGGTGATCTTTCTGACATGGGTGGAAATTACAGTCAAATCATATATTCTACTGTAAATGATTCAGTTGTGTGGAAGTTGAACGAAGAAAAACTTGCCAATTTGGCTAAAAAACCAGAAGGTGCTGCCATTTTGAATGAGTTGTTGACAATTCAAACAAAACTTGTAAAGGAAAGATTTGACACAATGACTGCAAATTTGGTTATCAGTGCATAATTTTAATAACAATAAAAGAGAACTAATATAAAAATCAACATAATAAAAAAAAAGACGAATGTAGGGTAAACAGTAGAAGAGATTGAGGTATTGGAGTAAATGAAATAATGCTGGTAGTCTTGCCTTACCCTATCATCTTTTTTTTTTTTGTGTGCTCTTTTTATTCTCTTATTAATTATTTTTTTTGCTTTTTGACGTTTTCGCCGTCTGCAACCCAATTTACCTGCCCACGACCCCTATACCTGCATTCGGGTGACCTATTGTAATCTTTCAGTTGAATTTTAGCCCGTGAATTAAGCTTATTCTGAAGAGCATAAACGAACCTAGAACTCTTGAAAATCTTACGAATCATGTGATACATTCACACATCATGTATTTACCTCTACTTCACTCTACTCTATATGTATAACCCCTTTAATCTTTGTCCACTATGTACCCTTTGTACTACTTTAATATTTATTTAGTATTCCGTCCTGCACATACAGCCTCCCCCCCTCCCCAACTTTCTCTTTTGTATTAATTTGCGGTCATTAAACTGTGGACTATGTATCTCCCCCTAATCACTTATTTAATTCTTTGATAGTTCTTTTTTTCTTTCCCACTAATATTATTCTTTCCAAAGGATAGACTATATTGAACCTTCTTTTAAAGCGATTGACTAGTCCATATCTATATTGCTACTTATATTAACCATTTCATATACAATTAATTATAAACATGGTTGCCCTCAATAAATACTTGATTGCTGCCACCCTTGCTGCCTCATCTGCCAGTGCCTTATCATTAGGACTGCCAATGCAACCATTGATTGCCAAGGCTGCTGCTATCTTTGGTAGTAGTGCTCCCGTTAAAAACTTGCAAATCTCCACCTTTGTTGGTGTTGACGGTTTAGACGATAGACCAGTCCCAGGTGACTCCCCAATTGTCCAATGTCAAGCTCATGAAAGTCAAATCTTAACCTTACTGAGTGTTACAATTGACCCTAACCCACCTACTAGAGGTGCCAACTTGACCTTTATTGCCGAAGGATACTTGACCAAGGATATCGAGGAAGGTGCTTATGTAGAAGTGGACGTTAGATACGGTTACATTCGTCTTATTCATCAACAATTTGACTTGTGTGAAGAAATTGGAAAGGTTGATTTGGAATGTCCTGTTAAGAAGGGTAAGCAAATCATCACCAAAGAAGTTGAAATTCCAAATGAAGTTCCTCCAGGAAAATACATTATTAATGCTAGAGCTTTCACCAAGGATGATGAATTCATCACTTGTTTGAGTGCAGTAGTTGATTTCCCACCTGCCTAATTGGTATTAGAGACAATGATTTGTCATTTCAATAAATATTAGAGAAAAAATATTCTTGTAGAATAAGTACGAAGAGTAAAGACATATACGCAAATGAAACCCGTCACGCCTAGAAATTATTGAAACATCTCGGTCAGATTATTCCCACAACAGTGATCCCTTGGCGAACTCTATACCACCAAAAAATCATCTCCAATCTCTTAAGATAAAGCAAATACCCCAGATTGTAATCCCCGTAACATGTTAATGTTCCCCCACAATAATCATACATTCCGCAATTTATAATCTCATACATGTCCCAAACACCATCTTACAAACTGTGTGATACTTCAAAATCCTATTTAGTTTACTTAAATCTATCTAGATTCATACCACTTGCTCACTCAATAACTTCTAAACTACAGCAATAAAAACATCCGTTAATGTTGCCCAAATACCCATCTTACATTTTTTTCTTGTCGCTTTTTTTTTTTATCATTGAGAAGTCTTGGACCTTTTCGGGTTATGCATTTTCAAATCCTCACTCTATTAATCTGTACATCATTTAATAACCTTTATATCATTTGGTACCCTGAGTAAAATGTTTGAAGACTACTTCTCTATTCAGATTTTCTTCATCATATTCAGAGAAACTCTTGAAACGGCCATTATCGTTTCGGTTCTTCTTGCCTTTATCCATCAAAGATTCGGTGAAGATGTTCCTGAGACTTCCATTAAGGTGACCAAGGCTCGTGAAGATATGCGTAAAAAGCTCAGCTTTCAAGTATGGATGGGTGCTGTTATGGGTCTAGTTGTTTGTGTCTTGATAGGTGCGGTATTTGTATTGTCTTTCTATATTATTGGTAAAGATTTTTGGTCCTACACTGAGAGGGTCTGGGAAGGGGTCTTTTCACTTCTTTCAAGCATTATCATCACTGTCATGGGCATTGGTCTCTTGAGAATTAATAAGGTGATGAAAGTTAAGTGGTGGGTCAAGCTTGGTGATGCCTATAATGAAGGTGAAGGTGTAGATGGAGATGTTGATCAAGCCACTTTATTGGGAGCTGAAGATTCCAATGGTGTTGCAGACATTGCTAATGCCAATGAATCATCAAAGAAGAAGGCTCCACTCTCGAAAAGATACTTTCTTGCTATTCTCCCGTTTGTAACCACCCTCAGAGAAGGGTTGGAAGCCGTGGTCTTTGTAGGAGGTATTGGAATGTCCCAACCTCCAAGTTCACTTCCAATTTCCATTCTTGGTGGGATTACCATGGGTGCAATCGTGGGTTATGTATTATACCGCGGAGGTAACCATATGTCACTCCAATACTTTCTCATCTTCCTGACTTGTTTCCTCTACATGGTTAGTGCAGGTCTCATGAGTCGTGGTGTGTGGTTTTTGGAGCTTGAATCGTATGTTCGTAAGTGTGGAGGGCTCGATGTATCCGAGACAGGTAGTGGACCTGGCTCTTACGATATCAGCAAGTCGGTGTGGCATGTTAATTGTTGTAATGGGCTTACTGATGGTTGGTGGATGGTTTTCAATGCTATCTTTGGCTGGACTAATCTGGCCACATATGGTAGTGTTGGATCATATTGTGCTTACTGGATTTTGGTAATTACCTGGTTAGAAGCTAAATTATATGAAGAAAGAGAGGGTTACTTACCATTTATCCCAGTAAAATGGCAATTAAAAAGAATAAGAAAAAGAGTAATGTTGTTTGAAGCCAGAAATGGCGAAGCACGTACATCTTATGAAAGAATAGAGGGTAGCGAGAGAGGTGATAGCATTGATCAAAGCATAGAAGAAGAGAGAGGTTTGTTAACATGATAAGAGATATACTTGCACATAGTAACCTATAATATATTGACGATTAGAATGAAGAAGTATTAACTGAGTAGGTTGAGTCTAAGTAAATTTCAAGTGTTGGAACTTGCTAAGACATTAAAGAATAGGAGCACTAACCTAGGAGAGGAAAGTGCCTTTAAGTATGAAATCTATATGTTTTGTAAGAGGTTCTACACTGAGAAGTAGACACTTCTATGTGCCGTAAAGACTCTAGATTCTTTCTCTTAAAGAAAAGGTAAAGATCGATATACGAATTCAAAAGTTTAAATGATTAGAACCATTCTTGGAAGTTTACTGAATTCTTCAAGTCAGGTGAGGTTCCTGAGTGAACAATAGATACCACTTATGTACATAACAATGATCAAACCCGAACGAGTTATTACGCGGTGAAAATAATTCTGATAGGTCGTAACAAGACGTTCATCATCCACATCGAGGGCCACGGTCACAATAAAAACGCCATCACAGACCCAATATTGGCTACATTGTTTTTTTTGGCTCGGTGATTGCAATTAAACATTCAAAGCCCTAAATAATGACGAACATCATCGCGATTGCTATCTGCATTTCGTGCGGCGACTATGTACAACAATCATAACAAATGAGAACGCACGGCCAAACCCATTAATCTGACACACCATTAACACCCAACAAAAGCCCCAACTCTGACAGGTACGAGCGATCCACTCTTTGGGCTCTACGCCTACATCCTTGGCAAATTAAAGGTGGCACATTTTTCTGCCAATAATAAAAACTGTAGATCCATATCCAAATCAGGACTTAAATCTATGATGAATGTCTTTTACGTCATACGCGCCGAAAAAAAATATTACCTATAATAAAATAAAAAAAAAAATATTGTGATCCTTCATCTAAAATAGGCTATTCTTGCAAATACAAGCTATGAAGGTACTGGCAATAAACCTGTAGTTGTCCAACCCTGTGGTCTGAAAATACATGATTTGTCGAGCTTGTATGAATGCGCCACCATTCTTCTTCTTCTTCTTCTTCTTCTTCTTCTTCTGCTGTGAACCACTCTTTGTAATTTTTTTTCTTTTTTCCGTTCTGTGCTTTGTTCATCAAGGTACTCCGCATCTCTGTCTGTCTTCCCCTTTTCGCACTGATTTTTTTCTTGTTTCATCACATTCTCCCTGTTTACGAGACAATCCCGCTAAAACGGTTTTAAGTTGAAACATTCTAACATTTTGTTTTGACCAGTTATTCAGCACCCCTGGCACTTCCAACACAAGCCACAAGTGTATCGCGACCCCGATCCCGTGATCAGCTTGTATTGGTTGATAGATACATTTATTTTAGACGTGTTACTTGCAAAAAAAATAACAGACACTCATTTTCCTTTTGTTTATTTAGTTTGATAGTCGGTACATGGATACACTAGAAAGTACAAACAAGAGGCTAACAGACCTCGAGCGGAAGCTATCGATCGTTTCCGACACTCTGCTGACCCAGTACTCACAGGCGTCCTCTGTTGTGATAAATAGAAACCATGATGGAGCCGGTAAACAAAGCGTGTCTAGCGTCTTACTGTATATTCGAAATAATCAAGATGGATTCGATACTAATGAATTATTCGAAGAACGGCAGAGAATGAACCGGAACGGGAACCCGAATGAAGTGCCCGAAAACTTGAGTGCGGCCATAGATTTCCGTCCAGCAGACCTTGTAGATGAGGATCTGTTTGATGAGTATGATTATGAAGAAGACGATGATGATGATGATGTAGAACTTTTACCACCATCTCCTCCTCGGTCGCCACCTCGAGAAATTGATCCTGACAAGTTGTACGGGTTGTATGAGTTCTCTGGACCCGATCCTCTGCATTGTACACTTTCAAGAGACGAGCCTGTGTATCTTTTAAATGACGACGATGATTATTGGTGGTTAATCCAAAAGTTGAGCAAAGAAGAGAGAGGAACTGACGAAAATGGAAAAGAAGAAGAAGGTATTGAAGATGGTAAAATTGGGTTTGTCCCAGCTGAATGTTTGGAAACGTTTGGTGAACGGTTGGCTCGATTAAATTGTTTTAGAAATGAAGAGTTGGAGAAGAATTTGAGGGGAGATAACCTCATAGATGAGACGCTTTTACGAGCTAAAAAGGTTGATTCAAAGTATAGAAGTGTGAAATTTGATTTGGGTGGACCCCTGGAGGGTAGCCTTACTGAAGAAGGACACCCAACCATAGACGTCGAAAGCATAGAGAGTGAAAATGCAAAACAACTTGGACTGGAAATTCCTGGAAGTCATCATAGACCTATCGTTGTGACCGATGATGAATCCGATACGGATGAGGAACATGATACACCGCGTCAACAATTCCCAGATCAAATTCTTAGCATACCGGCCGGGGAATTGGGCCGGCCACAATCGATGGGAAAGGTAGATCCTCCCAAGGATGGGTTATTATCTCCACCAACCAATGGTTCTGCTCCTAGTGAAGTACTCAGTGATCTTTTCCCCGACGCAACCCCACTTGTCATTGCCAAATCAAACAAAAAGAAGAAAACCACCAAACCAGAAACTGCCACGGAAGGAAATGTTCCTGAAGATTCAAACATATTCACGAAACCTCCCACAATACCCAAGAAGCTGCCAGATATGCTTTCCATTGGATCGTTCTCACCCGACACACCACCATTGAAAAATGGATGGTCGCCTAATCCTGAGAGAGACGCAGAGGCATTCCGGAGATCGGTGATATTAGAGAGGCTCAACCAGATGACAGCAGATATTCAAGAACAGTTTGAAATTCCAGACGAGAGCTATTCAGATATGGAAAATATCATGTTTGGTGGTATGGATTCGAATGATGAGTACTCTGATGATGCGGGATCGCTTAATAGCACCGTAAGACATAGTACGGAGACTGGACTTGATTCAGACGTTCCTACTCAGAATGAAGATGAGTCACTCACACCCTTGACAAGTACCGCGTCGTTGGTTGAACGCAAGGAGAGAGATAAAACCATCCATGACATGTTTGTTCCAATTCTTGGGAAATTTGACGAGTTGGCAGAAAGATTGGCCGAATTGAACGGTATGATATAGAACCCGTTGTTATGAAGTAGATCGACAGAGTCCTTAATGGGCTACTTAGCATTAGCATATAATAAAATATTAGCACGTAACTGGTGTAGAAATGGAGGATTTGAATTAAAGAAGATTACCTGCCACAGTTAGAATTCATGTTCAATAACATTGCTCCATTCATAAAGTATGCTCCTCTAATGGATATTTTACAAACCCGCTACAAAAAGGGGTATCTACACTTTGGAGTCTACGTCAGATGTTACACCAACTAGCCCTGGCCCTGCTTTGCCCTTCTACAATCTAAACTCCATCAAATCCACATTCTCTATCAATGTCAAGATCCTTCGTCGTCTTTCGCATCTCAAAACTTCGCAACAATTTTTTTATTGATCTACAAAAAAAAATAAAAATTTAAATCCACAGACAACAGCCCTAACCTTCTTCTATTGACACTAACTCTCACACAACATGTGGACGCCGGACCCGCAAGCCTTGGACCAGCTCCAACATATTCTCCGTGGAACACTCTCGACATCTGCCGCGGACCGTAAGGCTGCCAATGATGCCTTGGACCTGGCTAAACTTCAACCTGAGATTGAAAACTATCTCTTGATCATTCTTGTTGGTGATGATTCCTCTAAGCAGATCCGCCTGGACACCAGAGCATCTGCTGGCCTTATCTTGAAGAATATGGTCGTCAGAGCTGCCTCGGGCATTTCTGGATCTGCTCGCATGGCTGATCGCTCATATCTTTTGGACAACATTCTTCATGGACTTGTTTCTCCAGATACCATGGTCCGTAACATCACCGGGACCGTCATCACAGCACTTTTTCTGATCTATGGGTTGGATAGATGGCCTATTTGCTTGCCTAGCTTGGTTCAACTTGCTCAACAAGCCGGAAACGGTGGTGATGTTGCCGCAAGTGAAGGTGCCATGGGTGCCCTTTCCAAGATCTGTGAAGATTCGGGAAGCTCCTTAGACAGAGAAGTTAATGGCACTCGTCCTCTTGACGAGCTTATCCCACAGCTTCTCTCCTTAACTGACAGCACCCTGGCCAAAATCAGAGCTCTTGCTGTTCATTGTCTCAACCAATTCACCCCATACCTCTCACAGCTGTTTTTGGTTCATTTGGACTCCTTCCTTCAACGATTATTTGCCTTGGCAACCGATACTCTGAGTGAGGTTAGAAAGAACGTATGTGTAGGTTTCCTGGCCGTTCTCCATGCCCGTGCTGATAAACTTCATCCTCATCTTGATGGTGTGATCAATTATTGTCTTCATTCAATGCAGGACACTGACGAAGAAGTTGCAGTTGAAGCATGTGAGTTCCTTCTTGCATTGGCTTCTACCTCCACTCAGGAACTTGATCGTAGGGTTTTCTCTCCAAAGTTGTCACAAATCCTTCCAGTATTGCTCGAAAAGATGGTTTATTCCCAAGAAGAAATCTTCTTGATGCAACTTGCTGATGACAAAGATAGTGCTGATGTGGCTGACAAAGATGAAGACATTCGTCCACAAAATATCAAGGCCAAACACCACAAGGTTGGTAAGACAAAGGATGAAAGTGATGGCAATGAACTGGACAGTGAAGGTGAGTCAGACGATGATGATGATTCAGATGATGAGGATGACTTTTCAGAATGGTCTCTTCGTAAATGTTCCGCCAGTACTCTTGACATTCTTTCTGTGAGCCTTCCAGGAGAAGTCTTAGAGGTAATTCTCCCAATCCTTCAAGAACGTATTGTATCACCAGATTGGCCTGTCCGTGAAGCTTCCATCCTTGCCTTTGGTGCCGTTTCTCGTTCTTGTATTGAATTGGCTCTGGATAAGCTTCCTACATTGGTTCCTTTCCTTGTGGATAGACTTTCTGATGATCAACCAAGAGTGCGTCAAATCACTTGTTGGACCCTCTCACGCTTTGCTGAATGGGTTTGTTCCGAAGCACATGAAGGTGGTCAATATGCATCTTTCTTTCAACCAACCTTCCAAACTATAGTGGAAAGAGCATTGGATCCAAAGAAAGTCGTTCAAGAAGCTGCATGTTCAGCACTCTCTTCATTCATTGAAGATTCGGACTCTCTGTTGATCTCATTCTACATTGCCCCACTTCTTGAACATTTTGGTCGTTGCTTCCGTTCATACCAACGTAAGAATATGATTATTCTCTACGATTGTGTTCAAACATTTGTTGAAAAGATGGGATATGAATTACTTGCTCCTCATGTCGATCAACTCTTGCCATCCTTGTTGGAAAAATGGCAAGTTTTGAGTGATGATGATCCAGATCTCTGGCCATTACTTGAGTGCATGGCTTCTGTTGCTGCCACTCTTCAAGATATCTTTGCTCCTTACGCCATGCCTGTCTATGAACGTGCCATCAACATTCTCTCATCTTCTATTCAATTAGATCAACAATGTCATACCGATCCATCGATTGAACCTCCTGAAAAGGACTTTATGGTGACTTCTCTTGACCTTATTGATGGTCTCATTCAAGGGCTTGGCACTCATTCATTGGAACTCGTTCAAGCTGCTCCTACACCACTCATGGATTTACTTTTACTCACCTTAGAAGACCATACCGATGATGTTAGACAATCTGCATACGCTCTTCTTGGTGATCTTGCTATCCACACACTCCCACTTCTTGAACCATATCTTCATGCTTTATTCATTGGTATTGGCCATGAAATCGATAACCGCTCATACAACTCCTTCGCTGTGTATAACAATGCCATTTGGGCATTGGGTGAATTATCTATGCGTGTCGATGGTTCCGCCCTTCAACCATTCCTTCCAAACCTTTTGAATTTGTTGGTTCGTGTTCTTAGATCCACTGACTCTCAACAAACTGTTTTGGAAAATGTTGCCATTTGTATTGGTCGTATGGGTCTTAATGGATGTGCTGAAACCATCGCTCCTCGCTTACATGAATTCATTGGTGAATGGTGTGCACAAATGCTCTACCTTATCGATAACGAAGAAAAGGAGACTGCTTATGAGGGAATGCTCAACATCATCAATGCAAACCCAGACCAAGGATTTGGTGGCTTGGCCAATCAACAAGGTAGAAAGAACTTGTCAGTTTTCATCACTTGTATTGGTAATTACCCAAATGCTCCAGAACCTTTGAAAATGAAGTTTGCCCAATTATTGCAAAGTTATAGACAAATGGTTGGTGAAGCGGTTTGGAACCAAATTGTTTCACAAGTTGACGCTGAAACTAGACAAGCCTTGGGTCTCTAAGAGGTGTGTACATTTATATATAGGGTCTACTGGCCGATTGTATCTACGAATACATTTAATTAAGAAGTTGTATTGTACACTGAGTTATTAATTGTAGGGAATGCCTATTTGTGCATGAGGGCTATAATACATTTGTTTCAATTCATTAGGAATTTTAGGTCACCCGAGGGTGGCTAGCAGGGTTATTTTTTACACACATGGCCTCTGTTGGAATACTAGACGGTAATATATGGTTCCATAGATCTAGATCCCAGTGCTTGTTGTGCCCTTGTTTGATTGTGGGTTCCTCTGTATTCACTTCATATCAACCATACAAGACTTCATTTACAAGACCAATAGGTAAGTCACGAACTCCACTACTATACTTCCATACCCATGGAATAGACGCCTCGGTTGCATCACAGTCACCCCCAGCGTAACCAGCAAGCACAGCGTTCTCATCTACAAAATTTCTAACGTCATCAAGAGGTATGGTCTCTATTTCAGTATTCCAGAGGACATGTGCCACGTATGTGAAAAGCATGGCCATAAGAAAATATGACGGTATGGCCATCGACCAATACTTATCTGGGTAATACGAAATTGAAACTGCATTCAACATTTCATCCGGTATAAGTGACCATGCCGCCCACACTGTGAGAGTGATTGACGTGAGTACATATACAAAAAATCCCTTATATTCAGCGTACAGAGTTATGTTGGTGGCCACAGTAACATCGGATTGACGTGCAAGCGTATCTTCAGATGACTCTGGAGTCGGAGAAGGCGACAAAAAGATATTCATTAGATCATTAATTCCTTTTGCTTTTGGCCACTTATTGATTCTTTAATGTCTTGATGTTTAGACAAATCCCATACTTGATGAGTATGCAGGACATTTTCATTTTCAGATGGGATTAACGACCAGAGGGATAGAAACATAGAATCAATTTGGGGTACTACTTAGAAGGAAATGTTTCAATATTAAAGGAGTAGAGATATTTATCATATCCTATTAGTTCAATTACAAAAATATCTGTAGTGGAGTATAAAATTATAGTTTTATTGTGCTGTGAGTGTGCTTGCAAAATTCACAACCACCATTTTTCTAATAGATATTGGCTACACATGCGTCAACAGGAAGCTCAATATGAATTCTTAATCTTTAACCTCTCCTCAAATTTGGAGTCTATATCAAAAGCTTCAAAATCTTCTCGTTTTTTGAAGGTCCATGGTCCTATTTTCAATCCGAATAGTGTCTTGACAAAAGTAACTACCAAATTAACAGATGATAATGAAGTTCCTGGGTACAGCATATTGCTTACCCTCTCTGTATACAGACATCCTTCTACTGGTGGCTTACCATTAAATCGTCTCTTTATCCAAGTCATAGCAGCTGGTGAGCCCAAAAAACACTCTGTAATGTGTCTTGTAGAGTTCGACACCGTCATCTCCACTGACTCAACTCCCCAATCACACCAATTATTAAAGGTTTGTTTTGCACCGTTCAATGGTACTATACTGTCATTCTTACCATGATATATAAATATCGGAATGTCTGGCTTCTCGGCCTTGTCAATTCCAATCGTGGTGTTGAATAAAATTTCTTTAACGAGTGGTTGCAGGAAAAAATTGAAACTATCTCTCACCCATTTTGTGGGTCCTGAAAAGACTTGGGTATACATCATTGCTGCTAAAGATGGAGCAAAGCAACGTTCAGTATTTGCCCAAAATGCTTCGCGGGCTCCTTTTCTAGAAAACGAAATGTTATATATAGACTTCAATGCAGTGTATTCATTGCTCAATCCTCCAAGACTAGTAGCAATTAGTCCAGCATACGCACTTCCGTCAACTGCTAGTAATAGATCCGTGACGTTTGTAAAAAACCCGCCAAATACGGCTCCGACAAGGCGAGGCTTCAACTCGGGTGCATATTGTTTTCTTATAGAAGCTGCTGCGCTACTGGCCATGGAACCTCCAGAATAACCCCACAAGATTATATCAGCTTCAGGGCTTACCCCCGTTTCATTTGCAGAATTAAGCACACTTCTAAGTGAATCCAAGACTGCTTGACCGTGTTGTCGGGAAACAGTAAAAGTTGATTTGGGCCCAAGGTAATCTGGAGCATTAACCCAATATCCCTCTTGTAGAGCCATATTCAACAAGTACATCTCTTCTTGGGTTACTAGTGTATCCATATCTGCTCCAAATTGCATTCCATATGATATAGCGCAATTTTCCATAGATGAATCTTCCATGAATTGATAACTAACCAATCGAGATGAGTTTGAATTATAAGGTTCTATCAAAGTTGTGACCACTGTGGATGGGTTTCCCATACTATCAGACGAGCGCAGCATAATGTGCCATGCATTTTTTATGTTTATGGGAAAGTATATACCCCTGAGTTTGTTTGGCACCCTCCTGAAGCGTAAGATTTCTCCTAGATGTTTATTCTGGTATCCATCAGGGGGGTTATAAAATGGATCCAATGAAGGTGGAATGACCTTTAAATGTGTTGCAAGAACTCTTGTCACCAAAGTTGTGTAGATCAAGATATAGATAGATAACATTTTGTTAGCTAGCAATGCCGGTGTATACTCAAAAGGAATTGCTACACGTTTTATAGATACTTGTACAAATTCCTCGAGCCATGTTAGGAAGGAAGGTACATTGTTGCTTCTTCTAGGCAAGTACAAACAGCTAGTTTAACCGCTGATGGTCTCCTTATTCTGGAAAGGTTAATTTAGGCGCCGATGAAACTCTAAATCAGGAAATTTCATTTAGGAATTATATATCACTATTGGGCATTTCTGTTGTATATGATATGAACGTGATATAAGTCTTTTTCTTGTTCTTATTGTTGATACCCACCAAATTAAAGGAACTGGGGGGGCTGCAAATTCGTACAATTGTAGTAGTATACTTTTGTTCGCATCGTTTAGGCTATGATTTTGACTTTTTATACTTCTGTTGAGACCATTATACATCAGATCTTGCTTTGCATGCTGATCGTTTGGAAACTTATTATAAAGGTATGATATCTTTATCAAAAGATTGATATGCACATGAAACACGTAAATAGCAACTCACGACGAACATACTATTGTGTTTAGAAGTGATGGAAAAACAACTAGATAACGGTTTTTTTTCCAATTTGTAGTTCCCTTTGTCTGTTTATGATTTGTCACCTATTCCACCACTTCTCTCTCATGCAATCTATATTCTCCGAAATGAGTTTCACCATAGCTTGCTTCAACCTTACATTCAGTTTTGTGTCATTCTAAAATGCACTGATGTGCATCTCCGAATTTCGCCTTTTTGCAATAAAAGGTGACTACACTAGATGGAGATAAGACACGAAATCTAACCGTGTAAACGTACAACTCAACGGAACTTCCCCCGATTTACTCAGGGTATAACAGTCAGCTAAGGAATTGGGAGCAATCACTGTATATTCATTCAGAATACTCAACATGGAAACCTTATGAATTGTTGAAAGAATAACTTTGTAGTACAACTATTTTTCCCTAGTACATTTCAGCTCAATTATCTGTTGTCGTGGTATCTCTGCAAAATAGGAGTACTCCAATGTGCTCACCCACTTGATATGACCTTCTTATTTAACCTTTAGATCTTTGTGGCTATTTGCGGGTCCTTTGCTCCGAGCTTGACCCACTTTCACATTGACCACAAACTCATTCAAAAACTATTGAAATGGCTCTCTGGATGTACAATGGCATGAAGGAATCTTTAATCTTTTCTTTCTTCCATAAGCTTCAATTGTGATGTCAAATGAGGTGATTGATTCTACTGAAGTTGGTGAAGGTTCTGTACTAGGTAATCATGGACTGTTTTTAATTCGTGGTAGTTCCAAAAGACTTAAACAACAAAATGATTTAGTTGCAATTGCGCTGAATGGTAGTCGTTTGAAGGAAACTGTACCAAAAGTGGATGACCCGGAAATTGCACTAACTGAATCAGAGAAAGATTTGGAAAAACAATCTCCTCCTGTGGAACCTATGACAACAGTTGAACTTCAAATACTAAGACTGTGGAATACATTTCATTTTCTTTATTGTCTTTTGCTTGCAGGCGCCATTGGTTATATTACTTGTAAAATATGTGGAAATGACTTGTGCAAATTTGAAAATTGGGAGGTGGTCGTAATGTGTTTCATTGCAGGTTGCACTGTTCCTATTGTTATTTTTGATTATAGTGTCTTGAAATTTGGAGAATATAAACTCAAGTGGGAAAGCACTACCGCGGTTTTAAAGGGCTATTGGACAACAGTATTATCATTTGTATCTTCTCTTTTAATAAATCTTACTGTTGTAGCAGTAACAATGCTTACTCTCGCATACTTCTTTACTGGTACTAGTGTTTTCTACAAACAGGAGTCCGTCCAAACTGCTCTTCCACAATAGTTCCAGAAAAATAGAGTATGCACAATAGTTTGCGATTTTATAGTGAATATACGAAATGATTTAGAAACACGTAGAAAATCAACTAGTTTGTTTGTCTCTCCCATTTGAGACCAATGTATATAATGTCAATTTCAACTTTGGCTGCAAAGTCATCTGACCAAAATGTGGAGGCATCAAGAAATTGTGTTGGATGTTTAGCATAAGCCAATAAGTTAATACGACATAACAGGAAGGATTACAGCATTTACTGTTAATAATTGATATTGGATGCTTAGATTAATTTCCATAGTTCCCTTAAGTATTCTTCTTAGCAGCTTGTTCGATATACATATATTTATAAAGGTTTTACTCACGAGCATGAAACTTGTACAACAAAGGCTTCTGCTTCTTCTGCATAGGCTATGTCAGATATTACACGGTAAAAAGCAAGAAAGTGAGTATTCCTTTAGAGAATGTATTGATCTTTTGGCTCAATTGTATGAAAACTTTACCAAGGAGAACCTTGATCATGTATCCGACAGTTTTATACAAGTCGTAAAGAAATGTCCTAAAATCAACAAACATAATGAACAATATATCAATGTAAAATTGGATGAGTACCATCTTGAATTGGGGCTGCTCGATCAATTGATAAGAAGAAAAAAGAAACGTAGTAAATTAATCAACAAAAGCCAAGGGTTTTTCAAGAAAATTACCAATGACATTTTAAACCTAAGTAATATGGGACACATGATACAAAGTAGGGATCAGAATGAAGAAAACAAGGTACAATCTGCTCAAAATCTACAACAAGGCGAAATGAACAGAATACAATCTATACATAATAAGAATCAAATTATTGACAATACGAGACAAAGGATTGAGAATCAAAATAGAATTAGAAGTTTAAAAGAACAGATCAAGACTTACGATAGTCAAATTCACGATGGGAAAAGATTAGTTGGAGAAATGATTAAAATACTACTCGAATTGTATTTATCTATTGATGAGGATGAATACGAGGCCAATTTTCACCATACTATTCCTATAGAGAAGTTCCGAGATTTAGCAAATATATATGTGTCACACTAGATATTGTGACTATATATATATCCATGTAAAGTCATTAAATCAACTATAATTCCATCTTTATCAAATGTAATCGTGTAGGAGTTAAGAAAATGAGTATGTTCCCACCAAATGATTTTGGGTTGCGTCTAAATATCTTAACAATAAAAAGAAAGGAGAAAACTAGGAGTAGTTATCACTACTATTTTTATTTAAATTGTACTACAATCTAGTTAAATGGATGTTTAGAGCACTAAGATTATTCTATACCCTTGAATTCCTCTTGACATTGTAGGTAATTTTAATAAGTGAAATAATTGCGCTCGTAACTGGATTTATCTCTTTAATTTGTGTAGTTACTTTGTATTCACCTGTGTTACAAATGACTCGAGATGTGGTGTAAACTTGTCATTTTCCTTTTCTGATAATTGTACTTGATGGTCCATACGGTGCACCAAACTCGATATGGTTGCAAGAGTCATGTGATCAATATGTTTATTCTTTTATGTTAGGGGAATGCAAGAAGTTTTTGATATGCAGCAGAATTCACATATTCATAAGCAAGGGAAATATAGTATCATAGAGTTCCTTAGTAATTGAAGATTGATATTAAGCGGTTTGATCAATTTTGCAGCTTTTTTGTTGCTCGTTACAGACAGAGGAGAATTGCAGCATTAACGGGCCAATAGGGAAAGATAAAATTCAATGACTTCTTCAAAAAGGTTTCTATACAGAAAATTACATCTCAAGGGAAAGGACAAGACTCAAATACAGAAAGACGAAGAACTCCTTAAGAATAGTTTAAATCGTATGTACAGAAGCTCAACCGTCAAAAACTTTTTAGATTTGATTAAAAGGTCAAAACGATTTAAGGAATTATATCCAGACCACCATACAATATTGTCTAGTAGTCTAGTACAGTTGGAGCATCTATATTTAATGTGGTGCCAAATTCCTGGGAATGATTATCTGATTTATGAGACGTGGATAGATAGTTTTCAGACTTTGAACTGTAGCTCTTGTGGAGGGCAACAGGAAGAAATACAAAAAACTGGTACAAATTCTGGATTTACCATGAGAGACCTACAGCGTTTGGACAAGTTAATAATGTACATAAACAACAAAATACATTACAACAGCAATATCAAGCAATTTGAAAACAATATGGCACAATCTAAGCACAACCTGAAATTACAGCAAGAGAACGAAGTACAATCGGTTAATAATGAGGCACAAATGAAGCACAACGAAGAACAAAAGATTGCCAACATAAACCAAGGGAAAGACTTAGAGAGAAAACTTCAAGCCCATCGAGCTGCAATGAGAGAGAGTCTAAACATAGTTTGTGATACTCTTGAAGTGTTATTCGAAGAATATGTCATGCTATATACAACATTTCAATATCCCACAGGTACACCGCCACCATATACGTAGTAATGGAGCTTGCTGGTGGGAGTATGAATAGATGATGTGGGACTTCATTCGCTATATATATATTATTAAAACTATTCAAAAAGACTCATTCCCCTCATACCCCTTGATAAGCAATTGTTATTAAAAATCATTTAATTTCAATGTATCTTCAATAGCTTAAAAGATGAGTACATGTTAACAGAAGTAGTTATTCTCCAAAACTTTGCATGCAATCTAAGAACTATTAATGCATATTAGCACAGAATATTGCGATCATCTCGTTAATAATGGTGACACACAAGAACTAAGTGTAACATTAATCTGTTAGAAAATATATAACTTGAATATTAAAGGTATGGTTCAGTTTATATGTAGGACCTAGCTGACAAACCCATCACTTTCACATGACCTCAGTCACGCGTCCAATCGTTTTTTCTGTTAATTTTTCATGTCCGGGTAACGCATTTTCACATCCAAACACCCATGGTAAAGTTTGTCCGGGTAGCAATAGATTGCGCACTGATCTCACAACGCGCTAACGCTGACTCATTACCTGATTCGGCCACGGGCCATACAAACGAAGAATTTTCAGTATATAATGTTAAACTGTGGTCCATAAATTTTTTGAATTCCTTTTATATTCTCTCTTCTTTTCCTTCAAGTTACTGGTTATTTTTATTTTATTTGTGTGTATTACTTGCAAAGTATTCTTACTACCACAATGCTCCAATACATATCTAAACAGGTATTAAATGGTGCTATCAAAACCACCAAATTATCAATTTCTGTTGGTAATGGTGGTTTCAACCCAATTAATAAATTTTCCTCATTGAAAAGATTTGCCAGTAGTGCTGGTGCATACCCAGGTGCTTCTCTTCTCAAGGGTAAGCAACAACTTGTGGATGTGTCTAAAGTGCTTGTCATTGGTTCTGGTGGTCTTTCCATTGGTCAAGCTGGTGAATTCGATTACTCTGGTTCTCAAGCCATTAAGGCTCTTAAGGAAGCTAACAAACAATCTATTCTTATAAATCCAAACATTGCCACCAACCAAACCTCACATGCTCTTGCTGATGAGATCTACTACCTTCCAGTTACTGCTGAGTACATCACTTATATCATTGAACGTGAAAGACCTGATGGAATTCTCTTAACTTTTGGTGGTCAAACTGGTTTGAATGTCGGTGTTAAATTGGAAAAAATGGGTGTCTTTGAAAGATACGGTGTTAAAGTCTTGGGTACTCCAATCAAGACTTTGGAAACCTCTGAAGATCGTGATTTGTTTTCTCAAGCTTTGAAGGAAATTGATATTCCTATTGCTGAATCCATTGCTGTTGAAACTGTTGATGACGCCTTGAAGGCTGCTGAAGAAGTTGGATACCCAATTATTGTTAGATCTGCTTACTCTCTTGGAGGTTTGGGTTCTGGTTTTGCTGCCGATGCCCAAGAATTGAAGAACTTGGCTTCTCAATCTCTTTCCTTGGCTCCACAAATTCTTGTTGAAAAATCTTTGAAAGGTTGGAAGGAAGTTGAATACGAAGTTGTCAGAGACAGATTGAATAACTGTATCACCGTCTGTAACATGGAAAACTTTGATCCTTTGGGAATTCATACTGGTGATTCCATTGTCGTTGCTCCTTCTCAAACTTTATCCGATGAAGAATACCACATGTTGAGATCTGCTGCAATTAAGATCATTAGACATTTGGGTGTTGTTGGTGAATGTAATGTTCAGTACGCCTTGCAGCCAGATGGCTTGGACTACAGAGTCATTGAAGTCAATGCTCGTTTATCTCGTTCCTCTGCCTTGGCTTCTAAGGCCACTGGTTACCCATTGGCTTACACTGCTGCCAAGATTGCTCTTGGTCACACCTTACCTGAATTGCCAAACCCTGTTACCAAGTCTACCTCTGCTAACTTTGAACCTTCTTTGGACTACATTGTTACAAAGATTCCAAGATGGGATTTGTCCAAGTTCCAACACGTTAAGCGTGACATTGGCTCCGCTATGAAATCTGTTGGTGAAGTTATGGCTATTGGTAGAAACTTCGAAGAATCATTCCAAAAGGCTATTCGTCAAGTTGACCCCTCTTACGTTGGATTCCAAGGTGATCATTTTGAAAACTTGGATGAAGCTCTTGCTAACCCCTCTGACCGTAGATGGCTTGCTGTTGGACAAGCACTTCTCCATGAAAACTACACCGTTGAACGTGTGCATGATCTTACCAAGATTGACCCATGGTTCTTACATAAGCTCATGAACATTGTTAACATGTATAGGGAATTACAACATGCTGGAAAATTATCGAATGTTTCTCGTGATCTTATGACTCGTGCTAAGAAGTTGGGTTTCTCTGACAAGCAGATTTCTCAACAACTTGAAGCTGAAACCGGTGAATTGGATGTCAGATCAGTCAGAAAGAGCTTTGGAATCGTGCCATTTGTTAAGAAGATTGACACTTTGGCTGCTGAATTCCCTGCTGACACCAACTACTTGTACACTACCTACAACGCTACTTCCTCAGATGTTACATTTGATGAACATGGAACTTTGGTTTTGGGTTCAGGTGTTTACAGAATTGGATCTTCTGTTGAATTCGATTGGTGTGCCGTCAGTACCGCCCGTGCTCTCCGTGAAGCTGGCCGTAAGACTATTATGATTAACTACAACCCAGAAACTGTCTCCACTGATTTCGATGAGGTCGACAGATTATACTTCGAAGAGCTTTCCTTAGAAAGAGTTTTGGATATCTATGAATTGGAAACTGCTCAAGGTGTTGTTGTCAGTGTTGGAGGTCAATTACCTCAAAACATTGCTTTACTGTTGCAAGAAGAAGGTTGTACCGTCTTGGGTACTAACCCAGAAGACATTGATAAAGCTGAAGACAGACACAAGTTCTCTCAAATCTTGGACTCCATCGGAGTTGATCAACCACAATGGAAGGAATTAACTTCTATTGAAGAAGCTGAAAAGTTTGCCAACGAAGTCGGTTACCCAGTATTGGTTCGTCCATCTTATGTTTTGTCTGGTGCTGCCATGTCCGTTATTAACTCTCAATCTGAACTTGAAGCAAAACTCTCCAATGCTTCCAAGGTTTCTCAAGACCATCCAGTTGTGATCTCCAAGTTCATCCTTGGTGCACAAGAAATTGATATTGACGGTGTCGCCAACCAAGGTGAAGTCCTTGTACATGCTGTCTCTGAACATGTTGAAAATGCTGGTGTTCACTCTGGTGACGCCACTTTAGTATTACCTCCACAAAACCTTTCTCCTGTCATTCTTGGTAGACTTAAGGAAATTGCCGATAAAGTTGCCTCTGCTTGGTCTATCACTGGTCCATTTAACATGCAAATTATTAAGGATGACCGTAACGGTACTCTTGACGACTCTCAATGTCACCTTAAGGTTATTGAATGTAACATTAGAGCTTCGCGTTCTTTCCCATTTGTCTCCAAGGTTCTTGGTGTCAATTTCATTGATGTTGCAGCCAGAGCTCTTATTGGAGAAAATGTCCCAGCTCCTGTCAACTTGATGGATAAGGAATATGGTCATGTTGCTACCAAGGTTCCACAATTTTCCTTCACTAGATTGGCTGGTGCCGACCCATTCCTTGGTGTTGAAATGTCCTCAACGGGTGAAGTTGCTTGTTTCGGAAGAGATTTGGTTGAAGCCTACTGGACTTCTATTCAATCTACCATGAACTTTGTTGTTCCTCAACCTGGTTCCGGTTTATTGTTTGGTGGTGACTTATCCAACGATAAGTTGGGTAAGGTTGCAGCCACTCTTTCCGGATTGGGATACAACTTCTACACCGCTTCCGAAGGTGTTGCTTCTTACTTGAGAGACTACGTTCCAGAAACTATTGAAGTCATTGAATTCCCAAAGACTGATAAGAGAGCCTTGAGAGAAATTTTCCAAGAAAAGAAGGTCAGTGGTGTATTCAACTTGGCCAAGGCTAGAGCTGAAGATTTGTTGGATGAAGATTATGTTATGAGAAGAAATGCCATCGACTTTGGTATTGCTCTCTTCAATGAACCAAACACTTCGCAATTGTTTGCCGAATGTTTGAAGGCTAAGATCGCCAACAAGCCAACTTTCGATGTCACCCCTGAAACAGTAATCGTTCCAGAAGAGGTACAAAGATGGAGTGAGTTCCTTGGGGGAAAGCCAGTTTAAAAAATTATACGAAAATAAGAACACTTTAAAAAACGAAAAAAAAAAGATGAAAATGTCACGAATTTTAGCTAGTTACACTAGAACCAAAATATAATAATATAAGGTAGATAAAGCATGTTGTAGCAATAAGAATACTTCTTTGAAGGAAGTAGGAGATTTATCTTGGAATCGGTATCTGAGTGGTGCGTAATATGAGTCCTCCTCTCATTTTCCAGAGCTATATATACATTTAGCACACACCTAAAAGAATGTTGACAAGTCCAATATATCTCTACAATATCAGAAAGGCCATTACACCACGACGGGCAATTATATAAATTGAATATCTCCATTTCTGCCCATGAGGGTGTATGTTCTTAGAATGCCGAGATTACCATATTTAGACGCGCGCGCGGCTTTTGCACGGCATTTCACTTTGCAGAAAAGATATTATTATCTTATTCATCTGATTAGTGATGACTATATTCTCTTATGCGGCTCAGTCACCTTTCTGTACCAATAATTACACTAGGCTATGGCTATTTGATCCTGAAGTAAAGATGGGAGGGCATGTAATACCCTAACGGTGTTTTCAAAAAGGTTTGTCTTCGCTTTAGGTGAATTTCTAGAGTGGCTATTGTGAGGATAGCCTAAAAAGGTTTGTCTTAGCCTTACCTTAGCTTTTAATAAGTTGTATCTCCCGATTGATTACTGTGAGAATTACGGATGTGTTTTTCGTAAAATGGAGTACAACTCTGCTTCTCCTATTATGTCACTCGACGCCTTGGGTAAAAACATTTCAATTGCCGAATAATATGCAATATCATGCAGTGCAGCCGACTATAAATAATATGATATTTTCTTCAGTCATTATCTTTTGATTTATCGAATAGACATCTACAATGAGTGACACTAATAATTCGAGCGACAACAGCAAGAATGTTGATATGAAGGATTCACAGACTCAAGAAGTCACCAAAAGTGACCCCCTTCGAAATTCCACGTCAAAATCAATTGGAGTCCGAAAAGCCGAATTGATGTTGAAGCAGTATCAACATCCAGGTCTTAAGATTCTTGTGTACTTCTGTATTTTTATAATTGGATATGCATATAGTATCGATGGGTCGCTCAGATACACTTTTCAAGCCTATGCTACTGCTTCTTATGGTCAACATTCGCTTATTTCCACCGTGGGTGTCATTAGAGCAGTTGCAGCTGCCGCTTCTCAGCCTACTTATGCCCGATTATGTGACAGATTTGGAAGAATTGAACTCTTCGTAGTATCTATTTTATTTTATGCATTGGGTACTGTAATCGAGTCGCAAGCGTATGACGTTCAGAGATTTGCTGGTGGTGCGGTCTTGTATCAAATTGGGTATTCTGGTGTACTTTTGATCCTTCAGGTTATGTTGGCAGATTTTTCAACCTTGAACTGGAGATTCTTTTGTTCTATCTTGACAACCACACCTTTCATTATCAACTCTTGGGTTAGCGGTAACATTTTAGACTCATTATATCCCAAATACTCCTGGAACTTCTGTATTGGTATGTGGGCATTCATTTTCCCATTGACTTGTATCCCATTGCTTTGTTGTTTGTTCCATATGCAATCTCTTGCCAAAAAGAAGGACGAATGGAAACAAATACTTTCTGATGAGAAAGAAAACCACTCGGAATGGACTTGGGAGAAGACTGGAACCTTTATTGAAAGTACTAAAGCGTTCATTTTTTGTCAAGGAAGAATTCTAAAGAGTCTTTTCTGGGAAATCGATGCAATCGGTATCATGTTCATTATTTGTATATTTGGTTTCATTTTGGTTCCGTTCACTCTTGCTTCTGGTGTTACCGATAAATGGAGACAAGCCTCGACAATTGCTCCTCTTGTTGTTGGTTTTGTTCTTATCCCATTCTTCATAATCTGGGAAAAGAAGTATGCTCGCTTCCCCGTGGCGCCATTTGAGCTACTCAAAGACCGGGGTGTCTGGGCTGCACTCATCGTGGGTGTTATGATTGACTGGGTTTGGTATATGCCAAATGATTTCATGTACACAGTTTTGATGGTGGCCATGAACCAATCGCAAAAGGCAGCCATGAGAATCACAATGCTTGATTCATTTGTTTCTGTTCTTGTTGGGCCCATGACCGGTCTTTTGATTGCCAAAGTCAGAAGAACTAAGGGGTTCATCATGTTTGGGGTTTCAATGTGGTGCATTGCTCTTGGTTTACTTCTTCATTTCAGAGGTGATAACAATGGAATTAATTCACAAACCTCAGTTAATGGGGTGATTGGTGCTCTCTGTGTTATGGGTATGGGAACTGGGTTTTTCACTTATGTTACACAGACTTCGATTGCCACTTGTACTAACCATGAGCATATGGCTGTTGTCATGGCTCTTTATATGTCATCATACAACATAGGATTGGCATTTGGTGCATCGATATCGGGTGCCGTATGGACCAACCTCATGTACAAGCAAATTGTCAAAGAGATGGAAAAGGCTGGTATTGATACGGCGCTTGCAACATTTGCCTATGGGTCTCCAATTGGAGCTGGGGGATTCATTCAAGAATATGTTTGGGGAACCGCTGAACGAATTCCTGTAGTCTTGGCGTATGCTCATGTTCAAAAGATTCTATGTATCGTTGGACTTATATTAGTTTTCCCAATGCTTATTGCCACACTCTTCCTTAGAGACCATAAACTTGTGTCGGTTCAAAGTCTTGAGAAGGGATCACTGGGTGAAGGAGCTGTGGTTAATAAAGACGATGATGATTATATTAAAAGAAAGTTCATGACGTTTGTGGGAAAGAAATAATTAAGGGAGCTGCTATAAATCGTCGTCAAGTACTCGATAAGGTGGTAAACGAAATTAGAACAGAGCTAGGTGATATTTTTTAAGATTAAATTAACTTATAGAAATAGAAGATAGAGCAATGCCTCTATATATTAATAATATGTATATCATGGAGAAGTTCCTGGGTTTTTAAAACTGTTACGACAAGATAAAAATAATCTGAATATACGGTAGATAAATAAAGGTTGAGAGGTGGCATGAAAGGCACCGATACTGATTATATACGCTGGGAAGTAAAATTTCAAACACAAAACTTGCTATGGCATGTAATTGCTACTTCAATCATGAAATTGCTACTCGAATGGCATGTAATTGCTATTTGGACTAATTATATGACAAAAAGATTGAAACCATACACATCTTCCTACCATATTAACCATGAGAGATATTCATGAACATTATTATATCATAAATACATATTTCTTGACAAACTATAATTTCTCCAGTAGTATAATTTAGTATTCTAGAAGCAACCGTACGGCTGTGTTCGGTCATCTCCTGTACAGTTATTCATAGTGGTGTGGGGGTGGCGCACACAAAACGCACGGAATCTTAAGTTCATAAAACGTTTCACACACTCTTCTATAATTTTTCCTTGCTACTTTCTTTTCACAATCATCAGCATCAAAATGTATTTGCCCTCCCTTCCAGACGTCGAACAACTTTCAAAGAGAGTTTACTACTACAACAACTACAACAACCGTAGTGGTTGGTACTCGTACAGATGGCTTCTCATCTTACTTTTAGTTATTCCATTCATATTGTTGATTGCGATTTTCATTAGAAGACGCCGTGCAAACAACAGAACAGTTGTCTCCCCCAATGCTGCCTACTACTCAGGACCACCACCACCAGTCCCTGACACCCAACAAACTGGGGGCTACTACAACGGCGGGGACCAGTACTACCAACAGCAACCACAACAACAACAAGGTACCGTGCCCCTGTACTACAATGAAACCGGTAACACTGGCTATCCGCAACAAGGATACGGCAGAGATGCCATGAATGGAACTGAAGAATTCCAAAGACCTGATGGCCCACCTCCAGCCCACTACAAGAACTAGTTTCTAAAGCAATGCTACTAGGTTAACCGCGTACACTGGATACTCGTTGTTCAGTCAATTTTCTTACATGTGAATGGAACTTAATATCCTCCGGAAAAATTATTTAGAAAACCCCATTAAATACTATATGAATTTTCTCTTGATTTAAAATGACACATTAACCCTGTAAATTTAACACTCTTTCAATTGTGTGTAAGTTAACTTCGAAGCAACTCAACACCGAAGAAAAAAATAAAACGGTTCCACAGTGCGGCGCACCAGTCCGTGAACAGCAATTGAAGACGTAGAAGCAGACTGTGCTTAGATTTGAGATCAATCAGGTTATACAAACAGTTGAAACTTCTACTAATTGGACTATTTGTCAATATGGGTGGCAATGAGATTTCTTCCAACCAATGTGGGAAAATATTTTATCCTTGGCAAAACTATATTGTGGAAATGTTACTCGCCGCACCAAAATCCTCATCGGGCACGTACAGTAGCACAAACTGTTGTTTTATTTTCAATTTGCAAATGATAATCAAGCTACTTATAATTGGGGGCTAAGAATGATGAGAGAGAGAGCATTCACACTTACAGAAATAAAAGTAGAATAATACAATTTCTTACATACATCTCTTTTATCTTTTCTTCTCTGTGAATATGTAAAATTCTCCAATCCATAATTTGACTATGGGTCAGCTTTAATAAACGAGTTCGGATCAAGAGATCATTTTCGAGATCCAATTGGCTCGTGTGGTACATATATGCACTTTAGCCGTTCTCTTAATTCATTTATAGCTTATTCTTGGAACAAGGCTTTCGAAGGTACCTTGGCATGAGAGTAACAATGTCGCGGGTTGTGCTTCGGTTAAATACAGCTGAAAATCCATCGTCAATGCTTCTTAATCTGTTACATCTATTTAATCTAATCTAAGATCTAAAAGAATGACAGGAAGTGAAAGCAAAGAGGAAAAAGAAAAAGAGATTGTCGAGCCGGTGAAATATGACTCAAATCCACAGTTCCCATCTCCGAATATGTTGCAAAAGTCCATTGGAGTGCGAAAAGCTGAGATAATGTTAAGTCAATACCAACATCCTACCCTAAAAGCACTACTTTTCTTCAGTATTTTCTGTGTTGCATATTCGTATAGTGTTGATGGTACTCTTCGATACACTTTCCAGATGTATGCAACTGCGTCTTATGGGCAGCACTCTCTTATTTCGACGGTCGCTGTGGTTCGGGCCGTGATTGCAGCCGCATCGCAGCCTGTTTATGCTAGGTTGTCCGACAGATTCGGACGAATCGAGATCCTTCTAGTTGCAATCATCTTCTATTCAATGGGAACTGTAATCGAATCTCAAGCGTATGACGTTCAGAGATTTGCTAGTGGGGCAGTAATATACCAAATTGGCTATTCGGGAGTCATGTTGATAATTCAAATCATCCTTGCTGACTTTTCTAATTTGAATTGGAGATTATTCTGTTCATTACTTCCTGCCTTACCATTCATCATCAATACTTGGCTTACAGCTGAGATGCTTGACTCACTATATCCAAAATACTCTTGGAACTATTGCATCGGTATGTGGGCTTTTATTTTTCCTTTAACTTGCATTCCAATGCTACTTGTGTTAATACACATGAGAATCCTTGCTAAACGTACTGATGAGTGGAAAATTATTGAACAAGACGAACAAATATTACATCCTATTTGGCTTTCGTGGAAAAAAAATGTCTTTGTAGATCTATATTGGGATATCGATGTGATCGGTATCTTGTTTATTGTATGTATCTTAGGGTTCATTTTGGTTCCATTCACTCTTGCCTCGGGTGTCACGGATAAATGGAAACAAGCCTCAACTATTACTCCGCTTGTTATTGGTTTCGTACTCATTCCCCCATTCATTGCTTGGGAAAAGAAGTACGCTCGTTTCCCAATTACTCCATTCGCCTTACTTAAAGACCGTGGTGTGTGGTCTGCAATCTTGATTGGTATTATGATCGATTGGTTGTGGTATATGCCAAACGATTACATGTTCACGGTGTTGATGGTTGCCATGAATCAATCACAAAAGGCTGCTCTTCGGATCACTTCTTTGTATTCTTTTGTTTCATGTATCACAGGTCCTCTTGTAGGGCTTGTAATAGTTAAGTTCAAAAGATCCAAAGGGTTCATTATTTTTGGCATTTCAACATGGGCCATCGCACTCGGGCTTCTTGTTCACTTTAGAGGCGATAATGATGGCCGCCTGTATAGGGAATTTGCTAATGGTGTCATTGGGTCTATTTGCTTAATGGGATTCGGTGCTGGGTTCTTCACCTACACCACTCAGATGTCTATTACTACGTGCACAAATCACGAACACATGGCAGTGATGCTTGCCTTATACTTGTCTTCCTACAATGTCGGCTTGGCCATTGGTGCATCCGTCTCTGGTGCTGTTTGGACTAACCTTATGTACAAGCAAATTGTCAAACAAATGCAAAAGGCAGGAGTAGATCCTTCTCTCGCAGTTTTAGCCTACGCCTCACCTATTGGCGAAGGTGGATTCATTCAAGAATACACCTGGTTGTCTGCCGAGAGAATTCCGGTAGTGTTGGCATATGCACATGTACAAAAAATATTGTGCATAGTAGGTCTAGTCTTGGTATTTCCCACACTTGCAGCAACGTTCTTTTTGAGAGATCACAAACTTGAGGCAGTGCAAAGTATTGAGAAGGCGTCAGAGAATAGAGAGGGTAAAGTAGCAGTGAACGATCACGACGACGATGTTCTTATAAGAACATTCAAGTCGTTTGTCGTCAGAAGATGAAACAAACCGTAAATAGGGATCTAGAAAAAATACAGAGCATTAGAATTGTATAAACGAATACGATGAATTTGTGGCACATCTTTAGTCCATAAACATCTCATAACGGAACTAATTAGAAGAGGGCTTGGCATCGCGGAATATTCCAATTTTTATTTTCAGCATCCTGCTAGATGTGCCATTCCACATTGTAATTGGTTCATGGGGCGTCTCAACGGCATGAACTGTCATCAATATTATGCATGTAATCATGAATTTCCAGAGTTGTCCATAAAATAATATTGTGCTCAAAAATTCTACGTAACAATGAAGGCGAAAAAAACAATAGGAAAAGTTTTTTCGCCCCACATTCTCCATGAGAAGAATAAATCTTCCAAAGTGCTCAGTGCGGTGATTCTACATCAGTATACATCGGATTGTGCAAATACGACTATATAATGCCTCGTATGGCTATGCGGCAACAATTTCTATAACGTGACAATACTCTGCCGTGGCTAACCCACCAAAAATAGAATGCCGTAGATGCCGGATCTTTGTATTCCATAGTTCTGTAGTGCCCGAAATCGCTAAAGTGGTTCCATTGGATTAAAACTTGGCGCATATCGAAGTTTATTTTTGCATATAGAAATATATTTTTAAAATCCCTCGCGAGAAAAACTTTTTCCTTTAAAAGTTATCTTTTACATCTAATCTCTTCCATCTAATAATTTACATCTTTCCTTCTAATATCATTTATTAAATTAAAACATGAGTGATAGCGACAGCACAAGGGCTAAAGAGGCTTACTTCCCTGAACAGGAAGAAAAAGCCGTCCCAACTGTGTTGAAGTCAACTTCAAAATCCATTGGGGTCAGAAAAGCAGAAGTCATGATGGAACAATACCAACATCCTGTACTAAAGGTTATTTTATTCGTCTGCATTTTCATAGTGTCGTACGCATATGGTATTGATGGGACTCTCAGATATACTTTCCAAGCATATGCCACTGCTTCTTATGGTCAACATTCGCTTATCTCCACTGTTGGAGTTATTCGTGCTGTTGTCGCTGCAGCTTCGCAGCCAACATACGCTCGTTTGTCTGACAGATTTGGAAGAATTGAACTTTTTGTAGTTTCAATTATTTTCTACGCAATGGGGACTGTGATTGAATCCCAAGCTTATGATGTGCAAAGATTTGCCGGTGGTGCTGTTTTGTACCAAATTGGATATTCTGGGGTTATGTTGATGCTTCAAGTTATCTTGGCTGATTTTTCCAACTTGAATTGGAGATTGGTTTGTTCCATGGTTCCAACCTTACCCTTTATTATCAATACATGGGTGTCAGGTAATATGGTTGCCTCTTTGTATCCAAAATACCTGTGGAATTTCTGTATTGGTATGTGGGCTTTCATTTTCCCATTGACTTGTGTACCTTTGCTCGTCTGCTTATTCCATATGTGGTTTCTTGCGAAGCGTACCAAAGAGTGGGGTATCATTCTCGAGGATGAAAAAAAGGAGCACCCAACCACTTGGGTCTCTTGGAAGAACAATATCCTTAAGGACTTGTTTTGGGAAATCGATTTTATCGGTATCCTATTCATCATCTGCGTCTTTGGTTTCATTTTGGTTCCATTCACTCTTGCCTCGGGTGTCTCCGATAAATGGAAACGAGCTTCAACCATTGCCCCTCTTGTCATTGGTTTTGTTCTTATCCCATTCTTCATAATCTGGGAAAAGAAGTTTGCCCGTTTCCCAATTACTCCTTTCGCTTTACTAAAAGATCGAGGTGTTTGGGCTGCCCTTATTGTTGGTGTGATGATTGATTGGATTTGGTACATGCCAAATGATTTCATGTACACTGTCTTGATGGTGGCCATGAACCAGTCCCAAAAGGCAGCCATTAGAATTACCTCGTTGTATTCTTTTGTCTCTGTTATTGTAGGTCCACTCCTTGGTCTTGTAATTGTCAAATTCAGAAGAACTAAAGGGTTCATTATTTTCGGTGTATCCTGTTGGGCAATTGCTCTCGGTCTCCTCGTTCACTTTAGAGGTGACAATGACGGTGTTCAATCTGAAAAGTTTGTCAATGGTGTCATTGGTTCTCTTTGTTTGATGGGTTTCGGTGCTGGATTCTTCACATACACCACCCAAGTCTCCATTTCAACTTGTACCAACCATGAACATATGGCTGTAATTATTTCGCTTTACTTAGCGTCTTACAATATTGGTTTGGCCATTGGTGCCTCGGTCTCTGGTGCTGTTTGGACTAACCTTATGTACAAGGAAATTGTCAAGCAAATGCAAAAGGCTGGAATTGATACAGCACTCGCAACATTTGCCTATGGCTCCCCAATTGGATTAAAAAGTTTCATTGAAACATACACTTGGGGAACTCCTGAAAGAATTCCAGTTGTTTTGGCATATGCTCATGTTCAAAAGATTTTGTGTATTGTTGGGCTTGTATTGGTGTTCCCATTACTCATTGCTACCTTCTTCTTGAGAGATCATAAGCTTGAATCTGTTCAAAGTCTTGAGTTGGCCAATGATGGTGGTATTAAGGATAGTGACGGAGAGGTTGTTGTGAATAACTATGACGAGGATGTCATGGTTAAGAAGTTTAAGTCTATCTTTCGTAGACTGTAAGTTTAAGTCTATCTTTCGTAGACTGTATATGATAAATTAATTAATAACGAATATGACCATTATGATTTCCTTTGTAGTTTTCATGAAATGAAAGACATTGACAAGAAAAAAAAGACTTTTATTTGTTAAATGAATATGAACTAGTAGATCCAGTTGACGACTTTGGTCGTCTATACTCACACATATGGTAACATTTTGAGGAATGGACCAATAATCTATATGCCTCAAATGCCAAGCTGTGTGCCGCATCACTTTTGAAGAATAAGATGCCGAATACTTTCCTTGGCACATAAGGAGTCCACCTTAGATCTATTAGATTACTTGAAATCCCGAAGTCGCTAAAGAAATATTCCTTGTCCTACTTGGCGTAAAGTAAAGTGGAAAATTAATCATGTAGACTTACTTTTAATAAATAGTAACCCACAATTCGCGGTTATCTTTTCCATCTAATCTATAACATCAGTTCAAAGCTCTTGTACATACTTCATTAACAATGAGTGACAGTGATAGTTTCAGGGCCAAGGTCACGGATTGTCCTTCTGAAGATGAAAAGAAAGACGTCCCAATTGTGTTTAAGTCGACTTCCAAGTCTATCGGGGTAAGGAAAGCTGAAATAATGATGGAGCAATATCAAAGTCCTGCCCTCAAGGTATTTCTCTTTGTGTGTATCTTCCTTGTATCGTATACATACGGTATTGATGGGAATCTCAGATACACATTTCAAGCATATGCCACTGCTTCGTACGGTCAACACTCTCTTATATCTACTGTTCGTGTTATCCGCGCTGTAGTTGCGGCAGCTTCGCAGCCAACATACGCTCGGTTATCCGACAGATTTGGAAGAATTGAACTTTTTACCATATCAATCATTTTCTATGCATTAGGGACCGTCATTGAGTCTCAAGCTTATAATGTCCAAAGATATGCTGGTGGTACTGTTATGTATCAACTTGGATATTCTGGTGTATCTTTGATGTTGCAGGTCATCATGGCTGATTTCTCGAACTTGAATTGGAGAATGTTTTGTTCTTTTGTTCCTGTGTTACCATTTATCATCAATACTTGGGTTTCTGGTGATGTGCTTGATTCTTTGTATCCAAAATACCTGTGGAGTTTTTGCATTGGAATGTGGGCATTCATCTTTCCTTTGGCTTGTATCCCATTGCTCGGGTGTTTATTCCACATGTGGATTCTTGCAAAAAGAACTGAAGAATGGAAGATTGTGCTTGAAGATGAAAGGAAAGTACATCCAACTAAATGGGTTTCCTACAAGAATAATATTCTAATTGACTTGTTTTGGGAGATCGATGTGATTGGTATCTTGTTTATTGTATGTATCTTTGGTTTCATTTTAGTTCCATTCACTCTTGCCTCGGGTGTCACCGATAAGTGGAGGCAAGCCTCGACTATTGCTCCACTTGTCATTGGTTTCGTATTCATTCCCCCATTCATTGTATGGGAAAAGAAGTACGCTCGTTTCCCAATTACTCCATTTGCCTTGCTCAAGGATCGTGGTGTGTGGTCAGCTCTTCTTATTGGAGTCTTCATCAATTGGGTCTGGTACATGCCTAATGATTTCATGTACACTGTATTGATGGTTGCCATGAATCAATCCCAAAAGGCAGCTATGAGAGTCACCTCTTTGTATTCATTTGTCTCTGTCATTGTTGGCCCTCTCGTTGGTCTTCTCGTTGTAAGAGTAAGACGTACCAAAGGATTCATTATCTTTGGTGTACTTTGCTGGGCAGTCTCCTTTGGTCTACTTGTCCATTTCAGAGGTGACAATGACGGCCTTCAATCTGAAAAGTTTGTAAACGGTGTCATTGGATCACTTTGCTTTATGGGTTTTGGTACTGGATTCTTCACTTTCACCACTCAAGTTTCGATTTCTGCTTGTACCAATCATGAACATATGGCTGTAATTATTTCGCTTTACTTAGCGTCTTACAATATTGGCTTGGCCATTGGTGCATCCGTCTCTGGTGCTGTTTGGACTAACCTTATGTACAAGGAAATTGTCAAGCAAATGCAAAAGGCTGGAATTGATACAGCACTCGCAACATTTGCCTATGGCTCCCCAATTGGTCTTGGAGGGTTTATCGAAACTTACACTTGGGCATCTCCGGAAAGAATCCCGGTTGTTTTGGCATATGCTCATGTTCAAAAGATCTTGTGCATAGTCGGGCTTGTATTGGTGTTCCCATTACTTCTAGCTACCTTCTTCTTGAGAGATCATAAGCTTGAATCTGTTCAAAGTCTTGAATTGGCCCACGAAGGTGGTATCAAGGAGAATAATGGAGAGGTTGTAGTTAACGACTATGACGATGATTTTGTCGTTAAAAAATTCAAGTCTATATTTGGTAAACGTTAAAATTTTGTGAATAGTCTAATAAAAAGTTTAGAGACATTCTGCTAATTAGATTTGATATGAGGTGTTACTACAAGAGAGCAATTTTCATTTATGTTCTTGGTGGTTGTCCGTTCACGTTTGACACCTGCTATCAAATTCACTCAGCAGTATAAGTCAGAATTGAATAAATTGCAATACTTCTTGGCAAATCATCAATAATTGCTCGCGAGAGATTTCTACTTCGGTTAATCATTTATTATGCTCATCTCGTAAAATCTCCATTGATTCCGTCGTATACGTAAATTCCTTCCTCGGCGATCACTTAATGTTCACACCTATGGATTAATTAGTAATCCCGAAGTCGCTCAAGGTATCACTTTTGCCTTACTTTGAATGGTAGATTATCTAAATCATATTTATTTAGAAACATATTTATAAATCAGATCCAAAGAATCATTTTCCCAGAATGTTATCTATTCTATCAAATACTTGAGATCAATATTTGCAACCAAACATTTTGCAAATTTCAATGAGTGATAGTGACAGTATTAGGGCCAAGGATGCCGAATTCCATGAGACAGAAAAGCATGACGTCCCAATTGTATTCAAATCAACCTCCAAGTCTATTGGGGTGAGAAAAGCTGAAATCATGATGGAACAGTACCAAAATCCTGCCCTCAAGGTATTTCTCTTTGTTAGTGTCTTCCTCGTATCGTACGTTTGTGGTATTGATGGGACTCTCAGATATACTCTCCAAGCATATGCCACTGCTTCTTATGGTGAACATTCGCTTATCTCCACTGTTGGAGTTATTCGTGCCGTTGTCTCTGCAGCTTCGCAGCCAACGTACGCTCGTTTGTCTGACAGATTTGGAAGAATTGAACTTTTTACCATATCAATCATTTTCTATGCATTAGGGACCGTCATTGAGTCTCAAGCTTATGATGTCCAAAGATTCGCTGGTGGTTCTGTTTTATATCAATTTGGATACTCTGGTGTCACGTTAATGATGCAGGTTATGATGGCTGATTTCTCCAACTTGAATTGGAGAATGTTTTGTTCTTTTGTTCCTGCTTTACCCTACATAATCAATTCTTGGGTTTCTGGTGACATTCTCGACTCCATGTATCCAAAATACCTGTGGAGTTTCTGCATTGGAATGTGGGCATTCATTTTTCCATTGTCTTGTATCCCATTACTCGGGTGTTTATTCCACATGTGGATTCTTGCAAAAAGAACTGAAGAATGGAAGATTGTGCTTGAAGATGAAAGGAAAGTACATCCAACTAAATGGGTTTCTTACAAGAATAACATTCTAGTTGACTTGTTTTGGGAGATCGATGTGATTGGTATCTTGTTTATTGTATGTATCTTTGGTTTCATTTTAGTTCCATTCACTCTTGCCTCGGGTGTCACCGATAAGTGGAAGCAAGCGTCGACTATTGCTCCACTTGTAATTGGTTTTGTTCTTATCCCATTCTTCATAATCTGGGAAAAGAAGTTTGCCCGTTTCCCAATTACTCCTTTCGCTTTACTAAAAGATCGTGGTGTTTGGTCCGCTCTCATTATTGGTATTTTGATTGACTGGGTCTGGTATATGCCAAATGATTTCATGTACACTGTTTTGATGGTGGCCATGAACCAATCCCAAAAGGCTACAATTAGAATTACATCCTTGTTTTCTTTTGTCTCCGTTATTGTAGGTCCCCTAGTTGGTCTCGTCATTGTCAAATTCAGAAGAACTAAAGGGTTTATCATTTTTGGTGTGACTTGTTGGGCTATTTCTCTTGGTCTTCTCGTTCACTATAGAGGTGACAATGACGGCCTTCAATCTGAAAAGTTTGTAAACGGTGTCATTGGTTCTCTTTGTTTGATGGGTTTCGGTGCTGGATTCTTCACGTACACCACACAGGTGTCCATTTCAACCTGTACCAATCATGAACATATGGCTGTTGTTCTTTCTCTTTACTTGTCATCATACAATGTGGGCTCGGCCATTGGTGCATCCGTCTCTGGTGCTGTATGGACTAACCTTATGTACAAGGAAATTTTCAAGCAAATGCAAAAGGCTGGAATTGATACAGCACTCGCAACATTTGCCTATGGTTCCCCAATTGGTCTTGGAGGATTTATTGAAACTTACACTTGGGCATCTCCGGAAAGAATCCCGGTTGTCTTGGCATATGCTCATGTTCAAAAGATCTTGAGCATAGTCGGGCTTGTATTGGTATTCCCATTACTCATTGCTACCTTCTTCTTGAGAGATCATAAGCTTGAATCTGTTCAAAGTCTCGAATTGGCTCACGAAGGTGGTATCAAGGAGAATAATGGAGAGGTTGTAGTTAACGACTATGACGATGATTTTGTCGTTAAGAAATTCAAGTCTATATTTGGTAAACGTTAAAATTTTGTGAATAGTTTAATAAAAAGTTTAGTGACATTCTGCTTATTAGATTTGATGTAAGGTTATTGCAAGAGAGCAATTTTTATTTATGTTCTTGGTGATTGACTGTTCAAGTTTGACACCTGCTTCTATCAACTTCACTCAGCCGTACAAACCAAAATTGAATAAATTGAACTACTTCTTGGCAAATCATCTATAATTGCACACGAGAAGTTTCTTCTTCGGTTAATCTTTTTTTACGCTCATCTGCCAAGATCTAGATTTATTTTGTCGTATCCGTAAATTCATTCCTTGGCGCTCACTTAACGTCCTTACCTATGGATTAATTGGTAATTCCGAAGTCGCTCAAGGTATCGCTTTTGCCTTACTTAAAATGGTACATTACCTAAATAATATTTATGTAGAAACCTATTTATAATGAGAGCCAAAGAATTTTTTTTTCCCAGCATGTTATCTATTCCATCTAATACTTGAGATCAATATTTGCAACCAAACATTTCACAAATTTCAATGAGTGATAGTGACAGTATTAAGGCCAAGGATGCCGAATCCTTTGAGACAGAAAAGCATGACGTCCCAATTGTGTTTAAGTCGACTTCCAAGTCTATTGGGGTGAGAAAAGCTGAAATCATGATGGAACAGTACCAAAATCCGGCCCTCAAGGTATTTCTCTTTGTATGTATCTTCCTCGTATCGTATGTTTATGGTATTGATGGGACTCTCAGATATACTTTCCAAGCATATGCCACTGCTTCTTATGGTCAACATTCGCTTATCTCTACTGTTGGAGTTATTCGTGCCGTTGTCGCTGCAGCTTCGCAGCCAACGTACGCTCGTTTGTCTGACAGATTTGGAAGAATTGAACTTTTTGTGGTTTCAATATTTCTCTACTCTATGGGAACTGTGATTGAATCTCAAGCTTATGATGTTCAAAGATTCGCTGGTGGTGCTGTTTTATATCAATTTGGGTTTTCTGGTGTCATGTTGATGATGCAGGTTATGATGGCTGATTTCTCCAACTTGAATTGGAGAATGTTTTGTTCTTTTGTTCCCGCCTTGCCATTTATTATCAATACTTGGGTATCTGGTGATATATTGGACTCCTTGTATCCAAAATACCTGTGGAGTTTCTGCATTGGAATGTGGGCATTCATTTTTCCTTTGTCTTGTATCCCATTGCTTGGGTGCTTGTTTCACATGAGAATCCTTGCTGCAAGAACTAAAGAGTGGAAGGTTGTTGTTGAGGATGAAAGAAAGGCACACCCTACACAATGGTCGTCTTGGAAGAAAAATATCTTTGTCGATTTATTTTGGGAAATTGACGTAGTTGGTATCTTGTTCATTGTGTGTATCTTAGGGTTCATTTTGGTTCCATTCACTCTTGCCTCGGGTGTCACCGATAAATGGAAGCAAGCCTCCACTATTGCTCCACTTGTCATTGGTTTCGTATTCATTCCCCCATTCATTGTCTGGGAAAAGAAGTACGCTCGTTTCCCAATTACTCCATTTGCCTTGCTTAAAGATCGTGGTGTTTGGTCCGCTCTCATTATTGGTATTTTGATTGACTGGGTCTGGTATATGCCAAATGATTTCATGTACACTGTTTTGATGGTGGCCATGAACCAATCCCAAAAGGCTACAATTAGAATTACATCCTTGTATTCTTTTGTCTCCGTTATTGTAGGTCCCCTCATTGGTCTCGTCATTGTCAAATTCAGAAGAACCAAAGGGTTTATCATTTTTGGTGTGACTTGTTGGGCTATTTCTCTTGGTCTCCTCGTTCACTTTAGAGGTGACAATGACGGTATTCAATCTGAAAAGTTTGTCAATGGTGTCATTGGTTCTCTTTGTTTATTGGGTTTTGGTGCTGGCTTCTTCACATACACCACACAGGTCTCCATTTCAACCTGTACCAATCATGAACATATGGCTGTTGTTCTCTCTCTTTACTTGTCATCCTACAATGTGGGTTTGGCAATTGGGGCATCCGTCTCTGGTGCTGTATGGACTAACCTTATGTACAAGGAAATTGTTAAACAATTCCAGAAGGCTGGTATTGATACAGCACTTGCAACATTTGCCTATGGCTCCCCAATTGGTCTTGGAGGATTTATTGAAACTTACACTTGGGCATCTCCGGAAAGAATCCCGGTTGTTTTGGCATATGCTCATGTTCAAAAGATCTTGTGCATAGTCGGGCTTGTATTGGTATTCCCATTACTTCTAGCTACCTTTTTCTTAAGAGATCATAAGCTTGAATCTGTTCAAAGTCTCGAATTGGCTCACGAAGGTGGTATCAAGGAGAATAATGGAGAGGTTGTAGTTAACGACTATGACGATGATTTTGTCGTTAAGAAATTCAAGTCTATATTTGGTAAACGTTAAAATTTTGTGAATAGTTTAATAAAAAGTTTAATGACATTCTGCTTATTAGATCTGATGTAAGGTTATTGCAAGAGAGCAATTTTTATTTATGTGCTTGGTGATTGTCCGTTCAAGTTTGACACCTGCTACAATCAGCTACACTCAGCCGTACAAGCCATAATTGAGTAAATGGAGCTATTTCTTGTCAAATCATCAATAATTGCTCGTGAGAAGTTTCTTCTTCATTTATTATGCTCATCTGCCAAAATCTCTATTGATTCCGTTATATCCGTAAATTCCTTCCTCGGCGATCACTTAATGTTCTCACCTATGAATTAATTAGTAATCCCAAAGTTGCTCAAGTATCGCTTTTGCCTTACTTAGAATGGTATATTATCTAAATAGTATATATGTAGAAACATATTTATAATGAGAGCCAAAGAATTTTTTTTCCCAGCATGTTATCTATTCCATCTAATACTTGAGATCAATATTTGCAACCAAACATTTTACAATTTTCAATGAGTGACAGTGACAGTATTAAGGCCAAGGATGCCGAATTCCTTGAAATTGAAAAGAAAGTCACCCCAATTGTGTTTAAGTCGACTTCCAAGTCTATCGGGGTAAGGAAAGCTGAAATCATGATGGAACAGTACCAAAATCCTGCCCTCAAGATATTTCTCTTTGTGAATGTCTTCCTCGTATCGTACGTTTGTGGTTTAGATGGGACTCTCAGATTTACTCTCCAAGCATATGCCACTGCTTCTTATGGTCAACACTCGCTTATCTCTACTGTTGGAGTTATTAGTGCCGTTGTCACTGCTGCTTCGCAGCCAACATACGCTCGTTTGTCTGACAGATTTGGAAGAATTGAACTTTTTACCATATCAATCATTTTCTATGCATTAGGGACCGTCATTGAGTCTCAAGCTTATGATGTTCAAAGATTCGCTGGCGGTTCTGTTTTATATCAATTGGGATATTCTGGTGTCATGTTGATGTTGCAGGTCATCATGTCTGATTTCTCGAACTTAAATTGGAGAATCTTTTGTTCTTTTGTTCCTTTGTTACCATTTGTTATCATTACTTGGGTTTCTGGTGATGTGCTTGATTCTATGTACCCAAAATACTTGTGGAACTTCTGTATTGGAATGTGGGCATTCATTTTTCCTTTGTCTTGTATCCCATTACTTGGGTGTTTATTTCACATGAGAATCCTTGCTGCCAGAACTGAAGAGTGGAAGGTTGTTGTTGAGGATGAAAGAAAGGCACACCCTACAAAATGGTCGTCTTGGAAGAATAACATTCTAGTTGACTTGTTTTGGGAGATCGATGTGATTGGTATCTTGTTTATAGTGTGTATCTTAGGGTTTATCTTAGTGCCATTCACTCTTGCCTCGGGTGTCTCCGATAAATGGAAACGAGCTTCAACCATCGCCCCTCTTGTCATTGGTTTTGTTCTTATCCCATTCTTCATAATCTGGGAAAAGAAGTTTTCCCATTTCCCAATTACTCCTTTCGCTTTACTCAAAGATCGTGGTGTTTGGTCCGCTCTCATTGTTGGTATTTTATATGCCTGGGTCTGGTATATGCCAAATGATTTCATGAACACTGTTTTGATGGTGGCCATGAACCAATCCCAAAAGGCTACAATTAGAATTACATCATTGTATTTCTTTGTCTCCGTTATTGTAGGTCCCCTCGTTGGTCTCGTCATTGTCAAATTCAGAAGAACTAAAGGGTTTATCATTTTTGGTGTTACCTGTTGGGCAATTGCTCTTGGTCTCCTCGTTCACTTTAGAGGTGACAATGACGGCCTTCAATCTGAAAAGTTTGTCTACGGTGTCATTGGTTCTATTTGTTTGATGGGTTTCAGTGCTGGATTCTTCACATACACCACACAGGTCTCCATTTCAACATGTACCAATCATGAACATATGGCTGTTATGCTTTCTCTTTACCTGTCATCCAACAATGTGGGCTCGGCCATTGGTGCCTCGGTCTCTGGTGCTGTATGGACTAACCTTATGTACAAAGAAATTTTCAAGCAAATGCAAAAGGCTGGTATTGATACAGCGCTTGCAACATTTGCATATGGCTCCCCAATTGGTCTTGGAGGATTTATCGAAACTTACACTTGGGCATCTCCGGAAAGAATCCCGGTTGTTTTGGCATATGCTCATGTTCAAAAGATATTGTGCATAGTCGGGCTTGTATTGGTATTCCCATTACTTCTAGCTACCTTTTTCTTAAGAGATCATAAGCTTGAATCTGTTCAAAGTCTTGAATTGGCCCACGAAGGTGGCATCAAAGATAATAATGGAGAGGTTATAGTTAACGACTATGACGATGATTTCGTGGTTAAGAAATTTAAGTCTATCTTTGGTAGACACTAAAACAAATACGTTTGAATTCATAGGACTATATCCGAAGTCCTTCCTTGCTAGGTATACTTAATTCATGGATAAACAATTTCAACCTATGTGTAAATCTCTTTGTGACTTTGGATATAAACTTGTTAGTTATGGAAGGTAAATGGAAATGCCCACTTCAAGACCTCTCTTACCTTCATCGTTGCGACCAACTTACTTTCACGTGATATATATTGGTATAGCTATGTGTGATGCATGAGGTATTGCCAAGCTTTAATTACAAATTGAAGACAATTCAAATATCTCGTATTCCGCTTGGCGGTGACAAAGTTTACCACACATACTAGATTGATTCTTGGAATCCCGGGATCGCTAATGATGCCCTTCTTCGTAGATTTCGGCTTAACGGCACTAAAAAACTTTTCATGCATGAGGCTTATTTAACTGCGGTATTCGCTTGCAAAATACTTATCTATTCCATCTAATCTATTCCATCTAATCTATTCCATCACCGTCCACAAATTCGAACTAGTGAATTTAAAATGAGCGACAGTGATAGCATCAAAGCCAAAGACACGGAATTCTCCAACGATGAAAAGAAAGCAATACCTACAGTTTTCAAATCTACTTCTAAGTCAATTGGGGTGAGAAAGGCTGAGATTATGATGGAACAGTATCAAAGTCCTGCCTTGAAGGTCCTTCTCTTTGTAAGTATCTTCATTATGTCCTACACTTATGGGGTTGATGGAACACTCAGATACACATTCCAAGCATATGCAACTGCTTCCTACGGTCAGCACTCACTTATTGCAACCGTTGGGGTCATTCGTGCAGTGATTGCTTCTGCATGTCAGCCAACATATGCCCGTTTATCGGACAGATTTGGTAGAATTGAACTTTTTGTGGTTTCTATAATCTTCCACGCATTGGGAACTGTAATCGAATCCCAAGCTTACGACGTTCAAAGATTTGCGGGTGGTGCCGTTTTGTATCAGCTCGGATCCTCTGGAGCAACTGTTATGATTCAAGTCATTTTAGCTGATTTTTCCACCTTAAATTGGAGAATGGTTTGTTCTTTTGTTCCCGCCTTGCCATTTATTATCAATACTTGGGTATCAGGTGATATTTTGGACTCCTTGTATCCAAAATACCTGTGGAACTTTTGTATCGGTATGTGGGCATTCATATTTCCTTTGGCATGTATCCCATTGCTTGGGTGCTTATTTCACATGAGAATCCTTGCTGCAAGAACTGAAGAGTGGAAGGTTGTTGTTGAGGATGAAAAAAGGGCACACCCTACAAAATGGGCTTCTTGGAAGAAAAATATCCTTGTCGATTTATTTTGGGAGATTGATGTAGCTGGTATTTTGTTCCTCATTTGTATCTTAGGGTTCATTTTGGTTCCATTCACTCTTGCCTCGGGTGTCACCGATAAATGGAAGCAAGCCTCGACTATTGCTCCGCTTGTTATTGGTTTTGTTCTTATTTCCCCATTCATTGTATGGGAAAAAAAGTACGCCCGTTTCCCAATTACTCCATTTGCCTTGCTCAAAGATCGTGGTGTGTGGTCAGCTCTCCTTATTGGTATTTTAATTGACTGGGTCTGGTATATGCCAAATGATTTCATGTACACTGTTTTGATGGTGGCCATGAATCAATCCCAAAAGGCGGCAATGAGAATCACGTCCTTATATTCTTTTGTTTCTGTGATCGTTGGACCTCTTGTTGGACTTGTTATTGTGAAGTTCAGAAGAACTAAAGGGTTTATCATGTTCGGTGGGTGTTGCTGGATTATTTCACTTGGTCTTCTCGTTCACTTTAGAGGTGACAACGATGGTATTCAATCTGAAAAGTTTGTTAATGGGGTCATTGGCTCTCTCTGTTTGTTGGGGTTCGGTGCTGGGTTCTTCACTTACACCACACAAGTTTCCATCGCAACATGTACCAATCATGAGCATATGGCTGTCGTTCTCTCTCTTTACTTTGCCGCTTACAATGTGGGTTTGGCAATTGGTGCCTCCGTTTCTGGCGCTGTTTGGACTAACCTTATGTATAAGGAAATTGTCAAACAGTTTGAGAAGGCTGGAATTGATACAGCACTTGCAACATTCGCCTATGGTTCCCCAATTGGATTCGGAGGGTTCATTGAAACGTATACATGGGCTTCTCCTGAAAGAATACCAGTTGTATTAGCTTATGCTCACGTTCAAAAGATCCTATGTATAGTTGGACTTGTTTTGGCTTTCCCGTTACTCTTTTCAACATTCTTTTTAAGAGATCACAAACTTGAATCTGTACAGAGTCTTGAATTAGCTCATGAAGGTGGTATTAGGGAAAATAATGGAGAAATTGTGGTAAATAACTATGACGATGATTTCTTTGTTAAGAAATTCAAGTCTATAATTGGTAGACATTAATATTTTGTGAATAAGACACTTATGTTTTAGTATGGAATGATTGTAGAGCTGGCATATTAAGTAGTTGAGTGTTTTTGAGAAGAGTAGGGGAACATCACATTACCAAGAATGTACATACCAGTTTTTTTTTTGAAAACTTTTCCTTCTTAGTGTACGGGATTAATCATTTACCACTATGAACTATTCTCAAATGTATGAAAATATTGATAGATCTATCCTCCAATAAGTTGAATAATAAGGCTTCATTCGCTATGTGTTGTGGGAAAAATGGTATGGAATATAACCTTGAAGTACGAGTGACATATTTAGGACCTGCCATTATTCTCCCTATAAATCTCATTTGATTCAACTGTATTAATAGAATGTCAATAGTTCTACCCGTCATATCGAATATCTTTTCATTTATGCTGGTTCACATTTCGGTCATTTAATGAATCAAGTAGAATAAACAATAAAAAAAAGGTCAAGTTCTAAACCTTTCTACACCACCTGAACATGATTTCATAAAGCTACTCATACAATGACTCGCATTAAATCTCTCCTCAGTTCTACACCAATAGTTTGTTCTTATTATTAATATTCTCATTTCAAAATTCATGTCTTTCCTTCCTATAACAAATCATCATCATCCTTTTCCACAACTGTATTCTTAATCTTTAAAAGTAACAGAGTTTTCAACTTATCCAACTTACTAAATTGATCAAATTCAAAAACCTTGTCCAGAAATCCTTGAACATCACCTTGATCAATAGCTTCTAAGATCTCTTGAACAAGTTTGTATTCACGGGTACTTTCCCAAGAAGGTTCTTCATTAAGATATCCAGCAGATCTCTTAGATGCTTCAATTGCATCATCCATACACAAAGTACACAAAATAGTCTTGAAGAAGTAATCCTTCAAATTCCATTTGGTTAAATTATTACCCAACAGGTTCTTGATGACATTGTCATACAATTCAATAGCCTTTCTGTAGTCACCGGATACAGCACTAAGATCAGCACACTTTAAATAAGCCTTATTTGAGAGAGCTTCTGCATGATCAGTTACAAAATAATCACCAGCTTGTTCGTAACTTTTGACAGCGCTCTTTGTATCGTTGATACTTTCATATAATTCTGCCAAATCCATAGTGAAGTTAGCTGCTCTTCTGAATTGACCATTTTGTGTGAGAAAGATATGAATTGCTTGAGATAAGGAATCAATTGCTTCAGCTGGGGAAACAGCCTTAAAACATTTGTAAGCTTCAATCAAATGGTTTGCCACATCATTATGGTTCAGGAGTTGTTTCTGAAGGTCTGCAGCCTTCACGAATTGCTTACCGGCGTTTTGGAACTCTTTATTGAGACGATATTGGTTTGCAGCTTGAATATAAAGATCAGTTGCCTCTTCAAGACGATATGACAGGGAGGAGCCTGAGAGGAATGAGAAGAATCCCAGCTGAGGCTTAGTTAATTTTTCCGCTTCGGCAATAAGGGAGCGGGGGTCCATATTGATAGAAAGAGTTTGAGTGAAGGGTGGTGGTGTTAGAATATATGATCTCTATCTTCACGTTATCTTGCAAATGTTTGATTAAAGGGCAACAAAAAATGTTGCCATGTTGTAAGATTTTATATGTCGGACGCGGTGTATTTTGTTATGTGTAGGTGTTTATTTTTGTGTAGGATTTGCAACCCACAAACAGCACAAGATTTATATGTATATGTATATGTATATATATATATATAAATCTTGGGATATATTATCCTCTGATCTACTGGGTATATCTGATTGAACTCCTTAGATGAATCATTGACAAAATTTGCTTAAATAATAATTTTTTCTTAACTTTTAGAAGAATTCTTTTTCTTAAAGACCTTAAAAACATTTAATATAAATTAAAAAGAAATTTCTTTTTTTTTTCTCCCCCACTCTCTTTAGCTTCCCAACTACAAACCGTTCACCACTCACCTATCAGAGTAAATACTACTATAATATTCATATATATATTTCTTTATATAATCTTTAGTGAATTAAACTTCCCTTTCCTTTTCATTTCTTTTATGGTTGCCATTTTGTACCATCCTGCATATATCCATCATTCTCATTATGTAATTCACTTTTTGTTTTTACAACCATTTTATTGATTTGTTTATTTTGAATCAATTATCATAATGACTACACCAAGTTCAGAAAAGATACGATTTGAAAAACTTCGTCTAGTATGTCGTAAAGCCCTTGAACAGTCCATTAAGAAATCCCTTTCGCAAGAACAGATCATATCTTGTTACCCCACAATAGCAGATTCAAATGATGGGATTAAATCTTTGGATTTGGCAAGACAACAAATTATTAAATTTTGGTTTAATAATTCAATGAGAGAATTTGAGTGGATCTTCAAAGAAAGGAACATTGAACTGAAACTAGATGAATTAGACGAGTTGATCCTGCAGGCACGGATGCGTAGCTTAATAGAAGATGAAGAAAATGATCCTCCAGTGTTTATAAATCAACTTACTCCTGATCAAATCATGGAGGCTAATTTAATACCTTCAAAGAGAACCACTATAGAGAATTTAAGTATGATTCATGAACAACTTAAATTAGATAATCAAGAGTTATTGGATGAATTATTATCCCTATCACATGAAGGCGAGTCAATCCAAAATGATCTTTATGGGACAATAAAATCTCTTAATGAAGGAATTGAAGGTTTAAGAGGAGAAGAGGAGCAAGTAAGAGTGAAATTAGATCAATTAATTGATGCTATTGAGTAAGAAAAGGAAATCTAAATGACTATGAAGAACATATTATTCCGGTTCCGGTTCTGCCTCAATCTAGGATTCTCTTTTGAATTCTCCGTGTACCATTAACTGTATATTATAATGTATATTTACAAGATCAAATAGGAAACTATATTGATCCAAGGCTAGATCTCTTCCGTGTATGACCTCCTTGCAGAAAAGCAAAACCTCCCACGTTCAGTGGCCCAACGGAGTGCCAACATAGCGGCTCTCAAACCCCATAGGGAATGTCCCTACTCCGTTATTACTCCTCTACTCTACAAGAAGTATTCTACATCTATATTTCTTCTTTGTCTATTCGTTGTATGTACATGAAAATAGGCTATCCTAAGCCTTGTTCTGGGAAGCAGCAACCTTTTGGGCAGCCTTCTTTTGAGCTCTTTGTTCAGCCTTTTGCTCAGCAACAGCCTTGAGCTCGCGGGCTCTGCTCTCTGCCAACACCGCGTATCCAGCAACCTTCTTTTGAAGTTCATCCATCTTACGAACCTTGTCCTTTTGCTTGTCGGACAACTTGACCAATTGCTTTTCACCCCAGACCTTGTAATCTTGCAAGTATTGTCTACTCATGCTGAATTCACGAACCACAACATCGTCGGTCAATCCCAACTTCTTGATGGTGTAGAAGTAGTTTTCTGGTTGATCCTTCTTCAAATATTTTAAAATTCTTTGTCTTCTTTGTACATATTCACGTACTCTTTGAGTATGTGGATGATCCTTTGGGTTCTTTTTCACATGTTCCATTAAGAAATGGATCTTGACAGTCAATACAGCTGCTTGAACTTCTGGAGAGGCAGTGTCTCCTTCGTGTCTTTGGAACTCCTTACGAGCAATGGCTACAGCCAAATCCTTCTTGTCGTTTTCGTTGGTGTTATTGATATTAAGAATGGTGAGAATGGCGGATCTTTTCTTGGCTTCAAGCTCGGTAATCGACTTGTGGAGAATGTTGTTGCCTCCACTCTTGGAAAGAGCAGCCTTTTCAGCACCATACATCAATTTTTCAAGCTCCAGTTGTTCATAACCTTGGGCCATGTTGGTACCTTCTTGAAGTTCTGCTCTGATTCTGTGCATGAAATCATTCTGCTTGGCACCCAAAACTGGGTCCACGTCGTACTGACGGTTCTTAAGCTCCATCTTCTTGACATTGTTGACGTCTCTGATGATTTGTCTCTTCATTCTTTGTTCCTTCTTGATGATGTTTCTACGACGAGTTCTAGACATGTCTGCCGGTCTTGGGATCTTGGCGGCGGTGGTGATTGGCACCGAGGGAGCGGTTGTGGTGGCAGAAGCGGCAGCTTCTGACACAGCTCTTCCCCCAGAAAGAAGTCTGACGGCCGATCTAAACATGGTTATTGAGTTATGTATGTATGTTTCACTGTGTATGGGTTGGTTTTGAAAAAATCTCAAAATTGTCAAAAGATCGAAAATTTTGAAATTGAGTATGGGACGACTCTTTTGAGAAGAATAATTTGGAGAGGACTGCAGGTAGTAGTAGAGAAAAGTAGTATGGGACCTAGAAAGAAGAAAAGAATGAATAAGAATGGTTAAGAATTTATATAATACGCAATGATATAGTAAGTATGGATATAATTTCTATGAAGTGTTGGAAGTACTTATTTTATAGGTATATGGAAGGTTTTCCTCATTATTACTTGTTTTAGATCGATTTAATCTGTGAATTATCATTAATTCCTTCATTTAAAAGAGTATACATCATATCTTTCCTTATATCTAATTACTCTACAGTGATCTCTGTATCTCTTAAATAATATGCCCACCTAAGTTCACTTCCTTTATAGATATTGGCTTTCTCCTACTTTACTCATCTCAATTCTGTAGTTCCTGTATATATTGTATACTCCTGCACTTCTGAGTATGGATTATCAGGACCTTTCCTCTTATGGTGTTAGTTACAATTTTATTCGAAATTTAATCATTTAATAATTCATTAAGGAAAGCTCTTGATACCTCAGATGACAGTGGACGTGGCCGAACTTCGGTCCTTGCTGAAAAAATGGCTGCGTAAGACCAATATAAAGTATTCAACCAAGATTATAAATTATGTCTACCGCCTAGTTAGTGAGGGAACTACAAATAAAACTGCAATTGCATATATAAATAGTACTGGATTTTTCAAGAAATACTTATGGGAGTTTTACCAAGATGGGGTTTCATCGGCTCACACTGACCTTGTGGCGATTTTCCTTATGTATGACCTGAAAATCGAAGACCAAGCAGCGTCTCAACGACTGATGGATTTGTTTTTAGATGAACAATATCAATCAAAATATCAATCGTATATGGCTAATTTGACCAGTAAGCCAAACAGTTACATGTTGGATCTACTCACTGTCCTTATTTCCACCAAATTGGCCCATCCTACAGTAAGAAAAAATGTAGGTGGAATCTTCAGCATTTCAAATTGGAGACATCTTCCAAACTATGAAGACTTACTAGCACACCAACCTGATTATATTAAAGATTCATTTCAGAGGAAAATTAAAGCAGTGGATTCTGAGAACTTGGGTGAACTGGCCTGGTTATACGATGTAATGGTGACACAAGCGAAGAATCAGATGATGGAAGGAAAAGATGACATCGATACAGATTATGAGGATAACGAGGATACATTGCCAACCCTTGTCTCATCCTTGATCAACCTACTCATAGTGTGTTTATCTCAACTCCCCATAAGGACCACTCTCAATACGTTTGTAAAGGAAATTGGGTTTATTTCAGCCTTGCCAAGAAATGAGCACACCGACCTTCTTAGATACTATGTATACTACCCAATAGATGACTTTTCCGGCGAGGAACAGTTTGAAACATACGAAAAGGACCGAGCCGACCGGTTTTACAAACTACAATTGACTTGGTATGATATTGATGAGGGAAACCCCATCCATCTCTTACCATCTGTGTACAACACTAACCCGGAAGAGGTTTCGTCGTGGCTTCGAAGCCTCACTCTCGCTAGCTTACAACAAATCCTGGCAAACTTGAAAGTTGGTCAATATATTCCTACGGAACTTATTTCCAATGATCTCTTGGTAAAGATAATTGTGGATTCCATCTACACCCCAAATTACAATACTCGACAAATTGTGTTGGAGAAACTAGTCTTCAGTGATGTTTCCCAATTCTCACAATACACAAGTCCATTCCCACCCCTTATAGGAACCATTCAGTACCTTTCAACCAAAGATTATATCTTTCGTACACTCTTAACATATGCACAGCAGTATCGTCAGGAGGCTGTGACGCATATACTACTGGTGCTTCAAAGAATGGCAGTGTCTTCTGAAGGTCTAGCTAAGGGATCAAGTAAGTATGCTACTTCTATCAAATCTATTAGTAATGATGAAGGGAAGATCAAGGTCGAACTAGTCAAAGATCTTTCCATCATTTCTGGGGATTCTGTCGTTTTGGTTCAAATCCTTAAACCAAATAAGTATTCCGAGCATCAAGTGACAGTCCAACATGGGGTATCTGTAGTACGGTCTGGGCGTGTGATCTCCACTGATAAACGAAAGATTTTGGCGTTAGAATTGGACGGACATGACCAAGGTGAAGTGTCCGATCAAATCCAGTTTTCCCATATTATAAAGCTTCCAGTGGACAATAATAAAACTCGTGAAATCGCAAATAAGGGACTTCATTTGAACCTCCCACCGTTCTTAAAGGATTTATTCTTGGGATTCGACCACCCTAATTCTGCATCTTACACTGAACAAGCAAACAGACCTGTCCAATTAAAAATAAATTGCCTCAATGGAGAAGAATTAGTAAAGGAGATATATGGAGCAGTTGAGTCTGAGAAGGACGTAGTCACTAAGAAATTGAAAGCTGATGATGTTAAAGATACCATTTCGCCAGGAGATTCGAGACATTCCCTTTTATTGAGATTCCCAGAGGATTCGTCGCTTGAGACAACATTCTCAATCTTGGATGACGTTGACACTGTTCCTGAAGCTCCCATGTGTAAACTAGCATTCGAAGGATTGGTGTCTTCTATTTCAACTGGTCTTACTCTCATTGATACACCACCATACCTGACAGTACCGATCCTTAAGTCAATATTACACAATTTACATCTCAACTTCCCTAATGAACGGGTTCTTGTTGTTTCTCTGCACATCTCCGCGACTGAACAACCAATAAGTGAGAAACAAATTGTATTGGTGGGGGATAAACAAGCTGACACCGCTGCATTGAAGTCTAAGGCAGATCAACTTCTTATTTTCGCATCTAAACTCTTTCAACGAGTAATTAACGTAGCAGAGGCTTTAAAAGCTGGTGAAGATCCAAGTGTGTATGGACAATCCTGCGAAGATGCATGGCTCTTGTTCCGTACATATATTGAGCCAAGTTGGGAAAAGTTTTTGATAAATGTCAAGGAATCCCCAAATAATGAAACCCTTTCTCAATACCCCTTTGATATGAAAACTTCAGTAAACATTTCTAACAATTTCCAACAAAATTTAAAGTCAATAATAAGTCATTATATTGAACTTTCTCAAGTGTTTTATGAACTAAATTCTTTGAATCCTGTCATAAAATTCCAAGACAATTTCAAAGAATTGTTCCCATTTATTGTTAATAAGTATTGTACTGTTATACATGTCAGTGAAAAGTTTTTGTTGCAACAATTTTCCGCTGACATGGGTCCAGTGACTCTTGATTCGTTGAATCTTAGTTCAATTATTTTAACTGAAAATGAGTATATGTCAGAGTTTAGAAGTTTGTCTACATTTTTAACTGTGAATGATTCCAAATATCTCAAACGAGTGGTTATATTGGGGAACACTTTGATCAATCGTAAATCTCTCATTCTGAGATTTGTTGGATTACAAGTCCCAACATTTGGTCCTCTAGAGGCTCCATTGGTAAGGTCACAAATTGCACAATTCTATTCAGAACAATCACCAAGAGAATTGAATCCTTCGTTTAATTCTGGGTTTGACAAGGTGGTTCAATATATAGAGGTTGAAAAATCTACAAGTCATGTCAATGTTGAGGAAGTCGAATATCTTGTCGCAGTATATCAGTACATGAGACTATTAAACTATCCTGCTGATACCATTGCTATACTAACTGCGTCTGCCATTCAACGGGTTCTTTTATGTGAAGTGTTGACAAGAAGATGTGGCCCTGCTAATGAACCTGCTAGTGATAAACCTGCAGAAGGTTTCAACTTTGGATGGCCACAATTTGTCCTGACTACCAAGGATTTACAAAATTCAAAGGCTGATTATGTACTTTTATCTACACATGGAGAGGAATTGCAAGAGGTTATCTCGAGCGTCTTACGCGCAAGTTTATTGGCACGTCTTGGTTTGTACGTTTTCACAAGTGCTGATGTTACAATAGAAAAATGTTCATCATTGAAAATCCGAGTAGGTGAACTCTATAATCGAGACCGTTCAAAGCAGTCATTCACCATTGAAAATCGTGAACACATGGCTGATTATGTGGAACAAATGACTAAAACTAGAAGAGGGGCTAAATAAATAGAATATACATTAGATATTAATAGAACAATGACACACCCCACCCCCCACGGGGCAAAAATAAAATAAAAATAAAATCTACATCCCCAGTTTTAAATGACATAATCATCCCAATCTATACCTACTTTTGTTGTCTTGACGTGACTCTCTTATCTTTAAAGTTTAGTCAGTCTTATCTAATCACCATCCATGCGCGTAATCGTGGGTCCGTGCACTCCCATGAGGTAGTACTTGTGGTCATTCTAATCCAACTAGTTAACGCCAAGACCACAATTATCTCTATATTCTTGTCCCCACCCCTTACCAATGTCGTCGCTTTAAATTGTTGGCTTTCTCATTCTTTTCCCCCTTTCTCGTCATATCGAGTCCTTCTCACTTCCAAGATCATTCCAAATTCTTCTTTCCTAGTTTCCACCTGCCGCGTAATTTGCAGAATGCTTATCTTATCACCTCTTTTTTTTTCTCAGCAACTGAAAAAAAAAATTAAAAAAAAAAAAAAATTAACCTCCCCCCCTCGTTTAATCTAAACACGTACACAAACCCCCCCTCACACAAGTTTCACATGAGTGAGAAAATCTCACTAAATATGGCCTGAGCTTACTCTTTCTTTACACACCACTTGTGGTAGTTATCCCTTATCTCTTCTTTCATATCATTCACTTCTTGATTTTCTTCTTCCTATCTCCACTAGTTCTTCTCAACCGTTGCACTTGCACTGCACTTTCACTGCACTTTCACTGCATTTTGACTGCACTTGCACTTTGCAGTTACACTTGCAGTGGCACTTGCAGTGCCATGCCATTCTCTGCCATATCGCCGTTTGGCGAATTTTTTTGCCTTATAAGATTCTCATCTTTTTTTTTTATTTTTATCTTTGTGTCACTTTGTATTTTGGGTGAATATTTTTTTTTTTTTTCTTAACATTAAAATTTTTTTCACCTAAAAAAAAACTTTTATCGGTTTGATAAACATAATCAGAGGGATTCCTTTTTTCCAAATAAAAACTTCATTGTGTATTATTTGTGAATTCTGTAGTATTTTCTACTGCTAATTCCCACCTGCACACCCGTCCCACGGCCCCGTCTTCCTGACCTTCAGAGCTGCGCTTTCTAGCCCGGTATTTGTCCCCCCGTTATCTATTGATTCCAAAACCGGCCCCCCGGCTCTTTATCTTTTCTCAGTGATAGATAAATCTTCCTTCAGGAAAAAAAAAAACACATTCCCACTTTTTGTTACCCAAATAACATTCCTTGTGTAATCACTTGTGTGTATCAAGAGTGTTTCTAGTGTGTATCCAGTGTTGAATCCTACTCCTCTAGATCGAATCCTGAAATTGATTGACTCGATCGTTATCAGTTGAAAACAAAACTGTTGACCTTTCCTTTTTTTTTTTTTTCCATTTACCATGAGTGAAATAACACAACGTCTTCCTCCTGTGGTTGCCGCCAACCCGGTGCATCCTAATGCCAAGACCACAACCCATATCACCAATGGAACCACCACCACCAAGACGAATATCACAAGTCCCGTGTGTCGTAATTGTAAGACCCAGACCACTCCCTTGTGGAGACGTGATGAAACTGGACAGGTTCTTTGTAATGCTTGTGGTCTTTTCCTCAAGCTTCATGGTAGAGCCAGACCAATCTCGTTGAAAACTGACACCATCAAGTCGAGAAATAGAATCAAACAGCCCAATTCGGCCAAGTCTTCGAGTCCAAACACTCCGGAACTTAAATCCAAGGACAGTACCAGTAGTGTCTCATCCATTGGCTCTACGGGTACCGTGATGTCCACCAACGGTAGTGTGGTGAAATCCAATGGTGGCAAGAAATCCCCTAAAAGTCATAAATCGAAAAAGTCTATGGAGGGAAGTTTAACTCCACTCTTACCTGCCAGACAGGGCAGTCAAGGAACTCCACAACTGCAGCCTTTACTGCAACTGCAACTGCAACAACACCCGCACCAGCAACAGCAGCAACAGCAACAGCACATGTCACAGCACCACACCTTCTCTATCCCTCACCCAATGAATGTCAATGGGAACTTCTTGCCCCACCATTTATCTCATCAAGTTCAACCTCTTCATTACCCATCATCTACACCAGCACAATTTGCTCCAGGCTTACAAAGAATCACGTCTCCACTTTTGTTGTCGACCACTTCTTCCATTTCCAACGCTCGTTCTTCGAGTGGGAGTGTCAAGCCTTTGAGTGCCGCTGCCCAAGCCGCGGGTGCCTTGGAGAATATGTCCAATGAGCTTGGACCAAGTGCGTCGTTCAAGATGTCTGGAGGTAGTCTTGGAGTGGGGCGTTCATTGATAAGTAAAGAGGGGGGAGAGGGAAACAACCATGTTAAAAATGAAAGACTTGCATTTTCCACCCCATCTTCCGCTTTAAATCCACCCAAATTGCCAGCTTTAGGATCAAATGTTGGTAGAAATACCTCCCCATTATTTGGCGCTCAATTTGGCATGGATCAAAAGGATCAAGCACCACCAACTCCACAACTGCAACCACACATATCACAACCTCCACAGGCCACTCCAGATTCTCGTCCTACATCATTACCACCAATCTTGGGTGCTAGTGGTAGTCCTTCGTTGCCACCGTTCAACAACCTTGCCTACAATAAGGTTGACAAGGATCAACAACCGGGTGAACGTAAGGAAAGTGGCTCAGAAAGAGGAGGTAATCATAACGAAAAGGAGAGTAGTGGTGACAACAGTAACAGTAACAATAACAATAACAACAATAATAGTAATAACAATGATAAAAATAATGAAGAAAAGGAGCATACACATAATGAGATCACGGTGCTAAAGACTCGAATTTCTGAGTTGGAATTAGTTAATGATTTGTATAGAACGAGGATTATGGAATTGGAGGCCATGGAGCAGGCTGCAAGGCTTAGGGAGATTTCCATGAGGAAAAGATTAGATGAAGTGTTGTATTTGCATGAGGGAGGACACGAGCAACTGAGAGCACCACCAGCTCCAGCTCCAGCTCCAGCTCCTCCAAGTCATCAATATCACCCACATCAACACACCCCTGCATCCTACGGCCAACTGAGGTTTTCATTGCCTCCAATTCATCAAGCTGTCGATTCAGTTAAGCGTGAATACGATGGTCCCGACAGTTCTTCAAAGAAATTGAAACTTGATACTTGAAAGGGTAGAATTATGATATAATGAGGAGTATAGTGTATAGTGAATATTTATTAATATGGTACATATATAAGGTACATATATAAAGTATATGAAATGTAGAGTTAAGAGAGAAAAAGGAGGTATTTATTTCTGTGGGTGTTTGATGTTTATGTATATTTTTGGTTAAAGTTTACCAAATTTTGAATAAATTTATATAAATTTATAAATTGCTACTTGAGATATGATGAGAATGAGGGACCAATTAGAAGATCAACAAAGGTAATAGAGAAGTTGGGTAGTATTAACGAGAGGCTCATTAGAAATACGGGAAATCCTAAAGCCTTCCAAATCCCAAAAGGAGTCTCGAATATAATCTCGTACCTTCAGTACATCTTCAGTACATCTTCAGTTCATCTTCAGTTCATCTTCAATACATCTTCAGTCATATTCATATCTTCAGTACAATCAGTTCTATTTAGTTCACCTTTAATGTTTCTTTATATTTCATATACATTCAATTTATAAACAATCCACTTTTCCTTCTCAACGTTCATCTTCTTTGAATTGTTCTCTGTTCCAACTCAACAAGTTGGCATCACCAGTCTTTCTAGGCTTGATCAAATTGATCACCAAGAGAGCAATGGCCAACACCATACAAAGACCACCACCAACCATCCAACTGATACCAAGGAAATCATTCTTACCTCCAATGACTGATCTTTGAGAAATATAAATATACTTGTTCCCCTTGTATGGGAGAACGGGGAAATGTAATCCAACTTGAACTTCGTAAATTCCAGCAGTCAATTTATCATTGTCATTACGTAAGGCAAGCTTATTAAAAGTGGGCAAGCCTGAAGTTTTCATCCAATTTTGGAATTGATACCAAGTGGAGATATCAGGAACATTGGTAGCATTGTAACCGTTGGGGAACCGCTTGTACCAGTTTGGAGGTGGGACAATATCTCTATAATCATAAGTGGTTTTCTTGAACCGATTCTTATCGGAGGCCCAAGTAATGCCCTCTTCAGTCATTTGATAATCTTGAGCGGTTCCGTTCACTGCAGTCAAGGTATCACTATAGGTATCATTGAAAAGACTATTGGCAATCAACCCACATGGATATATTCTTTTCCCATGTTCATCAAGAGAAAGTGGCTCACAATTTTGTCCCGTGGTCTCCTTGATGTTGTTGATTGAGGCAGCCTTCCCCTCGATTTGATCTTCACTGAAAGACTTGGCAAACCGTCTATGGTTGGCATAGAACTTGTGCAAACGGTAGAAGAAGTAAAGAGGTGCCTTAAGGTCATTTTGTACTTCAAATTGAATCAAACAAACATTTCGTTCATCTTCGAATGGTTGTGATTCGTCAGTGGCAAGTTTCCAAGAAGCCTTTGGAAGCGTCTTGGATGAAGAACTTTTGAAATTGAAATCTAAATATTCTTGTGGGATTTCCAGATAATAATCTTTACTAGCAACAAGTTCACATTGAGTATAATCAATGGCAAAGTCTTGCACTTGATGCAGGGCGTACCACATGGCGGCACCCAACGGAGCGAAAACCACGGCGATTGCCACGAGAATTGGGATCACTGTTTTGGCAGTGAAGACTGGGTTATAAGCTTTTAATCTTTGTTGTCTGAAGGCATTATCAGCTGGTCTTCTTGACTTTTCCTTGATTGGTTTTTTGGTATCATCAAAGGAAGCATCGGAATCGTAATCGTCATCACGAGTACCAATAGGGTCGAGTTGTGGGTCTGGGACTATCACCGTTTGCTCAGGAAGCGGATCCGCGCGATCCGCAGGCACATTAGAGGGTGGTGCCATGGTAAATGATGGGGTGGGGGTGGATGGTGAAGGATTGTGTTTATGTCAGCATGAGAAGAAATTGATAGATAGATAATTTTGGTGCGCGCGGAAAAAGGAGTTTAGAGAAAGGTAGTGGGTGTTAGATGAAGGAATTTGTGGAGTGTAAAGAGGTGGAGTGAAGAGAGGAGAGTGAAGAGAGGAGAGTGAAGAGAGGTGGGAGGAGTGGAGAATAGAAGTGTAGAAATACAGTAGAGAGGCAGAAAAGAGTAGAGAATTAAAAGTAGTTTCATTCACATTTATGTTGCCAAATTTAGATACAATAGAGAATGAGAGTAGAGAAAGTAGAGGGTGAGACAAGAAGAGAACTGAATTATTAGTCAAACGATCTAGGTTGTTAAAGTAATCTCAATTCAAATAGAAATGGGTCCATCCTCTCTCTCCTTGTTTGAAAAACAATGTAGACATTACAAATTTGTATCAGAGTAAATACCGACTCGGCTGTATTACCGAGATACAGAAAAATTACACCCCTAACTTACACCTAACGTGGGTTCTTGTTCCTCTACCGAGATCTCCTCGTAAAGGAGCCAGGCACCACGCAGTGGCTCTCCCCGAGTAGGGGCCAGCGGAGCGTCTCACAGCCCGCAGGGAAGAGAATACTACCAGCCCTACGGGGTTAGCTAGCCGCTCCGCTGGCACTGCGTGGGCCACTAGCCGTGGAGGCCTGGTTCCTCTGACGAGGAATGGTTAAGATCTCCTCGTAGAGGAGCCAAGCTCCACGAAGTGGTTCTCCCCGAGTAGGGGCCAGCGGAGCGTCTCACAGCCCCTGCAGGGAAGAGATACCAGCCCTACCGGGTCTGTCATCCGCTACATACCCCAAGCACCCAAACAAAACTGAAACAAAAATAATAAAAAATAAATAACAAAAAAACTCCCACATCCTACAATACCTCCTTCAACCCTCTTTAACCTAATTATCCTCCCACATAAATACCAGCCTTTTTTCCTCCATTAACTCTACTACTTCCATTTACATTCTACTAATCTAAGCTCCCTTACATAATCCCATCCGACCCCCTTACATAATCACCTAATTTTCATTTTTCCCTTTGCTCTTCTGCACTATATGCACACTCCATGACTTTTTTTTTTTTCAAAGCCCATTGACCACAAAAAAAAGTGAAAATGAGTTCAAATCGTCAATCCTTTTTCTTAACCCCTTATTATCCATCATGTCTGAAGAAACTGCTGAGAAGAACATCGAGATCTGGAAGATCAAGAAGCTTATCAAGTCCTTGGAAGAAGCCAGAGGTAATGGTACCTCGATGATTTCTCTTATCATCCCTCCAAAGGGTCAAATTTCCCTCACACAACAATTACTTACTGAAGAATATGGTACTGCCTCCAATATCAAGTCTCGTGTCAATCGTTTGTCTGTGTTGTCTGCCATCACCTCGACCCAACAGAAGTTGAAGTTGTACAACACTGTGCCAAAGAATGGGTTGGTTGTGTATTGTGGTGATGTGATCACCGATGAAGGAAAGGAAAAGAAATTGAATATTGATTTCGAACCTTTCAAGCCTATTAACACCAAGTTGTATCTTTGTGACAACAAGTTCCATGTAGAAGCCTTGAATGAATTGCTTGAAAATGATGACCGTTTCGGGTTCATCATCATGGATGGTAATGGAGCCTTGTTCGGTGCCGTGTCCGGTAATACTCGTGAAGTGTTGCACAAGTTCACCGTTGATCTTCCAAAGAAGCATGGTAGAGGTGGTCAATCCGCTATGCGTTTCTCCCGTTTGAGAGAAGAAAAAAGACACAATTATGTCAGAAAAGTCGCTGAAGTCGCCGTACAAAACTTTATCACCGCCGATAAGGTCAACTGTAAAGGTTTGATTTTGGCTGGTTCCGCTGATTTCAAGACTGAATTGTCCAAATCCGACCTTTTCGACAACAGATTGCAAGCCAAGGTTATCAAGATTGTCGATGTTTCATACGGTGGGGAGAACGGGTTCAACCAAGCCATTGAACTCTCCGCTGAAACTTTGGCCAACGTTAAGTTTGTCCAAGAAAAGAAGTTGCTTAATGACTACTTTGACGAAATTTCCCAAGACACCGGTAAGTTCTGTTACGGTATTGATGACACTCTTAAGGCCTTGGATTTGGGTGCCTGTGAAGTTCTCATTGTCTACGAAAACTTGAACATCATACGCTACACCTTCAAGAACTCCGAGGGTGAAGAAGTCATTGCCACTGCCAACCCAGACCTCCCAGACAAGTCCTACTCCTTGGACAAGGCCACTGGTGCTGAAATGGAAGTCGTCAAGGAAGAAACCTTGTTGGAATGGCTTGCTGAAAACTACAAGAACTTTGGTGCCAACTTGGAGTTTGTCACCGACAGATCTTCCGAAGGTGCACAATTCGTCCAAGGTTTCGGTGGTGTAGGTGCTATGTTGAGATATAAGGTCAACTTTGAACAATTGGCTGATGACACTGATGACGATGAGTTCTATGATGATGATGATGATTTCATTTAGATGATAGATTGTAATAAAAGTAGTAAAGGATGATATTGAATTGGATGTAGAACCTAACCCTCCTTGGATGGCTAACCTCATAGAGCAGTACTACTCCCTTCCCTGCGGGACTGTAAGACGCTCCGCTGGCCCCTACTCGGGGAGAGCCACTGCGTGGAGCTTGGCCCCTCTACGAGGGGATCTCGGACTGTGGACCCATTCATCGTCAGAGGAACAAGGCCCCCACGGCTAGTGGCCCACGGAGTGCCAGCGGAGCAGCTTACTAACCCCGTAGGGCAGCACTACTTCCCGTATGAGACTGTAAGCTGCTCCGCTACAAATTCATCTTCTTATCATGTTCTATTACATATATAATCTCTACTGCTTCTTATTACCTCTCTTGTCCTTCTTGTCATTCTTCTTCTTTTCTGGCTTGGTGACCTTGGCTGGTGGTTGCTTCTTCTTCATCACCTTCTTGGTCCCAGCCTTCTTGGATCTGATATCGTCCAAGGCATTCATCTTCAGTTGACCCAAAACCTCACTGTGCATGTTCCCAGACACCATTTGATGGGCCAAGTTCTCCAACCCACTGGTAATGTAGGATCTTCTAGCGTTTTTACGAAGCTTTTGATCCAAGAGTTGTTTCAATTCGTATCTCATCCCCTTCATTTCGTCCTTATCAAGCAACTTATTCTCCTTTCTCTTTCTCATTCTCTTGAGGATATCGTCATCAAACGCTTCATTGACTTCGTCCAAGTCGTCCAATCCCAAATCTTCCGCGGCCTGTGTTACCCATGCGTTCTCCTTTCTGGTAGAGGTTGAGGAAATCTCAGAATCAGCCAACTTGGATGCAATGGCAACTCTAGGCTTGATCTGAGTGATAAGATCCATTTCTATCGGTAAGAGCTTAACATTTTGATGGGTGTTGAATTTGTTGTTATTCTTTTTCGAGTCAGCAATAGTCTTACGGAGCTTTCTCAAGGGCCCTGAGGACTCTTGTGGTGAGCAAAACATCACAGAAACACCTTCCTTCCCAGCTCTGGCAGTTCTACCGGATCTATGGATGTAAACATCAGCAGAACGAGGCAAATGGTAATGAGCAACGTGGTCAATGTTGGGGATATCCAAACCTCTTGCAGCGATGTCCGAGGCAATCAAAACGGATGTCTTGTTTTTCTGTGCCGACTCGGTGAATCTTTCAATGGCCCTCAATCTCTGCTTTTGGATCATCGACGAATGGATAGAGAACGCAGGAATCTTGAGGTTGTTCAACATGGGAACCAATCTCTTGACAGAGTCAATGGAGTTGGTGAATACAAGTGTGGTACCGGGATACATCAACAAGAAGTAGTACAAGTACAAGTCTCTTTCGGTGGGTCCACACTCTACAAGAGCCTCAGAAATTTGATTCGACACCTTGTCGTTAGGGTTGGCATCTACAAACGCAGGCTTCAGGTCCTTGAACCTAAGCTTCTCGTTCAAAAGGTTGATTACGGCGGCATTTTCCTCTTCTCTGGTGGTCTCCTTTTCCTCCTTCCTCTTGGTGTACTGCTTGTCCAACTTGTAGAACAAGTCTCTGGCAAACGTGGCACTGAAAACGAGTGTTTGCCACTTCCATGGCTTCCCTTCACGCTTTGGTCTGTTCTTATGGAAAAGTTCCAAAATTTTTTCAAACTCTTCGAAATGGCCATCTTGTAAAAGTCTATCGGCTTCATCCAACACAATGTACTCGGTGCAAGACAATCTCTTGATCAACTCTTCGTCCTTTTGTAACAATTCGAGGAATCTACCAGGGGTGGCAACAATGACCCCTGGACCGTGGCCCAACAATCTTTCTTGTTTCTGGATGGAAAGCCCACCGGTGACACTGACGATCCCGTGTTGTGAGAGTGGAGAATGGGCAGCTAACTTGTTCAAATGTTCGACAACTTGATGGGCCAATTCTCTTGTAGGGGCGAAAATGATCCCAGTGGGGGCATTGACGATTTTCTTCAGTCTATTGAGTTCTATGGCAGCCAAGTTGTTCAAGTATGTTTCTAAGATCGGGATACCATACGCCAAGGTCTTACCGGACCCGGTGGACGCCTTACCAATGACATCTTTGCCCTGTTCAAGCGCCAAGGGAATTGTAGATTTTTGAATTGGGGTTGGCTTCTCAAAGCCCAATGCGGCCAATCCGTTGATGGTGTATGAGGATAACGACATGTCGTTGACGTTCCAAAGCGGCAAGTCTGCGTCGATAGTCTCTGAGACATCTGGGAGAGCTGCAAACGTGTTGGACTCGGTAGTTTCTACAGTGGTCTTCTTAGCCTTTTCCTTCTTTTCCTTCTTATTTTTTTCCTTCTTATCTTTAGATTTTTCAGTGGATGGTTTGTCAGTGGATGGACTGTCGGTAGATGGTTCCTCATCATCATCAAACCCAGCAAAATACTCCATATCTTGGTCTTCTTCTTCGTCTTCCTCATCTCCTTCCTCTCCTTCTTCTTCCTCGTCTTCTCCCTTCACAAGAAATTGAACTTGGCCCCCTTCAACCTTCACATCAACCCCATCAATCTCTTCCAACCCATAGAACCCTTCAAAATCATCTAAAGTGTCTGGGATGTCAACTTTCTTCCATTTCAAGTTGTCAACCTTGACAACTTTGGACTCTTTTTGTAACTTTTGTTTCAAGGTGGGCGTCTTTCGGACTTGTCCCTTCTTTCCAGGCTTCTTAGCCGGAGTCTTCTTAACCTTGGTTGCACCTGCCATGTCTAATAGATCCGTCTATATATCCAAAGAAAGAGTAATGATGTAAATTTATTTCATCGCGATGACCAAAACTCTGTGGAGACATATCTCCCAAAAAAGAAGAAAAAAAAAAAAAAAAAGCATCAAAGATCCTACAAAGAGACACTCAGAGATCAACCAGTTCTCCAATTCTACACGCTACAAAAAAACCTGTTGCCTCACCCAAGATGGCCAAAAGAGGACTCTTGACCCGTCCACGCACAATTACCGGGAAAAAAACCACCCCAAAGGGTTTAAAACCACAACAAGCACGTCAACTTATAAGAAGGTTCCATGTACTTCAAAAAAATAAAACAAGAATAATATCCAAAATCAACCAACAATGGCCACACAAATCCACTCCTGAGGGCCCTGAAGGACCAATGAACCTAGATGAATCCAACTACAAATCTGTGATTTTAGAAAAATTCTCAGGAATTTACCCACACAAAGATTTCCGTCTAAATGATCAAAAGAAGAATCTTGAAACAATCTTGAAACTTGACCAGAAAATATCTTTACAAGATCTTGTTAAGGAGTTGGCCAAGATAGATGCCGAAATAGAGTACCGCGGTGGTTTGAAGGCATACCAGTCGGCATCTACACAGGGCCAAAACAATAACCGAGGTGGTGATTCTTCCAAAAAGCTCATTGAATGGATAACTGCCCACGCTCCTTATGAGAAATTTCTTAAAAACAATAAATCCGAGCCTCTTAATGCATTGGAAATAGGATGTTTAGACCCCAACAACGTGATATCCACCTGTGGGATCTTCCAACTGGTAGCCAAGATCGACCTCAACTCTCAATCTCCACACATTTTGGAGCAAGATTTTATGAAAAGACCACTTCCCGAAAATTATCAACAACGGTTTAATCTCATCTCATGTCTGTTGGTGCTCAATTTCGTGCCGACCCCGAAGGAAAGAGGTGAAATGCTTCTTAGAATCACCCAGTTTCTCAAACCACCCACCAAGAAGAAGCCCTCCATGAGCAGTTTCTTCTTTGTGTTGCCATTGCCATGCTTACAAAACTCTCGGTACATGGACTTAGACAGGTTTGAAAGCATGATGAGTGACTTGGGGTTCAGCAAGGTGTTCAGGCACGAGTCAAGTAAGATCGTGTACTACTTATTCGACTGGTCCGGGAAGGTCAAGCAGGTGAAATATCCCAAGAAGGAATTGCATTCTGGAGGTAGTAGAAATAATTTTTGTATAGTAATAGAGTAGGTGGCACATGGCCAGAAGAATCGAAATAGAAGTAATAGAAGGTTCATGGATAGAATATTGACTAGAGATTTGTAGTACGGACCACTAGCTTATTGAAGAAGCCATGTCCTTGGACGAAGAAGTGGTTGCGAAAAGAAATTTTTTTACAAAGGACGGTGAGTGCAAGACGCTCCGCTGGCCCCTACTCGGGGAGAGCCACTGCGTGGGGCCTAGCTCCTCTCCGAGGAGACTCTCCTGGCTGCTAAATTACTCGGTAGAGGGACTGGACGACTAGTGGCCCACAGAGTGCCATCGGAGCGACTCGCATACCCAGTTGGGGAGAAAGTAGCTACTCTCACGTCCTTGGAAGGCTTGCCAATGCTTTAGTCTCCCTAGCTACATTCTAGTGAGGCACACCCGCAACATTGCATGTGCCTTTAAGAAGCATCCCCAAGGGCTCCAACAACCTGCATTATGACAACTTCATGGCGGACTGGAAGCGTACAATGGGAGGCGGGGGCTATGCCATAGGTGTGCTATTCCCTGAGTATATGACTCGACCAAATGGGGCACTTCGAAAATGATTCCTCGTAGAGGAGCCGGGCCCTACGCAGTGGCTCTCCCCGAGCAGGGGCCAGAAGAGCTTCTTACAGTACAGTAGAGATTTGAGCAGTACTGCCCTACGGGGTTAGTAAGCTGCTCCGCTGGCACTCTGTGGGCCACCATCCGTGGAGGCCCAGTTCTTCTACCGAGGAATTTAGCAGCCAGGAGAGTCTCTTCGGAGAGGAGCTAGGCCCCACGTAGTGGTTCTCCCCGAGTAGGGGCCAGCGGAGCGTCTTACAATCCCGCAGGGAAGGGAGTAGTACTGCTCTACGGGTGGTTGCAAGCCGTGGAGACCTTTTTCCTCTGGCAAGAGATTGGGACCAGAAAGTTTCCTCGAGAGGATCTAGGCTCCACGCAGTTTCTCTCCCCGAGTAGGGGCCAGCAGAGTGTCTCACAGTCCCACAAGGGTTAGAGTGATTGATCTGTGAGGTACGACCACGCTTCTACAGTCTCAAATGTACCTCCATCCCAAAACGGCCACTCCTGTCCGTCCATACATTTCTAGGCACATCGGAGAAATACTGCTCAGGCGTAACCTCGGCGGACGGAGCTAAAAATAAAAATAAAAAAAAGAAAATGAAACGTAGTACTTTCCCCCAAATTTGAAACTTCGGTTTAACCGAGACTGCCGCCCACGGCTCAGGCTTCACTCCAACATGAACCCCCTCATACTCTCTCCAGATCTCCACACATAACCTCCACGAATTCGGCAGCCCACAATACCCGCCTCAGACACATCGACTGAGGTTTCGGTTTCCGATTAATAATATGTACGTGCATCTGGTTTGCGTGGTGGGGGATGCGGGAAAATAATCTGGAGCGTGCATTTTCTCCGAACTCCGGCAACCCTTGACAGAAAAAAATAAAATGATTTTTTGTGGTCGTCGGAGAAACTAGACTGTTTTGTGCACGTCAGGATCATCTCGGTAAAAGCACAATTACCGCCCTAAACTTTTACCCCTCCGTGCTGGTCATTTATCCGGGTGTTCCATGATTGGCGAGAGGTTGGCCCCACCACGTACGTGTTTCTGGTACGCTTTTTCTGACAGATTCTCATCATGAGATACCTTGTCCCCCATATGCGTTTAGAAAATTTGCGTTCGGTCTACATATGATGCGCGTTTTCATTATCTGTCACCAGATTAAGCGTTTTTGTCATTTCTTTTTATTTTTCTGGTCGGATTATTCTCCATGGCTGTATGCAGTAGCCAAGGAATATTCCGAAATATAGCCTGTAATGGGAAATGTATCCAGGCTGGTGCTCATTGGAAGAATAAAGTACCAAATTTCATACTCGAAAAAGAACAAAGGTACTATTATAAACTTTCAAATCTGATCAGATCTTTTTTAAGCCGTCGTCTCTATCTCTGTAGTTTTTTTGCAGCACTCTGTCAAATGGCAATACATTGTACGGACCGTTTTGACCCAGTTGAATGACGTCGGAGATATGTTGAACAGGAAAAAAACAAAAACAACGTGTTAATCGGCACGACCATGATGCTATTTACCAAATAGGTGCGTCTTTTTTTTTTGCTGCGGCTTTTCTCTGCGGCTCAATTGTATGGAGTGATGGGGAAAAGTGCGCGTGTGAGCCCTTAAAACTTCCCTTTGGAAAAAGGAAAAGCAATACTTTTTCACGCAAGGGAAGATCTACACAAAACGGAAAAAAAAGAAATGACAGCGAAATACACTTTGAAACTTCCTCAGCCCATTTCAACTCTTTATTGGGGAATGTGTTGCCCGTGTCGGCCAAAGACAGGCCCCCCATCCATCCAGTACTACAACAAACTGGTGACAACAATCTAAAGTGGGGGTAATGCAGCTACCTAACTTTTCCTGGGGCACTTTCCGGAGAAACTTGAGGGGGTGGGACGACATCGTGCATAGACAAATGGCAAAAGCCGCAACGCGCGCGGCGTTTTAGTCCAATATGGCCACACGCTACCCAAAAGTGCGTCAGAATGCGTTGTTGTTCCGGTCATGGTGGGAAAAATTTTCCGGTGGCACAAAAACGACCTCCACCTATATAAGGTGAACATTGCCAACTTCCACTTGTCTACAATTTTATTCATCATCATCCTATAGATCATCAAAAGCATCCCTCTATTGCTCTATTGTACTACCTTCACTGGTAATATCTATAGTCTTTACTAAAAAAAAAATCTCATCTAAAAAGTAATAATGTCTGAACCTCAATCAGGCAGTCAAACTCCTGTGGGTTCTCTCTTGGAAAAGAAGCACTCCGGAGAATCTGACAACCAACAACCCCCAGTCATCGCCCACGAAGACCAGCCTATCATGCCAGAAAAGCACTTTAAGGACTACCTTCTTATCTCCTTTTTCTGTTTGTGTGTTGCCTTTGGTGGGTTCGTTTTCGGTTTCGATACCGGTACCATTTCTGGTTTCGTCAACATGCCAGATTACAAGGAAAGATTCGGTGAACTCAAGGGTGGCGAATACGTCTTGTCCAACACCAGAACCGGTCTTATCGTTGCTATTTTCAACATTGGTTGTGCCGTTGGTGGTATTGTCTTGTCCAAGGTTGGTGACGTTTATGGTAGAAGAATTGGTTTAATGTTCTCCATGGCCATCTACATTGTCGGTATTATTGTCCAAATTTCCGCTTCCCACAAGTGGTACCAAATTGTTGTTGGTCGTGCTATCACTGGTTTAGCTGTTGGTACCGTTACCGTCTTGTCTCCAATGTTTATCTCCGAAACCGCTCCAAAGCAATTCAGAGGTACCTTGGTTGTTTGTTTCCAACTTTTCATCACCTTGGGTATCTTCCTCGGTTACTGTACCACCTACGGTACCAAGATTTACAATGACTCCAGATCTTGGAGAATTCCATTAGGTTTATGTTTTGCCTGGGCCTTGTTCTTGGTTGGTGGTATGGTTTCCATGCCAGAATCCCCAAGATACTTGATTGAAAAGAACAGAATTGAAGACGCCAAGGTCTCCATCGGTAGATCCAACAAGATTTCCCCAGAAGACCCAGCCGTCTACAGCGAAGTCCAATTGATCCAAGCTGGTATTGACAGAGAAAAGCTCGCTGGTTCCGCTTCCTGGTCCCAATTGATCACTGGTAAGCCAAAGATCTTGTCCAGAGTCATCACCGGTATCATGATTCAATCCTTGCAACAATTGACCGGTGACAACTATTTCTTCTACTACGGTACTACCATTTTCAAGGCTGTTGGTTTGACTGATTCTTTCCAAACCTCCATTGTCTTGGGTATTGTCAACTTTGCATCCACCTTTGTCGGTATCATGACCATTGAAAGATTCGGTAGAAGACTTTGTTTGTTGGTTGGTTCCGCTTGTATGGCTGTTTGTTTCATTATCTACGCCGTTTTGGGTTCTGTGAACTTGTACATTGACGGCTACGACGGTCCAACCAGAAAGCCAACCGGTGACGCCATGATTTTCGTCACTTGTTTGTACATTTTCTTCTTTGCCTCTACCTGGGCTGGTGGTTGTTACGCCATTGTTTCCGAAATTTACCCATTGAGAATCAGATCCAAGGCCATGGCCGTTGCCACCGCTTCCAACTGGTTGTGGGGTTTCTTGATTTCCTTCTTCACTCCATTCATCACCTCTGACATTCACTTCTACTACGGTTTTGTCTTTGCTGGTTGTTTGGTCTTCTCTTTCTTCTACGTCTACTTCTTTGTCATGGAAACCAAGGGTTTGAGTTTGGAAGAAGTTGATGAATTGTATGCATCTGGTGTCTTGCCATTCAAGTCTGCCGGTTGGGTTCCACCATCCAAGGAAGAAATGGCCACCACCACTGGTTTTGCAGCCGAATCCAAGGCTGAAGTTGAACAAGTTTAATCTTGATTTTTACGAAAGTTATGTTAACTAATCTAATATGTATAAAGACTATAGATCATATTTAGAATGAATAATTTGATTATAATAAAATACTTGTAGGTTGATGGTTGCAGGGAACGTTTATTGCAAACTCTCGATTTGAAAATTGCGGATTAATTTGACGTTTCGGAAAAATATAGGAAAAGGTGCATGAAATGATGCATGAAAAAAAATAAGAGGAAGAGGAGGAAAAAAGTACAAAGACAGAGAAACAAGTTGAGAACGGATTAGCTCTTACGAGAGATAAGCATCGGGTTGATTATTCTATCTAGCCACTAGCTCTGGTATTCCATTGTTTTTCATTCTTAGGTCTCCAAGTAACAATAACAATAAATATTTGTTTTGATTAAGAGTTCAATGGCATCGGCGGTTTTGTTTTCATTATTGTTATTTCCGGAAGGTTGCTCATGCAGGTGATCCATCAAAATTGTAAACATGAGAAAACTTCTGCAGCACAATTACTTGAGGATGCGTATACGGCAGAGGGTACAATGCCTGAATAGAGAGGATTTCCGGATATTGATACGAGCAATGATAGTAATTTTTAGCACCCGCCAAGTGAATTAGGGTTCTCTAACTCCGTTGGGGAAAGTAAAAGGCTACATATCACATGCTTTGACAAAAAGACTGGGTATACTACAAAGACATGCCATCCAAGATTGGAAACACTTCAGTCTCTGTCTCTTTTTCCAAGTCTTTGTCGTCAAGGTGCTGGGTAAAATGTCTCTCTAGATATCACTTATGTGTTTCTACCTTTAACTCCAGATTGAACTTGACATGAGCTTGGTTGTTATGTCACTGTAAGACCTGTCCAGATTTAGTTTAACATTCACCAAACGTAAGTTCTCAGGAGGTAAATCATATATTGTAGATTCTGTAACGTTGGTACTCTTTCGCATGTATTTAGGACCAGCGGAGCGTTCCAAAACCCGCATATAGTGGCTACTCTCTCCGGCCAGGGACCAGCGGAGTGTCTAGCAGTACCGAACAACATCCTACCTTGGCAGGCTGAAAGCCGCTCCGCTGGCACTCTGTGGGCCACTGGCCGTGGAGGCTCCTGTTCCTCTGACGAGGAAAGGGTACCATGTGCAATCTCCTCGTAGAGGAGCCAGGCCCCACGCAGTGGCCCTTCCCGGGTAGGGGCCAGCGGAGCGTCCTACACCTCCCCGACAGGGCTACCCTATCCCCCAATGAGGTGACCCGTGTGTATATTCTTGTGAGATAATCAAATATTGTAGAAGCAATGTTGGCACTCTATTGCCTGAATTTATGAGAGTCATCTTAATGAAACTCCCATAGAGTACACTGGCTGATATCGAAAGGTGTAAATTTCCTTATTCTTGGGTCGAGAAGTCTTAGGCATAATAAAGTTCTTCTAATAGACAATAGAACAGGTTGGTCGAGTGTAGCCAAAACAAATTCAACGAGTTGTGACCACCCACCCATAGCTACTTGTATATTTATCCCTTCATTACAATGTTGGAATATAATAGAATGTATATACATACGATTCTTTATAACTCCCTTATATCCATCTACTTCAGCAAGATGTACTTTACTTAGCGTTGGGAAGTGATGATGAAGGCCCAAGATAAATAGAGAAGACTATCCTTGGAGTTCCACTTGCCAACTAACGATTTCAGAATTTGTATCAAATTGCTTTACCTAGGGTGACTATAAACTGAGCTGCACACACAAGGAACAACAACTTAGTTGCAATATTTGTTTTACAGCAATTGCTGCAAAAAGAATAGTGGTGAAAAGGAAATTCCCACCACCACCATACCCGTTGCAGATACTTCACGTCCGTATTCAAACTCAAATTGAATTGTAAAATGATTCCTGTAGTGTATATTCATGTATTATATCATATACGTATAACTTTTACCCCTCAGCACCATCAAAGTCCTTTCTATGGATATAAATTCCCTCCATATATATAACTGGCCAAGCTTTTGGGAAGAAGTCAATTCAGCAACTGGTACTTCTTCCCACTCCATATTGAACATATTTTATGTCTTACTTCGATTACAATACAAGGTAGATTTTGTCTTCACACGTTGAAACTCCAATGTTGGCCATTTCCTAAAAAGTACCTCGAATTATGAAATTTCTTATCATATCGAATGGACGTCAGCTCTGCTTTACCACTTTTCCTAATAGGTTATACCTATTAATTTACCTCTCCCCAATTCTCGATAACAACCCTTTCAAATACCATTATATTTATTGGCCCTTGTGACGAATAGACTTAGACAATTACGTTTCTAAACTCTAAGAGACGAGACAATAGTTTTCAGTACTTACGATATGAAAGCATACCATATCAATTTAAGTACTTCTACACCATCGCCTAGTATCTGAGACCATATCTTGAACTACATGAATAAAAATCTCTTTTTATTTGTATAGTAGTTTCACAAGACAAATTGTCACAACTACAATTTATTCCATTTCAAGCAGTTCCAGTAGTAAATACACCACGAGTTGCAAATTTCTTCCTCTTTTGCTGCATTTACACGACACTCCCCCCTTTATTTACCACACTATAACGGGTTCCATCTCCCTGATGATCAATGTACCTTCCGGTTTAAGGTGGTTCCTTTATCTGCAATTATCCTTTGGTTGCAATTATTACTTATCAGGATTTTTGAAAGACTTCCTGTTCAATTTTTCTACTTCATACATTTTTGTAACAATTTCAATATCGATGCGTATAAACTTAATCCAACTTCCATTAGATGATATATATAAATACACTTTATTCTACCCCATTGGTTAAAAAGGATTTCGTGTACTACAATCTGAAATTAAAATAGGATCCAAGTTCTCACATAGATAAATTTTTTTGAACCTTTTGTAATTCATGAACCCCTATTCCTGTTGTAACACCTGATGACCTATACATAAACATTGACCTGGATACCTGCTCTCCTATAAAGTGAAAAAAGGTTATAAAATAAATCTAACACCGTTTGTGCTGGTGCATAAAAAAATATACCACATTATTTTGTTGAGTAATTGTGAGTATCGTCGAAACTAATCTTGCAGAACAAAGAATATACCCATACAACAGATCGTCTGACGACAGCGGGTAGAGTCTAAATATTTCGAATTGGCAATCAAAATAGTTCTCGACCGTTGAATTGTATTAAAATGCACTACTCCCCCCCTATGAGGTCAAAGTTTGACACCTAGTATATTTTGCCCCGCATTAGTTTTAATCATTTTTTCCACAGACATACAATCAAATATTGACACAACCAAGCAGACCCAATATTAACATTTTGTGCCAAGTAAAAAGAAAACCAAGTAGGGTACAATTCCCCCATCGTATCTAGCATTTCTATGCATAGGGACGTTCTACCAAAGAATCTATCGGCCCCATTTCAAAACAAGGATAAAATAACCGAGATGTGCTCAAATAATATGCACTATTCGAATCCCATGCAACCGCCAAAGAGTAGTTTGGATTGCAATTATTTTTTACCCAAATGTTATAAATTTACCTAGCACCTTAGAAGTGCACATGTTAGAGTGTGGCACTTTTCAAAGTCGAAATCTTCATAACGCACCAGCTCCCATAAGTGCATGAAGAACTGTGCAACCTCCCCCAAAATATGTTGCGACATATCTTCACCACTACTTTCTCGTGTGATACAGTTGATTATTATTTACTTGTCAAGAATTCAACTAGATCCCCCACGAACTATGCTGGATATCTTTGCATTATGTTTTAGTCTGACCAACACCGGCATTTAATGAATAGATATTGGTGTATTAACTTTGACATTTACAAAGCGACTTCTCTAACGTTAGAGGAGAGGGAGATATGAAAGGCAGAGCATGTCAGACTGAATAGTCATTTTTTAAATTTGTTAACAAGATAGTCCCGTACTGTATTTTATTTTGAAGTCCACAGCCTCTCGGGGTATCAAAGATTTCGTGATGTGGGTATTTTTTGACACATACATGAAAATAATCAACTGTATGGATTGATGCCCTACTGATACGTTTACTATACCAGAAGAAGGAAATCTCCACTCTGTTGAAAGTATATAAGATGTTCCTTGAATCACAGTAAGTTCATCCATTCACCAGTCAACAACTAAAAACAATAATTCATGCGTTTGGGAATTTCTTTAACTATCATATCATACTTCCTTGTTAGACCAAGTTGGGCGAAAGTTTTTGATTCGGATGCTATTTTGTACAACACAGGGTTACCAAATGAACCAAATTGGATCAATGGTGGAAACTACGTCGTCTTGGAAAACCCTCCAAAGATAGATTTAGATCAAACAATTGTCCAAGGTCTGTTGTACATCCACAATGATGAGACACCATTACAAGTTACGAGCTCAAATCAAGTCGTTAATGATGGCGAGCTTGTCATCTTCTCTGAATCAGCCAAAGCTTCTGAGTTTGCTTTAAGTACCGATATGTTAACGAACAAGGGTTCTTTTTGGCTCAATGTTCCCAGCAATACGGAGAATTCTATTTCTTTCCTTGGTTTTACATCGAATTATCCTAGTGGTTTGATGGTTATTAGCCTGCCTTCAAATCCATTGTCGACAGTGAAATTGGGACAATTGGCCAACTTTGGCCAGATATGTTTAATTAACCAAGTTGTGGAAGTATCTTCGGATGCTTCAATCACTGGTACTGGCTATGTCGATATTGGAGAGAATTCTCAGTTCACTCCACAACATGCTGACCACCAACTGTTTTATCTTTCCAGTCCTTCATCCACATTTGTTGTACCTTTGGACTCTTACCCCTTTGTGTATGGGTTTGGGAATGGCAATACCATCATAATGAGTTTCGGCACTTCTGGTAATTTGCAATTGAAATATAACGATGGTTTTCTTACTGTTATCAATAGACGGACAAGTGACCCTTTTCCAGTTATGGTTAGTGTCAACATAGGTTATGGATATACCTTTGATGACTTCGTTTTAACTCCTTATTCTGAAGGTGAAAGCTGTTCCATATCTTACCCCGGCGACCCACCAAATAAAGTCAGTGAAGAATTCAAACCATGCCCCCCACAACCCCCAATCCCTCGAAATACGGTAACTTCTAGCGCAGCTCCTACATCTAGCACGACAACTTCGTCTAGTGAAGCCCCAACTTCCAGCGAGGAACCTACATCCAGTGAAACTCCATCATCCAGTGCAGTCCCATCATCTAGTGAGTTACCTTCATCTAGTATAGATCATTCAACTAATGTGACGCCATCATCTAGTACAACACCTCTGTCGACCTTAGCACCATCCTCCAGTGCAGCACATTCATCTAGTGCGATATCTTCATCTAGCGAAGTGCCTTCATCTAGTACAACACCATCGTCTAGTGAACTACCAATATCTAGTGGGTTGCCTTCGTCCAGTGAAGTACCAACATCTAGTGAGGTGTCTTCGTCAAGTGTAACACCATCATCTAGTGAATTACCAACATCTAGTATTGTCTCATCATTTACTGTACCTTCATCATTGAGTGAGGTGAGATCATCCAGTGTGCTACCATCTTCTGAAGACTTGTCACCCACTTTAGTATCTAAATCAAGTTTCACTCTGACAATTGTAGTACCATCAACAATTGTCATTACCGTGACCTCTTGTTCAAATCACAAGTGTACCACAACTCCCATTACAACTGGCCAAACAGTTGTTACTACCACCTCGAACAGAATAGTAACAACATATACCACTTACTGTCCGCTTACTAGCACATCCACGACTGAGGAATCATCATCCAGTAAATCGACTTCATCTAGTGGCTCAACATCATCAAGTTCTTCAGCTTCATCAAGTTCTTCAGCTTCATCAAGTTCCTCGACTGGATCAAGTTCCTCAGCTTCATCAAGTTCTTCATCTTCTACAGGATCTGAATCAAGTCTCACTCTGACAGTTACAGTACCATCAACAGTTGTCATAACCGTGACCTCTTGTTCTAATCACAAGTGTACCACAACTCCCATTACAACTGGGCAAACTGTCATTACTACCACCTCGAACAGTCAAGTCACAACATATACTACTTACTGTCCGCTTACTAGCACATCCACGACTGAGGAATCATCATCCAGTAAATCGACTTCATCTAGTGGCTCAACATCATCAAGTTCTTCAGCTTCATCAAGTTCTTCATCTTCTACAGGATCTGAATCAAGTCTCACTCTGACAGTTACAGTACCATCAACAGTTGTCATAACCGTGACCTCTTGTTCTAATCACAAGTGTACCACAACTCCCATTACAACTGGGCAAACTGTCATTACTACCACCTCGAACAGTCAAGTCACAACATATACCACTTACTGTCCACTTAGTAGTACATCCACGACCAAGGCATCTTCATCTAGTGAATCACTCACATCAAGCTCCTTAATATCATCCAGTGAATCGACCACTTCAAGTTCTTCAACTTCAGCCAGTGAATCGATCACTTCAAGTTCTTCAACTTCAGCCAGTGAATCGACTACTTCAAGTTCTTCAACTTCAGCCAGTGAATCGACTACATCAAGTTCTTCATCCAGTGAATCGACCACTTCAAGTTCTTCAAGTTCAGCCAGTGAATCGATCACTTCAAGTTCTTCATGCAGTGAGTCGACTAGATCAAGTTCTTCAACGTCAGCCAGTGAATCGACTTTATCTACTACCGTTTCTCAATCAAGTCTCACTCTGACAGTTACAGTACCATCTACAACTGTCATCACTGTGACTTCTTGCTCAAATAATAAGTGCAGCACAATTCCTATTACAACTGGTCACACTATAGTTACTACCACCTCGAACAGCCAAGTTACAACCTACACCACTTACTGTCCGCTCACTAAAACATCAACATCCGCAACAACTTCTTCCAGAAAATTACCTGTGTCTAGTGAAACAATGACTTCAAAATACATCTCCTCATTCACCACAGTATCTAAATCAAATATCTTACTGACCACTACAGTTCCATCAACGACCATCATCACCACGATTTCTTGTTCTGACTATAAATGTATCGAAGTTCCTATCACCACCGGTCAAACTGTCATTACTATCGTCTCTGAAAATAAAGTCACAACGTATACTACGTACTGTCCCCTTTCTTCAGAGACCTCAATTGCCCCATACGACACCATGTCCACAATTTCTAGTACTGCAACTACAAACATTATCCCAGACATTCCAAAACCATCAGAAGGTGGAGCTACAAACTTGAAGACTGTTGTGTCGCCATTATTGGTTGTCTTTTTATCTTTCTTTGCTTTGTAAAATTGTTTTGATCTCCATTCACTTAGCATCTATTCGTTGTTCAACTTGTTACATTCTTATATTTTCGCATAATCTTCTTTTGATACATTTTTCTTTCCCAAGAGTGATTATTATTTGCTTCATTGGTTTTATTCCAAAGGAGCCCACCTGTTCAAATCGTTAAATACATATTTTATTACTTTTAAAAATATCAATGACCTAGAGGAAATTTAATAGAATCCTTGGAGTTCTCCTCCAAATTCTTTATCTAAACTAAGTAATTTCCTGATCTAGCTTTATTAATACACCTCTTTCTGTTCAGGAGTCTATCTGTCGAAGTCTCTTTCAATTTAGAAATACAATTTCTAATTCAGTTCAATCGAATAGTTCTAAACAAACATACCATATTAACATCTTGAATAGTGCTGGTATGTTTCATTTCATTGCTGGCATTATAGACTACTTGTGTCTCATTTCTGAAAATCGTCCTATAAAGGTTCATCTCAATAGGTTCACGAAATTTTCCTAATTATCAAAAACTCAGTTCAAACTATCAAAGACTGTTAAAGAAAGATTTCAAATACAATAGGAGTTATATCCCCAGCCAAAAGATACAAGTTAATACATTTACCCAATTACTTATTCCAATAGAAGTGTAAATATATCCATTCATCTAAATCTTATTCAATTTGCAGCCACCAAACGGCTGTGCGTAAAAAATTCAATCAATGCGAAATATCACACTTCTACACACACCTCTACATTTGCGTAAATGAAATGACCTGATCATGTTTCCACTACGGAATGTGGTCAATGACAACCAAATACCAACACTCTGTAAATCTAAAAAAAAAAATTAAATATACACCCATTAAAAAAAAAAAAAGAAAGAGAGTGTCAGAGAGAGCCGCTAATTTTCGGAAAAAGTAGGACGCAAGTACATGACTCAAGTGAAAAAATTGGGGCTCTCGAAAATTAGATGACTCCACACACAAACAACGGTCAATTACTCACTTAGATTGGCACCCCTTTTTCATCTTTCCTCTCAATTCAAAACTCTTGTATCCCGGAGATTGAAATAGAATTCCATACTTATATATATCCTACCTATCGATCCATAATGTCACCCCTCACTTCCCCAATGGGGTGATCCGACGAAGGTATTTTTTTTTCACTAGCGGATCTTTTTTTATTTTTTTTATTTTTGCGTCTGTAGTTAAAAAAATTTTCGTACATGAAATTTTTCACAAGAATACCGAATCGGATATAAAACACGGCTGATTTCCGCGGGAAGACTCGAACCCGCGAACCGTACCCCTCACACTAAGTATGGACCGAGGACATATGGCACAGTGGCGCATGGACCCGCGTCATCCGCTAACCCGCCGGTTAATGTCGGACCTCCCCACTTTACACTGTGGTGTTGTCAGAGTCATATGATTTAAGTAGAGACTTCAACGCTGTCATAAAAAAAAAATTCATCATCTACTCTAGTTTTGTAGGCCCTAGTCATCCACTTGCATACATACACCCGCCAGTAACCTATTCAAAAATGCTTAGATCTGTTAGACCTTCCTCCAAGAACGCCACCATGGCCATGAGATCGATGAGATGTCTCTCTTCTTTCAACGAGATCCCACTTGCTCCTCCAGACAAGATTCTCGGGATCTCCGAGGCCTACGTCAAGGACACCAACTCCAAGAAGATTAACCTTGGTGTCGGTGCCTACAGAGACAACACCGGTAGACCAATCATCTTCCCATCTGTCAAGAAGGCTGAACAAAAGCTTTTGGAAGTTGAAACTGAAAAGGAATACACTGGAATCACTGGTTCCAAGAACTTCCAAAACATTGTTAAGAACTTCATCTTCAACAACTCTGGTAAGGATGTCAATGGTGCCAAATTGATCGAAGAAGGCCGTATTGTCACCGCTCAAACCATCTCTGGTACCGGTTCTCTCCGTGTCATTGCCGACTTTTTGAACCGTTTCTACCCAAAGAAGCACATTTTGGTTCCAAAGCCAACCTGGGCCAACCACATTGCTGTCTTCAACGATGCTGGAATCTCCCTGGACTTCTATGCCTACTATGACACCAAGACCAACGGATTGGACTTTGCCAACTTGAAGAAGTCTCTTGAAGCTGCCGAAAACGAAACCATTGTCTTGCTCCACGCCTGTTGTCACAACCCTACTGGTATGGACTTGACCGCTGAACAATGGGAAGAAGTTCTTGCCATCGTGCAAGCCAAGAAGCTTTTCCCATTGATTGACATGGCCTACCAAGGTTTTGCCCTGGGTGACCCATACAAGGATATCTCCTTGATCCGTAGAATGAACGAATTGGCCGTAGAAGGTAAGATTCCAACCTACGCCTTGTGTCAATCCTTTGCCAAGAACATGGGTCTTTACGGTGAAAGAACCGGTTCTATTTCCATCATCACCGAAGCCAAGGAAACCTCCACTGCTGTCGAATCTCAATTGAAGAAGTTGATCAGACCAACCTACTCTTCTCCACCAATCCACGGTTCCAAGATTGTTGAACAAATCTTTGCCAACGAATCCTTGTACCAAGAATGGTTGACCGATTTGGACAGTGTTGTTGGTCGTTTGAACACCATCAGAACCGCCTTGTACGAAAAGTTGGACAAGACCAACTACAACTGGGACCACTTGCAAAAGCAAAGAGGTATGTTTATCTTCACTGGGTTGTCCAAGGAACAAGTGATAGAATTGAGAGAAAAGTACTCTGTTTACGCCACTGAAGACGGACGTTTCTCCATTTCTGGTGTCAACGACAAGAATGTTGACTACTTGGCCGATGCTATCAACAAGGTTGTTAGCAAGTAGATACGCTATATACGACAAATGAAAATACGATTATTAATTAAATGTAATAAAAGTAGATATATGACTGAGTAGTGGGGTTTACAACGCACAATTATATAGACTCCCAACATTGTTGGAGTATCAATTACTTCTTATTACTATAAATTTGCATCTGTTACAAATCTGATACATAACTTCCACTTTCCATCTAATATTATATCTATTATTTTGTTGTACCCCCCTATTCATGTTGCAAATCTATTCCTAATAAATACTACAGTTTCACTACATCAATTCCTCCTTACCAACAAATTCCCACTCTTTATTAGATCCCACGTTTCCAACCATTTCTAACTACACTTACTACATACTTTTATATTTTATATTATATAAATTGACACTTTCTCTACACCTACTTACTACACACACACACACACACATTATCTACAAATACGTAATTCCCACACATATAATCTCCTTGATTGCCCCACGATTTCAATACCGAGATATTCACCGCGATCACCCCACCACAATTTTATTATTTTTATTTAACTCCTGTAACGAATTCCCCACAACATGCATGGAATCATGACCAGAGGTTTCATGCACTTTAAGATTATATATCTACTTCTGATCCGCCCCTCTATTCTACGTATCTTTCCTACTTTTTAGTGAGAACCCCAAAATTATTTTTTTTTGGTCCTTTGTAATTGTGTTCAACTCAGCCTTTTGCTCTATTGTTTTTTGACACTTTTTGTGAACGACACATACTTGCGGTAAAACACATTCCGAGCAACTTTTTAAACAATTTACTAAACAAAAGTTCTTCATCCCAATCTCGGACTATATAGAAATGTCGGTTCAATCCATTGAAACTACGCCATTCTTGGACCAAAAGCCAGGTACTTCTGGTCTTAGAAAAAAGGTCACTGTGTTCAAATCGAAGCATTACACCGAAAACTTCATTCAAGCCATTTTAGACGCCATTCCAGAAGGCGCAAAGGATGCAACTTTAGTGGTTGGAGGTGACGGTCGTTACTACAACGACGTGGTCATCCAATTGATCGCAAAGATTGCCGCCGGTAACGGGGTCAAGAAGTTGATTGTTGGTCAGAACGGGATTCTTTCCACCCCAGCAACTTCCCATGTCATTCGTATCCTCAAGGCTACTGGTGGTATCATTCTTACTGCCTCCCACAACCCAGGTGGCCCTGAAAATGATCTTGGAATCAAGTACAATCTTGCCAACGGTGGCCCTGCTCCAGAACTGGTCACAGACAAGATTTTTGAAATCCTGAAGACTCTTACTTCATATAAACTTGTAGATATCCCTGCAATTGACCTTTCAAAAATTGGCCAATCTACCGTAGGTGATTTGCAAGTCGAAGTCATTGACTCCACTGAACATTACACAGCCATGCTCAAGGAAATCTTTGATTTCCCCCTCATTAAGGCATTCCTTGAAACGAGATCCAAGCAAGGATTTAAGGTCCTTTTCGACGCCCTTAACGGGGTCACTGGTCCATACGGAGAAGAAGTGTTCGTCAAGGAATTGGGGCTTCCACTCTCATCAATCCAAAATTACAAGCCATTACCAGATTTTGGTGGATTACACCCGGACCCAAACTTGACCTATGCAAAGACCCTTGTGGATCGTGTGGATAAAGAAAACATCAACTTTGGTGCCGCATCTGATGGTGATGGTGATAGAAATATGATTTATGGGGCTGGAACTTTCGTCTCCCCCGGTGATTCTGTGGCCATTATTGCCGAACATGCCAAGTCCATTCCTTATTTCAGAAATGGGGGTATTCATGGTCTTGCCAGATCCATGCCTACTTCTGGAGCAATCGACCTTGTAGCGAAGGACCAAGGTCTTGAAGTATACGAAGTTCCTACTGGTTGGAAGTTTTTCTGTTCTCTTTTCGATGCCAAAAAATTATCCATCTGTGGTGAAGAATCTTTCGGTACTGGATCTGATCATATCAGAGAAAAAGATGGGTTATGGGCCATTGTCGCATGGCTTAACGTTTTGGCCGCATTCGACCAAGAAAATCCTTCTGAAGAAGTTCCTTCCATTAAAATCGTTCAAGATAACTTCTGGGCCAAGTATGGTAGAACTTTCTTTACCAGATACGATTATGAAAATGTCTCCAGTGAAGGCGCTAATGATCTTGTTTCACTTTTATCTTCCTACGTGGACAGTGCTGATTTTGTCGGTAAAGAAGTTGCACCTGGCTACAAGGTCACTGAAGCTGATAACTTCTCATACACTGATCTTGATGGAAGTGTATCTTCTAAGCAAGGTTTGTTTGTCAAATTTGCTAATGGTTTAAGAATTATTGTCAGACTTTCTGGAACTGGCTCGTCTGGTGCTACAGTCAGATTATATTTAGAAAAGCATTCCTCCGATCCAAAGACTTACCAACAAGATGTCTCTGATTATCTTTCTGAAGACATCAAGTTTGTATTGAACTTGCTTCAATTCCAAAAGTTTTTGGGTAAGGAAGTACCAGATGTGAAGACTTAATTGAATTTACATAACGAGATATATTACTATTTAAAAATATATTACTAAGTAAGATATTTGTATTTATTCAAATTGAAATGTAGTTGTTTGATCTCTGTAGATTTTCTTATACTTTGCAATTCATTGTTAAGGTTTTTATGATTTACCCCGCGAAATAGTTTCGGCCGAAGTTGTGCATATGAAGTTTTCGGGCGAAGTTTCACCAGGGCCATAAAAGCAGATGGGGATTCCTCCCATAGCAATGTCTTTGTTTTATACACCCGACCCTAATTTGAATTATGTCTAGAGTACCTAAAGAAGCCAAGACTTTTGTCTTGAACAAATCGCCTGTAACCGCAGTGAACCTCAACTTGGGTGAAGAGAAATCAACCTTTAAACTTATCAATAAGCCGATCAGAGATCTCCGCGATGATGAAGTTCTTGTGAAGACCCTCTATCTTTCAAACGATCCTACTCAGAGAGCATGGATCCAAAAGGGCTTGAACGCAGAAAGAATGTACGTTGATCCAGTGTTGGAAGGACAAGCCATGAAATCTTCAGGTTTGGGACGAGTCGTGGCTTCAAAGCTTCCGGGTTATAATGTTGGTGATGTCATCAGCTGTGCCCTCAGTTGGCAGGATTACTCCATTGTCAAGAAGGTCCTGGTATACAACAAGATCCCTCAAACCGATCTCCCCATGACTATGTTCCTTGACGTGTTGGGGATGACTGGGCTTACTGCCTACTTCGGTCTCTTGCAAGTTGCTCAGTTGAAGAAAACTGACACCATTGTTATTTCCGCTGCTTCAGGTGCCACTGGATCCATGTGTGTTCAAATAGCAAAGAAGGTCATCGGATGTAAGCGAGTGATCGGGATCTCTGGAGGTGCCGAAAAGTGTCGCTATGTAGAATCGATTGGTGCCGACGTTTGTGTCGACTACAAGGACCCAAAGTTTGAAAAGAATATGAAACAGGCTCTTGGTGAGGAGAAATACTGCGATGTTTTCTTCGATGGTGTTGGTGGGCGTATTCTTGACACTATGTTGCAATTGGTGAAGCCGTTTGGACAGGTGATTGCATGTGGTGCCATTGCCGGGTACAACGATTTCAGAAAGTCATTCGTCTCTGGCTGGGGTCAAATCATCACCAACAGATTGACGGTTAAGGGATTCATTATTCTTGACTTCCAGGACCAATATGAACAAGGGGTCAAGGACATTGCCAAGTGGATCCAAGAGGGAAAGATCAAGGTTGATAATTCTTCTTTCACTCTCGTGGACCTCTCACATGAAGGTGATTTCAGAAAAATCCCGGAAACTTGGGGCATTCTCTTCTCGGATAAGAAGGGTCCAGGTAAGCTCTTGACCAAGTTGTAGTATACGATAGAGAAATATATGAAACTTTTGACGTAACGTTGCAGTGTAGTTTTCTTCTAATAATAGATGGAACAGGGTCCACCGGTTTACGCAGGGTGGAGGTCATCGAATAATCCTCGGGGAACTCATCCATGCATATTAAGGTATAACTAAAAAAAAACAATTTAGCGATTTGCTGATCTATGATTCTAAATTTAGCATGTCAATGCTTCCATCATTTATGACGCAGTGAACTTGAAGTCGATCAAAATTCCTGCACATTAGGGACACAAAGCCCAGCTCAAGCCTTGAGCAGACTTTTAACATGAGCTTGTCCTCTATAATTATAGGGTATATATAGCAGCTAAGCCATTATCAAAGCTATTTTGTAGTTTTCAAAGCGCTCTATTCATACCAACACCCTCTACTTTAGTTTAGACGAAGATCATCTTGGAATCCCGAGGGTTGTGGAAATCAAAATATTGACGTAATTTTCACTTTTTTTTTTTTTTTTTTTCCCCATCATATGGACGTTATGACGTTTGCTTTGACCATTCTAAAAATAAGCACCACCGGATCAACCATGATCTGGGGTATATAAGAAACAGATTGAGACCTATATCAATCATTATATTTTTCTTTCTCTATCAAACAATTCAATCAAATACAATCACAATGCAGTTTTCAACTACTTTTTCACTCATGACAATGGTCGCCATTGCCACTGCTGCCAAGTCTTTCGGACTCGTCACCATCCACTCTGGCTCCATGTTCCAATACGCTGAAATTATCGGCCATGACAACGATCCTCTTCTCTATGTGGGAAGCTCCAGTGGTTCTAAGACCGGTAACTTCGTCTTGAACGATGATGGTACCTTGAGCGACTGGAACAACAAGAAAATCGGGATCAACTCATCTGGTGTTGCCGGTGAAGTTGGTAACGGGATCTCGGAACTGAAGGACTTTGGTGTCTCCGATGAGCACTTGACTTATGGTGGCAAGGAAGTCTTTGTTGCTTGTCCATCTGAAGATCAAAAGGGTTATGTCTTGTCTGTCAAGCAATGTGACAAGGGTACTGGCGTATCATTGAGAGTGATGAACTCCTCTGACGTTAAAGAATCTTCTTCTTCTACCACACCAACCACCACATCTACCGCCACCCCATCCCCAACCACTTTAACTACCGCTGCTGCCCCAGCTGCCACTACTTCATCCAGTGCCCCAGCTTCTGGTGAATGTAACTTTGGAGTTGTCACCATCAAATCTGGCTCTCAATTCCAATACCAAGCTTTGAAGAAGGTTGACTCCCATCCACATGTGTTCTCCGTTGGTGGATCTGAAGGAAGCGAAGTCTCCTTAACCCTTCAAAAGGATGGCTCCTTGAAGGACCAAGATGGTAGAGGTATCTACGTCGACCCATCCACTGGTGAATTCGGTGATGTTGACCCATGGGGAAAGGAACAACCATCTAAGTCTTTCTCCATCAAGGACAGCCACTTGGTTTTTAACGACAAGGACAGCTTCTACGCTTGTCCATCTGGCGACAACAAGTACTCTTTATCCACCAAGGACTGTACTGGTGGTACTGGTATTGCCTTGCACGTTGTTGACCAAAAGTGTGCTTAAGCCCTTCACTGCCCTTTCATTGGTTTGCAAGTCAAATCCTCATATATCATCAATTTCATTCTTTAGCATTCAGACCTTTGATAAGGTCTCCCCTTCATTCAATAAATCAGACTTTCATTTACTCCAATTGTAGCATATAGACCTTGCCTCTACCTCTCTTACAGCACCCCCTGGCTGCCAAATTTCTTTTTCAGAAAAAGTTGCAACCACAGAAAAAAAAAAATGGGTGCAAATCCTGCATCTACTTTTGTTTGTGTTTTCGTTTTTTTTTTTTTTCTATGTTTTGTTAAGTGACGCAACAACAAAGGTCAAACGACAGGATTGGTGTTGGATTAAACCGTAGAATATACGACGCAGTGCCACTAAAGATTAGTCCATCTTCAGCAGTCTATCTTAGAGAAAGGTATTTGAAATGATCCGACGAAAAAGTAGACTGAAAGATTCTTCAACTGGGCTGCCCTCACTGCTGAGTTCTCAGCAACTTCTACAGAAATTCCGAGAAAAAGATGACGAGATGAATGACTTGGAGGTGTCTGGACTATCGTATTCGCGTTTCTCGCAATCCTCGTCAACATCACAGGAATACCCGGCTTCGGGAGTCGTCTGGGGCAGAGATGAGGGAGAAACTGACGATGTGGTTTCCGCTGGTTCGGAATTCAATTCGTCTCCATTTGCTAAGCGACTCCAAATGAAAATACGAGATTTGGATAGAACCAAAAATCTGTCAACTTTCAAAAAACAGACGAATAGTATGTTTCTGATCCTGGAGAGTAAGCATGAACTGACGTCTCCTTTTCAATCGTCATCTTCTCCATTTATAGATACCGCAGGGCTGAGCAAACTACAAGACTTGGAAAACCATACCCCTACCAAGATGGACCAGCATGGTTTGTTGACTAATCCCAAAACTAGGGAGAATGCCCCAGGAGGCCTCAGAGTGGCTCTTGCGAAAAAGACAGAGCAACAGGCATATGAATCTTCATGGAAGACCCCAAAAAGAACAGGTTCTACAACACCTTCATCTTCTTCATTTGCTCCTCGTGGAACAAAGTCTGTGTCTGCATCGTCCACGTCAACTCCAAGAGTCCAAAGAAATGCTTCAGTGAAGATCTCTTTGACTCCAGCACAAAAATTTGAAAAAAAGCCAGGCACTAGGCTGTCCAACGCATTAGAGAATTTTGAGTTTGGTCCACTTGTAGGGAAGGGAGCATTTGCCAATGTGTACAAGGGAGTAAACCTTCGAACCAACCAGGTGGTCGCTATCAAGCAAATCACATTGGATTTGAACAAACTGAATGTACAGGAGTTGATGGGAGAGATTGATTTATTGAAAATCTTGAAACATCCAAATATTGTCAAATATCACGGGTTCGTGAAGACTTCTCAATCACTAAATGTGTTTTTGGAATTTTGTAGTGGTGGAAGTTTGAGACAATTGTACAAAAGATTGGGTCATGGTTTACCGGAGCAAACAATTATTCAATATGTTCGAGCCATTCTAAACGGGTTAGCGTATCTTCATGATCAAGGGGTGGTACATCGAGATGTTAAGGCTGCGAATGTTCTCATTACAGAAAGTCAAGATATTAAATTGGCTGATTTTGGGGTTGCTGCACAAATTAATAAGGCCACTCAATATGAATCTGTTGTGGGTACCCCTAATTGGATGGCACCAGAAACGGTTCTAGGCGGAGAAGGGATTTGTACAGCTTCCGACATTTGGTCATTGGGGGCCACTATTATTGAGCTATTCACTACCCATCCACCATACCACGAGCTTAATGCGATGGCAACTTTACATGCCATTGGTACTGATGACCATCCTCCGTTACCGAAATCTGTTTCTCAATTAGCACAAAGTTTTCTACTCGAATGTTTCCAAAAGCAACCAGGCCTAAGAAAGAGTGCTCGGCTCTTACTAAAACACAAGTGGTTGGATAAAGAAAGGTCAGTAACGACGTCGTCGCATAAACATTTACTAAACACATCTACTGAACCATTACATAAATCTATGAACAGTTATTCAGAGGTTACTGATGAAAATGCCAATAATTGGGAAAAGGAGTTCCCGATAAATCATGCAGATTTCAATAAGAAGATTCTAGAAATGTCTAGTAAAGCACCACCTTCGCCCATCCAACCACCAGCATTGATTTCTAAAAGTGAACTATTGAGTAAATTCTCTGATAATTGGGATGAGGAATTTGATGTGGAGCTTGGTAATGACAAGGTATTTTCCAATAAACCAAATGAAAATGTGCCTTACGAAAACTTACAGCTTCAGGTGGAAGATGATGACGTGGAAGACCCATTTTTAGATCTTGATGTTGACTCATTTGATACAAATGAACTTGAAAATCAGAGCAAGATGGACCTTCTACTTCAAAAATTCACTAAGCGAGTGGAGATTTGCTCCGGTACTGAAAATGAGGAGATATACGCACAATTGACTAGGATCACCGGTAAAATGTTACACTTGGTGAAAAAATACCCAGTTCTGCACGATGTACTTGTTCGTGAACATGGGATTCTCACAATAATGGAACTATTGGAGAATGCCACTGAGCTCCCACAACATCAAAAACTTTGGCTCCATTGTTTATCAATTCTCATCTATGTATTTGAGTCCAATACTGCCCAATTTGAGAATTTCTGCTTACTTGGTGGTATACCTATGATCACGTATTTCAAGAGTACTACGTTCAACATGAGTATTAAATTGCAAGTGGTCCGATTCATCAAATGTTTCAGCAAATCTGACCGAGCCCTTTCAATGTTTATCTCATCTGGTGGTCTTAGAATACTTTCAAAATTTGTAGAAGAAGATTATGATACATCACCTGAATTCCCATTGGTAGCCATTGAAACTATCCATACAATGCTATCTAAGGACGATCTTGCCCGGTCAAAGAGTGATTTATGCCGTATTCTATCCAAATACGGGGTTGTTTTCTGGTTTGCAGTTGTTCTTAACCGTTTAACAAAGGACCAAGATGCAATTCGTAATGTCCATATTGGGTACATTATCAATATATTTCGATACTTTGCCCAGTCTGAAGCGCGTGCAAGAGCTAATATTGCTAGTACTGATCTTTTTAAATTACTTATTAGAAATTATGGAAGACTTCTGTTTGAATATCAACTTACATTACTTCGATTCTTCAAATCCATGTCTTGCGTTCTGGAAGTGTTAAGACTGTTACATAGTGCAGAAATCTTAGAGTTCCTTGTCGGCTTACTTGCTCAACATACACCTTCAACTACTCACTATAAGGAAGTGATTAACATTGTGTGTCCAGTACTATATAACTGTTGTTATTTGAATCATTCTCGTGAAGTTGAATTAGTGAAATTGGGTGCTGTTCCTTATTTGAAATCTCTTTCAAAGATCAATCTTCCATTCCGACAATTTGTTCTTCCTATATTGTGTGAGTTTGTATATTGTGATACGTATGTTCGTGAAGTCCTCCATCGTCACAACATATTCAATACTTATCTCTCACTTTTGGTCGATCCATATTGGCAATCTAATGCCCTTGACTCTATCTTGAACTGGAATCAACAACACGACTCTCAACGCATACATTTGGACCAACCAGGTACTGTGGACTGTTTTATAGCAGGGTTCCTTTTGCCTAAAGTCTCCAACTTGGAATCAACCCTTGATAACTATTTGAAACTTATCTCCGGAAGTAGACATGTTCGTGAGTCGATGTTCCGTGAATCTATTATTGAAAATATTGTCTTCAAAATGGGGGTTTTCAGTAAAAATTCTGTGATTCTGCTTACTTTACTTCGTATATTGAAAGTATTAATTAAATCTGGTTCTACTAAGAAATCTGAAGTTTACAATTCAATTTGTTCAAGTGATCTCGTTGATAACTTGAAAAGTCTCCAAGCACGGGCTGGCTCTGTGTTGGTGGATGAACTAGCAAATGATATTATCGAAATTATAGAGGGTAACTCCAAATAGCATATAATTATCTTTAAAGTACAATATAGTTCTATTCTAATCATATACTAATGTAATAAATATACATAATTGCAACCATTGACGAATCTTATATAAAGGATTTGTTATCCTGCATATACTTCGGCTAATATGATTAATAGCTTGTGGGGAAAATGTTCAAACAGCATTTTATGATTTTAAACAATCAAATAAGACAGTGTGAATGGTATAATATGGTTGTAATTTCGTATCCATCACCACGAGTATCGCAACTTGATGCACACATCTTGGATCTGGAACTTATATCCCTTCTTAAGCTGCAACTTACCCATATATTCCAACTTCATTCAACGTCATGGTGGACATACAATCTGCATCCTGAGCTCTGGTCGCTTTTGCTCAACCTTTTAGTATTTCGATTAACCGTATGGAAGTCAGGAACGTCGTATGGGTTATCCCTTCAAAATTTGAGGTTGTCCAACTTTAAAGATGGGAAATTAATTGGATACTCAAAACGGTCACTTCTCTTGGCTTTGATTGTTGGAGATTATCTATTCAACAAGTTACAGTCTTACTTGTATTCCACTGAGGACAATGCTACTCAGACTACCAGATCTGGCGGGGTCTTGCAATCCATCAAGAGATATATCCTCACTCATCGGTCAACGATTCTTTCCAAAGTCAATGAAACATTGAAATTGGCAAATTTGATCAACTTTATTCTCTTTTTAGTCAATGGGAAGTATCCCTCCATGACCCATAGATTACTTGGGATTTCTATGACCCCCATTGTTACAGACTTGCTCAAATTCAATGGGAATAACGTGAATTTTGAATTTCAAAATCGTCAATTGGTATGGAATGTCATGACTGAATTCTTGGTATTTATTTTGCCGCTTTTAAAACTCAGAACGTTAAGAAGAAGGGTTGAAAAGATTCTTAAGCCTAAAGTTGAGTCTTCTAAGGAGTTGGAGAACAATAAAATAACCCCATATACAAATTTACCGATATCCCAATGTGCTGTTTGCACTTTCAACAGTGGGAGTTTGGGCCAAACAGCAAGCGTTTCTACAGCTTCACATCCTGTAACGAACCCATACATCACCAATTGTGGACACATATATTGTTATGTGTGTATTGCGACGAAATTCAATGGCATGGAAAACTCAGATAATGATTCAGATGTTTGTTTACGATGTAATGAAAAATTGACTTGGTTCAAAGAATATAACGATGTTGATGAAGATGCTATAATGGTGGAGTATGAAGAAGTGGAAGAAGAAAGTAGTTACGAAGATAGTGATGAGGAGGTGGAAGAAAATAGTAATTATGACCTGTCGAGTGAAGAGGAGGAAGAAGAGGGTGAAGAAGAAGACGTCCCGCACTCTGCAAATATTTCCCAATCTCTGCATACCGATTCAGACGTTTCTGATTACAGTGAAGGGGAAGATTTCGATGAAGATGAGGCATTTGAATTGTAAATTAAGTCAGTCTCAGTAATGAATATCATGTAAGTATAACTTTGTAGAAACGTTTAAATAGCTAAGGTAGAAGCTGGATATATTCAGATCAAATATCTTTCTACTAAGGATCTATCCACATTTCTGTGTCTACAATCTCAATTCACTTTTAATTCTTTGTTAATTCTTCCTAGTATCTATTGTATTACATGAGCTTCAACAACAACTGCGCTCCCTTGTTATCCTTATCGCCAGATAAGGTCTTTTTCATCTTCTTCAAGGCCTTACTAAGGTCCTTGAACTTGGCGTCTTGCAGCAATTGCAAAACTTCGTACACAGCAACAATGACAAATGCACCTTGGCCGCTTAACCAGGCTTCCAAGGAGTTATTTTCCAAAATCTCGTCAACGACTCTGGCAGCAAATTCGACACCAACACCGGGTATCTTCACGTCTTCACCTTCGACGCGGACCAACTTCTTTTCGGCGTTGTCCCACTTGAATTCGTTACCTTGAATCAAAGCCTTGAGGGATCTGGAAACAAATGGAACCTTGTTGATTAAGTGGTGGTCTTCCAATACGTCTCCTTTTACTGATATGTCAAAAATGGCATCAACCAATTGTGGACGTAACTCGGAAACTTCCTTTTCTGAATCTTCTGGAGATGGGGTTAAGATCAACTCGGTGATCACCTGGGCGGCAATGTTGACGAACATCAACTTGTCAAATGCAAGGTCTGGGTACTTGAAGTCTGGCTTGGAGCTGGCAATCAAGGTACCGTATACAAGAGGGAGGGCACGCAGCAATAATTCGAGTCTTCTTTGTTCTTGTGGTTTCTTGGAAGTCTTTTGGTAGGCCAAGGCTTCGTACAGTTGTAAGGCAGCCTTCACGTTTGGAGCAAAGTACTTACCGTCCAAGCCGTTCAAAAGGTATAAAAGTGGTCTACGAGAGAACTTATCTTGGATAAGAGGAGGCAACAAGTCGTCGGTGAACAAATCAACACTGAAGGACTTGTGCAACATAACAGTATCATCGACGGTCATGAAGATGGTGATCAAGACCAAGTTACCGTTTTCGTTCTTGATCAAGTTGGTTGCATGAGTCTTCAAATGACGGACAATAAGCTTTCTTTCTTTAGCAGATGCAACGGCAATCAACTTACATGCGACTTCACTACCTTCTTGGGTGTGGACTAATTCAGCAAATTGTTCAGTAAGAAGCTCGATGAATTCACGGAGTTGCTTGTCATGTGCTTCGGTATCTTCCAAAAGAATAGTGGTGTAATCCTTCATGGCAGCATGAAGAATTTGGAATCCAGTCAGGCCCTTTTCGACAGATGCAGTGATGGTTCCCAGCAAGTTGGCCATGATAAGTTGTTTCTTTTCGGCAGACTCGTGGACGACATCCAACACACTCTTACCCTTTCCGGAGTCACGGAAAACGGCGTATTCAGCACCCCAGAACTCACGGATCATTTGTTGTCTTTGTTCGGTGGTAGAGTACAATACAAACAAATCTTCAACAACGTAGGCACCTTCACGATGTCTCATCAACTTACGCAACTTCCCGTGGAGTTCGTCGACAATGAGAGCACGAGATTCCTTGGATCCATAATGTAAAAGCTTGACAAGAAGGTATTTACCGTATGAGGAGGTGGCCAATTGGTAGTAGGAACCCTTAAGAGAGCTGACAATGACGTCTCTTCTTTCCTTTGGAGAAAACTTCACCAAGGTTTGCACCACACGAGAAGCATCGTGCTTCAACACCAAGTCGTAGATGACGTCCTTGGACAAGTTCCAGATCTCGTCACAAAGCTTGTCTCTGACTTGCTTTGGAGGAGTTGGCTTCTTAACTCTCAATTTTTCCCACAAATTCTTAATTTGTTGGACTTCAGTACCGGACTTTCTTTGCAATTTACGTTCGGCAAGAACCTTTCTTTGTTCTGCGTGTTGTTCCTTGGAGGTCTTCTTGTTTGGGTCAACTGGTTTATCGGAGTCTTCCTTTTCTTCGTCGTCTGAGTTGGCTTCCTTGTCCTCATCGTCAGATGATTCCAAATCGTCAGAGCTTGAGTCGGAGTCGTCATCGGCGTTCACCTTGGTTTCATCGTCGTCCAACTCGTCTAATTCGTCTTCGGAAGATTCTTCTTCAGCCATGTCTACTTCTTCATCTTCACTGTCTTCTTCTTCTTCGCTTTCTTCAGACTCTGGGGAGACAGGCTTAGCAACAACCTTGGCCTTCTTGGCAGGAGCAGAAGTGGCGTTCTTTGGAGCAGAACGCTTGGTACCTTTAACTGCAGATCCCATTTCTTGATATACTAGTTGTAAGGAAAGATAACTAAAAGAAAGAGAATTTTAACAAGTATGCTTTAGCTCTTCTCAAATGCGAAAATCACAAATAAATTGTGAAGACCTTCTCACACTGAGAATCGAGACAAACTATTGAGAGATGAGCTGACACTGTGCAGGTGAAAAAAAAAAATAGAATTAACAGGATTTTTAAAACAAAAAATAACTGATAGGAAGTGTGTCACGTGCACGCTCGGGATTAAGTATCAAGAAAAGAGATTCTCCATATATTTGTGCTCCAAAAACAGGTTAGTAAGCTACACAATTCTTCCTTCTTTAATTAAAGAGAGAAAAAAAAACAATCTTCATATATATATATATATAAAAAGTACATACAATGTTCCGCACTGCTACCAGATTTACCAGTCCTATGAGACAAGCTGCCAGAAGTTATGTGAGATCTGTTTCTACTGTTCGTGAAATTGGAGATTTGAGCCAATTCAAACAATTTGTAAAGGGTGACAAGGTTTCTGTTATTGATTTTTATGCTACTTGGTGTGGACCATGTAAGGCATTAGAACCAATTTTTGCCGCACTTGCTGAAAAAGTTCCAGAAGTTCAATTTGGAAGAGTTGATGTTGATAATGCACAAGATGTTGCTCAAGAATACGGTATCACTGCCATGCCAACCTGTTTGTTCTTCAAGGATGGTGAAAAAGTTGACACTATTATTGGTGCTAACCCACCAAAGTTGATTTCATTGATCAAAGAACATGGTAAGGTTAATCTTTAATGAAATAGTTTTGTGGACGAATGCACGTGATACAGTATAAGAATGTAGGATGAAGATCGATCAATTGCAACCACAATGTAAAAAGTTTATAAATGCAAAAACACACACAATGTTGATCGGATTCGAATTGGTAAAGGTGGCAAAAGATTGGGGAAGTTATTAAACGGAGTGACTCATCACAGGTACTGACTCATTGATTTAATGTAAAGTTTTGCCACCAAACATAAAGTTTAAAATACTGAATAGATACAAATGACTCATATAATTGTAGGCATAAACTATATAAAGAGGTATTTCGTAATTGGTATTTGTAGTTGATATAGTATCATTATATAATAACAATACATTTCTATAGCAGGACTATGAAGGTAGCAGCAGCATTAAGGTTGAAAAACGACTACGCCTTACAATTGACGGCATTAAAGCAGCGAATAATGTCAAATCTTGTGGTTGAAGAAGGAAGTGAGCCTTTTGAAAGCCCCAAAAAGTTGATTATTCTTTACCATCAAGTTTCACAGAATTACCAAGATTTGGTTACCAGAATAAATTTACATAATTCTTCCACTAAGGTGGAATATCCGTCATACCATGATAATTTCAAATCTGGCCATTTGATGGGAGATTTATTTTCCAATGAGTTATCCCCAGACTTCACATACACTGAGAAGTACATAGTACAAGCCTTGGTGGAACGTGAATCTTTGAAGGAAGAAATTCGAACTTTCAAAGCCATTTTAGATGGTTCCAAAGTGACGAGATACTCTACGCGAGATATTTTAAAGGTACCCGTGGTAGATGTTCAACAACTCCAAAAGAAAATTGATACCATGGCGAAGTTTTTAAGAGTTTTAGATTCCAGGATTCAAGAGCATAATTGGTTACAAGATTTAAAAGAAATATAGGATATCTGAGATATCATATTATATATGTTGGTATCCTAGGGGAATGATTCAAAGTTAAAGGTGAACAATGAACCTACCGGCAACGTGGGTTGAGTGGATAGGCGGAGATCATAAGATCTGTGCCCTGATACAGTTGCCATAAACGAAAGTACATAAAGTACGAAATTTGTCGATCACAATAATTGCCTTATCATCATTCTGACATTTAAAATACAAACTTACACAATTTTTACCATTTGTTGATTTAACTTTGAATATGTTCCCCTAGGAGAGGGCGGGCTCGGGGACATAATATACACATATACCAAAAAGAGAAAGACATGTAGATGTAAGAGTAGATCGTATTGCAGTCTCTGGAAACTATCTTAGCAGAAAATCGCTGTACTTCATCATGTTCGATAATCCACAAAAAAACCTAGGATCTTCAATCATTCAGCTTTTTTCCTCTTTCGTTTCAACTTCGGATGTTTAACCTTCTGATATAAGTTACATTACAATTCTTCATCTCTCCAGATTAAAAGATTCTTAAGTTAGCCCGACTATATCAAGTTCAGTTTATAAATAGTATAAAATAAATGAACTCTGAGAAGTTGGGGCATTGTTATTCGCAATCTTACTCAATAAAGTTGAAATGTAGATTTCATACTCAGAGCCAATATGTCAAATTAAACCCATTTTGAAATCGAAATGGCCATGTTTTTGAGTTTTATATGGAAAATCTATACAGTTGGAGTTGAACGTCACGATCTCTTCATAGGGCTACCCGTTCAATACAGTATGAGGTTTCATTTAATACAGTATAAACCTTCATTTCCAATATATATGTCTACATTATATTCTGTGAACTTACCTCATTGAATTTTATAATAGAGATGAAAAAGAATAAAATTAAATAATATTTATTCAATTGATGTTAAGTTCCTCTATTAGTCTATAGTCTCTCCCTTGTATTGCTTATTTTGTGAAATCTGTAAAATCCTGCATGTAGTTCACGAAAATCAAGACAGTGGCGAAATCTCAACTAAATACGTCTACCCGAAAAAGGACATAATCAAACTAGGATTAACCACATATAAAATAACAATACAAAGTAATCATGGTATGTTTAGATATTATAAGAGGTGAGGAGATTGGATTATTTGATCAGATCGATATCCAATTGAAGATTAACAACTTTAATTGACCTTCTCCTTAGTTTATGGACTGCACTGAACAAATTTACTAACAATATCTTTAGGGTCAAGCACCATCAGGAATGCAAGGAGGTGAAGGCTTCGGGGGTAAGAAGAAGGATGATAAGAAGAAAGAAAAGCCAAAGTATGAACCTCCAGTAGAATCAAAATTTGGTAAGAAAAAGAGAAAGGGGCCAGATACGGCTGTCAAATTACCAGCAGTATATCCAAACACAAGATGTAAGCTTAGACTTTTAAAGCTTGAAAGAATCAAGGATCACTTACTTCTTGAAGAAGAATTTGTAAGCAATCAAGAAGCCTTCCAGCCAACTGAGGCAAAGCAGGCTGAAGAAAGAGAAAAGGTAGATGAACTTCGTGGATACCCTATGTCCATTGGAACTCTTGAAGAAATCATTGATGATGATCATGCCATTGTGTCGAGTACTGCCGGTCCTGAGTACTACGTATCAATAATGTCCTTTGTAGACAAGGGTCTTTTAGAACCGGGTTGTTCTGTATTGCTCCACCACAAGACTGTTTCCATTGTCGGGGTGCTCCAAGACGATGCAGACCCAATGGTATCTGTTATGAAATTGGACAAATCTCCTACTGAATCCTATGCGGACATTGGTGGTTTGGAATCACAAATTCAAGAAATTAAGGAAGCCGTCGAGTTGCCACTTACACATCCAGAATTATACGAAGAAATGGGAATAAAGCCACCTAAGGGTGTTATCTTGTATGGTGCTCCAGGTACGGGTAAGACTCTTCTTGCCAAGGCTGTTGCAAACCAAACTAGTGCAACTTTCCTCAGAATTGTTGGGTCCGAATTGATCCAAAAATATTTGGGTGATGGTCCAAGATTATGTAGACAAATTTTCCAAATTGCTGCAGAAAATGCCCCTTCCATTGTATTTATTGATGAAATTGATGCCATTGGAACTAAAAGATATGATTCAACCTCCGGAGGTGAAAGAGAAATCCAAAGAACTATGTTGGAACTTCTTAACCAATTAGATGGTTTCGATGATAGAGGTGATATAAAGGTGATCATGGCCACAAATAAGATTGAATCTTTAGATCCTGCCTTGATTAGACCTGGTAGAATTGATAGAAAGATTCTTTTCGAAAACCCTGATGGGAACACCAAGAAGAGGATTTTATCTATCCACACATCCAAGATGAGTTTGGCACCAGATGTTAATCTTGATGAATTCATCACATCCAAGGATGAATTGTCAGGGGCCGATATTAAGGCTGTTTGTACAGAGGCCGGTTTGCTTGCCTTGAGAGAAAGGCGGATGCAAGTCAAGGCCGATGACTTTAAGCAGGCTAAGGAGAGAATTTTGAAGAACAAAGTGGAGGAAAACCTTGAAGGATTGTACTTGTAATTCATTTTTCTTTCTTTTTCCCTACAAGAATTTTACTTACATAGAAATTTAACATGTACGAATATAGAATTCAATAAACTAAAGAATCAAAACATATAAGAATTATAATTAAATCTTGTCAAAGAGCAGGCTAGCTGCGCTTTGATCAGAGTTGTAGATACTAAAGTCACTGCTACTCTTGGTGAACGATGTTTTTGCCAGATTTCTTTGGTCTCTTCTACTGGAATCAGGAGGAGACCACGTTTTACTTTGCTGTCCTTTGATGTGTTCAAGCTTTGATTTCAATTCTGAAATGAATACATTTACTTCAAGGTTCTGAAAGTAGTCATCGAGAGTCTCCATGGTGCTTGCTAGTAAGTCGTACTCTGCCACGAATTCTCTAAGAATGTTGTTTGTAGACCAAGGTGTTCTACGAATTGCACTCTCTATCTGATTGGTAATTTCTTCAACACTAATGTACAGTGAAGCCAATTCGCAAATCCCTACCAGGGCCAACATTGAGAATTGCTCCTCGGCCACGATAAGTTTATCAAATTCATGTAACCAACTACTATCATCGCATCTCATTAACTTATCTGTAAATGAGTCTAATTTTGGTACTAGCTCTAAATCGGTGCGTACAATAGCACGATAACACTCAAATTGAACTAACACTTCCTGCAAATTCTTAAGATGAGAGACACTGACAGCAAATTTCTTCTTGGCTTCTACGATAGATTCATCCCTATTGAGAATCAGGGGCACAAGTTGGAAGCAAATCTTCAGCGACTGTAAAACCTTCCCAATAGCCTCCAGAGAAAAATGGTTTGAGAGTTTGACAAGGTTATCAGTGTGGTTATTGAACCGGATTGCTAAGGCATTGGCTCTTTCTGCAAACTCTAGGCTTGTGATTGAGTTGTGCTGCGATTTAAGACTAGTTTTTTTATGTGTGGCTCCTGGAAGTGGTGGAAGAGGTTTGTTAAGTGGGGAAGAACAAGCACGAAAATTGGCTTGTGCAAAAGGTGATTTATTTTCCAAACTTTCAAGTGATTTACCAGTAATGATTCTAAGGGCGGGGTGTGACTTCTTCTTCGTTAGTGGCTGTTTTAATACAGGTTCTTCGTCGAAGCTATTAGTACAGATTTCATCTACTGTTGGGAAAGTTGATTCCGCTGTAGTCTCGAGTTGCCTTTCCGTGGTAGAAGAGATGGTATGGTTGGTTACCTCGGTTGACTCTAGGGAATCTTCTCCCTCGTCTAACTCGGATACATCTTCAATAAAATCAAAGGGAGATGCATATTCTTCTGAGTTCCTTGTCGTGTTATCGGATCCAAGTTCTTCGATTTCTGTGTCATCGTTATTGTAAGACTCTGCACTCGAAACTTCTTCAGATATCACAGGAGTTACCTTCTCAGTTAACTCTTGAATGTTCTCCTTAGTGTGAATTAGGTCATCTTCAACTTTTCCATAAACCGCTTCAAGCAGATCACTTCGATCTTTTGGTATGTGGTCGATATCCTTGGTTTCCGACATTACTTCTGCGTCATCATGAGTTTCTAATCCTTCATCTCCAACTATTAAACGATCTATTTCATATACTTTAATCAGCTCAGATACAACCTCTGATTTCTCATCGTTTATCATTTCGAAATCTTCGAAAGGTTGATTGTTTTCATCTGAATCTGGACCATCTTCAATGAAATCGAATGGAGAAGTGTATTCCTCAGCTACTGGGATACCATTTGCCTCCTGTGATTCCTCTAACTCTTCAAGTTCATTATCATGTACTGTAACGTCAACGTCCTTACTAACTGTAGGGGGGATCTTTACTTGTATTTGGGGATCCTTGGTTGCATGATTGGCTTCTACCATAGATATGCTGCTAGGAGATCCTTCCTCGGAACTTGGAAAAACATCTTCCAGCTCTAGTGGAGTAACTACTTCATGCAGTTTATTTTGAGCCCCTACATCTTCCAACCGTATTGGGGTGTGGTCGACTTGTTCGGGCAACTTCTCGTACAGAAGTTCCCTTTTCTTCAGTCCATCCATTATTTCACTAGTTATTGGTTCACTTACGCATATGGATGAGTAGGCATTCTCATGAGCAATAATAATATCCGCATCTGAATCTTCATCAGAGTCCTCATCAGAGTCTACTGAATGTTCGTCCGAGTCATCATCAATATCATAATTTAAGAAATCTGCAACAACGCAATCATCTGACAGATCTTCAAATGTTTCGAGGTTGTTTTCGAATTCTGGGTATTTCTCTCCAGTTGTGGATGTAGAAGGTTGGGCAGTTAATGGACTTATTATTTCAGTGGGTTCCGAAGCGAGTTCTTCAGAATGGACCAATTGGGTTTCGACGGCCTCCGTTTTCATTCTCATGACTCCTTCTTCCTCGGATGTTGTAGTTGTAGCAGCCAATTGAGTCAATTGGTCTGGAGTGGCTGGTTGACTTTTGGAAGTGTTTTCATCTTCAACATCTGCCAAATCTGAATTAGAAACTAACAATTCATTATGTTGAATAGGTTCCAGTGTTTTGGCTTCTAATTTCAACTTATTGCAACCTTGTATTGAAACCGTGGTCTCTTCTTCCTTATTCTCTAATTCCAGAGCAACCTCAATGACAGACCCATGTTCAGGGGAGTTTGAAGCTGCTGATTTGGAAATAAGTTGCTCTTCTTCTGTATCATTGCAACCTGAAGCCAAACCCGATTCGATCATAATTTGTTGTGTAGCCTCTTCATTTCCATCGCGATGATCTTCGTGTGTTGTTTCTGAATTAATGATCGATTCATCTGATTGATCAGCGAATTCTACTATATTTTCTGGTGTTCTTGGTACCGGTTGATCAACTACAACTGGTCCGTGTACTAAAGAAGTTTCAGCAACGACAACCGCTTGGATTTGGTTGTCACTTAAGTTTTCAACTTGTTCAGGTGATTCTGGAGTGTCCACAGATTCTGAAACATTTGGTATTTCAATTTCTGCATCTTTCGATTCTTCATCCAAACTGTCAGATGGTATCATTGTAAGTCTTGAGGAATCCTTAGACTCCAATTGGGAATCTTTGACATGATCAACTTCGGAATCGGGTGAGGGTTCCGGTTCATTATTTCTTTTTACAAACACAGTGATTCCAGAATCTAATGTCACTGGTTTTGTATCCAGTTTCAGGCTAGAATCTTTTGAACTATTAATGTATTGTTCTGGTTTCTTTTTAAATAACTTAGGCTCTTTTGTAGTAAATGGTATGGAGTGTGACTGCTCCATGGCTCTAGCATGTTCCTCTAATGCTTGTATTTTTTGAAGTACCCCGGCTGAACGTTGCAATGGGGTTGATTTCAACGATGGTTTCTTATTCTCTAAACATAATACTGGTTTCAATACAGGCACCTTAAGTTGTTGGTCTACCATTTGTGTTATAGCCTGCTTGGTAGGTTCTTCAGCCTCCTTTTCGCTATAATCTTGTATTTCACTAACTTGTTGTTCGACCTCTAATTCATCAGTAATTGGTGGAATTTCAGTTTCTTCACTTCCACTAGTCGTAGTTTCAATTTCTTTCAGTTGGTGTACTATGTCACTTGTAGGAGAGACTTTTTCTATAGTATTGGCCCCTTCTGACACCTTATTTACTTGCTTAAAACTTGTAGTACCAATTTCATAATCATAATCTTCGAATGGTTCTTTGATGGAGGTTTTTGCTTCAATGGGAGTTTGGGTATTAAGTACAAAGTTAGAAGATTCTGACGATGATTTGTCATTTTTAGGGTATTCATGTTCAAGTGCTTTCACTTGCTTCGAGATAGCTGATCTCATTGGTGGTACTCTGAGCTTGATCACTTTTCTTGGAGCTTTAGTCAACTTTGGAATATTTGAATCTTTCGGCAAGTTCATCACTTGTTGAAGTGGGATAGGCTTAACCTGTTGTGGTTCTTCCGACTTGATCTTTGGACTACTTATTTCCACCTTTGGAGGCTCGAGCGACCTACGTCCATTAGAACTGATAGGATCAAGTAAGCTACTAGTTGAAGTTGGTATGGCTTCCTTGGGAATGGTTGGTTTTTCTTCTTCTTGATTAATCACAGCATCCTTCAGCGTATCATCTGACTTTCTTGGTTGATCCTCTACAACCAACTCAAATGGTTTTTCAAATTCTGTTCTAGATCTAGGAGTTGAAACTGATCGCGTAGGTGAAAGTATATCTATATTAACGATATCATCCGAACGGGGTCTGTCAACCGTTGTTTCCTGTATTATTATTCCATATCTCTTGTTGTGAGATTCCCTACGTTCCAAGTGTTGCGGTTCCGGTTCTGCCTCTTTTACAAAGACAGAGTAGTTGTCAACCATCTTAGGCGAAGAAGGTTCATCTGGAGTGTCTTCTCGCTCGGTCAATTGCTTCACATCTAGTTCTAAAAGCTTTAGCCATTCTAATAGATATGTTATGACACACTTTTCATCTGGAGCAAAGCTTATGAAATCTTCTGCATCTGCTAATCTTGGTATACCAAGAGTGTTTGCTGCATCAAGAACTTTACGAAGGTTTTGCAATTTCTTCCCGTACGTCATTTCAGCATAGCTAATTAATCCCAGGGTTGATCCTAAGTAATACTCTAATATGGCACCTAGGGACAAATCGGGTCTTTTATTCTCTAACGACCAATCACGGTCAAAATTCGTCACTTCTGGAAGTCCCTTTCTACGTATGATTGGGTTTATCCAATCCCTAAGAATGACTTTAATCTTATTGAATGAATTGCAATGATTTGACAATGCCTTGGAAAGTGAATTTGTGGTAGCGTATACAATGATCGACCATACAAGACCAAGAATAAGCTTTAAATTACCCCCCACAATATCATCTGCACTAATGTTACAGATATTAATTTGAAGGATAATCTTCAAGAATTCCAAGCAATCGTTAACATTTTCATATTTTTGAAGTCTATGGATAGGCTTTGCATAAACTGGAGAGAGTAGATATGAGTTTGGGGATATGGATGCATCTGCAATCCCATTGATGAGTTCCACAAGTACTAGCCCGTCCAGCAAGTCTGTATGGAGGTCTTTCACTTCCACGCTGACCTTTGTGTTTACCCATCTTTTTAAGGTCTTTTCCTGCTTTGTGACCCAGTCGGACATGATGAGATGTTTATATCGGGAGTGCAAATACCAGTGGTGTATATTATGTATGATATGCTTCTTGTGAAATAGATGGCAGTGTAACCCTCACCTCACTGTAAGGATATAAGTTGGTTAGAATGGCTGGTGGTAATATGGTGGAAGAAGCTTGTCGGTTACTTGTCAAATCTGTACAACATCAACAAATGAAAGTGTACGCGTAATACTAAGCGGTATATATGTTTTCAGACTTCTCATTTGCTTAGGATATTCCAGAAAGAGACGTGTTCCTGCGTGTTTCTTCATGTGTATGCATGTCACCTCCCCATTGGTGCCCCATGAGTCGTAAATACCGCTCGTTTAGGCAAGACGCGAGGTTGAAAATCGCGGTTACAACACAAAAAATTTTAATTTTCCTCCAGGAATAGAAAAGTGTCTTTGATCAAGCTGAAATGCAAATAAACATACTCGCTGCCCCTTGCTTACATCTAGTCTAAGATGCCATCGTATGCATGTGGATGGTTAGTTCTACGATATTCTCCAGCCGGCGTGTTCTATTCTCAATATCATGCCAAAAATATTTATAGCACCCTGTACTGTAGGGCAAATTGAGATTAGCATCGATTGCATATTTGTTTTTCTGTACCGCTACGTTCCATCGTCTAATTTGCAAAATAAAAACACAGAGTGCATAGTGCCCCGATTCTGAGTGATTGATGGGCGGGTATGCCTCAGTTTTGGCTGTCCCACACTCTACTTTTGAAGTGTTTAAAGTTTTGGCAGACTTGTCAGTTCAACTTGATTTTGAACTTGTTTGTTTCCATGAACAAACTTTATAGATCATATGGTGTCATTGGAATTTCATTTCTAAATCCTTGTCTACTCTTTTAATCTTGCCACATGGCCCAATTGATCTCAGGTGGATACTTCGTATATTACTTGGAGAAAAAATCGCCTGTTTCTAATATCGAATGCTTGTAGGGTTAATTTTTTCAATCTTGAATTAGTTCCGTATTTATTTCGTATATTCCCAATATAGTTCACTTCGAGGGATTCCAGATCGTTTGTTCTTGATCTTCTCTACCCCCGAATGGGGTATACCCACTACCCTTGATCACAAAGTCTACAAATAAAATCCTACATTAATTTAACATATTTTCTTTATTTCATCTTCTGTTTCTTCTTCTAAGATCACAAAAGTACATCAATGAATGCTAATATCATACCAGAATAAAAACTGGGCATTAAATTATCTGGCTTAAGTTATATCTTCCCTCTCTTGTTCATTCACTCTCTCATTCACCCTCACTATTATCTTGGAAACCGGTTTATAATTTAAAAAATGGATGTTCCATTGCTTCCTTTGCAGTAGGTCTCTTTTGATGGTCATATGTTAAAAGCACATCAATAAAATCGATTACTTCATCAGAAATAAACTTCTCGTTTTCAGCATTAATAAATTGCAGCCATGGCTTTCTAGGGTAATTACCCAAGATTGAATCATAATCTTTGGAAAGTCTAATACCATATTTATTCACATATGCCATTAAATCCTTTGTACCCAACACTTTAGCTATTTGGACAAGTTGATCATTATTGGAGTCACCACGGAAAAATGGTTCCTTTTTGAATATGATTGCTGCCAACATACATCCTACTGACCATAAATCCAATGAATAATCATATTGTTGCAAATTCACAAGAAGTTCTGGTCCCTTATGATATCTACTAGCAACTCTTACGTTGTAGTCCATACCTGCATGGTAGAACTCGGCAAGCCCCCAATCAATAAGTCTCAATTTCTTACTTAATGGGTCAATCATGATATTTTGAGGTTTCACATCACGATGAATAATCCCCATAGAATGAGAATAATCTAAAGCAATCAATAATTGAGTGAAATAATATTGAATGTCGGGGATAGTGAATTTTGGATATAACACTCTGAAATCAATATTATTAATTTTTTCAAAGATAAGTGCTGGGATCTTTGATTGTTTATCATGAACAATATCAAGTAATCCTATCACGTTGGGGCCTCCTGTCAAATTTTTAAGAATTTTAACTTCACGGTAAATCTTTTTCATCTTCACAGGCTTGAGCACCTTGATCACACATGCTTCATCGTTGAGAATGTTTACCCCTTGGAAAACCTCAGAGTATTTCCCACGTCCTATTTTACTAATGATTTCATAATTGTGAATATCGCCCCATTCGATGACATGGTTCTCATAATCCCAATATTCAGTGGGCTTGTTGGCATTAACGTCGGCGTAGACCTTTGCCACCGAGTAGACTCTGGTGTTGACACTCATCCCGTTGGTGTATATGTATTTGGATGATAATACTGGTGTGACTTTTCTCTTTTGTAAATATCCACAAATAAATCTGTAGTTTGTTTCCCCTTTGTGTTCGCGATATCTGCTTAGTGTCGTCAAAATTTATTTACAACAGCAGGAGGGAAAAAATATTAAACAGTGTAAGAGCAATATATATATGTGTATATCGGTTATACGTATACGGTGGCCAGAAGCAGCTTGTATATATATAGATTTTCTTTGTAGATAAGTACAATAATAAGAATTGCCACTGTAAATTTACGAATCTAAATGTCTGTTTTTTCCCTTGTAGATGAGGATCCCACTTAGCGTTCAATTTGTGCGGTCCACTTCTCTCTATATTTTTTTTTTTCCTTTTTTTAGTGAGAAATTGAGATACACATCTCATCACACGAACGATAAATTTGGTACAATAACAAAACTGATGTGCAGGATGGGTATAAAATAGAAAGGTCACAAGATGGATCATATCAATTATTGAAATTTATCTTGAGCAATTTATGAGTTCTTATAAGAACTTTATGAAGGATTTGAATAATATTACTACTGCTTACGATGTTTTTCTACAAGTATATGGGTCTTTTTAGTGGAGTGAGAGTGTTTTTGTTAGTCAATCACTTATTATTTCTACAGTTGGGAATTCGAGTAATTCCCTCCTTAATATTATTATAATTCCTTTTGTACATTTAAACGTTAAGGGCTTCTTTCTCTCGTGATTTGTTAATTAATTTTGTCTTTGATCTGGTTGTCTTCAATCTGGGACACTGTTAAAGAGTATACCTTTTTTACCGCATGTTTTTATTCTTTAATTTCTACTTAACAATTGTTGTTGTTTTTTTACATTAATGAAGATAATCCATTTTTATCTGTTAATCCTTGTTAATACTAGTTACTCATTATATATTCTTCCATCTATTCATTCTATGTATTTTCTTCGATAAATCAACTTTTTGCAACTACTGTCGATTCACGTGACGTGAATCGTGTGATCACAAACACGCGTAAAACATTTAGGGCTTACCTACTACTATTTTCTAAGTAATATTAGGCCCATTAATTATTCTACATCAAGTGCATATCATATCGACATGAAAGTGGTAGTATGACGAAAATACTGACCATTTCCCTTCAAGATAACTCCAATAATGTCTTTGTTGCGGATGTAGAATTATGGCTGGTGAACTCACTGAATGGCACGTCAAGTGTTGATCTACAATCTCAAACAAAGACTCAAGACCGCTGGTTAGGTTTAACTTTCACTCGTATTGGCCAGTTTGTTAACTGCTCCAAAATCCCCTTATACTTATTGCTGGACCTGCCCCTTGACGTTTTTTCGTCATCTAGTTCAACTGAGGAATACTTCCGTCAACACATTGTACAGGCTTCATTAGTTCATGGGAGTAACGTTGGTGTTCTTTTTCTGCATCTTGATACATATTTAACCTTTTATTTCGATCCTGAAACACTTCAAATCAAATGTTTAACTATTGATTTTAACATTTTGAATCGAATTGACTCAAAAAATGGTGGAACTCTTTTACAAGAAAATAACGTTGTTACTCCGTCATCAATGGCAGTATTTGATAAAGTACTCTCAAGAAAGAGAAAGCTGCAAAATCAATTCATAATGCCATCTAAAACTACCCCTCCTCCAACACAATTGTCATCTCAAACATTAACTACAAACGAACAAATAACTCTGGCTATCAGTAAATTGGTACTATCAGGTCTTCGGTTAAGAGGATTATCTGGATATGTCAATACTTCAGTTTCTGCTTCAAACGAAAAACTTGCAGTTAGAGAAATCTATCATATGACTCAAAAATCGGCTCTCTTTGCAGTAAGAAAATTTGGTTATGGATTTAATAATCAACAAACTTCAGAAAGGAAGCCAGTACAACTCAATGACGTGCAAGACATTGTCGAAAAATTACTCCTGGTATATATAGACATGGATGATAAGTAAATATACAATATCTCTTGATGTACAATGGATCATTTTTTCTTCTTAATTTAGAATTCTATTCTTGTTTTCACTTTATCTCTAAGCTTATGGAACTATATACAACGCTTACAAATCGGCAAAGTTAACCGTGGCGGATTGTTGGAAATCCTTTTGGCTGACAACGGTGGCATCCTTCAACAGTTTTTGTAAACCACTCAAACGAACAACCTTCTTTCTTTCTTCTCTCTTACCCATGTAGTCCAACAACAAGGAGCGGTTCTTCAACAAATAACCTCTCTTGTCTTGGTTGGAGTAGTAACCAATGTCTCTTCTGTGGGTTGGTCTGGCTTGTAATGGAACATAACCTCTAGTACGTAAGAAATGGTCTGGAGAAACATGGGCTCTCAAACCAAGACGTGTACGGTATACGGCGGTGTATTCATGGCCCAATTTTTCAATCGTTTCGATTGACAGGTTAGAAGCTTTAGTGGCTTCTACATTGAGTGGTACATTGTAAGTTTCAGCACCATTTGACAAGATTTTAACACCATCTTTCAACGACCCAGTGATCAAACCACACTTTCTCATAACCTGGATGGTTAAAGTTTCTCCTTCGTTCAAAGGGATTCTTCCGTTGTTCCAGAAGTCTTGAATTCTATCCAAGTTTAATTCATGGAAAACTCTTGTGTTAGCTCTATTGAAACCAGTCTTAGGGAAACGTTTGAAAAATGGAGTTTGACCACCTTCAAACCACATAGGAACAGAACCTCTGGCTTTTTGACCCTTTTGACCTCTACCGGAAGTCTTACCTAAACCAGAAGAAGCACCTCTACCAAGTCTTCTGTATTCCTTGACAGCACCTTCATTTGGTTCTAAATGTCCCAATACGGATGCATTTCTGCTGGGTATAATCTGACGGATTCCAGCAAAGGCACCTTGTGTCTTCAGCACGATGCTCAGACGTAAGTTAAACATGATTTGTAGCTTTGAGTATACGTCCGTGAAACCTGTTGTGAGAACGATTTTGATGAATCTTTTGAGAAATATCACACAAATGGTGTGCGACGGACAAAAAAAAAATTAATATAAAAAAAAAAAAAAAAATTTAGTGAATTCGTGGTCGTGTGTAACCCATGAAATGGTTGCAATCCACATATGTACATGAATGTCCCTAAAGAAAGACCTTAGATTTAGGTAATAGAGGGAAAATCATAGTAGGTAGGTCATATATGGCCTTCAGTCTTGATGTATTAATGTATTCCTAATGAGACTGATGTTATACTTCTAATATCTAACTTTAACATGAAATAAAATCAACGTATTTGAACCTTCCTGAGTGTAGTAAGCAGTAACCCAGTTTTCTTTGTGGGACATACATATATACTTAAGGACTACTCACTATTATCTTTGGTGAATTTTGTCCCTTCCTTGATCGCATAGGTACAAACAATCGTACAACCTTGAGACCTTTCAGAGTATCAAACAAGTTCTTTGGTTGCCTTAGAACTATTACAGCAGACTTAACTCCTTCTTTATGTAGCTTTTACCTATTCCAATTATTTTATCTACATCATGCCAGTTTTTGACCCTAAAATGCCACTTCACTGGTACACATGATTGGTGTTATAACTCTTTTTTTTTAGATCATTTTTTGGATGAAATTACTAATTTTTTTCATTTTTGAATTACTTTATATTCAAATTGATATAGTCCTTCTGCTATCTGATAAACTAGTACATTGCAATCATTGAGTTTCAGCGTATATCGACCGATTCATTGTTAAGGTCGTGTGCTAACCCATTTCTTGCTTTTCAGTTTGACTTATAAATCTTACATTTTTTTCTGTCAATAAAAGCCTTTATGGCCAAGTTGGTAAGGCACCTCACTAGTAATGAGGAGATCGTCAGTTCGAATCTGGCTGAAGGCATCTTTTATTTTTTTGGACCTTTAAACTAGTACAGTCTTTTGATTAACTTAGACTACAAAATATTATATTTGGATATGTTCGTCTTGTTAGTTTTACTAAAAACAGAAACTATATGATGATATTTAAATAACGCAAGAATGAAATGTGTACTAAAGTCTAACTTAAATTAAATTAACCCGGGTGTAGATTATTTAAATTTGGCTTATGGCTGCAAATTTGCCTACAGTTATCAAAACTTTAAAAACATTCATATAAACACAAAAACTAAAAAATATTCAATTAACCGGGTACAAAGGAGTAAGAGTACCTTCTTCAACATTCCATCCGTCTTCACCTGGAATTGCCTCGACAACCGTGCCAGACTTTCCTTGTTGCTTTTCGCAATAATCAAATATTGATGCAGCTGTATAACCATTTTCCTGGGTTGGATAACTTGCTCCGTAGTTGTAAAAAGTAGGGTACCAGATTGAATAGCCGGCCTGTGGAGTACAAACCAAGGGCTTTTCTAATACTTGACTTCTATGGTCAAATTGTTCAAGCCATTGAATAGCTTGTCCAGTAAGCAAACCAAACTTTTTAGGAACTGAATATTTTCCAATATTGAAATTTTCACCAGTAACTTCGTCTCGACACCACCCTTGCCAAACAGTCGATCCGTTGGCCCAAGTACCAACGAATGTTGTAGATAAAGTGTAGTTCCGGTTTTCTGTCCAGTTGAAAGGTTGATGACAAGAGATTCCAGGGCCAGTATCCGCACCTTGTAAACAGAATTCAAGATCAGAGTATATATCTGACCCAAACACACTGTAGAGAATCATTCCTCCATGTTCCCCAGGCTGTATTCCAAAGTATCCGGTATCTCCGCTTTCAAAAAAAATCAGAGTTGCCATGAATAGCCCTGTAGTATTCCCATAGTGCATGTTAATAGTGGATGATAATCCAGTAAAAGTGTGAACACTTGAATCCTTCACGATATAATCCCATTGTGGGATAGCTCTTACAAAGGAGAATAGAGATAAGGAAAGTAGAAGAGAAAATGGTTGCATTTTTGTTTTTGGATTGCATACTAGTTCTGGAGTAAAGGAGGAGGATTTTTAGCCCTGTATTTATACATAAGCAAAGCAATACTGTACCTTCATCAAATTCAGAATTTCATTACACCTATTGTATGACATGTACGACAGTATTGATGTCGTAATTTTGTTGCACTACTATTCGTCCTTTACTCGTAAAGCTTATTGCCAATAAGCCGCACCATTACAATTCAATTGTTCAGTCATCACGGAAGGAATAAATGAAACGCAATAGTTTCTATTTATGGAAAGTATATATTAGACATTAGAGATTATTCGATTCGAAGAAGCCTTGATTTGTTTTTATAGCTCATTTTAGCCAAAAGGCTCAATCGATTGATACATGTTGATTTCCGTTGTATCATAATCTGCTGTGCTCGAAAATCTACGTGCATGTATACCAATTCTAACAACATAGTTATCGATGGCGTGTTCCTGATACATGGGGGTGGGGGGGAACAATGTGGTTAAAAAAACGCCGTGGGTCCCAGGATTTAGATTATTAAGGTATTCCTTATCTAAATTTTAGGTTTGCACTTTTTTCGCAAAATAACCGTTTCATCTATTTTAATGTAACATTAGGTTAGAGTTTTTACTCTGCCCAAGTTTATATATAATACTTCCAATGTACCCCGCTAGCCCCAGTTGTGACTAAAAATTCCTGTTTTATTTGAAAATACAATGAGGACAAAAGGAAGTCTTTTGAAGTCTTACAAGTATATGAAATACATATTTTATACTATTTAGTTCCTAAATAAGCTTTAAACTAGACAGTCTGGTGTAAATAGCTCATTTATGTATTCCACATCTAGGAAGCCTCCAAAATCACACTAATTACCTTTTATTTTACTTTTTTTTTTTTTTTACTTCATTCGATGTTTATTATCCTATAATAGTTCTATATAATTGTTGGGTATATTGGTTATATAACCTTCTCTTGTATATCCATTTCATAGTTGCCATATAAACTTTTTGGGCAGCAGGAAAACGTGTGAATATTGAAACCTCGCACAGTTCATTTCATAATTACTTAATTATTTGTTAATTTAAACAACGTAACCCAAGCTGTAATATCGCGAGAGGTGATCAGTAACGCTAATAAAGTCTGTCACCATTCTCGAAAGCATGTTTTCATCCATCATCATGTATTTATCATAAAAAAACGAGTTTTACACCATTTTCCCGTCATGTGATTCGTATTCAGTTTTTTCAACATCACGAAATGCCTTTATGGCCAAGTTGGTAAGGCACCTCACTAGTAATGAGGAGATCGTCAGTTCGAATCTGGCTGAAGGCATCATTTCTTTTTTTTTGTAGGATCAAACATAAATAATCCTGCTCATTTTTTTTGCTTAAATACTTACCAATGAAAGTTATTGGTAAAGTGTAGTCCTACTCGATTGAAAATACTCTTACATGCTTACGTATACTTCACTATTTTATCAATTAAATAATTTTAATGTTTTTCTGAATTCCTGTATGTAGTCACCCATTATGGGCTCTCTACAAAGTGTAAAAAATCATAGTTGTCACTGAAGATATAGGTCAAATGAGCCAACTCTTAAATCAAAATGGGAAAGGAAGAAGATGAATTAAATGAACTTTGGTCTGTATTGAAAGACGAAGTTAAGGATAAAAGACAAAAAATCCAGAATGAATACAGTCAAAGAAATGTTTCTGAGTTCCCAGATACATTGTCTATAACGACAGCCTTTGATGAAATCTTGCTGTGTTTCTCATTAGGGGGCCAATTCAAAAATTACTATAGATATGGATCGTACAGTTTATGTACACAGCAACGAGAAAAGTTCTGGTTTGCTATACAGAATGGTTCCTTCACTGATCTGAAACAAAATGAAGGTGATCTCGAAAAGAGAAAAAACATCCAGGAATTCTTTAAGAAGAGACTTCTTGAACAAAAGGCCATGGGAAGCTCTGAAGATGTGTGGGATGCTAGAACACAACTCTTGGATAGGCCGTTCCAAGAGTTTGACCGTAGAAATTAGAATAACGACAGAATAAGAAAAATGATTCTACACATGTAAATAGAGATGAATATATAATGCTTTGCTTATCTTTTGTACTATTTCTGATTAATGCCCGAGATCCCAGAAAGGGTGGTTTAAAGTAAAGTCATTGGTGATATCGTTGGTATTTCCTTCTTTTTTTAGGTGTTTGATTTTTCTTTTTCTTTTTCTCTGTCTCCTATCATTCCGTTTCTTTTCTACATGATAACGCACGACTTCTTTTCTGGTTCATTATCGTTGGCACCCTTTGGTTTGGCATTGAGGGCACATCTAGCAGCCTCAGAAAACGCTTCATTCACACCTCTATTCTTCTTGGCTGAACATTCCAAATATCTCAATGCACCAACCTTCTTGGCAACCGCCAATCCTTCGTCGTAACTGATGAGTCTCTTTTGTTGTTGATAAGGATTGGATGATCCACCAGCACCGCCTTGTGAGTATGGGTTGTATGACTCTTCCTCATGGGTTGGTTGGTCCAAGTCTGTATCTTCATTGCTACGTAAATCACATTTTAATGCCACCAACACCAATTTAACGCCATCACAATGATCAGCAATTTCTCCAGCCCATTTAGATTGGACGTTTTCTAACGAGTCGACCGAGTCTATAGAGAAACATAACATGATACAATGTGTGTCTGAGTAAGAAAGAGATCTTAACCGATCAAATTCTTCTTGACCAGCAGTATCCCACAATGATAACTGAACTGATTGACCATCAATGAAAATGTCATGAACATAGTTTTCAAACACTGTTGGCTCATACACTTGTGGGAAATATCCACGGGTGAAAACATTCAATAAAGATGTCTTACCACATGCACCATCACCTAGAATGACAATCTTACGCTGTACTAGATTCTGTTAGTAATTGTCAACATACAGTACATGTGGCTTCAAAGAACACATATACATTCAACGCTCTACACACTAATCTGGTGTGTCTGACCTGAATCATAATAAACTTACTCGTCTTGGGAGCTCCACCACAAAGAGGCATATTTTATATTAGAATTATTTATTAAACGTATGGAGTATATGTATCTCTTACCAAGATGTTATCTTTAAAAGTTTAAAAGAAAATAGTCAATGTAGGAGAAAGACGTGTGTTGTTCAAATGTGTACGGCTATGAGCAAAAAATTAATAATAACAACAACGAAAAATGTAATGTCAAACTAATTGAAAACAAAAAAAAAAACTACGCCACAGGCAAGTTGCAGATTCTTGTTTGTAACAAGGAGAATTTTTTTTTTTTTAGAAAGCTTTAGTATGGAAAATGTAAATAAAATGTAGTATGATAGGAATGTCTCTTTAAACAAATAATAAAATGAATTGTTATCAAAAAGAATCATCTACCAAGAATTAATAAAGTACAAAACTGATTTTATTTATTTATGCTTATCTAAATTTTATGACAATATATAACACCAATAGCGGGGTCTTCTATTTTACTCAAATCTAAGTACATTTCTTTGTTTTCCCGTATTTCTAATGACATAGAGATGTATTTTCCTTTATTTGTTTTCCTTTTGGCTTCTAGACTTCATTTTACTTTTCCTCTATTTATTGGTCAATCAAATCGTCAAGGTACATACTTGGAACCTTCTTCTTCCCAGCACGTCCAACTTCTGCTCTTCTTTGTGGACTACTTACTGGCACTGAGTAATCAGAATCATTCTGTTCCGAGTTCATATATAAACTTGGAATAGCTTGAGAATACCGGTTGGTAGCAGGACTTGGGTTATGTAAGTTGACTTGAGATCCTCCCACAAGTGAAACGTTGGTGACAGAACCACCGAAATTACTGGATCTAACTCTTTTATGGGTCATAACCTCGGCTGTAGGAGAAATAAACATTCTAGTCAAATCATGTTTAGATGTAGTTGTACCGGCTTCGGATTGATATATAGTAGAGGCATCTCCTGCTTGAGAACCGCCTCCAAAATCTCCTCCGAGTAAAGATGGTGCACCGCCAGTAACTGATCTGTTAGCCTTATGGTTGGATAATAACGGTAATTTGGCCACAGATGGCAGGTATTCAGTGTTCATGTTGAACGTTGTAGTGGCTGGAGTCAATCCATTTTCTGTAAACTTTTCATAATACTTACCACCATCCATACTGTTGGCAGTTTTCTTTGCCAAACGAGATGCTCGGAAAGACTTGATAAGATGGAACAGAATGAAAAGTAAAAGAATGGCACCGACGATTGCCCCCACAGCAATGAAAACAGTTCCAGCGGGGTTCGTCTCTCTCAAAATGTATGGGTTATTGTTATTGGGGGGTACACTAACGGCGGGTGTGGTGTAAGCATTTGGATCAGAAATCGTTGGCATTGCCTCGGTTGTTAATGTTGGTAAGGAGTCCTTTGTTTTGGTGGTCAATGAGGGTAACGTTTCGGCTCTCTTCTCCATAAGCCACTCATGGGCCCTAGCTCCAGCATCCATGTCTCTATACTCGTTCGTCACCGTGACAGTTTGAAAGGTAGTCATAGTTGGTAGTAGAACTAATATCCTCTGAAATGTACAGCCTCCTAAAATTTATTTTGTTTCCAGATCACTTCCCAAAATAGATCTCACACTAAAAGAATAACAAAAAAAAAATTGATAGAAAAAAAAATTAAAAAAAAGGGAAGCCTTCTATGAATACTGCTGCAGAAATATGTGCGTGAGTATGTGATTGAAGGTATCTCATTCAAAAGGATACAATCAAGATTTAAATTGAATATATAAATCTTACACTTGGTCAATATTGTACAGTATTATATTAGTTACCTTCTTTCTTAGGTGTATATATGTTGTCTATATCTTTCAAATTCCTCTCGTATCCAATCCCATACCATGACAGCATCGCAATCATCAGTGATTCTTGGTTTGTATGTAGGGAACTCGGCATTGAACTTTTTTGTGTCTTTTGCATCTTTAGAACAATATATTCTCGCTAAAGTATATTGTGCTATATTTGTCAAGGGGTAGCTTTCCCATGGTTTAGGGACTGGTGAGTCTGAGAAATGCAACAACTTTGTTTCAGAAAGAACCTTTTTCGCATCCCAACCATCATTATTCCTCCCATTAGTAAAGGGAAGTTCTTGAGCTTCTGCCAAGAATCGACCATGATACATTTCTTTGAACTCACCAGTAAGTACTCCATATTTATTATGTGGTAAAATGGCAACTTTAAGGGGATTTTCTATCTCTACTTCTGATTCTATCTGCTCTCTCAAACGATCATCAATGAACTTGTTAATGACCTCCATATCGTAGTCCTCTATTTCTATTAATCTTTCGGGATAAAGGGTTTTCCATTCTTCTGGAGAATAAACATACTTCCAGATCTCATGGAAAAGCTTCTTAGACGGATTAATTACCATGACATGACTAGCGAAAAAAGTTTTCCTATTATCAAATTTATGTTCAATAAAATTTATTCTTGTGGTGGAGTTATCACGAGATCTTGGTGGGGCTTTCAATTCTCCAGATGTGTACTTATTTAACCAATATGCCTGTGGTAATGCAATGTCTATATCTGGCAGGATTTCAAAAAGCTCGTCCATATTTCCTGGATGGTTGACCATTTGTTCAGTGTCAACATCCACAATCATCGAATCGGCATCAAAAAATACAACTCTATCAAAATTCCCTAGGTGGAATACGTGTAATTTTGTAAATGAAAGATGCCATCCACTGCCATATTCGATTTCTTCTGCCTTGAGTAAGGCCACTGGTTGGAGAAAAATCCCATTTTCCTCGGCCTTTGATGCAACAGTTTCGAAATCATGTGTACGTTTGAGAATTTCATCACTATACAACACAATCAAATTATGCACCTTTGAACCTGACCTACGAATGGCAATTAGATTGATAACTGCTAAAGTCAAATACTCTATATCGGTTGCATACTGAACATATGCATATTTAGAATAATCGTTTATCTCTCTAGTCGGTATATCATGAAGAACCTCTAAGTATTTTCCCAACTGTATTGTTGAAGATGATAACTCTGGTACAATCGTTGGACTTAAACGTGAAAAGTTGTTGATTACAAGATAAATTGCTATAAGTCCTGCGAGAAGATATTCCCAATTTCTGGGGATCCAATTCTTCATGCTTTGTTATTGTACAGAACAAAAAGAACTACTTTATTCTTTTTTCGGATCTCGGTTTCGTTATCTGGATAAAAAAAAAGGGTGCTATCTTAAAATCCAGCAAAAAGATATGCGCAAACCCGGAATCGAACCGGGGGCCCAACGATGGCAACGTTGGATTTTACCACTAAACCATTTGCGCAATGGAAATCTCCGCGACGGGGAATTGAACCCCGGTCTACCACGCGACAAGCGGTAATTCTAGCCACTAAACTATCACGGATTTTTGTTGAAGTTAAAATTTGCCACTTTCTGTAGCGAGATTACCATAAGAAAACGTCAAAATTTTTTTGACTGAATTTTATCCACTAAAACTAGTTGTTTTTGTAAATTTTAAACTATATCATTAATAATGGCACCTGTTAATTGCTAGTGATTTAATTTTTTAGTGGAATATTGAACAGTGAAAGAATTAGAGACTAGATACACTATTAAATAATTCGTTTGATTGTTTTTCCAGTCTTATGTGGTGATATATGGGCTTAACTGGTGCTATAGATGTATTAGTTTCTGTCTAAGTATTACTATTATAAGTAACTTGTCTATTAAAGGCTAATAACAATACCTATTTGCAAGTTCTTTATTTATTAATTATAATATCATCCTTGAAATATTTGGAAATTCATAAAAATACAAACAAGTATTGACTTTGGATTAAATTCTGAAATAATATTGTAAACACTCCGATATGGTATATCCTCTTCTATTACAACTATATTCAACCCGCTAACAGTGTGGAACATAATGGTTGCAAACTTCTTACTTTTGGAACATTTTACATTTATGCAGTACGGGTCAAATCGGTGGTCTCAGTTCTCGACCACGCGGAACAATCATAAAAACAGATTCCAAAATTTCATCAAAAGGCCCTCTATCTTCAAAAGTAATCAGGAAAAATACAGGAAAATGCTGATACCTGATAATCTGGCGATTTATACCTACTTTCTGGATGAAGTAGTGTCTAATTTTGAAGGGCAAGGAATTGAAAATTTGGTTCAATTACTTCAAACTCCTGGTCAATCAAAGAATGCTCGTGAAGACCTCACAGCGTTAGTGTTTACCGAATTACTCTTTGTCTATGAAGAATCTAGAATCACCCTCGACTCTATATTACAGTTTCTTAGCATGGTTATAAAAGATGAAACAACTGCTGAGATCTTTTGTCAAGTATTGGATGTATTACCAATGACTACCCCCTTGGAATCACTCTTGGTTGAATTATTTACACGTCAAAATATCATTAAGTTATCCACCATTGGTAAATTTATTAGTTCAGAAACTTTAGCCCTGAACCTGTTGAATATCTTACCAGGATCTTCGCTCACGAGACTGTTGAATATCAGCAAGAGAGATGCATTCTATACCCAGAAAAAGTATAACTTGCTTCATGAAGTAAGTGAAGGATATGCCAAGTTGGTTGTAGAATTATTCAACATCTTGAGAAGTGAAGAAGGTAGCAAGTACCAAGTGGCATACGCATTACAGATGTGCCATCTGTTAATTGGACACTATAACTTGGACCCAAATCGAGTTCTTGATTTGGTATTGGAATGCTTTGCTAATCAATTGGTAGGGAACCACGAATTTGTGTTGGAATTCTTGCGCAAATCCCCTTGGTGGCCTGCTACAGAACTGGATTCTTCCGATATAAGTACACTTTCTAATGGAGGTAATGAAACTGCCGCAAAATTGTTGGGATTACGTCTTTTAAAGAGTCTGTCTGACGAAAATTTGCCTGAATCTTTTAGAATTTTGGTTGCATGTTTGATTAAAGAAGGTTTTATTAGTTTTGGACAAATTTACAACTACTTTGCGGATGAAGAAACAATGAAAGATTTGGAATCTCTTTATAAAAAGGATTTGGATGAGAAAGTCTTTAAGGCAAGTGCAAGTGCCTTGGCATTAGCTGCACCATTATTGGACGAGGAAGAGGACGACAATTCCAAGACATCAAGTAATGGCAATAAGTCAACCACTTCATCTTCCTCCAACAATAGTGCCAAACCTGTTACTTTTGAAGAGAAACTTGAACAAAATGTTCAATATCAATTCTTACGAGTATTTTTAAGCAATGGGGTATATTGGCCATCCATTTATATTCTCACTAAATATCCATTTCTTGCACAAGCTGGTGATGAAATCCCTAAACTTATGAATAGATTAATTGATGCTGTGATTTCGCCTCTTTACAATGATGTTAAATCGCTGCAAATTGACCCTTCAATTTCTGCTACTAGAAGTACACCTTTTTCCCGTCCATATAATACGTTAACATATGAAGATGTTAAAATTCCTGAGTATTATTCATATATGGCTACAACTAAAAGTACAGGTTTGAAACGGTTCCATTATTTCTATACCGAATGGCGTGGGAAATTGCCAACAGTTAATACACCCGATGATCTTTTTGCGTTTGCAAAGCAATTCATTCGGTTCTGTCCTGGAAATTTGGCTAAAAGTGTCGACATTTTCACCAAAGTGTGTGAGATTGTTTCTCATATCATACTGACTGGAGATGAAGATAGTAAGCCAACTTGGCTTATGTTTTTCCGTAACTTTATCTACCCAGCAGTTCCTCTTATCGAAGAAAACTCATTTGCAGTAGATAAGGCATTTGTCATTTTATCTCATTTCTCAGTGGAAGACAGGTTCAATTTATATGGTGAAATGCATAACGTCTTGGCCAAGAATAACCCATATATTAAAATCGTTAGCGGTAAAGCAGAGAGAGCCACGAAAGATGTGTTGAAAAGACTTTCCAAAGAAAATGTTAGACCAATGATGAGACGTCTAGCAAAGATTAGTTTTTCTAATCCATTACCATGTTTTTTAACGATTTTGCAACAAATTGAGAGTTATGATAACTTGAATACTTTAGTTGTGGAGACTGCTCGATACTTTAACGATTATGGTTGGGATGTACTCACCCTTGCTATTCTCATGCGACTTACAGCCTCTGGTCGTTCAGTATTCCAACAAGATGGTCTCAATGACCGTCAATGGATTCAATCTTTATCTTCTTTCATAGGGAAAATTTGTCAAAGATATCCCAACTCGATTAATTTGAAAGTTTTAATCACATTTCTACTCAAATCTTTCCACTCTCAAGAAACTATTGCGCTTAATGTTATTAGAGAAATATTCATTTGTATGGGAGGAATCCAACCTATCACTAACTTAACGTTGCACCAAATCGATATGATCAATTGCGGGAACTCTCTTCAAAAATTTGTTTACCGTACCATTGATGATGTGAGATTTGAACGAACTAGATCAGGACAGGTATTGGTAAAGACCTTATACGAGTTGGATGCTGTTAATGAATTGTTGGTCTTATTGTGTCAATTGGGAGAAGCGGTAGTCTATGCTGATGATCAAGCAGAGCCTCATTTGAAAGTTTTGGCCAATCGTAGCGACGATGTGAATACAGTATTACATTTATTTACTGAAGTAGTTGGTGTTTTTGGCTCTAAGTCACAAAAGTTGGTTCCAGTTTCAGACCTTAGTTTGAAGTATCAAGTTCCACCAGAATGGGCTTTTGAATTATGGAGAACTCGTGGAAATGGGAACTTAGAAAATATAGATATTTCCCTGGTTATTGGAGAAGACACTAAGTTGGCTTTGTCAGACGGATTGTACAGAACGTTCTGGGAACTCTCTCTTCATGATATCAATTATTCAAAAGATCTTTATGAATCTGAATTGGCTAAATTGAAAGCAAGTATCTCAAGTCTTAAGGATAGCATAGCTGTTAACTCACGAAACAAAGACGTCCCTAAATCATTTATCGAAAAGCTTGAACGTGATAAGGTACAAAACGAACAATTTGTTAAAGATATTCCTCAAGAAGAATCCGAGCACTTTGAACATACAAAAGCGATCAGAGAAAAGCTTTCCAAGGATTGTTTGACTTGGATTACACTGGGAGATGAAGTCTTACAAAGTCAACAATTTTTACAGTACTGTATCTTACCTCGTGCAATTCATTCTTCGTTTGATGCGGCATACAGTGCAAAGTTTCTCTTTGAAGTTCTTGAATTAAGAACTCCTAACTTCGATATCATTACTGTTTTGAAAGAACTCATAAATTCTAGAATTCTTTTCGGAACTTTATTTACCTTAACTCCTATTGAAGCCGAGAATTTGGGATTGTTCTTTGCTGGAGTCTTGAATAAATTGAATGATTGGACTAATAAAGATAATTTCAACTTGACATCGATTTCATTTGATGATTTTAGAAAGACATTATATGGATTCCATGAGAGTATTTTGAATGATCTCAGCTCTTTATTGACAACCAAAGAATACATGTCTCGTCGTAATGCAATCACATTTTTGAAAAACTTACTCGGAGTCTATCCTACAGTTGAAGATCATTGTGAAAGAATCTTACAACTTATTGAAAATATTGCACACAATGACGAAAGAGGTGATTTGAAATTATCTTCAAGTGCATTAATTGGTCACGTTAAATCAAGGGCTAAGGAATGGATCCATCCTTGGGATTTTGTTGAATTTTCTGAAGAAGAAAAGACTTCTCTTAAACAGAAGAGAGATGCCCTTCTTACTAAAAGGGCCAATGTTGAAATGAAGAAAAAGAGGGAAATAGAAGCAAAAAGAAGAAAGGAAGAAGAAGAAAGAAAACAAAAGGCTGAAGAGAAGCGAAAGATTGAATTAGAATTGCGGGTCAAGGAAGAAGAAAGATTGGCACAAGAAAAGAGAGCCGCTGCACTTAGTTATGATGAGTCTTCATCTCTGAATGCCAGAAAGAATGCTAGAGGTGGTAGTGAAACTAGTTCAAGGGGTGGGAGATATGACTATTATTCCAAGTTTGGACTGGAAAAGAGTAGTCAAGAAAATCCCGAGGTATCCAAGGCTGAAACAAAGGAAGTGGTCGATGCAAAGGCTTCAGCTAAGGATGTTAAAGATGATAAAAGTAATGATGTCAAGGATGTCAAGGATGAGGATGTGAAGAATGTCAAAGATCTGGTTGAAACAACAAAATCGAATGATTTAAAGAGCAAACTTCGTGAAGCCAAAATGGAGTATCGTGCTAAATCTAGGGAAGGGACTCCACATGGCCCATCTACCACAGCAAAACCTTTACCTCCACCTGTTAATCCACCTTCCGCTCCACGTGGTCCACCTTCTGCAAGAAGGGAAAGCCTTCCACCGGTAGCTGCCCCTCCAAAGAGAAATGATGATTACAAGCAACCATATACACCAAAAGCTAGAGCACCTTTACCTCCCCAAGAAGTCCCAAACGATAAGATTAGAAATTCAAGAAGCCAAGATTCTCATAGAAGAAATGATGGTCGCAGTAACAGTTATGGTGATAGTGGTTCAAGTAGTAGATATGGCCAAAGAGGAGGTTATAATTCAGGTTCAACGTCACAATCTTCTAGTGGAAGACCACTGCAATCTTCTAGTGTAAGACCACTGCAATCGACTGCTGGAAGATCAGTTCCGCAATCTTCAAGATTTAGTGTAAATGGTGGAAATCTGGCACTTCCTCCACCACCACCGCCTCCGAGATCACTCATGCAACTGCAAATTGGTCGTTCATATAATCGTGATGGTCGTGACAACCGTGACAGTCGTGACAATCGTGACAGTCGAGACACGCGAAATGATCGCTACAACGATTCAAGAAACGCTGACTACGGGAGACAAAATAAACGCCCTAGACGTTAGGTTATATCTAAAATTCAACAGTTTTATGTATTAATTATTCTATAAATTATGTAGCCTATGCCAAGAGCAGTCCTTCCTGTGCCTTTTTCATTTCCTCATCGATGAGATTGTTAAATTCATCGTCATCATCGTCATAATCATTATCCTCTTTCCGTCGTTTTGCACTCGCAGATATATCCACAATTTGTCTTTTCCTTGTCCCCTGCGATTCTTCTGTCTCCAATGATTGCAAGAAAGATTCGATCTTTTGCATATGTGCTTCATGCCAAGCGAGATGTCTTTGTAAATCGTATTGACGTGAAAACTTTCTATCGCAATTCTTCTTCGGACAAGAAATCTTCTTTGCATCGAAATTCTTCAGAATGAGATCAATAATTGAAGATTTCCCTGATTGTAGGGTCGAATTAAGTGAATCAATAGATTTTTGCGATCCCTTCATATCATTGGACATTTGATCCGCATTATCTTCATCCTCATCCTCCTCATCTGAAGCAACCACCACAAATCCGTTAAGCTCTGCAAGGGTAACTGGGTTTGTATTGGGATCTGTACTTTCCAGAAGAAGCGTAGCCAAGTGTTCCTTTGCAGCTGGTTTCAATAATTCCTCAGGAACATTTCCATCGTGGAACGTATTATAATGTTCAATAAGATCCAGCTTTTTCACAAATTGACCCACGTCACAATAGGTACAATTCCAGAGTTTAACCATTTTCTCTTCATCGTGGATTTGCATATGTGACTTGAGACCTTTTCTACCTACACAACCCTTGTCACAGATTGGACATTTGAGTTTTGGATGTTCTGTTTTGATATGAAGTTGTAAAGCAGACCAAGTTTTGAAGTTCCCAAAGCAACCATGGTGATCACATTGGTAAACGGGAGTTTCCGAATGGAACTTCAAATTATGTTGTGCAAGTCGATTAGGTCTACTAAACGTCTTGTTACAGATTTTACAGGAAAGAGACCTTTCATGTACTGACAATATGTGGTGTCTAAGAGACTGATGTTTATAGAAGGACTCATTACATCCTTCTACTGTACAACTGAACGATTTTGTATGGGTAATTTCATGTCTCTTAAGATGCTGCTTAGAATTCACTCCCTTCCCACAAACACTACATGTGAACGGTTTTGATTCTTCAGATTGGTGGGATAACTCGTGTGCTTGTAAATGAGATTTCCGGAAGAATGACTTCTCACAACCCTCATGTGGACATTTAAAAGGCCTTTCATTAGAATGAGTTCTTTGATGTTGCGCTAAAAGAGATGGCTTCGCATACAGTTTGCCACAAACGTCACAGATATGGACCTTTGGAGCTGACGATGCAGTCGTGGTACGCGACGATACCGAAGAAACGGATCCAGTTCCCATATATATTATATATTGAGTAGCTTCTCCTGCTAAATAAGTTGGTACTATTTGTAGATTGATTGTATCTTCCCATTAAATTTATATGTATATCTATACTTTTTTTGTATTTTTTTTTTTTTTTATATTTATATTTTGCCTTCGCGTTTTAAAGAATCGTGCACATACGCGATAGATTGTTGTAGATGAACTAGAATACATCTTTTTCACTAGAACAATAGTTAAAGTGTTGAGTACAACTTCTAATGTCGATTGGGTGAATGATTCGACACTTGAGGTAGTGCATATTTCTTGGGACCGTTCAAGAAAGGGGGGCTCGGAATTGTGTGCCATCTATGCAGCAACCGATAACGTTTGCAGCCAACATTAGACGTTCTTCTCTACAGTTGAGAGTGAACTCTTATCTAAAGAAGTAATTACTTGTCCTACTCAATTGAATAGAAGTATGGTGGCATTCTCTATCACCATGTACAACGGGAATTTAATATCAAACAATTGGTGCAGCGAACTCGCATTAGAACAATGATATGAAGAGTTTAGTTCGTCAAAGAGGAGGAGACACACAGGCTCAATATGGACTATTGCCAGCAAAATTCATGTAGTGATGTCTATACTACTCTTTTCACTAGGCAATGAAATAGAAATTCCACATCTGAGCTGTTTGCCTATGGAAGTTCCTTGTTTTTTATAACGGCGATTTAGTGGCCACACACTATGTATCAAGGCTGATGTTAGACTCAAAGACATTAGTTTTCTAAGTGATAGTCACTAAATGATAGACAATTTAATTTCATTACAAAAGTTTATTTTTATTATTAAAATATAATTACTGCAATTGCTGCAAAATCATCTTAAATATGTAAAGAATACACTTTTTAGAGGGCTATAATGCCTTTTTCATTTCAGCAGCAGTGTTCCATTAATTATAATCATCAGAGACGTTATTTAGTCACTCAAACGTCTTTCCGAAACGTTTTACTGGACAACATTAACCGATGACCTCATTTCGAATATTTATTCACTTTAACTTTAAATATTTTTCCCCCCTCTAAACATATTAAGAGAAACCTATACTATCAAGGAAAGATAATACCCATATCAAAATCATAATTGAAAGATTAGGAGAATCTTTATTGAATGAAATTAAGAACTTATTCCAAAAATAGTTCTTAAGTATCAAATTTTGTATGGGTGTTCGGATGTAGCAGAAATAAGAGAAACAAAGTCTATTAAAGTGAGCGAAAATTATTGTCAAGCTTCGTTCCTCATGGCCCAATGGTCAAGGCGTCTGGCTACGATTTACGTAACCACTTCCGGTTGGAACCAGAAGATTCCAGGTTCGACTCCTGGTGGGGAAGCTTTTTTTTACAATTTTTTTAAATTGAATTTTTATAGCAATCGTACCATAAAAATAAGAAATGCGTCCAGGCCGCACGAAATCTATAGGTGTGGGGTTGTTATGCTGGAGAACACTAAGTTGCATAATCAAATAAAGTCTTAAGCTTTTTGAGGAAGAAGGAAAAGCCCACAAGGGAATGAGAAATTTCATTGCCACAAATCTTTATCAGTTTACTGTGTGATATTTCCCCACCAATTGATAGATAAATGAAATACCTGTTCAATCTGGAGAAGAAATACCCCCACACCAATCATGCGCATTGAACCGCCTTCGTAAAATTTGTCCCCAGAGAAACAGGAGTATTTTTTTTCTCTCCTTCAGGCCACCACTAATTAGTAATTATGAGTTTATGCTTGCGCAGATTCTGAGGGGTTGGGATTGTTCGGAACAATTTATTTTTTCATTTGTGTTAGACTCTACATACATATATATAAATCTTATAAATAGCGAGTAGGAAAAGTAAATCCTTTTCCTAAGTCGTAATTCATAATATATCACGCATCACCATGTCATTCCCGCCACGTTCAGTTCTCCTTAGATTATCCAATACAGGGAGTCCACTCAATGCCGAGGCTGTACAAAATGGTGTTCTAATTCTTCCATCAGTTGCGCTCCCAAAAGGGTACAAGTCTGGAGACCCGTTATTCCACCTTCATTTCCAATTGAATGCTGCATCTCCTGTCACTGTCAATGCCTCTTTCTACACAAATGCACCTGAATCTGGGGCTTCGTTCAAGCGTTCTCAGTTTCAAAAACATGCTATTGATTCCTCATTTGACCGTGATACTGTTATATCTGTTCCTATCTACAGCCCTGGATCCTACTGTTATTATATTGAATATGAAGATGATAAGGCTACTTCTCACTACTACTTCAATGTTCCTCCCAATCTTGCAATTGACGGTACTTATCTTCCCTTCAATAACATTAATATCCAATCAGTTGTTTCCAAATGGATTGGTGATCTCCCGCTGTGGGATCCATTATTTACTGAAGTGTCCAGAAAGGGTTACAATATGATTCATTTTACCCCTCTTCAAGAAAGAGGTGTATCTAATTCTCCTTATTCCATCTTTGATCAACTCAAATTTGATCCTGAACTCTTCAAGAGCAATGAACATGCCACGGAATTTATTCATGAAGTTTTAGGCAACCACAATCTTTTATCCTTGACCGATGTTGTTTGGAATCATACTGCTGACAACTCTGAATGGCTCAGAGATCATCCAGACGCAGGTTATAATGTTGAAACTGCTCCACATCTTCGTGCTGCTATAGAATTAGATGCAAAGCTTCTTGAATATTCTTCTAAATTGGAAGAATTAGGGTTTCCAACTGAAATCAAATCCCTTGAAGACTTAAATGTTATCATTTCAGGATTATCAGAACATGTAATTGATCCACTTGAGTTGTGGCAATTTTATGTTTTCGATAAAACTTCAATTATTCGGGAAATGAAGCAAGTATATGAAGACCTGTCAAGCAAAATTAACCCTATTGAAATCCCTCTGGATGTTGATATCTCCAACATTGAACAAGTTGCTCAGTATTCTCTCAAGGTTAGTAATGAAGAAAGAGAAATCGTTCTTTTGGATAGATTTAGTAACAAGTTGAATGCTCAAAAGTTTATTGAGGTGGTTGTTTCTTTACTTCATAATGAAACTGTCAACGATTTTTCCGCCATTGAAAAGAAAGCTGGTACCATTATTGATGAGATTAATGTTAATTTGTATAAGGCTTATGATGATGACATCAAAACTATCAAGTCTCAAGTATTCGATCGAGTTAAATTCCAAAGACTCGATGATAATGGAGAAAAGATGGGTCCTATCACCAAAAGTAAACCACTCACTGATCCATACTTCACCCGGTTTGAAGGAAATCAGGACAAGAAGTCTTGGGCTCTTGCCAATAATGGATGGATTTGGGGTGGGAACCCATTAGTCGATTTTGCTTCTTCCAAATCTAAGGCATATCTCCGCAGAGAGGTTATTATCTGGGGGGATTGTGTGAAATTGAGATATGGAGAAAATGAGGAAGACTCACCTTACTTGTGGAAACGAATGATTGATTATACCAAGTTATGTGCCAAAGTATTCAATGGATTCCGGATTGACAACTGTCATTCTACTCCACTTCACGTTGGTGAACGTCTTTTAGATGAGGCTAGACTAGTAAATCCAAATCTTTACGTTGTAGCGGAATTATTCAGTGGATCTGAAGCTATGGATAAGATTTTCGTTGAAAGACTTGGAATCAATTCTCTTATCCGTGAAGCTATGCAAGCATGGAGTGTTTCTGAATTGTCCACATTGGTACATAAACATGGTGGAAGACCCTTAGGCTCTTTAACTTGGATGCCCTTGGATGATTTCGCATACCCAGCAGACAAAGAAGTAGAATCATCAACAGATCCAGATTCTTTTGGTACTGCTACTGAAATGGAAATTCCTAAAAATTTGGCATCTCAGGCTCCACATGCATTGTTTATGGATTGTACCCATGATAACGAGGTTCCTGCCCAAAAGAGAACTGTCGAAGACACTTTACCTAATGCCGCATTAGTAGCATTCTGCTCTGCTGCAATTGGTTCAGTGTTAGGATATGATGAATGTTACCCAGAATTACTCAACGTAGTTCACGAAACTAGGAAATATACATATGGTGACAATGGAATTGGTGCTATAAAGAAACGCCTTCATGCTATTAGAAAGGAATTAGCCGAGGAGAGTGTCGATGCAGTGCAAGACAATGAAATGTACATTCACCATGAAGGTCAATATATCACTATTCAAAGACACAATTCCAGAACTGGTAAAGGTTGGTTTTTGATTGCCAGAACCAAGTTTAGCAATAATTACGATGCTCAAACGTTGACACCTCCAGTATTGGGTGGCACTCATGTTAAGGGTGAATTTGCGTACACTTTGAAAAGAACTGGTGATAGCGAAAAGAATGAGAAGTACTTGACTGGTATTCCAGTAGAAGCAGACGAAATCGCCATCCCAAGCATTGAATTCACTGACAACGAAAGCCGTATTCATGTAGATGAAGCAAAATTTGTTCCAGGTTCTATTGCAGTGTTTTCCACTACTATCCCACACGTTGATTTGTCATTGGATCTGTTAATTAAGAATGGTGCCGTTAAGGCATCATGTGGATTAGATTTCTACGACTTGAATGCAATCTTGTACAAGTGTGAATCTGAAGAACGTGATGCAAGCCACGGTTCTGAAGGAACGTACGAAATACCAAGATATGGGAAACTTACATTTGCAGGTCTTGAAGGATGGATTGTTGTCTTGAAGAAGGTTATTTGGGAAAATAATTTGGGCCATGCAATTTGTGACCATTTACGTGAAGGTGAATGGGCATTTGATTATGTTGTAAATCGTTTGGATAAATATGCAAAGAATTCTAAGGGAGTTGCTGAATTTCAAGGGTGGCTTCGTGACAGAATAGATTCTATCCGTGCTATTCCTTACTTTTTACGTCCACATTACTTTGCATTAGTAGTTGGGATTGCCTATGAAGCTTGTCGCTTTAGAGCATTGAGACTCATGGATCCTAAAATTCAAACAGCAACCAACTTTGTTCAACGTTTGGCTCTTACCTCAGTTCAAATGGTGGGAAATATGAATAATACATCTTTGAAGGCCACAGAACAAGTTCCTTGCATTGCAGCAGGATTGCCTCATTTCAGTAATGATTATATGAGATGTTGGGGAAGAGATGTTTTCATTTCTTTCCGTGGATTGTTCTTGGTCACAGGAAGAGACGAAGATGCCAAACAACATATCTTAGGCTTTGCCCAAACGTTGAAACATGGTCTTATTCCAAACTTGTTGGACGCTGGACGTAATCCTAGATACAATGCTAGAGATGCTGCATGGTTCTTTGCTCAAGCGGTTCAAGAGTATGTGGTCAACGTTTCTAATGGGATTGACATTTTAGAAGAGAAGGTCACCAGAAGATTCCCATTAGATGATACATACATCCCATACGATGATGAAAGGGCATTTAGTTATGAAACTTCAATTGGAGACATACTTTACGAAATCCTTCTGCGTCATGCAAAAGGTATTAAATACCGCGAAGCAAATGCTGGACCTAATTTGGACTCTCAGATGACTGATGAAGGGTTCAATGTTGAAGTAAATATTGACTGGGAAACCGGTTTAGTCCATGGTGGATCCCAATTCAACTGTGGAACTTGGATGGATAAAATGGGAGAAAGTGAAAAGGCAAAGTCTAAGGGAGTTCCCGGAACACCTAGAGATGGAGCTGCTGTGGAATTACAAGGGCTCTTGAAGAGTACTTTGAGATTTGTTAATGAATTGAACGCCAAGGGAAAATTCCCTTATACTGAAGTTGAAAAGAATGATGGATCCAAGATTTCGTTGAAGGATTGGGAACAACTTGTGCAAGACAACTTTGAAAAATGTTTCCATGTTCCTGAAGATCCACTGGAAGATGGAGATTTTAAAGTTGATCCCTCTATTGTAAACAGAAGAGGAATTTATAAGGATTTATACCTTTCCGGCAAACCATATGAAGATTATCAATTGAGACCAAATTTTGCAATTGCAATGAGAGTTGCACCCGAGCTATTCCTGCCCGAAAGAGCACTTGCAGCCTTGAATCTTGCAGACAAGGTAATTCGTGGACCTCTTGGTATGAGAACGCTTGATCCCTCGGACTATAATTATCACCCTTATTACCGCAACAGTGAAGACAGCACGGACTTTGCTACATCTAAGGGCCGGAACTACCATCAAGGACCAGAATGGGTATGGTGTATTGGATATTTTTTCAGAGCATACTTGTATTTCACACATTTACAAGAAAAGAAGAATGGAACCCAGGGCCCATCTCAAGAAGTGTTACGTTCTCTTAACGAAAGATTACAACCCCACATCAACTGGATCAAGGAATCACCTTGGTCCGGCTTGACCGAGTTAACTAACAAGGATGCAGAGTATTGTGACGACTCTAGTCCAACACAAGCATGGAGTACATCTTGTTTGCTTGATTTGTACTACGACTTGTGGACCGATGAACATTATCAGTAGATAGATAGAAAATTAGAATAGAAAAGTATAAGATGAAATAAAAAAAAACATAAATAAATTGGATGATTATAGTATGAAACAAATAGAAACAGGAAGGGAGGATGTAGATATTGATAGCGAACTATGCAAAGGATCCAAAATCAAACTGTGGTATGTGTATCATCAACAGATTTCGCACCCATGTTATATGCAGAAATTTACACATTTCGAGGTTTTTTTCTTTCGACATTGTGACAAACAAAAACAGCAAGCGCGCGAAGTTTTAAAACAAAGCTTAAAAAGTTCCTTGTCTTTATATAATTGGGGGTGATACACTGCACATCAATCACCAACACACTCACCAATCGACGCACCAGAACACTATCGTTGAGACGCTTGCATAAAGTATAATCACCCACATACGACGGCAACCACCACCATCACCACCACATTGATTACTTCACATCCGTCCTTTTGTAACTCTCCATGTCCAGCACCAGATCCCAACAAATTGTAACTTTGGCCAATTTCGTTCTGCTTAACAACACGTCAACCTCCGTTAACAAGAAACCCATCATCTGGAAAGACTTTGGTGTATATCTCGACAAAAAACTCGACTCGCATAAGACGCGCGATCGTTCTTCCATTAGCGTTGGATCTTCAGACTCTTCGCTCTTGTCACAGGTGACCAACTACAAGGTCTGTACATCTTGCCAAAGACCGATTGGCGCACAAAGCTTGGAGACTCACTACAACAGGTGCATTGAGATGAAGCAGAAAAGGGAAGCAAACTCAGCCACTGCATCTGGAGGTGCCTCCACAATTAAGAGGAAAAGAGGTAGAGGTGGGGCATTGTTGGATGAACAATCCAGTGTAGAATCATCTCGTAATACCACCCCATTACCCGGTACACCTGCAGGCGATGCTGCAGCTGGCTCAACAACAAGTGCTGCTGCCGCTGCCAATGCAGTAACTGGCACTACATCTACGGGGAGACCTAAGAAGAAATATAAGAAGAGTAAGACACAAAAGGAGAAGGAAGCAGCTAACGCTGCGGCCGCAGCAGCTGCCGCAGCAGCAGCAGCAGCAGCATCGCTCAATGGTACACCAGCAGCAGATTCTATCCCGTCGTCCTCAGCAGGATCTGGGGCCGCGAAGAAAAATAAATTGGCTAAAGTGAAAGCACTGGCGAAGCCAAAGGGACCTGTAGATGTCGAAAAACAATGTGGTGTTCCATTACCATCTGGCGGGTTCTGTGCTCGTTCCTTGACATGTAAGACTCATTCCATGGGGGCTAAAAGAGCAGTCTTGGGTAGAAGTGCACCGTATGATGTATTACTTCAACAATATCAAAAAAGGAACCAGGCAAAGATGGCTGCTAGTAATGCCTTGGCAGCTCAAAGACGAGAAAATGCCGCATTTACAGGAGTTGGAGATTCACGAGATGATTATCTGGATAGTTTGAATGCAGCAGCATTGAATAAAGTATTGGATCCAGATGAAGAAACACATTTGGTATTGGAAGGATTATCAAAGAATCATCCAGCTCCATTGGAAAGGAAAGTGATCACCCCTGTCAGAAATAGACATCGATTCTTGTACATGCGAGAAGCATATGCCAATGCATTAATTACTTCCGGTAATGTTGGTGGAACCAATGCTGCACTGCAAAATGACCAAACACTTGCTAATCAAGCTATCTCAGGATCCATTGGAGGACTTCAAGGTCGGTGTACATTAGTCAGTGTTGACCATTCACTTGGATTTGGTGATACATCAACTCCATATTCTACGCAAAGCATGGCTTCAATTTCTGGAGAAATGTATCAAGTGAGAGCTCCGCTGAAGGCCATTTTAATGACCTCTCAATATAATACGATGCAGCAACAGCTTTTCCAACAACAGGTTGTCAAACATCAGCAGCAATTGATGTTATTGAAACAACGCCAACAGCAACAGCAACAACAGCAACAACAACAACAACAAGTGCAGGCTCAACAACAAGCCCAGGCGCAACAAATGCAGACCCTGCAACGATAACTTAGCTACACTAAAATATGAGAAGGAAGAGAGAAAAAGAGAAAGAGAATGCAACTGTGGATCAATTGTACTAAACCTCTAATCCCTTTATTTATATACATATACAATTTTCCTTTGGCCCTTTATGTAAAGTTATTTGTAAAGATAGCCAGAAATATATGATCCTCACTAAGACTTGTAACCATGGTATTGTACCGGAGATAAGGCAGCGTATTCCGAGAGAAAAAAAAGGCTAGATTTCTGTTTGTAGCGTTGGTATTTGTTAGTAGCGTTGGTACCTTGTATCAACAATAGAACTGCATAAATAATAGAACCACATTCAAGCTATACGAGCTGAACATAACTTTTGCAGGAAAAAAATAAATTAATGCAAATCTGTGTAGCGCCCAGAAATGTTGGATTATAAATTCTGATGCCGAGAAATATACCAATGCAACAATGTAACATTTGAGAAAAGTTGAGATAAAGAAGAGGCGGTGTTGTGTTAAATGTGGGGAGAGTAAAATTGTAGCTCAAAGTCCGATAAACCGCAAACGAAATACAACTACAAGATTAACGTTCATCTATTAAGTACTATGGCAAAATAGAATGATTATCTCTCTTCTTTATATTTTCTAAATATATACATTAAAAGAACTCAACACTGATGAACTGTAATATTACCCGTAATACTCTTATTCATTCACTGAAGATGGCCAATACTTCATATTTTTTTGGATCCATGGATGATTTGGAATATCATTTAATTGGAATCTCTTTTTAGGATTATGTTGAAGTAATATCTGAATTAAATCAGCCGCTTCTACGCTAACAAAACTTGGAATCTTTAGATCAACTTTTGCAATTCTCTTATAAGTTGCATTTTTATCAATTTCTTCAAATGGTGGTTTACCCACAAGAAGTTCAAAACATAAGACTCCAAGAGCCCAAATATCTACTCCAACGTCGTGATCTTTTGATTCAATCATTTCTGGTGGGAGATAATCTAAAGTACCGCACATGGTGAGTCTTCTTTGAGATGTTCCAGGACTATGGCGAACAGACCAACCAAAATCACTGATTTTAATGGTATTATTAAAACTTAATAAAATATTTTCTGGTTTAATATCTCTATGAATGATATGTTTCAGGTGTAAATAAGATAATCCTTGTGCCATTTGATAAATATAATGAGATGCAGTCACATCATTGAACCTTCTTTGAGTTTTCAAATGTTGATACAATTCTCCATATATGGCATATTCAAGAATTAAATAAACATTTTCTGAATCATAAAAATATCCATATAATCGAGATATCAGTTTATGTCTTAATTGGGATTGAATCTCAACTTCTCTTCTAAAATTTTTTTCAATTTTAAAGTCAATTATATCCTTTTTAGACATAACTTTAAGTGCACATACAAATCCAGTATTCTTTTCTCTTGCACAATAAACTTTACCTAATTTACCCTTTCCCAAGGTTTTCCCAATTTCAAAATCAGAAAGGGAATAATTTTTAGATGAGATTCCCTTCAATGGGTTATATACAGAAGTGGATAATGAAGACGTTAAATGAGGAGGTGTTGTAGATGAATTTGTTGAAGAATGTGTAGATGATGAACTACTTTGACGCGTGTTTTCACCAGTAGCAGATTTTTTCTTTTTGTATATCGATGCGGATGTTGTGGACTTCCTAGATGGAAGAAGACTTATTCTTTTCACTTCTATTCTAGTTGGGGGACGTTTACTTGTTTGTCTTCTTGTAGGCAGATCAATGGAGGTAGAAAGTGTATTGGTGGAAGCTGATGTTGCCAGTTTATACGATGTTATCGCAGTGTTCAAACTATTTATTTGAAGTCTCGAAAGAGGGTTTCTCAGCGGCTGTGTCGTGAAGTTGTGCGGAGGAGGTGGCGGTGGTGGACGGGTTGATGTAGCAGATGCCTTGTAAGTATTAGCAGCAGTACCACCACTGATCGATATCCCGCCTCCATTTTTAGAAGTTGATCCTTCCAACGTTTCTGAAAGACTCAGAATCCTGCTCTCAATACTACGGAGTTGATTGGATGTAGCATATGTCATTTAAGGGTAGATGAGATGGGATATCTGAGTGCTTGATGTGTCTATTGAGTGTTTATTTCTTTAAAAATGGGTCTGTTTTTGCGGTAAAAATTCCTTTTGTTTGTTTGTTGTCGTGGTGTACGGGTTTTGGTGTGCAGATAGGAAAAGGCACTCTAGAACTGAGTGTCTTTTAGTATAGGCACAAGACAGCAAAAATAAGAGGAATGTATATAGAGAAGGTGATAGGGGAATACCTTCAAGGAGGTGATGGAAACTTTGTTCTGTTCTGGATTGATGGTATATTGTTATTTGTAAGAATAAATTGGATAATTTTGGTATTGGTACATCCATTTTCCTGTACACAATGACATGTGAAGTAACATCAAGGCAATATTCAGTTCAATTCTGAGAAAGGAAGCTAGACTGGACAACTAATGTTTAGGATACTCGAGGATTTTCTCTTCATGGTCTACTTCGTGTTATTATATTCGAGTAATCACAAAAAAAAAGTATCTGAGTAATACAAATTAATTAAATTAAAAATTTTTTGAATCATTCTATCAGAATGTAAGAACATGAATAAATATCAATTGAAGGTTCTTGTCTCAGGTAGGTAAGTAGAGATATGCCATCTTGCAAAAATATGTCTACCTCTATCGTGTACAAGAGATATCAGTATCATGCTTCTCTCTCACCAACTACAATTGGAAATTTACCATTTTTGGTTGCAAAACAAATTCAAAGAGATTAACTCTACTATCAAGATATGTTACGTCATACTATGATCATGAACAGACTCAACTACTGAAATACACGGTAGTTAAGCTAGGAAGAAGATCTCTTTGTGTGGAAATGTATGAAGGGATATCTACATGCCATCAAGCTATATTTGTTACACAATAACTTCATGTTCCTACTAATTTACCTTTTAACTCAGTATTCCCAGAAAACACTACCGATTTAACAGAACCCCAGAAAATATTGCTCATCTAAGACACACACATCTACATCAGAAATATTAGTATTCAAAAAATAGTTTCACACCCGTCGTCATGTTTTTACTCTTGCAAACCTACACACACAACTCTACCTACCAGTTGATAAGTATCCTAATTTTTAATTCCTTCAAATTATATTATCATTTGATTCATATCGGAATTTCATAGATACAGCAAATAAATAACAATAGAGATATTGTTTCCATTTGCTTACTAAAGTTTAAATTAAACTTTAACTTTTCGGATATAAAAAAAATAACTGAGACGGATATATGATCGGATATATGGACGGATATATATCCGAATTGAGGCTGCTTTAAATTGTCGAAGGTCACATGACCACAGCATCAAGAATTCTACCTTGGAACGTGGTTACATATGCAAGATGCATGTTACGTTTAAGTCTGGAGAAATCTCATAGTCCTAAAATCTGTATGCGCTTGTAGATCGAACCACCGAGAGCTCTAAACAGACCAAGTCCCCAACTTGCGATACCTAAGAGCATTTTTTCCGCATCAAAATAAAATATCCTACACATAGACACAAATACGTCATTTAATTCTTGGTACGTCAATTAACTTTTGTGTTTGAACGGAATAGTTTCAACTGCATACGCAGCTCATCTTAGTTATATTTATTCCCTGCACTCTTTACATGAATTTCCCCGAAAAAAAAACTAGGACGAACGGCATTCACACGTGCCGATGGGTTAGGTCCTTCCAGTAATTCGGGCTGCGCTTTCCTTCAAATTTGAGGGGAAATCTTTGCAAGAAAATCCTTGAGAGAAGGACTCAGGGGTGATTTTTGGCGGTGGTTTCATTTTATGTTTCAATGTTGCAATTAAAGTTTCTCGCCAAATTTCAAAAATATTACACACTGAATTTGGCTCACGGAAAATTAGCAATTTTGCCGATGTCTAGTTTTCACCCGTCTGACACAATCAAGCCCCTCATCTAGGAGATACACACTTGCCAAGCTTATGTCAACCTCTCGATTAGCAGTCACATCGGTATACTGCATTGTTACTACGGAACGAGAGCCCCAAAAAAAAATTTACACTGTAACCTAGGATACCGTTTAATGCATCTCTACGCGCTTGGTGCGGGTGAAACTCTTTACCACCCTTTGATTGGCTAGAGATGCACGAAAAACCCGATTTATTAGCCGCATAACTCTGTTTGTGTTTCCGCTACCCCACTTCGGTGGTGAAAGCCCGGCCTTACTCCGAGATTTTTTTCTTCGGGTCGGAAGCACGATGGCTCCACCACTTCATAAGTGAAAGATTCTCTCTCTATTAAAAACTCTTTATTCTTCTTTCTTTTAACTAGTCTCATTGTAGTCGAGGAACACCTTTGATTGTTGAGAAGATTTATTCTAGAGTAGGTTTATCCGTGTGACACATTATTATTGTCGTATTTTACTGTCAAATTTTTATTTAAGCTTGGATAATCTTGGCACACACTTTGTTTAATAATCCATATATATTTCAAAACTACAATGCCGAGTTCTTCGGAAATCTCTCGTGATGTCGAGTCTCAAAACCTTTATGTTGCAGAACCAGAAGTTGAGATGAAAGGTCCAGATTTCTCTGGTCCTGCCATCAAGAAATATATCACAACAAGATTCACTGAGCTTTTACCTACCAAGGAATACATGGAAGCAAACAGAGACCTTTTGAACCCTTTGCCCGGTTTGAGAGAAATCTCCGGTAAGCAATGGTTATTTATTCTTTGTGCTCTTGCCGGTTGGACTTGGGATGCCTTTGATTTTTTCACGGTTTCTCTTAACGTTCTGAAAATTGCAAAGGATTTCGACGTTAAGGTGAAGGATATTACTTGGGGTATTACCTTGGTGTTGATGTTGCGTACTGTTGGGGCTTTCCTCTTCGGTTATTTTGGTGATAAATATGGTTCTAAATGGCCATTTGTGGTCAATTTGATCTTGATGTGTTTCTTACAAATTGGTACTGGATTCATCCAAAATTTCACTCAATTTTTAGGGGTAAGAGCTATTTTCGGGATCATTATGGGTGGTATTTACGGTAATGCTACCGCTACTGCCTTGGATGATTGTCCTCCAAGAGCAAAGGGATTTATTTCCGGTGTCTTACAACAAGGTTACGCCTTGGGATACTTGTTGGCAGTCATTTTCACCAGAGTTATTGCTGACACTTCTTCTCACACTTGGAGAGCTATGTTTTGGTTTGCTTCCGGTGTTACTTTCCTTGTCACCGTTTCCCGTGCTATGTTGCCACAAACTGAAACTTTTAAGCGTAAGCAACTTGATGAACAATTGAAAAAGGCCGCTGGTATTGTCGAAGATTCCTTTGAAAAGAAGGCTGGTCATGCCTTGAAAAACTTCTGGTTAATGATGGTCTATATGATTCTTCTTATGGCCGGTTTCAACTTTATGTCCCATGGATCCCAAGATTTATACCCAACCTTCTTAACCGTTCAACTTGGGTTTGGTAGTGACAGATCTACTGTCACCAACTGTGTTGCCAACTTGGGTGCCATCTGTGGGGGTATCATCATGGGTCATTTCTCCAACTTCCTTGGTAGAAGACTTTCCATCATGTTCTGTTGTGTCTTGGGTGGTGCTCTTATTTACCCATGGGCCTTCCTTCGTAACTCCGGTATTAACGCCGCCGTGTTTTTCTTACAATTTGCTGTCCAAGGTGCATTTGGGGTTATTCCAGTTCATCTTTCTGAACTTTCTCATCCTCAATACAAGGCCTTTATTGTTGGTATTGCCTACCAATTGGGTAACTTGGCATCTTCTGCCTCTTCTACTATTGAAACTACAATTGGTGAAAGATTCCCTCTTACAAACGCTGCCGGTGAAAGCATTTTCGACTATGGTAAAGTCATGGCCATTTTCATTGGATGTGTCTTTTCATATGTCTTGATCATTACCTTCGTTGGACCAGAAAACCGGGTGGTTGGTACCATGAAGGAAGAATCCGAAGAAAAAGACGACTTGTCAATTGCTAGTAAGCCTACAGTTGCCACCATTGAAAACAAGGCACAATAAATATTTAGAAATATGTGTAATAGAAATTAGAAATATGTGTAATAGAGACAATAAAGATGTAAGAGAGAGAACATAGAGATAGAGATAATACAGAAGATATTTAATGAAGATTTCTAACACTGAAGGCTAAGTTTAAGGTTAAATTATTTTTAATTCGGAACCTTCGGTTGGATTAATTATCTCCCCCACATCCTAGATCTAGGTTTTAGATATTTTTTACCCCATTGTATATCCCGCCCCACTCCACGTCATTAATGTGTTAAAAAAATAAGTCCCGCGAGAGGCGGTACTGGAGTTTTTTGTTACCCCGGAGTGTTTCGGACGCAAAAATAACACCCGATTGAGAAGCGTTGTGGACCCAGACCGGGGGCTAGTGTGGGGATATTGGTGGGGTTAATCTTATATGCGGAGCGCTACGCGTCGTATCTTTATACTTCTCTAGAATTCGAATGGTCGTATGAAACACGAGCCGGATTTCAATCAGGTAATCGAGAGCCCTTGGCCAGAGAATACCAGCTACACGGCGACGCCTAATATGCCCAGCGCAGTGTTCTCCCATGTACGTAATAGAACACAAAGATTGCATATTTTCTGCAGGAATGAAAATTTTTTATCGCCGGAAAAAGACCAGAAGACTAAAAAAAACATAATAAACGTCTTTACAACTTTTTATTTTTTTAATTTTTATTTTTACCGAAAAAGAAAAAGGCGAGAAAAAAAAAAAGAAATGATATTATTTTTGCCTGTCCCATAGCAAGCAACATAAAACTCTAGAAATGACTCCCAGTCCCCGCGCTAGGGAGGCTAAGAAGCTGGCTTCCACGGGTCATTTACCGGTATTCATCTATATCTCCACCAAACCACTTTAGGTTTGTTTTAGAATAAAAAAAAAAAAAAAACTAGTGGTAAGAGCCCGGAAAAAATTTCATTGTAAGCGTTCCTTTTACAGTATGTACTCCAAAGCTATTGCATTCTCGTTTGTGGATAACTTGGAGTCGAAATGTGTACACGACAAGGCGGATATGAAACCGCCTGAACTGGCCTGAACATCTGGTACCCCGGACCAATCCGCATCCAGAGAAGAAATTGATACATGTTGTAGAATAAAATAATTTGAGTAGGCTCGTAAGGTTTAGCCGGAAGTGCACGAAGTGCTGCTTCAAGTGGGGCACAAAAAAAGAAAAGTACAAGAAAAATTGAACTGCCAAAAAAAAAATAATGCGGAAAAAAAAAAAATAAAGACAATAAAAACAGGCCGAGGAATGGTGGTAGCGCAAGTACACTGGAAGTAGTAGCCATCCACCAAGGATACACGCTGGAACGAAGTGAGTACTAATTCAGCTAGAACGCGTTGCTACTGCCGTGTCCACTTCCGCAAACAAAACCAGTGCTAACCAGTTCTAATCAATGTTGCCTCTCCCCGCTCGTTTCACTTCGTAGACTCCAATACTTACCGTATATCTCTACTGACACATAATCCCCATCACTTTTTACTTTTTTTTTTCCTTCCAACTATTTTTGCCTTTTGTGCATGTTAGGAGCCCCGCCTATATGCTGCAGACCCCGCATGAGGCAATGTAAACTCACATTCAGGGCACGGCTAGTAAATGCTGTTTGACGTCATGGCCATTTCTTCGTGTGCTCTGGGATATATAAAGGTAGCCCCATATCTCACCCATATTCCAGGATGCTAGCTCATTCCAGTACACGCTCCTTTACTAATTCTAGGTTTATCCGCTTTTGCAATCATATACTAAACTTTATTTAATTAGAATGGGTTTACTTTGGAGTAACAAAACCAATACGTTTGGTTTGAAGGGTCGTCCCCTTCGTTTAGCAATTACCATGACCGCCACCATTGGGTTTTCTCTCTTTGGTTACGATCAAGGTTTAATGTCCGGTATCATTACCGGTGATAAATTTAATGAAGAATTTCCTGCCACCAAGGGTTCCGGTCACCATGTTGAAGTTGTTCAAGGTGCCGTTGTCTCTTGTTACGAATTGGGTTGTTTCTTTGGTGCTCTTTTCGCTCTTTTCCAAGGTGAAAAGATTGGTAGAAGACCTCTTCTTCTCTATGGATCCTTGATTATCATCGTTGGTACCGTCATCTCCACCGCCGCCTTTAGAGAACACTGGGGGCTTGGTCAATTCGTCATTGGTAGAGTCATTACCGGGGTTGGTAATGGTATGAACACCGCCACCATCCCAGTGTGGCAATCGGAAATGTCCAGAGCTGAAAACAGAGGTAGATTGGTCACCATTGAAGGTGCCGTTGTTGCCGTAGGTACCTTTATTGCCTACTGGTTGGATTTTGGATTACATTATGTCAATTCTTCCATTCAATGGAGATTACCAATTGCTGGTCAAATCGTTTTCGCTCTTATTTTGTTTGTTGGTTCTTTGAACTTGCCAGAATCTCCAAGATGGTTGGTTGCCCATGACAGAAAGGATGAAGCCATTGTTGTTCTTGGTGCTCTTAAGGATTTGGACCCTCATGATGATGAAATCTTTGCTGAAGTCACCGTTATCGCCGACGCCGTCAACAGATTCTCCAAGTCTCAAGTTGGTATGAAGGATTTGTTCTCTGGTGGTAAGACCCAACATTTCTCCAGAATGCTCATTGGTTCCTCTACTCAATTCTTCCAACAATTTACCGGTTGTAACGCTGCCATCTACTACTCTACCGTTTTGTTTGAAAATATGGAGTTGGGAAGAAACTTGTCTTTGATTATGGGTGGTGTCTTTGCCACCGTCTACGCTCTTTTCACCATCCCATCCTTCTTTTTGATTGATAGAATGGGTAGAAGAAACTTGTTCTTTATTGGTGCCATCGGTCAAGGTTGTGCCTTTATCATCACCATGGCTTGTTTGATCCACTCGGAAAAGTCTCCAGGTGCCGCCTTTGGTATTTTCTTGTTTATCTGTTTCTTTGCCTTTACCATTCTTCCTCTCCCATGGGTTTACCCACCAGAAATTAACCCAATGAGAACCAGAACTGCCGCTGCCTCCATGTCTACTTGTACCAACTGGTTATGTAACTTTGCCGTTGTCATGTTCACCCCACTTTTCGTTGGTTCTGCCGGTTGGGGTTGTTACTTGTTCTTTGCCGCCATGAACTTCCTTTGGGTCCCAATCATTTTCTTCTTTTACCCAGAAACTGCCGGACGTTCTTTGGAAGAAGTTGACATCATCTTTGCCAAGGCCCATGCCGACGGTACCGCTCCTTGGAGAGTTGCCGCCACCATGCCATACTTGTCTGGTAAGGAAGTTGAATCCGAAGGTAACGCTTTGGGTCTTTATGATGACGACTTTGAAAAAGAAAAGATGGAAGTTAAGGAAGACGTTTCTGCCTTTTCTTCTGATTCCCCAGCTGACGGTCCTTTAGTTAAGCCAGTTGATGTTTAATTTAATAACTAGAGATTAATATATTACATTACGATTAATAACAGTGTAGCATACTTTGAGTTGTCGAGTACTTTGAGTTGTAGCCCTGTTCCGCTGATGTGCACGACTTCCGGACACACACACACACACACACACACGATGTAACAGCTGCCCTACTGGGTATGCAAGCCGCTCCGCTGGCTCTCCGTGGGCCACTAGCCGTGGTGGCCTTGTTCCTCTACCGAGGAATTCAGCAGTCAAGAGAGTTTCCTCGTAGAGGAGCTAAACACCACGCAGTGGCTCTCCCCGAGTAGGGGCCAGCGGAGCGGCTCAGAGCCCCACAGGGAAGAGAGTACGAGCTACACTACGGGCTATACAAGCCGCTCCGCTGGCACTCCTTGGACCACTAGTCTCACTGCCTGTCATGACACCCACTCTCTATAAGCTGGGCAAACTGCTTTCTATGGTAATTTCCTACAAGTAATTATTGAGGACTCTCTCTTCGACACTACACATAGTATCACTACAATTTCCCCATCTGTCTTCCGTGATATCCCTCTATTACTATACACGTTTGTCTAATATACATATGAACTTATTCGTCTTTGATGCCTGCCCATTCTTCTTCTTCGCCAGTCTTGGCCTTCTTGTATTCTTCTTCTTCTTCATCAACAGCCTCACCAGCCTTCTTGGCTTCACGTTCAGCTCTCTTTCTCTTAACACCGGCTCTCTTGTCTTCACCAGTCCGTACGGTGTCATCCTTTGGTGGAGAAACAAACCATGGGATTTTCCCTCTGTTGAAATCGTTCAAAATTTGCTTTGAAACACCACTTTCATCTGGTTCACCTCCCTTCAAAAGACGACCACCTTTACGGGCAATGATTTCAATGAATTCATTACTGGCCTTTTCCAACAAGCTGATGTCATCTTCCCAACGAGCCCATCCACTGACCTCATAAGTTCTTTCCAAATGCTTACGTTCACATTTTTGCAACATATCTGGAATGTACTGTTCAGGGTTAGAAACGTGTTCCACTCTAACAACACCTCTGAACAAAATGTCAGACTCGGTGTCCTTGGAGGATGGAGGAACAATACCGGGACAATCAATCAAAAAGATCTTCTTCATCAAAGTGATATATTGCCACACCTTGGTCTCACCAGGAATTGGTGCAACGGTACAAACCTTCTTACGACGCAAGGTGTTGATAATGGAAGACTTACCGGTGTTTGGGTATCCAATAAAACCAACCGAAACTTGTTTACGGTCAGAGTGTAATGCAGAAAACTGACGGAGCAATTGAATCAAAGACCCCTTACCAAACGAGTTGGTGATGGAGGCATGGAATGCCAATGTTGGGTAGTCCTTGGACAAGTGTTTAACCCATGCTGCCTGGAACGTTGTTAGTAAAATGTCTAAATGTTTTGTAGAGAAATGGAAAAAGAATAAACTTGGCACGTTTCTGTGATGTGTGGGAGAGAAGGACAAAAATCTATATAAGTTGGTTGGTTGGTGGTGTCGGTTTCTTTACTACGAAACATTTCATGGGAAATAGGAAGATCCTATTGGAAAGTTTCAACTCATAAGATCCCGTACATCCCTGAGTGTCGATAATAACTATCGACGTGTATGCAAATCTCCGCCCAAAACGGACGGAGAACTCCAATAAATTGGAGACATACGGGCGGGCGTATTGTTTTTCCAAAGGCATAACAGGCAACATTTTTGTTTAATCGCGATTGCAATCGAGTATCACCCTGACAAAGGCCTTTGGGTTAGAGAAAAAAAGAGAAAAAAGGTCACATCACAGAAAGTTCAAATTCCTTAAAAAACCAAGGGGGTACCCTTGAAAAATCAATTGCTTAGCAATTGGCTAATAATTGACCAGCAATTATTATACTTATACATACCGCCACCCATGTAGGTACCAAGTCACACTTGTTCAAAACATAAACCAAATGTTTATGTGGACATTCGTCCTTCATATACTTTTCCACAGAAGCACATCTAGTTCCCAAAGGATCTCTAGCATCCAAAACATGGATCACAACGTCACTGGAATCAATGACCTTATATAATTCGTTCCATATTCTCTTGGATTGACCCTTGTGGAAAATAGCCTCCTTGGCTTCCTGTGTGTAGTCATCCTTGTCCAAGAAGGAACCTCCCATCAAACCCAAAGTGGAATCCAATTCCTGCTTTTCTTGATACTTAGTACCATCTTGTTCCGTGGCTTGAGCTAATTCTTCCAAATTGGAAGCAGAGACTCTTGGCTTCTTTCTCTGTTGCTTAGGACCAAAGGCATCTGAATAAGATTCAGTTTCCAAGATCTTCAGTTGTGGAGAGTCGGTGTTATCCTTTTCATCCAAGAGAGACATTGGCAACTTGTTACGTCTTAATAAAACTTGATAGGAATCATGTTTCTTTTCACCCATGGCAGCACGGAAATGGGTCAAGGCATCTTGAGCAATGACACGGGTGTTACCAAACCACTTACGGTTAGGGTCAACACGGGCAGTAGGGGTGTCTGTGCTTTGCAAGTCGGCAGCCTTGACAATATCACCACGAGCGTTACGAACAGCTCTACCACTCTTGTACATTTGTAAATGCTTCACCTTTTTAGCATCTCTGTAAAAATTTTCACCCTTGACACGAAGGTTCCCATCTCTGGTATCGTTCTGTCTGGTTCTTCTGACCTTTTCCTTCTTTTGAGTACCCATTGTAAGCTGTGGAAGTATAAGAAGAAAAAATCAAGTGATAAAAAAAAAGTAATTAAAAAGGAGATGAGATAAATTTGAACCAGCCAAAATTTTTGTGTCTCGTTAAGAAAAAAATTCTAAACCGATGCGAAGAGAAGAGAAGAGAAGAGCAGAGGCAGAGATGAATAAATATGGGGGCAAAAAATAAAATGTGGAATAAATAAAAAAAAAATAATAATAAGAAGAAGGAGGTCGTGCGGGGGGTAATTTGGCCCAGTAGGTAGAGAAATAAACTAGGGATTAGAGTTGGATTATATATATATATGATATTGTTAGAGGGATACTACTTTGGACCCCACTTCTCATATTCTCAATCGAAACTAGTTGATTCAAGAAAATTTACAAAACTATTTAATGATGTATAATTCATTTCATTGATTTCTCTTTCTTTAGCTCTTACATAATCGATTATATCATCTCATATATTTTTTTTAGGGCACAGTTGGTTAAAAATGTCGTATATGCAAGCCACCCAGATGATCTGAAATGGAAGATAACAAAGAGTAATGAAATGATAGTAAGGGTAAGGGATTCTGTCTAAGTTGACTGATCAAATTGAGGAATTCCCAACATTCCAGGGAGGTATTTAATATTCTTTTTTTTTCAGAATAAATTCTATCAATTCTACTTTACCTGTTCTTACCATTTACGCCTCTTTACATTTGTATCCTTCCTCCGCATGCACTCCCATATCTTAGATTGCGACATTATTCAAGGAGTACTACATTGATAAACCCCTTTCATAGTATGGATATAAGGATGGGGTTTCAATCAGAGAGAGAAATGGATACCAAAGACCCTGCTGAACTCAATGTTGTCACTGGACTTGACCCAACTCATGAGCATTTCTTCAAGAAATATCTCTTACGCAATCGGCTTTCACATGAATTGCATCAATTGTCACATCCTGATTGTTGTAAACAATTTGGATATCCTTTCAAGCTGCTGGTTGAACTAGCTGACGAGAAGCTGCTTCATTCCACAACGGAGCAAATACCTACTGTACAACTCCCGTTACTCCGTTATTTTTTCAACACGTTTGTCTCAACTTTCCCATTCATTGCATCCAATCCAAAACATGAACAACTCATATTTTGGCAAGATACCGTACAACCATTTCTTGAGAATCTTAATCTGAAACAAATATCCAAGTCTCATGAACGTAAGGGTCTTGTCACCAAGCGTCATCGTGCCAACACCAAAGTTCTTTCCGGGGTGTTACTTTTCTTCAATTCCATGTTGGTACTGCCACAAGAATTGACTTATTTGAACAGTAACCATCTTGAGGCTTCTGCATCTTCCAGATTGGATAAGTTGGGTGCAGGGAAAAGTGGTGGTGGTGGCACCAAGAGAGATCCCAACCCATTGGCGCAAAATACCACCAACCAGGCTTATATGACTTACAACAGTGACATAGCCATCAATGTAGTTGCTGTCAGAAGAGTGACACGAGAGGGCCCAGATCTGGAAGAAGGTAGTAACACTGGTAGTTATTGGAAACCCAAATTCAGAATTTTCGGAACAGCAACTCCTTCACTTGCAAAGAAACGTCATCATTATGAATTTATTATTGAAGTGACCAAAAGAACTAAAACCGGGGCTAAGAATCAATATTCATACAATCTGCATTACATTGCAAGACCATATCATGAGTTCCGTCAAATGGAAAAACGTCTTAAACGCCAATACCCTGGACTCATGAGCACAGATGCCCCGAAATTACCACGTAAATTGACCCATGATGGTGGGATATCAAGTTCTGAATGGGATACAAAGGAAAAATCCATGAACTCCACAAATGCCCTTCGTGCCTCTACATCTTCGCAATCTAGTTCCAGTAGTAATTATAGTAATGTCTCATTATTTCGCGAGAAGCTTCGTTTGGCCTTGAGAGGATATCTCAATTCCCTTTTAAAGTTCCCAGAAATCGCCTTACTGAACACTCTTGAAGATTTCCTTTCAAACCCTCAAGAAATATTTTATGAATTGTCTGAAATAGAAGAGAAGGATAGTCAAGAGAGAATCAATCATGAGAAATCAATGTTGGAAACTCAATATGAATTCCAACAAAAGGCTTCTTCACTTATTCTTGGACTTTCGAAAGATTTCGACGGATTTAAAAAGAAATTGGTGATGAATAAGGGAGCTCTTGAAGAAATATTTAATGAAATTGGATCGTCTAAATCCATAAATGATCTTTCACCCATGCTTAGAACATTTATTGAATGGTGTAAGCTTGAAACTGCAGCAACTTTATATCAAATGTTCTTGCTGCATGATAACGCTGGCGAATGGTTTGCCAAATGTAAGAAATTCCATGGTCTTTTCCCATATAGTGTAGTTTATGGGATATTAAGATTCACCAACCCTGTGAAGGTTGTTACCAGAGTAGTTGATTTATTGTTGGTAAATATTCCCAATATAAATCCATGGGGTGAGAGTGGTGGCAAGAGTTTACTCTCAATGATCTTTGTGATGCTTTTAAATGAAGATTTGAATGATTTTACTAAAGAATTGGTCATTTTGGAACAAGAAAAAATTGTAGGAGATCAATATTCGATTTTCTTACAAAGATTAAGAGCATATTTAGATGAAGATGAATCTATTTTGGAAGACATCCGAGAAGATGCTGCCATTTCAGAACAAGATCTTGTCTTGACGGTGCTATCCACCGATAAACTTGAGCCTAGATTAAGTGATGATGATTGGGTTACCTTTGCAGATATTGAAAGATCTTTTTGTGCATATGAAACAGTTTCCAATAAAAGAACAGATTTATCCAATGAGGATAAATCTGAAGCACTCCACGAATCTGAACTTTATCTTAATTTGAAACAATACTGGCAGATTCAGATTCGAAAGAGAGATAAGGATCTTATGAAGCAACTTTGGCAAGAACCTGAACTTACTAAAATGCTCAAACAATTTCTTACTCTATTCTATCAACCAATGATGAAAGTCCTTGGAAAATGTGATATTCATTTGGTTTTCAAAGATTTCCAAATATTTATGGACGATTTGATGATAACATTGGAGAAATTAAGCGATGGAGAAATGTATTTTATGTCATCTTTGGAGATTTTCAATATTCTTAAATCTTTACTTGATCGACATGAAATTGTTTTCTGGAGATTTCTTCATACTTTGTATGTTAAGGATGACTCACGATTATTCTTGGGACTTATTCAATGGGCAGAACGATTTTTAACCATTTTAAGATTGAAATATACAAATACTTCACTGGTTTCACTCGATTTGGAGGAATTGGCAAGACATGTTGATGTTGATAAGGAGAAGTTTTCCGAACAATTAAATGCACTTGTGAACCAAACTCTTGAGAAAAGACGGTTATACAAGGATTATCTTGATGAAAAGGCCAATATTAGTGAAAAATCTGTACTTCCAGGAAGTCAAAGAGATTTGGATCGGAAATGGGATGAAACTAATGAAAATATTTTTGGAAATGGAGAACTGGAGTTTGGGATCAATGCCGAAGATTTGGATGATTTCAATTTAGAGGTTGCTGGTGGGATAGAAAGTAAACCAGCCGGGTATGGAGATATTGATGAACATGAACAAGATATAGACCGAGAACTTCAAAGGAAGATCCGAGCATTGGATAATGAACAAGGACGGGTAGGTACAAGTGAATTGGATAAGTTTGATAATGAATTCAGTATTAGATTATCAGATTTATTGGGAAGTCTTTAAGGAGTAAGAAAAAAGAATAAGAAAGGAAGTCCATGGAAGTGAGAGGTTATATTGTTAAGATTCTGGGAATTCAACAAACTATCTCAATGGGACACTTCTAAAAAATGAGAATGACAATAGGATGAAAGCCCTACTATGGATTGAGTAGCTGGATGATGAGTATGAAATTGCAACACATCGGAACAAATTTGCAGCCATTTTTTTTTTCTTTCTTTGTATACATTAGAATATGTTATGGTTTTTATACACACTGAAGAAAAGATATACTGGAATAAATGATTTGTAGTATGGAAATGCATGTGATTGACAAGAAAGATGAAAAAAAGAGTCACTGTGAGTTGGGAGATTTGTAAGAAAAGAGGATCGAGTCAGATCGAGTCACGAGAGTCAAAAAGTATCATCTCGTATTTCTGCTGCATATAAGTCCATGACATCACAGACAGATCATATGGTATCTAGAAATGTATAATTTCCAATCTTCCCCTTTCCATTGTTTAGAGAAACCTTACACAATAATCCTTCTAACATCCATCCAACCTTGTTTTCATTTCTTTTGTTTCGCACAAGTGAAAAAAAAGTTAGGACCCACGGGTTTTACCCCTTTTTCGTGTCAACAGTACACCATATGATTTTTAGTGGGTGACACAAAACGTGGAAAAAATATAACAAGAGCTAAAAATACAATGACTCGTATACAGTGGGAAGACATTGACCTAGACCAGTAGAAAGGGATTTGCTACCAGGATAAGCTCATTATATTCACGAGAGTTACCAGTAATGTCAAGCACATCTACATCAGTGAGACTGGGGAGTGGAACCGTGCGGAACCGGACCGGAGCCGAGGCCGGGATCGAGCCTGCCATGGGAAGTCCTGTAGTAGGAGAAGAAGAAGAAGCCTCCACGGAAGAGCTCTTAATCGAGAAGTTGGATAGATTTCTTCGGTCTGTCGAGACCAGGTTGGACAGCTTTGAGCAGTATTTGAAGGCTGTGGCCAATGTTGAGCTGGAGGAGAAGAGCCGCACCAAGGTTGTCTCCAGTAGCGGCAATAACTTTCTCAGCCCGGAGCTGGCAGAAACGACCAAGCAGCGGTCCTCGCGTAGAAGTAGTACTGCTAGCATAGGGTCTATCACCTCGTATTCCTTGGGGAACTTGAAGTCGATGTATCTGAGATTGGGGATGATCAAGGCATCTGTGTTGAGATCATCTGTGTCCAACTTGGAACATTTGTATATCAATTTGGAGGAACATTATCAATATTTGACTACTTTTGGAAGTGATGGCGAGCACCCTCTCGAACCGGAACTTGAAGCCGTGACCAGTAACACTGCCATGGGCAAAGAAATGTTACTGGCCAAGATCTTGAACACTATCCAATTTTTCGATGAAAAATTCACTCAAGTGGACCATTTGATCCAAGACCGCACTCCTAGAGCCAAGGATGAATATCAAGAAGCCACTTTCAGACACTTTAAGTACTTCAATTTCAACAAGGCGTTGAAATCTGCCGAAACTAGAGATTTACACTACTACGAACTCCCCCTCAATTGGAGAGAAAATAGATACATTATCCAGGGATACAGATTCACCCTCAAGCACAAGTCTATATTGGGTACGATTTTCCGGTTCAACCACAACGAATCGATAAATATCTGGACCCACATGGCCGGGATATGGTGCATGGTTTATCTTGCCCTTTGGCATTTCCCCAGGTCCGCGGTCTTTGCAGCCAACCTGACCCGTGACAATTGGGTTGTTTATATCTTTCTCTTGGCTGCAATTGAATGCTTTACCAGTTCAGTCATCTGGCATACATATTCTGGCTTTGCCCGCTACAAGACCCGGTCGACGTGTGCATGCATCGATTACACTGGGATCACCGTATTGATCACTGCATCGATCATTGCCGCCGAGTACTGCTCGTTGTACCATCATCCAACCCTTTTGCGTACCTACATTGTATTCTCATCATTGTGTGGCGGTACTGGGTTCCTTTTCAATTGGTCACCTTATTTTGACCGTCCTGAGTGTAGATCCTTAAGAATTGGATTTTTCATGGGGTTGGCTTTTTTGGGGGCCAGCACTTTTGTTTGTTCTTGTTTCTTTGAAGGGTTCATTTATTCTTTAAGATTCTTTATCCCATTGGTATACAAGAGTTTTGTATGGTATTGGATTGGGGTTGTGTTCTATGGCGGGTTGATTCCTGAAAGATGGAGATATGACGTCGTTATCAATGAAGATGAAACTTGTAGACATACTCATTCACCAGTGGAAGTTTTAGGAGGAGAAGTGGAACACTCTGGATTGGAAGAATTGGAAGAAATTAAGCGGGAAATCAGCCATGATATGCATGAAGAAAAACCAAAGGAAGCAGATGAATACCAGGATATAGTCGACAAGCATTTCCCAAGCCAACCGGCAGAAACAAGATATCACCGTGACTTTTTCTCGTTGTGGTGGGTGGATTACATCCTTTCCAGTCACAATATTTGGCATGTATGTGTCCTTTTAGGAGTTCTTGGCCATTATGTTTGTGTATTGGATATGTTTGAAAAGATTGTACGTTAAATGAATAATGATAAATGAGTATAGTATTAAGGGAAGTGTAGGAATAATAGGAAGAAGTAGTATCAAAAGAGAGGGATGGGCACAAGATACAACGTAGACATAACGTAGGGTGTGAGCGTCTCTCCCGACGGGGTATGTGAGCCCCTCCGCTGGCACTCCGTGGGCCACTAGCTCGAGTAGGGGCCAGCGGAGCGTCAGATTGCCTCACAGGGAAGTAATGTGCTGCTACAAAGGAGACTGGACCTTGCTTACAGTAGGAGAACTATAATATATTACTACCTTACTTCTAGAAGAAAACATATTAAAATCAGTTCAATGTAAATAACTTGTAATCCCTTTCTCGGTGTACATTACTGAAGAGGGTCTACAACGATTGTATAATGAAGACACAACAATGACGTATTCTCGCTAGAATACGCTGCGAATTTTCTTCTCCAAAAACGCGCTGTACACTATTAAGTTACACCATATACTGTCCATATACTCCCACTACGCCAATATAAATACTTGCTACGTCTCTCCTCTACTACTCTTCATCTCCTAAAACCATATAACTATAACTTCGCCTTAGTAAATCACCTCGAACTCCATTTATTCCTGTCCAGAACCAAACCCTTTAAGGTACCATTTTGTATGCGCGTGCGCCACTTTATATCATTCACTCCCAAAACAGAAGGTGAGATTCTCAATCTAAATTTAAAATCGAAAAAGACAACAAAGTCTACAGGCTTTACCCCGTGAATTAACTAGTACTTTTACTTATTTTTCAAGGCTATGTCGTTCGCAGATAGCTTTTGGACACAGGACTACGAGCTGGGGTTCAATGTGTTGTTTGAACAGCTCTATGAGGGGATCTATGAGGACGAAGACTTCATTCATTTGTTCACCGCCAGAATGGACCTGGAGCATCTATACGGGACTCAATTGAACTCTATCAGCACCCAGAAGAGCGCCAGCACCCGCTACAACAACGATGACCACGTGTCGCTGATGAAGAACTCGTTCCAGAAGATGAACGAGAACTTTGGCCGTCAGGGGGACTACCATGTGCAAGTTGCTCTGAACATTCGTCAAATGGTTTTGGAGCCATTTTCCCAATGGTGCAAGGAACACAAGCAACGGGTGGAATATTCCGAGCTGACTCTCTTGGATAAACATAAGCAATTCCGTGCTGCGAGAGCGCAGTTGGAGAAACTCCAGAAAAGATACTTCAACAAGTGTCGGATGTTGGAAGAATTCAAGGCTCATTACACTGAAGAGGAATTGGCTGAAGAGACGAGAGATGCAGCAGAAGCCGAGCTCCATGCCGAAGAGGAAGCTGCAGCTGCCGCCAATACCAGCGTCTCCGAGGACGATGACACTGGTAGGTACCATTTTGGGAACGCCACGTATGACACTCCGACATTGAAACAACTTCTCATTGATCTTGTTCAAGGGGTGGAACGTAAATCACACAAGGTTGCCATTCTTGGTACATACCACAATGTTTCCACTGGCAGTGATATCACCCAATGGCTTTTGGACAATATGGAAGAGTTCAACCGAAGCATTGCCAAGGCCGAGACTTTCGGACAGGATCTTGTGGCTCAAGGTTTCATTAGATTGATTGGATCCATGGGGGGTAAGAACTTCATCAATTCCTCTCAGTTCCACTACCAATGGAAGCCAATAGTGTTTCAAATGACTGGAATCAATGAGAATGGACCTACCAACGACCAACTGGTGACTGGTGACAACAATAACAACACAACCACCGCCGCCGCCGCACATAACAATAACAAGAACTCTGCCAATATTGCCGCATATCTTGAAGATATGAAACAAGCGATTGGAGTGAACACCGTTGATTTCAACGACCGATCACAATACACGCGTCTTATGACTGATGTAAGTGCCTTGGACGCCAAATACTACGAAGCAACTGTTGCGCTTGATAAGCAAAGGTGCGAGTTTGAGGAACTTATCATGGACCATTTAACTTTTATGCAAAAATGTGAGCTAGACCGCATGAAGGCCGTCAAGAAGGCCACGTTTGACTTTTTAGGGTGCATGTCCAACAAGGTTGCGGCCATGAAACTGACATGTGAAGAATTGTTGGTTTTAGAAGAAACAATCAACCCAGTTAATGATTTGAAGTTCTTGATCGAGAACTACGCCACAGGAAGATTCAAGCCAAATGTGGTGTTGTACGATAATTACTATGACTCCAATGTTAAGCAAACATTTGGAGTGGACCTTGCTGTGAAATCTCGTTTGGATCGTAAGGTTGTTCCAGTAATCATCCAATGTATTCTTTCTCATTTGGATAAGCAGTATCCTGACTTGACTGATGACGAGGAAAGAGTGAACTTATGGACCAAGCCAGTACATTTGTCTGAGGTTCATCAACTTCGGTTTGCCTTGAATGATGAGACTGACCCAAATAAGATTAACGAAGCACTTGACAAGACTTCTCCATTGGTAATCACAAATCTTTTTAAACTTTATTTAATGGAACTTCCAGACTCCATCATTCCATGGAATTATTACGATTTGATCAAATCTCTTTATCTGAACTATCCTCCATCAGAATCTACTTCTGTCAATGACTCACGTATTAATGGACTTCAGAACGTCTTGGTGGATCTCCCCAAGTGTAATATTGCCACTTTGGATGCCTTATTGACCCATCTCACGCGTCTCATACACATCATTGGTTCTAAGAACGATAAACTTGCCAGTGAATTCCAAAATAAGCTCTCGCGTGAGTTTGGTACATTGGTGTTGAGACCTAAAATAGATGCGTCTCTGAATACAGACTCATATCTCAACGACAAGCATCAATTCAACTTCTTGAGTGATTTGTTTGAACATAAGGATAGAATATTCACTGAGCTCAGAAGAAGAAGTTCCACTAGAGTGGCGAGCGGAAGCAACCATCCACTGGGTAATGGTAGATCGAAGACTCAATCGCCAACCACAAGTCTCAAGAAAACTGCTTCTAAGAATAGGCTCGAATCCAGACTCCAACATGCAGTAAGTAAAACCGCCAAAAAGGAAGACCTGAAACAAACTACAGAGGCGGAAGAGACCGCCCCGGTTTCAACTGAACTCCCCTCTCTTCCTAGCACACCAATTTCGTCAACTCTGTCATTGAAGAGATCAACGTCACCCAACAAAAAGAAACTTTCAGAATCCCCTGGAAGATCAAGACCAGTCTCGCTGAGACCAGCAAAGAAAGACGTCATTTTCGATGGCAATAATTCATCATATGAGTCAATCAAGGAGTCGGGACAACCTAAGTTTGCCCCATCTCTTGGAAGAAAAACGTCTGTGAAGGACCTTGCATCCCGATTCGATTCAACTAGTCCAGAGAAGAGAGATAGAAGTCCCGACAAGAAGGCGGCTCCAGAAACCATCGTTGTTGATTAGTGAACTATAAATAGTACGTGTGCAAATAGCACCCAGGTATCAGAATAGTCAGAAGGAAGGATATGTTCCCTTCATGGTTGTTTTTTTTCTTCGATCTATATATGTATGTATGTATATATATTTATAACAATTTTGAATGCTTGATATCATGTCTCAACCTGTAGAGGAACCCAGTCAATATCATCACTCCAATGACAAGTGGGATCATGATCCATTTGATCTTGGAAACGAGTCTATCCACAAAGTCGGTACCATCAGCGTTTTCAAGACCTCTTTGGTATTGGAAGGCAACTTCCTTATGGTTTGACATGAGCAAGTCGACCTTCTTGGACATTTCAGCCACACTGAATTGATGTTCACGAACTTCACCAATAACCCTTTCGTTCAATTGTGACATTCCCCTGAGCATTTCGGAAAATTGTTGAGTAAGAGTCGCCTTGAACACCGTGAGTTCGTCCTTAATCTCATCAAGTGCCACCAGGTGCTTCTTTTGCACGTCCTGGACTTCTGTGAAGCTGGAGAGAAGAACCTTGGACTCGTAGATTGAGTTTTCTTGGAGCGCATTCATTCTACTGATAATATCGTCGATCTGACCAGTGAAAACACTGTAGTCGAACGATGGTGCTGAAGAGTCACCCTCTGGTTGTTGCAGTTGTGACAGAATGGCATGACGTTGCTTTTGTTCCTGCTTTTGTTGTTGTTGCTGCTCTCTCATCAACTCCTGTTGCTTTCTTGTTCTTTCCATCAAGGACTGTCTCAATTGTGAAGGAGGAATGTGATCTTGTTCAATGGCATCTTTCTGTTGTTGTGTGGTGGCTCCGTCCCCCATCAAGGCGTGGTCATCGATCGCATCCGGGGTGAGATGGTCCCAAATGTCCAACTTCATGATCTCAAATTCTTCTTGTGACCCAATCTCGATTTGTCCTGTGACACCAAGTTGCAAATCCGTCGAGGGGATGGTGATGGCATCAGTTTTCAAACAAAGGTTGTTGTCGACTTGGATCTTGAACCACTTGTTGCTACGCGAGTAAGATACTCTGATGGTGAAAGGGATTGTTGAATCCCAATAGTTGAAGTCACAGTTCCCCACTACTTGGTTGAGTCTTCCATCAACGATCTTGCTCCCGTCATTGACAATCAACTTGAGCCCTTTACTTTCTTGGTTGCTGAGAAGAACCTGAACCCCGTCGAAAATGTGAGGGCCTCCAGAATTACCCCCAGGGTTGGTACCAACTCTTTCATTGCTATCCAAAAACCATAATGACAACGCGTTGAAATTTGCAAATTGTTGATCTCTTTGTGACTCTCCGTTGGATCTAAACACCAACTCCACAGTCCATTCTGAGTCGGAATTGGCAAGACCGGGGTTCATCCACAAGGACCCAGTTCCAGTGCCAACGATAAGTCTTCCTGTGTCCAAACGGATGTTGTCTAGGAGTTTCCAATCCAGTTGCAATTGCTGGATGTTCTCAACATCGAGCAAGTTGGGCAATGACAACGGACCCGGGTGTTCCATTCTGGGAGCAACCAAGGCGTCGGCAAGCACCATGAATGCAGTCATGGGCCAAAGGGCCTTCTTTATCGACACCATATCAAAAAAATTGAAATGTATTCTATATAGCAATTTATACCACCATTTGATTTCATCTATGATCTTGATCTTCAACCTTTTTCAGACTAGGTTCCTGATCCGGTATATGCAGGCGTGGCTAATTATAGAAGGAAGACAAAGTTACTACTGAGTTTACAATTAGAATTAAGAGGTGTAAATTGGAAACAGATTACATAAAGATAAGGGCATGAGATTTAATTAGTTGTAACTGTGGGATTCGTTTCTTTTCTAGGTGATTTTGGATTATGTGTTCATTTGTGGAGTGTAAGTGGTGCTATTCCATTCCACACGTTCCAACATAAAACATGCACACAAGTGAGTGTTGGAAATTGTACAGGACTGAACGTGATTGTGGTCACGTGAATACTAAGGCTGTACTACTGCTTAATATATATAAGTTATAATTTATATTCTATATACTTTAGGTTTGTTATAAGAGATGGTTTTACTGTGAAACTCAAGTTTAGTACTCTCTAAAAGCTTTACATTTTCTCCACTTTTCTTCAACAATCATCAATAAAATTTTATAAGAGTTGCAAAATTTGCTGCAAAATGTCTTCCTGACCTCATCTCTTGCCACCCTCTACTTCATATAACCTCCACATCTGAGCGGGTATGCGCCTTACTTCAATAGACCGTGTAAATTACACGTTATGTATCTTCTTCAAGTACACTGATGACTTTAGTTTTCATCTCCTGTACGTTACTCACCTATATTCATATAACCTAACTCAACTCAAAAAAACAATCAAACTCCAAAACCTAACACCTTCCATCAACTTCGGGCTACAAAATGTCAATTTTCTTTGTTTTACTTACAATATTGATGTTTTAATATGTATATTATGTATGTAGATGGAATTGAAAGTGGGTTAAATGGTCTTTGTCATCAAGACATTCAAAATGAAATTTCCGGTGTAGGAAGAAGGTATTGGAATAATATTATTAATTTTTGAACTGAATAGTGTAGATAGTAATCTATGATTGGGATTGATCCCTCTTGGGGTGTATTATTAGTAGTAGCAGTATCGGTAAATATTCGTGATCACATTATATGAGGTATAAATTATAAATTATGGGGCATTAAATTAAGTATGGTGGTATCATTAGAGTCGCAATGACGACGAGGGAGTAATTCAATCACTCCATGCAATGAAAGGTTATCATGAGTAATAAAGAGCCAGCTCCTGATCTATGCTCCAGGCCAGATGATGAACAAACCGACTGGTTAATAAAGAAAATTCAGGTGTATTTATATTCCCAAACTCAATCAGTTGATGGTATGAGTCAATGCGTGAGTCACAAAGATAAAAAAGGTGAAACTAATCAGTCATGAATTAACCCTAATACACACTGACATTTTCAATAGAGTGAGTGACTAGCAACCCTCTATGCTTATATATCCTACCCTTATTCTCACTTGTTAATCCAAATTTATATTATACAGCTATCTCTATCTACCTATTAAACTCTTCTCTCTATTAAATTCATCGCTGATGACCTCTTCTCATGACATTTCTTCGTATTTTCCAAACGCCCCCAACCTTGTTCTTACTCTCAAAACTAACATACGGCATCTTTGTCTGTTCCACTGGCTTATTCTTTCGTTGTTTCTTGAAAATATCCAATTGTTGTTGGACCAATTGTGGCATAAGAACTTCTGGAACCGGTAAATCCCCGTCTCCCTTCACGAATATCAACTTGTACCCATCTTGTAACCTCTCCTTGATCTTGGATACATTGCTCTCGTTAGGGAAGTACACATTGAAATATTGTTCATGTTTGTTGATACTGTGGATCATACAGAGTCCCATGAAGATATTGTGACTGTCATTCGGACGTACCAACTCTTCAAGACTATTGGAATTGAGATAAAGTGGACGTCCGGGCATTTCTTGTAGCGTCAGCAGCGCCATAAACAGCTCATTATCAACTAGATACAACCCTACAATAGATGCATCAAGCATAAGAAGTAGGTCTTGTTGGTTGAATTGAAGCCCCGTATCATAGTTGAGAATAGAAACTCCATTGATACCAACAAAGGAATGGTCAGACTTGTCCAGTTGATATGATATTCTCATAGGAGGGGATGTAAGTAGATGTTCACGGAATTGAAACTTAGTAATACCACCGTTCTGTCTCTGTTGATGGAAATATGTAAGCTTATTGAAGGTACGGAGTTGTGCTGGGGAATATTTGGAAACTTGGTACATCCCAGGAAGTGTATGGACTTGTGAATAAGTGAGTGCATCCAATGTTTCGTCAGTTGGGTCTAATATCCCAGAGCTAGTAAGGTATACAAGCGAATCTGGGCGTGCAAGAGCAGTAATTTCGTCAAGCAATTGCTTGCCAAACCCCTTGATCCATCCAGGGGTGTTGATGATCAAATGTGACCCTCTTGGACGATGTACTTGGTCGTACACTTGCCATAACGCCTTCACAATCTCAAGGTACCTGGTAGGCTGCAGTTGTGGCGTGGTGAATCCGTAGTAAAGCGAGGTTGTGGCAGTGGAGTCGTCAATCACCGACAGTGGGATATTTATCCCAAGGACTTCCCGATCAACGCTTGTCAAGGACATACAATAGGGCATGGAAAATTCTGATTGACCAGGATCCAAGTCCAAATACAGAACGGGTGCATTCTTTGAGACAAACCCATTCAATAGCGCCTTGGCAAAGGTTGATTTCCCGCTATTTTTATTCCCAATCACCATGGTTACACTTGGATCTTCCATCATGTTCAACTCGTTCACCTTGTCTCGCCAAGTCCGGTCAATATACAACCCGGTGAGTCCCTTGTTCTGTAATAACACTTCAAATGAAAAGTCCAAGGGGATTACTGGTTGGTTCGGGAGCGCAAACCCTATAGATGCCTCTACACCCTCTGCTTCTTCTACTTCCAGATTGTAGAAAAACCGCTTCAAAGGTGGACTATATAACCCGATGTCTTCTAGCCCCGTATGGTAATCTTCTAGTACAATCACCGACTTGTAGTCACTATTGAAAAGATGTTCATTTTCCGCGGTCTTCGTGTCTTCAATGCCACTCGACCGGTCAAGAACTTGGGTGCTGGCAATGACGGGTAACGATTGCGACTGAGTTGCCAACACTTCGTAGGTCTTGTCCGGATGGGCAAAGAAGTAGTGGCAATTGTTCACCAATACAGCACCTCTCTGGATTGTCAATTTAGCCTGTCCGTTCAAAACTATGTACTCGTGGGGTTTAAGTCCAATGATTACATGGTCATCCATCACCACAAGATTATCGCAATTTGGAGTGAATTTTGACTCGTACACAAAGCTGGCAGGTACAGGTCTTCTGCCCTGAGTTACTGGTGAAGGAAGCACACTGGTGGAGTTCGATCTAGAGCCCATGAGTGACACGGGCTTCAGTGAACCACTGTCTTGGGTTTCTTGTGCTTCTTGATCGCTCTGTTCTTCCTCGTCTGAAGTGTTTTGTTGGTACATTATGGGCCTATCCTCTTCATCACTTCCTCTAGATGACATCAATGACGACACCCCCAGGTCCCGTAAGGCGGCAAATGCACTCATAGCTTAATGGTGTACTCCTTGATAGTATCAATAGTTCACCTCCATTTGATGAATCCATATACCATCGTGTGGTATATGCAGGAAATTTTAAGAATTTACCATACCCCCCATTATTGACAAGGCACATTCTTCATAATAAATACCGATTGAAAGGTGTTGTTGGTTTCCTTTTTCATCTACAAAATACTCACCCCCACGTCTCTATATGTAATCTTAGTTTCTCTTTGTATCTGGTCTTTTCATTCAATCGTAACAAATTTCTATCTATACAATCTTTGCATAATATCAGCTCCTTGGTTTGCCAATGAGTCGGCCATTTCGTTCCCAACAATTCCTTGATGTCCTCTGACATGCTCGAACTTTAGTGGACCCCAACCTTTAGCCTCGTATATCTTTGAAATCTCCTTGTAGAGTGCAACACTCTCTTCGATGAGGTCTCGGTTGAGAACATCCTTATTGGCAGCGGTCTTCCATCCGTTTCTTTCCCAATTCTTCAGCCACTTGGTGATCGCATCAATGGTGTACCTAGAGTCAGTCTTCACCACATACCGTATGTCCATAGGTCCGTCTTTAATGTCCCGAAGCGCATGGCGCGCAGCTGCGAGTTCGGCTCTCTGGTTGGTTCCAGCCACATCTTTGCCCTGTACATCACTCATGGGCACAGCTGCATTTCTACTATCACCAGGCCCGTAGTAAACCCCGTATCCGGAAATAGGTGCCTTAGTTTTCCCATTCCCACGTGAGGCTCCATCCACATAAATGTCATGAGTCTTGATCCCGTCATGGGTAACAGATGCCGGTAACTCAACTGAACGAATCTTTTTCGATGTATTCTTGGTTGGCTTTTTAATAGAGTGGCCTTCGCTAACGGAAATAGTTGGTAAAAAAATTTCCATTGGTTCTTCATCGGTTTTCTTTCCACCCTCTCCACCAAATGCAAACTTACTAGCTTCAGCAACAGTGTCAAACTTTTTGTACCTAGCCCCGCCAAATCCATACACCTGACTCTTACATGCTTCCCAAGAATTGAAAACCCCTGTTGTTCTACCCTTGGAAACAGCGTAATAGGGCATGACTGTTTGAAGAATTCGCCTTATGGTGTCTAAAAGTTGACTGCTTAAAACTCAAGGTACCACCCTTGATTTTTTCCACTTTGCTTAAAAATATAGCTGCGACTTACATCAAAAAAAAAAAAAAAATTACAGCCATAGACCTTCTACATGTTGGACTACCAACAACTACGACCAACTACTACTCTAAATTAAGATGCAAAGTATATACTTCTAAATTGTTGTGCAGAATTGATATACACAACTACAAAGAAAATTATGAAACTTGCTGTGTGTAACCCCATTATCTAAGAAAAAATATACCACATACCCTAAAATAGACATAAACTTTCTGAAACATTAGTCTGAATCTATGTCCTTGGCAACTCGAGTGCCCTTATTTTGCCATCCCCGGGCTTCTGCGTAGTCGACGGCTTGATTGGCTAGTTTGTCTGCTTCAATGTTCCCCTTGTTAGAACCATGGCCCTTGACGTGCACGAATTCCAAATCCAGCCAACCTCTATGTGTGTATATGTCGCAAATTTTTAAATAAATTTCTCTACATTTTTGAATCAAATCAGAATTCGCCACTACTGTATTATCTTTGTTTCTAGTCCATCCTCTCAACTCCCACTTCTTCGCATACTCAGTAATTGAAAGTATAACGTATTTGGAATCGGTATTAATTCTATACTTGGTGTTATCTCCATGCTTGAGTATATTCTTTAACTCTCTTTGAATATATTCAAGGGTATAAAGAGCAGCAGAAATTTCAGCTCTTTGGTTAGTATTTGTCACAAGTTGATTTTTCATGGGTATCGCAGCATTTCTGACATCATTGTCACCAAAATAGATTCCATAACCGGCTGGTGGTGACAAGTATTTCCCATTACCTCTACAGGCTCCATCTATGTAAATACCCTGGATCGTAGGTTCATCGTGTTTTTTGGAGGTGTTTATTGACCCAACCAAGTATGTGTCAGCAAAATAATCCTTTTTATTATGGTAGAACTCAGATGCACTTTCAAAGTCATCAAATCTTTTGACGATCCCACCTTTGTACCGAAACAATAAAGGCTGGACCTCTTTCCATGTTTCAAAAATACCTGTACGTCTTCCTCTGGCAACAGCATAATAACGAGCAGGTTCTCCTCCGGGCATACTACAACCATTCGACTGTAAGAAATAAACAGCTTCGACCTTAGTGTTGAATTTTTTGAAAGTGCAACCACTGAATTAGAATACTAAGGGTTGAACTTCTTCCCATGTCTCAAAAATACCGGTTTTTCTACCTTTAGCAACAGCATAGTATGGCATTTTCCCCCCTTTTTCTCTTTATATGAAAATGTAGTTACAAAGTTAAAATAAAAGTATATCAGTAGAAGCTATATATACCGACAGCAGTCGGATTTTGCGCCGCACGAAATCTTGAGAGGGAGGACTTTCAGTTGTCAGAGAGTTCGGCTAAATAGTTTATGGAAGGTGTTATATGAAGGATCATGTACATTAAGTGGAAACGGTTATATGGATGAAGAGGTTGAGTGATTTACAGGATGTATAATCCATAGTCTTCGATGCAATGCAATGCGCTGAGGATGCTTGAGGCAGATACGGACGTTCAATAGGTACACGGGATGTTGATGTAAGGTGCCGCCTACACGCTCAAACGCGGATTTCGGAGCAAAATCGGGGGCAATAGATGAGGTTCGGAAAATTTTTTGCAGCAAATATTGCCACTGATTCTAGATATAAATTTAGACTGATTCTCGATTGGAGAATTGATTGTGAAAGAGAAAAGGAGAGTGAATTTTTTTCTAAGTATTTTAGAGAGTATTAGATTTGCTAAAAAGCTTTACAGTAGAACAATCATTCACCACGAAGCTAATGCATCTAGAATATTAACTATAACTTATACTTTGTTAGGTAATTGACAAGGTCGGTTACTACCCTTTTGAGATCGTCAGATTACTCTTGATACGAGTATTTGTAGAAGATGTGGCCCAAGGCGACGCGTAGGTGTTTCAGTTGACGCGTATAGAGACGAGAGGTCGGGAAAAGGAGTTATGGAGAGAGAGCTCTGAAACTTTAATTAATTTGCCAGAATTCGGTAGAACAATGGCCCTACCAATAGTGTAATGTTGGGACAGGATAGTGGCGCTCCTCTCAGAGGATAAGAAGCGTCCCTTCCCTCTTTTCTCTACATAGTGACTTAGCTCACCAAGTTATTTAATTAATACTACTGTTTTCTTATTCTAACCTAATTCATAAAAATGAAACCTAACAAATACTTCTGTCTATACAACCACGCACAAAAAGATGAAATCTAACAATATAGCATATAAATATTATTCGCTATTTCTTCAATCCCCAGTTGGCATCTTGTGAATTTATTGAATACATTAGATGTACAGGGAAAATTTTAGCCATCATGATCTGTTCTGAATAATAACATATTCGATCTTTCCAATATGTTTTTTTAATTTTTTTTTGAACTAATTTAAAACAGCATGATCAATGGCTGCAAAATCTGATGATGATATTCTCACTAATTGGTTCATTGTTGAAGATCGAAGTATGTTAGAATTTGTAGAGTACTACGGTGAATTAATTCATGTGGATATCAGACCGTGCCGCCTTAGTAGTAGCTAATGTGTATTCTATATGGGATTATTTTATGATGAACCTTAATGTTGGTAGTAAGGTCTTTTCATGCAAGACTTATGAAAAAGTATTATTCAAGTTGAAGAATGTAACGAGCAAATAAGATGATCAAATAAGAAGAGAAGAGAATGTTAACAATTATGGCATGGGTTAATATCATTCCTTATGGCCGATATGATAATTTTTATTCGGAACACGAAGATAGATAATTCCACATTTATAGTTTTAGTAAATAAGTTTCAAATAAGATGCTTATATATAGAATTTTCCAATTGTTAGGTAATTGACAGGGTCGGTTACTACCCTTTGTAGAAAGGGCAGTTATTCCTGTTAATCCCACCACTATTTGTAGAAGAGGAGGACTGAGGAGACGCGTAGTTCTTTTAGTAGATGCGTTTAGACGAGTGGCCATGAAAAGGGGGTACGGACAGAGAGACCCCTTTGAAACTTTAATTAATTTGCCCTAACTCAGTAGAACAATGGCCCTACCGATGGTGTTGGGGCAGGATAGCCAAGAGGATTAGAAGCGCCCCTTCCCTCTTTTCTCTACAACAGTGATTTAGCTCACCAAATTGTTTAACTAATACTACTGTTTCTCATTATAACCAAATTCGTAGAGATGAAACCTAACAAGAATATATTATAGTGGTCAATTTATTTCTATTCTATATAATATATCTCTCAGAAACGTGAGTCCACATAAGTCAATTTTCTTATATTCCATCAAATGATCTATTAGCAGATTGTACGTCGGCAAGTGATCTGCTTCCTCAGTTATTTTCAAAAAGTCAGTCTGCAAACTTACATCATTGGCTGCTACATTTATCTTTAAAAACACTGTAGAAAATTTGAGGTTTGTCGATTGGTGTATCAAACCTCTGAGCATGGCCTTCCTTCATATCTGATATCATTCCATAAAAAGTGTAATAAACGCCCCACAAACCTCAAAAGATAGAGTTAAGAGGAGGTAAATAAATGGGAAATACTACGAAAAACTATAGCACCCATATGTGTAAGTAACACAATTGACTTGCATCTAGATTAATTATGTACCCATACATAGTAGTCCCGTTTCCTCTTGACAACACTATGTCTCTGTTGTATTTGATGCGCATATTACACCAACGAACAATAAAAAGTCATTAGGAAGGATACTATGGATGGATTTCTTTCTTATCACTTCTTTCTCATAATTTAGAAACCTTTTTATGAAAATTGTTCATTATAAACTTATAAATCTAAAAAATGTAATAATGCCTAATCCTTAATAATGAATGTTAGGATAACGTCACAGGGCAATTTTCCTATTTAACAATAGTATCAATTGATATCATATCTTAAATAACCCATCAGTTTATCCCTTAATATAATTTCTCTTCCCTTGTTAGAAATTTCTGATATCCTTCAACTCATCTCCTAAAACTACATTAAGTCCTGTATGAAAATACCTATTGACAGATTCAATCCACCCCATTTCGAGATATACAATATGCAATATGTTGGTCAGTGGAATCAATCTTTTACCGTTGTCCATACACTTGTATGCACAATTTCTTGTGACGGGTATGTTCCATATATACTACTATGGCTTTATCTATAACTTATACCCATATAGTATTAAACTTAAGCCTTTAAAGATCTTTAACTAGAGAAGTGGGGGAGATAGCATTCTTGCAGTAAGTAGGTACTTTTCATACGATTTCTCATAAAAAAATATAAAACAGTACTCTGTCTCTTTATGATGTTCCTGAAAAAATTATGTACACAGAAAAATGACATTTAAGAATAATTATACTCTACATAATTTATTCAATAGAGATCACAAAGATTCCTAATTTCTCTTTGTTATTCCTCATTTATAACCTATGTATCACACCTTAAATATCTTTTGGTCCACTTTGTTGATGTGTGTTTCAACATTACATTTCTTACAGACCAAATATATTACTGGACCGCTAATATACACCCCCCGCAGGATGGTGGTCGCACTATTTCTTTTATCGGGCCAATAAAAGAGCGCGATAAAGAAATCACATCTATAGCCCGTATACCGGATGACGTTATGAGTATGCGGCTTGGTCGACCCGCTTCCCGACTTACCAATTCCCCATTCCCCATTACCAATCCATCACGAAACACCGGATCTGTACCCTCGAAGCTTGCAAGAGAGTATTGTATACGACGACTCCCCCCTCCTATTACCTGCCAATTGTGGGCCACTGTCACTTTATAAATTGTACAAAAACAAAATGTAAAGAGCGGCAAGTGAATTGATGTTTGATTTGCTATGCTGCATGTCACATTTTATTACTTCCGCGGACGTTTTTCCGTAATAGCCCAAGTTAAACCCGTACAAACAAACATGTGGTTGCAGATTCACCGAGATACCAGGTCAAACTGAGGTGCACCATAGAGGCTGAAGCTGTAGTTGTAGCTGTAGTTGCACGTTGCAGCTGTAGGGGTCCCCGCCTAGGTGACCCGCATCATTTGCACCGTGCATGCATCCAACTCTACCACGGGAACTGGGATGGTTGTAAACTAGCAATTTCACACCATGCACTCTCGGCAACGCCCGCACAAAACTATATAGCGACTCTTTAATCATCATTGTAATTTTCTCGAGAAAGGTGCGAATATAATCGGCGAGACATTGTGAATTTGATCCACTCATCAACGTCACACGAATAGTGCTATAAACCTGCTAGCTTCTCTTCCACACCCACTGCACTTCTGATCTCACTCTACCCTGCCATTATCATGAACAAAGGTAGGCTTACTAGCCGGTTCCACTTTGAGAACATCGGTGAGACTGGCCCCCCAGCCGGTCTAAATGAACTACTTGGCGATGAAGGCGTCAATGACGGATCTCTATGGAAGATGTACAACAAGGCCCGCGACCTGTTGCCCTTCAAGGCCCGGATGGAGAATCTCACGTGGAGGATGATGTACATCAACCAGCCCCATGGTCAAGACCAGTCGTCTGAGGACCACTCCCAAGGGCATGCATCCCTTGGGCTTGAAGATGAAGAGCAATACCTTCAAGTCAAGTCCGAGTTTGAAAATGACCTTCTATTACCTTCAGACCCCATTGACGGCTCCGTACATGCCATCGACCCGGCTGCCGACGAGTTTGATTACATTGAACATATCCGCAAGATGTCGAGAGACGACGTGGGAAACAACACCAAAAAGCGGCCTGCCAACTTTTCTCCCATGATTTCCTCGGCACCCTCTACGTCCAATGCAAAGCTTCACTCTAACTTATCTGCATCGCTAGCGGCTGCCCGAGACGCCCATCCCATCCAGGACGGACATCTGTACCATGACTTTGATTATGATATGGACCCCTTGGTGGTGGACTCTCTTAAGGACGGGCTCTACAGCGAGTCATTCCTGTCGTTCTCGTCTTTGAACCACAACGGACAGGCCCACCCTCCTACACAGTCGCACCGGTCTTCGTTCCACCAGGCTCAGGTCCAGTCGCAGTCCCAATCACAACATTACCACTCATCACACCCCAGTAGCTCCTCGCATCACCACAACCTGTCTGCTTCCGACTCGGTGGGAGGAACGCCGGCCACAGCACAACCCATACCGATGAATACGCCCAACCACTCTGTGGGCCCATCGACAATCCTCTCACATTACGGCTCGACATCGTCCATCCATAGAGATAACTCTCTTGTCAGTCTCTCGGAGTACCACCGGTCTCAGAATAGTACGCCGTTTGCATCGGTAATGCCACCACAGGCACAAACGTTCACCCCCATCCAAAGTGACACTTTTCTGCTTCCCGCGTACCCCTTGCAACATCAAAACTCGTTCTCTCGGTCGTACCATTCGCCACAATCACTGCTGTACATGTCAGCAGTGACACCTCTGGTTGAGACATTTGAGTCGTCCACGTACTTTGACAGCTACAAGAGGAAAGGTTCGCTTCAAAACCAACAGTTTTCCTCCCAACAACAACTTGGACTGAGTCTTCCTCAAAATTGGGAAGAGGAAATTGTTTCCGTGGGCAATCTTAATGGTTCAAATGGAGGTACAACCACTGGTGGTAAAAGTCATAATGAAGAAAAGGCAAAAGTAACTAAAAAGGCCACCAAGACTAAGCTGAAGAAACTCAAGTCAAGCTCTCCAGATGTAAGCAGCTTGAAAGGAGGGAAGGATCTAGTCTCTACTGATAGCAATCCAGTCACATGTACAAATTGTCATACCAAGACAACACCATTATGGAGACGGAATCCTGAAGGACAACCACTTTGTAATGCTTGTGGTTTATTTTTGAAGTTACATGGAGTGGTTCGACCATTGTCACTCAAGACAGATGTGATCAAAAAGAGACAAAGAGGTCTGGGTAGTACTAGTAAGAAGGGATCTATATCCGGACCGGCCACCCAGATGAACGGATCCAACGGGTCTTCTGGATCGACTCTGAACGGTGGTGGGAACAAGAATATGACCATCGAGAGAGATGGCGATGATTTGAACCCTATTTCCATTACGAAAGAAGAGAAAATGACGCCCGTTCCAAACAACAAACCCAGAAAGAACAGTAGATCTAGCATGTCACCCAAGAAGTCTACAAAGAATAATAATACTAATAATAATAATAATACTAATAATAATACAGACGGTACCACGATCACCCATGATGGTAACAATACAATTACTGGGTTCAATCCAGGACCAGCGATTGATAATGAAAAATTGTCTGAGGTTACGTCTTTGATGAACACGCATATTCAACAGACGAAGAACTTACATCCAATCCACGAAAATCCTTACCAACAAGGTTCACATCATCATCATCACCACCACCACCCGGACACACCGTTCTCCAGTGCAATCCATGGGGGAGGAGGAAGTACTCATTGCACTGAAGATGTTGGGTTTTCGCCGGGCGATAACACCCACTATGAGGACATGATGGATATTGACATGACTCACGCTGGTGTGAAGAACGGACAATTGGGACAATTGGATGGTCTGAATGGAGCCCAGACATCCCTGGGAGGGCAGGTGCCACTGGGGGCACAACTGGGGCTGAATGAGGGAAATAATTGGGACTGGTTGAGCATTACATTGTAAGAAACGTAGAGAGAGATTTACAATCATATGAATTGAAATGAAATTTTAAATTTGGCTGGATAAAGGATTCTACAGGATTAGACTCTCCAAGGTATATAAAAATAAATTTAGTGACTGTTTATATGATAGATAAATACCATGATCTCAGAATAATAGGAATTCTCATATTGAGCAATTTTTGAGGAATCAAAGTGGAGGGGGTGTATAATGGAGTCACGAGAAGGTAGGGTGTGTGGAGAGATGTGCACCAACCAACTATAATTAAGAAACAAGAGATAAATGGTAAATTTTAATGAAACAGTAGTGTGTAAGCGGACAAAGAAATGTCGTATAAGTACCCCAGAGTGTCTATAGAGTATTGTGCCAAGTGCAAATGGAACAATCGTGCGGTGTGGTATGTGCAAGAACTTATCCAAACCTTTGATAAACCAGGAGTGAATCTTATAGAAGAGGTGGCAATCCAACCTAGATACGATTACCCGGGATTATTCCGAGTCACCGTAAGCAAAGATGCACAAAATAGTTCGATTATTTACGAACGAAAGTTCCAAAAGGATCAAGGAACTGAACCTACCAAAGATTATAGTTATGAAGGGTTCCCCGATAGCAAATTCTTGAAAACATTGGTTCGAGACTACTTATTCCCAGACAACAAGCTTGGGCATATCGACCGGGCCAATCACAATGTGCTCAACCGAGGAGAGGAATGTGTCCCTTGTGCTAGAGAAAGTTAGTTGAAACGGTTGACTACAGTTTGTGGGTCAAGATATATTTATTTTAATATATATATATATATATATTTAATTTTTAGAAAAGCAAAAGGATCCGTAAAAACGCCAGTATAAAACATTTGGAGAAGTGAAGGAAGTGAAATGGTGTGAGTGGGGAGGGGGGAAGCAGGGAGAGACTTTTTGCTACTTTGCTACTACTCAACGTCGTCTTCGTGTAGAATGTCGTCCCAGCCGCGCTCAGCAACAATGTACGGTAACGAAGATCCAACCGTACCGAAATAAAGCGCATTGTTGGGCAATCCAAGAAGGGATTGATATTGCTTTATCACAAATGTAGGAGAGACATTCTTTGAATTAGATTCATCTGTAGGAGATCCAGAATCTGCTGGGATGTCCAGAACTGAGGTGACCCCGGTTCTACGCATAAGAGCGTGGGTGTTTATTTCCTTGGTGATTTGTTTCCATTTATTTTTCTCGCCAGTAACCAATAGCTGCTTCAATAATTGAATATCATTTTCTGCAAACTTTGCAAGAGCTGGATTCGAGCCGATGCCAGCAAGTGGGGCTTCAGTTCGGGTCCCGTCATGAGGGGGAAGTGACGAGTTATGGGGTGGGGCGGGAGGATGTTGCTGGTGCTGGTGCTGGTGCTGATGCTGGTGGTCCTGGTGGGGAATCTGGGGTTGTGGGTACATTGGACTGGTGGTAGTTACGTTAGCCTCAAAGTATATCATTAACAAGAAATAATAGTGACAAAGAAGGTGGGTGGAGAAAGAAGAATTAGAGAGTGGGGGCGGAGATACCTGGGCTAGAGCTATTCTTACGCAATTTATAAAGCTCTATCGCCACCTAAGTTTGCGGTCCGACGGGGAATATCAATACAACTGGGTGTGTCAACTCCTCTTCAAAAGAAAAAACCAACTCAACAACAACAAATGTGTAAGTTTACATAGGGTTAAAAAAAATCTAAAAAAAAAAGAAACCACACGGCCAGGTCTTACATCTAACATGTATTATCATCGCTAGAAAATATTATCTTGATCTTTCCTGAACCCTATTAGGAAGCAAAGGTCACACGTAAAGGACAATCTAGCGAAAAAAATAAAAACCGTTTGCATGATTCGCACGAGCGGAGCTGTTCTGGCCCCCCGTTCGGGGGCCCCTAGGGCCTAGGTTGCCTGCGGTACAGAGGGCCCACCTCAAGCCCTTTTTTCAGTGCAACTCCTCCTAGCTACATGCTCGGGTTCAGGCACATTTCAGTCTCCGTCTAGATTATAGTTAGGGGGCCAGGCCCCGATCCATACACCAATAGTCTCACATGAGGCGTTTTCTTTAGCTCGCAGTGTGTAAATAATATTGAGGCGGCAATTTCTTTTTGCTGTATTAGCTTTTTATTTTTTATTTTTTATTCTCTTTTTTTTTATTTTTTGGCCACTATTTTACTTTTTATCGAGTCGTGATTTCTCGGTTCTTCTGCTTCTTTCTCATCTGTATCTGGGCTAATTTAACTTTACGGGCGGTTCAAATGGGGCAAACGAACACATATTTACGAATGAAATTGGCATACTATAATAGAACTACTCTGTACGTGCATATGTTATTGTTTGAAAGTATCGATTCTCAGCCTCTATATACGAATGTGTTTGAGAAAAATATTTTTACGGGGCTATAAAAAAAAAAGGTGGTGGTCATAATTAGGACAATGCCTGCATTGACATGCCTAGTAAGTTGTAGGCTGTGGTGGCTAGTTATGGTCTATAGACACCAAATGCTTCGGTTGAGACGTCGGACTTGGACACCCCACGCTCTTCCAATGTTTGGAATACCATATCTAAATAACCATTTGGTCCAAGAACATAAGTGTCATATTTCGTGGTGTCTGGAATGTCACCACTGGTCAAACGGTTGTAAAATATTTCTCCACCGTTGATCACCTTTTCGGTTGTAGTTTTCTTGGAGATGTACTCCTTCAATGTGAATTTCTCCTGGTAGGTATCCTTCAAGTCTTGAAGCCATTGAGTGAATGGACGAGACTCAATAGTAGTGTTTGAGTAAAGCAATGTAACTTCTCTTCCGTTGGCAAGTGCACCTTCTGCAATGGACACAAGTGGCGTGATACCAACGCCTCCTGCAAGCAAAAGCACTGGCGCGGTCGATGCTTGTTTGTATACAAAATTACCGTTTGGGGCGCATACACGTACAGTATCGCCAACTTTTAATTCATCATGAACATAATTTGAAATAACGCCTGCATTACGATCTCTCTTGACAGATATTCTGTATTGGTTGTCTTCCAATGTGGGGAATTGAGAAATAGAATATTCTCTGGTAGTTTCCTCTTCGCCGACTTTCCAACGGATCCCCAAATATTGACCTCTGGTAGGAATTTGGATCTTTAAAGCTGGATCGGTTGGTTTCAAGTACACGGATTTAACATCTTCGCACTCTGACACAATCTTCGACACTTCAAAGTCTTTGAATCCGTCCCAGTCATTCTTTTGATAAATTTCCTTTTCGGCGTCAATGAGGATCTTAGCAAGATTACCGTAAGCAACGGCCCATGCGTCCAAGAGCTTGGGTGTGGCCACTTCGGGGCCCAAAAGTTCCAACATGGTTGCAAGCAAGTTTTCTCCGACAATTGGGTAATGTTCAGCCTTAACTTGAAGACCAGTGTGCTTGACGACAATTTGCTTGACAAACCCAGTCAATGGAGTCAAGTCGTCTATGTTCTTGGCATAGTTGAGCAACGCAAATGCTAAGATTTTGGGTTGTTGTTTGGTGATTTGATGGGCCTTGTTGAAAAATGGTCTAACATCGGCGTTGGTCAGTAACATTTTCTGGTAGAAGGTTGCAGTCACTGCTTCACCACTAGCCTCAAGGTAAGGGATAGTAGCCTTGATTTGGTCCTTTTGGTCCGAAGTAAGTTCCTGAATAGTGTAGATATCGGTCATTGTCGTTTAAGTATGGTTATATAATCCAATTGATCATAAAAAAACAGGCTCTCTTCTTTCATATATATAGTGAGTTATGCGCAACCACAACCCTTACTGCAAAAAAAAATAACCGTTATGGAAATGCCGCGCATTCCTCAGAAGTTTAAAAATCCTTGCATATACTTTCGTTAAAGTGGAGTGACCTTTTGACAAATTAGTGAGCACTAATTGGTCAACTAAGAATAAATGCACTTGTCTTTATTTTAAACTGCTTTTTATAACACCATGTTATGCAGGGTGTCATTCTATATTTTTAAACAACCCATAAGAATTACTTTGACTGTACTGTACGGTACTATACGGGTATTTCATCCTGCTCTATATTTCACTTTATAAACAATAATTACACTAATTAACCCAAAACTTCTCTCAATCTTCTTCATATACATCATCACTATCACCATCTGCTTCATCAGAAAAATCATCTTCATCATCGCTGATGTATTCAATCTTATATTTAGGTGCTGCTTTTTTAGTTGTTCTACGTTTTGGAATGTTTTCAAGTTCTGTGTCTGACACTACTAAATCTGCAACCTCGTCTGCTAAAGTTAGATTCTTTCTCTTGGTCGATGACGGAGTTTTCGTACTTGGAATATCTGGAATATCTTCAGTTATTGGTTTGGAAAAACTGGTACCCAAGATTTCGTCATCTTCACTTTCACTAAACATAGATGGGATCTTTGGTGCAACCTTTTTCGGAGGTGGAGGTGCCACTTCCTTCTTCTTAACCACAGGTGTTACCTTCTTCAAACTGGAAATAATATCTGGTGTTGATTCCTTTTTAATCGCTGCTGGAGTGCTTGATTTAGGTGGGGTGATTTTCTTTGTAGCTGGCTTTTTCTTTGGTGGCTCCAGTGAGCTTTCCTTCTTTACGGCTCTCTTTGTACCTCTTTTCTTGGCCCCACCTTTCATTGGTTTCATGTTTGCTCTTTCACGGCGGTCATTCTCCAAGAAGATTTCCCAACTTTCAACAAAATCATCCAAATCTCTATGCCAAAGATCCTTAGCAGATAGTTTCAATAATTCTGTAAGTTCGCTTTCTTTGTTATCTCTTTGTTGCATCAACTTCAAATATCTTTCTCTAGTTAAAGACCAAATTGCCATACCTAACAAGTAATCATAAGTGGAATAGACTGTCTCTGGTCTATTTTCAGAAGTGTCGTCTGGATTTGCTGTAATACTGGCGGTTCCAAGATCTCCACCTTCTCTTTGAATTTCCAATTCTTCTTCATCTGCTAATTCTTCTGCCTTAACTAACAGTGATGAAACTTCAGAATCTTTAACAGGCTTTCCATGTTTATCGAAGCGAACAAATTTAAGCTCTTGTAACTTTTCAACCAATTCAGATCTCTTCTTGTTGGAAACAGACAATTGTTTCTCGATAATTAATTTAATAAATCTGGCCTGTTCACTCAATCTAGTCAATTGATCTTGTAAATCTTCAGCCATAAAATCTTTTCTACGTTGATAATATTCCATTCTAACGTAATAGAAATCTTTTAAGATTTCTTGTGGTGTTTCATATTTTTTGATTCTACCAAGTGGATCAAATGCAACCATATTAGATAAACTGACCGATGAAATCAACTTAAACCTTTCCATTAAACCAGTTCTCAATGACTTGGCCATTTCTTCAGTTGATAATTTCACCACAAATCTAATATTCAGACCATGATATTCTTCAAAATCCTTAATCCATGGTTTAACTTTGTCGGTTCCTAATCCCGACAATAAAAATTCCTTCATAGAATTTGTCCAAGTTTTAACTGGAAGTTCAGTAATTTCAAGAGTAGTTTCGTCGATTTGTTCAATTCTTCCCATTACCTTAAATCTGTCACCATTGGGTTCAATATCACCCTCCCATCCCTTAAACCAAGGAGTCATAGGTTCCATTTCTCTACCATCCATCAAACTTCTAATATTATTGACGATGTCAATCGGATTGTAAGGAGGAATATTAGTGGACCAACCAGTTCCAATACCTTCACCACCATTGACTAAAACCATAGGCAATACTGGTAAGTACCATTCAGGCTCTACGGTTTGCTCATCATCTTGCACATATGTTAATAATGGATTATCAAGAGGGTTAAAGACTTTTCTGGTTATTTCATTTAATTCGGTAAAAATATATCTCGCAGCAGAGAAATCCTTACCACCTGCAGCTCTAGTACCAAAGGCACCATTTGGCTTCAATACATTCAAATTATTTGATCCAATAAAGTTTTGGGCAAGACCAATAATAGTTTGTACCAAAGATTGATCACCATGATGATAAGCGGTAATATCAGAAACATAACCTGCCAAACTCGAAACCTTAATTTCTTGTTTGAGATTCTTCTTAAAACATCCAAATAAAACTTTTCTTTGACCTGGTTTAAGACCATCTAATACAGATGGGATAGATCTAATATTATCAGCCATTGAAAATAAAATCAACTCCTTGTTAATGAATTCACTAATAGGAATTTCCACCAAAGTAGGATCCAAATGGGTTCCTGGAAGATATCCTTGTAACCAATCCTTTCTTTCATCTGCTTTCTTTTTTGAAAATGCCAAGTCAATTAACTCCTTATCATCACCTTGCAAGGCATGGAATTCTTTCAAATGTTTATCCAAGGCAGAAAAGTACTCAATTGCTTCTTTAGGAGTAGAAGTACCTAACCCCTTATAATACTTATGACTCCATCTACAGGTTGCTCCTTCATTTGATCTCCAATTTTCAAAATCTGGCATGTTATAGAATGGGATAACTTGAGCAGCACTTCCACGACCCTTGATAGATACCTTGATAATGGGAGTAATAAATTCAAGAAGAAATCCTGGAATTTCAAGTAAACCTGGGAAACTGGTTTCCAAGAAGTTAATGATCAACCCCTTAATATGGGAACCATCAGTATCTTGATCGGTCATGATCATGATGTGGCCATATCTAAGAGTTTTGATATTATCTGGAGTATAATGCTTTTTATGTTGCAAACCAATAATTTGCTTAAGTGCAGTAATTTCAGCATTTTTGGACACTTGATCTGTCAGAGCTTCTCTAACATTCAAAAGTTTACCTCTCAAGGGGAAACATCCATAATGATCCCTACCAACCACGGTTAACCCAGCCACTGCTAACGACAACGCGGAGTCACCTTCTGTCAAAATAAGGGTACACTTATAACCTTGACTTGTTCCGGCCTTGTTGGCATCAACTAACTTGACTTGTCCCTTGATTCTCAGTCTTCTACTACCATCATCCTTCTGAAGTTGTTTGTCTTCATTTCTGGTTGAAATTTCTTTAATCTTATTAACAATACTAGTCTTCAAAATCTTATTAATGAAAACATCACTAACAGTCACTTTACCTCCAAATTGACTGGTTTTCGTTGTAAGTTGTTCCTTTGTTTGGGATGTAAACGCTGGGTTTTCAATAAGAGAATTAACAAACAAAAACATATTATTTCTTACTTCCCATGGTTTAATCATAAGTTTCTTTTTACCCTTCTCTTTCTTAGAAATCGCTTCAACAAGTTTGTTGATGATTTGATCGGAAATATATTTGACATGTGTACCACCACTTGTAGTTGCAATAGAATTTACAAAACTGACTTGATTGAAAACTCCATCACTAACAGCAAATGCCAATTCCCACCGGTCATTGATCACTTCGTGTACAATGGTAAGAGCCTTCTTATCTTCTTCGGACTCTTCTTGGTCGCCACCTTTCTGTTTGATGGCTTGAACGTACATTTCAACATAACCCTTGAAATTACGGATATTCAATTTTTTGTCATTCAAATAAACATTACAATCTTTTACAGTCCCACATAAATCGTAGACTCTTCTTCTCATGACTGAAAGGGTTTGTTCATCCAAAGTTTCCATTCCAAACCTGGCTAAGTCAGGTTTGAATGTCACCTTGGTGTACTCCTTCTTACTTTTCAACTTGGTAATCTTTGGTTTTCCCACCTGAGACATGTTTTTAGTCCATGTCTGCTTATATAACGATTGGGTATTAAGATCGGCAGTTTCCAAATGGAACTCATTGGAGAAAATATTACAAAGTTTGGCACCGTACCCGTTACGTCCACCAGTCACCTTTTTCTCATCATCATCATAATTTGAAGATGTCAATAAATTACCAAAAATCAATTCTGGAATGTAGATCTTTTCCTTGTCATGGATCTCGATTGGGATACCACGACCATCGTTGGTAACTTCAATTGTGTTCAGCTCCGCGTCTAACTTGACCCGGATGTTTTTCATCGATGGGTCTCTAATTTTATTATCAGCAGCATTCACCAAAATTTCATCGAAAATTTTGTAAAGCCCTGGAACAATGGTCACTTCCTTGTACACCATGGACTCTGTCTGCGCGTCAAAGCACCACATCTCCATGGGGGTCTTCTCGACAGACCCAATGTACGTGTCTGGTCTGATCAAAATATGATCCAATTGAGATAACTTCTTGTATTGTTCTGATGCATTCCCCTTCCTTGCGTTGGGCGCACTTGGAGGCGTGCCAGTTCTGGAAGAATCATTCTTTGAAGGTGCGATCTCTTCTGAAAACGACTCATCGGAGACGTAATCTGATTCGGAGTCACTCATATCTTAGTGATACAATCTCTAGAATACTGTGGAGTGGTGTCTGTTTTTTTACAGCCAAATTTTCCCTAAATTTTTGAATGTTTTGATCCCGCAAACAAACTGTACGCGGAATCTACGCGTGTCTTTTAAGCGCTTATCTTGTTATATGTAGGAAATGGATAGTCAGTAGAGGGACCATATAACAGATGGACGGTATGTTATTCTATTATTCTAGTTCTACAAGTCGGATATGAAGTTTTGTAATGTAACGGAAAAAACTGGATCTTTTATTAATGATTTAGGTAACGTTCATTAATGTTTAAATTGTTTATGTAGATATGAACGACAGTAGATGAGCTGCTACTTGAAGGATGAAACACCAAATTTCAAGAGAATCACAAATAAGTAGCAAGAGTTAAGAGTCTCTCTTGAGAACATGGTTTTGTTTGACCAAGGGTTCCCGGGGAAGGAAGTTCGATTCGCAATCTTGAAATTAAGACGATTTATTAAATAGGGTAGAAATTGTAAGTCGTTCTATGGAACCTTGGATGAACGAATAGTTGAACCTTTATGTTTGGTTATTATGTGAATTCATGATAAAAAGTCTTAGCAAACTTGATGCTCCTTCACAATATTATTATTTTACTATGGGTATCATTTTCTAGATATATTGTTTTGGCTATCAATAAATTTATCTCTACAGTTCGACTATTCATTACAACTACAACTAAAGTGTATTCTGTTCTGTACAAATAAAAATTATTCTTTATTATGAGAGCTTATATACTTTAAATTTTATACTCTTCAATGCACGTCTTTCTCTTTATCGCTTCTTTTTCATCTCCCTTTGTATGCGTTCAAATTCATCATCATCAATATCTTTGCTTCTCTTTTTACCCCTCTTACCTCCATATTTCAGCTCAAGCTTCCCAATTAAATCATCTAATCTACCTGATTGACGCGACTTTATTAATGCTGCTAAATCTCCTTCATTCTTAATCTTTTTACCTCCTTTAATTTTCTTTTCCAATTCTTCAGCTTCTTTGGCCTCCTTACTAAGCTTTTTAAGCATTTGTTTCACCTTTGTTTTCCTGGTTTTACAATATTTACTCCATACTTTTCCTGCATCAGTGTCAAGAGAAATGGTCCCCTCTTTAATCCCAGTCTCAATTAATTGATATACTCTATCTTCCTGTATCTCATCAAATTCCAAATGTGGGATTACTTCGAATAATTTGATAAAATCTCCTTCATAATAAATAAAATTTTGAATTATATCATTTTTTTCCTCAACTGATCCTTGATATTTTATTTTATCTTCTTCAATCATTTCTATGGTTATCTTTTCATTTGTATTATCAAAATATTCTTTCCAATCAAATCCTTCTCCTTCTTCTCCTTCCTCTGAAGAATCTCCGAGCCACCCACTGGTGTCATATCTTTGTCTTTTATTGGAATCAGAAAGTATACTGTATGAAAATTGAATCTTTGGAAATAAGTCTTCATCACTAACTTCTAAACTACTCTGTTGAAGCTTATCTGGGTGATACTTTAAACATAATTTCTTGTATGATTTTTTTATTTCAAGTGGTGTACTGGATTTAGAAACTTCTAAAACTTCATATGGATCAATATCTGGGAATGGTATAGTCATATTTATTAGATAAAATATGGGAAAGTATGATTTTAAAAAATTGATTCAATCATTTTTATTTTTCATCTTTATAAAAATATCTGATTTAAATTTCCTGTATCTAAAAATAAAGAGCTACTAATAAGAGAGAGAACAAATACACAAGCATGTTAAACAAATACAGAAGCATGTTGTTCATTCATGTTTTCTTCTTGTATATTGTTGATCTTATAGGGGTGGTGGGTAGTTCATTTTCTGTAAGAGAATCTTCTGCTGGTCCTTTGTTTAACTACTAGCAACCTTTTTTTTTGCATTTCTGTGTATCACAGAAGTCGTCATGGCTGCAAGTGGTGCCCTCAATTGAATCGCCAACCAATAAACCATCTAAACACCGAAAAACATTTAAAATTCTTGTACTCTAATTCCCTCTTAATATCATATTTAATGTTAAATTGAAATAAATATTATATAATTCTAAACAATACACTCTGTTTCCCACCCCTAAAATTTACTTAATATTCATTTGAGTTCGTCTAAAGATTCAGAAATAGCCTTGGAGATCTTTTCAACGTGACCTTCGTAAACAGAGACACCCATGTGACCAACTCTGAAATACTTACCAACCAAAGCCTTGTGAATTCCTCCTGCAACAGTGAAACCCTTGGTTCCCAACTTGGCCAAAAGGTCAGCCCCATTGATTCCCTCTGGGAAATAAACGGCAGTCAACCCATTGGCAGCAACCTCTTCATTCTTTGGTAAAATCTTTAAACCTAACTTAGACAAGTAAGCCTTGAAATCCTTAGAAACTTGTGCATGTTTAGCAAATCTTTGATCTAATGTTTCACTCAAAATTTCATCCAAGGAGACCTTCAAGGCAGTGACAGTTTGAACGGCTGGGGTGGCAAAATAAGCACCGGAACCACTTTCGTATGCCTTCATGATAGGAGTCCATTTCTTCAAAGAGGCAAAGTACAGGGAGTCCTTTTCTCTACCTAAGGCTTTTTCCACGGCTCTAGAGGAAGCGTAGAAGATCGACAAACCAGCTGGAACTCCAATTGCCTTTTGAGAAGCAGTGAGGGCAAAATCAACACCCCAGTTGTCAAACTCCAAGTTTTCCACTCCAATGGAGCAAACACCGTCGACAATAATTAAGGTTTCAGGAGAAACCTTCTTAACAACCTCGGAAATGGCCTTAACGTCACTGACAACAGAAGTGGAGGTGTCAACATGAGTAATGGTAATAGCCTTATAAGATTCAGCCTTGAGCTTTTCTTCAATGGTGGAGAGCGGAACAACGTCACCGACTTCGGCGGTAACAACATCAACATCAGCATCGTAAACCTTGAGACAATCAGCAAATGAATCGGAAAAGAATCCAGTAGACAACACCAAAACCTTATCACCAGGAGTGATCAAGTTGGCGGCAGCAACATCCCAACCTAAAGTACCAGACCCGGCCAAAACATATGGTTGTGCCTTTGGGTCGGTGGACTTGAAAAGCTTTCTCAAGTTTTGCAATGTTGATTGGAAAGTCTTGACAAACTCAGGGGAAGTGTGGGCTTGAGAAGGAGTCGACATGGCATAAAGGACAGAGTCGGAAAACTCAATTGGCCCCGGGATCATGGTGAGCTTGTGGGCTGGTTGCTTGTATGGTACGGACATGGTTGTGGAGAAAAATCTAGGCTTGATACGAAGTCTATTCAACATATAGTTTGGAGAAAAGAAAAAGACTACGATTTGGATTTTTTTAAAATGGTGAAATCTTTACAAAGTAGAAAATTTGGAGTTGGGCACCTTTGACATGATTCGCGCATATGCCCGGGGCAAGAAAACTGATAACGCAATGTATTACTGGAGTGCCTACATATTGCAAGTCTACGGTAAATTTCGATGGTCGAGAGAGACTGTGAGTACCACTTTATAAATTGGTAGTCCCCAAGTGTCGTCAAGTGTTGAATTTGTTTAATGTGGGTTGTCGGTTAATCGCAATTAATTTGCTGCCTGAAATTAATACGTGGGGTAGAACTTGTGGGATTCTTGTTCAAATTGGGCATGCATTTCCGCGTGTCCGCGCGTGTTATGAGTCTATCGCAGTGAATATGCAGTACATAAGTGGTCTCCAGCAAAAATATTTTTTATTTTCTTGCTCCTCTCTAATCACTTAGTTATTCGTAGAGTAAACTGACACAAATAAGATGAGTTAGAAAAATCAGTCTATTGCCTGTTCATACTGGTCAAGTTGTCAAAAAAATGAGGGGGTGAAAAACTAAGATAGAAAAAAAAATAAAAAAAGAAATGAATTGCTGGTGTTAATGATACCCGCGAGATTCGAACTCGCGCCTCCGGAGAGACCAGGACCTTACCCTGGCGCCTTAGACCAACTCGGCCAGAGTACCCAATTCATGTTAGTTTTCTATTCATGAGACGTTGTACAGTCTGTCGTACACCCGTACACCCAGGCTAATTCAAGCTGCCTTTTTCATCAACTTTTAAGCATTTAAAATAAGAAAATACCGCTGTATAGACATCAGATATATAGATAGTTACCTGGATATGTTGTCTCATATGGAATAATTATGTATTTAAGGACTTGCGTAGATTTTTACTTACCTTTCAGAAAATAATAATATTGTGCAAAAGCAAGAAGTATATAAAAAAAATAACTTTACCATTTTCTTGATACTTGACTATTATGGAATCGATACAAGGAATGGGTCTACAAATATCCCCAAAGATTGGATCAATATAGATTAGATTGAAATTATGATTGAAGAGTCTGACCTTTGGTAGTTTACTTACTGTATTCAGATTATTATTGATTTGCTTTTGATTCTACCAACTTAATTATTACGACCTACACAATTTGTCTGGTTTCTAGGCCATTTCTCGAATAGATTCCCTGTAGGTCAACTTGCTAGTAATTTTCATTAGGTTGTATACAGCTAATAATATATACTACCACAATTGAGTTTCATAACTAGAGAAAACAGATGAAAACACTATGTCGAAAAACCTGTGATCTTGCAACCATTTTTTTTACATCCGCACACCGTATTTAGTTCTTGAATGAAAGATGATATACAAAGGGTTTATTTATTTTGAAAGAAAGAAGTGTATATCGTCAGTGACATACATAATATTAATTCAGACTATACACGAGGAAATATTGAATAGCCAACTACGTTAAATAAATATCGAGAAACACCGCAAGGGAACTCAGAATTTGCAACAAGATAGGTTTTCGGAACACAAATAAATGTGTTAAATGTTAAGTGTTTCAGCACTGTAAATGTTTCCACCACTAACAGATTCTTCTCAATGGTATTGTAGCTTCCGATTTTTAGAAGTCCATGTACTGTTAATACTTGAAATCCTTTTCATTTTCTTAAATTGGTACACATAACTCTGAAATAGAATAGTAGGTTGACTAATTTGGTTTATAAAAGACTATGGGCAAGTATTCTCATAGAAGTTAACAAATGGAATATCTAATTTCATATTTAGACTATTCCATTCAAGGTTTGGAAAGTACAGCAGTGATTAAATTTACCACCAGAAGTGAACTCGTTAAGAGTTGACCAAAATACCCAAGGCATTGCAAATATTCCTAATCAGGGACGTGGAAGGAATGTGATATATTATTCTTCTCATATGCATAAATTTACGCTGCGTCACAAAATATTTCCAGATTTGGTGTAACTGTTGATCATACTCAGACGAAATCTCTCTTTGCATCAAGTTTTACCGAGTTCTACTTGAATTAGGAGTAGTAATATCTGATGAAAGATGAAATTTTAGAGAAACCATGGGCTAACGTGTCGGATTTTTTAGAGTGGCCCCACGTATAATTCTCAAGAGCACTGCCTTTTGATAACACTACTACAATTGCAATAATTTGTTGTTCATAGTGATCACTCTCAAAACTATATCAGTGTTGTCTACTTCTAATGAAAGTGAGGTACAATCACAGATCTAAGTACTTATACGAGATATCGAACCATATTTGACAACAGGGGTATTAGATGATATGCATGTCGGTGTTCTTATTTTGGTGGTTGTGCGCATGTGGGATTCTCCAAAAATCACCTCTCACAATTAAAGACACAGTTAAATTTTATAGGGCTAATAGTAGCTAACAAAAGTTGATTTTTGCTAACTATGAGAAGTACACATGGGAGAGGGTAACAAATTGACGTCCTCTGAATCGTATATATATATAATATATATATATTTTTCATGTGACAACCCATTACATAGGTTTTATAGTTAGTTGCAAAAATTTCAATTTTTCATTCCTTTTTATAATTTCTTAATAGTACGAATTGTTAACATAATGCCAATAAATTTGGGAGAAACATATTCTAAAGGGTAGTCTGAAAACTATTCCCAATGTAAAAACACATTCTAAACCAGATTCTACGAAAAAGGACTTAAAGATATGGTAACATGTTCAGGATTATATACAAATCCAACTGTCCAAACCAGCTATCTCTAATTCACAGAAGCAACGTGGATATAGTACAAGTTCACCCAAAATTATATTCAAGGGAGACCTTTCTAGGGTTTGGTTCTTCTCATATTTTTGAGACAGACTCAACACAGAATCACTATTATAAATACATGTACGTTCTAACCATTGACTAACTAATTGGTATCTTTTAGTACTCTCGTATCACCCAGAAGCTGAAATATCATCTAAAGATGAACAGAAGAAGTTCTCTATCGCTTGGTGAGTCCACCAATTTCATATGTTTGAGAAATCGTAAATAGTAATTTCATCTGATATATATAATGCGCATCCGTACACCAGCAGTAAACTTTACAATATTTGAAAACGAGAAATCTCCACAATGTATCAAAGCCAGTCCAAATGAATCTAGCATTGTTCGTCTTGTCAACTTTTAGGACATGAAAATTGTAGCGACAAAATATCTGCATATATATTCTTGAAATTCAATACTCCATAAAATCTTAATAACCACCAAAACGCGTCTATATGATCCACGAACCTGCTAATCCATCGATTGTTATCACACACAGCCTAACATTGACGCGTATTGCGTCGAGGAAGAATTGGTACCACCTACAGGCGACAGAGGGCAAGCCACTACATTCTGCCGCTCATTAAAGAAGTAGGTTAGGATAGACAGCAGGGCAGTAATATTTTTTACTTTTATTCCACATGTCCAAGTACATGCAGAGCAATATCACTATGAAGATATTTCAGCATTTTCAAGCGTAATTTACACGATTCTGAAATACGAGGGAGGAACATTCATGGTGGAGATATAAACCACACATTGGGCCTCAAGATCCATATCTATGATTGAAAATAAACGCTACTGTAAGGGTTTTTCATCCGCTCCTTGGACTCGATCATTCTCTATAATCCAATTATCGTGCTTTGGTAAACCTCGATTTATATTTACCATACGGTATCAGGATGGGCATGCGTGGATGGATATGCGGTGTACGTATCTTCCCTGAAATGCGCGTAGGGTATGGATGGGGTCGCATGCATGAGTTACATAATCCAGATACCCATCTCTTATATCGGCTTACCAAGATGAAATTCTGGTAGTACTATTCATATTTTTTTATTAGATGAGTGGGTATGAAATGAATTGATACATCCACATATTTACATTTCTCAGAAATGTGAGAACAGGGACATTGCAACAGCATGCTAGCATATCTGCCGGGTAGAGGTGAATATAGTTACGGTTGCACTCTAATAAACAGATCAATTAAATATTCGTAACTTGGATTTACAACAGCGACCAATTGGGACCACAACTTTAATGGTCTGATTTAAGTGAGACGACCTTGCTGTTGGTGGAAGTGTTTGATTCATACCTTGCATGTATGCGAGTGGATCTCGGCTTTAGGGAACCGCGGCTCGAAGATGGGTATGCATGGCCCGCTAACATGATGCAGTGCAACATTTACTGGCCGAAAAATTTACGCATTGGTGATTGCAAATCTTGTAGATCTTCCCCTGCTTATATAAATAGTATTAAGGTTTCTTCATTTGGTCGCAGGGCGAAAAGTTGCTTTACAAGAAACTCACAATTTACATTATTCTGCTCGAGCGATGCGACTAGGTTCAATATTGAAGCTATTTGTCACTGCTCTAGCGGCAGTACCCACATATGGGCAAACGATTTCAAAGAATACGGACACGAGTGGTCCTGTTAACATTGTTGGAGATATTTTAGTCAACAGAGGAGTATGGTGGTCTATCGATAACTGGATCAATCCCGTATTCCAAGTTCCGGTTAATATTCAAGGTCTGTGGTACATTTACTTGAATGTACCGGGAACACCGTTGACGATCCGTCAAAATCATGGTAACTTCTATAATGTAGGAGGTTTGATAATGTTCAAGGCTAGTGGGTCAAATCCCGATATTTTGATAAATGGGGGATCTTTTATGAACACAGGTGACTTTTTCATGGTTGCCGAAGACCTGGACAGTGCAATATTCACTATCGATTCTAGTAGTTGGGATAATATGAAAGGAGGATCAGTATACCTTTATTCTACTGCCCGATTAGGACAAGTGGCAAAACTTCAACATGGTGACAATGGTTTGTTTTCAAACAATGGTCAAATTTGTTTAAGAAATATGTGGTGGATGGCTGTTTCCAATGTTAGAGGTAGCGGTTGTATTGATGTTGGTGTAAACTCAGTATTTCAATATACAGTGACGAATATCCCAATCGATAACACACAACTTATTAATCTTTCCACGCCCTCTTCTACTTTATACGTAGGGTCACAGGGCCAAGGAGAATTTTTGGTTGCTGGCTTTGGAGGGGGAAATACCATTTGTATTACCCGACCCATTAAGCTGGCTACCTACTATGCCAGCTCTAAACTTTTGCTGTTGGTTGCAGACACTATAACTATAAATCTTCGGATTGGTGGTGGATATGATCCCAGCCTTTTCAAAATCACGCTGGTGGACCTTGGACCTGGAATAGGTTTATCTCTATATAATGCAGCTTGCCAATATACTGGACCCGTTCCATCTGAAAGTTCTCCCAACTCACAATGTACAGTTTGTAAGGATGAACCAGACTACCCACCACACGAAGAACATACTACCACAATAACTACTTCATGGACTGGTCATTTCACATCCACATCCACTATCAAACCGAACAATCCTGATGGAACTACCACGATTGAGATTTTGACGCCTGACCACACCACTACGGTGACTACTTCATGGACCGGACATTTCACTTCGACCAGTACTATCACCCCTGACGACCCCGAGGGCACTACCACGATTGAGATTTTGACACCTGACCACACCACGACGGTGACTACGTCATGGACCGGACATTTCACTTCGACCAGTACTATTGTGCCTAGTGATCCTGATGGAACTACCACGATTGAGATTTTGACGCCTGACCACACCACTACGGTGACTACTTCATGGACCGGACATTTCACATCGACCAGTACTATCACCCCTGACGACCCCGAGGGCACTACCACGATTGAGATTTTGACGCCTGACCACACCACTACGGTGACTACTTCATGGACCGGACATTTTACTTCGACCAGTACTATTGTGCCTAGTGATCCTGATGGAACTACTACGATTGAGATTTTGACACCTGACCACACCACTACGGTGACTACTTCATGGACCGGACATTTCACTTCAACCAGTACTATTGTGCCTAGTGATCCTGATGGAACTACCACGATTGAGATTTTGACACCTGACCACACCACTACGGTGACTACGTCATGGACCGGACATTTCACTTCGACCAGTACTATTGTGCCTAGTGATCCTGATGGAACTACCACGATTGAGATTTTGACACCTGACCACACCACTACGGTGACTACGTCATGGACCGGACATTTCACTTCAACCAGTACTATTGTGCCTAGTGATCCTGATGGAACTACCACGATTGAGATTTTGACACCTGACCACACCACTACGGTGACTACGTCATGGACCGGACATTTCACTTCAACCAGTACTATTGTGCCTAGTCATCCTGATGGCACTACCACGATTGAGATTTTGACGCCTGACCACACCACTACGGTGACTACTTCATGGACCGGACATTTTACTTCGACCAGTACTATTGTGCCTAGTGATCCTGATGGAACTACTACGATTGAGATTTTGACACCTGACCACACCACTACGGTGACTACTTCATGGACCGGACATTTCACTTCAACCAGTACTATTGTGCCTAGTGATCCTGATGGAACTACCACGATTGAGATTTTGACACCTGACCACACCACTACGGTGACTACGTCATGGACCGGACATTTCACTTCGACCAGTACTATTGTGCCTAGTGATCCTGATGGAACTACCACGATTGAGATTTTGACACCTGACCACACCACTACGGTGACTACGTCATGGACCGGACATTTCACTTCAACCAGTACTATTGTGCCTAGTCATCCTGATGGCACTACCACGATTGAGATTTTGACACCTGACCACACCACTACGGTGACTACTTCATGGACCGGACATTTCACTTCAACCAGTACTATTGTGCCTAGTGATCCTGATGGAACTACCACGATTGAGATTTTGACGCCTGACCACACCACTACGGTGACTACTTCATGGACCGGACATTTCACATCGACCAGTACTATTGTGCCTAGTGATCCTGATGGAACTACCACGATTGAGATTTTGACACCTGACCACACCACTACGGTGACTACGTCATGGACCGGACATTTCACTTCGACCAGTACTATTGTGCCTAGTGATCCTGATGGAACTACCACGATTGAGATTTTGACACCTGACCACACCACTACGGTGACTACGTCATGGACCGGACATTTCACTTCGACCAGTACTATTGTGCCTAGTGATCCTGATGGAACTACCACGATTGAGATTTTGACACCTGACCACACCACTACGGTGACTACGTCATGGACCGGACATTTCACTTCAACCAGTACTATTGTGCCTAGTCATCCTGATGGCACTACCACGATTGAGATTTTGACACCTGACCACACCACTACGGTGACTACTTCATGGACCGGACATTTCACTTCAACCAGTACTATTGTGCCTAGTGATCCTGATGGAACTACCACGATTGAGATTTTGACACCTGACCACACCACTACGGTGACTACGTCATGGACCGGACATTTCACTTCAACCAGTACTATTGTGCCTAGTGATCCTGATGGAACTACCACGATTGAAATTTTGACGCCTGACCACACCACTACGGTGACTACTTCATGGACCGGGCATTTCACTTCAACCAGTACTATCACCCCTGACGACCCCGAGGGCACTACCACGATTGAGATTTTGACGCCTGACCACACCACTACGGTGACTACTTCATGGACCGGACATTTTACTTCAACCAGTACTATTGTGCCTAGTGATCCTGATGGAACTACCACGATTGAGATTTTGACGCCTGACCACACCACTACGGTGACTACTTCATGGACCGGACATTTCACATCGACCAGTACTATCACCCCTGACGACCCCGAGGGCACTACCACGATTGAGATTTTGACGCCTGACCACACCACTACGGTGACTACTTCATGGACCGGACATTTTACTTCGACCAGTACTATTGTGCCTAGTGATCCTGATGGAACTACTACGATTGAGATTTTGACACCTGACCACACCACTACGGTGACTACTTCATGGACCGGACATTTCACTTCAACCAGTACTATTGTGCCTAGTGATCCTGATGGCACTACCACGATTGAGATTTTGACACCTGACCACACCACGACGGTGACTACGTCATGGACCGGACATTTCACTTCAACCAGTACTATTGTGCCTAGTGATCCTGATGGCACTACCACGATTGAGATTTTGACACCTGACCACACCACGACGGTGACTACGTCATGGACCGGACATTTCACTTCGACCAGTACTATTGTGCCTAGTGATCCTGATGGAACTACCACGATTGAGATTTTGACACCTGACCACACCACTACGGTGACTACGTCATGGACCGGACATTTCACTTCAACCAGTACTATTGTGCCTAGTGATCCTGATGGAACTACCACGATTGAGATTTTGACACCTGACCACACCACTACGGTGACTACGTCATGGACCGGACATTTCACATCGACCAGTACTATCACCCCTGACGACCCCGAGGGCACTACCACGATTGAGATTTTGACGCCTGACCACACCACTACGGTGACTACTTCATGGACCGGGCATTTCACTTCGACCAGTACTATTGTGCCTAGTGATCCTGATGGAACTACCACGATTGAGATTTTGACGCCTGACCACACCACTACGGTGACTACTTCATGGACCGGACATTTCACATCGACCAGTACTATCACCCCTGACGACCCCGAGGGCACTACCACGATTGAGATTTTGACGCCTGACCACACCACTACGGTGACTACTTCATGGACCGGACATTTTACTTCGACCAGTACTATTGTGCCTAGTGATCCTGATGGAACTACTACGATTGAGATTTTGACACCTGACCACACCACTACGGTGACTACGTCATGGACCGGACATTTCACTTCGACCAGTACTATTGTGCCTAGTGATCCTGATGGAACTACCACGATTGAGATTTTGACGCCTGACCACACCACTACGGTGACTACTTCATGGACCGGACATTTCACATCGACCAGTACTATCACCCCTGACGACCCCGAGGGCACTACCACGATTGAGATTTTGACACCTGACCACACCACTACGGTGACTACGTCATGGACCGGACATTTCACTTCAACCAGTACTATTGTGCCTAGTGATCCTGATGGCACTACCACGATTGAGATTTTGACACCTGACCACACCACTACGGTGACTACGTCATGGACCGGACATTTCACATCGACCAGTACTATCACCCCTGACGACCCCGAGGGCACTACCACGATTGAGATTTTGACGCCTGACCACACCACTACGGTGACTACTTCATGGACCGGACATTTCACTTCGACCAGTACTATTGTGCCTAGTCATCCTGATGGCACTACCACGATTGAGATTTTGACGCCTGACCACACCACTACGGTGACTACTTCATGGACCGGACATTTCACTTCAACCAGTACTATTGTGCCTAGTGATCCTGATGGCACTACCACGATTGAGATTTTGACACCTGACCACACCACGACGGTGACTACGTCATGGACCGGACATTTCACTTCGACCAGTACTATTGTGCCTAGTGATCCTGATGGAACTACCACGATTGAGATTTTGACGCCTGACCACACCACGACAATAACAACTGTCTGGACTGGTGATGTCACTTCAACTTCGACTTTATATCCTGAAGATCCCGATGGAACTACTACAATTGAGATATTGACTCCATCTTCTGTTAGCTCCACAACATCAAGCACAACACCATCTTCCAGTTCCACTAAAGTATCAAGTTCATTACCGGTATCATCAAGCATTCCAAGTTCTGAATCCATACCAAGCAGTACAAATGAATCGACCTCGAATCCAGAATCATCAACAGGTTCAACTTCAAGTATTCCAACAGATTCCAGTGTGTCACCTACTTCAGCTTCTGGCTCCGCTTCTGGTTCAGCTTCTGGCTCAGCTTCCGAATCTGGTTCTGTTACTCCATCTGGCTCTGCCTCTGGATCCGCATCATCAGGTTCTGCATCTGGATCTCGCTCCGCTTCTGGTTCAGCTTCTGGTTCAGCTTCTGGCTCTGCTTCCGAATCTGGTTCTGTTACTCCATCTGGCTCTGCCTCTGGATCTGCCTCTGAATCAGGCTCCGCTTCTGGATCTGGCTCCGCTTCTGGTTCAGCTTCCGAATCTGGTTCTGTTACTCCATCTGGCTCTGCCTCTGGATCCGCATCATCAGGTTCTGCCTCTGGATCTGGCTCCGCTTCTGGTTCCGCTTCTGGCTCTGCTTCCGAATCAGGTTCTGTTACTCCATCTGGCTCTGCCTCTGGATCCGCATCATCAGGTTCTGCATCTGGATCCAGTTCCGCTTCTGGTTCAGCTTCCGAATCTGGTTCTGTTACTCCATCTGGCTCTGCCTCTGGATCCGCATCATCAGGTTCTGCATCTGGATCCGGTTCCGCTTCCGGTTCAGCTTCTGGCTCAGCTTCTGGCTCAGCTTCTGGTTCAGCTTCCGAATCTGGTTCTGTTACTCCATCTGGCTCTGCCACTGGATCTGCCTCTGAATCAGGCTCCGCTTCTGGATCTGGCTCCGCTTCTGGTTCAGCTTCCGAATCTGGTTCTGTTACTCCATCTGGCTCTGCCTCTGGATCCGCATCATCAGGTTCTGCATCTGGATCTGGCTCCGCTTCTGGTTCCGCTTCTGGCTCTGCTTCCGAATCAGGTTCTGTTACTCCATCTGGCTCTGCCTCTGGATCCGCATCATCAGGTTCTGCATCTGGATCCGGTTCCGCTTCTGGTTCCGCTTCTGGCTCAGCTTCTGGCTCAGCTTCTGGCTCAGCTTCTGGTTCAGCTTCCGAATCTGGTTCTGTTACTCCATCTGGCTCTGCCTCTGGATCTGCCTCTGAATCAGGCTCCGCTTCTGGATCTGGCTCCGCTTCTGGTTCAGCTTCCGAATCTGGTTCTGTTACTCCATCTGGCTCTGCCTCTGGATCCGCATCATCAGGTTCTGCATCTGGATCCGGTTCCGCTTCCGGTTCAGCTTCTGGCTCAGCTTCTGGCTCAGCTTCTGGTTCAGCTTCCGAATCTGGTTCTGTTACTCCATCTGGCTCTGCCTCTGGATCTGCCTCTGAATCAGGCTCCGCTTCTGGATCTGGCTCAGCTTCTGGTTCAGCTTCCGAATCTGGTTCTGTTACTCCATCTGGCTCTGCCTCTGGATCCACATCATCAGGTTCTGCATCTGGATCCAGTTCCGCTTCTGGTTCAGCTTCCGAATCTGGTTCTGTTACTCCATCTGGCTCTGCCTCTGGATCCGCATCATCAGGTTCTGCATCTGGATCCGGTTCCGCTTCTGGTTCAGCTTCTGGCTCAGCTTCTGGCTCAGCTTCTGGTTCAGCTTCCGAATCTGGTTCTGTTACTCCATCTGGCTCTGCCTCTGGATCTGCCTCTGAATCAGGCTCCGCTTCTGGATCTGGCTCCGCTTCTGGTTCAGCTTCCGAATCTGGTTCTGTTACTCCATCTGGCTCTGCCTCTGGATCCGCATCATCAGGTTCTGCATCTGGATCCGGTTCCGCTTCTGGTTCAGCTTCTGGCTCAGCTTCTGGCTCAGCTTCTGGCTCAGCTTCTGGTTCAGCTTCCGAATCTGGTTCTGTTACTCCATCTGGCTCTGCCTCTGGATCCGCATCATCAGGTTCTGCATCTGGATCCGGCTCCGCTTCTGGTTCAGCTACTGGTTCAGCTTCTGGCTCTGCTTCCGAATCTGGTTCTGTTACTCCATCTGGCTCTGCCTCTGGATCTGCCTCTGGATCTGCCTCTGAATCTGGCTCCGCTTCTGGATCCGGTTCAGCTTCTGGCTCAGCTTCTGGCTCTGCTTCCGAATCTGGTTCTGTTACTCCATCTGGCACTGCCTCTGGATCTGCCTCTGAATCAGGCTCCGCTTCTGGATCTGGTTCCGCTTCTGGTTCAGCTTCTGGCTCAGCTTCTGGCTCAGCTTCTGGTTCAGCTTCCGAATCTGGTTCTGTTACTCCATCTGGCTCTGCCTCTGGATCCGCATCATCAGGTTCTGCATCTGGATCCGGTTCCGCTTCTGGATCAGCTTCTGGCTCAGCTTCTGGTTCAGCTTCCGAATCTGGTTCTGTTACTCCATCTGGCTCTGCCTCTGGATCCGCATCATCAGGTTCTGCCTCTGGATCTGGCTCCGCTTCTGGTTCAGCTTCCGAATCTGGTTCTGTTACTCCATCTGGCTCTTCCTCTGGATCCGCATCATCAGGTTCTGCATCTGGATCCGGTTCCGCTTCTGGATCAGCTTCTGGCTCAGCTTCTGGCTCAGCTTCTGGTTCAGCTTCCGAATCTGGTTCTGTTACTCCATCTGGCTCTGCCTCTGGATCCGCATCATCAGGTTCTGCCTCTGGATCTGGCTCCGCTTCTGGTTCCGCTTCTGGCTCTGCTTCCGAATCAGGTTCTGTTACTCCATCTGGCTCTGCCTCTGGATCCGCATCATCAGGTTCTGCATCTGGATCCAGTTCCGCTTCTGGTTCAGCTTCCGAATCTGGTTCTGTTACTCCATCTGGCTCTGCCTCTGGATCCGCATCATCTGGCTCAGCTTCTGGCTCAGCTTCTGGTTCAGCTTCCGAATCTGGTTCTGTTACTCCATCTGGCTCTGCCTCTGGATCCGCATCATCAGGTTCTGCATCTGGATCTGGCTCCGCTTCTGGATCTGCTTCTAGCTCTGCTTCCGAATCTGGTTCTGTTACTCCATCTGGCTCTGCCTCTGGATCCGCATCATCAGGTTCTGCATCTGGATCCGGTTCCGCTTCTGGATCAGCTTCTGGCTCAGCTTCTGGTTCAGCTTCCGAATCTGGTTCTGTTACTCCATCTGGCTCTGCCTCTGGATCCGCATCATCAGGTTCTGCCTCTGGATCTGGCTCCGCTTCTGGTTCAGCTTCTGGCTCAGCTTCTGGCTCAGCTTCTGGTTCAGCTTCCGAATCTGGTTCTGTTACTCCATCTGGCTCTGCCTCTGGATCCGCATCATCTGGCTCAGCTTCTGGCTCAGCTTCTGGTTCAGCTTCCGAATCTGGTTCTGTTACTCCATCTGGCTCTGCCTCTGGATCCGCATCATCAGGTTCTGCATCTGGATCTGGCTCCGCTTCTGGATCTGCTTCTAGCTCTGCTTCCGAATCTGGTTCTGTTACTCCATCTGGCTCTGCCTCTGGATCCGCATCATCAGGTTCTGCATCTGGATCCGGTTCCGCTTCTGGTTCAGCTTCCGAATCTGGTTCTGTTACTCCATCTGGCTCTGCCTCTGGATCCGCATCATCAGGTTCTGCATCTGGTTCTGGCTCCGCTTCTGGTTCTGGCTCCACTTCTGGTTCTGGCTCCGCTTCTGGTTCAGCTTCCGAATCTGGTTCTGTTACTCCATCTGGCTCTGCCTCTGGATCCGCATCATCAGGTTCTGCATCTGGATCCGGTTCCGCTTCTGGTTCAGCTTCCGAATCTGGTTCTGTTACTCCATCTGGCTCTGTTACTCCATCTGGCTCTGCCTCTGGATCCGCATCATCTGGCTCAGCTTCTGGCTCAGCTTCTGGTTCAGCTTCCGAATCTGGTTCTGTTACTCCATCTGGCTCTGCCTCTGGATCCGCATCATCAGGTTCTGCATCTGGATCTGGCTCCGCTTCTGGATCTGCTTCTGGCTCTGCTTCCGAATCTGGTTCTGTTACTCCATCTGGCTCTGCCTCTGGATCTGCCTCTGGATCTGCCTCTGAATCTGGCTCCGCTTCTGGATCCGGTTCAGCTTCTGGCTCAGCTTCTGGCTCAGCTTCTGGCTCAGCTTCCGAATCTGGTTCTGTTACTCCATCTGGCTCTGCCTCTGGATCTTCCTCTGAATCAGGCTCCGCTTCTGGATCTGGTTCCGCTTCTGGTTCAGCTTCTGGCTCAGCTTCTGGTTCAGCTTCCGAATCTGGTTCTGTTACTCCATCTGGCTCTGCCTCTGGATCCGCATCTTCTGGCTCAGCTTCTGGCTCAGCTTCTGGTTCAGCTTCCGAATCTGGTTCTGTTACTCCATCTGGCTCTGCCTCTGGATCCGCATCATCAGGTTCTGCATCTGGATCCGGTTCCGCTTCTGGTTCAGCTTCTGGCTCCGCTTCTGGCTCAGCTTCTGGCTCAGCTTCTGGTTCAGCTTCCGAATCTGGTTCTGTTACTCCATCTGGCTCTGCCTCTGGATCTGCCTCTGAATCAGGCTCCGCTTCTGGATCTGGTTCCGCTTCTAGCTCTGCTTCCGAATCTGGTTCTGTTACTCCATCTGGCTCTGCCTCTGGATCCACATCATCAGGTTCTGCATCTGGATCCAGTTCCGCTTCTGGTTCAGCTTCCGAATCTGGTTCTGTTACTCCATCTGGCTCTGCCTCTGGATCCGCATCATCAGGTTCTGCATCTGGATCCGGTTCCGCTTCTGGATCAGCTTCTGGCTCAGCTTCTGGCTCAGCTTCTGGTTCAGCTTCCGAATCTGGTTCTGTTACTCCATCTGGCTCTGCCTCTGGATCCGCATCATCAGGTTCTGCCTCTGGATCTGGCTCCGCTTCTGGTTCCGCTTCTGGCTCTGCTTCCGAATCAGGTTCTGTTACTCCATCTGGCTCTGCCTCTGGATCCGCATCATCAGGTTCTGCATCTGGATCCAGTTCCGCTTCTGGTTCAGCTTCCGAATCTGGTTCTGTTACTCCATCTGGCTCTGCCTCTGGATCCGCATCATCTGGCTCAGCTTCTGGCTCAGCTTCTGGTTCAGCTTCCGAATCTGGTTCTGTTACTCCATCTGGCTCTGCCTCTGGATCCGCATCATCAGGTTCTGCATCTGGATCTGGCTCCGCTTCTGGATCTGCTTCTAGCTCTGCTTCCGAATCTGGTTCTGTTACTCCATCTGGCTCTGCCTCTGGATCCGCATCATCAGGTTCTGCATCTGGATCCGGTTCCGCTTCTGGTTCAGCTTCCGAATCTGGTTCTGTTACTCCATCTGGCTCTGCCTCTGGATCCGCATCATCAGGTTCTGCATCTGGTTCTGGCTCCGCTTCTGGTTCTGGCTCCGCTTCTGGTTCTGGCTCCGCTTCTGGTTCAGCTTCCGAATCTGGTTCTGTTACTCCATCTGGCTCTGCCTCTGGATCCGCATCATCAGGTTCTGCATCTGGATCCGGTTCCGCTTCTGGTTCAGCTTCCGAATCTGGTTCTGTTACTCCATCTGGCTCTGTTACTCCATCTGGCTCTGCCTCTGGATCCGCATCATCAGGTTCTGCATCTGGATCCGGTTCCGCTTCTGGTTCAGCTTCTGGCTCAGCTTCTGGTTCAGCTTCTGGCTCAGCTTCTGGTTCAGCTTCTGGTTCAGCTTCCGAATCTGGTTCTGTTACTCCATCTGGCTCTGCCTCTGGATCTGCCTCTGAATCAGGCTCCGCTTCTGGATCTGGTTCCGCTTCTGGTTCAGCTTCTGGCTCAGCTTCTGGTTCAGCTTCTGGCTCAGCTTCTGGTTCAGCTTCCGAATCTGGTTCTGTTACTCCATCTGGCTCTGTTACTCCATCTGGCTCTGCCTCTGGATCCGCATCATCTGGCTCAGCTTCTGGCTCAGCTTCTGGTTCAGCTTCCGAATCTGGTTCTGTTACTCCATCTGGCTCTGCCTCTGGATCCGCATCATCAGGTTCTGCATCTGGATCTGGCTCCGCTTCTGGTTCAGCTACTGGTTCAGCTTCTGGCTCTGCTTCCGAATCTGGTTCTGTTACTCCATCTGGCTCTGCCTCTGGATCTGCCTCTGGATCTGCCTCTGAATCTGGCTCCGCTTCTGGATCCGGTTCAGCTTCTGGCTCAGCTTCTGGCTCAGCTTCTGGCTCAGCTTCTGGCTCAGCTTCCGAATCTGGTTCTGTTACTCCATCTGGCTCTGCCTCTGGATCTTCCTCTGAATCAGGCTCCGCTTCTGGATCTGGTTCCGCTTCTGGTTCAGCTTCTGGCTCAGCTTCTGGTTCAGCTTCCGAATCTGGTTCTGTTACTCCATCTGGCTCTGCCTCTGGATCCGCATCTTCTGGCTCAGCTTCTGGCTCAGCTTCTGGTTCAGCTTCCGAATCTGGTTCTGTTACTCCATCTGGCTCTGCCTCTGGATCCGCATCTTCTGGCTCAGCTTCTGGCTCAGCTTCTGGTTCAGCTTCCGAATCTGGTTCTGTTACTCCATCTGGCTCTGCCTCTGGATCCGCATCATCAGGTTCTGCATCTGGATCCGGTTCCGCTTCTGGTTCAGCTTCTGGCTCCGCTTCTGGCTCAGCTTCTGGCTCAGCTTCTGGTTCAGCTTCCGAATCTGGTTCTGTTACTCCATCTGGCTCTGCCTCTGGATCCGCATCATCAGGTTCTGCATCTGGATCTGGTTCCGCTTCTGGTTCAGCTTCTGGCTCAGCTTCTGGTTCAGCTTCTGGCTCAGCTTCTGGTTCAGCTTCCGAATCTGGTTCTGTTACTCCATCTGGCTCTGCCTCTGGATCCGCATCATCAGGTTCTGCATCTGGATCCGGTTCCGCTTCTGGTTCAGCTTCTGGCTCAGCTTCTGGTTCAGCTTCTGGCTCAGCTTCTGGTTCAGCTTCCGAATCTGGTTCTGTTACTCCATCTGGCTCTGCCTCTGGATCTGCCTCTGAATCAGGCTCCGCTTCTGGATCTGGTTCCGCTTCTGGTTCAGCTTCTGGCTCAGCTTCTGGTTCAGCTTCTGGCTCAGCTTCTGGTTCAGCTTCCGAATCTGGTTCTGTTACTCCATCTGGATCTGGTTCCGCTTCTGGTTCAGCTTCTGGTTCAGCTTCTGGTTCAGCTTCTGGCTCAGCTTCTGGTTCAGCTTCCGAATCTGGTTCTGTTACTCCATCTGGCTCTGCCTCTGGATCCGCATCATCAGGTTCTGCATCTGGATCCGGTTCCGCTTCTGGTTCAGCTTCTGGCTCAGCTTCTGGTTCAGCTTCTGGCTCAGCTTCTGGTTCAGCTTCCGAATCTGGTTCTGTTACTCCATCTGGCTCTGCCTCTGGATCCGCATCATCAGGTTCTGCATCTGGATCCGGTTCCGCTTCTGGTTCAGCTTCTGGCTCAGCTTCTGGCTCAGCTTCTGGCTCAGCTTCTGGTTCAGCTTCCGAATCTGGTTCTGTTACTCCATCTGGCTCTGCCTCTGGATCCGCATCATCAGGTTCTGCATCTGGATCCGGTTCCGCTTCTGGTTCAGCTTCCGAATCTGGTTCTGTTACTCCATCTGGCTCTGCCTCTGGATCCGCATCATCAGGTTCTGCATCTGGATCTGGTTCCGCTTCTGGTTCAGCTTCTGGCTCAGCTTCTGGTTCAGCTTCTGGCTCAGCTTCTGGTTCAGCTTCCGAATCTGGTTCTGTTACTCCATCTGGCTCTGCCTCTGGATCCGCATCTTCTGGCTCAGCTTCTGGCTCAGCTTCTGGTTCAGCTTCCGAATCTGGTTCTGTTACTCCATCTGGCTCTGCCTCTGGATCCGCATCTTCTGGCTCAGCTTCTGGCTCAGCTTCTGGTTCAGCTTCCGAATCTGGTTCTGTTACTCCATCTGGCTCTGCCTCTGGATCCGCATCATCAGGTTCTGCATCTGGATCCGGTTCCGCTTCTGGTTCAGCTTCTGGCTCCGCTTCTGGCTCAGCTTCTGGCTCAGCTTCTGGTTCAGCTTCCGAATCTGGTTCTGTTACTCCATCTGGCTCTGCCTCTGGATCCGCATCATCAGGTTCTGCATCTGGATCTGGTTCCGCTTCTGGTTCAGCTTCTGGCTCAGCTTCTGGTTCAGCTTCTGGCTCAGCTTCTGGTTCAGCTTCCGAATCTGGTTCTGTTACTCCATCTGGCTCTGCCTCTGGATCCGCATCATCAGGTTCTGCATCTGGATCCGGTTCCGCTTCTGGTTCAGCTTCTGGCTCAGCTTCTGGTTCAGCTTCTGGCTCAGCTTCTGGTTCAGCTTCCGAATCTGGTTCTGTTACTCCATCTGGCTCTGCCTCTGGATCTGCCTCTGAATCAGGCTCCGCTTCTGGATCTGGTTCCGCTTCTGGTTCAGCTTCTGGCTCAGCTTCTGGTTCAGCTTCTGGCTCAGCTTCTGGTTCAGCTTCCGAATCTGGTTCTGTTACTCCATCTGGATCTGGTTCCGCTTCTGGTTCAGCTTCTGGTTCAGCTTCTGGTTCAGCTTCTGGCTCAGCTTCTGGTTCAGCTTCCGAATCTGGTTCTGTTACTCCATCTGGCTCTGCCTCTGGATCCGCATCATCAGGTTCTGCATCTGGATCCGGTTCCGCTTCTGGTTCAGCTTCTGGCTCAGCTTCTGGTTCAGCTTCTGGCTCAGCTTCTGGTTCAGCTTCCGAATCTGGTTCTGTTACTCCATCTGGCTCTGCCTCTGGATCCGCATCATCAGGTTCTGCATCTGGATCCGGTTCCGCTTCTGGTTCAGCTTCTGGCTCAGCTTCTGGCTCAGCTTCTGGCTCAGCTTCTGGTTCAGCTTCCGAATCTGGTTCTGTTACTCCATCTGGCTCTGCCTCTGGATCCGCATCATCAGGTTCTGCATCTGGATCCGGTTCCGCTTCTGGTTCAGCTTCCGAATCTGGTTCTGTTACTCCATCTGGCTCTGCCTCTGGATCCGCATCATCAGGTTCTGCATCTGGATCCGGTTCCGCTTCTGGTTCAGCTTCCGAATCTGGTTCTGTTACTCCATCTGGCTCTGCCTCTGGATCCGCATCATCAGGTTCTGCATCTGGTTCTGGCTCCGCTTCTGGTTCTGGCTCCGCTTCTGGTTCTGGCTCCGCTTCTGGTTCAGCTTCCGAATCTGGTTCTGTTACTCCATCTGGCTCTGCCTCTGGGTCCGCATCATCAGGTTCTGCATCTGGATCCGGTTCCGCTTCTGGTTCAGCTTCTGGCTCAGCTTCTGGCTCAGCTTCTGGTTCAGCTTCCGAATCTGGTTCTGTTACTCCATCTGGCTCTGCCTCTGGATCCGCATCATCAGGTTCTGCATCTGGATCTGGCTCCGCTTCTGGTTCAGCTACTGGTTCAGCTTCTGGCTCTGCTTCCGAATCTGGTTCTGTTACTCCATCTGGCTCTGCCTCTGGATCTGCCTCTGGATCTGCCTCTGAATCTGGCTCCGCTTCTGGATCCGGTTCAGCTTCTGGCTCTGCTTCCGAATCTGGTTCTGTTACTCCATCTGGCTCTGCCTCTGGATCTGCCTCTGGATCAGGCTCCGCTTCTGGATCCGGTTCCGCTTCTGGTTCAGCTTCTGGTTCAGCTTCCGAATCTGGTTCTGTTACTCCATCTGGCTCTGCCTCTGGATCCGCATCATCAGGTTCTGCATCTGGATCTGGCTCCGCTTCTGGTTCTGCTTCTGGTTCAGCTTCCGAATCTGGTTCTGTTACTCCATCTGGCTCTGCCTCTGGATCCGCATCATCAGGTTCTGCATCTGGATCTGGCTCCGCTTCTGGTTCCGCTTCTGGCTCTGCCTCTGGATCCGCATCATCAGGTTCTGCATCTGGATCTGGCTCCGCTTCTGGTTCTGCCTCTGGATCCGCATCATCAGGTTCTGCATCTGGTTCTGTTACTCCATCTGGTTCTGGTTCTCCATCGGGTTCTCCAACTGATTCTGGTTCTCCATCTGGTTCTCCATCTGGTTCTCCATCTGGTTCTCCATCTGGTTCTCCATCTGGTTCTGGTTCTCCATCCGGTTCTGGTTCTCCATCTGGTTCGCCATCGGGTTCTGGTTCTCCATCTTGTTCTGGTTCTCCATCGGGTTCTCCATCTGATTCTCCATCGGATTCTGGTTCTCCATCGGGTTCTCCATCTGGTTCGCCATCGGGTTCTGGTTCTCCATCTGATTCTGTTACTCCATCTGGTTCGGGTTCTCCATCTGGTTCTCCATCAGATTCCGGTACTACATCTGGCTCCGGGATTTCCTCTGGTTCTGCAACTCAATCGGGTTCCGGTTTGCCTTCTGAATCAACTTCTCGCCCGAATTCCGATGACCAGTCAAGTTATGGGTCGTCATCTAGTGAGGTTAAATCAAGCACAGTATCTTCAATTGTTTCCTCTTCTAGTGAAGCTTCATCATATACGTCCTCAGAAATTTCGGCAGCTTCGAAGTCCACCACTGAAAAGTCATCTGAATCATCTGATACTTCTAAGATTACTTCGAGTGAACAGACACTTGTTTCTTCTGATCAATCATCTATCGAGGAGTCGTCCACAGAGATAAGTTCTTCTTCATTATCGTCCGAATATGATACAACGACTACTGTGCATACGGTAACTACTGACTACACTACATATTGTCCTCCAGAAGAGTCTACATCAACCAAAACGGAAACTGATTACTCTACTACAGTCATAACTGTCACATCTTGTGACAGCAACACCTGTACAGAAGCAACGTACACAACTGGTGCAACTGTAGTCACTACAACAATAGATGAAGTTGTTACTGTTTTCACAACCTTCTGTCCACTTTCTTCAACAGATCAAGAGGAAAATAATAATACCTCAGACTTCATTGATAACGGTAGCGAATCTATTCAAACAATAGTCCAAACAACTACGCTTGAAGGAGGAAAGGTGTCTATTTATACACAATATTTGACTATGAGTGGTGCAAGAATAGTGTCCTCGCAAGAAACTAAGGTTCCGCAAGAGATTAACCCTACAAGTGAAGGAATAGAGAATGATCACTTCGAACTGGTAAGTTCCCTAGATGATGAAACAGCTTCGGCAAGTCCAAGTCCAAGTTCGCCTCATGCCGCTACGAACTTCGACAACAGTGCAATTTCAATTCGTTCCCTTCCAATGGTAGTATTATTACCATTGATTGCTATTTTCTATTAAAGCATTTGCATTAAACATTCTATTCATGGCGGCAAGTTCTTCATTGACCGCCATTGATTTTTGAGCCCAGCGCTAATCTCACGCACTATTTTTTCGTGCGTTCAACAGGGGTGCACGGGTTTACTATACGCACTTCCTGTTTTTTAGGTTTTATCAATTCTCCTATTCTTATTTTAATTCTACTTTTTATACTTAATAAAATTTTATTTCGATAAAAGAAACTGTTGTCTACTGTGTAACTTTTAGTTTATAGTTCCAGTTGATTTCTTATATATATATTCTTATATTTTCGAATATATGTGTTCACAAAAGGGCTACATGTAATAAAATATAATAAAATATTATAAGTCATCAAATATAGAAACAATCTTTTTTCTCGCTAAGTACTCTGTGAGTTGCACCGATAATTGATAGTGAAATAAACACCACTGAAAAAAAAATCAATGTATCCTTGTCTTGACGTGGTATTCTCCTCCTCCAGGAGTAGGGGGTCACGGATATTACAATCATATTGATTCCTGACATGCACCTCATTACCTGCAGTCCGTTTGGCTGCAAAAATACGTAAAAAAAAAAAAATGAAACAAATAGAAGATCTTTGTGGTTTTGCGATTGTTAATTTAAACACACAACCAGACAGGGGCACAAGTTACTCAACAAATATACCAATCTTTGTAGTGCAATCATGCCCAAGGCTTTATTTTTGGGAGATTCTCCTTCAATTGCATTTCTTGTTTGGAATTTATCATCTCTTGGTTGGTGGATATCAGTAGTTCCATCTATGACGTCCAACAATTACCAGGGAAACAAGCTCACTTTCAAATCCCACTCGGGCTCAACCACCATCAAACCACAAGTATACTCACAGAGTGTAGAGTCACTCATAAGAATTCTCCCCGGAGGAATAAAGTTTGACTTTTTATTCCTTCTGCTGTACGTGGCAAACACTTTTGGCAACTACAAAAATACAATTGAAAAGTTCTTAAATTCCGAAACTCTAATCATTGTGGACGCAAGTATTCTTTCAACCGCACATATTTCGCAACAGTTCCCTCATCACTCCAGCTTGTATATGTATTCTGAAGTTGATTGCAGGAAGCTCGATGATACCTCATACCAACTTTTCAATTCAGATATGGACTACTATATTGGAAGCACAGGCACTGGGAACACGAAGTCTCCCTTCATGAGACATGGCTTAATCTGGGTGTTAAAAGATAACTTTGAAACATTAAATTGTGGAACCGTTCATTTGACATCACCCCGTCACGTGAAGTCTTTAATTTGGAAGTATCTTAGTTGCATGATAAGTATCGAGAGTGTTTGTATAGTGTATGACGAGCCGAATGTGTTGGATTTGATTAAAGATTGCTCATCCTGGCCAATAATTAAGGGTTTATTTAAGGAGCTTACTATGATAGCAGAAAAGGGGAAATTCTTGCTGAGCTCTCCAAGATCTATTCTAACTACAAAACTGATGAATAAAATTCATAAAAAGGATCTTAGGTCACTTTTAATGAAAGTGGCACAGAAATCTAAGGATCGACTGGAAGTCGATTCAGAGTCAATACTCCCACAGTATATTCATAGTCCCAAGATGTTTTATGACTTTAGTAGGGATGGCGGTGATCCAATGGATATCCCATATATACTCCTTACATTATTAGAGTTGGCGGATTCCTTGAAGGTTCAGGTCCCCTTTTTGGAATCATTTTATGGAATAATGAATAGATTGATATCAATTAGGGGTGATCAATTGAGAGGACAAAGTAAATCCAAGCTATTCAATTGGAAAGATAGACACAATTCATCTCCCTACATTGTAAATCAATACGTAAATGGGATCGAGCCAGAATGTAATATGATGAATTATCCGCCATTCAATCCTTTGCCACAACCACTGATCCCTTCCCAATTTTATCAAAATCCGATCGTATACATGTGTAGTGTAAAAGTTGATGATGATCTGATAGAGGAAACAATTGACCCTAGCCTACAAGAATTGGTCAGTGGTACTGAAGAGTTAACCTACGGAGAAGAAATACAGATGAAAGAAGAGTTTCATGATGCTTTAGAGAGTGATGATCTCAACGAGGCTACTCCGTCAGATTTGCCTATCACAGCTAGTGTACAGACATCCCCACCACAGATGCAAGGCATTACTCCAATAGTCTTGCCTAATGGAGGCATTTATTATCCGCCTCCAGGTGGAAGTAGCAACGTTATTAAAAAAGCAGAAAGAAGTTTCTATCATTCTCCAAAACTCATAAATAAAAATTCATCAACAAAGCAATTGTACGAGTCACATACACAACTTATGGAATCCGTACAGTTTAATAGTTTTATTGAGAAATCTACCGGGAGTCGTTATGGGCAATTCGATACATCAAGCGTTATTTTGAAAAGTGCAGGAAATAGCAGTAAAGGTAGCAAGATTAGTACGCCAAGTAGGGGTAGCTCGAGATTGGAACTTGCACAGCGACAAGAAATAAATATGGAGGAGACGCTGGTAGAAGAAGAGTGAGTTGATTACATTTCTAAGCAAAAAAATGGTTGTCAGTGACTGTGGAGGGGGGGGGGGCTGATTGTCATAATGAATCACCGAGTCCCAATTAAAAAACACTAAATAGCTAGAGAAGAAAATTAAACGAAAATAAGGAGTGACACCTGTAGTGCACCCATACAGATAGGTAATTAGATTGTGCAGTAGAGTCATCAACATGTTATGGTTCTCAATAATTGGAAGTGGTTGCAAAAATAAAAGGAAAATGGTTAATGTACTACCACCACAAAGGGTGAAAATTAAATATACAGGAGAAACAACGGATGAGTTATATTGAAAGAGTAGGGGAAAAGACGATTAAAGTCATTAAACCCGAGAATAAAAAAAGCAACTACCATCTTGAGAGGATATATCGTAGTGTTGAAGAGGAGCTAAACGAACCCTTATTAGGTATATATCACTTAGAGACATTAGGCGATATCAAGGACAAGGCTCGTATAATAAAATGCTTACCACTGTGCCCACATCAGCTGTTGGGAGGATCCCCTTTGAGCAGTACGTGCAAGACATTCATAAGAAGACAAACACGATAATAAAAAGTGGTGTTAACTTGATAAAAGTCAGGCGGAACGACTCGATGAAGGACAAAATCGAGCATGTGTTAGAGGGAATGAAGGGAAACGTTCTTGTAGTTGCCAAGGGAGAAGGTATAGGCAAACTTGTATCTGTCGTGGAAATATCTATGGGAAAAAATGCCAATCAATCCATACGACAATTTAACAAACTTGAAGGATTCGTGGAAAGGAAAAAGAGTTCTGAAAATTCCGAGGCGGTGAACGAAACAGCAGACTGTGTACAAGTGCGAACCGTGCCGCTAATGTGTGTGTTGCTAGTACACGGGAGCGATGGAGACGAGATAGAGAGGGAGTTAGAGGAGAGCAAATGGACAGTTCAACATAGATGAAGAGTCGGAACGGAGCAGGATAAGGATAAAGAGTGTGATATTTGATAAAAATAATAAGTACGGCAAAGGCGGGCAAGGATATACTGCAAACAGGTCGAATGCGAATTCATATTACTGCAATTCTGTTTCAGGGCATGGGAGCGAAAGGATACTTCCTGACCGAACCACCTTCACCAGGGGGGGAAGAGTGTGAGTCTAAAAATAATCTTATAGGTAGTCAGACTAGGGTGTGAACTCTCCACCCAAGCGTGTAATGTACAAAGCCCACAACTGGAGTCAACCGACTTATGCACTTGTTATAGATAAGTAAATGACCACACGACACTTTTGGTGTAGAAAATAATACTAAATAGTATGGAGCATACATCCTCCCGGAAATGGGCAGTGCGGTCACGCGCTCAACAACGAGATCCGACCAACCAATAGCCTATCTCAAATCTCGATATTACACAAAAGCCAAATAAAATCGTAAGACCCGCGCAATATCAAAAACATGAAAAAGACATTAAAGATTAAATAGTTTGTAGTTCTATACCTATAACCTCACCTCAAGATGTCTTTCGACCCAGCTACATTCAAGTTCGAGACCCCACAATTCGACCCTCGTTTCCCTACCCAGAACCAGAGTAAGCACTGTGCCCAATCCTACGTTGATTACCACAAGTGTATCAACGCCAAGGGTGAAGAGTTTGAGCCATGTAAGATTTTCTTCAAGACCTTCACATCCTTGTGTCCTTTGGACTGGGTTGAAAAATGGGATGACCAAAGAGAAGCTGGTAAGTTCCCAATCAAGTTGGATTAGAGCATGATATATAGTCATTACAATATAAAAAATTAGTACTTAAATTTGTGTAGGAGGAATGAAGATTGTAAGTGTAGAGATTGAGAGAGAATGATAATTGAGGACACTGCTAAGTCTAATTTTGAACCTTTTTGGAGTAGGCTACGAAGGAATAGTAATGGTTGAGATCATATACTCTAGTATTTCATACATATCTTAATTACATAAAGTCATCTTCCATGTCCTCATTCCTGTATGCACTGTTACTCATTCTAACAGCGTCTTCAGTAAACAAGTCTGCGTATGGATCTTTATTTCTTTGCTTTTGGTCCTGGTAGAGCTTGGCAAGCTCTCTTTCTTGTTGTTCTTGTTCTCTTTCGCGTTCTCTCTTTTCACGCATATATGTGGCTATATATTCCCTTTGTTCATTTATAAATTCATCAGTTGACTTTTCCGTCTTAGTCTTGTTAAGTTTATTTACAATAGAGTTTTCCTTTTTCGCAACAAATACCTTACGAACTTTCTTGGGATTTTTAAAGGTAACTGTACCATCATCCATTGATCCATCAGTATGTAAATTATCTACTGGTGTGTATATAATGGTGATGTTGTTCACTTTATTAGCTTTGATTGAATTTGCCTTGGTAAGTTGAGCCATAGCCATGAGAATGGCTTCTGGAACCTCAAGTTTCTCAAATGGCACGAGTTGTTCATCTGGAGTTAATTGTAAGTATATATGAGCAGATGAATAGTTATCAACATGAAACCATAAATTTTTAGGATGTGAATGTTCAATGAGTGGTACGTTTTCATGTTTATCTTTCCCCATGTATACGACACGAGAAATAGATTCACCTAATCCAAAATCATCTTGAGGAGCTTCAACTGCATTGAAATAGTATACCATGATAATTCTTGTCTTTGAAGATGAATAAAAGATATGAATGAAGAATTAGAATTCTGATGAAAGATCGCGTTGTGTGGGTGTATGGGTTTGATTGTGATGAGATACATATCTACCATGGTACCCAACTATGCAGGGAAATACAGCCAAATACAGGAATATGAAGAGTATACTTTTCTTAAGCTTTCATAATGATATTTGAAAGGTGGGGGGATAAAGGTGAAGATGAAGGTGAAAAGGGGTGTTTGAAAAAAACATCATGCTATTATAAAATATTAATAATTTATCTTTCTTTTAATGATATTTCAATAAGAATTTAATGCTCAAAATTTGTATTTAATTACATTACATCTCTTTACATTTCAACTATTAAATGACTTTATTATTGTCATTCAAAGTTAATACCATATTCATTACCTTCTAAAATCAATTATAATTAAGCTTACATAATCTTAAATTGTAATCGTCAAAAAATCAAACCAGTAATAAATTATGGAATGTGGGCAGATTGAGAATATGTGATGTTTAATAGAATAATATTATTTTACAGATAAACCTTGTCAACATATATTACAAACATCTATATTATCTTTATGATTGTATCTATCCTCTAAATCTGTAACTTATTTCTCATTTGATGGGTTTGTCGATTATTTTTTTCTCTAATCTAGATCAATTATGCAAAGCTGGCTAAAAAATGATATCATTGACCATCTTTGAGTACCACTTCATTCTAAGCTAATACGTTTCAGTTTTTCAGCCAGCTTGCGCGATTTTGCATAGAGGAAAATTCTTAGGGAAATTTTGGTGTAACGTTTTAAACAATGTTGTTTGACAAACACGACACGCATGATCTATGGGGGAAGAAAAACAAAAAAAAAAAAAGCACAAAGAAAAAAACAAATAAAAGCGAAATTAACAGTCAATAAGCGAAGTTTGTGTTATGCCCTGTTTAGACGACGTTGGGAGCAAATGAATCCAAACAAACAACTACCGGGGTAATCACCAAAAATGTTTGATGTAACTTTGAATTAAATGTTGATAGATGACAGGTGGGATTCTAGTCCTAATTTTGTATCAGCCTTGTAAACTATTTTATTATCTTCTATTGCTATGTGCTGTCAACTGCACCTCACAACCAAACAAAACAAATTCTCATTTTTTCCCTGCATTCTCGAGCTTCATCCCTTCGTTCACGTGACAAGAATCGCGTTTCCCCAAAGGGGTTACCCACTTGTCACATTCGTATATATACTTCTGGATTAGGCAGTTCCAGTTTTCTTAGGTTTATTTTTTGTTTCTCCACGGCTGGTATCCAACTCTTATACATTCTTTAAATCACCCCGTCTGATACATCAAGTATCGTCCTTTCCTTAAATAAAACTAAGACAAATTTTATCCCAGAAAAAGAACGCAGTTTGGCCCTTTTTTCTTTATTTGTCTCACGTACCCAGCCTTTCCAAATATATAACCACAGCCAACCTGATCTACATTATTAAGATATGATTGATTGGGAGTCTCTTCTTGAATTTGAAGATGCCATCACCACCACCAATCCTCCTAAGCTTCTTCGTCAAGCATTAGATGCCAAACTCACCGATAAGTTGATGAGTCTCAAACCATCAACCACTGACTTTACTGAAGAACAACTCGATACCACTTTCCAATCTTATTCCTTTGAACAAGACCAATTCACATCGTGCTCCAAATGTGGCCACCCCTTAAGTAGTGGAAGTTCCACCTACAAGAACTGTTGCAATACTTTTATTGAAAACAAATCCCAAATCTCTCTGGGGTTAGAAAAAAGTTATTGGCTTCTGTTGATCAACAATCCTTCTGGTACGATCAATACCCTTCCAAATTATACTCAAATGTTAATTCTTCAACAAGGAATCCCAGCACAACTCAGATCATTGATTTGGGAAAGACTTTTACTTTTAGGGAGTGAAGTACCTGAAACGTCGTCCCTTATCTACGAAAACTTTCAACATCTGTATAACCCTTCTGTGGCCAAACAAATAAGTAAAGATCTCCATCGTACATTCCCACTGGTTCCATTCTTCAAGTTGGATTCAACAGAACTGAATTTATCAACCATTTTGAACGTGTTTGCCAATTATGATGCAGAGCTTGGTTATTGCCAAGGGCTCGTATTTCTTGTTGGTGTATTGTATTATCATTTCCAACATGAATCCCCTGCACTTACTTTCCATTCATTAGTGGTTATAATGGCTGCAGAGCCCGAACTTCGTGACATTTTCACCGCCACTACAATGTCGAAAACTCTTGAAAAATGGTTATCAGAGTTTTTAGATATATTGAATGTTGTAGAACCCGATTTACATGATCATATGCTTTCCAATGGAATTGAATTCCAAGTATTTCTCTATCAATGGTGGCTTTCCTTTGCATCGAGCCATGTACCTGAACTCTCCATAATAAATCGTATTATGGATGTATGTCTTGTACAAGGTTGGAAGGCTGGTCTTTTCAAAGTATCCTTGGGACTTCTCAAGGTAAACAAACCGATTTTGATGAGTCTTGGTGAAGGAGATGAAGAAGTTGTGTATCAACATCTTTTAAATGAATCTCGTTGGGGAGTAACCATAAATGATTTGGATTTATTCTTTGGTAATACCTTGATGTCCTTTGATGATGAGCTTTTCATAAAGCAAGAACCAGTCTTTATTAAACCTGTCATTGCATCTTCATTGAAATATTCTCATACGAGAACTCCTTCATCAGTTATGGATAAATTTAAACAATTATCAGTTAATTTGACCAGATCAAGATCGAATAGTGATCATCAATCTCCCGATCTGATCTCTCTGTCATCATCTTCATCCCTTTCAGTGTTTGAATCCACACATTTAAATGAACAAGAAAGTATATATTCAGATGATGTTATGAATGATGAATGTTCATCAAGTACAAGTGTATTCAATTATTTGAAATTACCTTATTCTCAGAAAAAGGATGATGTTTCAAAGGATCAATTGAAAGAATTGTTAAGACAAGCATATGAAATGGTTGAAGGTAAACCAAGGGATGAAATGGTAATGGCAGAAATTAAACGGGTATTAACTTAAATAGAAATAAATTCAATAAGGGTATAAATTTTTGTAGTATCCTAAACGCAAAAAAATGAGAGAACACACACATTCTACTACTCTTACTACATAATTTAGCTACTATGAATATTTCTACTGTATATCTCTACTCTATCACCCCTCTTAGATTCAACACTTATCATAATTTCTTATATACATTCCAACTAAACCTGCATATAGATATCCCATTTTTTCTCCTTCCCACTTCCGGGTAATTAAATTCGACCCGACAATTTTCCTAAAAAAAAGAGCGACACAATTTGAGTGTGACAATTTTAACTATAATAATCAACGTTCAATCAAACCAATAATCAATTGATTTGATCTTGATATCCTCATAGGCCACACATTTCCCTTTGATCCGAGCCTCTTTATACAGACTACTGATTAGATCTGCCTATAAAGTATTGAGTCTCACCCCTTACGTGTCGAAGCAAACAAACCCTTATTCGCCACAGTACGATTCAATAGGTGTGTTAGATCCTTCCGACCCCCATCGTGTCTTCCGCCAAAACTAGCCCCCAGGGCCCCGAGACCGCCACAAAACCCACCACGACCCTTCCTGCGACTTCCACAACTTCTGCAAGAAGCGTAGAGTTCACCAAAGTTCTCACAACCCAATTAGCACTTTTAACCACCACTGCTACTGAAGACAATTGGGCTTCTAAACATAAGCAGATCAAATATATCTTAGCTACAAGCCCAGGTGATATCCGTGACCTTTATTTCCACAAGCTTGTCAAGTTATATCGCACTGCTTCACCATCTACAACTCCTGCTTCAGATCTTACATTTGTTGAAAAGTTACTCGTTGATCAACTCAACTATTACGCACAAGACCTCTCCCGTATAGAGAGATTTATTCAGACCTATCCTCATCTTTTTAAAGAGCTCGATAACGTCGCACAGCTTGTATCGCGTCTTGATTGTGATCTCATCGTTGGTGTCTTTTTAGTCCTTCATTATTGTACTGATTCTCAACAGAAACAGTATCTTACCGAGAACTCTTCAACCCTTATTCATATCCTTCGTACCCGTAAGTTTCCTGGAGACTACGATTGGTTTGAATTTCTTTGTCAGATTCTCGAAAACAAACACATTTCATTCATTGACAAACTTCTCGTCCTTGATTCATTACAACAGTTTGAAACTCATTCAGGCAACCCAGTCCATCATTTCTATAACACAGTTTTAGCCATGGGATTCAAAGATCTTTTACTTCAAATCGGTCCTGAGCATTTACTTCCAGATAAGCTTTTACCCAACTTGTTACAATTGAAACCAAATGAAATAGATCATAGTTTGGCATTACTATTAAGTGAGGTACTTATCCCTGGAAGTCAAGGATTGTCACCAAACGGCGCAACTGCATTGACTTTCTGTAATAATTTGCCTGAGGCATCTGCCAAAGGTGCTCAGCTTCAAGCCTCCTTCAGAACTGTGGATTCAGACCCTAAAATCACCGTCAATTGGTATCAAGTTTTTTCCCATGTATACGAAAACTTGTACGAATCTCTGAAACGTAACATCCAACCTTCAATCGCCAGTATTCTGCAATTTTTGTCACTGTTGGATTTCAAACAAGGAATCATTGATATCTTTTTAAGTTATGATTGGTGGTTCAGCAAAACACTTCTTTACATTCTTCATTCAATGGACCCTCAACAAGGAGGTTTTGATATCACCTTGCTGAAGAATATCACGTTATCCTTCGAGGAAGATGACGTTGAAATCCAAACCAAGAGAAATATCTTGAGATTCATAAATGTGGGGAAACTCGAATTACAAGTTTTGACAAACATCTCACAACAGAACCAACAGCCATCTGCACATCTTTCTGAACAAGAAAGGAAACTTAATGTTTATCTTAGCCAAGTCTTTGAACATGATTATCGTGTTTTCCCCGAGTATCTTGTTGTTGCAGCTTTATCAATGATCGAGAAGACACCTTTCATACTCGACCTTGTGGACACTCTATTCACACTCCTTATGGATGGAATTCCTTCATCTCTTAATAAAGTCCTTGGTAAGTTTAAGGAATTAGATGAGGGACTCGCCATTAGTAAGTTGATTGATTATTATACAAAGAGGCCAACTGTGGACTCCATCAGTAAGATTGTCAGACTGTCCCTTAATGTTGGTATGCTTGATGACTTATTAACGCAATTATGGCGTTCAAATTTCAAGTTGGCTCTTACTTTAGCCATTGAAGGTACTAATTATGGTTATGATTGCAAGCCTGTAGTCGATTCAAAGTTTAAAGATCAAGAAGAAAAGCCAATTCTTTGTCAGGCCCTTCTTGAAGTACTTGAATTAAGAGCAACGCAAGATTATGAAAGAGCTCAACAACAACTTGTTAATGATGAAATCCACAAAGTCTTACGAATCCCTGTGGTTTTCTACCTTTTGGATAAACTTAAGAGCAGCAATGGACTCATTGATGCTGACAGATTGAAGAATCTTCAATTATCACTTCTCACCACTTATCCAAGACTTATTAATTTTGGATGTGGTCACGATGAAGCCATTTTGGCCAATGGTGAAGAGCTGAACTTTTTCCCTTCCACTGTTGAACAAGAAATGAAATCGTACTATTCCAAGATGTATAACAAGGAAATGGAGATCAAAGATATTGTTGATATGTTGACTCATATGAAGAGTAGTGATAACCCACACGATCAAGACGTGTTCGCGTGTATGATTCATTCTCTTTTGGATGAGTATAGATTCTTTGCTGAGTATCCATTGACCGCTTTGGCTTCCACATCATTATTATTTGGTGCATTATTACAAAAGGATTTGATTCAAGGTACCACTCTTACTGTGGCATTGAATTTCATTTGGGAAAGTTGTAATCAGCCACAGGATTCTCATTTGTTCAAGTTCGCTGTCCAATCATTGTACAACTTCAAACTGAGATTACATGAATATCCAATTTATTGTAAGCATCTTTTAGAATGTCAATCTTTGCTGGCACATGCCAAGATGTATCAGATCGTGAAGGATGCCGCAAATGGAATCGCCTGCCCTGATGCAACTACTAGTCAACCACAAACTGCTAGTGGCACTCCAGCCCCAACTTCAACTTCAGATGATAAATATCAATCAATTACTATTCCTGATGATTCCGTTTTGGGCCATCAAGAAAAGCCTGATGAAGCCGTTTCAGACAAACTTTTATTCTTGCTTAATAACACTACCGAGGACAACCTTGAAGCCAAGATTCCAGATATTAGGGGACTTCTTAAGGATCTGTATTATTTATGGTTTTCCAATTATTTGGTCTCTGATCGTGCTAAGGCAGAACCAAACAACCACGAGTTGTACAGTGAATTAGTTGAAGGTCTTGGAGATCCAGTTTTCACTGAACATGTTCTCAATGTATCTTTGAAGGAAGTTAATCATCTTATTTCACATTTCAAAGATACTCTGACCGAACGTAACCAATTAAAGAATCTTGGTGCCTGGCTTGGTAGAATTACCTTGGCAAGAGATAAGCCATTGAAGCGTAATCAAATTGCCCTCAAGTTTTTGCTTGTTGAGGCATTTGACCGTAAGTCCTTAAATTACATCATTCCATTCGTTTGTAAAATTTTGGACCAAGCTCAATATTCAAAGGTTTTCCGCCCACCTAACCCATGGGTTTTGGGAATTATGAAGGTATTGGCCGAATTGTATGAATGCGCTGATTTGAAATTGAACTTGAAATTTGAAATTGAAGTTTTATGTAATGATTTCAAGATGAAAATTAAGGATTTGGAACCTCTGACATTGGTCAGAAGTCACAATCCAAAACCAGCCGCGTTAGCGGCCTTGTTTGGTATTCATTCAGAAGTTATTGGATTGTCAAATGATATGAGTAGGTTGACAGTAGATGGCAAGCCAGATCCAAGAAGCTTACAACTCCAACAACAACTCCAACAACAGCAACAACAGCAACAACTTCAACAACAAGCTTTGTTATTACAACAGCAACAGCAACAACAGCAACAACAATTGCCTCCAGCCTTGATTAGAAATGACGAGGCAGTTGCCGGTGCCGCATCTACTCACCAATTGGACACTTCATTCAGCTCTTTGGTTGGGAATAACATTTTTACTCAAAATCCTAACCTTCGTAGAGCATTCCAAGCTTCTTTGTCTCGTGCTGTTCGTGAATGTGCAGTACCTATTTTAAGCCGGGTTTCTGAAGCAGTTCTCACCACTACTGAAGCTATGATCCGTAAAGATTTTGCTTGTGAAGTTGATAGTACAAAATTCCGTAAGGCGTACCAAAGTCTTGCGCAACAACTTTCCCACAGTATGGTCATTTGCAGTGGCCGTAAGATTTTGAGTGAAACAATCGAAGCCACCATGTTGCAATTACTTGGCACTCAATTGAATCCAAATGAATTACCACTTGCAGAGTTAGAACTTGCTGTTCAGGAGAATGTTGACTTGTGTGTTGAAATTGTTGATAAGATCGCAGCAGGTAATATCAGTGAATTGATTGACGAGAGAATGAGAAAGCATATGATTGTGAGAGATCAACACTCGAAACTTAAACCCAACGAACCCTTTGTTGATGATAGTGTTTCGGAATACTCGTTGAAATTGCCACCTCCTTTAGGTTTAACACCTCAAGGATTGACTCCTAATCAAGCCAAGATCTATGAGAATTTTGGATCCAATGGTCCTAAATTCCAAGGGGGTGTTGCTGCACCTGTTTCCGTCCCAACAGGAACAGTCAACACCGGTACCCCACTTGCCTCGACAGTTCCATCTGCTCAAGTTCCACCTGCGGGAACTCCACAACAGCAATTAGCTTCTTTGAAACAAGATGAGCTTGCCGCCGCAAATGCTGCACCAACCGACCAACTTTTCACTATTATTACACAATATTGTGAAAAGGCAATTGCTCTCCTTGCCGATGTGAAGCAAACCAAGCTTGCTGAACTTCCACCAGATCATCCAATTATGCTTGCTCTTAGTCAAATTCTTTCTTTTGCCCAATCCAATGCTTTGAAGAACCCTGAACTTTTACTCAGAGCTGCTCAATATGCTGTTAATTGTCTTTTCACTCAAGGCCACGAAAATCCAATTTCAAATGAAATTTATGTGGTTATTTTAGATAAACTTTGTGAATATTCCCCATCTACCGCTAAGGATGTTACTTGGTGGCTTGTTCATTCATCAGATCAAAGAAAGTTCAATGTTCCAGTGATATTCTCATTATTGAAGGTCCAATTGGTACAACCAACCAGATTAGATTCTTCAATCGGTAAATTGATCACCGAATCTGGAAATCCAGTGGTTGTAAAGTTTGCAGTTAATCTCATCAGCAACGTTTTTACTTCTGACAGTTTCAGACCTATTGCCTTGAGATCTGAATTTGGTTTCACATTGAATTCTTTGGCTAACTATAATGGTGATGATTCTGAAGAAGGTAAGGAAGCTAAATTACTCACCGATAAACTTTTTGAAATGTTTGACAAGTCTGAATTCCCATTGGCTTCCCAACCAACTCTTTATGAGCAAATGAGTTACATTTATGTTGAATGGATTAAACTTTTGACTCATGGAGACGATAGTGAAGCTTTGCAGGATCAATTCATCACCAGCTTGTTGGAGAATGATATTTTGACGAATCCTAAGTATTTCGAAGTTTTCTTTAAGGCTGCCACTGAAATCTCTGTTGCATCATTTGCTACTGAACATGAAATCAGAACAAGAACCCAAAGAGAAACGTACTTGGCGGTCGATACTCTCGCATTCTTGATTGTTAAAATTGTTTTATCATTCGATAAATCTCATTCTGATGAAGCCATGGACTATTTGAAGAATATCATGGGTGTTTTAATGCTCGTCTTGACTAATGATCATGAAACTTCCAAGGGCAATTGGAATGAGAGAGCGTACTTCCGTATTTTCTCTTCTTTACTTTGTGCTTGGACCGAAGCTTCCATCAACGATGATACTGCTACAACTCATTTGGATTCGACCTTCTATCCATTTATTGGAGAAGTTTTTAATTCTTTGCAACCTATAATTTTCCCAGGGTTCACTTTTGCTTGGATTTCATTAATTTCCCATCGTATGTTCCTTCCAAAATTACTTGAACTTCCAAATGGTGAAGGTTATCCAATTGTCACTAAGCTTCTCACTGATATTCTCAAGTTTGAAGGTGTTTATGGCAAGGATGAGTTTACTCAACATGATGTTGTAAATGTAATTTTCAAGGCGATTACCCGTATAATCACTGCTATTGCACATGATTATCCTGAATTCCTTGTTGGATGCCATTATCAATTAGCTACAGCCATTCCACGTGGTTATATTCAATTGCGTAATATTGTTTTATCGGCAAATCCTTCAAACGTTCCGGTTGTTGATCCATTTACTCAAGGTCTCAAGGTTGAAAGAATCCCAGAGATTAATGACCCTCCAATTGTTTCTTATAAACCAGTTGACGATCTTGTCAAGGTTGGATTAAAGAAACCAGTTGATAACTTTTTGAGAATTCCTGCTCCAGCGTTAATGAAAAACATCTACAGTGGTGTGAAATTGAACCATCCAAAGGATGTTGCAGACATTGGATTTAACAAGGATCATTATAATGTTAAATTAATTAATGCCTTAGTTCTTCACGTTGGAATTTCTGCAGTGGAAGACCGTATGCCTACCACTTCTTCAACTGTTTCTCGTGGATTCAACACTAAGAGCTCACACGTTGCTCTTTTGGCTGATTTGATGAACCATGGCACTTTGGAATTCAAATTCCATTTAGTCAATGCCATTGCAAATCAATTGAGATATCCTAACGCTCATACCCATTGGTTTATTGGAATTATGTTACATTTTTTCAGCAATAACACCATTTGGGGAACTCCTCAAAATAAATTAGCAGTCCAGGAAATCATCACTCGTGTTCTTTTGGAAAGACACGTTGTTAATAAACCCCACCCATGGGGATTGACCATTGTATTTACAGAACTTGTAAAGAATGGTGATTATGGCTTTTTCGACTTGCCATTTGTCAAGGATGCCAGCCGTGAATTGAAGGTTGTATTTGAGGCCTTATCAAGAAATGTCAAGGGCACTTCATCCTAGATTGACTTGATAAATGTATACTATGTATAATAGACAAATTAGATTTATTAATTGTAGTGAGAGATAAACTATTTGACCGCGTACAGGTTAGTCTTTACTCTACAGATTAGCCATAAGCTTGATTTGTGGATTGACTGTATTCGACTTTTATCCGATTTTAAATGAGATTTGCTACTTAGAATAAAAAGTTAAAAACTAATTGAAAACTTTTATGACCTAGAAACTTGTAATAAATATTTAATTCATCATTTTCATCTCTATGTATATAGCAACTATGGTCTGTAACTCGGTCTCCATTCACGTGACCTCACTCACAAATAGCTTACAGAAAAATCAGTCGGAAATAAAACAACTTTCCTAATCCGTCAAGAGGGATCAACACAAAAAAAAAAAGATAACCACACAATTGAAATAACTTTGAACATTTAAACTTTAGTTTAATATAATCACTATATAAAATACAATCATGTCGCGTGTTAAGAGAATTGCCAAGGAGCTTGAAGAGTGTCGCCAAGACACACAACTGGGAGTGTCACTTGAACTCAACAATGAGAACGATCTTACTCATTTAACTGGATATTTCAAGGGCCCACCAGGGACCCCATATGAAGGTGGTGTGTTTCAAGTGGACATTAACATCCCAAATGAATACCCTTTCAAGCCTCCAGTGATGAAGTTTCTCACCAAGATCTACCATCCAAACATCTCTTCTGTCACTGGTGCCATTTGTTTGGATATATTGAAAGATGCATGGACCCCAATTTTAACCTTGAAGAATTCTCTCATTCTGTTACAATCATTATTACAACTGCCAGAGCCAAATGATCCACAAGATGCAGAAGTTGCCAAGCAATACTTGGGAGACAAGCCGGGGTTCGAACGCACGGCCGCATACTGGACAAAGATCTATGCATACAGTGAAACATCCGGTGGTGCAGCATCTGCTACAAAACCTGGTGAAGATGCAGCTGCTTATGGCATTGACAATGAAGCTGTAGTTCAGTTTGAAAATATGGGATTTCCTCGTGACAAGACTATTGCTGTTATGCATAGAATGGGCGTCAAGACTTTGAATGTTTCCAATAAGGCTGATTTGGAAAACAGAATTTTGGAAGAATTATTACAAGAGTGTCAATAGAGACAATAAACAGAGGACGAGAATGTTTTTTTTTGAGAGATGAATTACTTTTTACATTATGGATGTGTGTGTGTGTGTAAGGAAAAGTGTATATTCACTCCAATTAGAGTAGGTGTATATGGGTATAAATGTAAGAGAATGAAAAACGATTTTCATCAAATGTGTAGAATGAGAATTAAATATAAGCTACAAAGGGAAAAGTATAAGAAATCTTGAAGAGAATGTGCAACAAAACGTGAACAGTATAGAAAACTAGTTGAATATTTGTGTGTGGGGTAGTGAAGCTTATACAGAAGGAGAGAAGTTATCAAGCAACAATAAGAGAGCTAAAGTATAGGAAAAAATGCTTTAACCACTTTTAAAAACTCTACTGACCTAGATAACATTAATATACCAATCCCTTCCAAAATTAGGTGGAACTATTTTATTTTTAGCTTTGAAACTCTTTTGCAACACATGGTGATTACCCACACTTTTGTAAAGGATCTCTTGGAGAAAAGTCGTGCACACGGCCGAAAAATAATTGATTGAATGTGTGCGCACTCGATCATTTTTTACAACCAACGGTGACAAACTTATGGAAAATGACGACGGAGACAGATTAAATTTTGTTATAAACATACATAAAAAACAATCAAAGTACTGTGCATTTCAATATGACCACCAGTCCAGCTGAAGCTACGCCACACCAGGGCACTGTGACCGCAAACGGTACCAGTGCCGGAAACAACACCCAGACTCTCCTGCAAGAACGTGCCGCCTCCATTGGTTGGTACTTCATTGAATCATACTATGATTTCTACAACAAGAACATTGAGAACATATACAAATTATACCATCCTAATGCTCTGATTAGTCACGAAGCATTCCCCAAGAGTGCTGGAGCTTCAAGCGCAAGCGTGCCTGTTGTCGAGCCAGTGGTGGTCCACCAGGCCCTGGGAGTGGAAGCAATCAAGGCCAGATTCCAAACTGATGAGGAGTTGAAGCGTAAGGACAATAGAATTGTGGTGATAAGTGCCGACATCCAAGTCTGCTTACAAGATAAGATTTTGATTGTGGTTACCGGTGAATGGTCCAGAGAAGGAGGATTGTTCTTTGGGTTCCTGCAGACTTTTTTGTTGAGTCCAGGAAGACAAGAAAATAGTTTGGACTTAAGTAATGACATATTAAGATGGTCATCTACCACTGGACCAATCTCTTCTGTGACCAGCTCCGTATCCAAGAGTTCCGCTACCGGTTCTGCTGCTAAACCAACTACTGGATCTTCTGAGAAGAAAGTTGAAAAGGCTGAAGTTAAGACTGACAAAGTGGTTGAAAAATCCACCAATTTGAAGGCAACTCCTGCAGGTTCTGTTGCATCTGATGCACCTGCTAAATCTAGTACCACTGGCGTATCTACGCCAAGTTCAGGGGCCACTACTGCATCTTCCAGTGCCCCTGTGGCTTCAACTGTTCCTTCCAAGGTCCCAGTCTCTGGAAATGGCTCGACTTCGACAGCTACTACAGCAACTACTATCAGTTCCAATTCTTCAACCGCTACTCCAACCACAGGAACCCCTGTAGCTTCTGCCAATGGAACCCCCTCAGGAAGTATTGGTGAAGCTTCAGCCCCACCAGCACCAGTGGAATCATCAACAAATGGTTCTGGTAGCGCTTCCACTACAGCCACTCCAAATGCTTCTACCTCCACAACCTCCACTGCAACCACCCCCTCTAACAGCAGTTCAACTAGTGGGAATACTGGTAGTGGCGGATCACTTTCATGGGCTGCCAACCTTGCATCTTCAACAAATAAAAAATCATCATCATCACCAATTGAAACTTCAGTTTCAATGTCGACTCAAACTTCGTCACCCACCACAACTTCTTCGAACCTTAACACTGGATCCAATATAAATGCTAATACCCCTCTCTCTACCACATCCGGATCAACTAATAATATCATTTCTGGAAGTTCTTCCCTTGTCAGTACCCATGGTGGTTCCCTTGGTCATCAACTAGGCAATAATTCAACCAGTCCACCATCATCTCGTTATAAAAAGGATGAATGGTTCCCAATTTATATCCGGGGTATTCGTGATCCAATTACTGAAGATATTCTTAAGAAACATCTTTCCGCTAAATTTGGACCAATTAAATTTCTCAAGGTTAATATTTATATTGCACTTTGTGATTTTGTTGATTATGAATCTCAACAAAAGGCTCTTGATGCTAAAGAAACCACCGTTGCAGGTATTACTATCCAATTAGAAATCAGAGAATCAAAGAATAACAATAATGGAGGATATACTAAAGTTGGACCAAAGGGGCCTGCAAAGGATAAGAAATTAACCGATAAGAAGATTAAGGAGAAGAAAAATGGTAAGAAGAAGTAGCCATAATAATGAATTTGAGTTTTTATGATGAATGGATATAGATAGAATTAAAAGTAATTAAAAGAAAATAATTGTAAAGAAAATAGAGGATATTTCGAGTAGAAAAAAAAAAGAAGAAACAGGTAGACTAATGGAATGACTTTTTAATAGATGACGTTTTGCTTCGATATAGCTCAAGAGAGTTGGACTTTTCTCAATTCAACCATACCATTTTTGAGGCAAGCACGCCCGCACAGCCCATATACACAAAACTTCCTCAAGATTGAACTTCTTTCAAGATAATCATCAATACTTCATAAACAGATACCTAAACAATCTTATTATCAATTCATATGAACTTTCTAAACCATAGAAGATCGTCTGACGATGATATAGATTCAATATCAGATGCTGGAGGTGGGAACAATTCCAGATCAGCCACGGCAAAGTCACGTAAACCTCCTAATACCGCATTCCGTCAACAAAGATTGAAAGCATGGCAACCAATTCTTACACCAAAGAGTGTAATTCCATTGTTGTTTGTATTAGCAATGATCTTCACCCCATTGGGTATAGCGATATTGCATACTGTATACAATGTAGAGACGTTGCAAGTGAACTATTCTGCGTGTGAAGAACTCACTGCAAATCAAGCATTTACCGCAATTCCTTCAAAATTTGTCACAAAACATTTAAGTGGTAATTTAGATTTAAAATGGAAATTAGTAAATGATACAACGAGTGGTAATGGGGTTTTTGATCCAGTTACGATGGAACCAAATGGTCTGTCCAACGGTCTTACATGTCAAGTACAATTTTCATTAAATAAACCAATCAAACCTCCTATTTATCTTTATTATCATCTTACAAATTTTTATCAAAATCACAGAAAATATGTTGAATCATATGATTTAGGACAATTAAGTGGTAATGATGTTGGATTAAATGATCTTGCATCAAAATGTAAACCATTACGTGGCAATGATCAGGGGAAAATATATTATCCTGCAGGACTTATTGCCAATTCATTCTTCAATGATACCTTCCTGTCACCAGTGTTACTTAATGCACAATCGCTGGATAATTATGAGGTCTATAACATGTCTTCAATTGGGATTTCTTGGTCACTGGATAGAAATCATAAATATAAAAACTCTACATATGATCTTGATCAAATCGTTCCACCTCCAAATTGGTCAAAATTGTTCCCTAATGGATACACAAGGGAGAATTTCCCAGACTTGAGTAAATGGGAACACTTACAAAATTGGATGAGAACAGCTGGATTACCTAATTTCTATAAACTTTACTCCAAAAATGAACATGACACCATGTCTTCTGGAGTTTATCAAATTGATATCGCCTTAAACTATCCAACATCTGGATTTGGAGGAAAAAAGCTGCTTGTAATAACCACCAATCTGATCTTTGGTGGTCGTAACCTCCTGTTGGGTGTTATTTATATCATTGTTGCTGTGATTTGTCTTGTATTGGGGGTTGCATTCTTACTTCAACATTTGATAAAACCAAGAAGAATAGGTGACCACACCTATTTACATGGTGGTAATGTTCGTGATGCTTTATAGTTTTAATATAAACTGTGAATGAATGAAATATTTGTAGTGGGATAGAAATCTTTGGAAAAGAAGCTGATCTATTTTATTTGCAGCCATGAAGAGGAAAGTAGAAAGACACTGAACCTAATTCACAACAAGCCTAACCAATTTAGTATATTGATTATCCCTTTCCCATCTTCACCTATCCTATCACCACCTTCTTCTCATTCTTGACCTACATCATCTTCTTTCCTTTTACTATCTTCTCAATTTCATAAAGAACTTACCAAAACAATTGAATTTTTTTTAAATATTTATTTCCGAATTATAGTTTAGAGTACCTGAATCACATTCATCGACTTCTTACCAAGTCTCCCCCTTCTGTATTCTACTCACAAAACTCAACTTGTAGTAGTATCATAGTTGATTCTCTTAACTCTAATCGGCGACCTGCACATAAACTGGCTCGTTTTTTCTTTGAGTTTATTTTTTTTTTTAATTTTTACCGCCAAAACTCTTCAACGAAGTAAACTCTCAATCAAACATTGACAGTCATTTTCCAAGTACAATCTACTTACCATACACAATGAACGTTAACCCTCACTTGCAGTATCTCCTGCAACAAGCTACACAGCCTGGCCAAGGCGCAGCACAATCCCCACAATTGGCACAGCTTCAACTTCAACAACAGAGACAATTGCTCAGTCAACATTTACAACAGACTTCTACAAACCCTCTCCTTGCAGCAATAGGCCAACCATCATCTCAACAACAATCGACACCCCATCAGCAACAACAGCAGCAACAACAGCAGCAACAACAGCAGCAACAACAGCAACAGCAGCAACAACAACAACAGCAACAACAACAGCTTCTCCAACAGCAACAGCTTCTCCAACTCCAACAACAACACCTTCTTCAACAACAACAACAGCAGCAGCAACAACAACAACAGCAACAACAGCCACCTCTCCAGCATACACTCCCACCACATCTTGTCTACCCAACCCCTATCCCGCCAATTATTAAAGAAGTATGGGCCCACAATTTGGAACATGAGTTCCAAACTCTCAGATCATTTATTTCCGATCCTACTTCTTCAATCTACATAACAATTCATCAGGAGATTCCTGGGATTGTAGCAAGACCAGTGGGTACTTTTAAATCATCTTCAGATTACCATTTCCAAACCCTTAGACTGAATAGTGATTTGTTGAACCTCATTCAATTGAGTCTTTGTGTCACCAAATCTTCAAATACTCCAACCAATTCTTCAACTTCTAATTCCTCCCCTACTTCAAATCCTCCAGCTGGGGTACTGGTGATCTTCCAATTCAATTTTTTGTATGATTTGCTGACTGAAATGTATAATGAAGAACATCTTGCCATGCTTGCTCAAACATCGCAAGTAAATTTCAATCTTCATGCAACTCAAGGAATTCCTCATCATACATTTGCAGAATTAGCAATCGAGCTGGGTCTTTTACTTGACCAAAGAGTCAATTGGATCTCTTACCATGCAGGCTATGACTTGGGATTCCTTGTTTCCCTTTTAGTGAATGATTCATTACCAGTAGAAGAAAAAGATTTCAATTGGTGGGTATCTAAATATTTCCCAAATTTTTTTGACTTGAAATATTTAGGAGGTGAACTTTTAGATAAATCCACAGGAACTCCAGGAGGTGGAGTTGGAGGTGCTGGTGCCGGTGCCGGTACAGGAGTGGGTTCAGGAGCCATGGGAGGATCAGTTGGAGGAAATGTGGGTGGTGGACCTTCAGGAGGTGCTTCTAATATCTCTAGTTCATCTACAAAACCTTCCATTGAATATCTTGCAGAGGAGCTTCATTTACTCCCAATTTCTCCACTCATCCGTCAATATTTCTTTTCGTCTCTGCAACAGTTCCCTGGTCAACATCAACAAATGACTCTGACACTTCATGCATATCTTCTGATGGAATGTTTCAAAGAATTACTTCGAGTTTCAGGCGGTAATCGTAATACTTCTGCTCTTCTCAATCCATATAGAGGGGTAATCTGGGGCCTTGGAAACGGTGGCAATGGTGCTGGAAATGGTACTTCTGATTTTGAATCGAAGTCTGGAGTTGTACACTTTGGTAGACAATTATAGTATTAATAAACTTTAGAAACCTGATTATTAAGAGTAAAGTACCAGTTAAAGAGAATGCAGACCATTTTGCATTCGAAAAATCCTGATAAGGTCCTGCAACCATTGAACTCTAACATCTTTACATCCGTACACCTATACACATTTTTAGTATGGGTCCACTGTGAAATTTATTATTTATGCACAAAGTATATATCACCATGCTGTCCTTTTCCACATGTTTGAATGTTGTACAGTAGGTCTTTTCAAAGAATATGTATAAGAATCTAAGAAAATACATAGAAACCGATCAAGTTGGTCAATATACGGGTGGGAGAAACCCACATTTCGAACTGCCCTCAATGACTGAGATATTTTTGAACACACCAGTTCGATTTAATCTAATTTCAGAAGATGATCATTTTTTACAAAAATTTTTATTGAAACCTAAGGAAGGTATCTTCAAGCTTCGAAGATTGATAGAGGAGAAGTTTGCCAGTATATCACCCGAGGGGGTCTACTTACTTTCATATAAAGATGTAGATGGGAAACAGATTTCTTTGACTACTAATGAGGATCTTATTCAATGTGTACGTGTCACCAATCAACTCAAACAGAAATCAGCAACTGTTAAAATTCATTTCCAATTTGGATTGGGAAGAACTTGGCTCTACCTCTTGAGTGCATTTCTAGTATTGATTCTTTGCGCGATGTTCGTTGGAATGGTTTCAAATAAGGAGAAGTTGGCAGTTGGGAAACCAAAGGAAGTTCCTCCTGGCTGAAATGGAGTGGATTATATATATATATATATATATATTTGGGATAATTGAAATAATGGAAAATAGATTTGATATATACAAACGTTGTAGTACGAGACAACAATATGCGTAGGGAATAAAAAAGAAAAGAGCCAACTTGAATAAATCAATGAGCACCGAAATGGGTCGTAGACTACAGAGGAATAGTTCATTGTGTGATCAAGATATCTAAGTGATGTTTTACATATTTACATGATGGTGGTGGTGCCTCCAGATGTAAAGGATTTATCTATTTAATGTGGCTGCAAAATTGAAAAGTTACGGAACGATTTTTTTAAATACTTTAATTTTAATTCGAATTTTAGTACTTTTGACAGTTCTAAATATATGGAAACATGTTATCTCTAGGAATATATTATTCTCTTTTAATCTTTCAATGTCTGGTATTTTATTGGAGTTATTTATTTTTTAAGACTATGGATGTACCCTATTGGACATTTAAGATTATACACGAAGTTATTTCTTTTTTAATCTCCCCAGGGAAGATCTCTCTCTTTAGTATATTTTTTCCGTATCCCAACTTATACACTTAATTCATACTTTCATATGGTCGTTCATCTAGTATATTTCCCTAAGGTATTCTATTGTATAGTCTCTACATCTTAAAGAACTTTCATCACGTGATCTGATAGTTTTTTATTCATATGTTCTTTTGTGTTTTCTTCTTTCTTTCATCCATTTTAATACCTCCCTTCTATCTCTAATTTGAGTTTCCTACCATTATTAAAAAAAACATATACCTTGAAAATAACTAATCAAACCACACTTATCGACATTTCCCTATCAAATTGGCTATGTATTGTTACCTGCGTGCCACCTGCATGGAAACATCCCGCACTGCACGTAATTTGTCTAAATTGAGAATCTTAACCAGCACCTTCTAAAAATGCACACTCTTTCAAGTAAAAGTGGCACTGGGGAAGTGATACTTTCTTATTTCTGACTTCTAACTGAACTAATTTATTATTGCTAAATTGATAGCTAACACATTCATACACCATTTTGGAGAGTGCTAGAGAAGGTACCCGAAATAGAAGGACGGAAAGGTTGGAGAGAGTCCGAAATATTCAACAGAATAAAATACCTTAAAAAAAATAAAAATGAGTCGTGAACCACAAACACCACCAAAGTCAATACATACAAGAAGTAATTTCCCTGCTTTCAATACACCGGTCACGGACAGGAAAGTCAGACATGTACCATACCCAGAGGCCAGTTCTGCAAGTACTGGTGGTGGGCTAATTACAGAACCAGTCACACCGGAAATAACTCCTCGGAAAAGAAGAGGTCTGAGAGTTCTGAAGGATTTAATAAGGACCCCACCAAGCACGGCGAAGAGAGATCATCATAACATCCACCACTCAAATAGTTTTCTTATGGCCCCCTTGCCACTGACGATCGGCTCGGGTCGTAAGGCCAGGTTGAGACTCGAAAGTCTTGCCCAATCACTACTTGAAGATCAACCAAGACTGACAGGATTTGGGTTGGGAATTAAGTCTCCAGATCTTAAGCCAGATTTAAACTTACACGTGGCCAACGAGCATACAGAAGTACATTCAGAAGTTCCAGTACCAACAACCCCTACCAATAAAATTATACAACCAATGGAAAATACAAGAATCTTTCATGAAGACGATGAAGTTAATGAGATTGAAATTTCAAAAATTCGAAATGAGATCAACCCATTTATACAGAAAAGTCCACAATTGGTGAATCCATTCCAAACTACTAATAGACCAACCCGGGTGGATTACTCGAAAAATATGGAAGTGTACAATAGTAGGACAGGGAAATACACGGTCTCTGATCTTTCCGAGTCGGAGCGTAAAATAAAGCCCAAAAAATTGGATTTTTCTGCAGCTCAGGAAGTTGAAGAAGTCCCCGACGAAGAAGATTACCGTGGTAAGAAATTTGTAATGAAGAATTTGAATGGGTTTATGGTTGACATGCAACCTAAGAACAGTTTAGGGTTTGAAATATTTAAGGATGAAAATGTGTAGTGGGGTTCAACTATGTCATTAATGAGATATATAGGATAAAATGGGTAATAGAATTAAGGATTTAGAATTTGTTAATGTAGGGGGAGGGAAGATGTCTTGATCGGATGGGAAGAAATCAGAAGTTTTCATGATAAGGATTGCAATGCCGAAGTTGAAAGGTCTCATCGTTTGTGGAACTAGAAACACGTGAGTATTATGACGCCACTATTATCCATCATGTAGAATAGGATCACAAAATATTTATTAGTAGATAGGAAGTATTTGATAGATATTCCGATTCTTATCTATCAAGAGACAACGTGAAAATCGAACTTATCATTTACTTTGACACAAGACTATTACGGAAACGATGATACACGATGCGGTACCAACAAATTATAGATTTGCAACATTTTTAATCTTATTTTTAGGACATTTTAGTACCTCTTAACACCGGATTTAGATGCATCTTGGCGGTACTCGATTTTCGATCTATACAGAATATTTCAAATTGACACATAATCTTTCGTTTTTTCTTTTTCAATTACTTTTTTTTTTACATTAGCAAAGCAAAGGCTCTTAATTTGCACTTACTTACACATTAGCGGACCTTGTACTTTCATTTAGAGTGTTTAGACTTATTGGTATGTCTAAATGGGGTAAATTTTTCGGCTCCTTATCTTATCTGCGGCAAAATTGTCGAAAAATGCCGAAAGATTAATTGCGCACTCCGCACGGATTGTTCGACTTAACTGCCTATCTTTCGTGCATACGTCAATTCCACCCGCCGATAACAACAAACTTCTTCCAACATACATGAAACTCATATATAAGCAAGAATGATTCTTTTGTATTTCGATATGAAAAATCGTTTAATAATTTCTTAACATCAACAAAAATCATGAGTGAAAAGAAAAGCGAACAAATATCGGTGCTCAGTGTTGAAGAGGATACAATTTATATCGACCCAGTCGCTGAAGCTAAGCTTGTACATAAGCTTGATCGTACAGTACTCCCAATTCTTGGGCTTCTTTACTTTATGGCAGCCTTAGATCGTTCCAATATTGGTAATTCTGCAGCAGCGGGACTTCAGGAAGCTATTGGATTGACTTCAGCCCAACTTTCAAACTGTGTTTCCCTTTTTTTCGTAACCTATATTATTTCCGAAATTCCTGCAACTCTCTTATTGCGGAAAGCCAAGCCTCACAGATTCCTTGCGGCATTAGGATTAATGTGGGCACTTGTTACGATTGGTATGACTTTTGTGCTGAGTTATGGGTCTTTCCTTGCCTGTCGTTTACTCCTAGGTCTTTTTGAAGGTGGTTATTTCCCATGTATTGTGATTTATGTTTCAATCTTCTATAAGCCAGAAGAGCAAGCTCTTCGTATGGGTTATCTTTTGGCATGTGCAGGTTTTGCAGGTGCATTTGGAGGGTTGATTAGTTATGGTTTAGTTCAAGTCAAGTCAACTAATACTTATTTACAAGGTTATCGTCTTATCTACCTCGTTGAAGGTTTGATTACCGTTTGTGCTATCCCAGTGGTGTACTACTTACTTCCAGATGATGAAAATGTCAAAGTATTCAACGAGGAAGAACGTGAGTTGATGCGTCTTCGTACCCTTCAACGTCAACAATACATGGGTAAATCTGACAAATTTGAATGGATTGAAGTTCGTAAGGCGATTGCAGACCCTAAAACTTATTTGAGTATGATCATTCAGTTTTGTCTGGACCTTGTGTTATACGGATTTCTGACATTTCTCCCTACGATTTTGAAGTCTGGGTTGGGATACCTGACAACTCAAGCACAATACTTGACTATCCCAGTCTATGCCGTTGCTATAATATCCATCATTGGAATTTCAAGAGCTAGTGATTATTTGAAATTACGTGGTCCATTCATTGCTGCAGTGGATCTCATTGCTGCAATTGGATATATTATTCTTATTGCATCTTCCAATAATGCAGTTAAATACTTTGCAACCTACCTTATTGCCATTTCATTATATGTACAAGCAGGTATCAATCTTTCATGGACTGCTAGTAATTCCATGCCGCATTATAGAAGAACTTGTGTGGTTGGTGCTAATCAAACTTTGGGGAATATTCTGGGTGCCATTGCTGGTCAAGTCTACCGTAAATCTCCATATCGCCTTGGTCATTCATTTTCTTTGGGATGTGTTTGTCTTCTGGCGGTTTGTATTGGACTCAATACATTATGGTTACGTAGACAAAACAAGGTGAAGGAATTGATTCTCAGTGGAGAAAAGGAGGATACCATGAGTGAAAGAACTGGTGACCACGTTTTAGACTTTAAATATTGCTATTAATTAAGTCAAATAATATTGTTTCAAACCATTCTGTAAGAATAAGAGAAGGGTGTGTTCTAAATTAAGAACTAATTGTAAAAAGCTGATAGCATCAATAGATTTGATCCCGAGGGTGATGGCTCCAATGGCTTGGGAATATTAATATAATACCAAGTGTGGTAATTGAGGTTTTTGGCCAGAATAACAACCACTGGACGATTGTGTGCTATTGAGTAGTTTGTGATTTTAGTTCAGCCAATTCAACTCAATAATTATGACCAAGTATCAACAACAGTGTATAAATTTTAAGCACCCAAATAGACTGGACAAGAATGCGAATCAAAGTTAGAGAGATGTTTTGTATATTAAGATGGCTTGCTGAATGGGTAACCTCGATACCTTTGTATCATAGCACTCATATAAAAAAGGGTGTCCGTCGTCACTTTGAACGGGAAATCATTCACCCTTGTATAAAAAACGGAACGTTATAGTTTAAAATAAAAAGAAAAATGGCCAAGCTACCTGGAAGACGGCACTTTAAAGTAATTTACCGTCTAGATAACTAACAGCTTTATCAACGTTAATGTCTCGCGGTTCTTTTCTTTATGGTGTTATTGCAAGGAAATAGATCAAATAATTTATCTACTAGTTTATGGGTTTTGATTCGAAGTCATGATAGTCACTTAAGAGACATAAAAACGAACAGGAGAAGAGTAGTGACGTTGCTCAGAATTATTTTAAACCATATTTGTATTCTTTCAATTTTCAAATCCATTCCACATAATCATTCTGCCCCAATCCCTTGTTATGCACATTAAGCCATAATACCAAGAATATCTTTTAATCAGCTCAAAACTAATATTATCCTTGGGCTGAGCCAAAATTGAAACCCAATTTATTCATTGCGTTAGCTACAAAGCCTTTAAAGAGGGTACAAGTACTCAAACCATGACCCACATTAGCTAAATCATTCCTAAATTAATTATTCAGATCTCAAGTGCTCAACGGGCCCAACTTATAAACGAATTCCGCTGATTATCGTCCTGATAAGCCCCGTTCTGTTTCTGCTCAGCGCCTATTGATTGATCTTTCATCTGAGATAAGATAATAAACTTCAAGTATATAAGGTGAAATATTCAGCTAGGGTGTTGTAGCATAAGACTAGAAACAAAGCCAAATGTCAGAAAAAAATAGAGAATTAGTTACTATCGAATCCTTGGATAATGAAGATGAGGAAATCGTCACCATTGACCTCGCGCAAGAGTCAAAGCTTGTGCATAAGCTTGATCGTACAGTACTTCCAATTCTTGGGCTTCTTTACTTTATGGCAGCATTGGATCGTTCCAATATTGGTAACTCCGCAGCAGCGGGACTTCAGGAAGCTATTGGATTGACTGCTGCTCAACTCTCAAACTGTGTTTCACTTTTTTACGTCACATATATTATTTCGGAGATTCCTGCAACACTCCTTTTGCGTAAATTCAAGCCGCATCGATTTCTCGCCGCATTAGGATTTATGTGGGGTCTAGTTACTATTGGTACAACTTTTGTTCTGGGATACAGCTCATTGCTTGTTTGTCGTTTACTTTTAGGACTTTTTGAAGGTGGGTATTTCCCATGCATTATGGTGTATGTGTCCATATTTTATAAACCAGAAGAACAAGCCCTTCGTATGGGGTATTTACTATCTTGCGCCGGTGCCGCTGGAGCCTTTGGCGGGTTGATTAGTTACGGATTAGTCCAAGTTAACTCTACAAATCCTTACCTACAAGGATATCGTCTTATCTATCTTGTCGAAGGTTTGATCACTATTTGTACAATTCCAATTGTATATTTCTATCTTCCTGATGACGAAAATGTCAAATTCTTCAATGAAGCAGAGCATGAGATTATGAGACTCCGTACCATTCAACGTAAGCAGTATATGGGTAATTCCAAGTTTGAATGGATAGAAATCCGTAAGGCCTTCTCAGATCCGAAAACTTATTTCAGTATGTTCATTCAATTCTTTCTGGATATTGTTTTGTATGGATTTCTGACCTTCCTCCCTTCAATTCTCAGGTCAGGTTTGGGGTACCTGATTACTCAAGCTCAATATTTGACCATCCCTGTGTATATTCTGGCAATTATATCCACTTTATGTACCTCTAGGGCAAGTGATTATTTGAAGATACGTGGTCCCTTTATTGCTGGTGCAAACGTTCTGGCAGCAATTGGTTATATTATTCTTCTTACTGCTAACAATAACGCAGTGAAATATTTTGCAACCTATCTCATTGCATTATCCTTGTACGTCCATGCGGGGATTAATCTTGCTTGGACGGCAAATAATTCTCTGCCATACTATAGGAGAACGTGTTCCATAGGATCCAACCAAGCATTAGGGAATATTCTGGGTGCCATTGCAGGACAAATATACCGTAAGTCACCATATCTTCTTGGTCATTCATTTTCTTTGGGGTGTGTATGTGCTCTGACAATATGTGTAGTCCTCAATACTCTTTGGCTCCAAAGGCAAAATCGTGTTAAACAGAAAATTCTTTGTGGAGAAAGAACAGATAAGATGAAAGAGAGAACAGGTGATCACAATTTGGACTTTAAGTACTGTTACTAAATATAAATATAAGTGAATGAATGTATAAACAAAAGAGAGTAATTTTACTTAAAACGAGTGGAATTGCTGCAAATAAATTTGATAGTAACAAAAGAAGGGGTTTATAAAATTAATGTCTCACCGCAAAGATAGCTTTCCTTCAAAAGATTTTTACCATAAAGCTCCATATGGGTAGTCTTACTCTTTTTTATTAGTAAACTGTCATACTAAATGTGTGTATGACTCTTAACTATGACATTCCTTTTCCTTATTATTTTTCTTTTTTGTGTCACATATGATTATTGCCTTCCAAAGGTCCACAAATGATTTTCTCTAGTTAAAAATAAAATAAAATTAAAAATTGCGCCGAGAGATTAAACAGTAAAGATTTCAATACTTATAGAGTCATGCCACAATTTGACGACGACGATCTTGAAGATTACCAGAACTATTCTGCAGAAGAAGAGGCTTTCAACGAGGAGGCTTTGGACGATGCAGAGTACGATAAGCTCTACGCACTGTTGCCAATTCTCAAGCAACAGGTTGCGGACTATAATGACGAAATGGACGAATTAGACATGAAGGAGGCACTCTACTATAACTATTACGCTGTAGAAGAAGCAGTTAAAGAGTTAAAGGAGAAGTACCCCAAGAAAAAAGGTATGTATACAGTATTATTTCATGAAGTACGACGAAGGTGAATCAGAAAATAGACAAATAAAGAGGAAGCAGTAGAAGAGGTTGTAAAATGAGAACGAGAGAAGAAAGATGAAAGGGGGGGAATAGAACTGAGCAATTTGAGGGTTGGGTATTATAATGTGGATATATGAAGAACTAATGCGAAAGAACTGGATATTATTTCACTTTGATCAAGGAAATGGTCCTCCCATCATCATTGTATGGGTTAGTATGGGAATGAAGTCAGCCTGTTTGTATACAGGAAAAGATATATCATTAATAGGGTAAATTTAACAACAGATTTAACAATATTCTGAAGTGAATTTCATTCTATAAGGTCCATTGGTTATCAATTGATTACTTGGGTGCAGAGAATAATAGAGGAAAACAAAAAAAAAAAGAAAAATTTAAATCCTTGCAATTGTTCTAGTTCTTAACTTGTTCTTCTCAGCTCTTCCTTCCTTTCTTTTATCTATTTTCTCTTCCATCTCGTTTTTTTTTACGACTTTTTAACAAGATCTAGCATTCTAAACAGTATAGATCAAAATCCACAACCCATAAAGAAGTCCACTGGTGGACTTGCAGGTTTAAAGACTAACTCTGGAGGTCTTTCTAAATTGGCAATGTTAGCAAAGTCAAGAGCAGAAAATAAATTGAAATTAGAATCTAATTCAACAAATGGATCAGATTCAATAAATTCCACTGCTCCAAAACTTTCTAAATTGGCCCTTTTAGCTAAAAATAGACAAGCAAAGTCAAATACATCAAAAGATAAAACTTCAGAATCAACCACACCAACACATAGAACGTCATTATCAATTCTAAATGGATTATCTAAAAGAGAAAATGAAGATAAATTAACTAATAAACCAACCCTTTCACTCAATTCGAATCCTATATTAAGGTTAAGGAAGAGGAAATTGCATACTAAGAATGAGGAAATTGATAATTCCGAGTTACCGTCTGATGTGCTGCAACAACTTAAACCTAGTCCTGTACCATCATTAGTATCTTCAAACACTGCTTCACCTATACTACCACCAAGTCCTGAATTTGATAACTCACTTCTCAATGAATCCAATTCTCACCTTTCCAATTTCTTATTTCTGGAATGTCCTGAGGATGGAGTTGCCGCCAATAAAAGGCGTCGTATTTCACTTCATCATCAATTATTCGAACCAATTACTAACCAAATTATAGTCAAGAAGGTAGTTGAAAATTTCAAAGTACCCAGTCCTGACCAAAAGATCTTGGATGCTCAAAAGGCTGCATTTGAAGAAAATATGGGTGGATTGTCATTGGATGCAGCAGCTGAGAAACAAAAGGAGGAAAAGGAAGGAAAGGAAAAAGTTCCCAAGGCAACGAAGCCATTTAAGAAAACAAACATTCAATCTATTTTGGCTTCGGCTCATCATTCCAAGCCTCATAAATCGTTTGTGGTGATTGGACACGTAGATGCTGGGAAGTCGACTCTTTTAGGTAGATTACTCTACGACGTTGGGGCTGTAGATGCCAAGACTCTCAACAAGCTTACCAGAGAAGCTGAAAAGGCTGGTAAAGGTTCATTTGCTCTTGCATGGGTCATGGATCAAACTTCAGAAGAACGTTCTCGTGGAGTTACCGTTGATATGGTTGCTACAAACTTTGAAACTGCTACATCCAGATATACAGCCATTGATGCTCCTGGTCATCGTGATTTTGTTCCACAAATGATCAACGGTGTATCACAGGCTAGTTATGCGTTGGTAGTGGTTGATTCGGTTACAGGAGAATTCGAGAGTGGTCTTTTGGATGGACAAACTAGAGAACATGCCTTGTTAGCCAAGAACTTGGGAGTTGAACGTGTTTGTGTAGTGGTCAATAAGATGGACAGAGAAGAATGGTCTGAAAGTCGATATCATACCATTCAAGAACAAATGACTACCTTCTTGACTGAAAATGTCGGATTTGAAACCAATCAAATCGATTTCATTCCTCTTAGTGGTCTTCTGGGTAACAATTTAGTTAAGAGAGACTCGCTGATTAAACAATTCGATTGGTATAAGGGTCAAACTTTAGTTGGCTGGTTGGATTCTTTAGATGGTGGTATTACCCATGAAGATTCTGCTGAATTTTGCCTCTCAATTAATGATATCTATGAACCTACTGCAAATGAATTACAATTGTCTGGGAAAGTTCTTTCTGGTACCATTCAACCAGGCCAAACTATAATGGTAGCACCTGCTAGAGAATATCTTCAAATCCAATCCATTAATGTAAATGAAAAGGCTGTAGATGTTGCCTTTTCAGGAGAAATCGCCGCTTTGAAGTTCAAAACATCTCAAACAAGTGCAATTGCTATTTCTGGTGACTTGGCAGTATCTCTCTCGAGTTCAGTACAATCCACCGATAAATTCACTACTGAAGTCAGACTTTTCGACATGACCAAGCCTTTGCTTGTTGGTACACCATTTGTTCTTTTCCGTAACAATTGTCATACACCAGCCAGAATTACTAAAATTGTTGAAGTTTTGGACTCCAAGAAAAAGAAGAAGATGCATCTAGTTTCTAAACAATCTGCAGTAGTTGAGATTCAATGTGATAGAGCTATCACTATGACTACTTTTGATGTTGATCCAGTGCTCGGAAGAGTTGTATTGAGAAGGGAAGGTACTACAATTGGTGCAGGTAAAATTACCAAGATATAGATATAGACAAAGGTAATATAAAATAAAAAAGAAAATAAGAATGTAGTTCACAAATCTGTGTATGTAGTAGGACCTCCATGTTGCATTCTTCCTTATAATTAATATCTTGACTTTGCATGTGATCTAATACATGTAATTTTAAATTATTGCTCTACACTCGTATTATTTCATTTCTTTCTTCGTTTTCATTCTCTAGTTTAAGATATATAGTCCAAAAACAATATTAAGAATGCAACCACAATACTGGTAGTTATAATGATGCGGGAACCAGTTTTATTTCGCGAGGTGGCCTTATTCAAACTTTGGTTACCCAGTCGCACATCCATCTCTATCTGACCCTGGTTATCAAGAAGCGATTCAATCTGCTCCAGCTGAGCCTCCAATTGAAAAGAAAGCTCGGTTTGAAGATTAACTATATCCATCATTGAAGTTCGAAGTTTCTCCACCTGTGTAAGTTGAGTCTCCTTGAGCGAAAGAAGAGCAGAATTTTCTTGTGAAAGCTCTTGTAAAAATTGCTGGGAGAGTCCTGGGGTTTCTTGTGGCATATCTTCCTCTGTCTCTTGGATTTCTTGATCAATGTAGTCTTTCCAGGAGGTGGATGTGGTGTTCATATCTACCTCCAAGTCATCTCCTACACCTTCGTTTAAATTCTGGAAGTTCAATAAGTTTAAATCTCTTTCTCTCTTGAACCTTTTCCTTTGTAATTGTTCGAATTTTTTACCAACCCCATTCGTGAGCTCATTCAATGATTTTAATATTTGGGTTCTATGAACTGCAATAGTTGTCCAGAACAATTCCATGTCGTCATCTTGTTCCAGACCAAAAATCGCTGAAAGCATCCCCTTATCCTTCTTTGAGTGTTCCACTTGTCTTCTCTTCTGTTCATATGTCTGCAAAACCTTCAACTTTTCATAAAGTTGCTGTACTTTAAACTGGAAATCTTCATCAATTTTATTTTTATCCTCGATTGAAAGAGCGTTATTACCTCTCACCACACTTGATTGGTCGTGAACTTCAAGGTAATGAGGGCGTACCTCAGTGACAAAGCCATCTAATTGGGCTAGAAGTACTCTATATTCCAAGCATTCCTTTAAAAAGGTATCTTGTATATGGAATCCTGATGATTTGGTTGAACTATTTTCTTTATCACCCCTAGCCGCCTTCCTCTTACGAGAATCTCCAGCTAGTTGTGATGTTTCCACAATACTTACACATTGTTGGAATAATGGAGTCAAATCAGACATTATTGTCTATATAATAGAATTTTTAATTGATATGGATTCTTAATATCAATGATTGCCCAAAGTTATCATTTGATTCAGAGAACTAAGAAACTGTCACGTGTTCATTATCACATGAATACAGAGTAGAGAACTTTGTACAAAGTTTACAATGGAAGTTAAGTATCTGAAGCCTTTAGATTGAAGAGGATTATGATGAGAATGGATGACTATCATGATTCAGGTATTTTAATTAAAATTTAATTTTCTGACGTTTGTTTATTGGAAGGAATTTAGAGAGAATTAAATTATTCCTAGACACCTCTCAAAGGTGTATGCCCGAGCCTTGTCACAAGTTCACATCTACACCTATCAAACTATTACCAACATCTCAGTAAATACTAAAATTAAAGTGCCTCCTTCTACATCACATTGAATCACAAATATTTATTCTTTGTAGTAGACTATCCACTTAAATATTCTACACATCTTGTAATTTCAATTGTATCCAACTGGTTATAATTTTTCATGTGTACATCAACCTGTTCTGATTCATACAAATAGTTCCACCGTCCAGGATATTGATTTCCAGCTACGTTTACCACCAGATAGTTATGTATCCTCTTTTGTTCTGGGGATGAATTTACATATTCGTGGTAATCTGGAGCGCCGGGGTACCGAATATTATCCCCAACTATGATTGTTCCTGGGGCAATCAAATTAAGACTTTCCAAAAGCCTCAAGTCAGGTACATACAAGTCATTGGCGTGGTCTATTAATATAAAGTCAAAGGGCTCTCTACTGCCGAACTCAAGAAGAGTTCGCGATGCCCGGCCTACGATGACTTGAACTTGCTCAGAGAGGCCTGCCAAATCAATAAACTTCTTTGCAATTTCTGCAAATTCTTCATTGATTTCAAATGAATAGAATTGAACGTCTGGTCTATCCTTCGCAAACTCAGCACCAAGAAGGATGGCGGAATACCCCACATAACATCCCAATTCTGCCAAGTGCTTAGGCCCATTAGTGGAATACTTGCGAACTTTTTCAATAATGATCCTTGCTTTTTCTCGACCTATGAATATAGATTGTGGTGACGCATACTTTTCTATGAGTTCAATCACTTTGAGAGGATGATCCTTTACTTCGTCAAGGGTTTCCTGGGGTAGAGAAAAGATCTTCTTCGCAAGAGCTCGTTCTAAAGACATAATAGGACGGGTTATGGCTACTATTTTCAAGATGAAGAATTATAGCATCTTTAGTTCTCGCCTCCCCTCTTTATATCCACTTAATAAGATCTAGAAATAATGTGGGGGGTCCGGCCTTGCCACCATTTGTGGCGTGTTAAATCCGTCCCAAATTCGGAGAACAAACACCGCGTTTGGTAGTATGTAGGATTGCGGCAAAAATGTTCATTATGGACCCTGGAACCCGGATATTGAAACCCCGATTTCCGGCTCTATATGACGATATTGGCTTTTGTATGAAGCATAATCAATGTTGATGAATGTAACACGAAGTTTAGTAGTGTGGAAATCTAGTGGGATTTTGTATTTAATTTTTCTTGACTAAAGCTTGACCCCGTATGGTGAAGTTGTATATTATATCCAGTAATTTCAGGGAGTAGAGGGGGCCCTTTTACTTGGAATTTTTGCAGATATCTTCGTACCATGGCTGAGAAATAATTTGCTACAAATCGTAGATATTGTATATTTATTCAAACAAATAGAATTTTCCTGGATGAAATGGTCAAATACCGGTTAGACGCCGAAGTCTTGGATCTGATTCGTAATGAAATTCCATCTCATTTGCCGGAATTGCCGATTCATGAACTAGATAATGTGGTATGCGTAATTGATGTTAATTATTTGATCTGAGATTCATAAACATTGTATATGTGGTTGAATTCATTCTTGGAACCTGTCCTTATACAATTTAGTTGACGTTTTCTTCTACTTCTTTCTATCGAATTTTGACCAGCTCAATATGAGTGCAAAAAGAAAAGTCTGTAGAACTTAATATCAGAAAACCCCCGTACAAATGGACGTTCCTCCTGTTTGAGCATGTTCAACGATTGACTTCGCGATTGACGTCCTAATGACCCACATAGTCAGTAATCTCTTTAATTATCCATCTAGAATTCGAAATATTCTTTCTGATCTTTGGGTTACTCTTATTTTCGTCAAGTCCAGACTTTCAAGAATAAGTTTTCTAATCAACCGATTGGTAGGAGTCATATTAATCAAAGCCAGCTCTAAAATATCGTAAATTGTATCACACCAATGCGGTTGAAACGCAGTTAGTAGCAATTCGATGCATCCCATTTCCACCGCTTGAAGCTTGTATTGGTCATGTTGCATCATTTGACAGAAGATTTTCGTATTGTATGACACAAACTGTTGATTTCTATGACGGTTAAGTACAATATTTTTTGTTAAAATATCAAGAAGATTTGGTTGGAAAGTCTCTACTAGGAATGGGATATCTATTGAAGGTTCAGTGAATAATTGACAAAGATATGAAGCCGAGACATCATCATAATTGTCTAACGAGGTGAAAATATGAGGTAATTGATTGACCTCTACTCCATCGCTAAGGTAAAACTCTAACGGTGCTTCCATGTTTGAATCATCTATTGGATGGATTTTAGGTGTCTTGTTACCCACTGACCTAATTTGTGGAACTTCATCATGTGAAGATTCGATCCTTCTTCGTTTTACCAGTGCAAAATTGGTGGTTGTTAACGTTCTTTTACATAACATCGTTACCAATCCGTGGGGTTGTGAGTAGAGCCGCACACAAACAAATAATTTTTGTATTATTATTTTTTCCTTTCCTGTGTCATCTCTATTTCCTTTGTCTCCCTCTTTATATCTTTCCTGTTTACATCCACAGCTATCAAAACGTCATCTGATTGTGTAGATAACAAAAACTGTGGATCCTAAATAATTTAATATTTTTTCTTAGCAGTAATATTATTTTTTTTGCTCTTCTGGATATTTCACCACCACACTTTGCACTTTTGAACTTTCCACATGTCGATGTCATCAAGATTGGAAGCACTTCGGAAGAAGAAAAGAGAAGCACAGTCCCAAAACAAACAAGAACTATACAAAGATTTCCAAAATCAGAAACTTAAGTCGGTGAACCTTAAGGCATTAGCTCGAGGGAAGGAAGGTGCTGAAGACAAATTGGAACAAATAAACAAAGGTGATGATTATACAAGAGCCAAAAACTGGGGGTGGCTGGTAGAAGAATGTGAAGCGTGGGAAGCAAAACAGAATGAAAGAGCGGCTGCCAAAAATAGATCAGAAACCCATGATTACGGGAAATTGGCAGAACAAGTTTATACCAAGGAGATTCTGAAACTTCAAGTAGACAAGGAAGAATACTCTAAAGCACGAGCCAAGAATAGTGCTGGAACATCCAACACGGCTTACTTGGTCCAGAAACCATCTAAGAACAAGATATCGTCACTTGCACAGGGCATTCAAGAAACGAGTGCCAAAAGGGCAGCTCTTTCTAAACGGAAGACTACTGATAATTCCAATCTGGAAGGATATATCAATGAAAAGAATAGACAATTTAACATGAAATTGGATAGACAATACAAGTGATCTTTAAATATGGGAAGAGAGTTGTCATTGAAAAGAAAGAAAGAGAAATATGAGAAGAAATAGAGGTCTACAGCATTTCGATAGTCAGGTTTCTCATTTCTCAGGTTATTTTAGTGGTTGAGATAGGAGCGATGGCCCCTGAACTAATCTTCGGATATAGTATTTCATCTCTTTTTACAACGGATGAGTAGACGAGGTATGTCTCGCTCTCTCGCGATGTCAAGGCACGGGGGATTTCTCCTACAGTGAGTTTACAAATACTTTCTAAAATCTTATAACGATTTATCTTACGTCTTCTAGAACAATCCTCCACAGATCGTTGTTGTTCTGTCTATAATTATGGTTCGACCCAGTTGCCGAAAAGAGCCTACCTCTTATTATCGTGTATATATATAGTTAAATCTAATATTAGTATTTGTATTTTTTGAAAAATTAAATAACATTTTTAAGACCTGCCGATATTCATTTCATAATAATCATTGATTTATCATAATATACATTATATATTACACTTCTTAAGACTCCTACTTTATCTTTGCAACCAAAATGAATCAATTGAACAAAGTCGTGTCCGCCGTCAAACCCTTGCACCCAGCTAAAGTTATTAGCTACTTTTGTGGCACTTTTCAAAAAGGTTGAACGCTCAGTCTGCGAAAAGTTGAAAGGTAACAAAAAAATGAAAACATCATTAAATATTTCAAACTTTTTGATTAAAACTCATTGAATTTAAGATCAATACATCTTGGTCAGTAGGCTGCAGGCGATAGTAATTGGCTGTAAACTCTTGACTTGTAATTCAGTAAGAAAAGATGGCCCGAGAAGATGAACAAGCAGTGGAGCCTGAAACAAGAAATGTTGGTGTTGATAGTTTCGTAGACAGAGAGGCTGAAAAGGACAGTGAAGGAGAAGATGAAGATGATGAAGAAGGACAAGGGCAATCCGACGACTCTTCCGAAGAAGATGACGACGATGACGATGAAGAGGCCATTCAAAAAGTCCGTGAGGGGTTCATTGTCGATGATGATGAAGATGAAGAAGATGCGGTAAAATCTAAAAAGAGAAGAAGAAGAGAAAAAAAGAGAAAGAGAAGAGTTGAAGAAAACGTCGATGACGATGCTATAGACGATGATGATTTGGAATTGATCATGGAGAACTCTGGAGCTAGACCGGCTTCCAGTAGTAGCAGTGGGGGAAAATTCAAACGGTTGAAGAGAGTACAAGAAGATGGGGACAACGATGCCGAAGAAGGCGGTGCCAGCTCCAGAACATCCTCTCGTGCCGGTGGGCTTAACGATATGTTTTCAGATGACGATGAAGATATGGATAGAGGTGAAGAAGATGATGGGTTAGATCATGACGATGATGACGACCTTGGTCAACAAGTGGATTCATCCGTAGGTCCATCAGCTAACATTCTCGACGAATTCGAAGACTTTATCGAAGAAGATGAATTTTCTGATGAAGATGAAGAAAGAAAAAGAAAGGCAGCCGCTGCCCAACGGCTCCAAAGAGCCAAAAAGGCTGGCCCACGTTTAGACACCTCTAAACTCTCAAGTGTAGACCGTGAGTCACTTCAACAATTATTTGAAGTATTTGGCAACGGAGCTGAATACGAATGGGCATTGGATGCGCAAGAGATTGAAGATGATGGTAATGGGGATAATATGGAACCAACTTCGTTGGATGAAGTGTTTGAACATGCTGAATTGAAAGAAAGAATGTTAACTGTCGAAGATAATGTCATTAGAGTTGTTGATGTCCCTGAACGTTATCAAAAATACAGATCGAACTTGAACTATATTGATTTGGATGGACAAGAACTTGTAAATCAACAAAATTGGATTGCCAAACTTCTCTTCAAAGAAAAGGGACAACATGTTGTTGGTGGAAAGTTGGAAAAACCTTTCAAAGAAGCTGTGGCCAAGTGTGTTGAATTCATCCTGAAGGATATGTTTGAAGTTCCATTTATTTGGGCCCATAGAAGAGACTTCTTGTTATACACCGAGGAAGTTGCCGCAGAGGGTGCCATGGACGGAATTGAAGGTGCTTCCATGGTGCCTGTGGTCCACAAGCTTCTTTCTGAAGATGATCTCTGGAGAATTGTTCAACTTGATATTGAATACCATTCACTTTACGAGAAGAAAACTAACATTGAAAAACTTGCCGATAGTTTATCAATTGATGATGATTTAGTCAAAGATTTAAAGAACCTTGAAACCATGGTGTCTATACAAGACGTACAAGAATACATCAACTTCACATATTCTAAGGAAATCAGAGAAAGAGAAGAATCTGAAGAGTCTTCCAAGGCCAAGAAACATCTGAAATATGCCGTCTTTGAAAGAATTAGAGAAAATGTCTTGTATGACGCAGTGAAGGCTTATGGAATTTCAGCTAAGGAATTTGGTGAAAACGTACAAGACCAATCTTCTAAGGGATTTGAAGTTCCATATCGTATTCATGCCACTGATGATGCTTTAGAATCACCAGAAGATCTTTTAGAAAAGATTTGTGAAGATGACGAAGTATTATATAAGGATCCAGCCAACGCACTTCAAGCGGTAAGAAAAACTTTTGCTGAAGAGATCTTCCACAACCCTAAGATCAGAGCTGAGGTAAGAAGCACTTACAAGGATTTTGCCTTGGTTAGTGTTAATGTCACTGAAAAGGGTAAGGGTATTATTGATTCTCACAGTCAATATGCTGATATCAAATATGCAATCAACCGTAGTCCTGCTGATTTGGTCAGCAAGCCAGAAGTTATGTTAAGAATGTTGGAGGCTGAAGCTTCAGGATTGGTAGTCGTTAAAGTTGAAACTAAAGATTATGATAACTGGTTCCAATGTATTATCAATTGTTTAAAGAGTGATGGTCTGTCTGACATTTCTGAACAATGGAACATTGAAAGAGAAGTAGTATTGAAGATGGCTTTTAAGAGATTGACTGCAATGGTTCTGTTGAACACCAAGGAAGATCTTCGTAGAGAATGTGAACGTTTGGTACAACTGGAAGTTAGAAGATGCGTTCTTGCCAAAGTTGATCTGGCTCCATTTACACCTTTTGGATTTGATAAGGGAACTAAACCTAACGTTTTAGCTCTTAGTTTCGGTAAAGGTGACTTTGACAGTGCTGTTATTGGTGTTGTGGTAAGAGAAAACGGAAAAGTTGATGAATTCTTCAAGAGTGAACTGAATCCTTCTAGAGATAGAGAGAGTGAAGAGAAGTTCGGTGGACAACTTAAGGAGTTCTTTGATAAGAGTTTGAGGGGTTCCAATCCTGATGTTATTGTTGTTTCAGGATTCAGTGCCAACTCCAAGAGACTCTTTGATTCTGTAAAGAATTTCATTCAAAACAACTCCATAACGGCAAACACTGAAGATTTGGAAAATAATGAAGCTCCAGCTCCATTGATCCCAGTCATTTGGGGTCAAGATGAAGTTGCTAGATTGTACCAAAATTCTGAGAGAGCCAAGATAGAATTCTCAGATAAGCCAACCTTGGCCAAGTACTGTGTCGCTTTGGCAAGATATGTTCAAAGTCCACTTTTGGAATATATTTCACTTGGTGATGATATTTTATCATTGACTTTCACTGAAAACCAAAAATTGATTGGTACTGACTTGATCATGGATGCAATTGAAACTGTATTAGTTGATATTGTGAACATGGTCGGGGTTGAAATCAATGAAGCTTTGAGAGACCCATATGTTGCTAAATTACTTCCTTATGTTGCTGGTTTGGGACCAAGAAAGGCATCTGGTTTGCTCAGAAACATCAACAGTAAGTTGGGTTCAACCTTGAGCAACAGAAGTGATTTAATCGAACATGAACTTACCACTGCTAACATCTTTATCAACTGTTCTTCATTTTTGAATATTCCGTATGATGATGGTGTATCCATGAGAGACTCCAATGTCGAATTACTTGATGCTACCAGAATCCACCCACAGGATTATGATTTAGCCAGAAAGATGGCAACAGATGCCTTAGACTTGGATGAAGAAGATATGGACCATATTGAAGAGCAAGGTGGAATTATTTATCAATTGATGCAAGATGGTGTTGGAAAGGTTGATTACCTTAACTTGACAGCTTATGGTAAGGAGTTGGAAACTAAATTCGGTAAGAAGAAATATGCTACTTTGCAAAGTATTAAGGAAGAATTGGTTAATAACTATGAAGAATTGAGAAGATCTTTCCGTCTTCTTGAAACTCTGGAAGTTTTCCAAATGCTTACAGGTGAAACTACATCTCTGTTTGCCAAGGACGTCATCGTTCCTGTAACTGTGAATAAGGTAGTGAAGAATAACCGTGATTACGAGAACGCTAGCGTTCGGTTTGCAAAGGTCACCACTGCTTCTCTCATTCAAGGAAGTATCGAAGAGAACTATATTCCACCAAAAGCGCAACTCGCCGTTCAACAAGTTGTCCAGGCTGTTGTTGTGGATGTCGGATATGAATCATTCACTGCAGACTTTTCTCTCCTTGAAGCTGATCTTCAAAGAGCCTCTCAACCAAAATTCATCAAGGAAGTTGGAAAGTGGGACTTTGAAGCAGAGCAAAGAGATTTGCAAAAGGAATTGGCCAAGGAACGTGCTCAACTTCTGAAGACTAGAAATGTTCAACATCCACTTTTCCATAACTTCAACCATAAGCAAGCCGAAGAATATTTGGCGCCACAAGCAGTTGGGGATTGTGTTCTTCGTCCATCATCTAAGGGGCCAGATTATCTCACAGTCACTTGGAAGGTCTCCAACAATCTTTTCCAACATCTTCTGATTCACGAGTCTACTTCGCCTGGGGGAATAAAGGAATACAAGGTTGATGATCATAGATATTCTGATTTAGATCAACTTATTTTCCAACATATCCAGGCTATTGCTAAGCATGTTGATGAAATGTGCCGTAATCCAAAGTTCCGTGAAGGAACTATGACTGAAGTTATTGGATGGTTAGAGCTGTACACAACGGCCAACCCTAAGAATAGTGCTTACGTTTTCTGTTTCGATCACAAGGCACCTGGTTGGTTCTTATTGTTGTTCAAGGTCAATGTGAATACACCAATCACACAATGGCACGTCAAAACGGAACGTGATGGGTATAAATTGAGAGGATTCGCATATCCAAACATGCTCAGACTCTGTAATGGGTTCAAGCAAACATTCAAGAGTTTGGTTAAGAATATGAGTTCAAGAGGTCCAGGTGGTTCAAGAGGTGGTGCTCCAGGCGTCAATGGAGGAGGAGCTGCTCCGGTTGGCTCGTATGGAGGTTACGGGTTCTAAATCAATACAGTTGATTCTAGTTCTAATGATGTATTAGTTAAATAAGGATAATAAAATTTTAAAGATAAATATTTTGTTTTGAATATGTAAGAGTATGTTACCATTTACAGACTTCTGCTTCTAATTCTGAGTCGAGATCTATAGCTGTCGCCATCAACATAACACCCCATTAGCCAACGATCGCCTCCATTGGCATCTGAGAACTCAAGTCTTGAATGTAGCACCCTTCTATTGTCAAAAACTACACAAGAACCTTCTGGCATCTTCACCTTGTATTGATTTGCTGGATCGTTAACAAAACTTTCAAAGAGAATTAAACCGCGTAGGAAATCATTAAAGAGTAATTGATGAGAATCAGAGGTAGTTCCGAGTTCAAATGGTCCTTGGAATGGAGGAGAATAATTAACTGCCTGGAGCACTCCTGTGAGGGGGTCCTCGACAACCAATGGTCTAGTGTAGTAGTAATACTCCCCATTGTTGTCGTAGTGGAAAGTAATTGGGAATTTAGTCAAAGCTTCGTAGGCAGCCATATCTTCGGACTTAACGAATTCTACTGCCAGAAATGAATCACTAAAAACATTCTCTCCACCTTCGGTGGAATTTTCAATGAAGTGTAAGAATTGTAAACCTGGTGGAGACTCGTAATACAACAAGTCCATATGTAAGGGCAAAAAGGTGTTCGTGTTGGCAATGTTCTTGGCATCCTCCTTCTCATTTTTCACGTCAAAGAGAGTCCCATAAAATGTCTTCTTGATGTACCCAAATTTGTTTGCAAGCTGCGCAACTGGCCAGCTGTATGCATTTTCTTCCGTCATGGTTGTTTCTGCTGGTTTAGGTATACTATTGATGAAACTTAATCCAAATCGGTTAAGGTTATCCAATGTTGAATGGAATCCCTCGGTAGAATTGTAATCTGAACAATCCACTTGAAGCTCCCCGAGATAAGGTTTCAATGACTTCATATCCCAAAAAAGTCGATCATGGTGGAAAAATTTACCTCTAAGACTACTCTCAAGATTCTTGTGGGAATCCAAGAAATCCTTCAGGAAAGTAGATGAGGATTGCGATTCACCATCATGCCATTTCACTTCTAGGTTATCTCCATTCACTCTGGCATCAATAATGTTTAAGGTTTGAGTGATGTCACCAGTACTGAAAAGCTTTTGGCGAGAAAATGGATCTACCGAAGCTTCAGAAGTGCAAGAGTCACGTAAAAACAAGTTTTTGAAATGATGTAATTCACCATCTATAGCAATTGAAGTGTAGTGTTCGTCGAATTTGGAAAGCTTGAGACCAGCTGTTGCTCCTGAATTGAACCTAACTCCTCTAAGGCTCAATCTTCTAATCATAATTGTATTTGTATGAGGAGAAAAAGAATTGTGTATCAATTATCTTTTTGTGGGGTGATTGAATATTGCCCCACAAAAATGTCGATCTCACATCTCAATATGAAAAACAAAAAAAAATAAAAAAGAATAAAAGAATCGACTGGTGACACCCGCGAGATTCGAACTCGCGCCTCCGGAGAGACCAGGACCTTACCCTGGCGCCTTAGACCAACTCGGCCAGAGTGCCAGATAAATCCGATTCTGGAATTCCGAATTTTTCATCGGATCGAGTCTTCAAACTTTTTATTCTGCTAAAAATTTTTATTTGAGCTGTCAGCACTAAACAAAGCTCTATAAGTTGCAGCAAATACTAATTCATATATCTTCGTTACTTCAAGCATATTATGTATTGAGATAAAACTTTTATCATTAACAAAGTGTTAGCTTATTTCTGTTTTTGTTTTATGTGACTACTTTATGACTGTTTCTCGGCACAAGTGTTCGTGGCTACTGGCAAGAGATCTGTGAATCGTAGAACAGTGAACCTTGGAACGTATAGTGAGGGTTGTATTGATAGTTTTCGTAAAACGCTACTAAATCGGTCATTTTTTATTGACTATACTTAAACTTAAAAAAAGCATAAAATATTCAGATATTCACGCAATATTATTTTTTTTTTAAAGTGAAACTGTAGAGAATTGTTACCGTGCTATATCCACGATAAGATTCAACTTGTACTATATATATATATATATATATATACGTTCTTATTGATTAGGTACAAGATCCATTGGGAGACCTACTTTAATAGTGGTTTTATGTATATATTTATCGCTTCCTAATAGTATTTACACTACATCATCACCAATGACAACAATTCTAAAATAAATTGAACAAATTAACGTCCAAGATTTCAACAATCGTTTTACCAGCAGCAATTACTTCTTCATCAAAGTATCTTCTCCCTGACAATTGAAAACCAATTGGTGCACCAGCAAATGCTTCTGGGTCATATGTCAGACATTCCAACTTTTCTAATTCATTTCTGTAAGTGTAGGAAGCGTGACTTTCGTCCCAAACATCCTTTGTTGGATCTTGGAAAAGTCCAGTCTGGAAGGTTAAAGTTGGAAGATCCAAGATATTGAACAAGGAAGTGTACGACCAATTGTAAACTTGTTCAGGCTTTGGGGCAACGTTGTTGTAAGTTGGACTCAAAATAAAATCAACCTTGTTGTCAATCAAGTAGTCAGTGTATTCTTGTCTTAACGAGTCTCTGATAATGTTCAACTTTCTGTTTTCTGCCACAGAATATGATTTGGCACCATCACCATAACTCAAACTCCATTTGGTTAATTTGGCCAATGGCTCACCAGATGCAGATAATAACTCTCTTTGCTTGTAGTTACCATCACATGCATACATCTTGTGAACGGTATCATAAGCCAATTTTGTTTTTATAGGTTCAAAAGTGATCACCTTGACACCTGCAGCTTCCAACTTGGCAACAGTTTCTTTCAAACCACGGGCAATTGGTGGTGTGGTTTTCACCAAACCATCATCATACATAACTGCGATTGTCAAATCAGTAGGCTTTGGCTTAGGCACATCTCTCCAGGCCAATGGAATACACCATTGATCCAATTCCCATGGCTTACCATCATTAATATAAGTCTTCATCCACAATTCTAAGTCCTCAATAGAACGACCCATTGGTCCAGCAACAGCTGGAACACTTTCTTGCCCAGCACCACCTGAGATACCACCATTTGTAGATATTCTTCTGGTTGTTGGTCTCAAACCATGACAACCAGAGTATGCAGCTGGTGCTCTAATTGATCCACCAATATCACTTCCAACACCAATAGCAGACCCACCAAATCCCACAATTGACCCTTCCCCAGAACTTGATCCACCAGATGATAATCCTAAGTGGAATGGGTTCTTTGAAAGTCCAATGAAGTTATTATTGGAGTCCAAATGCATCAAAGTTTGGGGTTGATTAGTTCTCACGTAAAACACAGCTCCCAAGTTTTCCAAAATTTGGGTTGTAACACCATGTTTTCCTGGAATATTTATAATCTTAGAAACATAACTACCATGAGTGATCTTGTCCTTGTAGTCCATTTGTTCTTTCAAGGATATCGGAATTCCATGAAGTGGACCAATTGGCTTACCATGTTCCTTGTAGTAATCATCGAGGTATTGAGCTCTTTCCAACCCTTCGGTAACAAAAAGTTGTAAAGCACAATTGGTGAATTGATGGGAAATAATAGCTCTGTGAGCAAATGCCTTAAGAGTTTGAACTGCAGTCAACTCACCCTTTGCCAACTTCTCAACAAGTTCACTTGCAGGAGTGTCTGTAATTTTGAATTCTTCCTCAGTCAATAATTTTGCGTCATACAAGTATTTCAAAGGGTTGAATCCTTTGGAGGCTAAGACATCAATTGAAGCTGGCAACTCAGCAGTATATTCAGAAAGTAAACCATCTTCCAAGTCTTGTCTATACTTTTCTACTTTGGGGAGCCAATCCCTCTTATACTTTTCAGGATCTTCATAACCTGAAAAATCATCAGTAGTGAGAAACAGTTCGAATGACATGATAAGGAAAATTAATGTTAGATGAGGAGATCAATGGATTGAGCAATTGATTTGCAGTACAAGAGATAATTGAAATTTGCAATTGAGAATTGAAAATGTTGTTTAGGTTACAACAAGTTTGGTGGTGTAAGACAAGATGAAATAATCAAGGAAATCAAATAAATTGGGTTATCTATATATAAATTGTTTCCCGGATACAGTTACCATATCGGGTTGAGCCAAATCGGGAGGTTCCGCTAAGTACATCCTTACACCAACGTTATCGCCAATTATACAAAAAAACACAAGTTGCATAATGTATGGGCACCAATTAGGACCCTCTTTACAACCTTTCAAATATTGGACCCTTAGATTTATAATTGTTGTTGTTTAATAAGTAACGCAATTGTTTATTTTAAAATAAATAAAATTAGGCATATATAGGGGATTGAAGTAATTAAATGTTATCAATTTCCGACACAATTGCGAATGTGGAGCTAATTCCATGGCGGATAAAATATGGAATTCGTTATCCGAACTCTTTCCATGTGCACAGACTTTTTATTAGGGATATACTGCATGATCAAACATATATACTTGAGCAACAAAGTATTAGCTTTCCTACATCATACATGTTAGACTTGGCTACCCCTACATTGAATGGTGCTATGATCAAATTGGAAGGTCTACGAGACTACCAGACTGCATAATCAGCTTAACACTATTTTCATTTTAGCTGCATTTTGAAAAGTTCTGAATGATTCCAAGAATTTCTTTGAATTATTTGTATTTGCAACCAAGAACCACAAATGCAAAATTTCAGAATATATAAAAAACAACATAATTTAAAAGTCTTTTTGAAAATAATTTTGTTGTCTTCTTCTTGATTAAGGCTGGCAACCTTGCTATCCTCTTTCTGTTCTGTAACTGTTGCAAACGAAAAGTTCTTGGTTTGTTGAGCGATCTACCTTTGCAACTCTCCTTATTGAAGCCATTCACATAGAAACAAGTTGCAGTTACTTGTTTCGTTTGTGTCAGACACCTGATGACACAACTTGGTACTTCCAGATTTTCACTGCGCCCCCTGAGAGTCAACGTTTACCATGAAGAGTTTTTACTTCCCAATTAAAAAATTTGAAATATTGTAACCTCTTGGTTTTTGTGGAGAAAGATAAGTCGAACATGAAAATACATCGCTTTTAAGAAAACCTATGTTCTCAGTTTTGTTGAGAAAAATAAGTTGAACATGAAATACACTGCTTTTAAGAAAACACATCTTATGTTGGGTACAACGATTCATTTTTATCAACTACTCATAAATTTGTTGTAAGCAAACAAAAATAAAAAACGAAGAAAACAAGGGAAATAGCTGTTATAAAGATTGCGTAGACACACACGGATTTGTATATTAATAAGTCTACCTTCAGTTTGTTTTGTACATTAATGGACAAGAATATATATATTATATATTCACAATATTTATATTTGGATTATATTTGACGTAGTATCTGATTACAGATTGAAACATCACTAATTAATTATTATCTCTAAAAGGGTCATATTATACACGATTCGGTTTTAAACCAAACCAAACGTCGCCAAGATAAGCCCACATATCTTGGTCTGATTTGTTGAAATCTATTAAAGTTCCCGTCATGCTATTATCGGAGCCATCTGAAGTCTTCCCTCCGATACTACTGTAGGCACACCACATGTATCCACCACAATAGTCATAGTCAACACGCCAACCAGCTTCGGGTTCGTCTTGGGTGTTCTTGAGTCTCTCCCTATTGTAAGGCGGAATAAGTGCCTGTGAAATATCCATACGACCTCTGTAAAATGACTCGTATTGTTCACTAGTTTTGATATCAGGATAGCGCCATTGGTTGTTGATTGCCTCCTCAAAGTTCACCTTATCGGATTGTCCGCAATAAGCAAAGCCAGAGTTGATCCATTCCAATGTGACCCCATCTTCAGCAACATGCCCAGGATGGGCCGCACAGAGCTCCTGTGACTTATGAGTTCTACCACTTTGAATTTCTCCAATGGCGGCTGCAAAAAATTTGTTCATGTGATATTCTTCTCCATTGACCATAAATCCTAACCAAAAGATTTCTTTGTCACCCCAGACACGCGCAGAAAATAATTCATAAAAATTGATATGTAACATAGTCATAATTGCATTGAAATGAATAGCACGATTCACTACAACCAATCCGCTCTCCATGTAATGGTGCATACCTTCTTTCAATGCCTCATTTTGTAACACGTCTTCCTTCACAAGATCAAAATCAAATACAAAGTTGTCTACGAGTGATGGGGACATTTTCTGGAAGAATCTAGATTCGCTCTCGGGGTCAAATATTTGGATAGATCTATCCTTATAGAAATAAGCACCAGTATTTTTATACTGGGAAATTTCAAAGAAATACTCTGGCTTCTTCAATGGAACTGTGTCCGCATCAATAAGTATATACTCTTCAAAGGAGTTGAAAAATGTGGCAAGGAACTTATTACTGTACCCATTGAACTTACGATGATAATGACTATCAATTGCACTTTTAACATCCACAAACCAAACCTCTATTGGTGGTAAACCCTTGTCGGTCATATAGTCATCTGGAAATTGTGAATGTACCTTTTTAAATGAATCAGGTAATTCTATAAAGTCATCCCTTGCAGCGTTGACAATTTTAGCCTTGGATTCTTTGGAAAGGTCATCCTTGTAAACGATTTGAACAGGAAGTTCAGTTTTTAATGCTCGAAGTAATCTCATAAGATTACATGTTTCGTCAACATGTTGATCTCCAATGGAAAAAACAATTCCCTTACCATTCAACAAATCCTTGAACCCAGTTACAAAGCACCCATAATTGTTGTTAGTCAACTTGGACTTTACTTTCTTTGAACCTTTCCCCTTTGAAGCCTTGGCGTTTGAAGGTTGGACCATATTGATATAATCTTTCATCACAGGAGGATTGACTAATATTGAGCCATCCCACCTCTCATAAATTGGATAGCTTTTAGAAAGCCAACGATAGATCCTAGACTCCATATCTGAACAAGTTTTGAAATCGCGGTGTGCCAAAGCTGGTACTTCAACTCTAGGGTCAGCAAGTTGTTGTTGCTTTGCCACAAATTGGGAATTTTTGTTAGCAACAATTTCATCCGAACCTGTAACAAAACATTTGTTATAAATTCTATAATGTGAAATGGAATTAACAAGCCTTTGTTCTTGTAACATTGTTTCGTTCCAAAACTCTGAATATTTCTGATTTAATTCCTCCTCTATCGCATCATTATCACCAAAATCATCCTTTGAAGTTTCAGCCTTCTCAGCCAATGTTTCTCTTGCTTCATCCCATTTAGCCTTGCGGAAGTCTTCCCATTTATATAAATTCCTATCGACTAATGGGAATGGATCATTGGGGTCTAACCTCCAATGGGGGTCAATTTCATACAATTTATTGAAATATAAGTCACAACGTTCTTGGAATGAAAGTTTTACTATGGCCCTTGGATCAATGGTTTTGAAAATTGCATCATAAACCAATGAATGTGCCGAGTTGGAATCTCTTAGATCGTCTACTTCAGCCACCACCTGATGCATAATCATAATCTCGTCCGTTAATATCGAATTGTTGCATACCATATCTTTATATTGAGCAAAATCAGCATTTTTAGGGGCACTGAGATCTAATACATTCAAATTGGTATTCAAATTTTCTGTCCAAATTTCTCGAGATAGCCACTCCGGATCTTTTCTATAAGCTATAATACTGGTTGTAAGGAGAATCAAACATACAGCAAGTAATAATCGTAACTGTTTCTTACGTTCTCGTACTATCCTTAGCGTCCATTTTTTCAGCATGTTCCCTCTTTTCTTCTTTGGTCGGAGCCTTAATGTTATTCAGCTTTCAATCGATTCAATTAATCCCCGATCTGTTATCCCACGTTTATTGTTCAATGACCTTTGCTAGGCCTACCTTGAAGTTCTATTTGTTTTCTAAACAAAAATAAACAGGAACTCGCGGATGATTTCGCTCCTTATAACTGGTTATTTTTCCAGCGGCTCTTGATGTAAAGCCTCTTGTTTCCGTTCGGAAATCATTCATCATCGAGCGTTGATAAGTACTAAAAAAAAAAAGAGTCGTGCCGTAAGCCAGAAATCATGCATGTCACATTAGATGTCAATTTTCGAGTTTGACATCATGAATAAGGTGAAAAAAAAAGCTAAATTTGACTTCTTACAAAAAGTATTAATTTTTGGGGGTTTGGCCACCTATCTTCGGATACCCCTAAAACTAGACAGATAAATTCAAAACGATTCACATATTCCTCCACACTTCTCCCTCCGGTCGTTAGATATGAAACTTCGACACGTTTTTCACACAGTTTTTTTTTTTTGTAAATGATGCATTGATGACAATACATTTAACTTTTGTGTATGTTTACGAGAAAAAAGTTACGTACACAATTTTACTTTTGTTTTTTTGTTTCTGTTTCGGCTTTTCTGGGCAGTGGTCTTGGAATGCTTATCAAGAAACTGCTTCTACTACTGAACCTTAAAGTAAGTAAATTTTCTTAAAGATGAATATGGTATTGCGAGTTCAGAATAAACGATTTAAACCGGGTATATGGTATTCAGTTATATTTCAAAAAAACCAAACTGTGGCAATGAAGCCCCGACCTCTATCTGCATTGTTTACGCACTTTTCAACGGTTTATAACAATAAGCTTTTTATATATTACATATTTACGTGTGTATAAGTTCTCTTGATTGTCGTACTTCCTTTTGACATTTCCTTTACACTGATTTATTTGATATTATTCACACTTCCAGGTATTTCATTGAAATGGCTGGTTTTTAATATTTTTTTTATTTTGTCTGCTCTAATTTCCTCAACTTTAATTCTGTTACCATCGTCTCTGGTATTAGCCTCAATGAGCTATTTGTATAGAAGCTGTTTATAGATTTCTACCGAAAAATGTCTTGTATTCTCCGACATACTTTATATTTGGATGCCACCTCAAATACTTGGAATTTACGCGATATTTGTGATATTTGAACTTAATATTCATCCCATACAAATGGAGTGTCTACGATGATGTGTCAAATACTTTGTTGACAGTCCATAAACCAGCCATATAGCACTCCAGATTGACGCGTGGTTAGAGGGTATGTCCATTTGGTTCAGTCTCTGCTTACAGGGCTAAGTGAAATCCTTTGAATTAAGCATAGTCACATGAACGTCAGAGCCTCACATTCTTCATTTGTATATATATTGCTCAATAGATTCGTCTATTCTCCAACACACTTTCTTTTCTTGATTTTTTATTGTTTATCTCTGTGACACACTAACAATACGTTTCATCTTTGTCAGGGAATTATATGAACACTTTAAACTTACACTCTACTCAAAAACAATTACATATGGTCTTAAGGATTATTGATTACATTTATAAGTACAATATAAAAACCCTACGCCTATATTCATAAATTAGAATACTTTCTATCTACTAGAGAAGCATTCAACTGGCAAGAGCTTTGCATACGTGTTTGATTCGCATGAGTAAAAAAATCAATCTGATTAGGGCCACAGATAATTGCCACTAGTACAAAATCAACTAATGAGGTTGAAACAAATCAGCTCTCACATTCTATAATACATCTTCTTTTATTTCCTGTTTTTATGACTGTTCATGTTAAAATCATCACTCATTTCCAACCCATATGTCTCCATAGTAGGTGAATAAGTCTACTGATTTCTTATCGAATTCAATAAAAGTTCCTTTTTGAGTATTGTCACCACCATCTTTAGTGGTACCACCAATTTGGGAATATGCACACCACAAGTATGAATTACAATATCCTCCATCCATCTTCCATGCCTCTTTTGGTTCTCCGTCTTCATTCTCACACAATGTTTCAAACTTGTTCTTGAATGGGGGGATCACTGCATGTCTAATCTTAGCCCTATTGGTGTAAAATGCTCTCATATCAGCTTCGGTTTTAAGGAATGGGAATCTTCTACCTTCTTTAATTTCCCTATCATATTTGACCACTTTAGATTGTCCACAAAATCTGAATCCTGAATTGAACCATACAAGAGTTTTTCCATCTTCACTAGAAACATGTCCTGGATGTGCTGCGCAAATTTCTTTGGATTTGAAAGTCTTTGGGTTCTTATCAGTTACCCTTGCTGACATATCAGTTTCTTCCCCGATTGAAGCAGCCCAATAATCATTAAAGTGGAAATTTTCTTCACCTGCAGCCAAAAATCCCAACCAAAAGATTTCTTTATCACCATAAACTCTTGCAGATACTGGTGGGTAGAAATTCATTTGAATCATCATCATAATGGCATTGAAATGTAAGTTTCTATTGATAGCAACCAATCCACTTTCCATGTAGTAAAACATCCCATCGAAAAAATCTAAATCTAGTGATTTCTTTGTAATAATAGGTAAATCGAAAACAACTTGATCTACAATAGATGGGGTGATCTTCTTAAAGAACGTACAATCACTCATAGTTCTGAAATGTGGAGCAGCTCTATCTTTATAGAAATAAGCCCCCTTTGATTTATAATTTTTCAAATTGAAGAAAAAATCAGGGTTTTGAACAATAACTGTGTCAGCATCAACAAGAAGATATTCTTCAAAAGAGTTGAACATAGCTGCAAGGAATTTATTACTAAACCCGCCAAATTTATTTTTATATTGATCTTGAATAACGTTTTGAACGTTAACAAACCAAACTTCTTGTTTTGGTAATCCATGATCTTTTGGATCCAAATAATCCTTGGGGAAATATTGTTCAACATCTTTAAATGAAGATGGGAAAGACTTAAATGGTTCACGGGCAGCCATATTTATAAGATATTTGGATTCATCTGAGAGGCCACCATTGTAAACAATTTGAATCGGATAACGATTGTTGAGGGCTCTAAGCAATGAAATTAACCTTACGGTATCATCCACATGCTTATCAGCGATTGATAAGACAATACCCTTTCCGTTAAGAGAGTTCTTGAAATGTTGTAAGAAACATCCTTTATTATTGTTGGTAATTCTAGATGAAATTTTACCTCCTTTACCCTTACCATAATGAGCATCTTCATGAGAAGGTGCAAATACAAATGAAGGAGTCAGTCTTGGCAAGAAATCTTTCATTTGAGGTGGCAGTAAAAATCTTTCTCCAGAAAATCTTTCAAAAATTGGATATGACATTGAGAGCCATGGATAAATCTTAGACTCTAAATTTGAACAAGTTTTAAAACTGTCAACATTTAAAAGCTTTTCTTCTCTTGAATAGGAAAATTTAGCCTTTCTATTAATCTTTGAAGACTCAGTAAGTGCAGAAATAAATTTCTTTTGATTAGTAATAAATGTATCAAGTCTTTTCTTCTCAATTTTGTTATCTCTGGTCACATAACATTTATTGTAGATTCTCAAATGAGACAAATAATCTACAATGGTTTGTTCAGTTTTCTGAGTCTTGGCCCAGAATCTATCATAATCTTCTTTCATTCTTTTTTCAAATTCATCATCTTCTTTAACTTCATCTTTATTTGCAATGTTTTTCTCTTTTGCAATTGCTTCCTTCAATTCATTTTTTTTACGATTATAAAAATCTTTGTATTTGAAACCGTCTCTATTTTCCAAGGGGACGTCAACGTTTGGGTCAAGATACCAAGTTGGATTGATTGCATAAAGATTGGTAAAATATAAATCACAACGTTCACTAAAGGACAATTCACCAAGAACTGAATTTACTTCATGATTAGCAAAAATGGTATCATATACCGAGGAATGAGCATCAATATTACGGACATCCTTTATGTTATTTTGAGATTGATAGAGTTGTATGGAAACATCATCTAGAAGGTTTTCTTTCACGGTGGCTGCAGCACGATTAGCTTCTTCTTGAACTCTATTAGGATCAGGACGAGCTAACCCTTCATAAGCATGGTGTCCTTGGAATGGTTCATATGTGGAATTGAAGTATCGATACAATGTGGTGATCACTGTAATCCATACTACACCAACTACTATAAGGACAATTTTTCTCCTTGGACGCAGAAAAAATGTTAAAAGGTCTTTAGTAGAAATATTTGGTATAAAGACCATGTTAACGGGACTATGGTGGAGGAGGGGAGTATAGCTCTTTAAGATATGAACCTTCTGCGAAACCCTTAAATTAGTCTATAATCTTATTAAGAGAGAGGTTAACCAGAAGTATGCTTTTTGTTCACTTAGACTCGTTTTTAAAAGAACGGCGGTAAATTCAAATCGATCGAACTTCTCCTACTGACAAGTGTTCGTGATAACGCCAAAAACTTAAAATTTTTTTTATAAAAAAAGAAAAAACAAGACACGCACTAAAATGTAATTGTAAGTAGTGAAGTTGAGTAGGTAACTTAATACTTAACGGTCGATTTAACAAAGTTTAAGTCAAAAGAAATCGAACAACTCGAGTTCTATTGCCCCACAAAAAAAAAATATTCTCCTGCTTAAAAATATATTGCTTAATAAGGAGTACGTGTTCAATCGAAACCATGAGAGAAGAATTTAGAAAATAAGAGTGAAATGATAGAACTTGTTTACATATTCAGGTGGAAGCTACGAAGAACGTGGTAAATAAACAACAAAAAAGGAGGCAAAGTATTAGAGTATCTTTTATATTTACACTTTGAAATTGAATCTGGTTATGATCGCAGGCTAACATGTGTACAAAATTTGGATATTGAACAATAGAGAGAGATACCGATACCATTTTTTTTTCTATTAATGAAACATATTTGTCTTTTCGCGCGTATTTAGTGTGGGATATGGAGAAAGTAAATAATTTAGTGAGACACACCTCAAATTTTTACTGTGGATATTTATGCACTACGGGGTAAAATTAATATACTCATCATGTATTTAATTAATATAGAGAGGGATACATAAATGTGGAGGGGATGTAAAAGTTCCCTCAAGGCTGGGCAAGGGGTTTGAATAAGGTTGAAGGTTCCGCACAGCGGTCAACCATAATGCAAGGAGGGTAAATGGTTTAATAAGCCAATCCCATATAGAAGTAAAAAAAAACATCATTAGTAGTAATGAATAATAAATAGTAATAATAATTCTTGCAGCATGACTTTGTGCAAGACTGGTCATCACCGACTTTGGATGATAATGATAATGTAGTGGAGTATGGTTTAATCTATAGAGCGCGAGTAAGCCAGATAATAGTTGATCATGTTGTCAATTTAGCTTGTTCCGGGTTTACCTGGTCATGGCGTCCTAACACTCTTGTTAACCATTCGTAATGTAACCGCCAGGTTTGACTTCTGAGTTGTTTGAATGTCAGCTCAAACTTAGCAAATTCTAATGTATTCTTAGTGCTCTTCAGTACAAGTCTGTAACAATATGTGACACATTCCAATAATGATATTGTGAATAAGGGAGTAAGAAGCAACAAAATTAAATTGCGGCAAATTGTGATAATAAATTGTTCAAGGCGTAAAAGCTGATCTATCTGAATTTGTCCCACAGTGGTGATGGCATTAATAAACAAGGACATGATCTTAGACTTTTATCAGTGCTTGGGATCTTGTTCTTGGATTAAACAGGAAAGAGGATTATCGGATACTATAAATAATACTCTTTTCTCAAATATGTGCCAAGGATCAAGGGAGATTGATGGTTCCACTTCGTAAATTATTGACGCGAAGAAAAAAAAAAATCCTTAAAAAATTGAAGCGGATCCGATCCAAATTATTATTATTAGTTCCTCGGATATGAAACTGCCGGGATGTTTGATCTTTGTTTTGGTATTTGACAACCAGGGGAGTTCAACTTACAACAACCGAGATTTAACCTTGTGTCGTTTAGAAAGGGAACAATTGGTGATAAAAGCTTAACCGGGGAGTACGATAAACTAACTGATATAAAGAGTAAGAGACTATCAAAGTCTTTTTATATTAGAATGGGAGAGAATGGGGGTTGACTACTTATCATTGTTTCTCTTCTGGGGATCAATAATTCTTACACCTAATGACAGATAAGAAATAAGCTTTCTACGATCCTTTTCCAGAGGCGTAGCATTGTGTGAATGTAATTCCAAGGCGGCGGGAAATTCGCAACCCGTGGGATGCACAATTGTGCAGCAAAAGAAAAAAAAAAAAGCCTTTGCGAGGGTCGTACCCCCTAAGAAGCCCTAATAAAAATTAAAGTTCCAGTGGTCCGGGCGTGCGCCGCTCGAGATGGGTCGTGCGCGACCACTTGTTTTAGGGATATTTCGGAAAGTCAAGATTTAAAAAGTTTGAAAAAATGAAAATACAATTATAGATGCGGATACTCGGAAGTGTAATTACTTTCATGTGTCCTTCTTTGCTGGCGACAATAACTACAAAGTATGTATCTATGATGATCTACGAATCACCTTATCTACATTTTCTGACTTCAAGAAGATAGCATTCTCGACTGAGTACATACTAACCAAGACGATTGTTTTAGATTGAATTTTTTTACCATACACCACAAAACTTTTTTGTGGGAATATTTATTGTTTTTCTTTCTTTTTCTTTGAAACTGTGTGAACGGCTTTTCTCATCGAGAAGTACCTCCCCCTGCAGATTATGAATTATTTTTCTATCCTTGTTTGTGTCTCTCTGTTTTCTAGGTTGTACTAGTGTAGTAGAGGATACTAACGTAATATTGCAGCACTGTAAGGATCGCATTCTTTCCATAAACCACCACTTTTTTTAAGTTTCAAGGCTGTAATTACTTACAGTTGCTCGCAACTTCCACATTCTTTAAAAATACAATCCTTATCAGTAAGTTGGTGCATAGTCCGAACTCCGTGGGGCGTATACGAAAAAAAATGTGCAACTAAGGTAACCTTAATTCTTTAATTTTTACTTTTAGACTATTGTTCTTACCAATTTACAATTAGTCTACTACTTCACCAAAATAATGTGGTAATATTGAATTTGTGAGTTTACTCCTTTTTAGTTCACGCAGGGGTCGATACTTGCTGTTGTAGCAGTGTGGGGTAAATTAAAGTACACATTGTGGTGCTAAAACTACTAGATCCTTTTGTTTCATATTTATTGTGTAAAAACTTTAAATGTGGTATATACATTTCCTAATTTAATTAAACCTCACCTAATTCGATTCTTGAATCATGTTACGCATTCGAACAGATCCTGTTAATATACTTGGCGCAGGTCCGGTAATGTTATAATCTACCGCATTGCCGCTAGAATTATCATTTTCTGACTTGATGGCCCCATATGCCCCTCCACCAGGTGTTTCAATGATAACTCTATCTCCTTTGGAAACTTCAACTGTACACTTCCCGCCAAGTGAGATTCTACGATATTCATCGTTGTCTTCATTCTTTCTCAACCAGTAATTCATCCCCCTCTTACCATCTCCTCCTCCAAGTAACCCAAATGGAGCCAAAGATCTTCTCTCCATCAAACATGAAACTTGAAGTCCATATGTAAATTCAATATCTCTAATTACACCATCTCCTCCTCTGTGTAATCCAACACCTCCAGATCCTTCCCGAACAGAATATTCATGAAGAATAACTGGGTATCTCTTTTCAAACACCTCAACGTCAGTAATACGGGTATTGGTAGTATGACATTGAACAACACTTTGTCCATCCCAAGTAGGACCAGCTCCAGAACCACCACAGATTGTTTCGTAATACCCAAATGAAATGTTGTTTACTTCGTCATTTGCACCAAATGTAAAGTTGTTACAGGTACCTTGAGAAGCTGCACAAGCTTGGAATGCCTTCAAAAGGACATCAACAATTCTTTGGGTGGTCTCAACATTACCACCAACAACAGCAGCCTCGTATGAAGGATCTAAAACTGAGCCTGGTCTTGTTATAACGTTAATTGGTTGCAAACACCCATTGTTCAATGGGATGTCTGTACTGATAAGACATCTAAGAACGTATAAAACAGCAGAGTATAAGATAGCCTTTGGTGCGTTCAAATTACCATAGATCTCATTTCCTGACTTGGAAAAATCAAAAATAGCGTCTCCAGTTTCATTGTTGATCGTAATTTCCAAGATAATGGGTGTTCCGTCATCCAAGTAATCTACCGCCTTCATTGTTTCTCCACCAAACTTGCGCCATGCATCCTTCAACAAATTTCTAACTGAGAGTTCAGCAGTGTCCTGGATAGCCTTCATGTACAAATTGATGATATTGTAACTAAAATCATCGATAAGTCTAGTGAGAAGAGTAATACCCTTATAATTGGCTGAAACCTGTGCCTTTAAATCGGATAAATTGTCACTCAAGGCACGAGTACCAGTACAGCCTGGGAACTTGGCTGGCTCTTCTAAAAGAAGGCGAGTAATACCTGCTTCATCAAAGACTCCAGCAGCACACAATTTATGGGTAACGATTGCAGCACCTTCCTGGAAAATGGTCTTTGAGTTTGGTGGCATACTACCAGCAGAAATAGATCCGATATCAGCATGGTGACCTCTCAGCGCAGTCCAAAAGATAGGGTTATTATCCTTGTCCAATACAGGAGTAATGACAGTAATATCAGGCAAATGAGATCCACCAGCCTTAGGATGGTTGGAAACAAGCACATCACCAGGTTTCAAATCACCCTTCCATAATTCCATTTGTGCCTTGACTGCAAATGACATAGCCCCCAAATGGATTGGAACATGAGGTGCATTTGCAACAAGATCCCCATTTTTATCAAAAATAGCACATGAAAAGTCTAACCGTTCTTTAATATTGGTAGAAATGGCGGTTTGTTGAAGAGTTTCACCCATCTGTTCAGCTACCGACATAAACCGGTGACCAAAGACAGAAAGTTGAATTGGGTCAACCACTTTTTCAGATAAAGCAGGACGTTCCTCGTTAGCTACCTTGATGAGAACATGGTTGGAAAGAATTGTTGCAGCCAGGAATGGTTCCACAAGAAGAGTTTGAGTATCATCAAGAATAACAGCAGGTCCTTCCACTTCACATCCTGTAGCAAGCTGAGAAATTTGGTAAATAGAACAATCCACCCATCCACTTTGTTCAAAGTAAATTGGTGTAGAAGTAGATGCGACAGCAGCAGGGGCAGAAGTTCCAGAAGTAGACATATTCTCAAATTCCTCGAATGGATTGGCAACTGCCTTTTCTTTACTCTTCACCACAAGTAAAACTTGAACATCATCCACCAAAACCTTACGGTCCATACTAAATCCAAACTCGGCTTGATGCCTATCAATAAAGAGTTGCTTGGAGTTGTATTGATTAGGTAACTTGGGGATAAGTAAATGAGTATCGGATCCGACGTACTTCATGTTAAGAAGCACTTCAAGATCAGATTCAAAATGGCTTAATCCTTGTTCTTCACAATCTTTGTACACCAGTTTGGTCAATTGATCAATTTTAGCATCCAAATCAGCAAAGTTTTCTTCTTCGAATGCAATCGAAGCGGGAGTTTGCTTGTCAATAACAATATCCGCAAGGTAAATCCCATAAGCAGATAATAATGAAGAGTACTTGTGAATAGCAACGTCTCTAATACCCAAATTCTTTGCAAGAGAAACTGAAAATTGACCACCGGATCCTCCAAAACATGCCAAATTGTGATCTGAAGTGTTAAAACCCTTGGCTTCAGTGAGAGATCTAATTGGACGAGCCATAGCCTCCACGGCCACTTTCAAAAATCCCAGGGCTACGTCTTCAGCAGTAAGTTTGGACAGATTTGACTTATTAATTTCTACAGTAAGTTCCTCAAACTTAGATTTAGTTAAATCATAATCCAATCCTTGGTCTTGATTAGGACCAAAGATTTTGGGGAAATATTCAGGAAGAAGTCTACCCAAAAACAAATTGGCATCTGTAACGGTAAGTGGGCCACCCTTACGGTAACACACAGGACCAGGGTCACTTCCAGCACTTTCGGGTCCAACAACAAACATTCCATTCTTCCAGAACAACATTGATCCACCACCAGCAGCCACAGTGGAAATATCCAATTGAGGTGTTTGTAAATTAACTTCACTGACAACGGTTTCATAAATATGTTCTAATTTACCGGTGTATCTTGATACATCGGTAGAAGTTCCACCAGCATCAAACCCGATGGTGGCACGATTGGTTCTTGAATCATAACATGTTTCTCCGTAACCAACCATACCACCGGCTGGACCAGAGAGAATGGCCTTAAGACCAGTGAATTTGTACCATGGACACAAACCACCGTTACTTTGCATAAACAAAAGCTTGTTACCAAACAGGTCTAGTCCACCTTCAAATCCAGAACCAAAGTTTTCGAGATATTCGTTAATAATTGGAGTAAGATAAGCATCGGCTACAGTGGAAGAAGTACGATTCACCATACCAATCATGGGTTGGAGCTCATGAGAAACAGATACAGAAGTGAACCCGATTTTCTTGGCAATGGTTGCCACGTCTTTTTCATGATTAGGGTAAGCGTATGAATGAAGAAGAGAAAGGGCAAGGGTTTTGATTCCAGAGTCGTATACCTTTTGTAATTGTTTTTCAACCTGTTCCAAATCTGGAACTTGTATCACTCGCACTACGTCTCCAGAGATCCCATGCACGATACCGTCTTCTGATTCATCAATTTTGAGATTTTCACCACCGCCTTCAGTAAACTTTTCTAAAGTCACTCTTTCATCAATTTCAACAACACTGTCATATAATTGGCCCAACTTCTTGGCAGTCAAGTCGAATATATGGGGTCTAGTTTGGTTACCAATACTCAAAACATCTTTGAAACCCTTGGTTGTCACTAAACATACGGCGGCACCCTTTCTTTCCAATAAGGCATTTGTAGCCACAGTGGTCCCCATTCTAATGGAACCGATATTGTCCAACTTGAGCTTTTCGTTCTTAGGGATAGACTTACCCAGAGCACGCTCTAAGACTCGTCTAATTCCCTCGGTGGGGGCATCCTTGTAGTTCTTTGGGTCAACCGAAAGTAACTTGAACACATAGTCGCTCTCTCCAGGAATTTTAGCAACAACGTCACAAAAGGTTCCACCACGATCAATGGCAATTTCAATAGACATGATGTAATCCTTTTTTTTTTTGTTTTGTGATTTCCAACTGTTTCTTTAGAATCTCTATTAGTCAAGTACAATGAGTTGCACTTGGGTGTGGAAAGTTGAAGAGTAAATTGATGAAGAATTGGTTTCCGATTCTGTATTGCCAAGGGAATTGATCGATTATTTATCCTGTTGCCTATTAAGCTTGACACAGTTGATGAGAGCCATTTTAATTCCGGTATGTAGCTATCTTATCTGGAAATTTCGGCATTTTTATCGAAAAAAGCCGAAAAGTGGTTAGATATCGGTAAATTGAGTATGAAATTGCCGAAATGACAAACACAATATAGCTATTAGAAATTCTTTAGTACTATGTATGAAACCAAATTTACAATGGAAATTGATTAGAAGGACCTCTAAGATAGGGATAAAATTAGATAGGTAATGTAAACATAATCGTAATTAGAATACTGAATGAGCATTTCTTTCTACAAAAGCTTTCCTACACACTCCAATAGAGGAATGCGGTGCCGAGGTCATGTGATATGTTAACATGGGAAAAAAAACAAGAGACGTCATACAGGTAAAGCGGAATAACGATAAGTACAATAAGACAACGAATAGTGATCGATAGAAAATATATATGCGAATTTATTTTGACCTTGAGTTCGTACATAAGGACTCATGCAGGAATATAATGTAGCAAAGGTACCAATGAATACTCTATCCAACATTTATAAACTCTGTAAAGTGAGATGTTAAGTGGTAGTTCATTTCCTATGCAGTTCCTCGCACGTGATCACTGTCAGGAACTACATATGAAGATCAATTATTTTTACTATAATCACTTGTACTTAGTATCTCCTTACGAGCAACATTTGTTCAACACCACAACCACATTCCTTGTAGATTTTGTAAACATGCATGTTTTGCCGTCGGGGCATGGCCAGTAGATATGTTTGCCTTGTACTTTCAACCTGTGTGGTGTGTGCACGCCTCTCATGGTAGAAGTGTTGGAGTGTGAAAGCGCTTATTTTGTAAAATTCCATGTACTTAAAATATACTTCCATATGTGAAAGCCTAGATTCAATACTTTATTTTATAAATTCTCCACTAACTGGTAAACATGAATAAGGATATTTAGATTAACATACCTGGAGATAATAGAGATGAAATTAGCAACATGCAGTCTTGCACACTAACAAGTACCTTATCAGCAGATTAAGCCAACACTAGCCTAGAGTACATTATCTCACACACAAACAATACGAACAAACGGATCCATACCAAAATGGATTAAAATTCAAAGAAGTTTCTAAGTTTTATAAGAAAAGAATCATAGCATTTCTTGGTGTTTTTTAGTACTTGTTGCATATGTGTGTGGAGGATTGTTAGCTCGGCTATAATAGAACTATGTCTAGCTTCTTCATAAAACATTTAATATGTTTTGAAGGAAAAGGCATGGAGAGTTCAAAAATGAAAGAATATTGGAAGAAGAGAGGAACTTTTTATATTCAGTACTCAGAGTATATTTCTAGCACAATATGATATTCTAATTCAACATAGCTTATTTCAATTGGGAACCTACTTGACCATCAAATAACACGAATACTTAGTAGTTCAGTACAATAACAAATACTTCTTCGTAGATTTGTAGTATGTCCATTCAAAAAATCAATCATGGGGTCACATTAAACAAGAGTGATTACCCACGTGACTTTCTGCAACTACATCAATACACCCATGCAACCATGTACGAAGTGAGGCCCCTATAAAACTCCCCCCATAAGATACGAGTCTTGAATCTTGGCTCTTCAATGTTGGGTTATTACTCTAGCTTACGAGTGAGGGGAGAAATTGGTGAGCAAACCTGATTATTGCCAGCTAAAACTTTCATCGTAGCACTCATTGTGTATTCTGAAGCCTTGCTCTGTATAATAATTGCTCCAATATTCCGCTTATTCCCAAGTTAGTAACCCTAATCATACCCCAGGTTCTAGAAAATACTCTATCTTAAATTCACTACAATTTTTGCATAAATGGCAAGGTGGCGAAGCAAAACAAAAATCGGCAATTTCTGAATTGTGATGAAATTCCAATGTCCGTGCCATAGCAACATTTCCAAAGTTGTAATGAAATGGGGAAAAAATCGTCCGATACTTACCACTTCTAACCTTATATGAGCAAACCAATGCAGGGACTTAAAACATTGCTCAAAACCGAACCATTACTTGTTCCCTCGCTAGCCTACTTGTGCTCTTTAACTGATTCCGTTTAACCTTATCGTTACTATCTACTTTGATAATCGTAATGCACGTAAACCTTAATTATGCACACCACTGTATTTGAGCTTCTTCTCTTTGAATTCTACATTACATCACCTAGCATATGTGCATCTACATGATACTCCACGGGTCGTGAAATGCATGAAAAAATGTACTAGAAATTGATTATTGAAAACATACGAGTTCCACTACCAGCTCGTACTTGATGCCAATAGGATGTATGAATTCGGTTTTAAGGCAGCTAAACAATGGTATATGCTTCGAGGCCCCCCCTTATTGAAGAAACACTTCTACATTATAATGATCTACAGTCCTACATTTGTTGATTTCCATCATCATCTATTATTTTTTGGCATTGTATTTCTTCCATTAATTTTTCTTCTCGTATATTCCAGTGGTACAAAGCTTGTTGATCAACGCATGAAAAGTTAAAAATGGAAATGAAAGCAATGAAATATCGAAGCGGGACATACCTCTTTAGGCAAAACTTGACAACTCCGTCCTATACCCCAGACGTGGCTGTAATCGGTGCCTCAAACCTAACCGCTCTGGTGTCAGATTTTGGATTCGGTTAAACCAACTACCGTGTGGGAATATACGTTATGAGTATCTTGTCAGATGTTGTTGAAAGAAGCAAGTGAGAACGAACAGAAACCAAAAATGAGTAAAAAATAAAAACTAGAAAGAAAATAATATTAAATAAAAAAGATACATATTCAGATAAGGAGTACCAGTTTCGAAGAACAGATGATTTCTAAAAAGATAGAACAGAGTATATGCCTAATAATAATACCGCCTTTCATCTACACACAATTACACAATGTGAGTGGAGTTTAAATGTCCACGACAGAGCAATTTCTTGAGTCATGAGTTTTGGTTTCTTTTTTTATGTCCCTCTTCCACGGTCCATGCTGTGACAGGACTTGCATATAGACAATGCGTTTTATGTCCTTCACAGTGTCATTATTAACCGTGTGCATATGTAGGTGAACAAAACACTATACACAATTTGGGAAATCAAACAAATCATATCGCGGTAAGAAAAAAAAAAAAAAAAATAGAAAAAAAAATTAAAAGAAGGGTGACCACGTCATTGAAGTTTTAATGGTGGAATTCTTTTCAAGTGGGAATGGGCGTATACACCTAGAGAAAAACAATGGGGGGTTTCATAAAGATGAATTGGAAAATGTTGACTTTCAAGGTGTGATGACACTACTACATCCGTGATAGATTAATAAACTTCAGAAGTGTAGGGTAGGCTGCTACCCGCCCTGGTGCCCTCCATTCAAAACCATTGCTGTTGGTTCTTCCTTGCTTTGCTTAACATTCCTAAACTTTGAAAGAGGAGTATGTGCAGTTCCCCTCTTGGTTTTTTGAGAATATTTTCAAGTTTTGGCGAAACAACATGTAGTAGTGTATATAGCTTTGTATTATCATGCATAAATTTCAATTTTTCCTTCCATTTTGTCTCTTATCTGTTATGCACGATTAAGGTTTGGAATCAAGAAATATTGGCTCTATTACGCTCCCGCATACTTTATACTGTGGAAATTTCCAATAGGATCTTAAAAGAACATATAACATCGTGAAGTTCTTTTGAAGTTTTATATTCTGCTCCAGCCATATTTACGTTTCCATCGCATCCACTACAAGTCTCTTTTTTTAAAAATTATTATTATCGTCGTCATCAAAATTGGTTTTTTTTTGTATTTTTTGTGCTTACCCTGTTTTATAGTACTTCATTAACAAATGCCAAAGAAGATAAAGAACTCCGCTCCATCTACAAGAGCGTCATCAAAGTCATCTCGTCCTTACAAGTCCAGAACCCAGAGACCTTGCGATTTTTGCCGAAGAAGAAAAACATGTTGTGTTATCGAGGGAACCATTCCATGCACTCCTTGTCTTCAGTTCAACAAAGGTTTGTGTACGTTCAACGAAGGACCAATGAAAAGAAACAATAAACAGGACAAGAGTGTAAATCAAAATACAACAGCGGTGCATAAGACAGAACCGAAAACAGCCAATAGTACAAGCGGTCGTTCAGTGGTCCCACAAAAAATTCTGACGCCACTTCCAACTAGAGAAATTTCACCAAGAACAGAGGTTCCAATTCAACCTGCAGCAATTCTTAAGTCCCAAGCCAATTTATTTCAACAAATTCAAGGCAACAGTGACCGTAATTTGTATTCTAATAGTAAAGATGTCATACCCCAGGGTCCAAATGAAGGCCCCTCTTACAATCCAGGTATCCATCCTCCTCCATTACTTGCAAACCAAGCAGTTGCATCTGGTAATGTAACTACCACCAGTGCCAATTCAACCGGTATAAGTCGAAACAATCCACCGGTACCACAACTACCAACACAATCATTCATAGAAGTTAACATGACATATACCAATGAACCAGTACTTGAATTGAATCCTCAACTTTCCTCATTTTTAGGAGTATCATCTGAAGCAGTTGAATATTTTTCAAAGTCTTCATCTTCCCCAACTACTACTTCTAATTCTACGTCATCGAAACCAGTGAATTATTACAACCTGGTTTCCAGTGACAATATCTACAACATCCCCTCGGGATATCAAGATGAACCCCTGACAAGTTCTTCTGAATATTCAAACAATACATTTAGTCCTCAACGATTAGAAAGTCTTACGTCGGTAGATACCTACAGTTTACAAAACTATGAAATGTCTCTGCTCTTTAACCAACCTCCAATTGATGTACGAGAACAATTCGGTGGAGATGACATTCTTAAATTACCACAAGACCCATTATTTGAAGAACAGTATCCAATTTTCCTGTTTTCTCCAGAAAATGATGTCTTTTAGTGGCTGGTTCCATGTGTAAATTGTATGTATAGAATAAGACAGAATAAATGTACAAATAGAATTAGAGTTTAGAAAATATATGTACCATTGCCACGTGGAAAAGAAATGATGTAGTAACAAAAAATAAATCAATTTTTTAAGAAAAAAGTTATTTTCCCAAAAGTAAAATACGGTAAGGAGATTGGAATTCTCATAATCAGTACATGAATGTGACATAACCTTAGGTCCGCTCGAAGTCCGTTGTTACTCGAAATTGAGAGAATGTAGGGTGTCATCGCGTCGTATATGTAGAAAGCAAAGATAAGCAACCTGCATGATGTGAGAGGAAAAAGTCCGATTCTCCTTTTCTGCAAGTCATTCGTTAAGGTTTGTCACACGACTCTCATTAACTATAAAAAAGCTCTCAGTTAAGTCGGGATTATGCACATCCGATTTGTCACTTGCTCTTCAGGTTGAATAGTTTAATTTGAAAAATATATACCAGATCCCTGCGTCATACGGCTGAACTGGGCTCGTGTCATTGCTGCTTTATCGTTGCTCATCTTGTAAAACACAATCTAGCAAAGGTTAGGCGATAGACTCGTTTAACCATTGAGAAGCAACCATATTTATATATATCCGCATTATATCTTTTATAGTAGTATACAAACATCACCCACACCACAATCCCCACTCGAAAACTTACACACAAACACACATATCCCCACATACATATATACATATATATTTAACTTGTATAAGAAGTTTTTTAACATTAGTATCTGCTCTTTGCACCACAATCTAAAATGGCTCGCAGGTTTTCGTTAGCGGTAGCAAATGCAGATCAAGGAGTGGAGGCTGGTACTCAACCTTTGAATGCGTTTCTTGTCTCGTCCAACCAACTGAACGATCTTTTACGCTGCACATCATTACCAAATCTTCAAACTACATCACCACATCTGGATGACAGAGAAAAAAAAGTATATTCGATCTGTGACCTTAACACATTTGACGATCTGCCCATTCCAAGATCTCTGAGTTCCGAATCACCATCAGAATCACCCACTTCTTCTCCAACCTTTAAAAAATCAAAGCTTAATCTGCATTGTGCGAAAAACCATTCACGAAGGCTTACAACTGCAATTAAGTTTCAAATACCGCAAGATCTTGAAAATAAACCAGTTTGTTAGTAATGATGTTATGTATGAACAAAAAAATAATAAAAAAAAAGGCATCAAATAAGGAATTGTAGATCTAATTGTAATATTTTGCATCTGATGAACATAACACTATTTTACCGGGATTCTCGGATACGATAAACTCTAGCTTTTTACATTCCCCTCTCTATTATATTATGTTAGTTTATTAGTTTAAATATTAATTAATCAGTACCAAAATATAATGAATCGATAAATCTGTTGGAAAATATCCAATCAGTATCACGGAATCCTTCAACGTTGTACTGATGGGATTTTCCTTCATCCATATTACTTAATTTCCCTAAAACAAGTTTAACTCCTGGGAATGCATGAACGATTCTACGAAGTCCAATTTCGGTAGATAAATAACTACACAAGACAATGTTTTCAATCTTAACCCCATAATCCACAAGAACTTGAATTGCCATAATGGAAGCAGCTCCAGAAATGATTTGAGCATCGAACAAGAAAACAACCTTGGATGGGTCAGTGATGGATGGCGGAAGTGATTCCGTATGCAATTGTGGTTCTCCAGTGTTTGAATCAGATTGAATTAATAATTTACCAATGGCGATTTCTGGTACAGATTTTTTAATTGAACTCATGAAACAATCACCTGAACGAATGATATTCACAGCAACAACTTCTTCAACTTGTCTCAAGCCTTGGAATTTGTTGGTGCCAGTGGTAGGAACCTCAATAGAATCATATTGTGATAAGAATTCTAATGCTGTTTCCATGATATGATTTGAAATAATATCGAAATAGAAAATAAAATCAGTACGAGGAGTATCTTTACATAACAAAAGAGAATGCACCCCTCTTAAATGGTTAGTGTTAGGTAAGATTTTGATATCAGTTGAATTCCCCACATCAAGGTCCAATTTCCCTAATTCTCTGAGATGTTTTAAATGTTCAGCAGATTTTGTAGCCAATTGGTTTTGAATATGTTTGATCATAAGATTGATGGCCACTGTATTATCCAAGCCTCTAGGGATCACCAAGTCGGCGTTATTCATAGTTTTGTTGACATAACGGACCATATTTGGTTTGACAAACGTTTCCCATTGTTTGATGACTCCATGTAATTCTCTTTTTCTTTCAATGATATCACGGTTTAGACGACGAGCAAGACAAATATCCAAATCAGTATCAACATAAATGGTTGCGTCCATCATATCCAAGAGTCTCTTGTCATAAAGAGCATATATACCTTCAATGATAATAACATTGGCACCGTAAATGGTGGTGGTTTTCGAGGTTCTGTTATGTTCAACAAAGGAATAAACAGGAACTTCTGTTCTATTCCCATTTTTCAATGATTTTACACAGTCAACAAGGAGATCCAAATCCAAGGATTCAGGGGTATCGAAATCATATTCACTATTGTATGCTTGAATTCTTTGTTCTGGACTTAAAGGATTATAAAAATTATCAAATGAAAGTAAAACAGTCCATGGTTGATTCAATTCCAGAATGATTTTTTGTGACACCGAAGTTTTCCCCGAACCGGAATTCCCCGCCACACCAATGATATAAGGTTCAGTCCAAGGAGGAGTATATGAAGGTTTTTGTGAAGACAAGGTTGAGGACGAGAGGTTTGAAATCAAATGTTCATTTTGTTCATTCAACTTTAATGACAGGGTGGAATTTAATCCATCAGCAGGTGCTGGAGAGGGACTGAAGAATGAGGTATCATCACGGTCTGGAGCTATTCTATGGATACGATGAGAAACCATGATTTCCAGCAGAATCAATGGAAGGGTAACCAATTTAGTTGATGAATTCAATTATTCTTTAAAAGATGAGAAAGAGAGTTCCAAGAAAAAAACTTTATGGAAATAATGAACGGTGAAGAATAGAGAAAAAAAATTTAGCATGCATGGGTCCTTCTAGGGGACATTTTATTAATTGGGTATGTAGAGTGTTGGCAAGAGAAAGATATGACAATTGGATATGTATGAATATAGACACACTCATATACATATATATATATATATATATATATATGCACTCTCATATAGGAGACTAGTTCTATACTTGAAGAAACTGGTATACCAAACAATTATATATGGTGTACTTTGTGGCAGATAACAGTGGGTGTACGGATGTTGTGACATCTGTCAATCGAGACTTTTTTATCTTTGTTTTTCTTTTTTTTCACAATCAAGAAGGATAAGAAATATTCCGGGTGCTAGAGGGATAAAACAAATATACTAGAGAGGAGCAGAATAGCTTAAAAATAAAATAAACATAAGATATTTACCGTTTTACATTGATCATTCTTCTTAGTTCCATTGTAATAAAATGTCACACAATCAACAATTTATAATCAATGTTGTATATATTTAGTGTCAAGGCTTTTTTTTTTCTTGGCACAATGCTGCGAAGTAGTATCTTATTGGATATAACATACAGGAGTAGGTGTGTATGCACGATGTTGTATATACAGGACTAAGCACATCTATGTTTACATATGTTTTATTTTATTTTAATTTTGAGAAAGATGTACTGTTTGTGTTTGTGTCACTATGGACTATCTTTAAAAATAGGTAGAACAATTTGATACATATATCTTTATAGTAAGGTATAAATATGTCTGTTATTACTGGGAAGGGGCGCCATAGAAGAAAGAATGACGAGACGAATCAATGGGAATCTGGAGATGAAGACACGGAGATAGAGGTGAAGGAGAAGGTGGTACAAGAGCCCAGTACATTGACATCATCGAAACAAGAAGAGCCATTAATAGAAGATGATGAACAAAATATAGAAGATTTGAGTTCTTTAAGGGATAAATCTCGATCCAAATACTTACAGAGGCGTCAAGAAACAAAATTAGAAGAACTCGGTAAAGAAATAAAACTGTATCAAGATAGAATCAACCTGTTAACCTATAGAGAAAAGCAAGATTATGAACATAAGAAGAATATATATGACTTGGTTAAAGGACGAGAACTGTTGAAACGGGATTCAGAGCAATCTTCCGAGTATCAACTTCCTCAGGATTATGTCAATGACCGTAAAAGGAAACTTGGCGTTTTAAACGAAAGAGAAAAGGTTCAAGAAGTTGAGCTAGAACAAGATCAACCTAAACGTAACCGATATGACTCACAATGGGAAAGAGATCAACTTGATAGAGCCACCTTGGGTAAAAGTTTGGCGAAGCCAGATGCGATCAATTTACCAGGACAGGAAGATTATGAATATGTCTTTGATGAGTCCCAATTCGTTGATTTTGAGGAAGAGAATACCCTTGAAGGTAGCAACAAAGACCTGGAACTTCCAACAAAACAACCAGAAATTTCTGAAGCACTGCTGTATAAGGCAGTACGTGAATCTCTACCAGTATTTTCTTATCGTGAACGGTTTTTATCAACCCTTGAAAGTCATCAAATTCTAATTGTTGTAGGAGAAACTGGTTCAGGGAAAACCACTCAACTTCCTCAATATCTCCATGAAGCTGGATACTCTAAGGGGAACAAAAAAATTGGATGTACCCAGCCTAGAAGAGTGGCTGCGACATCGGTGGCGAATAGAGTTGCAGACGAAATGGGGTGTAAAATAGGACAAGAAGTTGGGTACAGTATTAGATTTGAAGATGAATCGAGTGACAAAACTGTCATAAAGTACTTAACAGATGGTATGTTACTCAGAGAGTTTCTCACTGATCCAGAACTCTCGCTGTATGGTGCTTTAATGATTGATGAAGCCCACGAGCGTACTGTATCTACAGAAATCATTTTAAGTTTACTTAAAGATATCTTAAAGGTACGTACGGACTTGAAATTAGTGGTGGCTTCTGCCACTATGAACGCTCAGAAGTTTTCGACATTTTTCGATGATGCACCAGTTTTCAATATACCCGGGAGACGATTCCCCGTTGATATTCATTATACAAAGGCCCCAGAAGCAAATTATATCCAGGCTGCCATTACCACTGTGTTTCAGATCCATACTACTCAAGAACGTGGAGATATTCTTGTATTTTTAACTGGTCAAGAAGAAATCGAAACCATGCAAGAAAGTCTCGAGGAGGCTGCAACTAAGATGGATTTGAAATCGCTGGATAATCAATTACTTATATGTCCCATATATGCTAATCTTCCACCAGAACAACAAAGTAAAATCTTTGAACCAACACCTCCAAATTCACGTAAGGTAGTTCTTGCGACAAACATTGCTGAAACTTCGATTACCATTGAAGGAGTTTCATATGTTATTGACCCTGGCTATGTGAAGGAAAATGTTTTCAATCCAATATCTGGGATGGAAAGTTTGGTTGTTGTTCCATGTTCGAGAGCCTCTGCCGATCAACGTGCCGGTAGAGCTGGGCGTGTTGGACCGGGTAAATGCTTCCGATTATACACCAAATGGTCATTTTACAATGAATTACAAGCAAATCCAACCCCGGAGATATTACGAGTGAATTTAACTTCTATTGTACTTCTTTTACTTTCAATGGGGGTCACAGACTTGATTGGATTTGATTTCATGGACCCTCCAAGTCCAGATACGTTGATGAAGCTGCTTGAGCTCTTGTATGCACTCGGAGCATTGAATGCCAAGGGTATGCTTACAAGAGTAGGTAGACAAATGGTAGAATTTCCTATAGATCCAATGTTTGCCAAATGTCTCATCACAAGTTCTAGGTTTGGTGTTACACAAGAAATTCTATCGGTCATATCCATGTTGGGAGAAAGTTCTAATTTATTCTATAGACCCAAGGATAAAAAGGAAGCAGCAGACAAATGTAAAGAGAAATTCCATCAAGAACAAGGTGACCATTTAACCTTACTTGAAATATGGAAGGAATGGGTTGACACAGGGTATTCAAGTCAATGGTGTCAGGACAATTATGTACAATATAAGACCCTTAAAAGAGCACGCGAGGTCAGAGAACAACTTTCAAGGTTATGTATAAAGGCTGGGATTTCCGTCGATCAAAAAGATGAACCACGCGCTGATTCAATCACTCAAATGATCCAAAAATCTATTACTTCGGGATTTTTCCCCAATATCGCAAGATTATCAAAGATGGGTGATTCATTTCGAACCCTCAAGAAAAATCAAGCGGTTTATATACATCCATCATCTTCTATATTTCCAACAAAACCACCTCCGAAACTTTTACTTTATCATGAATTGGTGCTCACCAGTAAAGAGTTTATGAGAAATTGCATGTTGGTGGATGATCGATGGTTGTCTGAACTTGCACCTCACTATTACAACGATAAGGAGTTGGATTTAAGTAGAAAATGAGTGAGGAGTACTACTTGATACATTGTTTAAAATATTTATCAACTCATATAAGGGATTCTCATTAAAAAGCGAAAAGATCGCTCGGTCTATAAAGGTAATAATTAAATAATAATAAGAATAATAAAAATCATAATAAAAGAATAACAGAGTATTGAATCTCTTAATCTTTCTCTAAATTAAGCTGTTGAAGCTAGTTCTGCTTCAGCGGCTTCCTTAGCTCTCTTGGTCATAGTCTTCCCAAAAAGTACACACATACCTAGGAAGACGAAGATCATGGTGACAGACCATGCAGCTAAAATACCGAAATTTCTACCCAATTCTCCCTTCCAAGTATCGAAAAAAATCACCTTTGTAATTTCGTACGAGTTATGTAATGGCAATGCATATCCATAACGGAAAACCTTGGGACTGAGAGCCAAGGGAGTGAATGTTGGGGAGATGTTGACAATGACCCAAAACAAGAGCCAAAATCCAATGAGAGGAGGATGAACCAACAGAAGACCCATGGCCATGACTTCATTGACACTCCCCACACACCACATAGTAACCCATGAAACCATCCAATATACCAAAAACCCAGATTTACCAAAGGCTACTGTGAAATCAACTTGCATGGAGAGGGTTACAAACGAGTACATTAAACTCAACCATGCGTATGAAATCAAGGACAGAAGGAGTCTATAAATCAAAAAGTGATGAGATTTCAACTTCAATTGAGCCACGGATTTGTGTACATCCATAAAGAAATTCACATTGAAGAACGTTAAGATAATCATATAAATCAACCCAACTTGTGAAGGAGCCACTAATACCGGGTCTGTATATGGGATGTAGTCATTGTATTGGAAAATGAACGGAGTTGCAACAAGGTCCAAGTAGTTAGATTGAGAAAATAATGTTGATTTTTGAGTATTGCTTAAACTATCCACCAACGGTCCGATGATGGACGACTGCTTTGCTAACCATACCTTTTCCACCTTCTGTATTGAAGGGGTGACATATTGGTTCATGTTAAGGAAATCACGGCCAGTTTCGTAAATTACCGTAATACTGTTGGCAGTAACATTATACGAAGAATCACCGGAAGCTAAGGCATTGTAATAATTAATAGTTGCATTTTCTCGCACATAGATGGAAGACCAATATTTTTGATGGTGAACGTCACGACGCATCTGTTCTTCTATAGTATTATTATACTTATCGGCAAAGACTCCAAACTCTTCGCGGTTATATATCTTCCAACTACCCCATTCCGTGGCTGGCTTGGACTGGAGGAGATCTCTGAGTCCATCACCAATAGTGGGGAGTCCATTGACCGGGGTATCGTTATCAATGACAACAAGCATGCTCAAGTTTTTCAACCGAGAGTTCCGGTTATACATGGACCCCCAATATATAGTGAAAATACCCAACACAAAGAATCCCATGGTTACATAAATGGTAAAGAACTTCCATGCTAAGCCCATTCTTTCAGATTTAAGCTTTTCATTAAAGAAGGACACTCTACTCTGGATCTTTTGGATGGTGGACGTTCTGTGTAATGATTCATTGGCAATATTGTCGTCATCAGCAGGAAAAGCTGGAGCATATGGCTTCACCGGATCGGCCTCGTAGTCATGTGAGCTGGCGCTCTCAGCGAGCCCTTGCAGCACGAATGTTTGTCCATTTTCAGGCTCAGGTTCAGGTGCAGTTGACATTGACGATGACATTCTCAGAGTCTATACAAATGTTGTCAGAGTAGTCTCTTAATCTACAAAATCTTGTAAATAGGTGGATAGAAGATACATTGCTGTTGTTCTTATATATAATATGCCCAGCCGCTAAACAAGGGTTCACCTCGGCAACAAGAACCATTTTAGGAAGTATCCCCGTTTGTGCACGACCGATCAAAACTGCAACAAACTTGGATGACAAAAGGGAATGGTAAAAAATAAAAAAATAAAAAAGAAAAGAGTAAAAAAAAACAATTACAAACCAAATAGGTAGGGGTGCACAAACAAAGAGGGGTTGAATTAGGTCATGGAATAGCCATATTTGTCAGAAATGTGGTAAAATCTTGGAATTGCAGTCATAGAGAAATGAAAGTAAAATCGTGGCATTGTAGTCAGATAGAAATGAAAGTAAAATTAATGGAGTAAAAAATATGTGTAGAATGAAGAAAATAAAATCATACGCAAGTTGTCACAATGTAACATGTCTCAACTTTAGAAGTACAGAATTGTATTTGTTGTTAGAAAAAAAAAAGTTGTATTTTAGAGGAAAAGGAAGCGTAGGAAGAGAAAGCGTTGGAAAGTTGCTATCACGGATGTGGACCATGGGCCTAACCCAGATCATTTTTCCTTATCTAGAGATTGACACCGATGATGAATGTAGCTAGAGATGCAATGTGATGTGAATTCCATCAGATCTAGGGGCTTTTCTTTTTGCTATGTTCCATTCTCAAACTGTGTACACTCATGCCGGACGTTTGTGCCGATTACCGGGAATAAGCTTTATTACCTCACATAAAAATAAATATATTTCCGGTGGGGGGCATTTGTAAGCCACCGAGAATACATTTAATTCGGGAAATTAACGTGCGTAACGCTAATAACAGTTCTAGCAAATGATAAAAAAAGATCCCGGTTGAAAATTTCGGTTTACCTCTGACTCATTATTTCTCTTCAATGGATTGTTATTTCCATGTATTTTTTTTCTTTTCTACCTCATGTATGCGTAACTCGTATTTGCACGTCTTTTTTTTTTGTTACCCCATATACACATGATCATGTGCACGTGATCAAAATCGTGATTTTCTATTTTTTCCTATGCTGTTAGACTCAAAAATAGACGTATCCGAAGCCAATATTTGAGAGTTGATTCCCCACACTATATTTCATTAAGACGGTCACCATAAACAAAATTTGGATATGGCAAGTGGTGCAGCCCTATATGCCACGTCTGATGGATTGAAACGCCGGAATTTCGGTCGCGAAGACTCTGAAATTGAGGATATAATCTCCAAGACGTCGTCACTCAATCTCGCGGATAGAAAGATGAAGTTTAGTGACATTTGGGCCACTACAAATGAAAATCCTGAAAGTTCCTCGAGTGACCACATAGCTGCTGGTCAAGGAAATTCGAGATATGGCTTATTCAATTGGAGCTCAATCATTATTTTGACCGCTATTTCTGCATTTGTACGACTCTATCAAATTTCCAAAACGAACTACGTCGTTTGGGATGAAGCACATTTTGGTAAGTTTGGGTCTCATTACATTCAACACGAGTACTATTTTGACGTACACCCACCCTTGGGGAAGCTTCTTGTTGGTCTTTCTGGGTATTTGGCTGGTTATGATGGGAGCTTTGCCTTTGAAAGTGGTCATCATTTCCCAGAAACTCTTAATTTCCAATTCATGAGAACATTCAACGCGTTTTTTGGTATTTTATGTACCCCAATCGCTTATCAAACTGCAGTTCTTTCAGGCTTCCTGAAACCAACAGTGTGGTTGATAACCCTCCTGGTGGTATTTGAAATGATTTCACTCACATTGGCCAAATTTATTCTCTTGGATTCCATGTTATTATTCTTCACAGTAACTACATTCTATTGCTTAGTGAAATTGCATAAACTTAGACTTGAGCTGCAACTGCTTTCGAAACGTGGTCTTTTATGGCTAGCCATCACTGGGGTTTCCATTGGATGTGTTTGTTCTGTGAAATGGGTGGGTCTTTTCATTACTTGTGTGGTTGGATTATACACCATCTTTGACTTGTATATCAAATATTGTGAATTTGAAACTAACCAAACTTCTTTCTCCACTTATTTCAAACATTGGATAGCAAGAATCTTTACTCTTATTCTTATCCCTTTCACAATTTATTTGGCATGTTTTAAAATCCATTTCATGGTTTTGAATAAATCTGGTTCAGGTGATGGATCTGTATCGTCATTACTCCAAGCTTCTTTTGAGAATAATTCTATCGAAGGAGGTCCAAGAACAGTAAGATATGGATCAATGGTTACTATGAGATCACATGGGTTATCCCCAAATTTACTTCATTCTCATCCAAGTAGATACCCTGAAGGTTCCTTGCAACAACAAGTTACCACCTATGGATACAAGGATAATAACAATGAATTTCTTATTGAATTTGATTTGGAATCCGGTAATAACGGTGAATTTGCCACGTATGAGCCATTGGAAGGTGAAAACATTACCACTAGACCACTTTTAGATGGAGATATTGTGCGGTTTGTACATAAGGATACCGGATGTCTACTTCATTCCCACGCTATTCCAGCCGCAATTTCCAAATCCCAAAATGAAGTTTCATGTTATTCAAGTCTTGAAGCTAGTGATCCTAAAGATGAATGGATTTTGGAAATTCAAGTGCAAGAAGAATCTCCAGATAGTTTTTTCGCAAATGAATCAAAAGATGAAGTGCATCCAATCTCAACTAATTTCAGATTAAAGCATCGTGTCTTGGGTTGTTACTTGGCCACCTCAGGATATTCATACCCTGCATGGGGGTTTGGTCAAGGTGAAGTAATTTGCAAACATTCATTTGTAGGTGCAGACAAGACAACTTGGTGGAATGTTGAAGACCATGTGAACCCATCATTGGAACTTCCAGAAAAAGCTTATATGGCACCAAAACCAAAGTTCTGGAAAGAATTTATAATGCTTAACTATGCGATGATGTCCTCTAATAATGCATTACTTCCTGATCCAGATAGATTTGATAAACTTTCATCGGAATGGTGGCAATGGCCAATCCTTCAAATCGGTTTAAGAATGTGTAGTTGGACTTCAACTGATGTGAAGTACTTCCTTATGGGGAATCCAGTAGTCACTTGGGGCTCCACAGCACTTATTGGATGCTTTGTGATATATACGATAGTGTTACTCTGGCTTTGGCAACGTCAAAGAATTGTCTACCATGGAGGAATTCTCGATTCAGTTTTCAATCAATACCTCATCCAAGGTTTGGCTCCCTTTGTGGCATGGTTATTCAATTATTATCCATTTATTGCTATGGGCCGTGTGACTTATTTACATCATTATGCACCTGCGCTTTACTTTGGAATATTTGTACTGGGATTTGTTATTGAACAAGCATTGAAAAAATTGCCTAAACTCATACGATTGATATCGTACGCTGTATTATACGCGGGCATTATAGGAATGTTTTATTACTTAAAAGATTTTAGTTTTGGAATGGAGGGCCCTTCCATTAATTTCCAACACTTAAAATTATTAGAAACTTGGATGGTTTGAGTTTAAAATACTTGTCTATACATATATAAACCAATAAAATTGTGACATAGTTAACTTTACGCGAAATTTTGCACCCAAACAATATTTTTTTTTAAGAAGACAATACTTTCAATCCTTGGATTTCTTAAAGAAGATCCTGTCCCTTTGTACCTATTTCTAAATGAAATGTCAATGTGAATGGACATTTAATATCGCCCCTTCCTCTAATAATTCTGTTATTTCAATTATATTTTATTTTTTGAAAAAAACAAGGCGGCCCATTCTTGATTCCCTGGAAATCGCCCAAACTCCGAGGTCTGTATATAAAAATCCACAAAATCGAATGTTTTGATTTTTCAAATCAAATACACACCACATCATCAAAACTTACTTCTTCTATCTACCAAGCACCCAGTGAGCATCGAGTATGAAACCAAGAGGCCATTCCGATGCGCCGCCGCCAGGTGGTGAGGATATTCGGAGTCAGCTCTCGGATATCCAAAGAAGACTTTTTAGTACACGTAAGGACAAGGATAAGTCCACACCCTTACGTCCCAACAGAAATGCAGAGAACTTGAGTAGTGGGGCTCCTGGAGCCGGATCGGCGTCTTCCGCGGGCACCGGTGGTCTTTTACCACCTAAAAGACCGTTCAAGTCTACCAATTCGAGCTCGGGGAACTCGCCAAGTAGATCTGTAGTTCCACAGATCCCTCAAGCTTCTCCAACTTTAGGACCTGAAAGAAAGGGTAATGATATGAATTTTGTGGTTGGATTAAGTGAAAACCTTTTAACCGAATGTCGTCGACTTACCGCTGAAACTGCGCGTTATAAATCAAAACTCCAAGCCGTGACAGCTGAGTTAACACAATATAAAGATGAGGTAGCAATTTTGAATAATACTAGAAATGCTCAACGTGATAATGAAGATGAATTAAAAAATAAAAATTGGGAATTAGAAGCTGCAGTTGAAAGTTTAAACGACCAATTGGAAGTGGCAAGTCGTGATAAGATAAAATTGGAACGAGCACATCAAGAACAAACAACGAGGTTGACCAATATACAGAAGGAAAACGATGATCTACAATTGAAAAACACCTCATTAGAGTCATCGTTGACCAAGCTTCAGAACTCATACAACAAAGAAGTATCTCAATTAACAACCACTGTCGAGGAACTTAATGATGAGAATGACCAATTACAATCGAAGCTTGAAGCGTCAAATGCCGCCACCGTGGCCGCTGTGGAAGCTGCTGCTATTGCTGAAGAGCGTGCTTCTAAATCCTCAAGTGTTGAATCCAATTCTACCATTTCTAAAAAGGCTGAAGTTTCGGAAACTTCAATTGATACCCATGGAACCTTTGATAATGTTGATACAGAATCCATTGACATAGATGCATTACTTAAGGAAACTCCAGCAACAGACCAGGTTCTTGAATCAGAATCTCTTAGAGCTTCTCTTAACCATGCTCACAAGACAAACTCCAAGTTGAGATCTGCTATCTTGAAACTTAGAATGGAAAAGGAAGATGCAGAGAAGAGGGCTTCTTTATCATCGGTTAATACTTCCACTACCCCAGGAAAGAGAAAGACTAATAAGAAACTTGATCTCAATCATAATACTTCGATGACCACTAATGTAAGTGGATCTAACCGTAATTCTGCCATTTTATCACCTTCCAAGAGAAACTCAAAATTCTTTGTTTTGGAAGATGAAGATGAAGGTAAATGGGAAGACTTCATTGGGGACAATATTGAGAGCCCAAGTAGACGTACTCAAAATAGAAAACAAACTGATATGCCCTCATTGGTTCGTTCAGACTCTGAGGATTCTGACGATTCTGAAAACCACCATACCGAAGTGTTGGCTGGACAATTAGAAGGTAAGTATGGTGAACTTTCCCTTGAAACCCTTGAAGAATATGCTCGTGATAATAACTTAGTTCTACTTTCATCTGAAAAATTCAATGAATTATCAAAAGAAACAGAAATTTCTAATGATAAATTGAAGGAACATGCTCAGCAGAATAATTATGTCTTGCTTACAAAACAAGAAAATGAAGATTTGTTGGCAGAAGAGAGTATGAAACGAAAACTTGAGTCCAAGGGTTTGGTCACCCTAACTCAAGCAGAGCACTTAAACCTCCTTGATACAAGTGCTTCTCATCGTCAACCTTCAAAGGAATATCTAGTTGAAAGCGCCAGGGCGGTTGGATATGATTTGATTGAACATGAAGATTTGAAAAAGATGGAGCTTGCTCAACAATCATACAAGGCACCAACTCAATCTTATTTAGTTTCGAGGTGCAAGACTGATTTCCAAATGGAATGTATTCCAGAAAACAAACTTGCTGAGTACAAACGAATTGAGGTTGAATTTGAGAAACCCACTAAGTCATACTTAACTCTGAAGGCCAATGAATTGGGCTTGATAGTTTCACCAAGTAAATTTTATGATGAGTTGAAGAAGTGTGCGCATAATCCTGATATTGATCATGTGAGGGAAAAGGCCAAATTATTGGATATGTTGGTTATTTCTCCAGGTGAATTGCTGACCTTAAAGGAGAAGGCTAATTATGTTCCAAGTATAGATGAGCTTGTAAAACAAGTTGAAAAATCAGGTAAAGTGACTTTGGATACTAATGAATACAAAAGCTTGAAGGAGCCTACTATTGATGATATTGTCAAGCATGCCTCAAAGAAAGACCATACCATATTATCTCATGATGAACATATTCAATTAAAACAATTGGCACATAATCCTTCCTTGAGCCATGTTAAGGAAAAGGCTGAAACATTTGACTTGGTGACGCTTTCTAAGAGCGAATACACTAGTTTGTATAAACTGGCCAATGACCCAGCAATTGATGAAATAAAATCTATTTGTTCTAAGTTGCAACTTATTCCATTGCCACAAAAGGAATACGACTCATTGTTGAAACCAACTAAAGCTAAATTAGTCACTTTAGCAAGTGAGCTCAATTGTAAGTTAGTTGATGAAAAGGAATTCACATCTCTCTCTCAGTTGGCTAATTCCCCATCCAAGGAACACATTAAGAAGTGTGGTGCTAATCTTGGTCTTGTTGTCATTGAAGAGGCTGAATACAAGGAACTTATTTCACCTTCTTTCGATTCACTTCATGATAAGGCAGCGGCAATTGGATTTGTATTGTTGTCGGAGGAGGAAAAGAAGTCCTTGGACTCTAAATTGAATACCCCATCGATTGAATACCTTGCGGAGAAGGCTGCATTGACAGGTTCGACGTTAATCAAAGAAGATTATTTGGATAAATTGAAGCGACCATCACTTCCTGAGCTTCAAAATCAAATCAAACAATTCGACCACATTGCAATTCCTACTGCTGACTATGGTAATTTAACCCAATTATCCACGAATCCGCCACATGACCACTTAGTGAAGCATGCGACAAAAACTGGGCATTCAATTATTCCAACTTCAGAATATAACAAGGTAGTTAAAGATGCTAATGAACCTTCTGTGGATCATATTCAAGACAAGGCCAAATCCAGGGGCCATGTTGTGTTGCCTAAATCTGAACATGAAGAAATAATACGAAAGGTGAGTGACCCGACAAAGAGTGAAGTTGAAACCCTCTCAAGTAAGTTAGGGTTGGTGGTGGTTCCTGAAAATGAACATATTAAGTTATTGTCAACCATTCAAAAGCCTTCAAGAGACTACCTTGAGCAAAAATTGAGTTCTTTAGGCTTGCTTACAATTGAATCTACGGAACATTCTAAGTTGACGGATTTGGTTAAGAATCCTGATAAGGAATATCTCAACCAAAAATTGAATGAAATTGGCATGATTGGTCTCCAGAAGGCTGAGCATGCTAAATTACATTCATTGGCTCATACACCATCAGTAGATCACATTTTGGCAAAGTCAAAGGATATCGAGGGCATAGTTGCTTTAAAGAAGGAAGAACATGAACAATTGATTAGTCTTGCACATGCTCCGTCGATTGACCATCTTCAATCTAAGCTTAAGGATGCTGGCCATGTTGGTATTTCAGTTGACGAACATTCTGAGTTAGTTAAAAAGGCAGACACTCCTTCACTTGATCATCTTCAATCCAAACTTAAAGATGTGGGTCATGTTGGATTACCTGTGGATGAACATTCCAAGTTAATTGAAATGGCTCACACTCCGTCGATCGACCATCTTCAATCTAAGCTTAAGGATGCTGGCCATGTTGGTATTCCACTTGACGAACATTCTGAGTTAGTCAAAAAGGCAAACTCACCTCCACTTGACCACCTTGAAACTAAACTTAAAGATATTGGTTATGTTGGATTATCTGCTGATGAACATTCTAACTTACTTCAAATGGCAAACAAACCTTCACTTGATCATCTCCAATCCAAATTAAAGGAAGTTGGCCATGTTAGTTTACCTGTTGAAGAACATTCTGAGTTAGTTAAAAAGGCAGACACTCCATCTCTTGAACATCTTGAAACTAAGCTTAAGGATATTGGTTACGTTGGGTTACCTACTGATGAACACTCTAAGTTGATTGAAATGGCTCACACTCCATCAGTAGACCATCTTCAATCTAAGCTCAAGGATGTTGGCCATGTTGGTTTACCTGTTGATGAACATTCTGAGTTAGTCAAAAATGCAAACTCACCTCCACTTGCTCATCTTGAAACTAAACTTAAAGATATTGGTTATGTTGGTTTGCCTGTCGATGACCACTCTGAGTTGATTGAAAAGGCAAATTCACCTTCACTTGAGCATCTTGAAACTAAGCTTAAGGATTTAGGTTATGTCGGTTTGCCAATTACTGAACATTCTGACTTAATTAAAAAGGTAGACACTCCTTCACTTGAGCATCTTGAAACTAAACTTAAGGATATTGGTTATGTTAGTTTGCCTGTTGAAGAACACTCTACGTTGATTGGAATGGCTCACACTCCATCAGTTGACCATCTTCAATCTAAGCTCAAGGATGTTGGCCATGTTGGTTTACCTATTGATGAACATTCTGAGTTGGTCAAAAATGCAAACTCACCTCCACTTGCTCATCTTGAAACTAAACTTAAAGATATTGGTTATGTTGGTTTGCCTGTCGATGAACATTCCAAGCTAATTGGAATGGCTCATACTCCATCGCTAGACCATCTTCAATCTAAACTTAAGGATGTTGGTCATGTTGGTATCCCTATTGACGAACACTCATCGTTGGTTAAAACTTCTGATGACCCTAGTATTGAACATCTTCAAGAAAAGCTCCGTGGCCATGAATATGTTGGAATCCCATCTGGAGAACATAAGACTTTAAAAGAATTAGCTCATGATCCCCCTGTTGAATATGTTGTTAAAAAGGCTTCAGCTCTTGGCCTTGTTCCATTGAGCGAGGCTGATCATAAGATACTATATGATTTGGCGCACAATCCTTCCGAGAAACACTTGACTGCTAAAAGTGCTTCTCTAGGATTGGTGGCGATCAAGGCCGCCGACCATGATGAATTGAAATCTTCCATTTCAAACCCAAGTGCTGAGTACATTATGAAAAAGGCCCCTGAAGTAGGATTAGTTGCAATTGGTGCTGATGAACACAAAAAGATGGCCAGTATCATTTCAATGCCATCATCTGATTTCTTACATGAGAAGGCCAAAATTCAAGGATTGGTTGTCTCTACAGAAGAGGAAGTTAAGAAATTGACTACATTGGTTGATGACCCACCATTGGATCATATTAAATTAAAGGCTGCGGATAGTGGACATGTAGTAGTTGAGAAGCTCAAGTTCGATAGTCTCAATCAATTGGCGCATAATCCAAGCACTGACTACATTCGTGAAAAGGCTAAATCTGTGGGGTTGGTTCCACTTTCGCGTGAACAGCATACCACATTAACCAATCCAAGTAAGGATAGTATTGCAGAATATGCTCAATCAGTGAATTGTTTGTTGATTGATCGTTCAGATTATGCTAAATTACAGAATCTGATTGATTCTCCTACACCTAGTTATATCACAGAGAAAGCAAATGATCTTGGTTTAAGTGTTATTGGAACTGGTGACCTCAACAAGTTGAGACTTGATGCTACTGAACCAAGTGTAGAACATATAATAGAAAAGTCCAAGCTAGTGGGATTGGTTCCTGTGCCAGAGCATAAGCATTCTAAATTGTTGTCTAAGATCAACACTCCATCTAAAGATTACTTGGTTGAAAAGGCAGCAGAATTAGACCACAAGTTATTGAAAAACTCAGAATATACTTCACTTGTATCGCCTTCGTTAGATGCTTTGTCGGATTCTGCAAAGCGCTATGAAAGTATAATTGTTAAGGAATCGGAATTCAGGGCACTTGAATCCCTGCAAACTTTGCTACAAACTCAAGTTAGAACACCATCTTTGGACTATGTTGTCGAGAAGGCGGAAAGCATGGGTATTAAGGCTATTCCAGTTGCTGAATATTCGGCACTTGTAACTTCTGCAAACGAACCAACTTTAGAACAACTTCGAGAAAAGGCGAAAGATAGAGGAGCAATATTAGTTCCTGAATCAGAAATGGAAGAATTTTTAAATCCTTCCATTGAAAAGTTAAAGGATCATGCTTCTAATGTTGGACATACACTTACGTCGACTTCTGATTATACTAAACTCACTGAGTTGGCGTCTTCCCCTTCTAGAGAACATATTGAAGCTAAGGCTGAATCAGCAGGGTTGATAGTTATTCCAAAACAAGAGCATGAGGAGTTGGTTAAGAAGTCAACTAATCCAACCTCTTCTCAAGTCACAGCTTTCGCTGGAACCTTGGGCTTACTGGTAGTTGCAAAGGACGTAATCAATAAGTTGAAAAATCCAAACCTTTCTGACCTCTCCGAGCATGCGAATAAGACTGGAATGATTCTTGTGAAGAAGGATGAATATGAAGCTTTGAATTCCCAAATCCACAACCCTAAATTACAATACTTAGAACACATGGCGCAAAAGCAAGATTGTATTCTTGTTAAGTCTAAGGATTACGATAGTATTAAAAACGATCTTGCCAACCCTTCGACTGAGTATCTCAAAGAAAATGCTTCGAAATTAGGAGAGATTCTTGTGGCTGAGAAGGAATATAAATCTCTCTTGGAGAATATTGAGTCTCCAGGAATTGACTACCTTCGCGAAAAGGCCGCTAAGGTTAAATTTGTGATGGTGGAAGAGTCGGAATACGATAGTTTAATAGACCCATCTCGTGAGCAAATTTCAAAACAAGCTTCGAAACATGGACATGTTATGGTTGATAGATGCGAATGGGAACTTCTTCAAAAACAATATGAAACACCATCAATGGATTACTTGAAAGAAAAAATTGATGGTAGTGGGTATGAGATTGTACCTCATACTCCTTCTTTAGATTATCTTGAATCTAAGGCTGGTAAAATTGGAAAGGTTGTTGTGGGTGAAAAAGCATATTCATCGGTGTTGAAATCTTCTGAGAGTCCAGACAAAGAACATTTACAATCTAAAGCGGCAGCCTTGGGATTGATGGTCATTAAATCCGATGTTCACGATGACTTGGCCTCTAGAGCAAATTTCCCAAGTATTGCTCAACTTAAGGAGAAGGCGGAATCTCTCCATGATCACGTACTTGTTCCAACATCTGAATTTAAATCCTTGGAGTTGGAAGCTTCGAAATCGCTCTTAGAAAAGGTAAAGGAATCTGACATGACTCTAATCAACCCAATTGATCTTCAGGATCTCAAGAAGAGGGCTACAAATCCTGATTTAGAGCATATAAGTGAAAAGGCTAGGGAATTGCATATGCACTCTGTCATTCCAACATCGGAGTACGATGAATTAAAGGCGACTGCATCGCAGCCTATTGAAGAACGTGCAAGAAACTCGGGAATGGCTGTCATTGATGTCAATGAATTAGATGCATTGAAATCACAAGTTGAAGACCCTAATGAAGAATTTTTAGTCTCACGTGCTAATAAGAAGGGTTTGTCTGTCGTTCCGGCTGAAAGTTTGTTAAAGCTCAAAGATACTGCTCTGAAATCTCTTGAAGATCATGCGCGTGATGCTCACATGACTGTTGTCCTGAATCAAAAATATGAACAATTAATGAAGCCAACTGTGGACATTCTTAAACAAAATGCTCTTGTACATGAGCATGATGTTGTATCTGCGAAGGAATTAGATGAACTTCGTAAACCTAAGTTAGATGTTTTGTCTACTCACCTCAAGGATCACGACCATGTTGCAGTTCCTGTCCGTGAATTGAGTGAACTTCGTAAACCTAAGTTGGACGTCTTATCCACTCACCTCAAGGATCACGACCACGTTGCAATTCCTGTTAGTGAATTCGATGAACTTCGTAAACCTAGGTTGGACGCCTTGACTGAACACTTGAAGGGCCACGACCACGTTGCAGTTCCTGTTGGTGAATTAGATGAACTTCGTAAACCTAAGTTAGATGTTTTGTCTACTCATCTCAAGGATCACGACCATATTGCAGTTCCTGTTAGTGAATTCGATGAACTTCGTAAACCTAAGTTAGATGTTTTGTCTACTCATCTCAGGGATCACGACCATATTGCAATTCCTGTTAGTGAATTCGATGAACTTCGTAAACCTAAGTTGGACGTCTTATCCACTCACTTGAAGGATCACGACCATATTGCAATTCCTGTTAGTGAATTCGATGAACTTCGTAAACCTAAGTTGGACGTCTTATCCACTCACTTGAAGGACCACGACCATATTGCAGTTCCTGTTAGTGAATTCGATGAACTTCGTAAACCTAAGTTGGACGTCTTATCCACTCACTTGAAGGACCACGACCATATTGCAGTTCCTGTTAGTGAATTCGATGAACTTCGTAAACCTAAGTTGGACGTCTTATCCACTCACTTGAAGGACCACGACCATATTGCAGTTCCTGTTAGTGAATTCGATGAACTTCGTAAACCTAAGTTAGATGTTTTGTCTACTCATCTCAGGGATCACGACCATATTGCAATTCCTGTTAGTGAATTCGATGAACTTCGTAAACCTAAGTTGGACGTCTTATCCACTCACTTGAAGGATCACGACCACGTTGCAATTCCTGTTAGTGAATTGAATGAACTTCGTAAACCTCTACATGAGAAGGCTGAAGGTTTCAATTTGAAGGTGATTCCAATTCCAGAGTATCAACAACTACATGCTTCTGCTTCTGAATCGCTTGAGTCAAAAGCAAAGTCGCATAATAAGGTTGTTTTACCAGCATCTGAATTCCAAACTTTGTACGATAAGGCGAATACGCCAGATCTCGATCATGTCATTTCTACGGCAGATCTTCATGATCATTCTGTGATTGACTCGAATGTTCTTCATGAACTCAAGTATAAGGCTTCGCAAACTTTACATGAAAGAGCTGCAATGGAGGCATCTGTAGTTGTCCCAGAGACTGAGATTACATCACTAAGATTAGCTGCTAGTGAATCGTTGGAGGATAAGGCCCATAAGTTGAACAAGAAGGTAGTAGATAATGAAGAATACGTTGAACTCGTTGATAAGATCGGCAAACTCCAAGCACAAGCTGATGAACCATTGGAAAAGAAGGCTGAAGGCCAAGACTTGAAATTACTTCCTTTGGCTACTTTTGCGGCATTGTCTTCTCCAACACTTCATATGTTGAAGGAGTCTGCTACTTCCCATGGGCATACTCTTGTAGAAAGTTCAGAGTTCGCGAAGAAGAATGATGAACTTAAGGAAATCAAATCCCACATAGAAGGGAAGAAGATCCTTTCTATGAGCGAATACAATGCCCTTATCGCTCCTTCTTTGGAAGAATTGGAGCAAATTATTAGTAAACATCCGGAGAAGGTTCTAGTTGAACGTCTGGAGTGGACTAAGTCTTTAACAGAACGTGCTAGAGAAGCTAATATGAATTTAATATCTGACTCTCAACTTGATTTATATGAAAACCCCACTAAAGAACTATTGGTTAACAAGGCTAATTCTGTGGGATGTATTTTAACTCAAAAAGACGAATTTACAAAGCTAAAGAATTTGGCAACAGTTGCGGAAAATAAGGTAGTTTTGGAAGAAGATGAATACGAGGAATTAAAGAAATTAAAGGAAGTATCGGAAGGTAAAGAAATGGTAGCTACTGAAGAATACTTGAAACTTAAACTGTTGGAAGCTCAAGCTTCAACATGTAAGATGATTGATATAGAAGAATTCAATTCGTTGAAACAATTGGAATCTGAAGTACATTCAAAGAAGTTGATTGAGATAGTTGAATATGAAAGGTTGAAGGACTTGGAAAGTAAAGCTACTGTCAGTAAGTTGTTAAGTATCGAAGAGTACGATAATTTGTTGGTTGATGCCAAAAAGCCATCTCTTGAGACTATTCGTAACCATGCCACTGCCAATGGTTTCAAGGTTGTCTCAGAAGACGAATATACCTCGATGAAGACAGTTGCTGAACAGCCTATTGCTGAACGTGCCATAGCTTCTGGTTTGGTTGTTCTCACGAAGGAAGTTCATGACAAACTATTGGAAAAGCCTAGTATTGAATTCTTGACAGCTAACGCTCAAGAGAAGGGACTCCAGGTTGTTACAATGGAAGAAGCTAATAAATCTATACATGAAAGAGCACAAGAAGAGGGGATGGTTGCTATGCCGACTAGTGAGTATAATAAGTATCTGACATTAAAGAATATGGAAGTAATTGATGATTCAAAGGAATCCATCACATCAATGAAGAATAAATTGAAGGAACATGGATTCGAGGTGCTCGATAAGGAAGCCTACGAAGAAATGCTGAAGAAGGATGAATTTGCAGACGCTGAAGCTTCCTTTATTTTGGATAAGGGTGAACTTATTAATAGTGCCTCTAGATTGGGTTTGGTGGTTCTCACTCCTGAAGAGCATACGTCTGAGACAGCTTTACGTGAGCGTTCAAGTGCTATGTCTTTGACGGTATTACCGGAAGCTGAATTCATCACCATGAAGCAGCTGCTCGCACAAAAGGAGTCTGAATTATTTGAATTGAGAGTTCCAAGGGAGGAAATCACAAGAGAAACAATCATGGAAAGACTGGCTGATTTTGATATTATTCCATTGGATAAACAAGAATATGTTGAATTGAAGGAAAAGGCGGAAATTGGAACCGCTCCAACTGTTCTTGGAAGAGAAGATATTGTACTGAGAGGCTCTGAATTGGGTCTTTCTGTTGTTCCTGAAAACGAGTACATTGATTTGAGGACGCTGGTGAAGGCATTGGATGACAAGGATAAGTTAAGTGCTATTGCATCAAAATTAGGACTTTTATGTGTCCCTGCTAGTGCATTTGTTGCTACTAATGTTGCTCGTGTTGCAGAACCAGAGAAGGTTACTGTACTTCCAAATTCCTATTATGCAAAGCTTTTAAAGAGTGAGAATTTAAATGTTGAAAAATTAAGTGATGATTCATTCAAGACTTATGCCGAAAAGCGAGGATTCAAGCATGAATCGGATATCCCATTACCTGTGGTATCTGAATACAGTATGACTCCTCCGGCTGGACCTAGTCCAGATCTTGTTCAACAAGCGAAGTTTACACCACCTCCACGTGTAACTGTAGGAACTTCTGCTGCCAGTAGATTGAGAACTCCACAATCCAGTACTTCTGGAGAAGATGGATTCAGTAGGAATGTTGTTCTGGTATCCAGACTTCCTCAATCTGATTCTGTCGCCTCTAAGCTTTCTCTGCATTCGATTGGTACACAAAGTATTGTCGAGTCTTTCAGAACATCTGCAGGCTTGTCAATGGCCACTAATGTGTCTTTAACAGACAAGTCGATGATTCCAGCTATCACGCAAGTGGTTATTGGTGAGTACTTGTTCAAGTACTACCGTAGATTGGGTCCATTGAGTTCCATCTCCGAAACTCGTCATGAGAGATATTTCTGGGTCCATCCTTACTCTATGACTCTTTATTGGTCGACTACAAACCCTGTGCTTGGTAACCCTGAAGATGTGAAAACTAGAGGTGCTGCTATCATGGGTGTGGAAAGTGTTGATGATAATAACCCATTACCTCCGGGTATCTATCATAAGAGTATTATTGTTCATTCTCAGAACAAGTCGGTAAAGATAACCTGTGCTACACGTCAAAGGCATAACATCTGGTTCAATGCGTTGAGATACATGCTTAACCGTAACCTTGATGAATTGTCATTTGAGACAGAGAATGAAGGAGATGAAACTATTGACGAAGAAGAGCTTGAAAGAAAAAGAATTGAAAGCATGTATGACACTGGTGAGAGACAAGCATTTCCTAGGGTAAACTCTCAGATATTGAAGAGCCCTTCCAGCGGAAAATTAAGCCGATTCGGCACTATGAAAAAGTAAATATAGTATATTGTAAAAAAAAAAATGAATAAATGTTTTAAGATTAGGTACTCAATTGAAAAGCACCCCTATGTATTCGTTTCTGGTAGCAATCTTTTATTCTTAATACTTTTTAGGGGAATTTGTATTGCACCGGATCGCATCGTATCCCCGGATCTCACGCTCATGCTCTATAAATTTCATCTTATTTGTTCACTACATTCCCGAAGAAGTTGACGGTATTGTCAAAGCCTTACATAACCCATACATATATTTATTCAATCACATAAAACACACTATTTAGCAGCTAGTAACTGGGTGAATTCTTGGATATCAATTTCACCATCATTGTTGGTATCAGCTTCTCTGATCATTTGATCAACATCAGCATCAGATAACTTCTCACCGATAGAAGTCAAGACGTGTCTCAATTCAGCGGCACTTATCTTACCATCTCCATTTCTGTCGAAAACCTTGAAGGCTTCGGCAATCTCGGCCTCAGAGTCGGTATCCTTCATCTTTCTAGCCATCATGGTCAAGAATTCTGGGAAATCAATGGTTCCATCACTGTCAACATCAACTTCGTTTATCATATCAGTGAGTTCACTTTCGCTTGGGTTTTGTCCAAGAGATCTCATGACGGTACCCAATTCCTTGGTGGTGATTTTTCCATCGCTGTCCTTGTCGAACAAGGAGAAGGCTTCCTTGAATTCAGCAATTTGCTGTTCAGATAACTTTTCGGCCTGTAGAAATAAAACGTTAGTATTCACAACAATAACACATGGTAAAGGGAAAATAACATGAATTGCAATCCGAATCAATCAATCAGCATCTGCGTGTCTCTCCTCCGTCACTAGCCCATCTGCATGGAAATCTTGGTCATAAGAAAGGTCCTCATACATACCATTATGATATAAATTAAACTTGTTGATTAATTAGATCAAAGTTTTGTAGTCAAATGCAAATGTGTTCATTTATGTATTTTTAACTTGGAGTCGCAATAAACAAAAAAAATTCGGTTATGTATGCAGGAACTTCCGAAATCTAGAGTCACGGGAATGTACAAGGGCAAATGGATAGTCTAGATTGAGTACATAGAATAGAGACCATATATGTTTATACGTATTATATATATATATATATATATATATCAGGTTGATGGGGTAAATTGTTATAAATGGGATAATTAGAAGATATGTCAAATGAGTCAGGGTAAAAAGGGGAATTTTATTGGAGATGGTACATCTTTTCTAAATACTCCTACAAGTCCCACTAAGATGGTGGCGACCAGATTTTCTAGCATCCGATCTTCCATAAGTCATGATCCCTTTGATGATGATTTGGATAGTGCATTGATGAAAATAGATGTAGGTGGAGAGGTCAAAGAACTAGTATCTGCCAGTAGTCGTAGTTATAGTAATCGCAGCATCAGCAGCGATGATATGATTCCTTGTGGCCAAGTAGTGTCCAAAATTGATAATGGGAATGAAACTGACAACGATGAAAATGATGAAGAAGAAGAAGATCAAGATGTTCCTCCAGAATCCTCATCTTCAGAAGATGAAGTATCTATTGGGAAACTTCATGGCTTTGGAGACTATGCAACATATTTCCAGAATAAAACTGCAAAGCAACAGAAGGCTGACAAGGACTATTTGGAATGGGAAACTAAACGTAGAGGTGGATCCACTGAACGTCCCATCTTTAGTGGGTGTGTGATCCACGTTAATGGTCATACAGTGCCATCTATCAATGAGATCCATCGATTAGTGATTTTATATGGGGGCAAATTCATCCATTACTTACATAACAAGGGAGCAGCAACCCATATCATTTGTGATAAACTTACACCTAGAAAAATGATACAATTCAAAAACTACAAGGTTGTAAAGGCACAATGGCTAGTGGACTCTATATCGAAAGGTGAACTATTGGATTGGTCTGATTATCGAGTTATTGAAGATGTTGTGTATGGACAACAACGCTTAGGTTTTAGTAAGTTGGAGGACAAGATTGAAGAGGAAGAAGTAGAAAAACAAGTACAACTGGAAATTATCATGCCAAATGATCCTGAATCCGACGATGAAATGATCCCACTTACTCAATCACAGAATGAACAGAATGAAGAAGTAACTCTTTCTCAGTCTGGGGAAGCTCACATTGAAGAACTCAATACTAACTTTGAACTAACTGCTAATCGACAACTAGATGCAAGGAATCCCGATTTTCTTGAACATTTCTTTGCCTATTCGAGACTACATCATCTTAGTACTTGGAAGGCTGAACTTCGAGCTCGGTTTTTAAAGAAAATTCTTAATGAAACAACCCCATCTCAGGAAAAGAAGAAGTACGATGTAAGAGTTGTTTTCCATGTCGACTTTGATTGTTTTTTTGCAGCTGCTTCCGCTTTGAATCGACCCGATTTGGATATTAATAAGGATCCTATAGCGGTATCTCATGGACAAAGGACGTCTGATGTGGCAAGTTGTAATTATATTGCAAGATCTAAGGGTGTAAAGAATGGTATGTGGATGGCCCAAGCACGCAAACTATGTCCAGAATTAATCATATTGGACTATGATTTTGAAGCTTATGAACGTCATTCTAATGCCATGTACGATTATTTAATCCAATCTGAAATATTTGATGCTATTTTCCCCGTCCTGGTTGATGAGGTTTTACTTGATGCTACTTCATATTGTAATGCAAATGCAGATGGAGTTACTTCTACAGTCAATGCGTTAGCTACTAAATTAAGAAGTGACATTTTCTCAAAAACTTCCTGTACTGTTAGTGTCGGTGCTTCGAAAAATGTCTTACTTGCAAAATTATCGTTACGTCGAGCCAAACCAAATGGTCAATATTATCTTCATGAGAACTTCGAGGAATTTCTTGAAAATATACCTGCCAGAAACTTGCCCGGAATTGGTGGTAGTATCGTACGTAAATTAACCGCAGCCATTGGTGCTGATGTGAATCATGTCCCTTTGATTCTGGACTTGGGCAAACTATCTTTAATGAAATTAAAATCGATATTTGGTGAAAAAACTGGAATTAAACTTTTCAATTATGCCAGGGGGATTGATGATACAAGTATTGATATCCGGCGGAAGGGTGATGCCTTAAAACGTAAATCTGTATCTGTGGATGTGAATTATGGAATTAGGTTTGACACCGTATCTCAACTAGATATATTTTTGATTGATATATCAAAGGAACTTTACCGAAGGTTGATCCGGTTAACCATGTGTGGAACTAGTATAACCCTCAGATTGGCTCGTAGAGCACCGGAGGCTCCCATCGAACCGGAAAAGTTTCTTGGGATGGGCCATTGTGTCTTTGCAAACAAATCAGCTAAATTTGGAGTTCCTACGAATGATTGGGGTATCATTGGATCTGAACTCAAGGCTCTCTATAGAATGTTGAATATACCCGTTCACGAACTACGTGGGATTTCCATTACTATGACTAATTTAGAAGATGTTGAAAATATAAAGAAAAATAGACAAATGAAATTACCCTTTGCATTGAATACGGGAGAAAATGATAGTAACAAATTGAAACCTTCTCCTGTGAGTTCACCACGGAAATTTGAAGAAGAGAATGATATTGATTGGGAAGTATTTAATTGTTTACCACTATCAATTCAACTTGAGCAAAGAGAAGAACTATTACGTAGAGGAATCATTCCTCCTGAGGTAGATTCACATCCACAGCCTATTATGGAATCAACCCCTACTAGGGGAACCTCGAAAGTGTACATGCAACAACTTATTCCTAAAATGGAAGAGGAGGGTGTATCATACACCAAAGTGATTGAATCTCCAACTCGGAGGTCCCCAACAAAGCGTAAACTTCAATCTCCCTCCTATAAACAAACCTCGCCAAGTAAACGTAGGCAGTCACCCATCAAATCTAGACTTCAATCGCCTCTGCGAATGGAAATACCAAGACCCAATTATTCTACATACGATGAAACAGGCTCGTATGATGAATCTGTTTTCAATGCTCTTCCTAGCTCGGTTCAAAAGGAGGTGCTTTTTACCTTGGAGGAAAAGGCAAAGAACAAAATGGCGTATGGACACCATAAATCTGCACCTGTTCTCGATTCTAAATGGCTATCTCGGAAACATCCATTGGTGAAACTTCCCTTGTTTCAGAACAAACCTACAACCATTGGCAGTATGAAGTCATTGATATCAGGTTGGATAAGCTCATCTCTACTTCAAGGTGGACCACATTTGGATGATGTCAACATGATGCTTGATTACATTGAAAAGTTGTTGCAACAAGATAATTTATTACGAAGTATGTCAATTTTTCAACATATAAAGACTCGTTTATTTTGTGAAAGTATATCATTTGAGAGTGTTGGAAGCCCTTATACTGAGAATCAAGACACTAAAGCATTAGTTGAAGTTGGGTTTAAAGAATGGAGACAGATTATTGTGTCATCCATTGTACCTATGATCCAGAGGTACTGTATAGAACACGATATTGAAGTTGATACATCAACATGAATTTATATAACAAATACTAGTTCTTGAATCCATCAGTTAATGAGTTGTAGACAACAGGTTGGGATCACTTCATCACAATATGTATCTGAGATCTGTGACCTCCTACCGTCCAATGAGGGACGTCAATCGCTTGTCTCTTCATTGATTTGTAGCTACAACTTACTCCACTATTGCACCATTATTCCAATTCAACGGGCTTCAAGATTGCAGCTTGAAAAGTTCCATAGCGATGACTTTGTTACCGCTTTATTAGAGAGACGAACTGACATAGACAAGGCTAGTCCAAAATACAATAATTTACTACTGCATCGGAAGACCAATTTTTTTAAAGATCGTCCCCAACGACAATCAAAACTTGAACCAAGTATAGATATCAATAAATTTGGAGACGAAATTGCAAAAAAAGTTGAAGAGAGTTCAGAGGATGAATGGGAATCGGATAAAGATTCATCTTTAGATCTGGGTGATTCTGACTCCAATCCTCTAAATGAATACAATCTAGACACATATGGGTTGCAATATGATTGTTATGTATTCCCCTTCATGGCAGATTACGTTTCGTTAGTTGCTGGTTCAACAATTAGTACTGCTGAGTATTTGATTTATCAGCATCGTATTGGTAATAAGCTGAGTGTTGGGATTAATTGGTATGGTGGCAGACATCATTGTACCAAAAATATGGCATCTGGATTCTGCTATGTTAATGACATTGTATTGGGTATCAACAAATTAAGAATGTACTTCCCCACAGTGTTTTATATTGATATGGATCTTCACCATGGAGATGGAGTTGAATCTGCCTTCAAATTTTCCAATAAGGTTGTAACATGTAGTATGCATAGGTATGACGTTGGATTTTACCCAGGTACTGGTAAGGATACAGTGAAGTCTAAAGTGATAAATATTCCTACCCGAAAGGGTCTTGGAGATAACAGCTTACTATTTTTGGTCGAGCGAATTATTCTTCCTGCAATATCTGGTTATAAACCATCTGTAATTGTCTTACAATTGGGTGCTGATGGTTTAGCCCTAGATGAACACAAACAATGGAATTTGACTATTAAAGGGTTTGCCGCTGCTGTTAAATTATTATTAGAAAACTGTGGAGATATTCCAGTTATGGTCTTGGGAGGTGGTGGCTACAACCATACAGAAACTGCCAAATGTTGGACATATATCACAAAGATTATCTTGGAATCATCCTTAGACAAAGAAATCACCATGGAGGAGGCATACATTAATATTCCGGAGCATGATTTTTTAGACAGCTATTGTGATGACGGTTATAAATTCTGGACAGAATCGAACTCCACTCCTAGCAAGATGAAAGACACCAATGATATGGAATACTTGGAGACGTTACAAAATAATATACTAAAGGAGTTCTTATAGATATACATATACAATTAATATATAAGATTTGAAAATTGGTTATTTCTACTTGAAATAGTTTCCAAGATTATTATCCCAATTTTCATCCCATCTAAGTTTACTTTCTTTTAATGCTCCATTTGTTATTCTTGGGAGTAACTCATCATTGGTCAATGCCTCCTGAAGCAATCTAAAGATCTCCTGTGCTGGGTCTGCCTTATTCTTAACCACTAATCCATTGACTCCATCTTTGACTAATTCACCAATTGCTGGGAAATCCATGGTAATTACTGGTACACCACAGCCGAAGAAGTCTACAATTTTCATTGGCAAGTCAATACCACTAGAAGAAGTGTGGAGAGATACCGCTAAGTCTGCAGCCGCTAAGATTAAAGGGTAGTCTTCAAAAGATAGCCATGCGGTCTTAATGATAACTCTATTCAGAAATTGCAACTGTTCAGCACGTTTATGGAATTGTTCCTTGAGTGGACCCTTCCCAGTTACTACTAAAAGTACAGGAGGAAGATTGATATCTTGGTCATACATCTTCAATGCGTCCAAGAGAACATTAAAATCTTCGTCAGGAGTGAAAGATGTCGAACTCACCAAAATTCGGTATTTACTGATTTCATCTCCAACGCTTTCAAATAGTTCATGGTTACGAAGTACCTCCAGTTGAGAGATCCCCATAGAAACTAAGGGCTCGAATCCTTCCGCTGGTCTATCATGAAGAGTGGTGATACGTTTCGAACTTAGGCCAAACTCCTTCACAAGAAATTGTTTCATTTGAACAGTCACAGTAATGTGGTGATCCGCCCAGCGCCCCACATATTTTTCATATGATTTTAAAAAACGAACCAATGGATGGCCCTCATTTTGGTACTTGAGATTCAAAATTGAATAGTTTAAGTTATGCCAATCAATCACAATTTGAGTATCTCTGGAAAGAAGTTTCTTGTAAATGATAGCCAATATCAATATTGGAATCAGTGGAGGGTTTTGAATGATAATATAGTCTGCACAACCATATTCAACTAACAAATTAAAGAGTTGGAAGCATTGTAATACAATTTTCTGCGCAGCAAATGCAATGAAAGGAAGTCCAAGGGTGTTTCTAATTGGATCAATCAGTTGAATGTCAATATTCTCATCGTCTACGATATCTTCTGGTGGGAAAGTTTCCAAATATCCACACAAAGTGACATAGTAATCCAATTTTGCTAAGGATCTAGCATGGTAACACATACGAGGAGAATGACCTATATCTCCTAACACAAATAAAGTGGCTGATTTCTTCTTACTGAAACGTCTTTTTGATGTGAAGTATGGGAGTACGATATAAGCGAGTACAGGAAGCCAAAAATACAATCCAAGTAGCCACCAAAGCCATGGGCCCGTGTATTTCCACAAATGGTCAAATCCCTTGTATTTTATAAAGGTCATTGGGTCTGAGTCTGAATCATCCATTATATAGTGGTGGATTTATTTGTCTTGATCGTCAATTAAAGTTCATATGCTCAGCATGAAAAATATACTAAATAAACCTACTGTATATATCGCTATAAATCAAGTTTTTTAGATTGGGTGTTCGGGTGTTTCACTAAAATGAAGTAATGTTATGTGTATTTAAAATTAGAGGGATTCTAGGGCTATCCAAATGTATCCCTATACTTGATATTACCTTTATCTAAGATATTTAGGTGTTCAACGTAGTATTGGTGACATGGATGTTATTTCTTTATTTTCTCTTATTTTTAGAATATTATGAAGAACTTAATATATAAATTTTCAACATCAAGAATCTTATTGGTATAAAATGTTTTAAACACTTCAAAAACAAGCAGTATATATTAAAGTAGTATGTTAGATATGAGATTATAAGGTTGAATCTAAACTGAGAGAGAAAAAAAGATGCAAAATTAGAATTAATCTGGTTTACTAGGGAGCTCATTATTTAAACTTTGTGAGAATATGCTCTTAGCTCAGATTTAGGCTGTGAGTTTTTGAGATTAATCGTAGTTCTAGCCCCCCTCCTTACAATGCTGTATATCTACTAATATATAGGCAATATAGCACTATGAAAGGGGGAATGAATGGGAACAGAAATAAGTGTAAAGGGGCATATGATTAGTATAGGACTAAAATGCACGCACGTGACACACCTGCATATAGGGCATTCAAAAAGTGTAAAACCAGAATAAATTTAAACTTTCGAAAATCGGTCCCTTGGCCCAGTTGGTTAAGGCGTGGTGCTAATAACGCCAAGATCAGCAGTTCGATCCTGCTAGGGACCATTTCTTTTTTTAATTTTTTTCCTTTCTGACATACTTGAAAATTTTGGAGTTAATTACGAATCTTTTTTACCATTTATGTGATTTAATCTAGGTTACCTTACGATGAAGAGTTTCTTACGAGGCTATTACTTCTACTGATTATCAAGTAATGTTTTTGAGTCGTTGTGGTGTATAATCACAATTTTTTTTTTGCACCCTATGATGCCCTTTCTCAGTAAAATCCGGGTAAGTTTTTCAGGTCTTCGCGAACTTTTCCTACTCCTAAACTATAAATACAGCAAAAGTTTTTCCTATTAATTCTTTTTCATTTATTTCCTCATCAATCAATCAATCTTCTCTTATTAAAATAAAAAGTCCAACTTGGATTTTTTATGTTAATATGGGGTTGACTTTTTAAGTCGTCCACTTTTTCCGATGTTCTTGTGAATTTCAGGGCCTTTAAAGTGGAAGGATTGGTAAGAGGTTGACCTTTTGAATATGATGAAACTAAGTCTACTTCTTTCCTAGTCCGATACGAATATGACGACAGGGTTGAAAAACGTCTGTTCAATATTGATCCTCTGTTGCAGGAGGTGTTTGAACGGGCTTATACTTGCCAGTATTTAACAGTTCTGATTCCTTAAGGTTAATTTTTTACTTTTTCCTTTTATTTTGAAGTTCCAACTTCTCAAGTGCATTCCTAAGGAGTGGACTGACCATTAAAAACTTATTTAATCATCCTCTTTTTACAATCAGTTAAGTGATGAAATTTCCCATAAACATTCGCAGTTTCCTCGGTAGCATACACAAAGAACCCATCTTAGTATGTCGGTGACCGCAATTTGACCTTCCATGGATGTCTGATAACTGAGTAACAAGATGATTTTAAATACTTTTTTCTTTAAAAAATAAATGTAGTAAGATCTAATGAAGTGTGGCACTATCTCATTAAGATTTCTGGTTTTTTTCCTCTTTAATTATTTCTTTCATTTGTAACCTGGCTCTTTTATTCATAAGAATATAGCCTAATCAGTAAGGTTTATTGACACATGGTGTATTGAAATAGTTTCATATGTGCTTTTGACTCATAGAGTTACTGCCTAAACTAATTCATAGATCTACAAGTTCTTGAATACATAAATTTTTATTCACATAAATTTTCTTTACATCTTTACATCTTACCCTTAACATTTGGAGTGGTCAATGGCCACTGGTATGTACCTTCATCAGCGAAAACATAGCCGTGCTTGTTCAAGAATGCTCTTAAACCCTTTGGACCCTTTGATCCATAAGCATAGCCTTCAGGAACTGGGGCCTTATCAGACTCAATAAAGTTCAATAAAGGAGTAAACAACTTCCATGAAACATCCAATTCATCATCTCTGACAAAGTTGGAGTGATTACCCAAGAAACAGTCTCTAATCAAGGCTTCATAAGCTTCTGGAATCCAGAAATCCTTGGAGTATCTGCTCTTGTACGTCAAGTCAAGATCAGTAAGAGAAGTTTCGGTGGAGATACCAGGGATCTTCAGGTTAATCTTCATATAAATAGCTTCATTTGGTTGTACTCTGATAACCAATTCATTTCTTTGAATTTCTTCAAACATACCCTTAGCAACTGGCTTGAATTGAATACGGATTTCAACCTTAGATTCATCCAATGCCTTACCAGCACGCATGACAATTGGGACACCTTCCCAACGTTCATTGTTGATACCAAGTCCTAAAGCTGCGTATGTGACACATTTAGAGTCTCCCTTGACAGTTTCATCATCCAAGTATCCTGGCTTCTTACCATCTTCACTCTTTGTGTATTGTCCAATAAGAATATCATCGGTGTTTAATGGGCTGAAGGCCTTCAAAACCTTAACCTTTTCATCTCTAATAGCTTCTGGATCAAACAGAACTGGTCTTTCCATGGTCAAGAGAGTCAATACTTGAAGCAAATGGTTTTGCATAACATCTCTTACAATTCCAATGGAGTCAAAGTATCCACCTCTACCTTCAGTACCAAAGGCTTCCTTGAAGGAAATTTGAATGGACTTAATGTGGTTCTTATTCCAAGTTCCACTTAAAAGTTCATTACCAAATCTAAGAACAAGTAAATTCTTAACCATTTCCTTACCCAAATAATGATCAATTCTATACAATTCTTCTTCAGTGAAAAGTGGAGCCAAATCCTTTTGAAGTTCTCTTGAAGAATCCAAATCATGACCAAATGGCTTTTCAACAATGATACGTGTAGTACCATTTTCTGCGTAAACGTACTTCTTCAAGTTCTTGGCTACTTCAGTGAAAACTGAAGGTGGCAATGCCAAGTAGAAAAGACGTTCTGGAGATTCAGTACCAACCTTCTTTTCATGTTCACCTATGATCTTTTCTAATTCTTCATATCCTTCAGCGGTATCGTATGCACCTTGGTGGTAAGAACACAACTTAAGGAATTCTTCAATCTTTGGCTTGTCCTTTTCTTCATCTCTAAGCTTGAAGTTGTCACTGATTCTCTTTTTGAAATCAGCATCTTCAATCTTTGAACGGGCATATCCAATGATCTTAACTGTCAGCGGGAGTTGACCCTCGCGATAAAGGCCGAAAAGAGCAGGGAAAGTCTTCTTCTTAGCAAGGTCTCCGGAAGCTCCAAACACCACAATTACGGCATTGGCGCCAAATGAAGCGGAAGTGGACATGTTGAGGAATTTTCTGGGTTAACTTTTAGTATAAAGTGGTTGAAATTGGGAAAAAGGGCAATTAATTTGAGCGCCGGCCTATTTTTTTTTGGGGGCAGATTAGTCAGTGAGTCTAGCTCGAAATTATCGAAATTTAGTAATCAAAAAAGGTAATCTCCGATGCAAGGTTGCGACTGTTGGGTAATTATAAATCTAGAATTTAAAAGTATGGTATTGACAAAGAAAAGAAGATCAAACTAACAGGGTTCTTTATGATTCCAAGCTTTTAAATAATATTATTGAAAACTCGGTTTGACGGCTGAATGGAGAATTGAAGGCAAATTTGTCACTTTTTACTAAATTGGCCCAATGGAAAAATAAAATCAGATAAAAACTAAAAATACAAAGTAGAGGGGGTCCTAGAAAATCTCTAGAAATTGAAGTAGACTACTATTGAGGTTTATATACTCTATAATTTGAATAATTTGGTTACTACATGTCATGAGTATCAATTTCTTTTAGTAAGCAATCAACGCTGCAACTTCGGGTATCTTGCTGAATGGATCCAAAATTGGGCCCGATTTCGGATTCGAGACTGCCGATTGAGTCACGGGAGTGCGGTCACATGGAATGACATAGTGATATCTTGATCCTCCACCCGTGCGACTGCAGACAGCCCAATGCCCCCACAAATGGCTAGATCTTATACTTTACAGTTTAACTCTAGTTTAAAAATTAGTAAATATATGTAAGTTTGTTTGTATATGTCTTTAGTTTTCTATGTAAGCTTCACAGTTGTAAATTTTCTAATATTTTTTTAATTTCGCTTTTTTCATTCTTCTTTTAGCCGCCTAAAAGGAAAGGTACATAGAAATAATATTTTTTTTTGTGTATGTTTACACATATTTTTACCACAAGGGAAGTTATTTTTTGTTATAACCAGATTGAATAATGTAACAGTACTGAGTACTTGTAGAACACTTCAGTATATATATATATATTTCATATTCTCTTTCTTAACAACGAAAGAGCACCTTTTGATAATAAAAATCTACACATCTCCTCGAGTTATACTAATTTTTTTATATATGTGGGTTATCCCCTAGTTGGGATTATTTATATTCTACATACTGTAGCCAGTTAGTCCTTAGGTGGTGGAGTTGGTGGTGTTGATGTACCTACCGACTCTTGTGGATTGGATTCTGACAGGTGTCTTTCTGTATTAGCGTCGTGTTTCCCTTCTTCTTCATCTCCAAGTTGGAACATTTCATCTTCCTCATACACTGGCAAGGTTTCTGCATCAAACTCATCATACAAACGATCACGTTCTTCATCTGATGTTCGACGGGTAGGTCTTGTGTTACGTCCCAAATCAAGTGAATCTTCGTCATTTCCATCGTCTTCACTATCGGTGTAGTCTTCACCAGGGATAATATCAAATTCATATTCTTCTCTTCTTCTACGACGACGAGATGAACCAGGTGTCTTATGGAATCTCATCAATATAATTACAACCAAAAATCCTATAACTGCAAGCGCCATGAAATATTGACCAGTATGTGTAGAAGTGTAGTGTTTTTGACTTCCATCAGTATCTTCATCATCATCAACTTCACCTACTTCATCTGAAGGTTTAGTTTCAGGCTTTGCATCATTGTTCGGTTTAGTTCCAGGCTTTGCATCATTGTTCGGTTTCGTTTCAGGCTTCTCAATATCTTCAGGCTTTTCAGCAGGGTCATTGGTTTCCTCCGGTTTATCTTCAGGTTTTTGCTCTGGTTTATCTTCAGGCTTTCCTTCAGGTTTATCTTCAGGCTTCTCTTCAGGTTTCTCTTCAGGTTTATCTTCAGGTTTTTCTTCAGGTTTTTCTTCAGGTTTTTCTTCAGGTTTATCTTCAGGCTTCTCTTCAGGCTTCTCTTCAGGCTTCTCTTCAGGTTTCTCAGGTTTCTCAGGCTTCTCTTCAGGTTTATCCTCAGGCTTCTCCTTTGGCTTTTCAGCAGCCTTATCTCTTCTAACTTGAGCATAATCCTTTGTAATGTCGAATTTCTCTGCCTTCTTTTCATCCTTACTTTCACCAAATAATCTCAATTGGAAATCAACAAACTCAATTTTAATTCCTTCTCCATCTTGAGTGAAAACCTCAACTTCCCATTCACCAGCTCCAACCTCACCCCAATGGGCCACACTCATAAAAGTCCAATCACGGAACCCAGCCATGTTAAAGTCCAGTGGTCTAAATGTTGCCAAGTCACTAACAACACCAAATGGTGACCTGATTCTCATGGCCACTTTCCCTCTAATGGTAGATTTGATATTCACCTTGACTGTAATATGTTCCACCCGTTCCAAATTAACAAGGGCTAAATCTTCTTTAGTGACGGTGACAGTTGATTTAATTACCTTCTTTGCATCAACAGAGGAATCAATACTTTGGCCAACCTTGATGACATCCAGGTAATACCAAGCTTGTGGCTTCACATTTTTCCAAGTTTTGGCCAATTCAGTAATGGCGTAGGCATCAACCTTACCATAACCATACTTGTGAGAGTATTGACGACCAAGACCAGTTGTTTGATAGTTTCCATCGTCAGGATTGACCGGAATAGAACTCATGGCACATACATATTGAACATCTCTCCAAGTTAACTTTGGATTGGCTTCTAAAACAAGGGCAAAGATACCTGCGGCAATTGGTGCCGCAGCAGAAGTCCCCCCATGATTGGCAGAACATGACCCCTTAATATCGGTGGTATGAATATGTTCACCAGATCCAGATGAATAAGTTACAACCATTACTGCAGAACATGCTTCAGCATAAGTTGGATGATTTCCTTGATGGTCAATGGCACCAACAGTGATTGAATAAATGGAATTGGTATAACCATCAAAATTACACAGATCCATATTTCTACCCCCATTACCAGAGGCAAATACAAAAATCGAACCCTTTTCCTTACGGCCTTCTTGAATAGAACGAACCATAGCCTTCTTCACAATGATGTCTGGCTCACTAACAGTTCTACCGTCATCAGTAGGACCCCACAGACATGAAAAAATATCATTGACATCTAAACCATACATCATTGCTGAAGCTTCTTGGTCAGAAGTGATGGCACCAGAGAGAATACGAACCCCGGCAACCTGGGAACCGTACGCCACACCAACCCCACAAACATCATTCTTAACCGCTCCGATTTCTCCAGCACATCTGGTACCATGATAATCATCACGGAGACGAGGGAAGGGTAAATTTGTATTATCATTAAAATCCCATGAACCCAAACGGTTGAAATTATCCTTGAGGTCGGCACTCTCATAATCGAGCCCATCATCTATAATGGCAGTCACCACACCTTTGCCAGTGATTCCTGATTCCCAAACTCCAGTGACGTTGATGTCATGACCTGGATAGTTGGTGTTTAAAATATGCCACTGTTGTGGGAAGATAGGGTCATGAATCCCAAGTTTTTTCATAATCTTGGCAAGCCCCTCTTGTGAAGAGTCTACCGGAACAAAGTCTGCAGGTTTATTGGGTGCTGGTACCGGCAGAATAGGAGCCTTTTGTTGTTGGTTGTCCCTTTGAGCCAGATCCTCCAGGGTATATGGCACGGGTCTACGACGTTCCAATTTTCTAGGTTCCATCCAATGAATCCCCTTCAATTCAGATCTAGAAACCAACCGATCATAATGGCCATCGGAGTCTCGTTTCATTATCCGACCATCCAGACTAGTAGATATACCGCCACCATAACTCCCCATCCATTCGGCGGCAGGATGTTCCTTCTTCATACTGAATATAAAATGGTCGTCCAACCCATGTAAAGGATGCTCAAACTGAAATTCATTCTTATGCTCATCAATGAATGACCGAAGTGTCTTTTGAGACATCGACGTGTCGAGTTCAACCACAAAGTAGTGGTTGTTTTCGTAGTCTCTATCGGGTATCTGGACCCCGGTGTGGACGTTTGGCGCACCAGAAATCGCCCCCACGGCGGTACCCAGCAACAATAATCCCGCCGTTACTACTGTTTTAATGAGCATTACTGTAGAAAAGAGTTGTTCCTGTTTCCCCCACAGTGATTCAAATTTGGACTTTTTGGGTTTTTCTTCAAAAATAATCAAAAAAAGAAAAATCAAAAAATAGGACCGCCCCTGTGTACAGGATTTATCAAAACTAAACGTGAATAGGAATAAAAAGGTACAAACCAATCTTGGCGTTCCAAACCATATATATCAAATACTTTACATGTAGATACGTGGCAGAGAGGACTTTTTACATTTCAAACACGGCTAAGCTGAAATTATTTTAATTTTTATTTTACTTAATAAATATTTTCTATTATTTCCAAGTCTTGAAACTGATGGATGTACCACATGTGTAAAGTACGCATGAGGAGACACAGGGGCACAGTATACGGGATTAGCCATTTTCCTAAACTTGCCAATATTTTTGACACTCGCTTCTGAATTTTTACTGCACTATTACGTTTTAGAATAGTGTGCGCAAACCGTAAATAGTACATGTGTGTTTTACTTTAATACTACTCCTCCCTAGAGTTAAAGTAACCACCACCCCCCCACCATTGTCCAGCTAAGTAGTTTTTTTTTTTTAAGCAACAATAGAAGAGAGTTTCGTAGACACCAACTACACCTTAAAGGTTGAGCTTTCCCCTTTTTTCTTCTTGATAAATCTAGACTGTATTGATGCTGTTCCTCTCCACACACACCTTTTTTTACTTTTCATAGCAAAATCATTTTATTTTTATCTTTTATTTTTGTATCTTTATCGCAATTCAAAGGGTTCAACATATTCTTGATATAAAATTTTTCTAATAGTATACAGACAAGGGTGTAACAATAAGAGAAGATGATTTCGCGTATAGTGGGGAATAAAGGGAAATTATTTCTGATACTTTGTATGCTCGCAATTGTAAATGCAAGCGTCTTTTCGGAAGTTGGATCGGATGGATCGGATTTAACCAGTAGAATGGAAGGCATGGAGATGTCTGAACCAAAGGAGTTCCATCCTATCAATGCAACCTCTAAATCATTCCATTGGATCTTGACTCTTTTCATTCTTTTAATCTTGCCTTCAATATCGGCAGTGTTTGCATATGCCAATCAATTCCATTGGTCACTTATTCTTCAATTCATTCTGACTGGGTATCTGGTATTTGAAGTACTTTTCCTCCCCTTCCCAGATAATACTGATAATCATGAAAATAGAACTTCTCATGGAACTCTGTGGTTTTTAACAATTCTTCTTGCAATTACTGTATTCGTTGGTACATTTATCAATGGATCCAATTTAATTTTAAATAAATTTTACCCCAAATTAGCCGCTAAGGGGAATTCATTTGGTGGAGTGTTTTTCCCCCGGGTTTATAAGACCCTTTCCACTCTTACAACTCTTACAGGATGGGTTCGTGTGAGTATGGCACCTGTTGCATTACTTGGCTTTTGTTATGGGAAGCATACGGGTCAATGTATTGCTCATGGGATAATGGGTACATCGTTTGTATTTTATGGATTTGTACTTTCACTTGTATTGGTAATTCCTTGGATAAGAAAGAAACAAATCTTGTCACCAGAATCTGGTTCTCATTCTCAAGAATTCTATGATTCTACTCTCATGTGTGTTTGGGGTATTGTCAATACCTTCACAGAACATCGATGGGGTGTAGAAGGTTGGAGTCATGGAGATTACCAACATACAGCCATGGGGATAATCTGGTGGGCTGGTGGACTTCTTGGTATGTGGCAAACTAGGAAAAGAAATAATACCAGATCTTTTATCCCAGCATTACTTCTTATTTTCACCGGATGGGCCATGTCAGAACATTCTCAACATTTAAAGATTTCTACAAAAGTACATGCAATGTTTGGAATAGCTCTTATGTCAGCTGGAGTTTCACGTATAGTTGAAATTCTGTTTGTACTTTGGGATAAAAATTGTAGTGAAAATGGTCAAATATATTCCTTCCAATATTTCCCACCATTTTGTCTTGTTTTATCGGGGGTATTATTCATGTCAGCCACTGAAGAACAACTTGTTTTGGTCAATGATTTGGGTGCAGACCATTCTAGTTATATCATGGTTGCAAGCTCTGCAGCATTCGTGATCTTTCTTTGGATGCAAATCTTACTCTATTTGTACTTGCGGTTGGTAGGATACGATGAAAATGGAGAATTGGGGTTCAATGGATTGGATCAAGAATATCAAAGAGCTGCTCAAGAGTTTGAATTGAGTGATTTGAGTGATCATGAAAATAATTGAGACAGACAAAAATGTATATAACGAAGTTTATAGCAATCAAAATACGATACACGTAAATCATTTGTTGTATAATACGAAGTCAACTCCCAACTATGACCACTTCTATCGCCCAATCGGTTCATACTTGAAAAGAGTGTCCCATATAAAACCCACTCATACCAATCATACCTACTCATTCATACAGTTTCTAGGAAATAACCAATGATTATGAATAATTGGGTTCCTCGTATAAGCGGCATCATCATTACTCATCAGTCGTAATTAGCTTTCCACACCTACATCCAACTTTAATGCCCCCGGGTATCCCACAGATTTCATGTACCATTACCTACCAAGGTTCATTACCCTCATCATTACAAGATGCGTAGCGACTACTATCTTACCTTCAAAGAAGTACAACCTAAGCGACGAACTTATCAAAGCAAAAATTATAAGCATAAAGTTCACAGTCTCTATTTTCCCCACTCAAGTGATCATCATGTTTGTCCAATTTCGGTAAACGCCAAAAAAAAGAAAGAAGAACATTACTCTACGTATTACATATACAAGATACAAGACTTTTCCCATACAAATGAAAGAATTTCAATACTTATTAAAATAATTAAAGTGCTCAAATTTATTTTTAAATTTATTTTTTTTGGTATCCACCATCTTATGGCGGGGGGTGTGATATTTACCATTTTGAACTTTTGTTAATGACAATCATCTTGTCTGCTATAGGGTTTCTTATCTGGACCCACCTGCACATTGCCAATTTAAGTATTGATTTCCGTTTTTCTTTTCTTCTTTTGATTACTAAGTGATTTTCCGTCTTCATGCAGGACCGGACTATTTGTCTTAATCAGGTTAGATCAAGACAAAAGGGTACCAATACATAGTTTATTCTTATTTTTCTCTTCTTCTTGAGTAGACATCATGAGTGCCATTCTTTCCGCAGATGATCTAAATGATTTCATATCTCCCGGAGTGGCTTGTATCAAGCCGGTACCGGAGACAAAGCCTCGTGATAATGGCGCTAATGTTGGTGATGAGTTCGAGATTGAAGTTGACCTTGAAGGAAACACCTTGGAAGTTGGGAAAGATGGAACCAAAACGACTCTTTCTGCGGCCCAGATCTCGCTTGCTGACTGTTTAGCATGTTCTGGGTGTGTGACCTCGGCAGAAGAAGTCTTGGTTGCACAACACTCCCATGAAGAGTTGTTAAAGGCTATCACTAAGCAAGATGGGAAGTTATTTGTAGCCAGTGTTAGTCATCAAACTAGAGCCAGTTTGGCGGTGGCTTACCAGAAGAGTATTGAGGAGGTCGATAGAGTCTTGGTGGATTTATTTGTAGAACAGATGGGATTTGTCCATGTAGTGGGGACAAGTTTAGGAAGAAAGATAAGTTTAATGGAAGAGGCAATGTCTGTAATTCAGAAAAGAGCTGCTGAGGTAAAAGGGAGAAATGGTCCAACTCTTTCTTCTATCTGTCCTGGATGGGTTCTTTATGCCGAGAAGACTCACCCTTACGTACTCCCCTACGTATCCAACGTTAAGTCTGCCCAACAAATCACTGGATGTCTTCTTAAGACATTAACTAGTCAACAACATGACATTCTGAGAGCTGATATCTACCATCTTTCTGTGATGCCATGCTTTGATAAAAAATTGGAGAGTGCTAGAAAGGAAGAGAATGGTGACGACGAGACGGTTGATGTTGATTGTGTGCTTACCGCTAAGGAGTTGGTGACGTTGGTGGAACAAAGTGATAAATATTCGTTCAGATGGAGTGGTAATGACTTGGCGGGTAGTGACATAACGTCCTTCTATGAATCAGCAGCTCCGAAGAATTGGCCATTTATCGAATATTCATGGTCAAATGATGAGGGATCTGCTTCTGGTGGGTATGCATACAACTACTTGGATACAGTACGTAGACTCAAACTAGCCGAAAATCCACAACTTTCACCAGAACAATTCTCAATCGAGAACGTTAATGGGAGAAATTCCGATATAGTGGAGATTCGACTCATCCAAGAAGGAACTCCTATAGCCAAGGCAGCCATAGTGAATGGATTCCGTAACATTCAAAACTTGGTTAGAAAGTTGAAACCAGTGGGTGGAAAATCAGGAACCATTGAAAAGAAAGTCAACCCATTGGTTGCACGGAGAAGAGCAAGAAAGGAAGGAGCAGCATCATCGACAACAACAACGGTATCATCAAGAGGTGGTTCAAATGGAGGGGATACCGCAGATGCTTCAGCATGTGACTATGTAGAAATCATGGCATGTCCCGGCGGATGTATTAATGGAGGAGGACAGATATCTGCACCTGCAGAAACCGTTTCCAAGGAATGGCTTCAAAAATCACTTGAAGCTTACCATGACATCCCTACAGTGCAATCAGACAAGATGAGCGGGCTCAAGAGCTGGAGCGCACAATTCTGCAGCGATTTTGGTATCTCTGAGGACCGATTAGTTCGAACATGGTTCAAGGAAGTTGAAAAGCCCACAGACCCTAATGCCATTCTTTTAGGAGCCAAGTGGTAATATTTATAGATAATAGACATAAAAGAAGGGACTTAATAGTATGAAATAATCAATAGAATTTGATATGTAGATAAGGGACAGGAGCAGGGAGTTTCCATAAATATGTAGAAGCATAACACGAGTAGTTTTACAATTGAGTTTCCCTTAGTATCATTTTCAATGTGGGGGTCTTAGCCGTTCCACTGGTACTACGAGGACTACCAATCTGTTCCTCTAGACGGTAAGGTGACAGGTAAATAGTTCTCTCTCTAAATGCGGCTAATGGGGTGGTTTACAGTCCCGCAGGGAAGTGAGTAGCTGCCTACACTACGGAGTGTGTAAGCCGCACCGTTGTCTACTCCGTGCACCACTGCCTTCGAAGCGACAATGACAATGCTTTGCTGAAAGGGATGTGAGTTGGATCACCAGAAATGTCCTTCAGACCTACTACGAAGACTTTATATTACTATTAGTCGTTCTATGAACCGTTTGAAGAAGTCAACCTCCACGTTTTACGTCATAAAACGGCTGCGAAAATGAACTTATTGTCATAAGAATACCTTTGAACTCATATATTTTTTCCACCTTCTATACACGTACCTTTCTAGAGAGGGCACACCCTACACAGCAAAAAAAAAATTATCCACATTATTGTATATAGAATCTCTTTACACTTTTCTCATGTTAATAATGTTAACTGTTTTGGCTGCTTGGAGGTTTGTCCCTTTTATTTAAAAATTTTATTTTTTATTTTTTTTATTTTTATTTTTGAATTTCCCTCTAAATATTTTTCGGAAGGATAAAATAAAAACGTCCCATTTAAAGAAAGGTGTCAGTTCATTAATAGTCTTGCTCCAAAATGTTCAAACAATCGATATATTGCAGCTGTAGGAGGCGGATCCACACTTCCAGCACCACATGGATGAAGTTTGGGGCCGATTTGGGGAACCAAAGAGGTCCAGCAACCGGTGGAGGCTCACCGCTTGATGAATTGTTAAAGAGAAGTAACTCCGTTGCAGGAAATGGATGGGATAATAAAGATATCCCACAGGGTAGATCCAATATCCTGACTTCATCCAGATCACTGAGTCAACCTTCATTTAATCGGTTTGCCACCCAGTTTGAGAAAAAAAATGCAAGACCAAGTAGAGGAGCTGCACCATCAGCATCATCAAGTAAAGGATCGGGGTCTTCTTTATCTGGAGTACCCAAATTGAAGCATGGGAAGTCAGACCAACATCAACGTCGTCATTCAGGACCACTACAACCCAAAAAACCGTTATTCCAATTCAATTCAGGAACTGAACAAGCCAAAGAGGCGGTGAAATCAGTCATTGATGCAGTTCATACTGTCAATGGAGGTAGTTATACAGTCAAGTTTCTTGACCCTGAAACAAAGAAATTGAATCAAATCCATCTTTCCAAAGTAATCAATGATTTGAATTTGGATACACAAGGGTTGATGGTGATTCCAACTTCAAACAATACCGAGGACAGGACTCCACTTGTTAGAGTGACAGGGATTTCACAAATGATGAAGAAATTCTCTGATGATAAGGCTGCCGTAAGAGAAAAGAAGCTTTTAGAAATGGGGAGTAGAGCTGCCAACCGATCATTCCAACTGAGAGAACGTGCAGAGAAAAAGAAATCCGCTACCAAGGTGATTACCATTTCCTGGAAGATCAGTTTTGGAGATTTGGAAAATCAAAAGACAAGAGAAATCCAAAAACGGATAGAAAAGGGAGAAAACTTTGTTATTTTCGTTGGTGATAGATATAGTTTCAACCTGGCCCGGAGAACTGCCGATAAATCTGGAGGATTAGCACGGGAAAAGGCTACTGAAAGTGAATCCAATGAAGACTCTACCACTGGCCATGAAGACAATTCACTTTATATTGAAGAAAGCTTAGATGCTATCACTCGTGCTAGAAGAGAGAAAATCATTACAGAACTTAAAGATATTCTCGCTGAACTGGTGGGGAAAGTTGAAGTTAGTGGGAGACTCGATCAAAGAATCGTAATGACTTGTTCAAACATTAAACTTGCCGTTAAACCAAGCGCTTCACCTTCCAAGGGATCGTCTGAAGGATCTGAACTTTCTCCAAAGGAACAAAGAAGATTAAAGAAACTTGAGAAGCAAAACAAAAAGCAACAAAAAGTTGTATCAGAGGAGGATTTGGATCTGTTGTATCAATTGAAATTGTAACACAAGAAAAAAAACACATACCCATGTATATAGGAAATATTTATTAACACGTAGACCGTTTTTATTTCAACAATGTAGTGGATCTATAAATATATATGTATATTAAGCCATACTTCCATAGTCGCCGGTTCCACTGGTTTGTTGCTGTCTCAATCGTTCAGCACGAAGTTTCTTGACCTTGTGTCCAAATAGATGACCATCAACGACTTCGTCGACAATTGGATAGTTGAGCAAACGTTTCACTTCACGTTGATCCAAATTATAATTGTTTATCACCAGAGTTGCAGCAACATAGTATTGTTCATCTTCATCAAGTTGTTCCTTAGCAAAGGAGTCAAGACCAAGGGTTGATTGGATTGAACGATGAGATGTCGAGTCTCCAGAAGTGTGGCCCCCTGAAGCAGCAGCAGCAGTAGCGGCAGCAACCCGTACATCATTAGGAGGCATGTTTGACGAAGTATCTTCACCAAATTGGAATGCTTGAGATTCACTGGTTGAAAGATTCTCACTACTCAATACTTTCACATTACGATCAAGGGTACTACCACCCAACCAGTGCTTTTGTGTTCCATCACTATGATATCTCAAGCCTTGATTGATTCTACTCATACGCCCGCGTGAGTCTGGATGGGCAATCAAGGCTTCCACTGAATCAAATTGTTTATAATCCTTGTAATAATCACCATAAAAGGTAAGTTGGAAATCATGAACCAAGTCTTTTACCCCCAAGACATCTTTAAGAGCATACCAGAATTGGAGTCTACCATTAGGAATGTGAGAGATTGTGAATGGGACATACAGGAATGAATACCAATGACCAATGGCAAAGAAAATGAGTTCCACACAAAGTAGAGCGTTTTGAATAGAGGTACCTATATTTGTGTTTGAGCCATCTTCATTACCTTGAGGTAACCAACCACACATGTTGAAGATGGCAAGAAGGATCCCCTGCCAATAACTGGCAAAAATAATCAATTTAACACAAAGAAACTTACCCACTGGTTCAAAAGGTTTGAGATCAGTCCATAAGATTTTCCAGAAAATTGCCAAACAATAGAGCGACAACAGAACACTAGCATTGTATATGATGGTAAGCCAGAGATAAACCGAAGTGATGCTTGTATCATTGACGTTGTAAACACCCGCCACTTCTGTGAAGAGAATCGAGAAACATATGATTGGTTTCAACCATACATATTGCAAGATACCTCGTTTCACATTCATGAATGTATGTGGGTCCAGGATATCCAAGTCCGGGAAAATGTATCCAACTAACCCAGGATGCGGCACTGGTTCACGACCACTAGTTCTAATGATAATATTACGTTCTCCACCAAGCATTTGAGTGAGGAGGGAGAAAAACGTGTAGATGACAAATGCTTCATAGATCTCTCTCGTAGGCTCTAACACAAAGCGGTTGAATACCGAGCCCGGGTCCACTAGCATGGCAAAGCACGACGCGGCAAAGAGCGGGACAATGAGTTGAATTCTTATCATTAATCGCTGATCAAATGGTTTCCGATAGTTTAGTAAATGGAGAAATATCGAACTGAATATAATGAGTGATGCTATGAGGGAAGACCATCCCGAGAGTGTTATGATCCAGTCAGGGAGTGGCATGGTTGTGTGGGAGTGCTGGTAAGAAGTGTGTACTTTAGTGCCGTCCAACGAGGGGGGGTGTTGCAAATATTTAAGGATTCTAAATTTCTCCTCTCCAAGTACAGTGAGAGTGGGTGAATCGGGAAATATGCAATGCAACAAGGGTTCGCAATATTACTTTCCAGCGATGAACAACGGTGGAGAATGGATGGTGTAGTGTGAGGGTTTATTGTATGGTGGCAATGTATGTGTTTGTCTTTCTTTTGTTTTTTTGTGTGTAGCCATATTTGAACACGTGACAGAAATTCTCTCACAATGTACCAGGAAAGTACTAGGAAGTACTAGGAAGTACTAGAGAAGTACTAGAGAAGTACTAGAGAAATAGAGAAGTATTAGGAAGTACTTTTGGTCTACTAAATAAAGTACTACATATATGATGTACTAGAAAATGATCTACATATCGTTCACTCGTTCACGTATCGTTCTTCTATTCTTCACTTTATAGTACACGTTCTCGTTCTATCTCTATAAAGTTGGTAGATATATTCCTTGTATAGTAGTACATGTCCCCCTCTATTATAGGTCATAACCTATCCACCAAACAACAAATATCTTCTATTTGTAGCATATTTTCTTTTTTGATGAACAGCCATATAAAGTCTGATCCATGTACTCTATACTCGCTCTCTTTCTCTCTCTAGATTATTTTACAATGGTCATAAGCTCAAGCTACCCCTGCCCCCTTTAAAGCTTTCAATTTTTCCTTTTCTTCATTTATTTTCCGTAAATCATCCTCAGTAACAAGATGATGGGTATGATCTTTACCAGCAATAAATTCACCAGCAGTATTAAAATGGCAGAAATCAATGGAAAGGAAGAAATCATCCTTTTTAACATCGGTAATAAAATATCTATCCTTGGGAGAAATGGCAAGCATCTTTTTGATAAGAGGTCTTGATGCTGTTGGAAGGATTCTAAGAAGACGATCTGGTCCTCTTGGTGGGAGTTTAGACGCAGAAGGTGTAGAATTGGAAGACGTTGGTGCGGTAGACGCAGAAGATACCGACACGGGAGCTGACGTCAGTGGAGTCAGTGAAGTCAGTACTGTAACTTGAGCTTCTGTAGAAGGGACTGCTACCGATGCAGGAGTCCCTGTAGTAGGTGAACTTGGTTTATCTTCAATTCCAGCATATGCTTTATAACTTGGATCACTTTCTTGAGGAATTTTCCATGGGAATCTCTTTAAAACCATACAACAATATATGATTGCCACAGACCATACATCTACCAATCTTGGATCATATCCGAAATTCGACGGTTCAAGCACTTCAGGCGCCAAGTATGGATCCAGCCCCACGATCCCACGTGCCCGGATCAACCGGTGGTCATCATCAACCAATTCCTCTGAAGCAGGAGCTCCCTTGACACGATCTCTTTGGAATTGCACTGCCAGTCCGAAATCGATCAATTTAAGAATACCCTTGGAATTCACCACACAATTATCCAATTTCAAGTCCCGATGCGCCAATCCATGCTCATGGAGATACCCGACCCCTTCGATAATCTGGCGGAAATAACACGCCAGTTCTTGACGATCCATAAGTCCCAGCATCACAAGATTGAAGAAGTCATAGGGACAATATTCCATGACAATGTAGTACGAGGACTCCGAGAGAAACTTGGACTGCGACTCCTTGATAAGCTCGATGGTATGGATGAGGTTCTGATGGGTGAGATACTCACCCACTTTGAATTCATTCTTCACCTTGGTACGATAATCCAGATCCGATTCATTGGGGAGACGTGGTCTGAATTTCTTCACTGCATAGATGACGTTTGGGTCCAGAGGCGACGTGATGAGGGACACAGCCCCAGAAGCTCCAGATCCAAGCAACCGGCCAACGTTTCCGTACTTCCGGAAGGGGTTGGATGCCCCGCCAGTGCCGGCATCGGTATGATTATTATTATGCTTATTAATGTGCAACGAGTGCCCGGAACTCGTCGGATGAAGGTTAGAATTGTGTGAGGTTTGGTTATTGGAATGCTTAAACTTCTTGATAAATCTCTTGAGTGAGAGGTGATGGTGGTGTTGGTGCTGCTGTTGAGGAGGAGGAGAAAGTGGAAGCGATGTGTGCACCCCATGGTCCTTGGACACAGACGGACTGACTCCATGGAAAGGGGTGGTTGACCCAGCAACCCCACCAGAACCAACGGTCAATCCATGATCACTTGGCTCAGGAGTTGGGGACTTTGTAGTGGATCCATTTGTGGTGGCAGCACTAGCATGTGCATTCTCAAGGTCAGGCGACTGGGAATTAGTGTGGAGGTTGGAAGGAACTTTCACCGTGGAGTTGGCGTTCCCCCCTCTTCTCAAGAGGGATGTCAAGGAAGATGAGCTTGATTGAGGGGATATCATATCTCCTCCCTTGGAATCCTTCCGTTTTAAAAAGGCGCGGTGGTTCGGCACTGGGGACTGCTCTTCCGACAGCGATATCAGGCTGGACGCAAACATATCGCGGAGCGAGAACTTCGATGAGTTCTTTTTCTTGTCCATGGTGTGTGCTTGAAGGGGACTAAGAAAGGGGCTATGTTCTGTAGTGTGTAGTAGATTGAATTTTAAGTCTCTAAAGATCAACTGTGTCCGTTTGCACACAAGAGATTTCGCATTTGGAGCCGCTTGCGCCGAGTAATATAACGGAACGGATCCGCGGGAACATTATCGTTCCAGGTAATTTAAACAACTTTTGTGATCGTACGGTAATTGGGCTTGTCGGCACATAGTGCAATCTTTTGCATTGCACACCGACGTTTTGTTAGTTGCACGGCGGGTGTCATGGTTCAATTGTAGTTTGTCTTTGTAGCACGGCATTGCCAAGTCAACGATCGATCGATTGACGAATTCGGACTTAACGTAGACCCCTTGAACCAGTATATCCGAGTCTACCGGTCCCACATGTCGGCCAATGTCTGGACTCTAAAATTGCAACATATACATCGTAAGTAACCATTTACTTTAAAAAATAAAAAACAAGACAAGCCAAGATCTCCTCTTTTGGATCTTAGCTCCCGAAGGATCTATGTATTTAGACTTTAGATAACTAATGCGCGTAACCATACGTCATTTCCTCGCTAGAGGAACGAGGCTTCCACGGCTAGTGTCCCACGGAGTGCCAGCGGAGCGGCTTGCAAACGCCGTAGGGTGGCCCACTCACTTCACTGTGGGACAGTAAGCCTCTCCGAGGAGAATAGTACATCTATTTCTTTCTACTCTTACTACTCGTACTACTCGACTAGGGAAATTTCACCCCTTCTCTCATTACCATTCCTCTACATTGTATTATTCATTCTTCACAACTTAATTATTAACCTCTAAAACTAGAAAGTAACCCTTCTGCTTCATCATCTTCATCACTAACGTTTTCTATAATTGTTTTATGTACACCTTGAACATTCACCACAGATTCAACTATACCTCCAGTTCTGTAGGTACGAGATTCTTGATATTCAATTTTAGGAATAGTTATGCCATTACTATAATGACTGCCACTACTACCGTTATTACTCATATCTTGTTCAGATTGTAAAAACCTTTGAGATTGAAGGGATTCATAATCATCAGAATTTCTTGATTGGGCTTCATGAATAGCTCCTGCTTCAGTGACATGGATCGCTCCATAACCTTCGTTTTTAATGCCAGATGGTGGAGCTCTATTTGGTCCAGGAATGACGGTTGCATCAATATGAGGTTTTTTAATGGTAACAAACGGTTTACTGGTTTCTAATGGATTTGCAGCAGGATTTTTCGGTTTCCAATGAGCAACTTCATTGGTACTAAATAATGGAGTACCACCTCCATTAGATTTCACCTTTTGGATTGGGACAAGTTTAGGAGAAGCTCCTGGGGATAATGCATTTGGTTGGATTGGTCCATCTTTCAATGGAGTCATATCCAATGAATTTCTCTTTGAGGTACTAGCACTTCTTTGGTACATAGTATGTAAATAAGAGGTTAAGTTTCTCTTGGTCAATGGACCTGGATGTTTACGTTTAATATTCTTGTTAATATCAACATAAACGTCTGATTCATCAACGATTTCTTCTCCAATCAATTCTTCAATAACATCTTCCAAGGTCAAGACACCCATGGCACCGGTAGGTTCACCAGGACGTTCACTAACTACAATCATATGGGACTTACCCTCTTGGAAGTAGTTCAAAATGTTCAAACATGAGGTATCTTCACTTGTTTCAGGAAGAGTAGCCAAGGGGAATGAAGCCACTGGGAGGGCATCTTCAGGATCATAACTGATCAATACACGAACTAAAAGCATCCCAATGAAATTCATTGGTTCATTTGGAAGATGAATTGGAATTCTAGAAAATCCAGCATTAAAAATTTCTTCAACTGTTGCTTCATCCAAAATGGAATCAGCACTCATGGTATAAACACGATCAATTGGAGTCATAATATCAGCTACAGATTTCTCCTTAAGATCAAGAACCGCAGAGATAATCGTCACTTCATCTTGATTTAATCTTTCCACTCCCATGGTTTTATGTAAAGTAACCAAGGTTTTCAACCCAGACTTCTTATAAACTGTTCCATGGTCTTCACCCAAAATATGATCCAATAATAATGAAATTGGATAGGCAATTGGGTACATAATATACATAAGAACAAGAACAAAGGGGGCAAGCATGGACCCCACTTGTAAACCATATCTAACACAAATCGATTGTGGGATAATTTCTCCAAATACAACGATAGATGCAGTAGATGCGACCACAGCGGGCCAGCCGCCTCCTAAGCAGTTGTCCAATACGATTGGTAAAGTTTCATTGGTAATGACATTCCCCAAGAGAAGAGTCACCAAAACCCAGTGTTTCCCTCTACCAATAAGACGCAACACTTTACGGGCATGTTTCCGTTCCTGCGGTTCTCCACTAGTGGCCATCACCTTAAGATAGACTTCATCTTGACCCATGAGTCCAAGAGTCAATCCGGCAAAGACCCCACCAACCAACACCAAAAATACAGAGGTGAACAAGTTGAAGTAGAACTCTTCACGGGTCATAGGAACGTGTTTATGAGTGGTGGCAAGATCACCACCGACAGTGTTTCTAGCAAACACAGGCATGGCCTTGACGGCATGGACAAGCTGAGTGATCACGAAAAATAATTTCGTGAATGCATTGCCACGAGTTAATGAAGCTGCATGGTTCGGTTTTCGAGACATAGCTTTGACGACATGTTAGTAAATGTGGCAAAAAAACACAGACACCTCCTTCCCGTCAAATCCGAAGAAATTGACACAGCGCATTAATTTTTTTTTTTCCCATGAATCTGAAACAATAGTCGTCTATTGGCGAGTTGTGAGGATTTTCAAGGTTTGAGGATAAGCTCAAAAGGTCCAGGTCAAGATCACGTCAACGGTTTTTGTTTTGTTGTTGCAGAGTGCGATTTCCAAGAAGTCCCTGAGATTCGTAGAACGGGGGAGAAAAGTTGTACATACATTGTAGAAATATCCAGACCTAATTGGCGTGTTTTAATATAGATATATCTCTTTTAGAAATTCGTCTCGTTGATCAATGAACAAGAGTTTATGAAAATTGGAAACATTGCCTTATATAAGTAGTCACCCCCGTGGCAGGGTTAAATTCTGTCGTGTGCATGGCTAAGAATAGCGGAAATGTAGCAAATGCAAGAAAAAATAAAAATAAAAAAGAAAGGAAGGCAATGCTCGGCAATATTGATAGTAGAGATAGATGAGTACCTGAAGTTAAATAAGATCAAGGGTTGAGGGGATTAGAGAAGTGATGCAATATAGTTGAAATGTGTAATATAAGAACATTTTTTTTGGTATTTTATTTTTTTTCTAGTTTATTTAAAAGAATGTATAGCAAAGTAAGATAAAATGAGGAGGGGCTGCAAGTATGGAGGTCATGTGACACCGTGCATGACATGAGCGTCACCTACTTTCTCTATTTAGATATATTCAACGAGACATAGATATGGTATAGATATGGATATACTCATGGAGGGATGACCTTGGCAGATAAGCTTTGGTGATGGATTCCATGGCATAATAATAATTTTGTGATTGTTTGCATGCATGACGGATTAAGTGGTTGCAAATGAACGTTGAACGAGTAAAATGTATTATTATATTTCTATGAGGACATATATATATATATATATATGGGTGTTATCTCACCAAGCAAGACTTTGGGGTAGATGTGACACTTTCAAATACCAATAAGACACACAACAAGGCGGAAGTGATACCCATAAGAAGAGTTGAGTTGAGTTCTGCAAAACTCAAACAGAGAATGATAATTCCAATTGGTACTCTCATGATAACTCTCCAGAATCTAGGAATGATAAACACCCCTTGTTCATCTTTTGGATCGTCAAGAAGACCAAGAATGGCAAGCATGATGAGGGCAACACAAAGAGAACCCGTGAAAAAGAAGGAAAGAGCATACATGTTTGGTTCTTCAGCTTCAGCTTCAGATGCTCTTTTAATCAAGAATTTAACAAGATGATGAGCAACTTCAGCTCCAGCACCAGCTTCAGATTCACCAGCTTCAGATTCATGATGAGGCTTCTTGAGACTAGTGATGTCCAAGGCAGTGATTTCACCACCGGCATCTGCAGCCAACACCAAACTGGCCACCAAGGGGAGATGGGCATAGATCCACAAGCAAGCAGTGACCCCACTTCTTCTCAAGGCATGGGTGGCACGTTTACTGGTGGACCCATTGTTGTAGATCCAAAACAATACATAGGCAATGATGATAAGGAATATCCCCCTAGCAAACTTATCACTGAAACCAGCACCCAATGGCCCACTGGCCACGGTTTTATAGAGAAACTCACCAATGGCAATGGTGACAAATGTACTAAACCGTTCAACTTCATGCTCAATGTTGAGAGCAGTGGACATACGAAGTTTCATGAGTTTCTTGGTTGTTGGATGGTAGGCAATGACGAAAAGGATATTTTCCAACACCATGACAAAGATGGAAAGACCGATTTTAGCTCTAGTGGAGATGAAAATCACAGGAATCCAAAGACAACAAGTGAAGAAAATGAATCCAGCATAGAGACGCATTTGCGGTCTATGTTGAGGAATATAGAACGAATAAATAATCAAGGAGACCGCCAATGAAAGACGACAAAGCATGTATGGAACAATGGTCATGGCCGCGTTTCCCACGCCATCCAAGGTGTCTGCATGACTGTTGACGTACAAGGTGAGTAGAGCCAAAATCCAAAAGATGTAGATCTTTTGTGATAAATCTTCGTTATAATAGTAATTGGTGAAATCCTTGATATCAGCCCAAACCGTCCAGGCAGGAATGAAAAAGAGAGCATATTTAAGCAATGCTAACCCGGAGGCATGTTCCAGGGCTTCCCCGGCCAAATTGGCAATGATCCCGACGTACATCAAATCAAGAAACAATTCGGTTTTGGCCGAGGCACGTTCTCCCTTGGTACGGTACAAAACCCCATCCTTGAAATAATTGAGAGCATGGGGTCTGATGAACCAAACGGCTTCTCTAGGACGCTTGATGTATTGGAATTGGATATCTCCGTACTTCTTGATAAACTCATCTTCTCCTTCGGAGTCTGTGAGTTCTGCACGTTCTTCCTCAATTCTTTCCAAGATTTCGTCAACTTCTTCTTCTCTTGAACCACTATGGATTCTAATTGCACCTGTGGCGGAATCGGTGTCATTGGCGTGGAGATCTGGATGTATTTCGCCATTGGTTGAGTCGCTTTCATTGACTTCGTGGGTGTGATGAGGAGCAACCCCACCGTCTAAACTAGGACTCTTGGGCATTCTAAAGTACTATGGGTGGTATAGAAAAGTAAAAAAACAAACCACAACGGAAAACATTTACAAATCTTCTGTGCATGGGGCTGGCCGCATCTACATCTATATATGGAGCTTCCATCATTTATTTTTTTCTTTCTTTTTCTCCACGGCGCAACAATAGGAATGCATGAAGAGTCCCCAGTTATGAATAATTAATTACTAAAGAGAACGGAAATTTAGGTTTAGTCATATCGGGGTTAAACACACCGCTCTACACACACTTGGTTCCGTTATCTATCTACTTCATAGCACATTCTTGGCACGTCAAACTTACTTATAAGCCAAGTAAAATCTGTGGTTAAGAGTACTGCCACAAGATTCTATTGTCTCTCTCTCTCTCTCTTTTTTTTTTTTTTGGTGGCGTACTTTTTCGCAAACGGCTAGACAATTTTAAAGACTCCCCCCTTCATTTTCACAGCAGCAAGGTTAAATTTTATTTTTTCTCTCATTCTCATCTTTCAATTTCTTGGCAAGTTTGTCCGATTATATAATCTCTCAAGTAAGTATTTTTTTTTTTTTTTTTTTGAAATGAATTTCGTCTATTTCCTGAGTCTTACATAACCCGCACCCACCCTCTTACATAAGCCACCCTTCACCAATGAAAACCGACTCAAAATAATACATACAGGAAATTTACACAAAAACTGTCAATATTGAGAATATGAGATCCTTTCAATAATAGGAATTAAACTTACTACTACCCTAGATAATATATCAATCATGAGCAGTAACCCATGGGCCAAGAGAGATGCCTGGAGAACCCAGGCTCAATTCACCCGTTTCAACAGATTTAAGAACATGTTCCCAGGCTTTGGAATTGCCGTTGGTGTTTTCACTGTGTACTGTGTGTACGAAAAGGTTTTCCTTAAGGATGAACACCATCATTAAGTCGAGAATGATGTTGTCAGATTGAGGAAGTCTGGTTAATTTGCCAAGGTTGGATTGCCTAGGTCAGGGCATTGCTACATCGTGTATATTTAGACCAATAAACATTGCATAGAGAAGATGAGTTTTAATACTGATGTAGAGAGTGATCCCCATCCTCCTTTGTAGACTGGCTTGGTACGCACGTCCTAGTGGGGCTCCACGCGACTAGGTACTTCAACGGAGCCCCCCTGCGGGAGTCGCATAGAGGAGGTCGCATAGTGACACGCACGCCCTGGGAGAGGAGTGGGATACCCTACGGGGTATGTGAGCCGCTCCGCTGGCACTCCGTGGGCCACTAGCCGTGGAGGCCTTGTTCCTCTGACGAGGAAGACGGTAGCACCTGTAGATCTCCTCGTAGAGGAGCTAGGCACCACGCCAGTGGCTTTCCCCGAGCAGGGGCCAGCGGAGCGGCTGGCAGACCCCGTAGGGAAGTGAATGACTGGGTGCCCTCCGGGGGTTGCAAGTCGCTCCGCTGACACTAAGCTTGGTCCTCCGCTCGGTCACATTACTTCTACTGTATACTCGTTTATCCTAACCTCTTCTCTTGTCTATGTACAGTTATATCTATTTCTTCTCCTCTTGGGCTTCCCAAACACTCTTACTCTCTTCAGCAACATTTTCACCTCCCATGGATCCATTAGCTCTACCACCACTACTGCTCTTGGCTTCAAAGATTTGGGTTTGCTCAGCAGCGGCCTTGGCCCAAACATCGGCAAACTTCTGTTCTTGTTCAACCCCCCAGGACAAATTGGTGGTTGGGAAGATAGTACCCAACATTTGTGCCTCTTCTCTGGCAACAGTGCTGCTCATTTCTTCCTCCATTCTCAAACGGTAGAACTCAAAGCGAGCCTTGTCATATGCTTCGAATAAGGTGGTGGTGCTCTTGTCACGTTTCAACAACCACAAGGTTCTTTGCACAACACTTTCACCATCCAATGGCTTTTCCAATTGCAACATGTGAGACCAGTCGCACTTTTGGTACTCGTTGGCCTCGTTCCCTTCCACCAAGACCTTTGGTCTCGAGAATTCCCATGGATGTTGATGGTAGAAAACGTCTCTCAATTGATCTTCAAGAAATTCCAACTTTGGGATCTTTGTGACGGTCTTGTGTACGTGTTGTCTGTCTTGCTTGTTGACACGGGTCTTGTAGTGGCCAGTCTCAAGGTTGGCAGAGGCAGTGTACAAACTCTCTTGAGGGTCTTTGGATTGTAAGTTGTTTTGTAAAAGTTTAGGCTTTTTAGTAAAGTCAGAGTTTGGTGGATGGGACCCCACCACGTTGAACCATACGGGCTTCTCGCGCAACAGGCCCGCCTTGAGGTAATGAGAGGTTCTTTCCAAAACACCAGCAGCTTTAGTTTGGATTCTCATGATGGTATTAGATGTCGTTAAAGCCTATTGTTAATTGGTACTGAAAGGTTTCTCAAGATCTCGAAATTTTGTAAACTGTGTGAAGAAAAAAAAAAAAAAAGAGAAAGTAAACCAAATTAGATTGGTGTGCAGGAGACCACGTGACCGAATATGGATGAAAGTAAAAATTGTCTATCACTAAAAAAATATGTATGGGAGATAGATATTAGATATTGTATATTTAATCATTATAGAGAAGAGAGTGTGTTCATTTTTTTTCTTTCACTGCACAGAGAAAGAGAATCTCTATCTGTATACATTGATATAGTTTATTTTAATTGTTGAAATCTTTTGGAAAAAGAGGGGGAAGCTTCCAAGATCAAGAAGAAAGTAATAAATATGTCATTACATAAATCATTGGAAAGACTTTCCACACGACTAAGAAATGGGAAATCACTTCTTTTCGATAAAACAAGTCATCTTATCCAATCTAATCGTTCTCTTCTTAATAAAAAATTCAAATTTGATGGGAATATTGATGGTATATGGGACCATCTCGGGCGCGTACTGCACAAAGATAACCACATAACCAGCGAGTCGGTTCCAGAGTGTAAGGAACCTCCAATACAAGATTATCTTCGATTTCTAAAATATTTATATCCACAGGACCCATGGAATGGTATTCAACCTGTGTCCAAAACCTCCAAATTATCATTTAATGACCAAATAAGGAAATATTCCAAAATTAATCATCAAGCATTGTACACTGCATATCAAGCATTACCACATCCTCCACCCATGTATATAAAACCTAAGGATCTTGTAGCCTTATTGGATGTGTTTTTGGATAGAAGAGACTTTATTAATGCCAATCCTTTATTAAATGCACATTCTAAAGCCCCTCTTAATGCTGTGTATGATGCTTATAAAATGGCATTGGGGAAAAGAAAACATCATTTGGGTCAATGTAATCGAATAATGTCGGATATGAGACAATGTGGAATGCCCATTAGTTCCCGACAAAGATCAAAATTGATTAAAATGACTTTTTTCAAAGATAAACCCCTGATTCTTGCCCAAATTGAAGCCTATGTGCAGACACTCCCATTTAATCAACAAGAACGAGCAAGAGACTCTGTGGGGAATAGTCCCGGTGGGTACCACACCACTAGGTTGGGTAATACCTTTAATTGGGAAGTGTACCGGCAAATCTTATCTTCTGGCAGTGACAATGTAGAAACTAGAACGTACAACTCATTACTTTTTGCAGCCATTCGTCATGACTCAGAAAGGGTCATACAAGATATATATACCAGTGGGTTTTCTCAAGAAACGTTTTATAAGCCCAATCGTAAGACGGTGGGTCTTTTCCTTGGGTATTTCGCCCAAACTCATTCTTTGGTACAATTCAAGAAACTTTTGGATTACATGGTGGATAGGAAAGATTTAGTGCCAGACACTCATACAATTGACGCCGTCATGTCTGGATTACTTAACCTAGGCCTCGAGCAAGAAGCCGAGCAACTTTTCCATCTGTGTTATCTTGAAGGAGATTCAGGAAATGTATATTTGGATGCAAAATATTCAGATTTAAAGCAACTTTCATCAGAAGATTGCTTTGTTTATCGAGACAAATTGAAACGGTTTGATTCGTTAATTAGGATCCTTGAGGAACTGAGACAAGCCGATGAACATGATACAGATGGAGTCAAGGCTAATATTCTCAGCATTATTCAAAGAAGGGAAACAAAAAAAGAGTTGGAAACTTATCAATTCAAATTACTTCCAACTGAAACTACATTCCATCTTTTCATTGAATATTACAGTAAGAAGGGAGAAATCAACAAATGTTTGAATTTAATTGAACTTATGGAACTGAAATTTGGTCTCCCAGTGACCACAAGAATCTATAAACATCTCTTTGCCAACGATTCCAACACCTTGGATGATCTTGTACAATTGACCATGAGATTCTTACAATCATATGATACTGCCAACAGCAGTTATGGTGATGCTACCCATGAGAAGTTGAACCAGTTGGAAGTTCCTGCTAAATTAAGAGATTTCTTGAATGTGTCTCTTGTATACACCCCAGATCCATACTATATCCCCAAATCCCGTGGACTGTATGTGAAGATTTCCAAGGACTTTTTATTTGTAGTTCAAAATGCATTCCGGAACCAATTTCTAGGACCAGGACCAGGAGATGAGGCAATTGTACAAAATATGGAGAGTCGGTTATCGACACTTTGGCAATCAGAAAGACAACGTATTGAACGCGATAACTATACAAAGAGACAAGATATCAATAATGAAATCAAATACCTTCGAAAGGCATATTTGGTTGAATTATTGGATGAAATGATGAGTTTGCAACAAGAAAGAGAGGAGGCAACCAACAAAAAGTGATTATTTATAGATGTATATATTAAGAAAGATAGACACGGTTCATTGACCCCGTAGAGACTGGCAGTTACTCACCTCCCGGTGGGACTGTAAAACGCTCCGCTGGGCCCCTGCTCAGGGAGAGCCACCGACGTGGTACCTAGCTCCTCTACGAGGAGAAACCCAGGTCCTACCACCTTCCTCGTTAGAGGAACAGGAGCCCCCACGGCTAGTGGCCCACGGAGTGCCCGCGGAGCGGCTTGCAACTCCCGGAGGGCACCCAGTCATTCACTTCCCTGTGGGACTGTGAGTCGCTCCGCTGGCCCCTGCTCGGGGAGAGCCACTGGCGTGGTGCCTAGCTCCTCTACTAGGAGATCTCAGCCTATCTTCCTCGCTAGAGGAACATGGACTCCACGGCTAGTGGTCCACGGAGTGCCAGCGGAGCGGCTTGCACACCCCCGTGTGACTCGACAGCTACACACTTCCCTATATGGGCTCTCTATGTCTTTCTTAGTATGCTTATTATGTGTGAATTATTGTTATACTATTTACTATTTTCTCTATTATTATCATTACTCTATACCATAGTCTCCTTGTCACCACCTAAAACCGACTCCTTCTTATAAAACTCTTTTCTTTGTTCTTCTTGAGCCTTATTTTGTTCCTCTTCAATAAGTTCATCTAAATCATAATCATAATTGTTGGGGTTGATATCGGTATCTAATTTCTCCTTTGTACCACGCTTACGTAACCCTGCTTGAGAATCCAGAAGTCTTATACGGACTGGGATATCATCAGAAGTGACATTGATTCTCTCCTTGAGGGCTGCAGCACGGTCACGCAACGAAGTGGAGGTATGTTCTTGGTTATACAAGGCATTGGCTTCATCTGGAGGAACGTATCCACCATAAATTTGTTCTTGACCCGAAGTAGCCGAGCCATTTGAAGAATGTCCGGATTTCTTGGTCCGTTTATTTTTTTCAAAACTGGTTAAACCAGTGGAATAAGGGAGAAGAATCACCACAGCTATAATGATAACCGCTACAACAAGATAGATAAACATAATTATGGTACAGATAGATCAATGATAGTGATATAAAAAAAAAAAAAAAAAGAAATGAAGAGGACGTTAGAAATGTTGATTGGGTTCGGAACTTGAAGAAAATACCGGAAATCTGTTGATTATGTAATAATCGGTCAAAATTAGAAGAAGTATAAGAAGAACTAAAATGTGGAAAGGGGATAAAATTTTGGGTAAATTTTTTGCTCCTTAGGACCAGTTTCCAGTATCCATCATAAGTAAGTATATAATACTTTCTTCTTGAATTTTTCAAGTATATATTTTGAATTAGATTTGCTTGAACTTTATTCTTTCTTTTAAATGAGGAGAACCGGAGGTCATGTGACCGCATGTTTATATGAAAATAGTATTCTGATATACAGGAACATATATGATTACGTAAAATAATCGGTATACTAATATAACTCTCTTAATGGATATAATGGAATTCTCCTAGATATATTTATATATATACTGATTATCTCATACACTCTCCTTCATCTCCTTATTTATTATTTGTATTTCAAAAATTGTCTTTCCTACCGTTTTTCTTTATTATAATGGTCATAGAACCTCCCTTTCCTGCACATACGAACCTTCTCATTGATTGGGAAAACTTCAAAAGATTATGAATCGACCCACCACAATAAACCACAAGGAACATCCATTCAATCCATTCAATCCTTTAAATACTTTTTTTTTTATTTATTTATTTCTTGATTGTTGCAACTCATTTGCGTCTAGTTAGTGTTTTGTGATAGAATGTTTCGTAGTGTATGTGTTAGCCGTCAAATGGCTGCCAATGTACGGGTGATGATGGCCAGAAGACCACAGTTGTCCATGTCCAAAATGATGAAGTTGCCACAATTTGTTAACCAAAGATCCTACTCCCTCAGCACTGAAGGAGAAGAAATTTCTGATAAAATTGATAAACTAAGTGATTCTCAATATTCGCGAATTGCTAATGAATACTTGGACACTTTAGGGGATGAATTAGAAGCTCTTTCAGAAGATTTCCCCGTGATTGATTGTGAATTAAGTCAAGGGGTGATGACCCTTGCACTTCCTCCACATGGAACGTATGTGATCAATAAACAACCTCCAAACAAACAGATCTGGCTCAGTAGTCCAATCTCTGGACCTAAGCGGTACGATCTTATTGGTGGTAAATGGATCACCTTGAGAGACAACAGTAGTTTGACTGAGTTATTAGAAGAGGAAATATCTCTGGGATTGGAGACTGAATTTAAGTTTGAATCAATTGAAAATTAAGAGATTGATAGGAAAACTAAAGGAAGGAGTAATAGTAGGTACTTGTATATATATAAATGAGACAAAGAAGATCATTGAGAGGGCAATGTAGGTTTATATTATTACTGAGGTGATTACAATGGGACAAGAGAGGATAGATATTTACACGGGCTGGGGTCTACCAACTGTGTTACGACAAGGGGAATTCTGTCCAGAAGAGAGACTCCTCGTAGAGGAGCCAGTCTCCACGCCAGTAGCTCTCCCGGAGCAGGGGCCCAGCCGAGCGGCTGGGAGACCCCGTAGGGAAGTAAGTAGCGGTCTGCCCTCCGGGGGTAGCAAGCCGCTCCGCTGGCACTCCGTGGGCCACTAGCCGTGGAGGCCTTGTTCCTCTGACGAGGAAGGGGCAGCCACAGGCCAGGAGAGTCTCCTCGTAGAGGAGCTAGGCACAGCTAGGCACCACGCAGTGGCTCTCCCCGAGCGGCTCACCGACCTTGTAGGGAAGTGAGTAGCTGTCTTCTCTCCTGGTTTTGCGAGCAGCTCCGCTGGCACTTCGTGGGCCACTGGCCGTGAGATCCGGTTCTTCTGAAGTGGCATGCACAATGTTAGTATATCTCCTCGAAGAGGAGCTAGGCCCCACGCCAGTGGCTCTCCCCGAGCAGGGGCCCAGCGGAGCGTCCTACGGGGAAGTGAGTGAGCCACCCACCCTACCGGGCCTGAAAGCCGCTCCGCTGATAAATTCCCATGAGATGTCGTCAAGGTCATCCAAAATGTTCTCACCTGTCACACAAACTATCTGTTTACCATTCAGCCACCCCTCTCTCACTCCGTAAATTTAGTGGCTTGTCCAGCCGTACCCATAAACATGATGATCTTAAGGTCCCGTGCTGTAAAAAATAATTCCCAGAATGTGAGAGAGAGAGAAAAAATAAAATAACAACAGGAAAGAAAAATCCTGCGCACACAGTGAGATCTAACTGAGATCTACGTAGATTCTGGGCGAGGGGCGTGCTGCCATCAAGGATTCGAGCAGGGAAACCATAAGAAGGGATAAATGGTCCAAACTGGAGTCGATGAGTTGTAACTTGTAGAGTTTATAGAACTTGTCAATTGAACCTTCTACACAATTTATACAGTAAGGGGGTGGCCCTTCGCTACATATGCACATTTCACTGCGCATGAGGGGCAATTTTTATAGTTACGGCTTGCACGACCGTCATACTCCCGACCGCCCCAAAAATGAGCATTACATAGCCGCCGCAAATTGACAACCACCATCATAAATAGTACAGCTCCTACCCAGAGTATTATACTTGAATTTTGTATATATACACATTACCAGTTGAAACATGTCATCTATCCCCTCTCCACCACCTTTACCCCGCGGCTGGGTCGCAGAATGGGACAAGGAGTACGGTAGATATTTTTTCGTCAACACCGAAACCGGTGAGAGTCAATGGGAAGTTCCGTCCGCTACACAGGGTAGCGAACAAGGCGGTGAACGCCGCGAACACACAAAGAAAGAAGATGGGTCTTATGATGGACGCGACTCACGTGCGTCGGGCGAGACTGGAGAAGGTGCCCAAGACAGAGGGTTGGGTAGCATGGTGGTAAACTCGATGTTGAGTGGAGGTAACAACCATAACAGCCACAAGCAATCTGGGTCTGGGGCCATCATTGGTGGGTTGGTTTCCATGGCCATGAACAGTGGTAAGAAGAATGACCATAACAACAATAACTACAACAATAACAATAACAACAACAACAACAACAACAACTACAACAACAACTATGGTGGTGGCAACAATAACGGCTATGGTGGTGGTAATCAGCAACAAGGAGGTGGACTTTTTGATAACTACAGTCCTCTGGGTGGTCAGGGAAACCATGGCAATGGTGGCCATGGGAATTATGGCGGTAATGGTGGTGGTAACTACGGAGGAAATGGTGGTAACTACGGCGGTAACCATAATTCAAACTCTTCTTCTGGTGGACTTGGAGCTCTTGGAGGACTTGCTAGTCTGGTTCTTGGCGGTTCTTCTTCTTCTGGAGGGAACCACGGGAACTCCTCCTCTTCCTCTGCTGGACTTGGGGCCTTGGGTGGGATTGCCTCACAAATGCTTTCCGGTGGCAAACAGGGAAACCACGGTAACAGCTCGTCAGGTGGCCTTGGGGCTCTTGGTGGGATTGCCAGCTCGCTCCTCGGTTCAGGAAACTCCAACTCCAACCACAACAACAATAACAACAACTACAACAATAACAACAACTACAACAATAACGGTAATAGATATGGTAACAACAACCAAAATGGTGGCGGTTACTATTAAATTCAGTAGCTAGAAATTGAATAGAAAAGAGATTTACAACTTGGAAGTAGACTACCATACTCACATATGCCACAGAGTGCTAGCAGAGCGGCTCGCCGACCCCCACAGGGAAGTGAGTAGCCACCTGCCCTCTGGGGGTTCCAAGCCGCTCCGCAGGCCCCTGCTCGGGGGGAGCTACTGCGTGGTGCCTAGCTCCTCTACGAGTAGATCTACAGGTGCTATAGTATTCCTCGTCAGAGGAACAAGGCCCCCACGGCTAGTGGCCCACGGAGTGCCAGCGGAGCGGCTTGCTACCCCCGGGGAGGGCAGGTAGCTACTCACTTCCCTACGGGGTCTCCCAGCAGCTCCGCTGGCCCCTGCTCGGGGAGAGCCACTGCGTGGTGCCTAGCTCCTCTACGAGGAGATCTACTACCGCTCTAGCCTCCTCGCTAGAGGAGCCAGGCCTCCACGGCTAGTGGCCCACGGAGTGCCAGCGGAGCGGCTTGTACACCCCGTAGGGAAGTCACCCACTTCCCTGGTAGGCTGCTCCAAGTTCTTCTCTTCTCCTCGGCGCCTAAGCGAGGTGGGAAGAACCACTAGAAAGGTGGTGGTGCTTAGCTCCTCTAGGAGGATGTCTGCTCATTGGTTGGTGTTGGTTAGTTGCGGACAGGTGCTGAATCGATTTTATATCTATTTTCTATATGTTTCATACAATAAAGATTAAAAAAGCTTTACCGAGGCCAAGTGGCCCTACCTACCATGGGAGAGTCGACAACCACCAGAGATAGACCTCTAGAGGCAAGTTGCAAATTGTGTTGTGCCCACTGGGGTGGAACCTCCTACTGGGGCACCACCCTCGACTTTATGCAGTCGCAAGCCATACATGAGATATGGATTTCAGCACATCACAAATGTCTTGGGTTACACAGAGTCCCCCATTTAGCTCCCCATACACTATTAGCAGGCGGGGAGGACCGTGATATATTTTACAAGGGCGAGGTCTAAGATTGGATTAGAGGAAAGGAAAGGAAAAGAAAAGTAAAAGAAAGTTAAAGAAAGTAAAAGAAAAGAAAATGACGCCTGTGCTACGAAAGAGACATACACGTCTGACGTCTCAAACGGTGAGTGTGAGCAGGGACGAAGGTCCAGGGACCAAGGTGTTTCGTGTGGTGATACGACTACCGCCGGAGGAGTTGGAGGAGATCCGTCGGGAGGAAATACGACGGAATGGACTGCCCAGGGATGGTGGAGAAGATTTGACTTCGGATGACTTTGATAGTGATGATTTATTAAGTTTGGATTATGAATTGAATAAGGCGTTGAATGGAGGGGATGAGAATGAGGAGAATGAAGAGGAGAAGAGTGAAGAGAAGGGTGAAGAGAATGAGGAGAAGAGTGAAGAGAATGTAGAGGAGAAGAAGATTGTAGAGAAAAAGGATGAAGAGAAAACTGTAGAGGAACCTAATTTAGGTATACCGACTCAACCAGACGAGAAAATTGAGCAGTCAGTGGGAAATCTGCCCGCCTTGTCAACTACCACCTTATCAAATCAATCCAAGACTAATCCACATACCCCCAATGTCCCCTCTAAAGAGTCAGAAGATGGAGATTATCGAACTATCCCACCAAATTTAATTGCCACCATTCGATCAGAACTTACTGATGATGACTCTCTAGGGATAATTTCTAAAATGATCTTCACTTTGAAAGATCCATTATCAGCAACCAAGATCTCACTCCCGGTGAAATCGTCGGCGTGTCATCACTTTGAGTGCTTTGACTACGACACGTTCTGCACTTTTAATAAGATCCCCTTGGGGATTAAGACCATCACGCGCAAGGACTTGGCCAAACGGAACTTTGAAATGAAACGATTGGAAAAGGAAAGACAACAAAGAGCCAATTCAGGGGGTCTTGGGGCAAATGCTGGGTTTTCGTTTGTACCACCTCCTCCATCAGTTAATAAGACATACCCTCAGATATTTATTCCTGGGCCTGGGCCTGGGCCTGGGATGGCCGGGCATGGGATGGGACGCGGTACAGATAACAAGAGTAAGCTCTCCTCATACTATGGGCCTAGACTCACCTATAAATGTCCCATCTGTGACACTGCGTTTGATCTCCGTATGATGATGATCAGTGATGCTTACAATTTCTTTGTCAAGACAACTCCAAGAGATGTTTCTCGAGTGGAATTAGTCGATATGGTGAAGTATCGGATTTTAGACGATCGGCCCAATTCTAGTCGTCAATCCAGTGCTATAGTTGAGGAGGTGATCATCTTGGACGATGACGACGAGGAGGATTACGATGAGGAGGAGGACAAACAGGACAAGGCGTCTAAGCCCGCGCCAGGAACGTCTAATGAGGTCCCCGTGAAACAAGAAAAATGGGGGCTGGATGCACAGTATCATAGACATGTGAGCGAGGATGTGTTTGACGATGGACTTGACGATGAGCTTCTTAGCTTGGGGACTCAGGGGAAGGGTAGTTGGGAAGATCCGGTGACCATTGATTGAATGGTGTGTGTTTTTTTTTTTGTAAATAGAGTGAACGGGCAAGGAATATAGAATAGGTAATACAGAGTAACTCGGGAGATAGTAGAGAGTAGAGAGAGGTAACATTATCATCATATGTCTACTGGTTAGAGAATTTCTACGCACCCGTGGAACGGTCTTTCTACGTCCCTGTGGGACGGTAAGACGCTCCGCTGGGCCCCTGCTCGGGGAGAGCCACTGCGTGGGGCTTAGCTCCTCTACGAGGAGATCTACAGGTGTTATCGTCTTCCTCGTTAGAGGAACGAGGCCCCCACGGCTAGTGGCCCACGGAGTGCCAGCGGAGCGGCTAGCTACCCCCCGGAGGGAGGTAAGTGGGACATACTACGGGGTCGAGAAGACACTCCGCTTGCCCCTGTTTGGGAAGAGCCACTCTATAGTACCTAGCTAGGAGAAGACTCCACTGACAACTCCCCTTCCCCTCTGGGAGTGCATCCTCGTGGCAAGTAACCTACCTTGTGCTGGAGAAGAGGCATACGCACCCGGAGGACTGCCACTTCAATCAATATGTACATATTCGATATATATCCGGGGCTCCAAGAGGAGAGAGATGTGGCCGCTATTCTGGGAAGCATCCCTTCTAGCGTTCTCTTGGAGTGTGGTAGTCCTAGGTATAACTACATGACTAGTGTAGCCACATAGTCTCCCCTGCCACTGCATCGGTAGGGGTCGTCCATCTCTGGTGAGAATCAACAGTATCTATAGATCTCTCCCTTGTAGATCTAATCCATAGTAGTCTTCTCGGTACTCGCAGCAACCATTGGTGGCTATATTGCAGCCATCTTAACCGCATGTCATCCACTACTGGGACTCTCCACTCCCAAGGCACATACATACCTGAAACTTCGTACCACTCTTAGAACAGTCCCTCTGGCAAAACCTAACCCTCAACATGCCACAAGCTCGCCTCGATTTGCATTATCTTGCTCTGAAGTGCATTCACTTCCCCTAATCTCTTTCCAATACACTCACACACATTACACTCTCGTGCATCTTAACCCTTTAACAAAAGAGCTTTCGCTTCTAGAAAACTCCTCATAGAGGAGCTAGGCCCCACGCAGTGGCTCTCCCCGAGCAGGGGCCAGCGGAGCGTCTTACCGACCCTAGTAGGGAAATGAATTGCCGCCTGCCCTTCGGGGGTTTGCAAGTCGCTCCGGTGGCACTCCGTGGGCCACTAGCCGTGGGGGCCCCTGTTCCTCTAACAAGGAATACTATAGCACCTGTGGATCTCCTCGCAGGGGAGCTACGCACCACGCAGTGGCTCTCCCCGAGCAGGGGCCAGCGGAGCGTCTTACCAACCTCGTAGGTAAATGAGTAGCCGCCTGCCCTCCGGGGGTTTGCAAGCCGCTCCGCTGGCACTCCGTGGGCCACTAGCCGTGGGGGCCTTGTTCCTCTAGCGAGGAATGTGATCCAGTTAGTGTCCCCTGGTCAGATCGAAACTGTGCGCTGGGGGGTTGGCTGCAAATGGCTCTATGGGGACACCTTCGCTTCTACTCTACCTCAACTGAAATGACAACCTTCTCTCACATGCAGGTCCCGTGCTCACAACCGGCTAAAGTCAAATATTTTTTAATTTAGATTGTTCGATTGACCCCTGATTTGCTAATGGATGACATAATCCACACCTTCTCTATTATTTTTTTTATTTTTCTCCCACATCGAATTCCTGAGATTGTGCTGCGCACACCGTTGCTATCTGAGAGCTCGAAGAAAGTTTAGGTGGGTACAAACATTTCAATCATTGCTCTTAACATTCAATTGCATCAGTTTTAGAGCTATTGATAGGTTCTATTTTGTAGTAGGACCAGTCTATCGCAATGTCTAACGTATGTATAGGAGAGCCAGGTGGGTCCCGTGCCGGCGATTAAGGGGAGTACATGGTGGTGGTGGAGGTGGAGGTTGTTGGCGAAGTGCCACGGCAGTTGTTGTCGTGGGTACGGCTGACTTACTTCCCTGATCTGCTGGATTTTTAGGCCAGTGGATTGACTGACCAATTCAATGACGTTCGGGTGTGAATCCAGGCTGGGGGACCGTGTAGGGACCTTTCCCTGGGAGTAACATGGAGCTAAGCCCCACACACAAGTCAGTGGAAAATTCACGTAACATCACGCTGGGGCTCTACTCTGAGGATGGACCAAGTGGTGTGCCATAGGGGGGACCCGGGGGGGTGTCCCATTGGCCTCCCTACGGGGTCTGAAAGCCGCTCCGCTGGCACTCCGTGGGCCACTAGCCGTGGAGGCCTGGCTCCTCTAGCGAGGAGTGTAGAGCTGTCAGTGGATCTCCTCGTAGAGGAGCTAGGCCCCACGCAGTGGCTTTCCCCGAGCAGGGGCCAGCGGAGCGTCTTACCGACCCCGTAGGGTGTCCCACTCACCTCCCTACGTGGTCTTGTCCGTTCTAATAATGAATTTGTTTCTTTTTATGTCATACTAACAATCTAGCCAAATGAAATCCTTCAGCCGCCTGAACAACTTGAGGTTGATCAGCAACCTCCTATCGATGAAGAAGAATTGAGGAGAGCTGCCACGGGTCAATCTCTTGATCCAAAGTCCCTGCACTCTGTTGCTCCTGGACTTCCAAAGGAAACAACTGGACCGGCTGGACAGCACTCGTCTTCGCTGTCCATTGGCCATGGTGTATCTAGACAATCGTCTAGACAACCAAATGGCCCACCATCTAGTCAGCCTCCTAGAAGACCAAGTAGTTCAGCTACTAGACAGCCTCCAAGAAACTCATCTCCCCAGGCTGCTGGTCAATCAAATGGATATGCCTCTAATCAGCCTGGTCAACCTGGCCAAGTCTCTGGTGTCTCTGGTCAACCAGGCCAACACTCTGGTCAAGCTTCTAGACAAATAACAAGAACTGAAACATCCAATGGAACTCCAGCTACAAAGACCTCCAGTAAAATCTCGTCCTCGAAGAACACCGATGACGTCAGTGAAAGAACTGAGGATTTGACTCCAAGTGAAGACTTTGACATGTCTGATGTCAAATCCAAACCAAAGCCTCGTCAACCAGTGGAACCTTCGTTCAGAGGCTGGAAAGAAGTTGGTGGTTGGGGTGAAGGTGACGCCCTTACTGCCGATGATGAAGCGGAAGATTTGCTCGAACGTTCGACAATTTTCGACCAATATCTCCCACAAGTTGCCTATGGTGACTGGTACCACAATGTCGCTTACTTGATTGTAGCTGGGTTGCTCTCGTGGATCTTTGGTTGGTTCCGCTTTTCGTTGGCCCCAGTGTTCTTTGTCATGGTGTCCATCTCGTTGCTCTACCGTACCTCCATCAGAAGATATCGTCTGAACTTGCGTGAGCTTGCACAAAGAGAATTCTCCATCAAGGCCATTGAGGATGATTATGAAACCTTGGACTGGATGAATGTGTTTTTGGAGAAGTTTTGGTACTTTTTGGAGCCTTCGATCTCTCAAATTGTCTGTGACCAAGTCAATCCAATCTTGGCTGCCAGTCCAGCACCAGCGTTCATCAAGCAATTGTGGATTGACTCCTTCACCGCCGGTACAAAGCCTCCACGTATCGACTGTGTCAAGACTCTCCCAGGTACAGACTCGGACATTGTTGTCATGGACTGGGCTTGCTCGTTCACTCCAAACTCCTTGGCTGATTCCAACAATAAGCAATTGAAGAACAAGGTGAACCAGAAAATTGTCGTCAAGGCCAACTTGTTTGGTATTCCGATCCCTGTAGCGGTGCTGGATGTTTCATTCATGGTTGTTGTCAGAATCAGATTGAGAATGATGACTTCTTTCCCGCACGTGGAAACGGTCAATGTTTCCTTGATGGAGCCTCCTCACTTTGATTTCAACTCCAAGGTGTTGTTTGGAGACAATATCTTCAACTGGGAAGTTTTATCCATCCCCGGCTTGTACCCCTTCATCCATGATATGATCAAGAAGTACGTTGGTGCCATGTTGTTTGCACCAATGTCCTTCCAATTGAACCTCCAACAATTGATGGCTGGGAACGCCTTGGACGCATCCATTGGGATCTTGGCAATCACCGTCAAGTCTGCCTCCGGGATCAAGGGCCACACCGCCATGGGTAACACCATTGACCCCTACGTGCTGGTTGGATTCAAGAAGGATGTTCTTGCTAAGACAGGCCACAAGGCAAACACCACCAAGCCAACTTGGAATGAAATCTTGTACATTCCCGTCAAGCTGTTGTCCGAACCACTTGTTCTCACCTTGGATGATTACAACCATCACCACAAGGATAGAGCCATTGGTACCATTCAATTCGATTTGGAGGCCTTGTACAAGAACTCTAAGCAACCGGATTTGAGTGGCACTGTGACCAGAAACAACAAGCCTGTCGGAGAACTCAAGTTTGGCTTGAACTACATGCCAACCCTTGAAGCGGTCAGACAGGTTGACGGGGCCGTGGTGCCACCACCAGACTTGAACACTGGTATTGCTCGTATCGAGATTGGTGGTGCCAGACACTTGAAAGGTGATAGCAAGAAGATTTCCACATATGCTGAGCTTTATATCAATGGTAAGTTGAAGGTGACCACTCCTGTACAAAAGGGCACCAACGCCCCCAACTGGGCCATTTCCCATGAAGAAATCATTGGAAACAGATCTAAGGCCAAGGTTAGAGTTGTACTCAAGAATAAGGATGGTAAGCCTGTGGGTCAAGTTTTCTCCTCGTTGAACAATTTCATCGATTCCACCCAAGTGGAGGAAAACTGGTTCCCATTGGCCAAAGGTGGTGAGATCAGCATTACTACTGGATGGAAGCCTGTTGGATTAACTGATGCTGCCGGTAGTGGTGGCTACACCGCCCCAATCGGGGTGGTTAGAGTTTCTGTCGAAAGGGCTGAAGACTTGAGAAACTTGGAAACCATTGGTACTGTAGACCCATATGCTAGAATTCTTGTCAATGGATTTGAACGTAGTAGAACTGCTGTTGCTGACAGTACGTTGAACCCTACCTGGAACGAAGTTCATTATGTCACGGTTGCATCTGCCAACCAGAAGTTGACCATTGACGTTATGGATGTTGAACTGCACTCTCCTGACAGAACTCTTGGATCATTTGACGTGAAGTTGAATGAGATCATCAACAAGAACGAGAAGGGTAAGTACATTGAATGGGAAGACGACTTGAAGAGAGAATCGAAGTTGATCCACAAGAAGGGTCCTAAGGGTACTGTGACCTATTCGTTGAGTTTCTATCCAACCTTGCCAGTCAAGACCTTGGAAGATATTAAGGATGAAGAGGAAGCTGCCAAGCAAGACAAGAGAAGAAAGGAGAAGGAAGACGCCAAGAAGAGAAAGGAGGAGGAAGCCAATGGTACAAGCAAGGACGAGAAGAAGGCTGTTCCTAATGAAGTCTCGGATGAGGAAGAGCAAGAAAAGAAGGATGATGCTGGTTTGGAAGACATTGAGGATGTCAATGAAGAAAGTGGATCCAATGCCAAGGTTCAACTTTCTCTTGACCAACTTCTTGAGTACAACAGCGGTGTGTTTGTGTTTGAACTTATCGACGGGACTGTTTCCAAGGACGACGTTTACCTCCATGTCTACTTTGACAACCATGGTACTCATGACTACGTTTCCCAGAAGTTCACCAAGAAGCAAATGAAGATTGGTCAAACTGGAGATGCTGTCATCAAGGAACTCGACTGGAGTAAAGCATGTTTCAGATTGTCCAAGGGTAAGGATGACAATAGATTGGAAAAATGTATTGCCGAGACCACCATTCCTACTCTTCAATTGGTCAAGAATGGATACCATGAACCAACCACCATCCAATTGAGCGGTGCCGGAACCGGTCTGTTCAAGATCCATGCTCAATGGATCCCTGTTCTCTATGCCAATTCTATCCCACCCCAGGACAGTGTCAACAACTCTGGTATTCTCCATGTGACCACCGTGAGAGCTGAAGGCTTGATGGCCGCTGACCGTAGTGGTAAGTCCGATCCTTATGTCAAGTTGTACCTCAACACCGACAAGGACGAATTCTTCAAGTCCAAGAAGGTTAAAAAGACTTTGGAGCCTACCTGGAACGAGGATTCGTCGGTGGAAGTTGCCAATTTGTACGATTCCATCTTGAAAGTGGATTGCTTTGATTGGGACATGGGTCCTGAACAAGACGATTTCCTTGGGGTTGGATATGTTAAGCTTTCTGACGTTGACCCAAAGAACAACCATGAAGAAATCGCCTGTAAGTTGACCACCGATACCGGTGATGATGGAGGTGTAGTCTACTTTAAGTTCAACTTCAAGCCTGAGTTCATCCTCACTGTGAGACCATTAGAAGGAACCCATATCGGAGACGCCTTGGGTGCCGTTGGAGGTGTTGGAAAGGGTGTTGTTGGTGGTGTCGGAAAGGGTGTTGGTAAGGGCCTCGGTGGAGGTGCCAGTCTCTTCAAAAAGGGCTTACATTTGGGAAGATCGAGCGAAAAAGATGAGTAGTTTGTTTTGTATTTTTATATGTTCTATTTAAATTGTATCAATCAAAGTGTAGAGAGAAACTCCGTAGGATAGGCCACTCGCCTCTCTGTGGGACTGTAAGACGCTCCGCTGGCCCCTGCTCGGGGAGAGCCACTGGCGTGGGGCCTGGCTCCTCTACGAGGAGACTCTCCTGACTACTTGCTGCTAAATTCCTCGCTAGAGGAACATGGCCTCCACGGCTAGTGGCCCACGGAGTGCCAGCGGAGCGGCTTGCAACTCCTGGAGGGTAGTCCCCTCATCCCCTTCCCTGCTCACCTGCTCGACCCTCCAATTGAACCCTCAACTAAAGAACTCCCCCACGACTAGCCACCGGACCCGCCCCACCGGAACCGCTCATACACTCAAACGTCATAGAGACCTGGCTGTGGCGAGTGCGTCCCGCTTTATACCCAATTAGGAAGTCTATCTCTCATCTCAAAACTTTTTTTTTTTTTTTTGATTTTTTTTTTTTCTTTTAATTTCCACTGCGATTATTTTGAAGAGGCCCGATGGCTGAGATTTTTTTCAAGATCCTCTCAACTTCATCTTTGCTATTGCTACATCAGTTACATTAACCATGGACATCTCGAAACCCGTAGGATCCGAGATTGTGTCGGTGGACTTCTGTGCCATGAGCACCGGCGAAGTGCGCCGGCGTTCTGCCAAGCAGATCACCAATCCGACCGTATTTGACAATTTGGGACATCCGGTCAGTGGTGGTTTGTACGATATGGCTCTTGGAGCATTCCTTCGTAACTTGTGTACCACCTGTGGCTTGGACGAGAAGTTCTGCCCGGGCCACCAGGGCCATATCGAGCTCCCTGTGCCTGTCTACAACCCGTTGTTCTTCAACCAGATGTATTTGTATTTGCGTAGTGCCTGTTTGTATTGTCATCAATTCCGGTTGAATGAATTGGAAGTGCACCGGTTTGTGTGCAAGTTACGATTGATCCAATATGGTTTGTTGTTGGAGTGTGTAGAATTGGACAACATGTTGGTTGAAGCTGGAGCTGGAGCTGCTACTGATGATGATGATGAGAACAATGGACCTGCCTTGTCTCATCGTGCCAAGGTTGAACTTCGTCAACGTCGTGAACTTTTCGTTGACACCGCAGTGGCACGTGCCTTGAGTGACGGTAGAACCTCAGAACGTGGGATCCATACTGCCTCTGTCATTGAAGAAAGAAAGGCTGTCATCCATGAATTCTACAAGAAATTGTTGAGTAGACCAAAGTGTGACAATTGTGGCATGTACTCGCCAACTTTCAGAAAGGATGGCTTTGTCAAGTTGTTTGAAAATGCCTTGAGAGATAAGCAAGTGACCAATAACCGAGTCAAAGGTTTGGAAAGACCAGACATGATCAAGAATAAGTCCAAGGATAACTCTAAGGAATCTTCCAAGGAATCTTCTGGATCTGGTCTCCCATCGCTCAAGCATAAGGCTGGCTCTAAATATGTTCTTTCCACTGAAGTACGTAACATTCTTCGTGCCGTCTTCCTCAAGGAACAAGCCATCATTCAAAAGCTTTTCCATTCAAGACCATTGTCTACTGAAACCGTTTCGGCTGACATTTTCTTCCTTCAAGCGTTGGTGGTTCCAGCCACCAGATTCCGTCTTCCTTCCAAACTTGGAGATGAAATCCATGAGAATGCTCAAAATGAACTTCTCTCCAACATCTTGAAGACCTCATTACTCATCCGTGACTTGAACGATCAAATCGTGCAACAACAGGGTAAAGGATCGCCTGCGGAACAACGTAGAATCACCTTCAACCGGTTGATGAACGGGTTCGTGACCATTCAAAACGACGTCAATGCCTTTATTGATTCCACCAAGAACCAAAACGCCCCCGCTGGGAAACTCCCTAACCCAGGGATCAAGCAAGCGCTTGAAAAAAAGGAAGGTCTTTTCAGAAAGCATATGATGGGTAAGCGTGTGAACTACGCGGCCAGATCGGTCATTTCGCCAGATCCAATGTTGGAAACCAACGAAATCGGGGTCCCACCAGTGTTTGCCGTCAAGTTGACCTACCCGGAACCCGTGACCGCCCACAATGCATCTGCTCTTCGTCAAGCGGTCATCAACGGGCCAGACAAGTGGCCTGGTGCAGTCCAGATCCAAAATGAAGATGGACAATTGGTGTCACTTATTGGTATGACCTTGGAACAAAGAAAGACCTTGGCCAATCAATTGCTCACTCCAACCAACGGACAAAGCGTCGTCAACAAGAAGGTTTACCGTCATATCAAGAACAATGACGTGGTGCTTATGAACAGACAACCAACTTTGCACAAGGCCTCGATGATGGGTCACAAGGTCAGAGTGTTACCTGGTGAAAAGACCTTGCGTCTTCATTATGCCAACACTGGTGCCTATAATGCCGATTTCGATGGTGATGAAATGAACATGCATTTCCCACAAAATGAAAACGCCAAGGCCGAAGCTTTGAACTTGGCCAACACCGACAGTCAATACTTGACCCCAACTTCTGGTTCCCCATTGAGAGGGTTGATTCAAGATCACATTTCCGCCGGGGTTTGGCTCACCAGTAAGGACAGTTTCTTCACCAGGGAGCAATACCAGCAGTTGGTCTATGGTTGTATCCGTCCCGAGGATGGACACGCCACCAGTGGTAGAATCTTGACCGTACCACCAGTCATGATCAAGCCACAGGAGTTGTGGACCGGTAAGCAAGTCATCACCACCGTCTTGCTCAATATCAAGCCATTGAACGTCCCTGGTCTTAATCTTGTCAGTAAGAACAAGGTCAAGAATGAATACTGGGGTGAAGGTTCTCAGGAAAATACCGTCTTGTTCCAAAACGGACAATTATTGTGCGGTATCTTGGACAAGTCTCAATACGGTGCCCTGCAGTACGGGTTGGTCCACTCCTTGCACGAGGTTTACGGACCCTCCGTTGCTGGTAAGGCCCTTTCTGTGTTGGGACGTCTTTTCACCAACTACATCATGCAAACCGCCTTCACCTGTGGTATGGATGACTTGAGACTTACCGACGAGGGTAACACCTGGAGAAAGGATATCTTGAAGCAATCAGTCGACATTGGTCGTGCTGCCGCCGCTGAAGTGGCCAACTTGGGTGCTGACGTTGCCAACGATGACCCTGAACTCTTGAAGCGGTTGGAGGGCATTCTTCGTGATGACAACAACTTGGGTATCTTGGATGCCGTCACCCAAAGTAAGGTGAACAGTATCACTTCTCAAGTCGTGGCCAAGTGTGTTCCTGGAGGAACCATGAAGAGATTCCCATACAACTCCATGCAAGCCATGGCACTTTCCGGTGCCAAGGGTTCCAACGTCAATGTTTCCCAGATTATGTGTTTGCTTGGACAACAAGCCTTGGAAGGTAGACGTGTCCCAGTCATGGTTAGTGGTAAGACCTTGCCATCTTTCAAGCCATTTGAAACTGATGCTAGAGCCGGTGGGTACATCAAGGGTCGTTTCTACTCTGGTATCCGTCCTCAAGAATACTACTTCCATTGTATGGCCGGTAGAGAAGGTTTGATTGATACTGCCGTCAAGACTTCTAGATCTGGTTACTTGCAAAGATGTTTGACCAAGCAATTGGAAGGGGTCCATGTTGGTTATGATAACTCTGTGAGAGATGGAGATGGATCCTTGATCCAATTCTTGTACGGGGGTGATGCCATTGACACCACCAAGCAATCACACATGACTCAATTTGAGTTCTGTGCTGAAAACTACGACGCCTTACTTTCCAAGTACAACCCAGGTGAGTTGACCCAACATTTGGACACCGACACCGCCTTGCTGTACGCCAAGAAGGCCAGAAAGAACCTCAAGAAGCAACAAGACAAGCCTCATTACGAACAATCCGACAAGTACGACCCAGTGTTGTCTGTGTACAACCCAGCCAAGTACTTGGGATCTGTTTCCGAAAAGTTCCAAGACGACCTTGATGCCTTTATTGCCAAGAACGGCCAATTGTTCACCTCTTCCAAGGAGGCTAAGACTTCTGGTAGCGGACTCACTGAAAAGAAGTTCCGTGCTCTTATGCAATTGAAGTACATGAGATCTCTTATTAACCCAGGTGAGGCTGTCGGTATCATTGCCTCTCAATCGGTTGGTGAACCATCTACTCAAATGACGTTGAACACTTTCCATTTCGCTGGTCACGGTGCCGCTAACGTTACCTTGGGTATCCCACGTATGAGAGAAATCATTATGACTGCCTCTTCTGCCATCAAGACCCCACAAATGACCTTGCCTATCTTGGCCGATGTCACTGACGAGCAAGCCGATGCCTTCTGTAAGAGTGTGGCCAGAGTGGTTCTTTCTGAATTCATTGACAGAGTCACCGTCACTGAAACCACCGGAGGTGGCAGTGACGACAACTCCTCAAGACTGTACCTCATCAAGATGAACTTCTACACCAAGAAGGAATACGAGGAGGCATACGACATCTCTCAACAACACTTGGAGAACGTGATCACCACCAAGTTCCTCCATGCCTTGGAGGCTCTGATCACCAAGGAGGTCAAGAAGCAAAAGAGACCAGACAGCTTGCCTAGTGTTGGTAAGTCTGCTGGAAAGGTTGACGAGGGTAGAGGTAAGATTGAAGAAGAAGACGATGAACAAACCAGAAGTACCGGTAAGCAAGCGGTTTCATACGATGGTCCTGACGATGAGGAAATCGAAACCATGAAGAGAGCTGAAGAAACTTCTGACGAAGACGAAGAAATGGCCAGTGGCGATGAAGATGACAGTGACAGTGACAGTGATGATGAAGGTGCTTCTTCTACTCAAGCTGCTGCTCCAGTTAAGAAGGCTCCACTTGCCCTGTCTGTTTCTGCCAAGAACCGTCAAAGTGAGGTCATTTCCTCTCACAACCTTGTGTCTGCGTTCAACTTTGACGATGACGAAGGTACTTGGTGTGAGTTCCAGATCGACTTGTCTGGAGACACTCAAAAGCTTCTTATGGTGAACATTGTCGAAGATCTCTGTAGAAAGGTTGTTGTTCGTGAAATCCCACACATTGGAAGATGTGTGCACCCACAACCAGAGGCCAACGGTAAGCGTATTCTCACTACCGAGGGGGTCAACTTCAGCGCCATGTGGGAGCAAGACGACTTCATCGATGTCAACGGGATCACTTCTAACGACATTGCCGCTGTGTTGAAGACTTACGGGGTTGAAGCCGCCAGAAACACCATTGTCAACGAAATCAACAACGTTTTCGACAGATATGCCATTGCCGTTTCGTCGCGTCATTTGGACTTGATTGGTGACATGATGACCCGTGAAGGGTCCTACTTGGCCTTCAATAGACAAGGTATCGACACTTCTACATCCGCATTCATGAAGATGTCGTACGAGACCACTTGTCAATTCTTGACCAAGGCCGTTTTGGACGGTGAAAGAGAAGATTTGGAATCCCCATCCGCCAGAATCGTGATGGGTAAGTTGTCAAATGTCGGTACTGGCTCGTTTGAAGTGTTTGCGAGCATGCCAGAGGTGAATTAAGGATATCATAATATAATTGCATATAGTATAAATTGTTTAAAGATTTAAAATAAGACACTACAATGTAGAAGGACTCTGAGTAGACCCGGTAGAGTGGCCCATTCACCTCCCTGTGGCTCTCCCTGAGTAGGGGCCCAGCGGAGCTGCTTGGACTACCCTACGGGGTCTGCAAGCCGCTCCGCTGGCACTCCGTGGGCCACTAGCCGTGGAGGCCTCGTTCCTCTAGCGAGGAAGGAACGTTGTCAGTAGATCTCCTCGTAGAGGAGCTAGGCCCCACGCAGTGGCTCTCCCCGAGTAGGGGCCCAGCGGAGCGTCTTACTGTCCCACGGGGTAGTCCTATCCTGTCCTGCGGGGAAGTCTGCCCCGTCCGCTAGTTGTTACTATTAGTTTCCCTAGTAGAGCACTCTAGAGTGGTCTCCTTACACGTCATCAACTTGTAGAAGAGGAGAGTATACCCTCCAATGTAATGTTTGTTATTAAATTGTTTTTGTTATCTTTTGCTATGTACATCTAAATATTGTAGGCGGCAATAAGAAAGGTCAATACAAATGGAATTTTAAAACTTGGTTTCTCCAATACCAAGCGCTTAAGATCAATTCTTTCTGAACCAATTTGAACCATTTGACCCCATGGAATCGATATGATTCCTCTAGATTCCAAGAATTGAGTTAAAAAGTAGCCCGAAAGAGTTAAAAACACAATCATTGAGCTCAATTTCCCGGCAATAATCCCCAAAAAGAGACCGGTAAGAGAACCAATTGTGAGTTCATTATAATTCAATTGACCACCAAATCTTGATCCAGTGGCGGTTTGATTGGCCTTGGTGGCAACTTCATCAATACTGGAAGCGATCTTGGACTCCAATCTACCGGCAGAGTAAGCTGCGTCGTTTAGAATTCGCGATCCACTAGCATTAACCGCTACAAAGGAAATGGTTGCCCCGAAAAGCAATTTCAATCCACCATTATTAGTTCTGGAAATGGTCGAAGGTCTAGACAAAGTCCGAGCTACAGCTCCAACCGGTTGATGAGAGAAAGAGTTTTGAAAGACTCCACGAAGTCCAAGACCAGTGGATATTTTGGATCTTACCGATTGTCTAAGTAAGGGATTGAACATGATTATTTTTTATTTTGAAAATGGTGTGGAGGGCAAAGAGGTTGATATAAAATTGGAATTGAATCTACCGAGAAAAGTGGAGTGTGTGAATAGAGAGAATAATGTTGTGTATGGTGGGTATGAGTGTTGGGTTGCTATCACATGTTCGGTGTGCATAGTAGCTATGCGAGTATGGTTGAGAGAGGAGAGTGGAGGAGGGAACTAGAGGAGTTACAATCGCGCGTTCCACGGGGTGACAAAGACAATTTGCTGGCTAGAGTCTCCTCGTAGAGGAGCTAGGCACCACGTCAGTGGGGCCCAGCGGAGCCCAGCGGAGCCCAGCGGAGCGACTTACAGTCCCACTGGGAGTGGGGACGACTGCCCTACGGGGTGTGTGAGACGCTCCGCTGGCACTCCGTGGGCCACTAGCCGTGGAGGCCTTGTTCCTCTAGCGAGGAATGTAGCAGCCAGTAGCCAGTCGAGTCTCCTCGTAGAGGAGCTAGGCCCCACACCAGTGGCTCTCCCCGAGCAGGGGCCAGCGGAGCGGCTCACCGACCCCGTAGGGAAGTGAGTAGCTGTCTGCCCTACGGCGTATGTGAGACGCTCCGCTGGCACTCCGTGGGCCACTAGCCGTGGAGGCCTTGTTCCTCTAGCGAGGAATTTACCAGCTCGTAGCCAGTCGAGTCTCCACGTAGAGGAGCCAGGCCCCACGCCAGTGACCCTCCCCGGGTAGGGGCCCAGCGGAGCGACTTACAGTCCCACTGGGAGGTCAGTGACCACTCTACAAGTAGTGTAACCCACTCCCCTGACACTCCCTCAGCACAGTCTATGAGTAAGATGGGGTCCGTCCCTCCTTTGTACAACGGAGTTAACACAGAGAGAGGGAGATACGCCCGAGAAAAATAAATGTCTACTGCTGAAAGAAAAAAAAAAAAAAAAACCATAAATATACCTCCCTCATCCACACTTCTCCTTATCTCTATGTAATTTAATGTATTATAACCCTTGTAAACGTCACCCCTCACACTTCCTTTATTGTTTCAAGTAAGCGTCTGTCCCCCCCAGTTCTAGACTACGTTCTCGTGTCTCGCACGACCTCCCCGCTCTCTGGCCATAAATTTCAAAAGGCTTTACCGGCCTCCGCGCGCGCACGACCTCCCACCAAAAAATCTCAAATAAGGTATGAGAAACTCCTTCCTTGGTAAAGGTCGTGCACGGGAGAAACCCGAGCCAGCTTTCGGTTCATGCAGGCTCTCGGACCATGAACGCCGCAAATTATCGCCAGAATTGGAAGGCTCCGCAGAATGCATTAAGCACCCTGCACCATTGCAAAGTTCCTACAAAAATTCTTGTGGCTACAGAAATTTCCAAAACTAAAAAATTTTGTATATTTTTTTTCTTTACCGTTGAACGTACTGTGGTAACGTTTGAGTATTTGGTTTGAAGTGGGTTAATTGTACCGGGTTTTCTTTCCAGATTTACGGCAGGTTGCACTGATATATTGGATTCTTCATCTAGCATTCCCACCCCTACAGGGCTTAGAGATACAAAAATCTCCAATTGAGATTTTTTTGCGGTTTTCTGTCAAGGAGAAAAGAAAAAAAAAATACCAGAGCGAATTTTTAGGAAAAGTGCTGCAAAAAAAAGAGCACCCCCCATTTGAACACCCCCTGTGAATTGCACCCCCCATTTGTCACACATCTTATTAGTAAGAGAATATTGTAATGTTCCCATACACTCCAGATAGTCCAGATTCAATCTATCACCAGGAAGACAATGCTACAGCATGTGAAATAGCCCCCTCGGTATGGGTTGGTTCATATCTGAATTGTCTTGGTGATCAATTCTTACGAACCAAAAACGTCAAGATTATTATCAATTGCTCTCCATCTTACGCATTTTTCCATGAATTGGAATATTCAGACGTGTCTATTCCCTCGGACCTAGTGGTACTTTCACTTGATCCAAGTTTTAATATGGACAGTCACTCGCTGGTCGAGCAAACTTTCCTTATGAAAACGGTTGCCAAATTTAATCGAGTACTTCAAAACTATATAACCCATTTCTATGTCAACAATCAAACCCCGGGTTATGATGTCATTCATAAGCTGATCAACAATACCATGTTACAAGTGGCAAGTCCCATCTTGGCAGGGAATTTACAAGCACTGTTATTCCAAGCCAATCGGATTATCAAGCTTTTACGTAACATCAATTCATCAGTGGAAGTATTGATTGTTTCGCGCGAACCATTTGGTAATAGACTTACGACTGCACTTGGAGTTTCATATTTAATGGATAGTTATGGATTTGATCTTCCCACAAGTTTACGTCATATTCAATTACGTGATCCAAAATTTTCTCCCCTTAACATCAATTACTATGAAGATTTATTAATTGCAGAAAATTTAAAGAAATTCCATACAGAAAATTTGGCCATAAAGCAAAATTCTGGTGGGGTTTTGACCTCAAATTTTAAATTGAAAAGGAGACAACCTGAAGATTTAGGAGATGAGGAAGATGCCATGGAAATAGAAATGATTAGCAACAAAAAGAGAAGGTGAGACTGTCTCAGTATATAATATTCGTATAGATATATTTGTATTATTATCATTATTATGAAGTGTGTACGCGTTTCAGACAAACGAGAGCTACGCCCAGGGCACGTCGTAGAGAGACGGGGGTGGGAGACTTGGAGCGTTTTACTAACCCCGTAGGGAAGTGAGTAGCTGCCTGCCCTCCGGGGGGTGTAGTACGCTCCGCTGGCACTCCGTGGGCCACTAGCCGTGGAGGCCCTGTTCCTCTGACGAGGAAGGTTGTAGGACCTGGGGATCTCCTCGTAGAGGAGCTAGGCACCACGCCAGTGGCTCTCCCCGAGCAGGGGCCAGCGGAGCGGCTTACTGACCCCGTAGGGAAGTGGCTGGGTGCCCTCCGGGGGTAGCAAGCCGCTCCGCTGGCACTCCGTGGGCCACTAGCCGTGGAGGCCTTGTTCCTCTGACGAGGAAGACTGTAGGGCCTGGGGCTCTCCTCGTAGAGGAGCTAGGCACCACGCAGTGGCTCTCCCCGAGTAGGGGCCAGCGGAGCGGCTTACTGACCCCGTGTGTGTGTGTGTGTGTGTGTGTCTATCCTGGTGAACGGGGAGACGAACGCGTCCTACAAACCCTCGTGAAATGCTCTCTATGTTTCCTCTTTTTAAACTATTAATAAATACTCTCTATGTACATTCTACACCATGCGCCCCATGGTGGTGGTGGTGGTAGTGGCGGTGGCGGTGGCATCTATTTGGGAACGGAAAGTCCAACGCGGTTGGCAGTACGTCTGACCTTGTCTTCTTGGTCCATGGTGAGACCTGGGTTGTATCTTTCCAAGAGCTCGGTGTATTCTCTCTGGGAGCGTAAGAAGGTGGACATGTTTGACAACTGTTGTAATTTGACCTTGAGTAATGGTTCATTGGTGTAAGTTGATTCCTCGGCCAAGTTTCTCAAAGTGGTGGTGTCCAAAGGAGGTGCTTCCAAGCTATTGGCGTTCATTTCAGCAATTTCCTTATCCAAATCCGTGGTTGGAACACGTTGCTTGATGAGTTGGATCTTCTTGTATTGTAACACGGCCTTCTTACGTTCCAACTCCTTGGCAGCATGTACATGGAAAGTCTTTTTGTGGATGGTTGTAAGTTCCTTTTGAAGGGCTTCATAGAGTGGTTTAAAAGAAGTCATGGTGTGTTTGTCCTGTGTAGATGCAGAAAATAAATGGAATAAATGGCGGGGGAGTCTACAAAAGTTACAACTACAACTACCTATACATAGACAAGGGGGGGTGGGAGCCACAAACTCCCTCATTGCCTCATGGGGTAACAGAAATCAATTTTCTCTCCTTTATATACAGAACAGGAGAATTGTGAGAAAGTGAGAGAAAAATAAAATGAAAATAAAAATAAATGAAAAAAAATGAAAATAACAAAAAAATAACAAAAAAAAATTTCTCTTCATATAAAACTCCGAAAAAATATCCATGTTGGGTCACGTGCGGCCTGGGCTCCGAGAAAAATTAAACAATATAGGGGGGGTAACAATACAATTCAATTAGATTAAGAAGGAGTAGTAGTTAGTAGTGTAGAGATGGTAAAGATGGTAGAGGACGGTAGAAGAATCAAGCTGTAGAGAGAGTTTTATACTACGTAGATAGGAAAAAAAAAAATATATTAATCATCAGATTATTAGAGAGTAACAGAATAAATCCATCAAAGAGGAAACTCAAGTCCGATACAGGATTGATCAATAAAGTACCATTAATAAAGTACCATTGGATGGACCTATTATATCATTAATGTAAACTAATATCAATCATAATAATAATAATATCAATTATAATCCCACTACTGGTTCAACCTATCAAGTATTTGAATGTATTCCTTCGTCTCCAATGATCAATTTTTCCCGGAAATTACGGAGTTGATCCGTGGCCGCTTCCGAACAATTTCAACCAATCAAACACGTCCGTCGGAACGGCCGCGAACCTCTAAAATCAAGGCCCTATGCAGGGCAAATCTACCCTTATAGAAAAAATTTGTAGGGATAAAGTCTTTGATTGTGTTTACTCTACATCGAGGTTATCAATTATCAACTACAATGCTTAGAACTGCCACTCTCCAGAAGGTATGTATGGTAGATGGTACAACCATCAAGAATGGGACTGACTCGTAGAAAGAAGAAAGGAATTTTTCTTAGCGGGAGAGATCCCGATCAGAAGAAACCCGCCAACAGAATGAAAGAGACTCAATGAGTTAATTAAAGAGATTCAATGAGTTAATGAAAGAGAGTTAATGAGTTAATGATTGAGGGGAGAGAGAGAAGAATTGGTGAGAGAGAGAGGTGGATGGATGGATGAGAATTGGAGTTGAGAGTAAGAGTTAGTGACAGTTGATTGGACAAGAGATCTGAGTACAGAAGGGACTAATGGTAGGACTTCTTAGGACGTTTGGGGGTGGTCTAGGATTGGTCTAGAAGAGTTCTGACTGGCTTAGAGGTGCTCTAGATTGAGGTTAGAGGTGTTCTGACTGGTTTAGAAGCGCTCTAGATCGAGTTTATAACTGGTCAAAGACTGATCTAAGACTGGTCTGGCTGGTTGAAGGCTAGTTGAAGGCCATTCTAGGACTGCTCGGGACTACTCTGATCACCTTGACCCCTCTAGATTGACTTAGAACTGTTCTAAGACAGTTCTGACTGTTCTGACTGTTCTAACTGTTCTAACTGTTCTAACTGTTCTGACTGTTCTGACTGTTCTAACCATTCTAGAACTGCTTAGTGTCACTCAGACTAGTCTATGACTACTCTAGATCTACTTTAGCACTACTCTAGGACTACTCGGACTGCTCTGATTAGTCTAGAACTGCTCTAGCTCGACTTTACGACTATTCGAGGACTGCTCTAGGACTGTTCTAGGACTACCCTAGGACTTCTCTGACCGATCTAGAACGACTTCAGGACTTCTCGGACTGCTCGGACTGCTCTAGAATCATCTAGGACTACCCTAGAACTACCCTAGAACTACCCTAGGGCTCTAACCTAGCGTCCTCTCAATCCCACTCCCCCTATTACTACTCACTCACTACTCACTCACTACTCACTCTCCAGTGACCACTCAATTTATTACCACCCTCCCTCCTCTTCTCTATCCCTTCTTTCATCCCTCCTCCTCTCCTCTTTTCCACCTCTTTTCCCCTCTTAATACTAACAATAGACCTCCTTGCGCTCTTTAGCCACCTTTGCTTCCCCAGAAGCGGTCTTACCAAAGAAATACGGTGGTAAGTACACCGTTACTTTGATTCCAGGTGATGGTGTCGGTAAGGAAATCACCGACTCCGTCAAGACCATCTTTGCCAACCAACGTGTCCCAATCGATTGGGAAGTCGTTGATGTTTCCGGTTTGGATGACCATGGTAACGGTGTCACCGCTGCCGTCGAATCCTTGAAGAGAAACAAGGTTGGTTTGAAGGGGATCATCTACACCCCAACCACCTCCACCGGTAAGTCCTTGAACGTTGCCTTGAGAAAGGAATTGGACATCTATGCCTCTCTTGTTCTTATCAAGAACATCCCAGGTGTCAAGTCCAGATTGGGTGGCATTGACTTTGCCCTTGTCAGAGAAAACACCGAAGGTGAATACTCTGGTTTGGAACATCAATCTTACCCAGGGGTTGTTGAATCTTTGAAGATCATGACCAGATTCAAGTCTGAAAGAATCGCCAAGTTTGCCTTTGACTTTGCCAAGAAGAACAACAGAAAGTTGGTCACCGCCATCCACAAGGCCAACATCATGAAGCTTGGTGATGGTTTGTTCAGACAAACCGTCAAGGACATTGCCCAAGACTACCCAGGCATCCAAGTCAATGACTTGATTGTTGACAACGCCTCCATGCAAGCCGTTGCCAAGCCAGAACAATTCGATGTTCTTGTCACCCCTAACTTGTACGGTTCCATCTTGTCCAACATCGGTGCCGCCTTGATCGGTGGTCCAGGTTTGGTTCCAGGTGCCAACTTCGGTAGAGAATACGCCGTTTTCGAACCAGGTTGTCGTCACGTTGGTTTGGACATCAAGGGCCAAAACACCGCCAACCCAACCGCCATGATCTTGTCTGCCACCATGATGTTGAGACACTTGGGCTTGAACGAAGAAGCCGACAAGATCTCCAAGGCCATCTACGACGTCATTGCCGAAGGTCAAATCAGAACCAGAGACATTGGTGGTTCTTCCTCCACCACTGAGTTCACCGACGCTATCTTGGCCAAGTTGAACTAGAGCAATACATAGATGTATGTATAATAAAGAGTATCTATTAGATGATGTAGAGGTCCAGCGAGCCACCAGCGAGCGAGAGCGAGCTGGTGAGAGCTACCAGTGACCTAGTGAGAGCTAAGGAGCACTAAGGGAGAAGAGAGAGAAGAAGACTGTAGAGCAAAAGATTGTAGAAGTTTGGGGGTTTCCGGGCCGTAGTATGACTGCAGATTAGCGGCGAGACACCACGCAACGGCACTGGAGATAGCTTGAGATGGTGCATCGCACGCGAGTCAGCGGAGGGGCTTACTGACCCCGTAGGGAAGTGAGTGACTGGGTGCCCTCCGGGGGTTGCAAGCCGCTCCGCTGGCACTCCGTGGGCCACTAGCCGTGGGGGCTTTGCTCCTCTACGAGGAGTGACTGTGGTGGACATTTAGCTGCACACCGTCTGAAATGAAGACACACATATACAAAATACAAGCAAGACATCTACACCTCTATCACGATGTGCCTATTCCTCTGCCTCCCCCCCCCCCAGACGATTCAAACCTCACTCCTCGAAGAGGAGCAAGGCCTCCACGGCCAGTGGCCCACGGAGTGCCAGCGGAGCGGCTTGCAACCCCCGGAGGGCACCACTTCCCTACGGGGTCAGTAAGCCGCTCCACTGGTCAGCTGGTCTTCCTGGAGCCATTATCCAGCTTTTTATTCCCTACTCCTCTGTGCAAAGTAAGGTATTTCTAGTGAATTACACTTCTCTCTCTCTGAAGTATTGAAGGGGGCAGATGGTGTCGGTTGGGTGCAAAAAGAAATTGGGAAAAAATGCAAAAAAATGATTTCGCCCAGGATCGAACTGGGGACGTTCTGCGTGTTAAGCAGATGCCATAACCTACTAGACCACGAAACCATTTCTGAAATTGTTTTTTCCCAATATCGAGGAGGTTCGGGCGCAACACCCACACACCCATAGTTAAGTAAAGTACAATTTAATCCTTTATTTGATAAGGGGAGGGTTTGGTTTTAAGATGGTATTCGATGGTCTATGCTTGTCTAAGTACAGTTGTCTAGTTTAAACAAGGGAATTATGGTGGAAATTGGGAAATTTTGGTGTACTGGAAATAAATAAATTTTGGTGGAGGATTAGAAATTGAAGGCAACAAATGGAAGAGGACAAAGAAAATTGTAAAGTTATTCTTAGCGGAGATGAAGAGAGTGAGCGGAGAGAGGGGGTTGAGACAGAAGGATGTGTAGCACCCGTGGGAAGTGGCAGTAGGGAGACAGTAGCTGGGAGAGAGCTAAAAGGGGTAGCACCTCTCTCTACAGTGGGTGAATTTTAGTTGCAGCCAAAAAATTGACAACGAGAGAGTTAGAGGGGATTAGTTGTGAAGACCTCACGGCTGCAACCCTCCCGGAGGGCAGGCATACACTCACTTCCCTACGGGGTGTGCAAGCCGCTCCGCTGGCCCCTGTTCGGGGAGAGCCACTGCGTGGTGCCTAGCTCCTCTCCGAGGAGATCTACAGGTCCCACAACCTTCCTCGTCAGAGGAACAAGGCCCCCACGGCCAGTGGCCCACGGAGTGCCAGCGGAGCGGCTTGCTACACCCGGAGGGCAGACAGCCACTCACTTCCCTACGGGGTTGGTGAGCCGCTCCGCTGGCCCCTGCTCGGGGAGAGCCACTGCGTGGTGCCTAGCTCCTCTACGAGGAGATCTACAAGTTCTACAGGCTTCCTCGTCAGAGGAACAAGGCCTCCACGGCTAGTGGCCCACGGAGTGCCAGCGGAGCGGCTTGAAACCCCCGGGAGGGCAGACAGCTGGGTGGCCGTGCTCCTCTGACGAGGAATTGGAGAGGAGAAGGTTTTGCGATCTAGGAACCGAACGTGTAGAACGGTCGATGTGCATCGGTGACGCCCTTTAGCCCAGGTTGTGGTAATATCCGCCGGCAGTGACGCGGGTACTGGTGCATCAGCCATGCGGGAAAAAGAGGAAGAAGGAAATGTGTACAGTTTCCTTGGCTACAGTCTACGGGGCTACAGTCGACGGGACCAGGGGTATAGAGAAGGGCATGGGCGAGACCAGGAGCACAGCTGGTGGCTTACCTCTGTCCACCTGGCCCCGTCCCACCCCCTGTCTCGTCCCAACGCAACCCAACCAGCTACCCGCTGAGATCCCTGGTCAGATCCTCCCAGATCCTCCAAGCGTGCCCCCCGATCACCACTTCTACGTCTATGCGCTTATGCAGCCTCGCAATTTTTCTTCGCACCAAATTTTTTTTTTTACGGTACGACCTCCAATTTCCCACCTCGTCCCCCTTCCTCGTCAGAGGAACAAGGCCTCCACGGCTAGTGGCCCACGGAGTGCCAGCGGAGCGGCTCACACCCCCCGGGAGGGACTCCACCATCACATCGTCTCCTCAAGAAAAACCTCCTTCCTCTCTCTCTTTGTCCCCCCCCCCAGCCGCGCGTGCGAGCGCGCGCCCGAGTCACCGCTAATAATTCGTTGCGAGCCCCGCACGCCAACCCCAGTCAATTCATTTCAAATCCTCACCCGGATTTGGCCCGCGCACGCCTCTTCCAATGAGTCGCACTCTCTCTCTCTCGCTCAGGGTGTCTGTGCGCAGCACGCGGGCTAGTCCTCCTCTTCCTCCCACCACCCCCCGAGCGCGGCGTCCGTCCAGGGGGGGGAGGGCCTAGTAAAGAAGACCTGCCACTGTCCGTCTACCCAACTACCCAAAATGCTTGGTCTTTTGGTATCGCAGGTAAAAAACCGAGAGTAAAATAACTTTCTTTGCTTTTTCACCTCTTTCAAATTTTCTCTTTTGAATTCCGGTTTCAAATTTGTTTCTGAACAAAATGTGTGACGTTGTGCTTGGTTCCCAATGGGGGGACGAAGGTAAGGGTAAGTTGGTTGATGTGTTGTGTGACGACATTGATGTTTGTGCCCGTTGTCAAGGTGGTAACAACGCCGGCCACACCATTGTGGTCGGATCTACCAAATACGACTTCCATATGTTACCCTCGGGTTTGGTTAATCCAAAGTGTTTGAACCTTGTTGGTTCCGGGGTGGTTATCCACGTGCCTTCTCTTTTCGAAGAATTAGAGAATTTGGAAAAGAAGGGGTTACATTGTCGTGATCGTTTATTCATTTCTTCTCGTGCTCATCTTGTGTTTGATTTCCATCAACGTACCGACAAGTTGAAAGAGGCCGAATTGAGTGAAAACAAAAAATCAATTGGGACCACCGGTAAGGGTATTGGCCCCACTTATTCCACCAAGGCTTCCCGTTCTGGTCTCCGGGTCCATCACTTGGTCCTGCAGGAACCCGAAGCCTGGGAAGAATTTAAAGCCCGTTATCATCGATTAGTTGAATCCCGGTTCAAAAGATATGGTGAATTTGATTATGATTTTGAAGATGAACTTGCTCGTTATGAAAAATATAGAGACATTGTTCGTCCATTTGTTGTTGATTCCGTCGACTTTATGCACAAGGCCATCAAGGAAAATAAGAAGATTTTGGTCGAGGGGGCCAATGCCTTGATGTTGGATTTGGATTTCGGTACTTATCCTTATGTTACTTCTTCCGCGACCGGAATTGGTGGGGTTTTGACCGGATTAGGGGTCCCCCCACGTGCCATCCGCAACGTTTACGGGGTGGTTAAGGCATACACCACCAGAGTTGGTGAAGGTCCTTTCCCCACCGAACAACTCAATTCCGAAGGTGAGAAGTTGCAAGACATCGGTGCCGAATATGGGGTCACCACAGGACGTAAACGTCGTTGTGGATGGCTTGATTTGGTTGTTCTTAAGTACTCTGCCGCCATCAATGGGTACACCTCGCTCAACATCACCAAGTTGGACGTTTTGGACTCTTTCAAAGAGATCCCAGTGGCTGTTGCCTACCACTACAACGGCAAGAAATTGTCCTCCTTCCCAGAAGATTTGCACCAATTGGCCAAGGTTGAAGTTGAGTACGTGACCTTGCCAGGATGGGAAGCAGACATCACCAAGGTTGAAACCTACGACGCCTTGCCCGAAAACGCCAAGAAGTACTTGAAGTTCATCGAAGACTTTTTGGAAGTTCCTATCCAATGGGTTGGTACCGGTCCTGGCCGTGACTCCATGTTGGAGAAGGCCGTTTAAGCGGGACTGTCCTCCGCGTCCCCCGCGTCCGTGTGGGAGGTGTTCTCTGAAACTCACACATTCCCCGCTGGTGCTGAAACAGATGCGAAACACCAGGGGGAGGGCTAGCGGGCCCCACGATATGATACATATATAAAGAAATAAAACATACAGACTTAGAGATGGTACGATGTAGAGAGTAGGTGAGAGGTTCTCGTCGGGGGGAGGAGCCAGGGTCCAGTGGGAAGGGTGCAGGGCCCGTGGGGGCCTTGTTCCTCTGACGAGGAAGACTGTAGGACCTGGGGATCTCCTCGTAGAGGAGCTAGGCACCACGCAGTGGCTCTCCCCGAGCAGGGGCCAGCGGAGCGGCTGGGAGACCCCGTAGGGATGTGAGTAGCTGGGCGCGCCCTCTGGGGGTTGCAAGCCGCTCCGCTGGCACTCCGTGGGCCACTAGCCGTGGGGGCTTTGCTCCTCTACGAGGAGAGGTGGTGTAGGTGCTTAGGGCTGGACTGGGGCACCCCTTGTAGAGGAGACAGGCTCCGCTGATAGTGGATCTCCGTGGGAAGGTCCTCCAACGGAGCGTCATACACTTCCTGGGACGTGCCCGCTCTTGTCTACGGCTATACACTCTACGAAACCGAGTTTCTCTGAGTGACCACCACACCTCTTGCTAGAGGGACTAGAGGAGTCAGAGGAGCCGCACCATACAGCCCGTAGACATGGGGGTGGATGTCATACGGGGGCCCGTGATCCATGGGTGGTTCCTGTTCCCCTGGCAAGGAATTGGCTGCAAGAGTCTCCTCGTGAGAGGAGCCAGGCCCCACGCTAGTGGCTCTCCCCGAGCAGGGGCCAGCGGAGCGTCTTACTAACCCCGTAGGGAAGTGAGTATCTGCCTGCCCCTCTCGGGAGTTGCAAGCCGCTCCGCTGGCACTCCGTGGGCCACTAGCCGTGGAGGCTCCTGTTCCTCTCACGAGGAAACGACCGCACGTGACTCTCCTCGTCAGAGGAGCCAGGCCCCATGCCAGTGGCTCTCCCCGAGCAGGGGCCAGCGGAGCGTCTCGCAGAGAGCCGTAGGAGTGGCCCCCGACCCCCCGTCGGTGCGGTGACCATACGGTGCCTACCTATCAGGTCGCCCCCTTGTGACCCGCGTGGTGGACTTTCCGTCTGGGTGTTTTTTCTGTGCATTCGCACCGAAAGCTCGTGATCCGCAACGTTTTCTCCAACCTGCCCACACCCACAGAAACCCACCACCACCACCGTCACCACCACCACCCCCGTAAGATGTCTGCCTCCGTACCCGAGAAGCGTAGAGACCGCGCCCTCACGCCTGTCCAGCAGGCGCTCGTGGCGCTCAACCTCGTGGTGCGCACGTACTGTGCGTTCCACATGATCATCTCCGACTGTGACGAGACCTTCAACTATTGGGAACCGCTCAATTTTCTACTTCGTGGGTTTGGTAAACAGACCTGGGAGTATTCCCCCGAGCATGCTATCCGGTCGTACGCGTACTTGCTCCCGTACTACGTGATGGGGTACTTATTCCCCTGGCTGGGAACCTCTGGAGCCGTGGGCCCGGCAACCTTTTATGCCATTAGAATCGTCGGATTGTGTGGATGGACCGCCTACACCGAGTACAAGTTGTTCCGCAGTGTGGTCAGTAGCTTGGGAGATGGTCCAGGGAATTGGTTTTATTTGTTCCTGACCGTTTCTCCGGGCATGAGCCATGCTGGAGTGGCCTTGTTGCCTTCGTCATGGGCAATGAATTGGGTGACATTAGCCACCCTGACCAGTCTAAAAACACTGACCAGCTTGCTGGGAAGTGTGGTTGAGAGAGACCTGAATAGTAAGCTGGAGCTGACCAGAAATCTGGAGCTGACCAGAAAGCTGGAGCTGACCAGAAAGCTGGCACTGACTGGCAAGCTGGCACTGACCAGAAAGCCGGCACTGACCAGAAAGCCGGCCCAGACCAGCAAGCTGGCCCTGGAGCTGACACTTGTCTGGTTGACCAGTCTAACCATTTGTCAATTCCTAATTTCTGGAATCCTTGGTTGGCCATTTGCCCTCTCTCTCTCCATCCCCTTTCTTCTCTTTACTCTCTACCAACACCCTCCCTGGACACCAATCTTCCATCGAATTTTCCTTCTCTCCGCCTTCTTCCTTGCCATCATCCTTGCCTATGTCATCACCATCGACTCGTTCTTCTACCGCAAACTTGTCCTTGTGCCCATGAACATTGTTCTCTACAATGTCTTTGGTGGTGAAGGTGAAGGTCCAGAGATCTTTGGTGTCGAAGACTTCTCCTATTACCCCTTGAACCTTCTTCTTAATTTCAATGTGGTTGCAATCTTGGCGTTCCTTGCGCCTCCCGTGGTGCTTGTCATCATTGGGTACTCCACCACCACCACCATTCCTCGTCATTTGGTTGGACTTACCGTGACATCCATCTTCCCCATGATTCTTTGGCTGATGATTTTCGGCTCTCAACCTCATAAGGAGGAACGGTTCTTATACCCAATCTACCCATACATCTGTTTGAATGCAGGGTATCTCATGAGCTTGCTCGTACAGGTGACTACCGCCGTGGTGCACAAGGGTGCTCGTTCCACCGGCTTGTCCATCCCAAGACAATGGACAAGGTTGTTGGTGACCATTGTTCCAGGGGGATTGATTGTTTTGGTTTCCTTCTTGAGGATTTTCAGTCTTGTAGAGAATTATTCTGGTCCTTTGAAGTTGTATGGAGAGCTCTATGAAAGTGCCTTCTCCACTGGCGTAGCCGCTGGTACGGGCACTAGCACTGACACTGGCTCCAGTGCTAGCACCAGCTCCAGCACTGGTCCAGCTGATGCTAGCATCAACGTGTGCACCGGTCGAGAATGGTACCATTACCCCAACTCGTTCTTCCTCCCGGACAACTTCCGACTTCGATTTGTCCAGAGTGGCTTTGACGGGCTTCTTCCCGGGGACTTTCTCGAGCTGCCAGGACTCTCCGTCTTTGACGTTTCGTCGTCGATCCCACACGACATGAACAACAAGAACCAATGGTCTTCGAGCAAGATCGTCCCGTTCTCGGACTGTCATTACTACGTGGACAACAACCTCGTGGCGGACGTCGAGGTGGGCGAACAGCAAGTCGTTGTGGACAACGACGACTGGGAACGCGTCTCATGTGCTCCCTTGATCCGAATGGACGGGGACAGCTCGACCTTGGGCAGACTTCTCTGGATCCCACGTCCCTTGAGACGTTTCTTCCCCTACCACGTCGACTACTTGGACTTTTGTTTGATGAAGCGGAAGCAGAGTGGCCAGGCGGAGGAGAAGGAGTCCCATCAGGACTCGTAGGGAGTCCTCAGGGCTGGGCTCGGCTTGCAACTCCCGCCCCGGAGCGCAGGCAACTACTCGCTTCCCTGCGGGACTTGCAAGCCGCTCCGCTGGCCCCTGCTCGGGGAGAGCCACTGGCGTGGGGCCTAGCTCCTCTACGAGGAGACTCAGGTGGCTACGTGCTGCCCCTTCCTCGTCAGAGGAACAAGGCCTCCACGGCCAGTGGCCCACGGAGTGCCAGCGGAGCGGCTTGCTACCCCCGGAGGGCACACAGGGCATCCAGTCCCTTCCCTGCGGGGCCTACTAGCCGCTCCGCTGGCCCCTGCTCGGGGAGAGCCACTGGCGTGGGACCTGGCTCCTCTGGCGAGGAGACGCCCTTCCTCACGGAAGTCTGCCAGACTCTCCGTCTTTATAGAGTTAATAAAAGTTACAGTACAGTAGACCAGCGGGTGCGTAGACAGCCTCGCGGGGAGCGCGCAGGCGAGAAGGAGAAACACTACAGAGCAGGTATTCTTGATACATATATTATATATGGGGGGGCAGGGGGCAGGGGTGAGAGGAGAGGGTCGTGGTGGGGGGTGGAGCCGCGGTGCGAGCTCAGGGTGAGGAGGAGGAGGAGGAGGGGGGGGGATGTCGTCTATTTAAAGGGGTCATATGTCGTCGTCAAAGTAGTAGTTCAAGACCTCCTTCAGGGCCGCAAAGTCCTTGCGGGCCTTGGCCAAGGCGTCCTCGATGGCAGCGATCCAGAAGTCGTCGGAGTCCTGGTCGACGGCCGGGTCCTTGAGCTCGAACTCGTCGCAGTTAATTTTGTTGCCGTAGTTTTGGATGCGCTCGCATTGTGCGGAAATTGTTTCGAGGCCCAAGGCCGCGGCGGAGCCCTTGAGGTAGTGGCCGAGGCCCAGGAGCTTGTCCAAGTCGCGGGCCTGGAGGTTTGTGTCGATTTCGTGGAAGGTCTCGACAACCTGCTCGACAAAGGTTTGGAAGAGGGACTTGGAGAAGCCCTCCTCGTCTTCGTCCATGGCCACGAGCTCGGAGAACACCAGCCATTCGATTAGGCCGGAGGACTGGAGTTTTAATTTTCTGAGCTCCATGGAGGGAGGGGCTGTGACGGAGGGGGAGGTTTCAGCAGTTGTTGCTGGGGCCGGGTCGGCGGCGGGCCCAGGCTCTGTGGCGGGGGCTGTGTGGGACATGGGGGAGGGGGAGGGGGGGTAGAGGAGGAGGATGGGGAGGATGGGGATGGAGGAAGGGAGGACTTGGAGACGGAGAGAAGGAGAGCCAACGGGTGGATTTAAAGAGTGCGACTCTCTCGAAGGAGAAGAAAAAGTGTGTAGGGGCTAGAACGCGCGAGGATGTGAGTGCGAGAGTGTAGGGCGCAGGTATTGAGAGCGCGCGCGCGCGCGCGCACGAGACGGTGGGTGTCAGGTGAAGTGTGGGGGAGGAGAGAGAGAGGAGAGGGAGGGGGAGAGGAGGGTAGGGAGTAGGAGGAGGTTAGGGGGGAGTAGGAGGAGGGTAGGGAGTAGGAGTAGGAGGAGGAAGAGGAGGAGGTTGGCAGATAGAGAGGCATCCCCCCCTTCGTTGGAGGTGGGTGTGCTGTTTAGGGGAGGACGGGTGTTTACAGAGTGTACGGTGAAGGTGTGTGCAGGAACGAGCACAAATGTAGATGACAGCGAAGGAGTAACGGCGAGAAGGGAAGGAGATTGAGGTAGGAGAAGGAGAAGGAGGAGAGGTAGCGGGAGGGGGAGGGGTGGCAGAGGAAGGAGAGAGTGGATGCTACAATAGGCTCTGACGCGAGAACAATGGGAGGGGGGGGGATGGAATTGAGTTGACGACCAGGAAAGTTTATAGGGAGGGAGGACAGCGAGTGATCGGTGGACAGGAGCCGCGACAGATCAGAGGAGGGCCACCCCAATTGGGAGAAATCACACATTTTCGCGCATACGTCATAGGACGCTTAATTGGAGGACGGGTGCAGGAAAACGAGGATGTAGGAGGGGTGACACAACGAGCAAGCGAGCGAGCGAGCGAGCGAGGGGCAGGTAGGAGAAGGCGGTAGGGTCGAGGCAGGTGGGGCGAGAGAAAGCTAGGGGGCCGGGGGCCGGGGGCAGGGAGGAGGGAGGAGAGAGAGAGACAGGGAGAGAGGCAATGGGAGAAGGGGGGCAGAGGGACTGGGGGGGAATCGGCATGTTAGGGCCGAGACCGACCGTTTTCTGTGTGTATCACGCGAGACTGACTAACTAAAGAGTTACGAGATTTGGAGCTGCAGGCCGGGAACCAATTCCTCGCCAGAGGAAGGAGGCCTCCACGGCCAGTGGCCCCCGGAGGGCCAGCGGAGCGGCTTGCATCCCCCGGAGGGCAGGCGTCCACTCGCTTCCCGGTGGGACTGGCGGACGCTCCGCTGGCCCCTGCTCGGGGGGAGCCACTGCGTGGGGCCTGGCTCCTCTTCGAGGAGACCTTGTGTTGGTGCGTAGGGGGGAGCGGCGGACTGACGTGGTGGTGTCCCCGGGGCCCCGTATGCAGGCGCTAGGGGCTAGGGGCTAGGGGCTAGGGAGAGAGAGAGGAAGGGAGAGAGGATGGGGGGGGGGGGGGGTGAGCTAAACTAAAAGGTGCTTTTGTGCAGCACGATAACGGTCATAGGGCCGGACAGCAGGCCATGACGGGCTGTGCGCGCAGCGACTAAGTGGTGGGACGATACCCAGGGCTTCCAATGGATCGGTCTAGATGAAGGAGGGGGGGGGGGCGAGACCCCCCGTGGATTTCGCGCAGTCGAGCGATTGAGCTGAAAGTCGCCGCCGGCCGGCGATGCAACGCTGCTTAGCTCATTTCAAGATGGCGGGTGGACCGCCCGTAACTGCTGTTGGTCTCGTGACGTGGTGGCTCTGGTTCGTGTCGAGCGCACAGGAAGTACGTCGCAGGACGTAGCTCAGGAACGGTGGCAGCGGCACCCGCAGTGACGGGGTGCGCCAACGGTAGTGGACGGACACCACAGGGAAGTCCGCCGCGCGCGCACACTTCCGCGCACGTGTCGCGTTGGAGGTTGCAAATTTTCGGCCCCGGGAGAAAAACTCCGCAGCCGGACCCGAGAGTCGCCACGACGAGGGGGGGCAATGGAGCAAGCCGCTGGCCATGCTCGCGACTAGACCTTGCGCGTATCCCTGTGTTTCCACCTGTGGGGGTGACGAGCAAGGCGGCGAGCTGATGGAGTTGGGGGGCCCGACAGGGGCACTGCGGTAGACGTAGAGACTGTAGACTACGTAGAGGCTGTAGAGGAGGGAAGGACTGTAGATTTCCCAGGGGCTGTAGACTTCCCAGGGACTGTAGAGGAGGGAGGGGTTCTGCCCTACGGGGACTGCAAGACGCTCCGCTGGCCCCTACCCGGGGAGGGCCACTGCGTGGGGCCTGGCTCCTCTACGAGGAGACCCTACAAGTTCTACAGGCTTCCTCGTCAGAGGAACAAGGCCCCCACGGCCAGTGGCCCACGGAGTGCCAGCGGAGCGTCTCGCAGACCCCGTAGAGCAGTCCCCTCACCTCCCTGCGGGACTGTAAGCCGCTCCGCTGGCCCCTGCTCGGGGAGAGCCACTGCGTGGTGCCTAGCTCCTCTGACGACGAGTCTCACGTGTTGCCCCCTTCCTCGTTAGAGGAACAAGGCCCCCACGGCCAGTGGCCCACGGAGTGCCAGCGGAGCGTCTCGCAGACCCCGTAGAGCAGTCCCCTCACCTCCCTGTAGGACTGTAAGCCGCTCCCCTGGCCTCTGCTTGTCGAGAGCGACTACCTGGTGCCTAGCTCCTCTGGCAAGGAGTTGCTCCTTCCTCGTTAGAGGAACAAGGCCCCCACGGCCAGTGGCCCACGGAGTGCCAGCGGAGCGTCTCGCAGACCCCGTAGATCAGTCCCCTGACCTCCCTGCGGGGCCAGCCAGCCGCTCCGCTGGCCCCTGCTCGGGGAGAGCCACTGCGTGGTGCCTAGCTCCTCTGACGAGGAGTCTCACGTGTTGCCCCCTTCCTCGTTAGAGGAACAAGGCCCCCACGGCTAGTGGCCCACGGAGTGCCAGCGGAGCGGCTTGCTACCCCCGGAGGGTACCCCACTCCCTCCCCCTAGAGCACCACGCCCCTGAACTCGGGACGTGGCCCTTGCTACAGACGTCCTACACACCGTCCTGTATACTCTATCTTATTCTACTCTATAGATCTCTACTGTCTTGGCCGGTCCCCCCCAGCAAGAGCCGGGGCGGGCGGCGACTTAGCGGGTCAACTCAAACAAATCGCCCAACTTGGAGGCGTAGTAGGTGGGGGCCACGTCGGCCGGTTGGGCCAAGACGGACTCCTCGGTCTCAATGCCTGTGAGCACCAACAAGGTGTCCAAGCCGCCCTCGCGGCCAAACCGCATGTCGGTGTTGAGTCTGTCCCCAACCATCAACCCACGCTTGGGGGTTGCCTTGAGCGCCGGGTGCATCTCCTTGATGGTGTTCATCATCGATTGGTTGGGCTTGCCGCATACGGCGTCCGGCTGGCGGCCACTGGCAAAGGAAACCGTTTCAATGACACTGCCGGCACCAATCAAGAGCTGACCCTTCATGGGGAAGGTCAGGTCGATGTTGGTGGCCACAAAGGGGATCGACTTGTTGTCCTTGAGGAGGTATTGCAACGTGATCAGGAGCTTGAGGTAGTTCAATGTGAGCGACAAGCCGGCGACCACACACCCAACGGCGGGGTCCAAGTGGCGCAATTGTGGATGTTCTGCGTCGAACTCAACGCCGCCACTGGTGAGGTCCGGGTCGGTACCGCCCACAGTGACATACCCCATTTCTGCCAATTCCTTCTCAATCCCCTTCTCTCCCAAAACCCAAACTTTCTTGTCCTTGGGGAGCTGGAGGATCCGTTCCACATACACCGCCAGGGCGTACGACGACCCAAACACCTCGTCCCGGGTGATCCCGGGGATCCCCAAGTTGGCGAACTTGCGCTCGTAGTCGGAGCGCGCCTTCGACGAGTTGTTGGTCACAAAGATGACGGTCTTGCCACTGCTCTTGAGAAGGGCAATGGTCTCGGCCACCAGCGGGAGAAGGTGGTCGCCGAGCCAGATCACGCCGTCACAGTCAAATAAAAAGTAGTCGTAGGAGTCGAGGAGGCCTGCAGCCTGCTCGCGGGTGGTGATTTTAGAGGCCATGGTGGAGCACGCGCGCGCGGTTTTGGTGGTGTTGGTGAGCGTTCCTCGTGCGGCCCGGGGGTGGGGGGGTCCCGCGACGGGGTTTTTCCCTTGAGGTGTTGATCCTGGCGGGGGGGTGTGTCCAGAGGGAGGGGGGGGTGCACTCGCACTCGCGCGACCCGTCTGGTTCGCGCGCGCACCTGGTCGCACCACCACGTTCCGAGACGGGTTTGCTCCGTCACATGACGAGGAGGTCCCCCCCCCGTCTGGTGGGGCTGGGAGTGGGAGGGGCAATGCGCGTGTGAGTCCCAGGGACGTCACGGGGGTCGTAGAGAGGGGTGAGGGTGCTTGCTGCCCTCCGGGGGTTGTAGGACGCTCCGCTGGCACTCCGTGGGCCACTAGCCGTGGAGGCCTTGTTCCTCTAGCGAGGAAAGGCAGGCACGTGACGCGAGTCTCCTCGTTAGAGGAGCCAGGCCCCACGCCAGTGGCTCTCCCCGAGCAGGGGCCAGCGGAGCGGCTGGCTGGCCCCGCAGGGAAGGGAGTCACTCGATGCCCTCCGGGGGTTGCAAGTCGTTCCGCTGGCACTCCGTGGGCCACTAGCCGTGGGGGCCTTGTTCCTCTAGCGAGGAAAGGCAGGCACGTGACGTGAGTCTCCTCGTTAGAGGAGCCAGGCCCCACGCCAGTGGCTCTCCCCGAGTAGGGGCCAGCGGAGCGTCTGACAGGCTCCACAGGGCAGTGAGTCGCAAGCACAGAGTACTCTGGGTTCCTGTAGGCCACCGTAGAGGAGCTGGATACAACGTCAGTGCCCCGAGTAGCGCCCAGCCCGCGTCAAGCCAGGGGCCACGGAAACTCTACCCCAGCTTCTCGTAGACTCTCTCTCTCTCTCTCTCTCTCCCTCCCTTCCCACTTGTCTACCAGCCTCTCTTTTCCTCTCTCCTCCCCCATGGCACCGCAGGGGATCCGCCTTGGAACAGTCCTTCTACATCTACAGCAGTGGGGCGGGGGCGCTGCTTCTACTGGTGCCTGACCGTGGCCCGGGCCTACATGTGTGTCAATGTAAATACGTGTATAGTGCTAAATGCAGATCTCCAGGGAGATTTTATATGTGGTGGGGGAGAACTGGAAAGGTCTCCGCGGAACGGTGGCAACAGAACCGGTGCGCCGGTGCATTGCCATTTTGGGGTTGGGGGTGAGGGGGGGGGGGAAATTGCCAGCCAGCCAGTGCGAATGCGAGCGTCAAAGCAGCGCGCACAATCGCGGCCAATTGGTCGTGAAGGTGAAGGGGAGAAGTAGGGGAGAAGTAGGGGGGACGGTGGAGGTCAGCAGGAGGTCACCAAGGGATCACCAAGAGGTGTAGCTCTCTGAGGGTCTCCTCCTGGATGGTCCCTGACCGCAGCCCAGGCCCAGGCCCGGGCCCGAGGGCCCACCTTAACGGTCGCCCGGTTGGACGGTGGCAGTGAAACGTGGGAAACGGAACTTGGACTTGTCCTGGTAGATCTCTTCCTCGAACTTGGCCCTTCTCTCTGGAGACATGGATTCGGCAACCAAGTCCTGTCTGGCCTTCTCGGCGAAGTATCTTCTGGCCTGCTGTCTGTCGGCCTCGGCAGTCAACAAGGGCTCCAAGTGGAAGCGCGCCCATTGTTTCTCGCGCGACAACTCACGCTGTTCGTCCACCCCTTGGTAGAAACGGTAGAACCCGTAGCCCATGAACCCGACGATCCCCCAGAAGTAGATCACCGGTCTGAACCCTCTCGAAGGGATATTTCTTTTCCACTGAACGGGCTCGTAGCCGCCGATAGGTGGGAGGTCTTGCATGCTGTGCTGGTGTGGTGTGATGTGGTGTGGTGTAAGGAGCGTCCCTGGTCTGCTCAATGGGGTGGTTGTTTTGTTGGACTCACTGTCTCTGACGTTTGCGTGTGCGGGCACTTTTTTTTTCTCTCTTTCCGCAGTGCGTGCACGTGGTTTTGTGTCACCAGCGTCTTACTATTTCTTGTGTTTCATTGGGCGGTGTAGACTTCCGCATTGGGCAGGAAGTGAGTGGGCGGGCTGGGCCCGGGGCCGGGGGGCCAGAGAGGGTGGATTGGCTGCGAAAGATTGTTCGCTGGCAGTCCCGTAGGGAAGTGAGTAGTAGCTGCCTGCCCTACGGGGTCGGTAAGCCGCTCCGCTGGCACTCCGTGGGCCACTAGCCGTGGGGGCTTTGCTCCTCTACGAGGAGAGTTACAAAAGGTACCCTGGACTAAACTGGGGATCTCCTCGTAGAGGAGCAAAGCCCCCACGGCTAGTGGCCCACGGAGTGCCAGCGGAGCGTCCTACAACTCCCGGAGGGCAGCAAGCACCCTCACCCCTTAAGCCGTACCACACGTCCCCGGACCCCACAGCCACCCCCCATCTCTACAATGACTCTGCCCAGGCTACCCTTCGTCTCTCTACGTCTCTCTACGTCTCTACACCTCTTGTCTTCTTTTACGCAATGTACATTCTACTACTTCATCTAAACCTATTTGATGTCAAACACCGGCTTCAACTTCTTGAGCAACACCCAGTCGTCTCTGCTGACAGTGTCTCTGAACGCAGGGTCCTTCAACGTGTCGATGGAACGTCTGGTGATCAAGGAGTACAAGTTGTCGGACTCGTCGACATGACGGCCCCAAACGGGTTGGGCAGCCGAAGGGTTGTCCAATCTCATGGCCACACCGGCGGAGGTTTGGCCCTTCTTGACGATGTCCAGTGACTTGTGGTTGACTTCCAATGAAACAACCTTACCGAGAACCATGATGTTTGGCTGCTTGGTGGCAGGGTCCGTACGAACGGCACAGATTGGGGTTCCGATACGGACAGCCCCCTCGATGACATCCACACCAATGATCATTGGGTTTCTCTTGTTGATGATCTGGATGGTCTTCAAAACACATGGCAAGATGGCGTACTCCATAAAGTCACGACGACGCACCTCCATGAGCTTGGCCTGGTAGGCGGTGAACGCGTCAAAGAGATGATAGATGATGTCGGCGTTGAAGATCTTGATCTTCTGTTCCTCGGCATATTGTTCGGCTTCCTTGTCGACCTTAACATCGAAACACAACATGACCGCAAGCTCTGGGGCCTTTTCAAGCATGGTGGTGGCCTTCATCACGTCACGCTTGAACACAGGACCCAATCCAATGGACATCACTGGGATCTTCATGTCTTTCAAGAAGTCCAAAAGAGCTTCCAAGGACCCCAAGGTGGAGGCCTGCACGACCACACCCTTACCGGAAGTGTCCACCAGGTCAAGCAACCCGGTCAAATCGTCCATGACCTCTTCCATGATCTCTTCTTCGTCGTCATCTTCTCCAACAACAATCAAACGAGACCCAGCAACGGCCTTTTCCAAGTCGTTGGCAGCAATCTTAACCCCCAAGGCGGCCTTGACCTCCTTGTGATGGACGTATTCAGACTTGATCCGCAATTCTCTCGATGGTGGTGGTGTCAAGAGAGCACGGATGTTGGTGGCGATGGGTCCGTTCAACCCACAGAGCACCACCCGGTCTCCCTCGCGCAAGATACCGTTGGACAACACCACATCGATGGTGTAACCGAACCCTTCGACAACCTTGACTTCCAAGATGGTGGCCTCAACCTTTGACAAGTACATCAATTGCTTGGACATTCTCTTTTGGGTCAATTCCAACAAGAGCCACAACAAATCGGGCACACCTTCACCGGTCACGGCAGACGTAGGGACAATGGACACATACTTGGAGATGTTCTTGTTCTGGTAGTACAACTCAGAGTTCAACCCTTGCTCGGCAAGAGCAACCTTGATCTGGTCATAACGGTTCTGGAACTCGGCCTGGACAGACTTGGTTTGACGGGCAAACGAGTCTCTGAAGGAGTTGTTAGGGATCTCCTTCCAGTCGTAGAGTCTATCGATCTTGTTGAGCGCCACCACGAATGGAGCCTTTCTGTCTCTCAACAAACGGATGGACTCGATGGTTTGTTGTTCAAGCCCGTGCATGATGTCAATGACAAGAATGGCAATGTTACAAAGCGACGACCCTCTGGAACGCAAGTTGGTGAAAGACTCGTGCCCTGGAGTATCGATGATAAGAAGCCCAGGGACTTCAAACGATTGCTTTTCGTATTGCGCCATGACGGCGGTCTTTTGTTTGATGGCATCCACAGGGAAGTATGTGGCACCAATCTGTTGGGTGATCCCACCGGCTTCTCCTCCTTGCACGTTGGTTTGACGCACCTTGTCAAGAAGCTTGGTCTTACCGGTATCGACGTGACCAAGAATACAACAGATAGGAGAACGGAGGTCACCTCCTTCGCTGGAAGGAGCAGAGGAGCCGGATGCAGAGGTCTTGGCAAGGGCCTTCTTCTTTTCAGCAGCAGCCTTTTCTTCAGCAGCCTTCTTCTTTTCAGCAGCGGCCTTCTCTTCAGCAACTCTCTTCTTTTCAGCAGCAGCAGCCTTTTCTTCAGCAACTCTCTTTTCTTCAGCGACTCTTTCAGAGTCTTCTTCAGAGACGTCTTCTTCTTCTTCAGCGGCTTCTTCTTCGCTATCTTCAGCCAAGGCAGCCCAGTCGTCAGCAACTGGTTCGTCAGCCAAAGCTTCCCAATCGTCAGCTAAGGCTTCCTCGTCATCGTCCTGGTCAACCTTCTTCTCTTCCTTCTTCTCTTGTTGGCCACGTTGAACAAAAGTCTTAGGCTTGGTAGACTTCTTCTTGCCGTACACAACCTTCTTAGGCTTTTCAGAGGCAGAGTTGTTGTTGTTGTCTCTCTGTAACCCGGCAACTACAACATTCCCTTGAAGAAGTTGTTCTCTTCTTCTGTCTTGCAACTTCTTCTCTTCCTTTTGCTTCTTGGTCAAAAGCTTCCCCTCGGCCTTGAGCTGCTCCTTCTTGAGTCTTTCCTTTTCTCTCTTGGCGGCACGGGCAGCCTCCTTAGCGGCTTCTTGTTCGGCCTCAAGCTTCTCCTCGGCGGCCAACTTGGCCTCTTCTTCCTCTTCAAGACGCTTTTGCTCGTCCTCGAGTTGTTTCTTCAACTCCAATTGCTTTCTCAAGGCTGCAAGACCAGCTGGGACCTTCTTAGCAGGCTTCTTAGCGGCGGCGGCTGGAGTAGCAGCTGGGGCATCCCCACTAGCTTCCACCTCAGGAGTGCCACTGGCACTCTTACTGGCATTCTTGGCGTTCTCCTTGTTGGCGTTCTTGATCTCCTCCTTCTTGGCCGCCTGTTGGGCCTTCTTCTTGGCCGCCTGTTCCTTCTTCAATTCCTTTTCCTTTTCCTTCTTCAACTTTTCCTTTTCCTTCTTGGAGAGAATCTTTGGGGCTCCTCCATCGTTCTTACTCTTCTTTTCTTCATCTTCCTTGGCCTTCTTCTTATTCTTTGAAGAACGGATGGACGAAAGGAAGTCATCTTCTGGGAACTCGTCATCAGCAGTGGCGGCCTCAGCACCTTCAACAGCACCTTCAACGGAACCTTCAGCGCCTTCAGCAGCACCTTCAGCATCTCCACTGACTTCCCCAATGACTTCCTGTTGCAACAGCTCGTCCTGGGAGTCTTCATCCCAATCGCCGGCTCTGGCTTGCTTCTTAGATTTCTTCGCCATTCTTACGTTTATGCTTGAATCTGTAGCTCTTATCCTTTTTCCCTGGCCTTTCTCTTTAGATCTGCTCTTCAGGCTTGTCGTGTGGATTTGAAATTTTTTCACGCCTGTGCACGACCGGCCAGGAGGGAAGTGCGTGCTGCTGCGATCTTGCCACCCAAGGCACTACGAGCCCTCACCCCTAGAGGGAGTATGCTCTAGAGTGTCAGCTGGCCACGTCCATGGTCTCTTCTGGACGTGGAGGGTACTCCTCGTCAGAGGAGTTAGGCACAACGCCAGTGGCTCTCCCCGAGCAAGGGCCCAGCGGAGCGGCTGGGAGACCCCGTAGGGAGGTGAGTAGCTGCCTGCCCTCCGGGGGTTGCAAGCCGCTCCGCTGGCACTCCGTGGGCCACTGGCCGTGGGGGCCTTGTTCCTCTGACGAGGAAGGTTGTAGGACATGTAGATCTCCTCGTCAGATGAGCTAGGCACCACGCCAGTGGCTCTCCCCGAGTAGGGGCCAGCGGAGCGGCTCACCAACCCCGTAGGGAAGTGAGTAGCTGTCTGCCCTCCGGGGGTAGCAAGCCGCTCCGCTGGCACTCCGTGGGCCACTAGCCGTGGAGGCTTTGTTCCTCTAGCGAGGAATTGAGTAAGGAGATTGTAGAGGATGTAGGTCGCACAGCATTTGTTCTCACACGAACAGGAAGGCAGGGACTCAGTGGATGGGTTGAGAGAGACCACAGAGGGCAGAGGGTAGTTGGGTACTGTTTCTGGTGGAGATTGTAGAACGCTCCACTGAAGAAGTATGTCCTTGTAGATTGTAGATCTCCTCACAGTGGAGGTGGGTCAGGCCGGAGGGCCCTCACTCTAATGGTTCTCCTTGAGCAGGGGCTCAATGGATTGACAGGAAGATCTCCTCCCGTAGGTGGGAGGACAGGGAGTAGTAGGTACTACCCTCTGGGGATTGTAGGGCGATCTAATGGCACTCCATGAGCCACTGGCCGTGGTGGCGTTGTTCCTCTAATGTGGTGCAGTCTCCAATTTAGAGCCGCCTACGAGTTGGTCTCGATAGACGGAGAACAGTTCCAAAGCCTGAAGGTGTGACCAGAATAACTTTGAGACCATCAGATGTAGTAACCCGTAACGTGTAGTATAGGTAGTAGTCTATCAATGTAGGTGTGTAATTAGGGGCTGTAGGGGGAGAGGGTGGTTGCTGCTCTTTCTCTTTTGTTTTGGTTTTTTGCAGCACTTTGCGCGTAAATGGCGGTAAAAAACAAAGAGGCGCCCTGAGAGGGAAAAGAGGGAGCCACACGTAGAGACAAGGAGAGAGATAAGGGGAGAGATAAGGGGGCTGGGACAAGGGGGGACGGAGAGAAATGCAGGGGGGAAGAGTCTGAGATTCTCTGGTGTGTTTCTTATCCAGGGAGGGCCATGACATTTGCTCCAAGCAAATATTTTTGCAACCAATTCCTCGCCAGAGGAACACGAGCCTCCACGGCTAGTGGCCCACGGAGTGCCAGCGGAGCGTCTCGCAACCCCCGGAGGGCACCCAGTCACTCCCTTCCCTGCGGGGGCAGCCAGCCGCTCCGCTGGCCCCTGCTCGGGAGAGCCACTGCGTGGTGCCTAGCTCCTCTACGAGGAGAGTTGCAAGAGGTACCCTGGACTAAACTGGGGATCTCCTCTCTAGAGGAACAAGTCCACCACGGCTAGTGGCCCATGGAGTGCTAGTGGAGCGGCTTCAAACCCCCGGAGGGCACCCAGTCACTCAATTCCCTGCGGGACTGCGGGCCGCTCACCTGGCCTCCTACCCAGGGAGGTCTACTTGTGTAGACCCTAGTTCACTTGGTGAAGCGTTCACCCATTGACTAATGGCTAGGGGGTGCCAGTGGAACACCTCATAACCCTCAGAGGGTTCTACCAACTACTCCATACCCTACAGAGTCTCCATTGAGCGTTGATGAGGGAAAATCTTTCGAGCTCCCAAATGTCATCATTTCCCAGTCACGCTCACCTACAATGTATCTTCTACACTTCTTGTTCTGGAATACGAGGGAGCTCTTCCAGTCGCTCTACAGCCAATAGAGGTAAAGCTTCCTGGTCAGAGGAATGAGCACCTCACTGGACTGCGACCCATTTTCCCCAGGACTTAAGCTGCTCGGATGGGATCCCGACAACTACACGGGGAGAGCCACTAGCAAGAGCCCGGTTTCTCTACGAGGAGTTCCAACAATCTGTAGGCCTAGATTTCCATCTACATCTCTCCTCAAAGAAGAGCAGTGCCACAGGGCCACTCACAGTGTAGTGACCCAGGGCCAAGGAGTACCAAAGGAAAGCATCATATACCGACTACTGCCTGCCCTACGAAAGCTCCCAGACACTCCATTGTGCCTCTACTCAGCTTATTACTTAGCTCTTCTACCAGGAGATCTACAATGTACGGGGACATTCCTCACTAGAGGAACAAGCCCCCTTCCACTCCCAATTGCCTCCAGAGTGCCAATGGAGCGGCTTGCAACGTCCGGAGGGAAGGCAACTACCATTACCCACCCCGTGGGACTGCAAGTCGCACCTCTAGCCCTTACTCGAGGAGAGCCACTGGCGTGGTGACTAGCTCATCTACGGTGACCTATTAGACCCAAGAGTCCTCTGAACGCACGACTCACTGCACTGTGTGACTGTAAGTCGCTCCGCTGGGCCCCTACTCGGGGAGAGACACTGGCGTGGTGTCTAACTCCTCTACGAGGAGATCTACAAGAACTACAGTCTTCCTCGTCAGAGGAACAAGGCCTCCACGGCTAGTGGCCCACGGAGTGCCAGCGGAGCGGCTTGCTACCCCCGGAGGGCAGACAGCTACTCACCTCCCTACGGGGTTGGTGAGCCGCTCCGCTGGCCCCTACTCGGGGAGAGCCACTGGCGTGGTGCCTAGCTCCTCTACGAGGAGATCTACAGATCCTACAACCTTCCTCGTCAGAGGAACAAGGCCCCCACGGCCAGTGGCCCACGGAGTGCCAGCGGAGCGGCTTGCACACCCCATAGGGACAGGGAACCCCCCGCAAGCGTTGGATACCACCTGGCTGGCACAGCACCTCTCCCAGATCCCCTCCCCCTACGGTCACTCACAGGACCCCACCGAGCTCCACAGACGCCTCAGGGTGCCCTACGACCACCTAGAAGCCCGCAAACTGGTGGTTCGGTCTATGCGCACTCTTTGCTCTGCGCTGCTCGCAGACCCTCATAAAAATTTTAAAGGTCCTCTCTGCCAGACAAAAGAAACGAACGAACGAGTGAAATTTTTCTTTTTCTCACCAACGCCTCCCCGTAGAACAACCACAGGGCATCATGACGACCGTAGAAAAGATCAAGGCCATCGAGGATGAGATGGCCAAGACGCAGAAGAACAAGGCCACCTCGTTCCACTTGGGTCAGCTTAAGGCCAAGCTTGCCAAGCTCAGAAGAGAGCTTCTCACCGACTCCTCTGGAGGAGGAGGAGGTGGTGGAGCCGGGTTCGATGTGGCCCGTACCGGTGTGGCCACCATCGGGTTTGTTGGGTTCCCCTCGGTCGGGAAGTCAACATTACTTTCCAAGTTGACCGGGACACACTCTGAGGCTGCTGCCTACGAGTTTACCACCTTGACCACAGTCCCAGGGACCATCAAGTATAAGGGGGCCAAGATCCAAATGCTTGATCTCCCGGGGATTATTGAAGGGGCCAAGGACGGTAAGGGTCGTGGTAAGCAAGTCATTGCCGTCGCACGGTCGGTCAACTTGTTGTTCCTTGTGCTTGACGTCAACAAGCCGCTCCAACACAAGAGAATCATTGAATATGAACTTGAAGGGATGGGGATCCGGATCAACAAGCAGCCACCAAACATCGTGATCCAGAAGAAGGAAAGAGGAGGAATCAACATCACCAACACCGTGCCACTCACGCATTTGGACAACGATGAGATCAGAGCCGTGATGTCCGAGTACAAGATCAATTCCGCCAACATTGCGTTCAGATGTGACGCCAACGTCGACGACTTGATTGACGCCATCGAAGCCAAGGCCAGAAGATACATCCCGGCCATCTATGTGTTGAACAAGATCGACTCGTTCTCCATCCAAGAGCTCGATCTCTTGTACAAGATCCCAGATGCCATCCCAATTTCGTCCGGGAACGGGTGGAACTTGGACGACTTGCTCGAGATGATGTGGAGCAAGTTGGAGCTTGTCCGGGTGTACACGAAGCCCAAGGGGAAGCTTCCGGACTTCAACGAGCCCGTGGTGTTGCGTAGTGACCGTTGTTCCGTCGAGGACTTCTGTAATCTGATCCACAAGTCGTTGGTGGACGATTTCCGTAACGCCGTGGTTTTCGGCAAGTCCGTCAAGCATCAGCCCCAGATCGTTGGGTTGGCCCATCCTTTGGAAGATGAGGATGTCATCACCATTTTGAAGAAGTAGACGAACGAACAAGAGAGAGAAGAGAGAGGTGTGTAGAATAGAGAATATAGGACCACAAACAAGACGAGAGATGATGTAGAGAGAGGAGGAGAAAGGGTGAGGAGACTTTGTAGTTGGCGCCACGATTCAGGAGTCGAGAGAGCCACATGATTCCCCACGGGGGGTTTAGGACGCTCCGCTGGCACTCCGTGGGCCACTAGCCGTGTGGGCTTTGCTCCTCTACGAGGAGAGTTACAAGGTACCCTGGACTAAACTGGAGATCTCCTCGAGCAGGGGCCAGCGGAGCGGCTGGGAGACCCCGTAGGGAAGTGAGTAGCTTCCTGCCCTCCGGGGGTTGTAGGACGCTCCGCTGGCACTCCGTGGGCCACTAGCCGTGGGGGCGTTGTTCCTCTAGCGAGGAATTTAGTAGTCACTAACCAGGAGAGTCTCCTCGTAGAGGAGCCAGGCCCCACGCCAGTGGCTCTCCCCGAGTAGGGGCCAGCGGAGCGGCGTACAGTCCCACGGGGAAGGGGGTAGGTCAACCTACGAGGTGGATATCGACTTGTTACCCTCCGGGCTTACAATCCTCTCTACTGGCATTCCGTGGGCCACCAGTCCTGGGAAGACTGTAGTACTTGTAGATCTCCTTGGTAGAGGAGCTAAGCACCACCTAGTGGCTCTCCCCGAGCAGGGGCCAGGGGAGCTGCTTGCAGTCCTACGGGGAAGGCAGTGGACCAGTCCACAGAGTGACAATGTAGCAGCTCTTAGGGAATGCGGCCATTTAGGGAACTGACTGCCTACGGGGGTCACTAGTCGATGAGAATAGTAGCAGGAGGCCCAGCTTCTCTTAAAGGAGACGAGATCTCTTCAGCGGAGTTGTAGACCATGTAGTTAAGAGTAGGAGTGCTTCTTCCAGAGAGATGATCAGTCCGTGGCCCTAAGTGTAACTGGAGAGAAGTGGGGGATTACTGGACGAAGGTAGAAGTGTTTACAACGTGGCACATTCTAGAGAGAGAGAGAGAGAGAGAGAGAGAGACTGCCCCTGGCAATGTCTATGAAGGGTCTGTGATTCGAGCTTCCCTTCAGTAGGGTAATTTTTACAGCCAAGCTCCTCTGTGAGAACAACTTCCAGAGACGGTAACAGACGTAGTGTCTTACAGTCCCCGTACAGACTCCGTAAGGAAGGGGCAGCTCACTCCCCTACGGGGTGTGCAAGCCGCTCCGCTGGCCCCTACTCGGGGAGAGCCACTGCGTGGTGCCTAGCTCCTCTACGAGGAGACTCTCCTGACTACTGGCTGCTAAAATTTCCTCGTAAGAGGAACAACGCCCCCACGGAGTGCCAGCGGAGCGTCCTACAACTCCCGGAGGGCACCCAGTCACTCACTTCCCTACGGGGTCTCCCAGCCGCTCCACTGGCCCCTGCTCGGGGAGAGCCACTGGCATGGGGCCCAACTCCTCTGCGAGGAGATCTACAGATCCTACAATCTTCCTCGTCAGAGGAACAAGGCCCCCACGGCCAGTGGCCCACGGAGTGCCAGCGGAGCGGCTTACATACCCCGTAGGGTGAGCACTAGTCCCCTGCCCTGCGGGGTTGGTGAGACGCTCCGCTGGCCCCTACTCGGGGAGAGCCACTGCGTGGTGCCTAGCTCCTCTACGAGGAGACTCTCCTGACTACTGGCTGCTAAAATTTCCTCGTTAGAGGAACAAGGCCCCCACGGCCAGTGGCCCACGGAGTGCCAGCGGAGCGGCTTACATACCCCGTAGGGTGACCACTAGTCCCCTGCCCTGCGGGGCTGTAAGACGTAGGGTGACCCACTAGTCCCCTGCCCTCGTACGTGGCTATCACACGCTCCCTTCTTCCCACCAGTGGGACGGACCCGCGCCATTCCCACTTAAACCCCCAAATGCCCGCCCGCACACCAGCACAAGGGCCAGCCGCGCCAGTGCCTCCCACCTACCCCCCTCGATAGCGCGAACGCCTGGGTCCCACCACGCAAACGCGCGTCAAACGGTTTGCAAAGTGTACACAAAATCAAAATAAAAAGATTTTTTTTTTTCTTTTAATTTTTTTTTTTTTTTGTCAATGAGAGGCCCTTGAGACTTTTTCGCTCAATGGGATTCTTTCCGATTAGACCCACTTGCTCCTTTAAGTACACACAAACAGTTTAACAAAAAAAAATGAGTGCCTTGCAACCGGACGTCCATGCCACGTTGTTGCAGCTTCTCAGCGGGTTGGTCTCTGCCGACAACGCCACGCGGGCGGCTGCGGAAAAGTCGTTGGAGGCCGAATGGAGTCAACGGGAAAACGTTGAGATGTTGTTAATTTTCCTTGCCGAACAGGCCACTGCTGGTGAAAACGATACCATTCGTTCATTCCTGGCGGTTCTCTTCCGTAGAATCGCCATCCGAATGCCAAGAGATCCGCTGGTTCTGCTGGTGACCGATCGGACCATTGATTTGGTTTCAATTCCGGTCAAAACCGAGCTCCGGAAGTTGTTGTTGACCGGATTTACCGCACCACAACAAAATATGGTGAGACATAAATTGGGGGATGCTATCGCCGAAGTGGCAAGAGAAAGTGGAGAACAAAAGAAAAATAATAATAATAGTGGGGGTGCGGATGATTGGCCTGAATTGATCCCCATTCTATTCTCCCTGGCAACCAATCCCAATGATTCATCATTCAGGGAGTCGGCATTTAGAGTATTTTCCCTGACTCCTGAACTTATAAGTAGTCAATATTTCGCCACTGCTCTCCCCGTGTTCAATGCTGGGTTTGAAGATGATTGTGATGATGTTCGAATTGCTGCTTGTTCTGCGTTTGTGGCATTTTTCCAAGGGTTACCCAAACGTCATTGGAATGATATGGCGCCCCTTTTACCAAATTTATTGAATTCTTTGCCGCGATTTCTTCAAAATGGACAGGATTCAGCATTAGCCGCGGTATTGGAAAGTCTTATTGAATTGGTTGATTTGGCCCCTAAGCTTTTTAAAGATATGTTCCCCACCATCATTGGATTTTGTCTGCAAGTTGCCACCAAAAAGGATGAAGTAGATGGGGCTACACGGATGGCTGCATTGGAATTATTGACCACCTTTGCTGAAGTGTCCCCCGCCATGTGTAAGAGAACGCCCAGTTATACCGAAAGTATGGTGACAAACACCTTGTCAATGTTAACCGAGGTTTGTATTGATGATGATGATGCCGCGGAATGGAATAATAAAGACGAGGACGGGGTGCAGGATGGCGACGATGAGGATGATGAACCAGAATATGAAGCTGCTCGTCAAGCTTTGGATAGAGTTGCCTTGAAATTGGGCGGTCAAGCTTTAGCTTCTCCACTTTTCCAATACCTCCCACAAATGATCAATAGTACCGATTTCAGACAAAGGCAAGCCGCGTTGATGGCTCTTAGTGCCGCAGCCGAAGGTTGTAGTGACGTGTTGATGAGTGAAATCCCTCGTATCTTGGATATGATTCTCCCCACCTTACAAGATCTGCATCCACGGGTTCAATATGCCTGTTGTAATGCCTTGGGTCAGATGTCAACCGATTTCGCCGACGTCATGCAAAGAACTGTAGGTGATAGAGTGCTTCCAGCCCTCATTGGCATGCTTACCAACAAGTTTGTTCCCCGGGTGCAAACCCATGCGGCAGCAGCTTTGGTCAATTTCTCAGAAAATGCCTCCAAAGAGGTCCTTGAACCATATTTGGACCTGCTTTTAAACAATCTCTTGGTCTTGTTGAACTCTCCTAAACGTTATGTCCAAGAACAAGTCCTCACCACCATTGCAATCATTGCCGACTCCGCAGAAAAGAAGTTTGCCACCTACTATGACACCCTCATGCCACTCTTGATCTCGGTTCTTCGCTCGGAAGATGCCTCCCATAAGGTCCTAAAGGCTAAATGTATCGAATGTAGTACTCTCATTGCCCTTGCAGTCGGTAAGGAAATGTTCTTGCCCCTCTCGCAAGAACTCATCCAATTGTTTGGCTACATCCAACAAACCGCCACCGAGGACGATGACCTCATCAAGAGCTACTTGGAACAAGGTTGGGGTCGTATTTGTCGTATTTTGGAGCTGGATTTCCTTCCATATCTCCCACTGGTGCTCCCACCATTATTAATTTCAGCCAAGGCTACTCAAGACATTTCTCTCTTGGACGAGGAAGAAGTTGAGGAATTCGATAACAATCCGGAATGGGATGTCATTAGTCTTTCAGGGAAGATGATTGCCGTTCATACTGCTTCTCTCGACGACAAGCAACTGGCCATGGACTTACTCCGGACCTACGCCATCCAACTCAAGGGAGACTTCCAACCATGGGTCCGTGAAATCGTCGAAACCATTGCCATCCCAGCCCTAGACTTTTATTTGCATGATGGGGTCAGAGGGTCTGCTGCACTCACCTTGGCGGCTTTACTCCGTTGTTCCGTCATTGCCACGGGCGCTCAAAGCAACGAAACCGTCTCGCTTTGGACCCAAATCTGTAACAAGTTGATGGAGGTTCTTGCCGCCGAACCGGTCGCTGAAGTCTTGGTGGCCAACTACACCTCTCTTGTCGAATGTGTTGCTGCCTTGGGCTCCACACCTGCGTTCACCACCCAAGATCAACTCGAACAAATGAGCGAATGCATCAACACCAACTTGACCGAGATCTACTCGCGCATCAAGTCCCGTGACAACGAGGACGACGAGTACACCGAGGACGTGGATGAAGAAGAAGATGAATACACCGACGAGGAGCTTCTCGATGAAATCAACAAGGCTGTGTCGGCCATCGCCAAGAACACCAAACAGGCATTCCTTGTTGTGTTCAGCACCTTGGCCCCCACCGTGGCCACCTTCATCCAGGACGAGAACACAAACGTCAAGCTCTGTGGGTTATGCATCATCTGCGACGTCTTGGAACGTACCGCCGAGGAACTGGGCGCCTACCACGACATGTTTGTGGCCGCCATTGGCGAGTCTCTCAGCTCTTCGCATGCTGGTGTCCGCCAGGCCGCCTTCTTTGCCGTGGGCATTGCCGCACAACATGGTGGCGAGACCTACAGATCGTTCTGCTTGTCATGCTTGGAGCCAATGTTCAAGATGACCCAAGTGCCAGACGCCCGTGCTGAGGAAAACATCCTTGCCACCGAGAATGCCGTCAGCGCCATCGCCAAGGTGTGCCGCTCGTACGGAGCAGACATCCCGGGGCTTGACGCCGTGCTCCAGCAATGGGTCACATTGTTGCCCGTGGTGCAAGACGAAGAGGCCGCTCCATTTGCATACTCCTTCTTGGCCGAATTGGTCAAGAACAACCACCCGGCGGTCGTCTCGCAATTGCCCAAGGTGGTGGACTCAGTGGTGCAAGCGCTCACCCATGCGTCGATCGCAGGCGCCACCGCGGAGCGTACCGTGGCTGCCGTCAAGCAAGCCCTCGGAACGATCCCACAAGCGGACGCGGTTGCTCTCATGGGTAAGTACCCAGCCGATGTTCAAATTGTCATCCAGAAATGGTTTGCTTAGAGATGTGTATAGAATAAGATAATAGTAAGACAGTTCACTTTGTAGACATGGGTACCTTCCTCGTCAGAGGAACAAGGCCCCCACGGCTAGTGGCCCACGGAGTGCCAGCGGAGCGGCTTGCACACTCCCGGAAGGCAGGCTGCTACTCACTTCCCTACGGGGTCGGTGAGCCGCTCCGCTGGCCCTCCGGGGGCCACTAGCCGTGGAGGCTTAGCTCCTCTTCGAGGAGTCCTTTGTTCTTCTTTCTACAAGAGACTCATGGGTTCCCTGGCTATATCTAGCGGAGGGGTGCACCACCAAATGCTACACCCTACTACACACAGAGGGGGGGGGGGGGGGGGTAACCACGGCTACATTGGTAAGGGTATGATCTACGTCCTCGTCAGAGACATAAGAGCCTCCAGGGCTAGTTTCCCCATGGATTGGAGTGTCCGTCCTCCACCCCCTTAACCTCACGTGACCGTCAATCTCCAGGTGGGGTGTGTGTAAGCCGCTCCGCTGGCCCTCCGGGGGCCACTAGCCATGGATCTCCCCCAGTTCCTCTATCATGCAAGTCTCGAAAGAACCTCCTCGCTAGAGGTGCTAAGCCTCCACGGCTAGTGGCCCCCGGAGGGCCAGCGGAGCGACTTATACACCACCCCCCCCCCCCCCCCCCCCAACTTCCTAGGATCTATCACGTGTCTGTGTCACGTGCACAGTTCAGAGCTCTGAATGTTTTTTAAGATTTTTGCGGGATCAGGGCAAATCGACGGATCAGGTAAACAAAGCGCGCACGGGACACAGAGAGACCAACCGCGGGAGGGAAAAGAGAAAGGGACCCCTTCACCTAAGACAAGACCCATACACAAGCGGGAACCACCGAGAGTCTGAAAACCCACCGTGCAAAACATGTCAGCCAAACCAAAGAGACAATCGTTGAGCACGATCGAGTCGAGTGTGACGAGGTTATTGGTGTCCACCAAACATCTTTTGGAGAGTTTGACCGCATGGGCGGCCCGTGAGGCCGACGACAAATTTGTGTCGGACGCCTACGTGAAGTTGGGGAATGACTTCCGTGCGAGTGTGCGGGCGTTCACGCACGCGGGCGTGGACGTCAGCGACTTGGGGGACGTTCCACAGGCGTTGCGGATCATTTTGGAGGCCGCGTTGAGCGAACCACCAAGTCAACAGAGTTTGGATAGATTTTTACCCAACATTCGGAATATTATTGTGACTTTGTTGCAGAGTTTGAAGGGGAAGCAGATGAGAGCAAGGCAGGCAACATCCGGGGCAACAACCGGGGCGATAGCCCTGGCAGGAGCCACGGGCCTGGCAGGAACTTCAGCCCTGACAGGGCTGGTTGGAGGTCAAACAGGATCTGGACCAGGATCTGGACAAGGATCTGGAAGTCTGGCTGGAAGTCTGGCTGGAGCTGGATCTGGAAATGTAGGAGGTCTGGTTGGATCTGGATCTGGAATTGTAGGAGGAACTGTAGGACGAAGAGGGTCATCGACGAGTCTGGGAGTGCCTGTACGTTCATCCCTGGCACTGGTTGTGACTGGTGGTCAGACTAGTGGTGTGGCCGCGGGTTCGACCCTGGGCCCGTCCACGAGGGGGGAGTCTGGTAGAGGTAGTAGAAGCTCACCAGATCGAGACATATTGGAAGGTGGAGGCAGAAGTGTCACTGGAACTGGAACTGGAACACGTCACCGGGACAGAACGTCCAATCTGCCCAGTAGAACGTCTAGTCTGCCCAGCCGGATGGAAAGAAGACAAAGCAACCCCTCGAGGGAGTTCCCCGACCGTGTGACGAGCCGGGGGAAGATCTCCAGTCTGCAAGGGATGTTACCTCCCCCACCACCTCCTCCTCCTCCTCCTCCTCCTACAACTACTTCAGGTGGCAGTTCACCTGCCAGTTCGAATATGACCGCTCATGGGAATGGTCATGGGAACTCTGCAGCCACGGCAGATGCGCTTCTCCAACTTCAAAAGGGGAACTCTCTTCAGAGAAGAGCATCGAAACGGTTTTCGGCATACCAATATGCGAAATTGACCAACCATTCTCCGTCATTACCCAGCATCTCCAGTGGCAATCGGATGCTAGAAGTGCCCGGAGGTCTGAACCGGTCCTCGTTGATCAGCGAGGGTTCCAGAGATACCACGAGGGATATGGAGGAGTCAGGAGAAATCAACAGGTCCGCAGACCAATCTACTGTGGAAGCATCGGGAGACTTTTTGAAGGATTCCAAGAGGAACTCGGGAATTAGCCTGGGAATAGGGTCTGGTAATGGCTCAGGAGTTGGTGGGTTGGCTGGAGCTGGAGCTGGGGCTGTAGGAGGATCGTTTGCTGGAGCTGGTACTACCTCCGGCTCCGCCTCCGGTAGTGTCTCTAGACTCTTCCTCCGAATCAATAACCGGACCAAAAGAGTCCCCGTGGAACTCCCCATCACTTTCAACGCCCTTCGACTTTTATTTGTAGAAAAATTTGGCTATTCCCCCGGGGGAAACGCCTTCCCCGAGATCTATATCCAAGACCCACAGACCAAAGTCATGTATGAATTGGAAGAACATATGATTGGAGTGGATGTCAGAGAGGGGAGCCTTCTCTCCTTGAATGAAGAGGCCGACAGTGAGAAGTTTGGTAGAAAATTGGAGTCCAAATTGGGCGAAATGATGGGCAAATTCGAGGAGATCGTAAGAAAGGGAGGTGAAAGACTGGATGAAAAGATGGAGGAGTTGAGAGAATTGGTGGAGAAGAGCCTGAGTGTGGAACTGAGAAAGTTGGTAGAGCTGGAACTGAGCCAGAAGGTGGAGCTGGAACTGAAGAAGATTGTAGAAAAATCTGTGGAGACTCTGCAACAAAAGCTGACGCTGTTGTTGCCACTGTTGTCGGAGATCACCCACCAAATCAAAATCATCAAACAACTCCAAGCATCCCAAACCCAATCGCAACTCTCCTCGATCACCTCGGCCCAATCGCAACTCTCCTCCCTTCAAACAGCCTCCATATCCTCGTCCAAATCCTCCAACAGGTCCTACATGGACACCTGCCACACCAAGCTCTCGGAGGAGTCCGATCTGCTTCTCACCAAGGTGGACGACCTCCAGGACATCATGGAGGCGCTCCGCAAGGGCGTGGCGCAACGTGGCGTCCGCGTGGGCGAAAAGCAACTCAAGACAACCTTCAAGGAAATCCTGGAGGCCAAGACATCCCTTCTCACCATGAAGGGATACATCACCAACGAGAAGCCCAATTGGAAACGCATTTGGGAGTCGGAGTTGGACTTGGTCTGCGAGGAGCAGCAGTTCTTCAACCTTCAAGATGACCTCACCCAGGACTTGGAGGACGACATCAAGCGGATAGAAGAGACGTTCGAATTGATTGAACAATGTCTGTTGGAGCAAAGCAAACAAACCTCGTACAAGCGCAACAAGTTCATGGCCCAATTGCATATCCCGGAACCAGGAGAGTCGCTCCACTCGACCAAGGACGCCATCTTGAACGAGGTGGCCGCCCTCAAGCCGAACCACGAGGGCCGGTTGGAAGCCATTGAAAGGGCTGAACGGTTGAGAGAACGCGAGCGAGAAATGGTATCCCTCACCAAGTTCCAGGCGGAATTGGAAGGCTTTGTCGATGACTCCAAATTGAAGAAGAGTGGCGGCATTGACGAGCTCGAACGGATGAGAAAGTTGAAAGACGAAGAGAACTTGAAGAGCAGTTTTGGCGTGTTCTAGGCATGTGCGTTGTGTATTATTAAGGAACTACTTATAGAGTGAAATACCAAGCGTCTGGATTATTAACATGTAGTATCTAGCTAGACCCACCTCACTTTCCTCGACAGAGGAACAAGGCCTCCACGGCTAGTGGCCCACGGAGTGCCAGCGGAGCGGCTCGTAAGCCCCGCAGGGAAGGGGGGTACCGCCCTACGGGGTCTGTAAGACGCTCCGCTGGCCCCTGCTCGGGGAGAGCCACTGCGTGGTGCCTGGCTCCTCTACGAGGAGGCTCTCCTGGCTGCTCACTTCCTCGTAAGAGGAACAGGGCCCCCACGGCTAGTGGCCTACGGAGTGCCAGCGGAGCGGCTTACTAGCCCCCACGGAGGAAAGAGTGGTGCCACCGTACAGGGTCTGTAGAGAGGGTCTGTAGTCTGTAGGGAGCCTGACGAGTGCTTTACCTGACCGATCTGAACATCTCTCCGCAGAACAATTGGGATACGCCCCGTAACGTTGGGTTCACGTTGAAGTGGGTTTTCACACAATCACAGAAGACGGAGGCCAAGGCCGCGGCGTCTGCCTCGGAGCCGTTGACTAGTGTGAAGCGCTGGATCGTGGTGTTGAGTAGCCTGTCCAAAAAGTCCATACATGGCTGCGGTTGGAAAGATTGGGCTCCGTTCTTCCTCATCATGGAAGAGATGTTTTGACTGAAGGTATGCAACACTTGCAGGAGCAAGCGCGAGACGTTGGAGAGCACCGCAGGGAGCAGCCCGGCGTATATATCAAGAAGAAAATCCTCCATTCTGTTCCGGTAGCATACCAAGAGGTACCGGTAGGTGGCTCTGAACGACTTCTGCGCTTGGAACTGGATGATTGGTTCGACCTCTCGCGATACCAGGAGGGTTTTGAGATCGATTTCCAAGCCGACAAACAGGATCTGGTCAAGAGGAGAAGCGTCGAGGTCGAGATTGGTCATGGTCTTGCTGGTGTTGACACCAGCACCATAGGACTCGAAGGACCCAGAATTGATGAGCTGTTGCACCTTCCGGCAATCGCTCTCGTTGGTGGAGAGAAGTAAAAAGTCGTCAGCAAGACGCAAGAGTAACGAGGAGGACTCGTCAAGGAACAGGAACTTTGAGTCTACAAGGTCGTTGTATACAATGTCACAGAGCGTGGCCAGGAGCGGGAATCCTTGGAAAACCCCTCGCTTTCGTCGGTAGCATACGCCAGACCGGTCGACCATGGCGGAGTAGAATACTTGGCGTTCCACAAGGGGAATGATCTCGTGTTTGGATAGTTTCGTGGTGTTTCCTCTGTCGATTAGAATGGAGGGGGACTGGGCCAGAGCCAGTGGCTGGGCCCTAGCCAGTGGCTTGGACTGGTTTCTGTTCTTGCTCCGGTCAAGACCATACTTGAACACGTTGAACTTATCTAGATGGTTGTGGTCATGGACGATATGGAACTTGTTGCGGTAGGACAGAGCGAAGGAATTGGCAGATGCAAACTCTCGGACGTGGTAGGTATCAATGGGTGAGTTGTCTAGAAGTCTTTCAAGACATCGGATGGTTTCTATTTGGTTTAATCGGTCGTAGCATTGTCTCATGTCGAATTTGATCATATAAATGGGAGGTAGGGTATGATGTGAAGGCTGCTGAGAGAAACTCTTCGATTCCTGGGAACATGCAATGTCTTCTTGCAGGGAAGCCAGGTCCCATGTAGTGGCTCCCCATGAACAGGGGCCAGCGGAGCGTCTCTCCAGGAAGGGTGGTTCTACATCCTTCCCTGCGGGGCTAGCAAGCCGCTCCGCTGGCACTCCGTGGGCCACTGGCCGTGGAGGCTTTGTTCCTCTGTCGAGGAATGCCAGGCTATGGGTAGATCTCCTCGTAGAGGAGCCGGGCCCCACGCTAGTGGCTCTCCCCGAGCAGGGGCCAGCGGAGCGGTCCTGAGTCGGGGCCCAATGTGAGACACTCCCCAAGTCCTGGGGTGAGGAGTCTCCTCGTAGAGGGGCCAGGCCCCCCGTAGCGGCTCCCCGCGAGTATGGGCCAGTCGAGCGACTCTCCCATTCCTGTAACCTCCTTCTGTACTGCCCAATCTCCCCAGCAACATCCACCGACGAATAACACCGCGGGTGCTTCTTCCCCACACTGTCGGCCTTGACCCGTTGACGTAAGATCTCCCTCACGGGGTATATCTGGGTCAACATCCGGGAAAAGTACTCCTTCAGATGCTTTTCCGGGACACACAACAAACGGAAGTCGTTCCGCTTCGGGAGGAGCCGGACGTTCCCATGGAAATATGTCGAGCCTCCGTTCCTGTGCCCGTGGTCCTTGCAAGAAGTTGTCTTGAGTAGGAAGCGGCGCGTGTAGTTGGCAAACCAATGGGACGTGAGTTCCTTCCACACGGCGTGAGGGTAGTAGAGAAGAGCATGGCTCTCCGAGGTCTCGGTCACATACCAGAACTTTTTAACCGCCTCCACTAAAAAGCTCGAGAAGTAGAAATGGATGAACCGAACAAAGAGGTCTTGTCGATTTGAGAACTCTTGCTGAGAGGAGGAACCTTTCTCCAGGGCCCCCATTCTACCAAGCCACGAGATCTCGGAGAGACGTACCCCATGGATGGCGTCTTGGAGGTCCAACTTCTCGTTCCGTGGGAGCTTCAAGAACTTGATTGTCAGTCTCAAGATGATCCCCTTGTTGTGTGTAGAACCCCATGTTCGGAGGGGGAACACTTTCCCCACGATTGTCAAGATGAACCGTACCACCTGCTCGAACGGCGTAGCCCAATCAAAGTTTGAGCGGGGGCACTTGTCTTCCAAGTTGCTAGGGGTTCCAGTCGTGGGGAGGACTATCTCGTGATAGATCTGATGGTAGGCACACTTGGCGTCCTTCTTGACCACCTCACAACACAACGCCAACACCGGTCGGTACTTCTTGGGGATGTTGTTGCCCGATCTAGGCGGGACCACCCGGTCTAGCAACTCCTCTGGGCTCTTAGCAACCACAAACTTAGACGAAGAACAAGACGAAGAGGAAGAGGAAGATGAGGAGGAAGAAGAAGAAGAGGAAGAGGAAGAAGAAGAACTACCCGTATGACTATACAAGACTTTACTTTTGTATATGGAGGTGGTGGTGAACCGGTGGTGAGTTTGTGCGCTGGTTGATGAGCCCCTCGTGCCAAACACTTGAACGTAGCGGTTCCCAGGGACCAACACAAAGCACGAGGTGGTCAACACTAGCCGTGCAAACAGGCGATGGCCCATGCGTTGGTGCACGGTTTCCCAGAGAACGCCCTTGAGTTGTGTGGCCACGAAGCTGACGTACCGGTTGCTCACGGACGACACGATCTGGGACGACGGGTCGGCCACATACCCGTGAACAAGCACGTTATCGTCCACCTTGGCCCTGCGTAACGAGATAAGATGCTCTATGAGTAAGTCTACAAAGTCTGAATGGGACCCGGTGAACGATTCAAATCGCGCTACCGCATTCAACTTGGCTACGTCTATTTGGCCGGCCGTACTGGCAGACCCTGTAGGCTCCGAAGGCTCGGTAGACTCCGTACGGACCGTAGGGCCTGTAGGGGGTGTAGAGGCCGTGGGGGGAGTGCGAGAGGGCAGCCCTACGGGGTCTGTGAGCCGCTCCGCTGGCACTCCGTGGGCCACTGGCCGTGGGGGCCAAGCTCCTCTACGAGGAGACCCCTCGTCGTCCCGATGGTCTTCCAGCTTCTCTTCACCCACTCCTCCTCCTCCTCCTCCTCCTCCTCCTCGATAGAGGAGCAAGGCCTCCACGGCCAGTGGCCCACGGAGTGCCAGCGGAGCGTCTTGCATCCCCACGCACAGCGCCCCTGAGGACGTGGACGTGGGCTCTACGGGCTCTTCTGAAAGAATGACAGTGGTGCCTATGAAGGCCAGATACTCCTCGGAATCACAGAAGAAGTCAGATTGAGAGTACCGAGTCGCAGTGACTCCTCTGTCGGCCATGTACTGCTCGAGGGTCTGTTCCTTGGCAGGGGACCCCATGCGTGCAGTTCCCATGTTAGCGCCCGTGTGTTGTGTTGCAAAGGCGGCACCTCCTCGCCACGCCAATTTTTTGTTTTTCGCGCCCTGTCGTTTCTCAAAAAATTGTCTTGTTTTATTTTGTGGGGGGTGTCCCGGTGAACCTCGGGGAGAATGGAGGGGGGTACTTCACATTTCTGGGGCAAGATCTTGTCCCGTCGAGCCGCCACTTTCGGAAATGTGGTGATGTTTTTTTTTACAGACTGTGTAGATGCCACGCATACGACCAGAAGCTAAGCGTTTGTTGATCGATCGTTTATAAGGCCCCCCTAGTCCCGGCCCCTCCCCCAGATATATCCGCTAGCTTTGTGGAGCTTAGGCCCTAAACAATTTTTTTTTTTTTTCTGTGCTGTTGCGACATGGCCCGGGTGATGTCGTTGTTCCGATCGTTTGTAGCTGACGTGCAAACACTGGTGGCGATCATACGACGGAAGGACACGATGGTGAAACATAAGCTGGACCAGACGGTGCCCGCGCACGTGGACTTGGCCACGGGCACGTTGCATGGGGTGTTACGACAGGTGAGACATGCGTCCAAGGTTGTATCCCGGGAATGTGAGCGAGAGACGGTATGGTGTTGTGATTTACCTCCTCGGGAGACCAAGCTGTTGTTGTTGTTTATACGGGAGTACGTGACGCCGTATGATGAGTTTGGCATGGGGCATCTCAAGAGGTTTAGACCCAAGCAGGGCCGTGAGACTCCTATTCAGAATAGTCCCGAACCAAAGAGCTCAGCAGGTGCTACGATCAAGGCCCCGGCCAGTTTAGAAGCCCTTGTCTGCTCTCAAAAATATATCCCTACCCTCGCCGACCTCCAAGCGCTCCTCCAACAACACACAACCACCTCGGACGCCTCGCTTTGCCACCTCAATTTCTACCCACAACAAGTTCCCGTCGGGCTCCCGGACACCAAGGAACTCGCACAAGAATGGTCTGCCAAGTACTGGCCCGTGTCGTGGAAGGGGAACCCCAACCATCAATTTCTCAAGACGGCTCGCTTCAACGTGGGCCATGAGCAGAAAATCGTCGACCGGCTCGTTTCCCTCTACCGTGAGCACCAACGACCGGTCACCATCATTGCACGGGAGGAAGGAGCCACCAACACCAGTGGCCCACACACGATCCTTGCCGAGGCTGTAGACCGGTCCGAGGAGCATCCACTCTCGCATGCCACCATGGAGGCCATAGCCCAGGTGGCGGATGCGGAGCGCGGCCGGCGCAGTGCTGACAGCCCCGAGCTGAATGACAACCCAGAGACTAATGCGTACCTCTGCCATGATCTCTTGGTGTACACCACACATGAGCCGTGCACGATGTGTTGCATGGGGCTTGTGCACTCGCGAATACGACGGGTTGTGTTCATGAAGGAGATGCCAAAGCATGGAGCCCTTGCCAGCAACCACCAATTGGGGGACATGGACGGGCTCAACTGGAAGTACGACACGTGGCAATGGATACGGAAGGAGGACATCGACGCCTTGGACTCGGTCAAGGTGATCGATGGCGATCAAGAGGTTTAAAAAAAAATTTATTACAACGTTATATAGACCGGGAATACCTAAAGAAAAGGAGATTACTCTACTGTACAACAGCCGTGTGTAGCACCGCCCTACGGGGTCCTGTAGGACGCTCCGCTGGCCCCTTTTCACTTCCTCGTCAGAGGAACAGGGCCTCCACGGCTAGTGGCCCACGGAGTGCCAGCAGAGCGGCTTGCGGGCCCCGCAGGGAAGGGGAGAGCACCGCCACTACGGCGTCTGTAGGACGCTCCGCTGGCCCCTGCTCGGGGGGAGCCACTGCGTGGAGCCTGGCTCCTCTACGAGGAGACTCTCCTGGCTGCTGAAATTCCTCGTCAGAGGAACAAGGCCTCCACGGCTAGTGGCCCACGGAGTGCCAGCGGAGCGGCTTGCAAGCCCCGCAGGGGATGCTATCAAGGGTCCTGTGGGACTTCCTCCAGTGGGATCCTCCTCGGAGCGGTCGGTGGTGTGTCTCTGCGATCTGCAGTCCGTAAGCCTCAGGTAGATTCTAGTGACCTTCAAGTCAACACGGGCCCAGGGGACGCTACCATGGGGGGAGCAGGACCGATTTCCCCGGTACATAACTCCTATCAGGCTCAGGCTCAGGCTCAGGCTCAGGCTCAGGCTCTGCGACGTCTCTTGATCAATTGTTCGCATTTGGCAACGCTCTGTAAGGTTTCCGAGACCATGGAGTCGACATCAGCGGTGTCACCTCCGCGGATCCACGAGGAGCCGTAGTGTAAGTTGCTTAACTCGTCGACTCTGATCTGGAGCTCAATGAGTGCCTCCTCGACGCGCGAGTCTGCTGCAGAACATTCTGCCCGCAAGGTCTCCTGGAGGATATGGAGCTTGTGTAACAATTCAGCCAAGGAAAGTTTCCCCGCTACCACTGAGGAGGATTCGTTCCAGGTCGTGTCAAGGTCATGCTTGGGGTCGTTATCATCGATGGGAGGGTTGAACTCGCGGTTGATCCTGCGCGAAACCCCTGAGATCACCGTTTGTCTTTTTTTGAGAAGTTCCTCGTAGAGCTGTTCAATTGTGACAGGGGACGCTCCTTTAAAAAATTTGGCAAATTGGTCAAGACTTATGATTTGGTCCATTTTGGAAGGGCTCACAAGGAAATCATTTAAGATTGTTGATGTTTCCATGGTGGGGGTTAAGGAGTGGTTGGTGTGTCACACTGTCCTGTCCTGTTTCCTTTTTTGGCTTTGGGATCAATGGGACGGGGAGGGCAAGTTCAGTATCTGGTTGCCTTTTCAAATCAAATTGGCGGTAAAAACAAAAAAAATAAATAAAAATAATGAAATGACACAAAAACGCGTGGCAAGATTCGTTTTTTCTTTTTTTAAAAAACATTTAGTAGGAATGGTAGGAAGGGAAGTAGTTGTAAGTAGAGTCGTATATAGAAAGAGGGTATGGTAAAATTTTAGAGATTTCCTTATGCAAAATTTGCACTTTTTGTTGTTAATCAATGGTGGCCATTTACCTATGGTTACTACACCCATACACCCAGTTTTATGATCACGTGTTCGAGCACGTGTTCATTACAAAAAGAAGGTATAATGAGAAAAGTTTCGAGATAAACGAAGAGATAGAGAAGGGTTACCGCTCGGAATGGGAATTTAGTAGGGCACTAGCTGTAGGGGAGGGAACTCCCCTGACTAGAATAGTGAACAGCTAGGATATCTCCTCGTAGAGGAGCTAGGCTCCACGCCAGTGGCTCTCCCCGAGCAGGGGCCAGCGGAGCGTCACCTTGCCCCGCAGGGAAGGGAGTAGTGCCACTCTACGGAGTCCGTAAGCCGCTCCGCTGGCACTCCGTGGGCCACTAGCCGTGGAGGCCTTGTTCCTCTAGCGAGGAATTTTAGCAGCCAGGAGAGTCTCCTCGTAGAGGAGCTAGGCTCCACGCCAGTGGCTCTCCCCCGATCAGGGGCCAGCGGAGCGCCCTAAATACTCCGTAGTGGCGGTACTCTCCCCTTCCCTGCGGGGTCTACAAGCGGATCAGACTGGCCCTCCGTGGGCGGCGTGCGACTTTCTCCCAGAATAGGGAGGACCCCAGTACAATCCGCCTAAAGTGGTACCCAGCCAATACCTTCCTCGTTAGAGGAACAAGGCCTCCACGGCTAGTGGCCCACGGAGTGCCAGCGGAGCGGCTTGCTACCGTACCGTTCTACAGGGGCTAGACAAACTCACTCACGTGACCTCCACCTCGTGACCGGTCACGTGCAGAGCGCGCACCCTTACAGGGACGTGTCCTCCCCAATTTGTCAAAACATCAAAAGTGTAGTAAAAACAAAAGACGGGGGGAGTGAACGAGCTAAACAGAGAGCGGGAATTAAAAGCAATACCACCCATTTTAATTACGACCACGTCACACACCATCCCCCCCCTCTCCCTGCACCATGTCACTTTCATACCAACCCAAATCGTTCCTCCCGCAGGCGTTGGCCACGGGACTCCAGGCACGGATGTCGAAGGACCCAAGCAACGCGCTCATCGTGCAAACGGCACCACAGGGAAGACAAGCCAAAAGACACGCACAACAAATAAATTACGCTGAATTTGATAATTTGAACGATGACTTTGATTTTGAAGACACAACAAATTTGAACACCACTGCGAGTTCTGTGACAAATAGTCAAATGTCGGCAAATTCTCAGAAATTTTTTCTCAAGAGTGCGAGAAGAAGTCGTCACCCTGAAGGAATTGATGATGAAGAAAAAGTTAAAGCAATCGCGGTTTCAACAACATCAACAAGTTCAAATTCGATGGTTGTCCCCACAACGGGGGATTCACAAATTGTGAACCACCCCGCCGGGGCCGCGGGTTCGACTTCGGCCGCGGTCTTAATTCCAATCCGACTTGATTTTGAATACAACAACGGGAATTCAAAACTTGTAGATTTTTTCATGTGGAATCTTCATGAAACCCTTCTTACCCCGCACCAATTTGCCACATTACTCTGTGGAGATTTAGAATTACCCAATCATCTTCAAAATGAAATCACAGAATCAATCACCAAACAAATTGAAGATTATTCATTTGCATCATCGTTACAACTCCCATCCAACAAGGAGTATCATGTGATCATTGATCTTTCGGTTAATCTTGACAAAAAATTATATCAAGACAAGTTTGAGTGGAACTTGGCGCAGAATGACGTCACCCCGGAACAATTTGCCGACATTGTGGTGGCGGACATGGGACTTTCCTTAGAATTCAAGCCAGCAATTGCACATTCATTACATGAAGTGATACTTCGGATGAAACGAGAGATTTTGGAAGGGGTTTATAATCATGAATTGCACAAGTATCAACAACAAAGTGGATTAATTTTCGAGAGTGGGATCAGAATCTTGACTGAAAGTAGTAACCATAACGGGAATGATCAATGGGAACCAATTGTTGAAGTGTTAACCCCATGGGAAATTGAAAAGAGAGAAATTGAAAGAGAAAGAAATATCAGAAGATTGAAAAGAGAAAATATTAGAAGAGAAGTTGATGACTTTAGTGGTGGTAATAAGAGACGTGCTGGGGTTGGAAGAAGAAGACATGATGAACTTGAAGTTGGATGGAAGAATTTTTGAATGGGAAGAATACAAACCACAAAAAAAAAATGAAAACAGGCAAAGGCAAAGGCACGTGTGCGTGCACGTGCGTGCCGCTAAGGGCCAACTCCTGTTCGCTTTATAGATGAATCGATGAATAGATGATGTGAATTAGTAGGATATTGTAGGCGTTTTTTGTACTGGTGAGAGAAGTTCTGAGGGGAGGGGAGAGGTTGGTTGGCCATGTACCCTACTGACTGTGACTCAGTGAGACGCTCCGCTAGCCCCTGCTCGGGGAGAGCCACTGCGTGGAGCTTGGCTCCACTACGAGGAGACCACTTGCTTGCTCACTTCCTCATCAGAGGAGCGTGGCCTCTACGGCTAGTGGCCCACGGAGTGTTAGCGGAGCGGCATGTAAGCCCCGTAGGGAAGGGCATGGTCAGAGCCCCACGGGACCCGTGGGACGCTCTGCTGGAGACCCTGGTGCGGACCGTTGGTGGGAGCGGCTTGTAGCCCGGTAGGAAATGTGGTGGCTAAAGTCCTATGGGGCCAGTATCACGCTCCGCTGCCCTGCTGGGGGAGAGCCACTGCGTGGAGCCTGGCTCCTCTATGAGAAGATCCTCACTTCCTCGTCAGAGGAACAGGGCCGCCACGGCTAGTGGCCCACGGAGTGCCAGCGGAGCGGCTTGCAGCCCAGGGGAGGAAGTAGGCAGAGCCCTAGAGGGTTAGTGGGACGCTCTTCCGTGGGGTGGAGACCCTGTCATGGACCATAGGCGGTGCCAACCTGTTGTGGTACTTTGTAAACAGGATCCACACAAAGATGATTGGATCCAAACCTCTCATATCTCTATCTATTGTGGTATCAGGATTTAATAATATTTTTGCACCCCCTACCTTTCCTGTTAATAAATAAAGTTTACGCGGGGTTCTGATAATGTAAAAAATAAAATAAAGTTTATAGTTTATGCACAAATACCCCCGTGCATTCAGAAGAAAAGTCTCGGCAGAAGCCTTTGTCAACACCTTTCTAAAGTTTATAATTATTTTTTCGTCTTTGTTAGGAGATAAAAAAATTTACGAGGCGTCATGTGCTCGAGAACCTTGGGATGTGGATATTGATGTACCAGGATGGATGTGGGGCGAGAGAAGTGAGACCGTACCAGGGGAGAGGGATGGCGATTGAACAGAGGAACAACCATGAAACTCTCTGCATCAGTCCGCGCTTTCGCGCAAATTGCAGCAATTCATTTGACACTTGCAGCCGCCACCGCTTCCCGTTTAAACGGGCGACTAGAGGGCGGTGCTGCGGTTGTCAAGGTAGACATCACCAACATCGACCTCCTCTTCTACCAAGTGGACGTTGAGGTTGGCTCGAACCGGGACAAGGTGTCGCTCAGGTTGGACACCAGCACGGCGGATACGTTTGTCCCCTCGTGGGAGACCTCCTGTGATATTGCGTATGACCCTCTAAAGGTGGATTTGATCTACAACACCAACAACAGCTGTACCGCTTACGGGGCCTTCTACTGGCCCGGATCTTCTTCGTTCCTCCAGGACGACAGCATGAAGTTCAATTGGGACAGTGGGAACGGGATCTGGGGGTCCGACGTGGTGACAGTCGCAGGAGTGTCCATCAAGGGGTTGTCCTTTGGGGTGCTGCAATTCACAGAAGCTCCACAGGGGATCTTTGGCATTGGTCATCCACAGAGAGAGCTATTATACCTCCGGAATAAAACCGTCTACGAGAACTTCCCCGCCAGGTTGAAGAGCCAGGGACTGATTGCCAAAGTGGCTTATCTGATTTTCCTCAATGCAACAGGAAATGGCAGCACAGGCTCGATCTTATTCGGTGGTGTTGACCATGCCAAGTATGAGGGGATCCTTGCGACGGTCCCTGTGGTGGAGTATGTGTCGTATAGCTTGAACACTTACGAGGATAAGTCGAGGTTCATCGTGGTGGTGCATGATATTTACATTGGCTGGAGATCTCATAGTGCGGAGACGGAGGGCGCAGGCCAGGATTCGGGCTCCTCCTACTACGACGTGACCCGGTCCACCCCGTACCCCGTCCTTCTCGATGCCGGGTCTCCGCTATCCTACTTCACCTCTGAAGTGCTCACGTCCTTCAGCAGTGCTCTTGGAGCCACGTGGAACAGCACGATCCTGCAGTACAACGTTCCTTGTGCTCTCACTTCCAACTTGACCATTGTATTCAACTTCAGTGGCAAGACCATTGACGTCCCGTACACAAACTTTGTGTATGCCTTTGATGGGACGTGTGTCTTGGGGGTGCTCCAAACGCCACCCGGGGCCGGAAACCACCTCACCTTGGGCCAGAACTTCTTGAGAAGTGTCTACGCGGTATTTGATTTGGAAGACGATACCATTTCCATTGCCCGGGCCAAGTACACTAACGAGGAGGACATCGAGGCAATATCAGGTACCATCCCCAGTGCCACTCAGGCAGACTTGTACTCCTCCTCATCGTACCAGACTTCCTTTATGGAGTTCTCGGCCACCTCTACCTTCACGCACAACCTGGACCCGACATTCAATCCGGCCACGCGAAGGATAAACGCCACCATGACAGCAACCAGCTCTACCAGAACTGTTGCCTCTAGCACCTCCAAGAAGGATGGTGCCGTCCTGTCGAACGGACCCGGTCTGCTAGCGATGGCCGTCCTCCTTCTTGCTGCGAATTGGGCTCTATAATTTAAATATGCTACTATGTAAATCTATAAATAAATATGATACAGAATCATCTACCACCGAGAAACGGGTGGCCACTTTATGCGCCATGGTATGGGAAACTCATCTAGTTTCTGGATACCAGCGCGGACCTACTAAGAGGTGTATACGACACGCTACGAGGTGTGAAAACGTACTCTCTTCCTCTCTGAACTCCGTGGACTATTAGTCGTGGAGGCCTTGTTCCTCTGACGAGGAAAATGAGTAGCACGTAGGTCTCCTCGTAGAGGATCCAGGCTCCACAAAGTGCTTCTCCCCGAGAAGGGTCCAGCGGAGCGTCTCACTGTCTTCCTGGGGCAGTACTATCTCCCTCCCTGAGGGGCTTGCAAGCTGCTTCACTGGTACTCCGTGGGCCACTAACCATTGTGCCTATATTCCTTTGACAAGGGTCCAGCAGACTTAGAGGAACCTCTCATTGCAATATTTTTTTCCCAATTTTGATAAACCTGTCAGAATGAAAAAAATTGTGGGAGTTTTAATCGTGCATGAAAATGTGGACCTCTCATGCGAAATTAAAGTAATGTTATTTTTTGCAGCCGGATTTTAACACACTTTGAAAAGTGCAGGTTGAGGGTAAACCTCTTGTAAACGGCCGCCACCTCCTCTGTTTATCTATCAACTTCTTCGTCTCTCTGTTTGATCCACCATATCAAGAAAACTCTGAAGGACACAATGAGCACAAGCATCCCCACGAATGATACAATCATGCCAAGCATACCAGAATTGTTCTTTGGTACTTGGTCTGCAAAGAGAATTCTAGCATCATAGAAGGGGAACTAAAGCCTTACGTAAATGGCCCTTTTGGATTGACCTGCCACATTGATAAAAATCCAAGTAAATACCACGGGAACTCCAAGAAGTCCTTGTAATCAAGTGTAGCCAGCTAGGAAGAAGGCAGTCATGACTCCTATGGTTATCTGAGTGATTTGGAAGAGTATAAATGCTAAAAGATCTACAGGCACCCCCATTGGATACCAACTATCTAGACAAGGGTTCTAGCAGCTGGTAAAGCTGTTGATCTTTGGTGCTGATTTAACCATTTGCGTAGATATTTAGACGGGTGAATGAAATGTATAAGCAGTCTTTATACTTTGTAATATAAAGGTTCGAGAATGTTGATTTAATTTGTAGGTGACTCAAACGTTTAGAAATATGGCTGCCAAAAGTTTTTAGGGGTATTGAAATCACAAACGTGGAATATTAAGGAATTGACTGATATACTGGTGGATGGAGAGTTTACAGATCCCTCGATATATGTGTGGTGATAGTTCTATGACTGGTCAAATCATTTTATAACTAGTAAAGGTAAAGCTTATTGTGGTGGTACAGAATGAAGACTTAGTTAGCCCCTTCAAAAATTCCGTCTGAATCCAATCTACGACCTCTGGGGTATTTATTAATTGGAAATGTTTCTATTCATATTGGCATGCGCCATGATTGGGAATTACTGGGTGTATATATCTCTTTAAATAATCAGTTCATTGTGGCTGTGAATATCAAATATCTTAGTCCATTCATGTTCATTTTTGAATATTTGTGCTGCAAAAGGTCGTTCGTTGACCACTTTTGGTGTGTTTGTAAGATATCGTAAATTTTAAGTTTGATATTTTTACAGCCAAAATTACAAGAAAATGCTGTGCCCTAGCCACACAAATTTACAGAAAATAGCAGCCTCAAGCCAGTGTTGGTACAATTATTTTTTGTTGGATACTAAGGGTATTGTTCAGAAGCTATACAATCTAAGTTGGTCGATGAATAATATAGAGCATTCATGTTGTGTGTAAACTGTTCTTGATGGATATATCTGATTATTATGAGATTATTTTGAGATTAATAGGTGTCATGTTTTTGGTATATTCCATCAAATTTTAAAATTCAGGAATTGATGTAGACTCACAAATAAGTGGAGTCGTCGGATATAATCTCTTAGTGTTGACGCGGGATTAACAAGTTTCACTTTGTGATATCTGTCTATATTTGTGGTTTACCACAATCACAACCTTGACTTATATTTTTCTCTTATTTTTAAAATTTTATACACTCTTTTCTTTTTAGAGTATCCACAATATCAACTTTATATTGATATTCACTAAAGGATCATCATATTTTCTAAGGGGTTACCCCTTGAGGTTAATATGGTTAATTGGTTATACAAGTTTTCCAATTTAAAACATGCTGCTGGTTTGAGAAAATGTTAACTATTTAAAATACTTGGACTACACAAAAGATACAAGTACACAATAATAGTTAATTTGGTTGATGCTGGTTTAAAAGATAAAGATAAAGATAAAAGGTTATAGATTAAAAATTGAAGAAAAGAGAAGACGAAGAAAATTAAAAAGTATAAACAAAAGTATAAACAAAAGTATAAAAACAAAAGATATAAAAGATAAAGATAAAAATGATAAAGATAAAAAAGATAAAGATAAAAAAGATAAAGATAAAAAAGATAAAGATGAAATAGATAAAGATAAAAAACTACAATCAAAGTATAAACAAAGTATAAACAACGTTAAAGAAAAATTAAAGAAAAGTTAAACAAAAATTAAACAAAAATTAAACAAAAATTAAACAAAAATTAAACAAAAGTTAAACAAAATTTAAAGATAAAAGAAGTTGAAAAATTATAACGACAGTCACATGATGAAGTTAAAGTTAAAGTTAAAAAAAACAAAAAGTACAAGAAAAAAAGATAAAGATAAAGAAAAAAAAAAGTAAAGTTAAAAAAGTTCAAAAGATAAAGATAAGATAAATAAAGAATGATAAATGAAAAGGTATAACAAAAAGAAAATAATGATAAAAAGAAAGAAATAAAAAGAAAAGTTAAAGAAAGAACGAATAAAGAATGAATACATTCTAAACTATTGCCGCTCATGGGAGTTGAATAAAATAATGAAGTTACATCAAGGGAATCAGGTTGGCTGTTAATCAGATATCTTCTCAATTAAGAGGATTGAGGCAGAAATTGGTAGAAGAAAAAGAGGAAGCATAAGAAGAAGGAAAGGAATGAAAACTATGATGACACACAAGTGATAATAATCAAAAGAAAAAGGCTTAACATTAGCCAAATCAATTTATAAATATTTGATGGTGGAGAATTGAAGAGGAAAATGGAAAAGATAAAAATAAACAAGGATACATAATGGATGTGGTTGCAGAAATAGGGTGACAAATCAAGGGAGTTTCAGGGTTGAAGATTTTGTTGGGAAGTGGAATTAGTAGGTGACACACTAGTGTTTCGGCACTTGGGTCATCTAGTGGAGAATTATGAGATGTCCCTCTAGTGCGAAAGCACTTGGGACGTCTGGTGGGGTTTGGGGATGCTTCTTCTGTGCTAATTTGGCACGGTTTATAATGAAGCGTCTCCGGTGTGTTGCTGACCAGACAAATGTAAAAGTACTCGAGTTTACACGCAAGTCTGGTCAGTGTATCGTTGGCACTAGTCAGATTGCGTCAATGATACGTAGGTAATTCGCACAGATGGAGTGTGATCTAATAGCACAATTATCAGCTAGGGTCACCGGGTTTATTTGAAATGAAGTAAACAGTTGTTGTACAGTTGGGGGATACCTGTGATGCGTTGCTGATTAGTCTTGAAGTACTCGAGTTGCACAGTGGTGCATGACTAGTCAGAATGTAATCCGCACCAGGTGGGGCGTGACAACCGGTAAGTTTGTACTTGCTGGGGTCACCGGGTAGGGTTTGCAGGTGATACGCGAGCAGTTTGTAAGTCTTGGGTCACCTGCGGTGCGTTGCTGACCAGTTACTTTGGAGTACTTGAGTCTGCACATTTGTGCCTGGCTGGTCAGTGTATCGGGCTCGATACAAAGGTAATCCGCACCAGGTGGGGCGTGACAACCGGTACAATGACAAGTGCTGGGGTCATTGGTGGGTTGTGCTGGTGATGTGCTGTTATAGGGTACATATTTAGTTCGGGACAGGAAGTCGGGTTGCCAGGGTAGAGTACACATGGTCCATTTTGATCTGTAGGTGTATTTGTAAGCGCCCAATGAGGCGCCCATACATTGAGGTATGGGCGTAGTCTGAGGGTGTGCGGCACGTGCTGGATGGGTCTCAGAGCCGGTCTGCTAGTGTGCGGACGTCACTCGGATCCACTTTTACGAGTGGAGATCGAGTCGATGGCCAGCACTAGATTCTGACTCTGGGCGCTACTTCACCTATGTGCCGTACACGTATCAGCCTTGCTGGGTGATCAGCTAGCCACTTGGCCAGCTGGTGTGTAGCATGCACTGGGGTGACCCCACCTTGGGGTTGGCCGGTAGTGCATGGGTGACGCTGGGGTCCACCACTACGGTTGGACCTCTGGCCGATACCCTGCACTCCATGCCGACCGCGAGGGTCCTTACCGGTGTGTGCTATACACCCGCCAAGGGTCTGGCTGGTTTGTAGATACACTACCCAAGTCTCTATGGGTAGTGTGTGAGTATTTACCTGGGGTCGGCCGCTACGGTCGGACCATTTTTTGATGTTCCCCGCCTACCACTCCTCTCTTGTTCCATCACCCAGTTTCTTAATGTTTCTACCAACTGAACCATAAATATACATTACTCTTAACGTATACTTCGTCGTGGTCTGTTTTAGTTATCTGGGGAGTTATTGTGTTGTAAATTCAAAATGTGTGTTGCAAAAGGTCGTGCGTTGTCCATTTCTAAAAATACTTTTTTACCACATTTACAAAAGGTTTGGTTTCAGATTATGCACATTCCTCAACTGCGTGCAGAATCTGAATATTTAGCCTTGGCTGCCAACAATAATAAAAAATAAATTATTTTCTTCCCTGCACCTTTCTTGGATTTGTGTGTGTACCAGATCTAAAGTATAAGAAAATACAATTTCCACGGGTGACAGCTATTGCGCTTGTGCAGACACAGTTGAACTGACAATCGAAGTTCGTGGACAATGGTCAAGCGATTTGATCTACGTTCATACTACAAGTTGATCGACTAGCCAGCCTACCCGCTAGCCTTCTGGTACTTAATATGTAGCACACACATTTGGGCGCTCATTGGGAAGGAGATTATGTGGAGATCAAGGGAACAACTAGTTGTCCAACCGTAGAGGTAGACCCCCGAGCCACCCACACACAACCTGGACAACCCCAAGGGGTGCATGCTACACACCAACTGGCCAAGTGGCTAGCTGGTCACCCTCAGAACACGCCCATACCTCAATGTATTGACGCCTCATTGGGCGCTTACAAATACACCTACAAATCAAGATGGACCATGTGTACTCTACCCTGGCAAACCCGACTTCCTGTCCCGAACTAGTATATCCACACTATATATTTATGTCTTTAGAATGAGTAGTGTACGTCGACTGAAGTAACACATAGCGCAAGTGAGTCAACGGAGCAGCTCAATAAGTTCAGCATCAAAGCATCAATCTCGGCAACAACCCATGCCGAGCCGGTATTCCAACCCAAAAGTAAATGGATAGTACTAGATTGACGTCAAGGTTCATTACACAGCGATAATCAATCACATATCAGCAACTGCTTCCTGGTGAGTCATAGACCACTAATGGCCAGGTGGATAAAAAAAAACAAAGCACCGCATCTCTAATTTAAACATAGCACGGGTCTCTGTGGCCAAGTTATCAAGGACACTAATTAAACTGGAAATGGGTCTAAGGATAAATCATAAGATTTGTTAGTAAAGGTAATTTGAAGAAGAATAAAATCTTATGGAGCATATCAATTCAGAATACATGGATATTCTAAAAAGTTGAACGGAAAAATGATGGGACTCACCGAAGGAACAAAATAAGTTTTACACTGATCTTATTGTACTTTTTCTGAAAATATGATAACCCTCTTAAGTAATCCCCACAGCTTCAATCCACAAACCAAGTGTCCACAAACCAAGTGTTCACAAACCTAGTGTCCACAAACCTAGTGTCCACAAACCTAGTATCCACAAAGTCAAAACCAGAATATACATCAACAAACTCCATACAATATACAGGTCTTATCAGTATTTCCCGTATCAATAAATGACCGCATGAACTTTTGCTTGGTTACAAATATGTGTTGCATATGGTTTTGATAGAATAAGCAATTATTACATTTTTAACAAGGACGTTGGTACAGCTTAAGAATGATCGTTGATTAGCATCCTTTATGGGTGTATCAAATACAAGAGCTACTGGTGAAGACATTTGACTTAAATCATGAAGATACAAGGTCGCAATGGAGAGAAGTGACAGAGGAGGGAAGTGCGGTCTTAGTAAATTTACGAATTTTATATACGTAACGCGGTACTGTACTATACTATTTACTATATTTTATAGACGCGTAGAATTTTGGGGTTGTCTCCTGCATTTTTTTCGATTGTGGATTTTGATATAGTGAATTTGTAGTTATTCTCTCCTCGTCCCCCCTCTTACTATTTCAATAATAACCATACGCACCTTTTTGTGGTTATAATTTGTGGGCTCATTGCCACATAATTTGGGAAACTGGGATCATATCACTCTTTGACCTCGTTCCATTCTTTCTTTTTCTTGCTGTTTTAGCACTTATTCCAATATGTCTTACGCTCACCCTATGCCCATTTTCTGCATCTTTCTAGCATATCTACCTAAGTTGATCATTAAATTGACCACCCACTGTCTATCCATAATCTTAAAATCCCCCATCCAATTTGCTGCAAAAGGTCGTTCTTCAACCATATCGGGAGTGCAGAAATACGGAAAGATCTGATCTCCGCACTTATTTTTTACTGCAACACATGTATCGCTAAAAGTTACAAAACCAACGTCCTACTACTGGCAATTTTTGTATACGAACTTTCTATGATACCAATTCTAATGGAATGGTGCTGGATTGGATGTAAAGTTGTACTAATTGAATAACATACGTTTGGCCGTATTACAAAGAAAGAGTTCACTGACTCAAAGGTGTCAGATCATTGTTTTATAATATCGCGCATTCAGTTTTCTAAGGCGAAAAAAATATTTTTCGATGGAACGTTGGCTAAAAAATAAATGTTGTTACACTGGTTCCTCCCGCCCCTGCCGGGTTTGTGGCAACCAAATTTTACGTTGTTAAATTTTGTTTGGCGGCCTGTCCAATTTAAGGCCTACTAATATGGGTCTCGTTGTCTTCGGCTTGATCACAGCACAACATGTCAAGTAAAATGAAGTCCAAAAGGGCGCAGATGGATTCCATTTCTAATATTCAAGTTTTGCAACAAAATTCTGTTCCAATTCATAAACAAGGTTTTCAATCACAAAATCTAAACCTTATCCCTAGTCCCCCATATTTTCTGCAATAATTATGCACCAGAAAAAGTACCACATTTGCAGCTTTTTTACCGCCATTTTTGGAAACCTGAAACATCCGCACTTTTTACATATTTTCCCATTAATTGAAGATGTAGTAGATCTTTTAGGTCTAGTGTAACCACCATCAAATACATGTTTATATATCTCAAGTGAACCCGTGTTGGAACTCTATTAGATCACCTCTCAAATGGTAGAATTGGTCATTCGACTGTGTTATATTTTTTTACAAGTCTTTCAATATTGAACTCCTTATCTCAACACAAATAAAAGACTACACATATATCAAAAAGTACTATATCTACATGTTTCAAACGGGGGGAGTTGGTACTACGACTATCTACAGTATATTGATTTTCTACGTATAAATCGAAACGAAAAGAGCAACATGTTAATAACTGCGGAATTATGAAGCAACAGTGGTTGATTGGGGGTGGCAAAATTCTAGTCCGGTGTTAGTCAATCCAAAGGGTGTAGACCTCGTATATAGGTACCAGGGTGTTATTCTCTTCGCTCATTTATATTTCTCTGTGCTTTGACCTTGTAAATACGTAGGGCTCTGGAGACAAGTTCTAAATATGGCCATGTTGTTCTGCTCGCATATCTCGTTGAAATGCCATACCCTTGTCATCACAAATAGCATCTCTTACTGATTACCTGAATTATTTGATAATTACTTCTGTAAACCACTGTGTACTGTAATCTTTCAAAGTCTTTGTATACTTAATTGGTCATTGTTGTTCGGAATATATTATACACGTCTGTTGTACGACGCGTATAATTCTTTATAGTTGATATGTGGATTCATGACTAGCCCCCATTTTGCCACCCAAGAATTCTCAACAAAATGAATGACCATATGCACCCTTTTTGTGGTTAATTTTATGTAACTTGGTTGCCAATTCAAATTGTTGGGGTTGTCAAATTGAAACATAATATCTCCTTGATCTCGTGCCATTTCTTCCTTTTTAAGGAATTTAAGTATTTCTTCGAGTATAGTCTAATATCATCATGTACGGAGTTTCCCCATTTCTCTACGATCTCTAATCGTGTTGATAATCATATTTACAGCACAATATATATCCCAAAATTTTAAACTCCCCCCTTCAATGTGCTGCAAAAGATTTGTTACAGAAAGTCGTGTGTTGTCCATATCTACACTCCGCATTTATTTTTTACTGCAGCATATTTATCGCCGAAAAATGTACGTCATACTACTATAGACGGGTTTCATAAGCAATGTGTTCCTCTTTATATTTGGTATATTTAGTATAAGAAGTAGAACTACTCTCAAGTAGTATTGGTATAAAAAATCGGTAGGATATACAATAAAAGAGGTCAACACTCAGGGGTGTCAAAGAGTTGTTTTGAAGTATCGCATATTCCTTCATATTAGCCGAAAAAATAATTTACGACGGAGCAGTTGGCTGCCAAAAAATAAATGTGGCCCCCCTCCTTCCTCCCGCCCCTTCCAGGTTTGTGGCAAACGAGTTTTAAGTTATTATGTTTTGTTTGACGGCCCGTCCAAAGCAGGACCTATTAATATGGGTCTCATTGTATTCGGCTCATTCAGAACATAACAAGTCAAGTCGAAATCGACCCAATTGGATGTCATTCTGATTATCTAGTTTTGCAACAACATTCTGCTCCACTATCTAAGAACTTTTCAAGATCCACAAAACCTAATTTTTATAATAAGTAAGATATTTTTTAGCCA